GGTGCCGGGAGGGGCTTTGCGGGAGTTCCTCGATTTTGCCGGAGCATTCCTCTTCTTGCTGAGGTCGGCCTCCATTTTGCGGCGGATAGCCTTTTGTCGAGGTTAGCTAAAAGCCAAAGCTCAAATTGAGCTTCAGGAGATTCACTCCCGCGGGCTGCCATGACGTACCTCATCACGTTTCGACTGGTTCTGTCGCTGTCTGCTACTAGCGGCGCTCATTGTGCCACTTCCGACGTCGCTGGAGGGTGTATTGTTTGTGGTAGAAGATTCTGGCCTGGGTCGGGGGATGTGGGAAGCGCTGGGGTCGTTTCCGAAGTCGGGCAGCCTTCCTCTCCCGATGGTCTGATTGGGCTTTCCCCGAAAAGTACCTGTGGCCGACATAATAATGCCGAGAGGGGAAAGTCTCAATAAAAATGTGAGCTAAAGGAAGGGAGATGACACAAACAAAACAAGGATGTCAAGTTGTGAGACTGGTTTGGGAGAAAAAGCAAGGAGAATTCCTGGGAAGGGGAAGAAAATGGGCAGTTCAATAGTCGATCCCAAACAGGGGTGTTTCTTTCGTTAGTCGGGGATGAGGAGCCGTAAACACTGAGTGACACGGTACGATCCGGGCGCTAGTCCCAATTAGGTGGACATACTCCTCGTGACTCTCTACACGTGACCCACGTGATTCCTAAAATATTATCGCCTTAGATTTGAGGCACCAACCCCGTGACCCATCTCGCTTAAGGGCTTAGGGCTACCCGCACAACGGAATCCAATCCATCCCGAAAGAGACTTTGTGTGAGCGAGCTTCGACAACCCACTCCCGACAAGTCAACTGTACGCTACCTCCCCCCTTTCACCTACAGACCAGTACCTGACCATCCACAGAACAAACCGTCAAAATGGTCAAGAAGAGGGCGAACAAGTAAGGCCAACAAATCCCCCATCTCGGCGAGCCAGTATCCCATTCGACATCTCCGCAATGACGCCGACGGAAGCGCACACGACATACATCTCCAAATACATCGAAAATCGCGACCTACGCACATTGCCGGACAAGAAGAATGGGAGACTGGATTTCGATTGATTCGCAACTTAAGGGGCACGGTAACTAATTGATTTGATAGCGGCCGCAACAAGAATGGCCGCGGCCACGTCAAGCCTGTGCGTTGCTCCAACTGCGCTCGCTGCACCCCCAAGGACAAGGCCATCAAGCGCTTCACCATCCGCAACATGGTCGAGTCTGCCGCCATCCGTACGTTACCACTCTCCCGATACCTCGAATCTACGACAAGATCCCAGATCTATGGCTGCGACCCATTCGAGAACTTTCAGACGAACCAGTGCAACTAACGATTTCCGCTTTACAGGTGATATCTCCGAGGCTTCCGTCTTCGCCGAGTACTCTGTCCCCAAGATGTACCTGAAGCTCCAGTACTGTGTGTCCTGCGCCATCCACGGCAAGATTGTTCGGTACGCTTCCACCGATTCCTCTCGATACCCAGTCGCATTTCCATATACTAATTACTCGTCAACAGTGTCCGTTCCCGCGAAGGCCGCCGCAACCGTGCTCCCCCTCCCCGTATTCGCTTCAACAAGGATGGCAAGAAGCTCCAGCCCCCTACTGCCGCCAAGGCTCTGTAAGGAGATGAATGTCGCATGACGAACAAAATAAAATGGAACTAGTTTGAAATGAATTCTTTTATTTTGTCTTCACTCTTCGCATTGGTGTTCTTCTCGACCGGATCGCAGGGGTTGATGCTCGGACCCGAAACCGCCGGCCTGCTCCTACACTGAGGATGAAAAAGACGGCACCAATTGTGCGATGAAGGCAGGTTGGATGTCTCTTTAGCATTGTGACGTTTATGAGCCCCTTGACGACGGCTTGTTATGACTGGGAGGAAGGATGGTTCAAGTCCAAATGAGGACTGAGAAAATATCAAAAATTCCTACAAAACATGATCGCATGACGTAGAAGTATCAAGTAGTATTTCTGGGTATCTTGCTAAGTACGAAATTCACGGGTACAAGTACCCCTTCTCGAAATAGTTTCCATACATGTCTACCGTTCCGGTCCGCACCTTTGGCACTGGGTTCCGCACGATCTTCACCTCGCCCTTCCAATGACCTTCGACATAATGTGATAAAGAAATATGGGGCGATGATGGCATAAGTAGACCGGGAGCACCCGTGCCAAGCGTGCTTCGCCGTTCTCTCTCACGACGAACCACTCGCTCATACTCAGCCTTCTTGCCGCGACGAAAAGCCGCAAGCTCTGCCACAAGGTCAATCATTGGGGCCTGGCATTGTTGCTTTCTGTCTTCAGCAGTCATTGGTGGACCGGGGGTCTTGGGACTTCGTGGAAGGTGACGCCCGAGTCGAGGAGAATCGGGAGAATGTAACGAGTCATCTTCCGAGGGCATAAGCGAGACCTTTTCGTTAAGCACAGCCATTGGAAAGTATTTGCCAGGATCATTCTCAGGGACTCCACACTCCTCTTCGCCGAAGAAGCTGAAATCATTGGCAGCTGCAGACCAAAGATTCTCCGAGTCGCGATCACCAGTGCTTGAATGGCCTGTGGCATTATATTGGTTTGCAGGTTTCCACGAGGTCAGTTTGGAGCTATCGACAGGTGTGATTTCGAGAATTAGACGCCGCAAGCCAAAGAGAGACCGTGACCGCTGCTGCTCGGCTTGCATGCGCGCTCGCCCTGGTGGGAGGGAGTAGTCTGATCCTGCTTGTAGAGTTGCTAGCAATGCTTCGTTTGAGCAGGCAGTAATGAACCGAGTGAGCGCAGAGAGTATCGACGAGTTCGGCGTTACATGCGAAGGTACATCTGTCAGCACCAATGATTCCATGTGAGGAATATGTGATGGGTGTAGGTAAGGGAACCAGCTTTCTTTCCCTCCTTGGAGTGGGATTGATTGGTTACGTGGCCGCTTTGACAATAATTCCTGTACCTTCTGTTCAAGAGAATCGTTCATTGAGATTGGGGAGCTGCATTGCAAGGTTGCCTGGAGAGAGAAATCCGTCGCAACCCTGTCGCAGTCTGAAGACATTGAAATAGATGGCAAGGTGCTTCCTTCGGTCTGCTCTGTATTCCAGGTGCCTGTCCTAGAGACAGCAAAGGCCGTACCTCCATTGGCGCTACTGTGTACAGGGATGGGTTGTACAACCTCCGGAGCGAAAGCCGATCCACGCCTGACCGACGGTGTGGGCTCATCCTCGTGGGCTGTCAATATCTGGGAGGTCTTCAGCCCTTTTGTCGTTGAATATGAGCTAGTTGACTCGGTCGTTGATGTATCCGCAAGTTCAAAGACAGGTCTTGTCTCCTCGGATAACTCATAAACTTGCTGGGAGGCATCCAACTCGAATTGCTCGACCTCGCGGGGGCTCTCTTGCGCTGAAAGCTCTGGAAGAAACTCATCATCGGACACAGCATCTTGAGGTTGTGGTTGGCCTGTGAGCACAGCATGATGCGCTCGTAGATAGGTCAGGTTGTCTCCTGCGATCTTACCCAACACTGGGACTAGCTTCTCGGCTCCGGGATACTCCTCCTTCCTATAATGGTGTGTATGATGTGCCTTATCTGGGGTTTTTATGGTTCCGAAATCCAGAGCGTGTAGCCGGGACGAGCGAAGAAGACTGGCTACAGCCTCCAGAGATATTCGATTGCCAGTAATATAAAGATGCGTGATTCCCATATGCGGCAAGTCTTCAACCCATGGATGGAATAAAACAGGCTGAGCAAGAAGCTTCGCAAACTGCTCATCCAAGTCTGGCCGTTTGAAGAAGTCCGACCCAGACTCATTGATTGCAAAGTGCGAGAATGGGTCTGGCGAAGCCGAGGCCTGTCTTGGACTTTGCTGCCTTTCCCTCTCACTTGGCGGGAGAAAGGATTCCTGTAGCAGGGAGCAAATTGCAATGTCACTGAGCATGTTGTCTCTCAAATCCAAATAACGAACTCGTCGCCCAATGGAATCGGCTAGAAATTCGGCGTCATTGTCCTTTAGACCAATTCCACGCAACTTAAGTACCCGGAGAAATGGCATTTGAGCTAGTGTGGACAGTACATTGCGATCTCGTGCTGGAGTGGTGTACGAAAGATCCAGATAGGTCAATACCGGAAACAAGAGGAGAGTCTGCGCGAGGCTTGCGGAGGTAGCATTGGGCTCACGTTCAGCCAGTAAGAGCCGTATATTATAGTGGCTGGACCTCTCGTGGGGTTTCAATGCTGTCATGGCATGGTGGTCAAAGAAAGGCAACTTGGAGACCATCAGACACTGAAGACATGGCAGGAATTCGAGAATGTCCCTCAACCAGCCCGGTCGCGGACCACCATATATCTCTGAGAGAGCGGGTGGGAGATGAATAGTATGGGTCAACGCCCGCACCTCTTGTCGGGCGTATTTGAGTGTTCTTCGGAATCGAGTGAGAGCCACTGTGTGGTCGGGTTAGGTATTGCTTTTTGAGCAAAATCGGTGTTGTTCCAAAAGTTACTTACCATATACTGCATCATTATCTGTACCAAAATGAGATGCAGGATCACCCCAAAGGAAGGGCATAAATAGACCATGCCATCTATGACAGACTAAAGATGCAGCGCATAAGTCGCTGGAAGGGATATAGCGAGCAATAATTGTCCAAGCGTCTCTATCCGTTGCGGATTCATAAGACGGAGGAATGAGATCCATTTTCAGTATGTTCCTGAATTCTCGATCAAAAACATTGTGGATTCACGAAAGATGGTAGAAATCGCATGGGGAATTTTGGCCCCATGAGTTAGTTGCCCGACTCAGCCACAACGTATTACTGCATCCTTTTGGGATATACCTAGGTACCATTGATCTTAGGATTCCGACTCTTCTTGCTTCATATTATTTCTCTTATTTTCGCACTTCTGCCCTGGAGGTTATCTATGAAAGTCATGGCAATTTAATTTCAAGACCATCAGATATGACGTCACTGAACATAGCAACTATATGAACAGGCGGGGCATAGCTAAAGGGGGCTATTCAGAAAAGACCCAGTGCGCCATTTCCACCCAGGGCTGGAAAGCCCAATTGTCTATGGAAAGCATTCTGGAATGCCGAGTCTTGCGACGAACCAGATGTAGCCCATGCACCCTGCTCAACAAGATCGATCTTGCGCAGCCTGGCTTGAAGCACCGCGCATGTATCAGCCCAGGCACAAACATTGCCTGCAAGTCCTTCAAACAAACTGTAGGGCTCATCAGGCATGCGATAATCTTTGTCGGAAGATGCAGGCGAGGTGTTGTATGGCTTAGTCTCACGTGCATGCAACATGAATGCAAGTGCCCTCGAGAGGAAGAAGTCACTAGTGAGCTCCCGGCTCATCTCAGCATTCGGAAGAGTTGATATTTTATTGCGCTGGAGATAAGCTGTCCGGGTATCGTTCAAAGTATCCGAGTGGTATTCAAAACAATCATGGAGCAGGAGCCAAGCCCATGCATTGCCAGTCACGCCGTGACACAAACTGCCTCCCTTAGAAAGAGAGACCTTCTTCCCATACACGCTGAGTGCCCATGTATATGGCTTGGTCCCAACTTGGATCCCAGTGGGCGCGGGTTAAGGATTCGTTTTTCAAGGCAGCTCCTAGGAGAATCAACAGTCCTGGGCTGCCGTGACATAGCTGGACTAGTTCAGAGGAGCGCTGACTGAAACTATATGGAGGTAGTGCCATTGGGAGGTGGCCATTGGTAGTTCCAGATAGCTTGCAGAGTGCAGTGATAGTACCACCAATCACAAGAAGATAGTCCGTAAGCTCTTCGGGCTTACACGAAAGCAGGATGGTTAGAATACCGGCTGTATCACATATTCACATTAGCTTTTGTAAAGCCCAAATAATCCCCTGCAAACTTACTTATTCCGTGGACCCTATACATCCTCTGTTAGCAACCTTACACGATATAAGGTGTTGGAGATGCACTTACGCCCCAAAACAGTAATGACCCTCCATCCATGCGTACATCAATGGATGTGCGTCTTGGGCTCCGTTCTTTTCTGTGTATTCCTTGGATCCTTGTCGCCCGGCATCGACAATCACTCGGATCAAGTCAGGAATTGCCTCCAGCACAGGCGAGAGGAGTTCCTGCGTCTCCTGATCAAAATTATGAGCACGAACGTTCAAAAGGACCCAAAGAAGACCTGCTCGGCCAAACAGCATCTCATCTCCACCCATTTTCCGGCCATCATGGGCAACAAGAGGCTCGTTCTTTAGTGCCCACTGCATGGCCTCGTGGAGGCAAGCGATATCCTCCCTTGCGATGCTGACATTGGCGCTATCTTGCCAATTATTCTTTGCAAAACTACCTAAAACGCGCAGAGTGACAGCAGTGACAGGCGAAGATGAGCCAATTGGAGACAATCGGGAGGCTAGCAGAGGAGTGTCGGGGAGGCTTGATGGAATCCGTTGTAGTGCGTAACGACGATAGTCAAGAGAGGCAGCTTTGGGATCCTCTAGCACCGAGGACTGATAATCTAGACGTAGAAATGCCAGAGCAATACCTTAATCGGGTGGTTAGATGATAATGATTTAGAGAGGTAGGACTAGAGCTTAAAATACCGGGGAAAGCTCTAAATATGCCATTTGGGCCCCATGTTTCAGGCAAAGGAGTGTTCTCCTGTATCAACTCGGCACCATTGCGAACAGCAACACGAAGCTCTTGAAGGCTCTCGAAAAGAGTGGTCGTATTGATTGATAGCGGGGTCAAAGTATTCTCAAAGTATTGCGGACGCTCTGCCATGGCGGAGGCTCTATATAGTTATAGGCTGAATATGCTAAGATATGGCGTGATTTGCTGAAAGAAAGCTCAGCTATGCAGGTCTGAGAACTTTTGCTGACCGGGGCGACCGCTTCCTGCATCGTAAAACGTACGGTCAGCTGGCCCCGAACACAAATTCCAGCATCTTCCCCACCAAGCTATGCAGCACAAGATGAAACCATAGAGGGACCACATATTGGATCCACCGAAACTCAGCTCCTACACCAAAATCCGCCCGCAATGACAAAACATGCATATGATACTATGATACTTCTAAGGTTACGTATATCAAGCCTGAAACCAGACGCGTTGAGGAACACATACACGAGCGGTACGCCAGAGCGCTAGTGCCACATATTTATTGTTTGAAAACACCCATTTCCTATCAATTCTACACCAGTATGTGACCTGAGAAATCAGGCATGAATATAGCCCTGGAGATGACATCGGGAGAGACAATATTACCTAAGCATAGATGAGTCAGCAAGGACCACGACTTCTCAACTTGCGTTGTGGCCATTCCGGACTCGAGAATACTCACGCGGTCCTCGAAGTGCGATCGAGGGCTTCCTTCTAGAAGCAGTCCAGAATGTCAGTGAACAGACCCCCTGTTGAATCAAGTTCCTTGTAGCCATTGCTTTTGTTGTTTTTCTTGTATTCACCTATGAGGTTTTGTGGTGATACGTATCTCTGCAATATAATGTATCCAACTAACATGTCAAATAGTCGTGTGATTACCTCCAGAGGACCTCGTTACCATGTCTGAAGTTCATGGAGATTCAGAGCTCGTTCCATCGGGCCCTGATCTAGATTATCCGCTTGCTCTGGCCCCGAGACAAGTAACTTTGAGAGATCGCGTTACGGTTGCGACCCTGGTCCCTTTTGCATCAGCAGAGGAAGTACCTCGAGCCCTGATGAAGTATCTCTCTGATCAATTCAACAAAGAAATTGAAAAGGGAGATACATATGCTATGACAGAGCCCATTCCATTGGCTCAGTTCGGGCGATATTGGTTTTCCAACTTTGGTGTGGTCATGCTTACTGGCGACATCGAGAGTGCAGAGCAGACACATGCGATGGACCGCGCTGGAGCCAACTGGACCAAGATCTGTCTAGGTGGTTTTCACATCCGGCCTAATTACCCTGGTCGTAGTAGTCATGTCTGCAATGGCACGTTCATTGTCACCGATGCTGCTCGAAACAAGGGCGTGGGTAGATTGATGGGCGAATCCTACCTGGAGTGGGCACCTCGACTAGTGAGTTCTTCGCCGCAATCACTCCAACCGAGCTCCGAATTAACGTCTCCTAGGGATACACATATGCCGTCTTCAACTTGGTATATGAGTCCAACGTTGCATCATGTCGCCTGTGGGATTCCCTTGGCTTCAAACGGATTGGCCGAGTCCCCGGTGGAGGCAGTATCAAATCCCAGCCTGGAGAGTTTGTGGATGCAATTATCTACGGCAGAGGCCTCAGTTTGGATGGCGAGGACTCTGTGTCCCAGGATCGTTTTGAAAAAATCCGTTATTATTTGAAGCACGGGAAGTACCCCCGTGGTGCAGATCGGGCCGAAAAGAGTCGACTTCGCAGTGCGGCGACCCATTATAAACTTCTTGGCGGAGAGGATGGGGAGCCCGAGAGGCTGATGCTGAAGGATAAAGAGGTGGTGTCAGACCCGCAGCAGCAGTACGATATCGCCCAAGAAGTTCATCTCAAGCAACATGCCGGAATCAACAAAACCACAGCAGCTATTGCGATCAAATACCATTGGGTACGAATCAAGGAGACTGTCAATCGTGTGATTCGAGACTGCCCACAATGCAAAGAGACTCTCAAGTCGCCCCCCATACCAGGTACCAAAGATGATGATAAATCACCCTCGGAAACAATGTCTGGCATGGATATGAATAGCACAATCGAGAAAGCCCCGAAGGAACCGGTCAATGACCCGCAGGCGATGGACGAAGCACCCGATGAGCCCCCCAGCTACAACCCTCTTATGCATCAACCCATTCCTGCAGCCATGCCCGGCACAGTCCACCCCATGGCTGGGTTCGCGCCCATGCCTCTCGACCCTCAGATTATGCAGCTGCAGCAACAGCTACGACGCTACCAACAACAGAACCCTATGGCGGGCCAGTTCGCCCCCGGGCCGCACAATCTCGGCATGTCAAGCTTTGACGATGCAATGCGCTACCATACAGCTAGCAATGCCTATCAAATGATGGTAGATGACGGTTCGGATCCCTTTCGACAAGACGTGCTTGGGCTTGTGAACCCACCCGCACACGAGTTACAGCATGATGCTGAACTACTCGCTAAGTTCGAGTATGGAAGTCCCTCAGACGGGAATTATGACTTTACGTGAACAAGCCTCTTATCTCGGTTTTCTCATTTCGGGGGCGTTACTTTATTTCGGAATTATTTTGTCTTAACCCTACTTTTCTTTCTCTTGTTCTATTGGCGTCAAGGCATCGGTCTGCTGATACTCCACCACTATTGTGCCGTGGACAGTGAAACGCGCTTTATGCTGCATACACTATGCTTCTTTTTAGGTACATTATTCGAATAAGATACCTCACTATATATATTATAGGAACTTTAGATTCAATATAAGATGTGTACATCTCTTTTAAATGCGTAGGGTTGAGGAGCCCTGATTATTGATTGGTCACCGCCTTGCGCGACTGGGGGGGCTTTTGGGGAACAGGAGCTCTGGGAAATTTTGGCAGATCAACCCCTCCGACCTTTCAACTCAACATACCCCTTTTCTTATTTCTTTTATTTTTTTATTGAACGGTTTCGTGTCCGAATACCGATCTAATCATGGCCTTCAACGGTCAAACCCCCACGATTGTCGTGTTGAAGGAGGGTATGTGTTGTCTCCAGTGCGGGCAGTTTTGTTAGTGGGATTCTGTAACCTATGCTAACTACTGCTGCTTTGAAATCTACAGGCACAGATGCTTCTCAGGGAAAGGGTCAGATTATCTCCAACATCAACGCCTGTGTCGCAGTGCAAGGAACAGTCAAGAGCACTCTCGGTCCTTACGGTGGTGATCTCTTGCTTGTGGATGCCAACGGCAGACAGACAATTACAAACGATGGAGCCACAGTGATGAAGGTGCGTCTTGCTATTGATGGCAAATCTATGACCGGAGGAGTTGGTGATTCTGACTTTCGTGTATTTGGTAGCTTTTGGATATTGTGCACCCCGCCGCCCGCATTCTTACGGATATCGCTCGGTCCCAAGATGCCGAAGTCGGTGACGGAACAACCTCCGTGGTTGTCCTGGCTGGTGAGATTCTGAAGGAGGTGCGAGACCTCGTTGAGCAGGGTGTCAGCTCGCAGACCATCATCAAGGGTCTGCGGAGGGCAAGCGCCATGGCAGTCAACAAGGTCAAGGAGATTGCAGTGGACATGATGGATGCTTCAGTCAGCCAGGAGAAGAAGGTCGAGACACTAAGACGGTTAGCCGCAACAGCCATGAACAGCAAGCTTATCAAGCGGAATTCGGACTTCTTCACAAAGAGTGAGGATCCCTACCCAGTGGTTGCAATTTTGCTCCCAAGGCTGACGAGATGGTATCATAGTGGTTGTGGATGCGGTACTTTCGCTGGACCAGGATGACCTCAACGAGAGGTTGATCGGTGTCAAGAAGGTTACCGGTGGTGGTCTCCAGGATTCGCTTTTCGTCGACGGTGTCGCCTTCAAAAAGACTTTCTCCTACGCCGGTTTCGAGCAGCAGCCCAAACACTTCGAGAACCCTAGTATCGTGTGCTTGAACGTTGAGCTGGAACTTAAGAGTGAGAAGGACAATGCGGAAGTCCGTGTCGAGCAGGTCTCGGAATACCAGGCCATCGTCGATGCTGAGTGGCAGATCATCTTCAACAAGCTTGAGGCAGTCTACAAGACAGGAGCGAAGGTCGTGCTTAGCAAGCTGCCTATTGGCGATCTTGCCACACAGTACGTGCTTCTTATTTACTATAAGTTACGTGTCTAGACACTAATGATTTGGTTTTCAGGTACTTCGCGGACCGAGACATCTTCTGTGCTGGCCGTGTGGCCTCCGACGACATGGACCGCGTTTGCCAGGCTACCGGAGCCGCAACCCAATCGACTTGCACTGACATCCAGGCGCGCCACCTGGGTACATGTGGTGCATTCGAGGAGCGCCAGATTGGTGGAGAGCGCTTCAACCTGTTCTCCGACTGCCCTCGCGCTAAGACTTGCACTCTCGTTCTTCGTGGTGGTGCTGAGCAATTCATTGCGGAGGTGGAGCGTAGTCTGCACGATGCTATCATGATTGTCAAGCGTGCTCTGCGCAACACAACCATCGTTGCTGGCGGTGGCGCTACTGAAATGGAGTTGTCGAGCTACATGCATGGATTTGCAGACCGTAACGTCCCGCACAAGCAGCAGGCCGTCGTCAAGGCGTTCGCCAAGGCACTGGAGGTTATTCCCCGCCAATTGTGTGATAACGCTGGCTTCGACGCTACAGATATCCTGAACCGCTTGCGTGTGGAGCACCGCAAGGGTAACACCTGGGCTGGTGTGGACTTCGACAAAGAGGGCGTCCGTGACAACATGGTTGCCTTCGTTTGGGAGCCTAGCCTGGTCAAGGTCAATGCTATTCAGGCCGCAGTGGAGGCCTCTTGCTTGATCCTGAGTGTGGACGAAACGATAAGTAAGTGACCGTTAATTATTTCCACTCTTCATCCTTCACATCATGACTAACCTATCTTTTTTCTTATCAACAGAGAACGAGGAGTCAGCTCAACCCGGTCAACAGCGCGGTATGCCGCCAGGTGCTGCCCAACGCGCCCTCCGGGGCCGTGGCCGCGGCATGCCTCGACGAGGATAAACGAGTTCGATCAGGACTGGATGATGCTCGATGATATTCCCCCCCCAAAAAAAGAAGGACACCTGCATGATTGAAGGACAATTGGCTTCAGAGCCGGTGTTTGTGAGATGAATATTGAATATGAAGTACAGGGAGAATAGAAGACGAGTTGGTAGAGATGACCCGACTTAACAACGCAGTCTTTCCAAGTACATACAATATAAACATAGTCCTCATAAAAAGATTCCTCAAAACATGATTAATTACATGCAGGTGAGAGGTCATATGCACTTCCAAGGCTGAGCCGATCCGAGCACATGTAACTCTGCAACGGAGGCTTGTACGGGTATACAACACGGAGTACTCCGAGCTATTCGCTTTTCGCTTTTCGCTTACGGAGTATTGTATTTGGAATCAATGTCTATTTATGTAGCTCTATTCTAGACCTTTAACCCATTTTACATCTCATTGGCCCATTTCTGACGCCAAGACAGTGCTATTGAACCCCCTTGAGCTGTATGACATGCAGAAGGGCGATCTACTTCATATATCGTGTGTATGGAGTATGATTTATGTTTATTGCTCCTTGTACGAGATATAAAAGTACAGAGGAAAAAATCCCCAAGTATAAAATGTGAGGCCCAATGACGGGTTCTTGGGCTCCCAGGGGTTGATCGGGGCTGCCGATGAACCCATGTCAGATATGTAAGTCAAGTCCGGAGTACTTTGGGTTTTTTGCTGTGCTTCGTTGTTTTTTCTCTCCTTTTTCTTTTCTGTTTTCCCCCTCTTCTTCTTTTTATTTTTGATTGTCGAGTTGCTAATCCAACACAGCCTTACAAGGAAATAGTCCACAGGCCACGAACCTCTTAGTAAGTGGCGAGGCTCCGGTCTGACGATCTCCCAAATATCTCTTAATTTCTTTTAATCCCTCGAATTGTCCGAACTCTTTGATTTGATCTTTTTTTTGGACATTTTGCTTTCAAAAATTTACCTTGCACTCTTCAAGGCTTGGCGGCTGCCGGACTTCCGATCTGTTTTGCTTGAATCTCCCCTTCTCCACATTCAACATCGCATTCTGTACTCTACATCTTTACAGTTCGCTTGATTTCTTGGGTGGACTTGGAGAGTTTCTCTGATGTCTTACTATCCACCCTACTCAGGCGCCCCGGGGTACCCCCCGCAGCAGCCGTCATATCCCCCGCAACACCAGTACCCGTACGCTTGTTTATCCCTTTGGTCTATTGAGAACATGCCCGATAGTCTGACAGAGATTCCATTACAGACAAATGAATCATCACCAGCAGCCATCTTATGGCGGCTATCCCGGCCAGTCCTACCACCAGCAGCCGCACCATCAGCCGCCGCCGCAATCCAACCCGTACGGTTACAGCCATTCGTCCCAGCCATCTCACCAGTCTTACGGCGCACATCCTCCCCAGCAAGGTTACAATGTATGTTATAATGAATTTTGCGTCGAATATACAAGGGATTGACATGTATCAATCATTCCCAGGCTCCGCCATCTGGGTACAACCAGCACCCGCCCTCTCAACCAATGCAAGGAAGACCAGGTTTGCCTACCATTCCCCAAACCACTTTGGCAGTGAAAGCTAATAATGCGCAAATTTAGCCTACGGCCAAAGCGGCGGACCGGCTCCCCCTCCCAGCAACCCCGTCGCCTTCGGTCACGGCGCTCCCCAAGGCTATAGCTTCCAATACTCCCGCTGTACAGGCAAGAGAAAGGCCTTGTTGATTGGTATCAATTACTTCGGCCAGAAAGGTCAGCTGCGCGGATGTATCAACGATGTCAAGAACATGTCGACCTACTTGAACCAGAACTTCGGCTATGCTCGCGAGGACATGGTGCTCTTGACTGATGACCAGCAAAACCCAATGAGCCAGCCGACCAAGGCAAACATTCTTCGGGCTATGCACTGGCTCGTCAAGGATGCGCGTCCCAATGACTCGTTGTTCTTCCACTACTCTGGTGAGTAATTTTGCTTCAATCGCTTCGATGGCGGTAAACTAATAAAAACCCAGGCCACGGCGGTCAGACACCCGACTTGGACGGCGACGAAGATGATGGGTATGATGAGGTTATCTACCCGGTGGACTTCCGGGTTGCAGGCCACATCGTTGACGATGAGATGCACCGTATCATGGTGCGGACTCTACAACCGGGAGTCCGGCTGACAGCGATCTTCGACTCCTGCCACTCTGGCTCTGCTCTGGATCTTCCCTACATCTACTCCACCTCCGGTGTGCTCAAGGAGCCCAACCTGGCCAAGGAGGCTGGCCAAGGCCTGCTTGGTGTGGTGTCGGCATACGCGCGTGGTGACATGGGCAGCATGATGTCCACCGCCATGGGCTTCATAAAGAAGGCCACCAAGGGCGACGAAGTGTATGAACGCAACAAGCAAACTAAGACTAGTCCCGCAGATGTCATCATGTGGTCTGGCAGCAAGGACGACCAGACCAGTCAGGATGCCCAGATTGCCGGCCAGGCCACTGGTGCCATGTCCTGGGCTTTCATTGCCGCGCTTCGGAAGAACCCTCAGCAGAGTTATGTCCAGCTTTTGAACAGCATTCGTGACGAGCTTTCGACCAAGTATTCCCAGAAGCCACAGCTGAGCTGCAGCCACCCCTTAGGTAAGATTCTCGGGTCACTTGGGCCGTATTCAGATTCTGACAATCTCTACAGATACCGACATCCTTTATGTGATGTAATTGCACTTAGAAATGAAGACAAGGAATGATGCTTGTCTGGCTTTCCATGAAGCATGCTCTTGTGTTTAACGAATTTCCCTGTATGTAATTCCACCCTCGGTGTTCCAGTGATTATTTGGCCTGTGGGTGGTTGGTGCACTATTTGTGATTAATCTTTATGAACCTGTGATTTATCACTATTTATTCTTTGAAAATCAAGTGCAGAATACCTAGGGGATTTTCTTTCCTTGGCTTTCGCGTCCCCGTTTTAGTGCTCTCGCCGCTCTTTGCCTAATGAGTAGCATGTTCACTAGCACCACTGCCGAGGCTACATAGCTTAAACAGAACAAGGGTTGGCTTAAAGGCCTTAGGAAACGTGCAGAGCTTGTCCATGCCATCGGTACTAATTCCGTCAACACCAAGAAACCAAAGTAACGATTCAAAAGAGACTCGCGGTGTTACGGAATATGGCTGGTGGTGGCAAAGATGATCTTATTCCTACAGAGTACCTAGCTACGTAAGATGGATATGCCCAGAGCTTCCAACCTTGGAACCTTGGAAGGTTAGCCGTAGGTTAGTCATCCATAGTGCCGTCATGCCCCCTTTAAGAAGTAGCTACAGCCCTTAGTAGCGTTATATTAGAAATAGTAAAAAGAGAAACTTAGAAATATAGTAGTCCTTAACGCGCTCGGTAGCCTTATACACATTGTCAATTGATGTCGGACATAAGGATGATTCGATATTGAAAGTTAAATAGGTCTTCTTCAGAACAGAATGTATTCTAAGCCAGGTTCTGGCGGTACCAATCCTGCACACCTGCTTCAATATATGTGCGGAATTTTTCCTGTTCCTTGGGGGGGTGCAAATGATTCCACAATAATTTTCACAATGCTCTCAGCATCAACCAAGCGGATCCCATCCTGTCGAATTTCTTGCAATTCTTCATTTGTGGGAAAAGTATAATATCCGCTTGCTTCAGTCTTCTGGGGTGTTCTTGGTAGCTCCTTTTCCCTGGCAATACTATCGAATGCATCCATCGCCACGGCCACTCCCATCTCAGAAACATCTCCCATGAACGCGAGCATCGACTTCGAATAGTCTATAGGATGTCTGCGGATTTCAATTACATCCCCGAGTCCCAGTTCTCGTCGATGGCATGAAGGGAATATCCGAAGTAAATTTCCTTGTTTTTCATAGCCCGGACAGTCGTCATGACTCCGCGGTAAGCAGGAAGCACCCCAGGGTGGAGGTTGAGTAAAAGTCGAGGCTTTGAGAAGTAGCGAATGATGTCCGATTTGAAGCGCTGGTAGCACCGGATTGATAAACCAATGCTGATGTGGTGTCTGGCAAGTGTCTGGATGAAGGACATCTTGTTGACGTTGGGTACCTCTTCAACAAGAATTCCGTATGTGGTCCGGATTTGGTCCACTGTTTTTTTTGTGGTACCTTCGACGGCCCCATCTTTGAAGTAAGGCCGAACGTACTGCTGTAGCAATTCTCGTTCAAAAAAGGCCAGCTCTCGGAGATCAAATGAAATAGTGCTGCTGCTGCTCTTGTGTTTGGGCAGGTAGACAAAAGGGACATGACCGGCAGCGAGAATTTGAGGGACTAAACTGCTAACCATGAGGTGCGAGAAAAGATCGGACCCACAGAAGATTGCCACATGCAATGATTGCACACTAGGGTTCTGCGTCAAACTGTAGGAGATCCGAGCAGCATGGGCCGCAATCCGGTCGATGGCACTCACGTATAAATGTGTGCCACTAGTCAGGGACCCGATTGCGTAAAGCCCCGGTGAAGCCCTCAAGCCATCAAAGTCGACGGCTATTCCACCATTAGGATGAGCCGTGATAAGGTTGTTCTTTAGTGCGGACTGGAGAAGGGGCGAGTGGATGCGCTCTAGTCTGCACTCTTGGCCAGTGGCCTCAATTACGTACGGGGCCTCGACAATGCCAGCGGAAGTCTGTGCTTTGAACGTGCCGTCCCATTTCACCGAATCTCCTTGAAGGACTTGTAGTTGGGAGCTTTCCAGCATCCTGAGTACCTTCTGTGCATTTTGCACGGGCATTCCATGACGGAACCTCATCCAGACACTATGATATTTCTCCATGAATAGCTGTTGGCTCGTTGGAGACAAACAATTCCAGTATCGCTCAATGACTGGAGCTGTTCCTCGTAGGACTGCCTGCCACTGGACTTGACCGGTGAGAGCAGCCTTGATATCATGTCGTATCTGCTTCACTGGGCATAAATCATCTAGAATCCAGCTCCAGTCACCGTTTGTGGCTTGTGACAGCTCATCCATTAAGCCACTCATCACCTGAAGAAGGCTATCATGAGGATCAAATTCAATCTGTTTTGCAAGCTCATGTAATGCATAACGACGTGGATAGGTAGTCTGGTCTCCTTGGACTTTAGGCAGACGACCACTACGTGAAATCAAAGTGATAGTGCCTTGGTGGCCGTTGTCGGAGAGGTATGTGGCAGCATCCACTGCAGACAATCGCGAGCCCACGATAATGACAGAAGATTCAGGTGGGATGGCTTTTAGCTGGGGCAGGGGCCATGGGCTCTGAAAGAATCCGGGTAGGTTGATGAGATGGGAATTAAAAACCGAGGTGAAATTCCCCAGAGCTAAGACAACGACCGGCGACATGAGGCGTGTTCCATTTCCAAGTGTCAAGGAAAAGGTGCCATCATCCCCTTTGTCGATCTCTTTGGCCTCATCATGAACAACAGTAACCGTCAATCCAGTGTGCTGAGCTGCGTCCATTGCTTGGGCCCAGGTAGCTTGAAGGTAATCCCCGTAGTTTTGCCGCGAGGGAAAGTCGCCTTCTTTGAAAGATGTTCGCCATTGAGAAAAATGGCGCGGCTGGTCGAAGTATAGGCCCATTGTATCGGTATGCATGTTCAATACCGTACCAGTACAGGCATCTGAGTAGGCCAGACCCGGACCAAGGATTTTGTTCTTTTCCAACACGATAACTCTTCCAAACTGGCTACCGCTTTTAGCCCTCTCAATCAATTGAAGGAGTACTGCAAGTCCGCTCGCACCACCTCCCACCACAACTATGTTGGGTGGGGAAAAAGACGAAGAGGCAGGGCTTTGAGATAATATTTGAACCATTGTGAATGAAGTAGGCAAAGAAATCCTGATAGACTGTTCTTCAGGAAATGAGACTCAGACATATCCGCCATTTTTATATCTCAACACTACTCAATTACGGAGTATTTTTTTTGGCCTATACAGATTCCGCAATGGAGCACTTGCAGGGCCAAGATGATGTGATGGTCTCAACAAGAGTCGAGAGAACTATATATAGTGGTACCCACTCATTTATGCAGTCAGCTCATCAATACTACCCTTCATGTGAGATCCCGTGCGGGGAATATGAGGATATGAGTAGCTTCAAGGAGGAGGGTTGGAAGAAGAAAATGAAGCCTAAATTGATATTAAGCTTTTTCCACCAATGATGGGCAATAATTGGCACAAAAGAGTAGAGCCGTTCTATAGGGCTTATGCAGGTTAGCGGAGGAAGCGGAGTGGGGCCATGATACTTTCGTGATATTTGTAGCCAGCCTAGATTCCCTTGTAACGACGAGTTTCTCTTACTCAATGCCAAAGGCATGAAATTGTAAGTGGTAATCCACAATTTTCCGACAATAGATATTCTCCTCAGATTACAGGGCTTAGTGTCAAGGATAGTACGCCGTTGAGACAGCAGAAGAATTTTCTTACCCAAATTGGATGCAAGGACTAGTACTTAGGATTGGTCTGATTGTTCTTATCTATATATACATGAATACAAATCCAGCCGTATCCCTTTGCCTGACTGATTCCTCTCTTCCAATATATTGCTACCCAATTGTCTATTGCGTGGTTCGTTGTTGAGGATACTTGACAAAGACATTGCCAGCTTTACGTATCATTATGCGTACTCCTCTTGGTGAAACGGTCCTCCCGGAAAGGCTAGCCAAGAGTATGTATGATCAGCTTTCTGACAGAATTCGGAAATTCTCGAAACGTCTCTGTCTCGCGGGCGTCTTAGCTAGCGACGACGCCGGCTCGCACCAATACGCAGAATGGACCCGGGAAACCTGTCAAACTGTGTAAGTGATCTAAATTTAGGCATCCAAAATCAGGATTTTCTCCGACTTACAAATTCTTAGTGGCGTAGACTTTTGTCTGATACGTTTGTCGCCTAGAAATGTGGCAACGTACATCAAGGCGCTCAACGTGAACCCCTGTATCCACGGCATCATCGTGTATTATCCGATATTTGGAGACTCGAGAGATGAGGAGCTGAAAACTATCGTCAATCATGCGAAGGACGTTGAAGCTCTCAACCGCGAGCCCTCGCTCCGATTCCCCGAAGTCACAGAGAGTCGAGAGCAGGCCCGTTTGGCGCCCACACTAGTGCCATGCACGGCAAGGGCCGTCGAGTTTATTCTACATCATATTGGAATCTACGATCAGAGACTCCCCGCGAAGCAACAACTAAGGAAGTGGGAGATCTGTATCATTAACCGATCTGATGTCGTGGGGCTCCCCCTTGCCCGTTTGCTGGCGGGCCAGGGAGCCCGTATCTACAGTGTCGACATCACAGGAGTTCAGCTCTTTCATCTAGATAATGCCCCATATGGAGTGGATAAGGTGCAAAGTGTAGCCACCCAATGGACGCTGCAAGACGCCGTGAAGATGTCTAGCGTGATCATCTCGGCGGTCCCACACTCTGCGTTTAAGGTGGACACGAAATGGCTTCGAAGCGGGGTAATCTGCGTCAACCTTTCTTCATGCAAGGTATGCAAGGCTCATGACACACTCCTTAATACGTGGACTGAAGTTCCTAATCAATGGTGCAGAATTTTAAGCCAGACGTCCTTGAAATTGCCTCCAAATTCGTGCCGCGTGTTGGAAACCTGACTATTGCTGCTTTGCTAAATAATCTCCTTGATTGTGTAAATTGATATTGAGGCAAGACAATATAGTGCGGACTTGCTATAAAGCGATGCGCTGGAATGGTTTATTATCATGACTTATCACGAACTCTCGGAACTCCTCCCACCGCTTCATTTAATGCCAAGTAGATCAAATCTTGGCCTTCATGGTCGTCCCGGTTTTCAACAACCGTGCGGTCACGAGGATCACAGCACCGAGAAGAAACGACAATCCACCCCAAATCTGGGCACCGATGTAACCATGCGCCCTTGCAATGAGAGCCCCGCCAAGAGGTGGACCTGTCAAGCAGGCGAAGCTGACAACGGTGAATCCCATGCCGATACGGGTCCCGGTCTTGTTTAGATCCGGTGTCAGGCTGGAGAGTGTCGAAGGCCAGAGGCCTTGCACACCATTGGAAAATATGCCATATAAGACAGCAAAAACATAGAGCCCTGCCGTTGAGTCCACTGCAGCCCAACAAAACATTATCAGACTAGCTCCAATACTTAGAGGGATAATGACATTTAGAGGCCCAAAATAGCGATCCGCTAGGTAAGCAGGGATAAGCCGACCGAGAATCCCTGCACCGTTGGTCACGATGATCAGTGTGGTTGAATCTGAGTAGGTCAAGCCTAGAACGGTGCGACCAAAGGCCCCGACATAGTAGAAGGCGAAATAAAGCCCCCAGAAGTTTAAGAACATGCCGAGGATAAATAGAACATAGGTAGGTTCCTTAAAAGAGACCCAATCGACCAATGGACCCGATCTTCGCGGGGGCAGTCGCGGCTGGAGTAGTAGCGTGGTAGGTATACTTGTCGCTACCATCACAAAGCCTAGCACTCGTACTGTCCACCCGAATCCAATTATAGGCATAAGAGCCCTCACTAAACCCGGGAAGAGCATACCACCGGTCCCGCTCCCGACGAGACCAAATGCTAAAGCAAATACTCTGCGACTAGAGAAGTACGTGGCCACAAGGCCCATCACAGGGCAAAATTGAAGACCACTACCAAGGCCAGTGCAGACCCCTTGAGCGAGAAAAAGCTGCCAATACCGGGTAGCAAGGGAAGTCATGAAGACCCCGAGTAACTGTAAGACTACCCCGACGTAGTACACTTGGTAGAAGAAACCGGCGTCTAAGGCACGGCCGGAGAAAGTCCCGACGAAGAAAATGAGAAAAACTTGCACAGATCCCACCCATGAGATGGCCGAAGGGGAAACGCCGAGTTCAGATTGGTAGTATGCTTGGAATACGCCAAAGCTGGCGATATAGCCCCAAGTATTGAACGCTACCAGATGGCCCATCACGGCCTGCGTCCAGGCTTTCATACCCCCATCTGGCGGTGGAGGGATCACCGGCGACGGTGATAGACTCTCTAGCATTCTCGATTCCGTATTATTTCCGTTCATCGGGAATGCCAAGGGGGCTGGGATCAGTATCAAAGTTGACGCAGATTGATTGATCGAGGGAAAAGGGGCATAAAAGAAAAGATGGAATGGTCTGCATGCTGCATTGGCGGGTGCTCGATTTGTTAGGCTGGTATGTTTGTTAATTGCATTAGGCAGCACACTTGGCAGAGGGTCTCGACACAATCCCGGGCTCCCTCCAGGGCCTGATTCATCGCTTACAAACGTTCTGATAGATCATCTCCAACTCTACTCTTGAATTGTGCGAATTCGATTCAATGAAAGCAATGATACGGAGTAGTTCCGAGCCGGATTGAAGCCCCGCCTCATGCTGCATGCTCGGGCATCCCTTGGTTATTTCCATAAATACTAAGCAACGGCTGATCGTCACGCTGAATGGGGGCAGTTGCAGGATTTGAAACCTTGAGAGAAAGTACCTCGGTACTTTTGTAAGACCCCTGACCAATCAGGAACCTCGCTCATCCCTTGACTAATGACCCTTGATCGCTTTTTCTCCGGTGGGGACTCTGCAGGGGTTCCAACTGAGGGGAACGAGAAAAAAGCTGAGGGGGTCTCCAGCCCTATGCCCCAGCTTTTTTTCTAGTTCCCCTCAGCTGGAACCCGTCCTACGCAGCGGTATAGGGGCCAGGGTTCAAAACCCCTTTTACTAGGGGATCTTGCTGCCTGGATGCTTTAATTAGCACCGCCCTCTATACCGCTCTATACAGTGTATTGTAAATCATTCACATAAACATGAAGCCTTTTCATCCCATACAAATGCATGCATCTCCTTTTTTTGAGATGGTTTACAAGCTGTCTCCATGTATGAAAATGAAGCTTTTTTTTCCCCATACAAATGCATGCATCTCCGATTTTTGGGGTGGTTTACCAGCCTCTATGTATGAAAATGAGGCATTTCATCCTATACAAATGTATGCATCTCTATTTTTGAAGCTGGTTTACTATCTCTCGGCATAGAATAACTAAGCCCGGTTACTAGTCTATATTAAAACTTGCTAGCTGTTATCCCACAAATCGGACCTAAAATTTTATTCTCTATACACTACTCCGTACACTACTCTATATATGAATTATACCGCGCCAGCGTATTAATCTTAAGCCTATAAAGAAGAGATACTCGATCTCATTACAGTGGATTGACGACTGGCCGGCGTATGTTGAGAAGATTCTCGACCCCTTCCCGCTAGAAGGAGCCATGATGCGGGTTGTCTTTAATGATCTGGAGTTCTAATGTGAGATAATATGTCAGGCGGAATTACGCAAGGTTCCCCTATGCTATCATTTCCGCCATCTACTTTCTATAACTGGGCATCTAGCAACGGCTCCGAGTCTATAATCATTTCCAAAAATCTGAGGCTTTTCATTTTCGTCCACTATATCCACCACTATTGTTCATTTTTTTTCTAGCGGTCGACTACGTGCATACCCTCTTTAATATTTCCGTCGACCTTTTATTTTACCCTACAGGGCGGCTGTCGTTGCCGGCCGATTTCTGTTCCTTTATGCATTCATGTTTCCTCATTTGTTCTGACAGAATCCGAACCTCCTTTAAGTGCCTCAAATATGAGTGTGACAGCTAAACCAGCGTCTCCGACCGAAAATGGAAACACTGGGAGCAGAGTAGCATGCCAAGTCTTGCAGAAGTTCTCGCTACATTCTAGCAAAGATTCGATCACCAAAGTCCGCTATTTCCGATGCCATGTCCCTAGCAAGGTGCCCTCATATGCACTCCTTGGCATCTTTCGCGCGCGAGTTCATGAGAAGGGCGACGATTAGACCATACAAGCCTTATGCACGTATTAGCTTCTCATTCTGCGTAATTCCAGAAGTTATGATCCCGTTCTTACCAAGAACTTCAGCGAAGATGAGTATCAGAATCATGCCGACATACAGTCTTGGCTGCTGAGCTGTTCCACGAACTCCGGCATCACCAACAACGCCAATAGCGAAACTAAAATCACGACAAAAGGATCACGTCAGCTGGGTATCGGGGCTTATCTGTTACACAACTTACCCAGATGCTAAGCCGGCAAGGCCGACGGATAGACCCGTACAAAGCTGGACCAAGCCTGTGTATAAGGGGAGATTCTGCTTTAGATCGTTTGCGACAAGAACGGAAACGACTAGGCCGTAGATCCCGATAATGCCGGCCATCACAACCGGGACTATGTCTATTGAACCACGTTTGGATTAGCGTTGTATCCTCAATCTACAAGCTCTTCCGGCATTCGGACGTCACATACTCTTTACGACCAGGTCGGGTCGCAAGACAGCCGTCGAGCAAACGCCGACGCCGGCCTTAGCAGTTCCGTAGGCAGCACCGAAGCAAGTGAAGACAATTGCGCAGACGCAACCCATAGAGCCAAGAAATGGCTAGTGGTCTCAAAGTTAGCTACTTGAATTTGGGCAGCGAGTTTAGACATGGTGGGGTGAAGGACATGAACTTTGGCTGATGCCTGGTCGTCACATTCGAAATAGCCACGAGGGAGGGCGAACTCACAGAATAGACAGGACTAAGAGAAGATTTAGCATGGATCAGATACAGGATATTAGAAGTGTAGAGAAACAGATTTTGCATTAGAAAGAGATCAGATGAGATTCCCGGGTCCGCCCGCTTTGCTTACCACAGTTCTGAAACCATTTTGCTAATCGATTTCGCTATTTGAGCGCTTTGGGCGGACGGCCTTAGGTGAAATGCTAGAAGACAAGAATACGATATCTTAAAAGACGGATGTTATCGATGTTGCCGTAGAGAGGAGTTTGGGTGGTAAGATTGGACGAACTGAGACATTTCCCAGGCCATGTCTGCCTGGCGCCATGCTTCCAGAAGACAGGCCGTAAGTGGTCAACAGGAGCGCTAGTGCGATTACTCGCTATCTGCTAGACCCCTGTAAAAAAATACTACTAGTTGTCAAGCTAGTACCTATTGGTCAGACGAGTTGCTTAGTGAGAGGGGAAAGACACCCCGGGGATAAAGAAGTTAAATATATACTAACAAGGGACTCGGAGACTAGATAGACTTATCATCATTATATACACTATATTTAGGGACGAAGTAGTGTACACGCGTCTCCCCCTCTAGGGCTAGGTATAAACATTGGGAGAATCTCCCACTATTTGACTCACCTAGCTAATAGGAACTAGCCTGGCAACTAGTATTTCTTACACCAACTCTTAAAAAGAAAAAGATATAGATATAGCTAAAATAAAGTATTAGCTTTAGTACCGTGTTACTATCTACATGTAACCATGGAATGGATACTAGTCCTAATAATAAGATTATTCTATAAAAGCCTTATAAACCTCTGAGCTTGAGAACACGAACGTATGTATTTTGAACTGATAAAAAAAGAACAACCCCCATTCAACCATTTCCTGGATCCTTATTCCTCCAGTAATGCACATATATATATATATATATATATATATATAGCTTGATGACGATAAGCGTCGGTCTTTCTGACATCATGGTAAACAACTGCCCACCTGGGCATCTGCACAACCGACAGACATATGTACTTCTGGCGTTGCAATGTTACACTATGGGAAATTCTAGCTAGTTCGTTATCTCGATCAGGATCAAAATCAAAATCTGCAAGCTGCAAGGTCTCCATCTCCATCCACTATGTAAACATGCTCAACACGATATGATGGGATCCGCCATTGGCGGGAGAGCTGACCGAGCGATATGCTTATGGCGCTGTACGGAGTTCATATCCTCAAGGGGACCGTCATATGTCATTTTTGCCCCCGAGCAGCATCCGCGGAGATAGAAGCTCCTCAACTGCTCTGGATATTCAATATAACAACTACGGATTCGATCCCGAAACGAACGGCCCCGAATCAAGCACAATGCAGTCATTTCTCCAGCACCGCGCCCTCCGCAGAAAGCTCGAGCAACAATTTGTTACAAAACATGAGAAGCCCGAGAATGTCTGGACCCATGAGGGCCAGTACGGTTACCGTGAAGGAGAGATCTACACGCATCCCCGCGAGCGGAGTGATGACTTGGCTGCCGAACGAAGGAGGGAGCATGGCCATCGTACTTTTATATCTGGGCCATCTCTTCAACCTCGCCATACCGCTGCATCACATCTCGGGCGGGAAGGAGATATCGAGGGCGCGGAGTATGATCCGGAACTCTCAACCGATCCGCATACCATCAATTCAGCAGACACACTGGGAAACACGCCTGATATTATGGTGACTGGCGTTGAAAGACCCCGGCCCGGGGTTTCGACCGATAGTGAATCTGATATTGAGTCCGCGAAAAGGAATAAACTCATTGTCGTCACGTATGAAGGTGAGGATGACGAAATGGATCCTCACAACTGGACACTAAGACGTCGAATGTTGGTGACTCTTCTCACTGCACTTATGGGGTGTGTGATCTTCTGGTCATCCACAATTGATACAACTGCTCTCCCAGAAACCAGGAAAATGTATCACACCAGCTTTGAAGTCCAGGCTTTGCCAACTGGTACGTGGTTAACACTTTGAATCGCTTCAACCAGACTAATTAAGATTATCCAGCCATGTTCCTAGTTGGTTGTGGAGTAGGCGCATTGATAACAGCGCCTATATCAGAAGTCATCGGACGCAACCCTGTGTACATCCCCACCATGATCGGGTTCATGTTGTTCAACACAGGGGCAGGGCTTGCCCAGACAATAGTACAGCGAGTTGTGTGCCGCGGTCTAGCTGGATTCTTCGGGTCTGCCCCGGCAGTTCTATCAGCAGCAACCCTCGTGGACGTCTGGTCACGCATTGAAAGAGTCTACACCTTCCCGATATATTCCATAATCATCTTCATAGGTCCATTAGTGGGACCAACACCGGGTTCGTTCGCCGTCAGTGCTGAATCGGTAAGCTGGCGCTGGGTGGACTGGATGACCATAATATTTGCAGGACTCGTCCTGATCCCGGTTGTGCTCTTCCTGCCCGAGTCATACAGCCCGATCCTGCTGTACTGGAAAGCACAAGAACTCCGCCGCCTAACAGGCGACGACCGGTACCGGTCTCCGCTAGAGTTCAGAAAAGCCACTTTCGCCCACCGGCTGCGTACCGCACTATACCGACCACTTCTGCTTTTTGCAACAGAGCCAATCATCTTGATCCACTCGGTCTACCTCACAGTCTTGTTCATGATCCTATACACCTTCCTCGCGGGCTACATCTCCATCTATCATATAGCAAGCCACTTCAGTGCGACCTCCACTGCCCTCGCTTTCCTAGGCATTTTGGTCGGAGTCCTGCTTTCTCTCCTGATGCTCCCGATTTCAATGTGGCTCCTCCGTAGAGAGATCTACCGCAGCCGCGGGAGGGGGCGAACACCGCCCGGACCCTGAGATCAGTCTGTACATGGCTATGTTCGGTGCACCTGCTGTTCCCATCTCGCTGTTCTGGATGGGCTGGACGGCCAAACTTGAAATCTCGTACTGGAGCCCGCTCGTCGCTTCGGTATTCTATGGCTTTGGGACGTTGTGTGTCTTTGTCTCGGGGTACCAGTACGTCTCCGATGCGTTCGAGTCACATGCTACAAGCGCGCTTTCCTCTCTTCAGATGACGCGGCTTGTTGGTGCCGGCGTTATGGTTATTGTCGGGGACATTATGTATAAGAACCTTGGCGTTGGATGGACATTGACTCTTTGGGGTTTCCTTTCGGCGTTGTTTATGCCTATGCCTTATTTGCTCTACTGGAAGGGATATAACCTCCGTCAGCGGAGTTGGTACGCACGCAGGCATGAACACGACTGAGGTATGTGTACATTTTATATGAAAGATGATCCAGAGTTGAAGCGTGGTGGTTAACGTCGTTTTCGTATCTAGTGCCTGTCTGTCAATCTTGGTATATTCTCATGGGTTTCAAAGCTAAACTCCATGTTAGGAAATCCCAGGCGAACGATCTCACCCAACGTCGCTTCGGTCCTTCAGGTAGAGACCCTCCATGCTGTAGACCCAAAACAACTTGCTAAAGAATTTACCCTCATTACGAGCCTTGGCTTCTCAGATGGGAAACAGCCCTGCAGTATATCTAGCAATAGGGGAATGTCGTTCAACATGTCTTTCCACAGTTGTCAATGGCCTTTGATTAGATTGCTAGCATACGCAGATTTGTATGAATGGCCTAGGTGTTTTCATTTCTCCGCATCAGCCCCTCATGCTTATAAATATTAATGAACAGAAGTAAATCTAGGGGTAGTTATATTATAGTTATAGATGGATAAACAGGAGAGAAATGCCTACATGAGTGTGAAATAGGCAAATATGAGGGAGCTAACATGTTAATAACGTGTTAATAACATACATATTATTAATGTATTATTAACTTGTAAGTTCTATACGCATATGTATAGATATTTATTTAGTTGTAGCATACTCCGCACAGCTTTGAATATCTTAAAGAAAACAAAAGACTTTAATTTAAGGTGAAAAAAGGTGGGAGATCGTTGGGGGCGGACGAATAGAATAATTCATTAATAATTCATTATTAACTCATTAATCCACTTTCCCGCAGCCCTTACTTCCGCAGCCCCACCCCCATCCAGTCTATACATTGTATACAATATACCCCGTACTCTTCAGGCATTTGGGACCGTCTTGGTATTGACATTGCGATTGCTATTGCGACCGGTGTTGCGATTGATGACCGAAGGAGTGGTTGACGGGGCTGGATCGGGGCCGAGTCAAAGAGAGAATTGTACCAAGCTAAACATTCTGTCGATTAGGTGTGTATTTGAAGAGTCAGACTACCCAGCTTACCTCGAACTTTCTCCTGTTCAATGTAACTAATCCGACCCAAGACACGCTCGGCAACTTTCAGGTCTTCACTGTGACGGCCAACATGCTTCCGCAAGTTTCCAGTCAGGTAAGGATGCTAAGAACAGTAAGCTAATCCTTCCAAGCTTTATAACAGACTGGCGTGCATTAATTAAGAGCTTAGGGAATGGTATTCTCACCTCGCTGGCAGTGCACCCTGGATGACGACAATATTGCTCGCCAACCTGGATAATCACATGGTTGTTCTCATCCTATATTGTATATGTTCTTCGTCAGCCTTTTATATACTTCTGCTATATGACTCCACTTAACAAGGCAACTTGGAAACCACAGACCCTTTCATATTCCGGCATCACAAGTTCCCCAGAAGCAACTTCACGAAACGTAACGGAGATAAGCAGGGTGCTTAGCTAGAAAGGTAGGAGCAGCCATGATCAAAGTGAAATAGAGCCAAGATAGTGAGCCGAAAAATCCAAAGAAATTCCCTTTGAAGGATGCGAGAGTTCGATGGATAGACCAAAATCTCGCTGGCCTAAAAACCTGTGGATCTACAATGGTCTGTATAAGACAGGGTCACGTGCATGGATCAAATCAGTCGCGCTTCGACTGCCAAACACGCGTCCAGCCTCATAATTATTTTGGGAAGACACCGGCCTTCCCTATAATTTAATCCATGGGTATTGTTAGAATACCATACTGCTGCTTCTCACTGTATCTGTGCTCGTTCTGGCCATGATTCTGTTCTGTGATGTCTATCATCCATGAAGACAACCTGCCCCCCAGGGTTCTTACGCCTGGGTCCAACATGGTATCATGAGATTCCTTTTTTGCCCCATGGATGGGAGACAACCAATGTTAGGGGATCTGGGTCACTCAAGCATGCAGCAATGAAAGCACTACTGCGGGACCAGTCGGCACTGAAACCTGAGTTATTTGAATACGTCCACTGGTATCTGGCGGAATATCTTTGGGATTGCCTGAAAAGGTGGTATGTAATATTGGAAGCTTTTTAAACTCTCTTAGCAGATTCTCGAGTTTGTCCGTTCAAATCTGACCATCTAAACAGCAACAAGCAGACAATGCACATGTGGAAGATAATGGCCAGCGTTTATCCTGTACAATTCTACAAGGTTAGCCCTTACTACTGCCTCAATGCTGGCTGTCCCAAAAAGCCACCGAGAGACTACATGGGTATTCTCAATAGCGAAGATTTTCGCTGGCGTGCAATCTTGACGATTGCAACCACATACTGCACTGCCACAGACCTGACTACTATACCAAACATCAAGAATCTGGTTGCCCTGGACGTCCACAGTGAGCCATACACGTCGAATAACGCCCGCTGGACCCCGTGGGCGTTAGCAACGACGGTCTCCTCTTGCAAGATGGATTTGTGCGTGGTTGGATTGAATCTGAAGCACTACAGCATCTCCGCGTTCTCAGATTCTACCACCAGCACGAAATGACCGTTGCATCACTGGGAGCTCTGTGTGAACTACCCGAGCTTCAGCTTGTCGTTGCATACGAATGTAAGAAGATCACAGGCGCGATTCAGAAATATGATAAGCCCGCGAATGGCATCCTTCCCATAAAAGGATGGTCTGCCTGCAGGCTCGATTGGTTTTGGGAAAACCACGGAACGTCAAAAACAATTGATGGTAATCTCTTGGCTTTGCATCATGTGTATCAGTCTAGTCTCCAGACATCCGGAGAGGATTCCAGAAGACCATCATCCCTACCAAGGAATCTCCCGATTTTGGAGTTCAAACTACCAACTGTCGACCACAGCAGAAGAGACAGGGTTGTTGTCCGCTCTCGCTATAATGCAAAATCAATTGTGTTGTTTACTCGAGATCCCGTGAAGCAAAAGCTTGATATCAAGAAGCAGCAACGTGCAAGGGAGAAGAAGAGGACCGAGCCACCTGAAAAGGGGGATCGTCCTGCCAAAAGAGCAGTCATGAAAGACAGGGGTACAATGGGCATCTCCGAGACTTTGAATCAGTTCTTTTGATGGATTGTCTATATAGGTTCGTGCGATGGAATAACACTTCCGCGCCATTTTTGAGGCGGCACTCCACCATTATTTCGAATTGTCATTCGGTTAGCAGGCATAAAGTTCGCTACAATGACCACAGAAATGATCAAGTCACCGAGGTCCATCTACAGATTTTCACGTCTCGCCGCAGTCGACAGCCCCGTCTGGGTCTGGGCATCTCGCCTGGGAAATGATAGCGGTGCTACTTTGCAAGTATCTTCATCGTGGATGTGAATGCACACTTCTAGATTATCTTTGGAACAATTGAGGGAGACAATGTGAACACATCGCATTCTAAGAGCTAGTTGTGACTGTTTTGCTGCATCTGTGCCTCATTTCGGTCCGAGAGCATCATTGAGAAAGTATGAGCCGAGTTTCCGACCTGCGTCTCATACGGTCCGTTCCAATTCCAAAGGTTCGAGGCCTATGGTCGCTTCGAACAAGTTTGTTCTATCGAACAGAGCTATTTTCGCTGCCGCTTCCAAAATCACAAGGACTGAGCTTATGATCAAACCGTACGCATACTTCTTCCCATTTTTTTTCTGCCTATCAATTAATCAAAGGGTTACATCCGTGGACAGAACGGAAGGTCTTGGTCTCCTTCTCAATCCGAGCAAGACAGACCTTGATACAGATCTTGCTGTTTATGGCAAGAGCTGGGTGAAAGCTGCCACGGAGGCAGGAACGTAGTGGAGGCAGGAGCAGTTTCAACCCCATCTACGGTCTGACGAATTTTCACCTGGCTTCCTTTACAATCTCAATAAAACCAATCAATGGCCCTGGCATGTTGTTCATCTGATTTGCATGCGTCTATTATGCCATACGTTAGAGATATTTGTATTCTTCGATGGCCCGTTGAATCGTCAGTCTATTCTGCATCAGAGTCAAGGTCCGGTTCAATAACAGGGAATGTCAAAAGCGCAGCGATGCCACCCAGTCCCTCGAGACGCTTTCCACTTTCATGATCCGAGCTGAGAATTCGCACGTCACCACCCTCAACATCGCGGACGCGGTCCACAAGCGCCACCCAGCGTTTACGCTCGGCGACATCCTGTGATCGAAACAAGCGATTCGAAACAATGAGCACGCCGCCTCCTCGGCCGACAGCACCTTGTTCAACCGCGTCCTCAACCTCGCGAGGACCATAGGTTGCTTTGTTGGTCTCCTTGCGTAGTTGTTCTAGGAAGTCGTCCATCAATTTGGTTTCCCGGGCATATTTGGTATCAGCCAGGAGCCTCTTAACTGCGGGTGACTGCAGGACCTCCGATAGGGAATTCGTGTACCCCGATGCGGAGTGTACAACAACAAGGCTAGGAAGAAGTCGTTTGAGTCCAGGAGTCGTTGTTGACGCCTCAGACTGGATGTATTTTTGGAAGCCGGAGGCGACAAACCCGGGCGAGGCGAGGAGCACGGGCCGTACAGCCTCGTTGTTGGCGCCTGAAGTAAGACTGGTATTGAACTCCATTTGTCGAATGAGGGTCTCGAGTGTGACTTTGAAAAACTTGTTCATTCCCTGGCATTATGCGGCATAAGTTCCGAACGCCGTCAATAGAAACAATAACATAATAGTAGAAACTCACTTTATCATGATCCCCTCCTCCCTGCCGTTTCCGTGGTACTGACATCTCGATCTTTTGCTTCAATATCGTCTGGAATTGGCCGATAAAGCAGATATGAGCCAATCCTTCCTGCATAACCACTGCCACAGCCTCTGCACGGCGCTTCCCGCCCTCATCCACAGCATCCTTGAGAGACTCAATTGCGATACTGTCCCACCCGACGCCTTCTCCACCTGCCCCAATCTCTTTCTCTAACGTGAAATTGCGATTCAACTCTAGATCGAGAGTATGGAACTGTCCAATCTTTGTGTGCGGTGTTTCATTGATGATTTGTCCCGATACATGAAGCTGAGAGCTCTGCGGGTCAAAGTCGAGATTCTTCACGCGAATTACGAGGTTCAGGTGAACGCGCGCCGAGCTCGTGGACCCGGTATCTTGAACTGTGGTAACTCGACGAATTGCGCTGGCTCGAAGGATATCATCTGGTCGGATCAGGTTGTATGCGTGCCACTAGATTTCGAATTGTATATTAGACGAATGCGGGGTGCTGATACGATAAAATGAAGGCCTCAATACCATGTCTTCTGGCTCTTCTGGGCACAACGTCACCGCCCCGGAGCCATTGTGCTCAATTTTATTCTTGATACAGCGCATTCTTGCGGTGATATTTCACGGTTATAGGTCAAGGGCTTGTGAAGGTAAAATGCGACGAAGGCAGGTTGGACGATGTTATTGCGATGTCGTCATATGTTGACCAAAAAATGCGCAAATTGGAAGAACAATAGGTTGTATGAAAGCAGATCAAAGCTTCACGATCTTTGGAATGCTCCTGTAAAAAGAGATATTCGAGCAAATCAGCCTAAGAAAAGGCCGTCGACGATGTTAAACTTGCCAAACACAACCCCACTAGAGGATACTGCCGGTAATTTCCGCCCAACAGTCCTGGGAGAATATCACCTGCTCTGCTGATGCGCTTATTATGGGTGGTTAATCTTGGTCTCCAATGGATTGTCAGAGAATAGAAAGTTACTGAATATTCCAAGTCTCCAAAATACATAAAATCCAGTATGAACATCACCCTGCGCCGCCATACTCAGAAACATGCCTTATCAATAATACCAAACCCTAATCAGATCAGATTAGGGCACAATTGACGTCAAAGCTTGGAGGCCTGATGGTTTTATCATGGCAAGTTCACTGCGATCTGGATTGGCCTGGAAGGGCATTACCCATAGAATATTTATCTCCTGGTCTAAGTCCCTTATGTCCGTCAAGTTACTCATACGAGCCCCACGTTGCATTGATCAGCCATTGATATAGCCGCATCTAGTCCCCTAAAACGCATATCCCCACTTAGATGGCGTCAAGCTCCAAGAAACCGGCGGAAATTACTGGACCGAGGTGGTCCGTGGATGTCGAACCTTTATCTACTAAGGTAGCCCCCCTCATTTACCTTCTACTTTTCAACCATCAAGACATTCGCACATCATGGCCCCCATTTCGTTGCAGTCTACCTATAAGCTGGTCTCGGGATACGAGATCCCCGTTGTTGGGTTCGGAGTGAGTATCTTGGCCCTTGAAGTTCTGACATGTATGACTGACACTTATCCTGGGAATTAGGTTTACCAAACGTATGACTATCGTTGTATAAAACCCCCGCGACAGATTACGTTGGCTAATTCTTGACCAGTCCCTCGGATGTCACTGAGAAAGTGACCCGCAAGGCCATTGAGCTCGGATACCGCCATGTAAGCAGCCACAGAGCGTATGGAGCAAGTGTTCCTAGGTCTGACCATCCCATCGCAGGTTGACAGCGCCAAAGTCTACGGAAATGAAAAGGAAAGTGCTGCCGCCATCCGTGGGTCTGGGCTTGATCGTTCCAAGATCTTCTACACGAGCAAGGTGCCCTCGAAATGTATGGGATACGAGAAGGCAAAGAAGGCCATCGAGGAAAGTATCGCTGCGGCAAACCTTGGCTACATTGACCTGTATGGACCTCCTCGTTATCCGGAAAACAAAGCTGGTTAGCGAACTAACACATTGGTTGTCAGTATGTTGATCCACGCACCCTACGGCGGTAAGGAGGACCGCCTCGGTACATGGCGCGCACTCGTTGAGGCCCAAAGGGCAGGCCACGTCCGCTCATTGGGTGTGTCCAACTTTGCTATCCAGCACCTCGAGGAGCTGGAAGAATACATCAAGAGCGGAGCGGGTGGACAGATCACTGTCGGTCAGTACGAGATCCACCCGTGGTGCCCACGCGAGGATATTGCGGAGTGGCTACAGAAGCGCAACATCATTGTTGAAGCATACTCTCCCCTCGTGCAAGCGACTCGCATGAAGGAGCCTGTTCTGCAGAACCTGGCTAAGAAGCACGGTAAGACCGAGGCTCAGATTTTGGTCCGCTGGAGCTTGCAGAAGGGATATGTGCCCCTGCCTAAGTCAGTGACCGACTCTCGCATTCTCGAGAACTCGCAGGTCTTTGACTTCACACTGTCGGATGAGGACATGGCCAGCCTGAAGCTCAACACGTACGAGCCCGTGTGCTGGGATCCCGTCCGTGACTGCAAGATCTAAATGACGTCACCAAATTAGTAAAAGCCTAGTGTATGAATTGAATTAAGGAATCAAATTCCAAGCACCCAAAAAACACACTGAATATAGGTCAATAATAGACTTTCCAAGGTTGGGAAGAGTGCAGCCCAATTTGGTAATTTGTTGACTTCCGCGGTCGGCACAACGTATCACCGCCAACCAAAAAAAAGCATCAACACTTCCAACCCTTTCTGGTACAACGCACCACAGCTCTCCATCCCCATGACCGTACAAGCAGCAGGCAGTCGCTGCCACGGTTGCCCCCACTATGCCGGATGAGCCGCGTCGCATCATCTTGGAGAAATCCAAGACCGTTAAACGCCGGTACCAGCGCAGCAACCAGCGATTTCAGTTCACCGCATCGCAGATCGCACGGCTAGATCGCGAAGAGGAGCGAGAAAAGAAAGCGAAGAAGCTACGCGAGAAGGAAAAGAAACGCATTGCCAACAAGAAACGGAAAGCCGAGCAGGAGGCGCAGGCGCGTGAGGAGCGGAAGCGTCGCGGCATTCCAGATCCCAATGCACCCCGCGTCCCGTCGAGTCAGCCGCTGCTGTCAATGTTCCTAGGGGCTGGGAAGCGACAGTCACCTGCTGCACCGGAGCCTGCGCCTACAGTTACGGAGCTCGAATCACATGATAACAATTTGGAAAGCGCGAGTGGAGATACGGAAGCTGAATCGGATGCCTTTGACGATTTGGATGAGGTATTGGAAAAAGACCTATCTGAGCTTCAAGATGCAGGTGTCCCGAAAGAGCTTGAAGGCCAGGATATCGGCACGGCAACCCGGGCTCCATGCAAGGATGATGATGAGTTCTCGGACTGCTCGGCGTTCGACGACGAAGAGATTATGAAAAAGGCCGAGACGGCTGCTACCACGCGAACGACTGACGAAGAAACGAAGAAACCCTCTATACCCAAGGAGTCATCCTATCTACAACCTCCCCCAGCTGTGCTCACGCTAGAATCATCATTCGGCGGATCTTTCCAGTACGACCCCGCTGATTTCCTTGAAGCCGAAGCAGCTATTATCACACAAATGAGTACTCCTGGAACGAAAGACCGTTCTCCACCCAAGGACAGCTCCTTTTTACAACCTCCCTTGTCTGATCGACCGTACAGCAGACCCACATTGGCGTCTTCTTTTGGAGATTCCTTTCGAGATGAGACTGCAGATTGGATTGAAGAAACATTTGCCCACGGAAATGGCGACCCTTTTGACGAACTCAATAAAACGCTCTCTCAATGATCTCATTCGAACCTGCTAAATCGTCTCGGCGGCATTTGCCGCAGGTCAGCTTGGAGTACCTCTGTACATTGTCCTGGAAGTCTTGGCATTATGGTGATCGGATCTGGTCCGACAGTCGGGTGATATCCGCGCACTTCGGATACAACACGACACTCTTTCGGTTCGGGAGACACAAATATTTTGGAGTAGAAGCTGAGGGCTGAATTGTTTCCGACGGAATGACCAGAAACGGTCTGCAGAATTCAGAACACTGTGTATAATTTGTATTATTATTGTAGCCAGAATCTTATCGGGAATGACGTTACCCTTACCATTTGTATAGATCTCCAGAGTTGCCCGCTTCTCTATTCCTTCATTACCCCATTCCCTTATACTTCGTCGTCTTGAATTAATCCCATCCCACTAAACTCACAATCTCATCCGCAATGCCATTCGTCCAAGCAAACAGCCACCGTCTCTACTATGCCGACTCCCACCCCGACGGGCCTCCAACCCCAAACAGCCTGACCTTCTTCTTCATCCACGGCCTGGGCTCTTCACAAAACTACTACTACCCAGTAATCCCGCACCTTACCAAACTCCACCGCTGTATCACACTTGACACATACGGCTCCGCCCGCTCCCCGTACACCGACGAGACAATCACGCTACCGGGCATCGCCGAGGATGTCATTGGCGTGATGGACACGCTGCACATCCAAAAGGCCGTCGTAGTCGGTCATTCAATGGGCGGGATTGTAGTGACAGAGCTAGGCGCGCGGTGCCCGGAGCGCATACAGGGCGTTGTAGCCATTGGGCCGACGCACCCGTCGGATACCTTGGTGACGGTCATGAATAAGAGATCGGAGACTGTTCTTGAATGTAAGTTTTCTTTTATTCTACTCTATCTAACTGTGCAGTTCTGTGTTATAGTGTGCTTTCGAATTTCTATACCAATGTGCTAAATTGTCTGCAGCTGGAATCGAACCTATGGCGAATACCATCCCCTTTGGAGCTGTCGGTTCGCGCAGCACCCCGCTTCAAAAGGCTTTCATCCGGGAGTTGATCCTGGGACAGGATCCTAAGGGTTATGCCGCGCTGTGTCGCGCTATTGCTACAGCGAAGCCGGCAGACTATGCTGCTGTCAAGGCGCCTTTCCTGCTTATTGCGGGTGACGAGGACAAGTCTGCTTCTATGGAGGGGTGCCAGCATATCTTCAATCATATCTCGAGTGAGCAGAAGTCCCTCGAGGTTTTGAAGGGGGTTGGACATTGGCATTGTATTGAGGCTGCTGATGAGGTGGGTGGATTAATTGCCAAGTTCGGGGATGTTCTGAAAGCTGTGAATGCTTGAAAGAGTCTCTATTTAGAAGGGAATAAGAATACGCTAGTAGATTTGTTTGGCTACATTGGTTATTCAATATGTGCAAGGTCGTTATCGTAAAGTACATCAGAAGTCATAGAAATGCTACTTTAGTGCCGTTGCTCGTTCATGCACCATTGGTAGTGGCCTCGAACTTCACTAACTTCACATCGTACTCGAGTTCAAGGGCAGCTTTTGGATCATCCTTGCGCGGCACGAAGTCCACGACAAGCGAGTCCTTGACAGCAAACACAGAGTCGTTGTCAAGGTACTTATCCTTGCGGTCGAAGATCTGCGTCGTCAAAGGACGGTAGTTGTCATACGTAGCCTGGACAAGATATTAGCTTCTGTCTCAACAACAGTATACAACTCAAAAACTTACAATAATGTGAATATGAGCAGGGCGGAAAGGGTGACGATCCATTAGTTCAAGAAGCTTTCCACCAGGGCCGTCGTTAGGAACGGGGTATGGCGTCGGACGCAGACAGTAAAACGAGTATCGGCCATCTTGATCCGTCTTAAACTTGCCGCGCAGGTTGAACTCAACCTGCTCGGGATCCTGCTGCTCATACAACCCATTCGTAGAAGCCTGCCACACCTCAACCGTCGCACCGACAAGAGGCTGCTTGGTCTGGAAGTCCATGACGCGACCGTGCATGAATGTCATCTCCGCATCCGCAGGTTTAGTCTTGACAATGTCCTCTCCGTTCTCGCGGTACGGCGTATCGGCGCGGAAGAACGGGCCCAGGATAGCCGTGGCTGTGGGTGCATCCTGCGCTTCTCCGGCGAGAGTGAAGGTGATTTCGTCGACGAGGCTGTCGTGAATGAATATATGTTAGCTGGTGACCTTTTACTTCCCCGAAAACAAAAGTCAGCTTACGATTCCAGTCCTAGTACATCGCACACCAGCTGTCCCTCGTTCCGCTTGTCGTCGCTCATCCGTCCCGCCCAATTGAGCATCTGCACGCCAGCCATCCATTCGTCGACGGTGAGTTCCTCCTCACGCGCAAAGTCGTGCATGTGTCTGATTAAACCCGCCATGAGCTTCCGCATGCGCGGGGTGGTCTTTGGACCCATTGCGTTGATGACATTGTCTGTGAAGGTGGGATTGAAGCGGTGCGTCGCCATTGTTGCGCGTAAATCACTATACTGTGGTGCAATATGTACGAGCGAGGTGAAAAACAGAAATAAGGAGAGAGGATTTCAACAAGAGGAGAATATGCGATTATAAAAACTGTTATATACCACGGTGATCCGACGGGACCCTTTCAGTCTGTGATCCAACCAGATCTGACCATAAGCATGACGCGTATTTGAGGATGACCCCGCAGAACTATGTGAATGGCATGATTGGGTCTGGAGTGGTCGGATGTGCAGAAAGTGCAGTGACAAGTCGGTTGGGGGGGCTTCGGAAGAGGTTGCGCTTCCGATTTCCCCGCAGTCGGGTAGAGGCCTGGAGAGCTTGGCAGGGAAATTATTTGGGGGGGTTGAGTTTTGATATGTTACCTCAAGAGCAGCCTTCAATACGACGTATAAGTGGCATTTTATATAATTGTAGCCATTGGGATTGGCTATACAGCACTGCGCTAGTTCGGTAGGACCGTATCACCGCAGCCCTATAACTAGCCCTCCAGAGCTGGAGGCTCCGGGGTTACCTACATCCAAGTCTGAAGGAAGGAGAATCATTTGTATTCCAGTGGTCGTCTATGAGCTGAACAACAGACAGGCCGGCTGGATATGGTAATCCCTACAAAGTGTCACACACCACTCATCGCCGGCCTTTGGGATTTCCTTTTTTCGTGAGAGTCTCCGGGAGTTCCTGCAGAACCTCCCCATGCTCCCAGATCTTACCCAGTCCAACCTTGCGCTCCACTACCACATCGAAAAAGTCCAACGTGACGAACTTCTGCGCCTCGCCCTTTCCAGCCCCACCCTTCGTGACAGGTATGCCCTCACTAAGAATGACCCCGTTCTCACTGCGCCAGAACGGTACTCCTGCCTTCAGTGCTTTGCGCACATCGATATAAATCAAAACCTGCGCATCCCGCCGCATGCCCGAGATGACCCGGGAGTCGTCGGGCTTCGATTTACTTTGCGCGGTATCAACAGCGTGGACAGCAAGCACGGACTCTAATGACGGGCCAGTAGCGAAGTGAACATGATTCCGACCCATACAGCGTAGTCCACCGGATTGTAGAATCGCAGGCCAGGTCGCGTGGAACGTGCCGTGGACGACGGTATCGGGTAGTTTCGATTCGTCGGACAAAGAAAGCGGCTCAAGAAATGAGGCAGCGTCTACGGTCTTGATGCTGTGACCTTGGGTCGCGCGAATTAAAAAGTTCGACGGGTCGGTATCTTTCACGGATAATGCTTGGTCGGTGGCTGATTGTTGGGCTTCGCTTGTGGCGGGTGCGGATTCCAGGACGGATGTCTCGGGCTGCTCTTCGCCCACGATAGAGCCGACTTCGAGCTCTGCATCCGGGGATGTTGCTGGTGTTGTTGTTGCTTGGGTTGTGGATTTGGTGGGTTGTGCGGATGGAATGTGGAGGAGGGCGAAGCGCTTTTTATCGGACGAGTCGACGGCGTGTAGGATCTCGGGGAAGGTGACTTTTAGCGATTTGAGTTTCCTCCAATTTAACTGCACATGGGCATAAGTCAGTATATGGCATGTTATGAGAACCACAAAGCTGCATACCACGTCCGACACGCTCGCATAACCCTGCGCATTCATCTTCAGCCCTTCCTTCTCAGCGGCATGTCGCAGAAGCAAGCTTAATGCTTTGGAGACTTGAACATCGCGACTTTGGCCTTGGCCACGTCCCCGCTTATCTTTGTTGTTTTTTGGGTGATCCATCTGAGAGATTTGATGCGGGGAGTTGGGAATGATATTTTGGTGGGGCCAAATGTTAGAAGATGCGGCTCTACAAAGAACGCGCCTGGGCAATGAACTCATACCTTACCTACAAAGATGAGTATCAATTGATACTAATGACATATATTGTAGCTAGCATACCTAGGGTATGCTTTCTATTAATGAAGTAAATGAAGTATGACGTAAATAAAAGGTTTAAGAAACCTGGGCAGATATATTAATTACCTATTTAATCATCAGATAATGCCCATGGCGATTATATAACTATGATAGGGTCTATACTTTTCGAACTAGTTAGAAACATTTCTCCGACAGCCCCCCTGCTTTCCACGCTTGTCGTTTGCTATCTTCTCAATTGAGCGTCGAGGACGACGCTTTCTGGCTTCGAGGGAACCGCCACCCTTATGAACTCATAAGTAAAAGATTTAAAGTAGACTACCTAGGGGACATGAATTGGAAGTATGAGGTCCAAATTGAAAAGCCCAAGAAAGACAAACCAGAGGAGAAAGTACCAAAAAAAATGCCAATCACCTAGCCGGTAGCTCAAGATACATAGATGGATAGTTGCTCAATAATGCTATAATGGCTCTATTGAGATCACCCTCGTCTCCTGCGAGAATAGTGGGGGTATAAATCAGATACAGCTTAGATACATCGCTCACTTCCGCTTCACTAGTTCAAGATCTAATTAACACTTCTTTCTGCAACTCTATTTTTACACCTTTACATTGCTACATCTGCTATTTTCGACTATCTGAACTTTCGCCGCATTGATCTATTTAACATCTACCGCGAATACCAGACCAATACCTTTTACTGATCTGACTTTACTCCTGTCTTCACCTGCCTTCGCAGTTGTACTTCTCTACACTTCATAACGTCTCTCTTTGTCCGTATCTTTTCACCATCTTCGCACTTTTCATATTCCATTTGACACTATTGATTACAAGCAAGGCATCTCGCTGAATTGCCGCGTTGATACTTTATCCCCATTCTTATGTCTCACATTCAGTTTATTGAATCCTATATCTACAACCCAGACTCCTTCATACTTCGAACTTCCGCAAGAACTTGAACTTCTCTTTTGCGGTCCAATTGCCTTCTCTTCTCCGAAGTCAAGTCTATCCTCGTCATTATCACCGGTCAGTCACATATCTACTCATCTGAGCTGTCATTGATCGATTGGAGAACTCTTAACCGCCTTCTGCCTCAATATATCTCCTATGCATCGATATCATTTTGATCGACCAGGTGTACATCTAGTCATTTGAAATCTCAATTAACCGAGAGCAGATCCTCCAACCAGGTTCACAATCTCTCAAGGCCAAGAAAGATGGCCCCAGCAAAGGAAGCCAGAATGGCTTGCACCGTTTCGGGTGAAACAGCCTTCATTAAGCAGCAGGAAATCCTTCGAGATCGCTGCTCAAAAGCCCTCGCGGACCACCTGAAAGCAAATCCTGATGTTGTATGGACACCCAAAGATGGCCGTGGAGAGCGCCTCGGCTCGATGGAAGACGCGGCAAAGCTCAAACTGGTCGTGGATGTCGAATTCGACGAAGAAACCGGACAGCCAATTTTCCCTCCGGGTAACAACAGACTGTCAGATGAGTTAGTTTACCTGATGACCAAGTTCATGAACGCCCGCGACCTGGGACGACGATATCCATATGATTTCGACAAAATGGGAAATATTAACCCTCAACGCGTGCCTTCGGGACCTGCTCCAATTATCTGGGCTCACGGACTGCCCTTCTTCCCAGTATACAAAGGATATTACATCCTCTGTGGACGAGCACACGCTAGCTGCATTGGCTGGTTGCTCCATGAGAGAACGAGCGAGATCATGCAAGCCAATCCGCTCTGGTCTATTGGGGCAGTTGTCGCACCTGACTCTGCCGTGAAAGCTCCTCGTAATATCACTCGTCAGATGACACAGCACAAGCCTTCTGGTTCCGACAAAGACCCGGGTTACAATGGCAAAGCCTGGGCTCGTGATGTTGTGGCTGCTGAGCACCATCTCTGCGCCGTTTTTCCGAGCCTGGACGGTGACGAAATTGAGGTATGCCCGATGTGGAGAGCTTGGGGCTACAATGTTCATTGCGGGCCTATGAGGCGCGGCGTGAAGCCAACAACAATGCCGAAGGTTTTCTTCACGAGCCATGGTATCAAGGATATCGACTATGACTCTCTTGCTAGACCATACGGAAACCAATTGATGGACGAGGATGAAGAGCCAGATGATAAAGCGGATCCAGATGGTGACATTGAGGTTATAGATCGCGCTGGAGAGAGTGGCGAAGTTGCTAGCGGTAGCGATCAACCCATCATGACCCAGTCTGCGTCCCAAATGGATGTAGATATGGACACCGTCAGCTTGATGGAAGTTTCAAAGCAGGTTCCAGTGCAAAGCCCAGGACAATATCAAGAACAGGTGCCAGCAGAGCAGGATGCAGTGCGAGCTCCAGTGCAGGCTCTAGCGGCGGTGGCGGAAAAGATCAAAGATGGAATCAAAGAAAACGTCAAAGAAGAGACCAAAGAAGAGGTCAAAGAAGAGGCCAAAGAAGAGGTCAACGAAGAGGTCAACGAAGGCGCCATGGAGAAGGTCATGGAAGTTCCTATGAAACAGGTCACCGAAGGGACTGCTAAAGATTCCGAAATCCCCCCCCTCGGACCTTGAGGAGAATCAACTTGTTGTTTCCAACAGTACTGTGGACACTGAGCTCGCTATGGCGACGGACATCGGGGATTCGATTGAACAATCCAATGAGAATCCTGTCCCCGAGCAAACCAGCACAGCTCCTGTCCTTTTAGCGGAGACTACGATTCAAGCCACTGCAGGTGTTCAACCTATCGAGGTGCAACTGAAGATCAAGCAGCCTGAAATTGAACAGGCCGTGACTGATACACCTGATGACAACACTCATACTATTGAGCCGCTCAAGGTGGAGCAAATCTCACCCGACCAGCCTGGTACTGAGCAGCTGGATCACACAGCACCTTCAGTCTTGCCTGAGGATTTGAAAGTTGCAGAAGTTCCTACGTCTAACGAGACCGACGCCGACAGGAGCCAAGCACCACCAGAGGTTCCTGTGTAGGATAGAGTGACGGCAAAATTTAAAAGCCAAAAAAAGGGAAAACGGGGACAGAAATGAGATCATGACAGAAGAGAGACGATGTGTCTCAAGGGTCGCTTTTTACTTGTGGAAACTCGAGGTTTCTGGCACTGGGGGTTTGTGCCTTTTATCTTTATGTTTTCCGTTCACGATATGCTTTCTTTGCTTTTTCTTTTTTCTTTTTTCTTTTTTTTCAAGTGACACGCAGTTGATCACTGTTCTTTGCAATCATTACTACAATATCCTTGGAAGTTGGCATTTCTGCCACTTTGGAAAGGATTATCTTCATTTGAGAACTACTTGCTTTATTTGAAAACCTCGTCATTCAGGCTACTACAAGATGCAAGACAATCGGGATCAAAGGGTGGAATCAGGACACATGCCCATATCCATGTCACTCAAGAACAAACACGCAAAAGACCATGTCCTATTCATTCTAATGGCAATAGACAGGAACAACTCCGGAAAGGGGCTTTGAGTACTGGTTTTGGTTATCATACTGCATACCTATCTACTTCTGAGGCGGAACATTCTGCTTTGAGTCTATGAATTGGAAGTAAAGACCACTGGGGACTCCAGTCCTATTGGATTTTGTTGCTAATAGGAATTGGCCATCTACGCAATATCTGACTTATCATAGCCTTATAATTAATTGAATAAACATTCTAGGTATATAGATATTATACATCATAAATCCGTTTGTACGAATTGTGCTTTTCACTCCGTTCTCTCTACAGTTTGCGACTAAAAAGACATCCAAAAAGACATCTAGATAGAACACTCAAAAGCATGTCGGTGTGTTATTACATGTGTATGACTTCTCTGGAGCCCCTCTTTCCGGGGTTTCTTCTGCCTCTTCCTCCTCCCTCCGGCTCTGGCGCGGGTGTGGGCCCCGCCGACCACCCAATTCTCCTCTCCTCTCCGCCTATGGCGCTCGTGTGCCGCGCCCTCCCGCCTTCCGCCAGAACTAAAACCCGGGGACAAGACTCCATCAAACATTTTCTTATGTTCAAGCCATGGAACAGTTGAGGACTACGAGACTTCTTTTTGTGTTTTAATCGATATCATTCCCCCAGGCGTTTCGGCCATATGAAATGAACTTGACTGCTTACCCTTGGGTATTTTCATATCGCTCCTTCATTGTAGTTGTAGAACTTCGTATATATGCATACCATAAATACTTGTATCAGTTACTGAAGCATCTTGAACAGATATTGGTTCACTTGGCTGTATTGTAATAGAATATATAAAATGCTAGTGTGGATATCAAGACAAATAAGACATAAAGCAATTCTGCATCGAACTTGTGAATTGGTTACTCAAAGAAACCACCATCGCTATCATCTTCGTCCTCCGCGTTGGGTTGTTGCGGTGCCTCGTGTTGCTTAGAGGCCTGCTCGTTGCGTGCAGTTTTCTCTTTTTTGCTACTCTTCTTGTCATCTTTAGAAACATGCTTGTCCTTTTGGGTAGCAGCCTTGGTCTCTTTCTTTTGATCTTTCTTCTTGCTCTGCTCCTTCTGGGAGATTGTAGCTGTAGTCGCGCCAGAAGATGAAGACTGGATCTTCTCTCCATTGGCGTTGATGTGCAATTTTCCTTCACGAAGAAGGTCCAGTGTGTTTTCCTCCATACACTTCTCAACGACAGACCACAACGGGGGTTTGGCATCATTGGATTTGGTCTCCTGCTTTTGCAATTCTGACTCTGGATCTGTTGTATCGTGTTTTCCATTGGGGTAGAGTGCAATGTATTTCTCGGTGAGAGGATAATAGATTGTGTAGTTGAGGTTCACACGGCAATTGTGGATCTTTGCCGCAAGACGAGCCTTTTGCTTCGAATCCAGATCTTCTTCTTTCTCACGGCGAGTAAGTCGATTGAGTTCCTTGGTGGCTGTTTTTCGGTCTGTTCAATGGGAAGAAAGTACGTTAGCTAGGACCCAAGGACCATTCAGATTTATCGGCGACATACCAAGGAATCGGACAAAGTGGTATTTCTTAATCAATGACGACCGTTCTCTGCGCGCAGTTTCATCCGCAAGATCTTGCTCATATCCAGCGAGAGCACGTTCCTGCAAGATGCGAGCATCGGCAGGCAAGTCCACTTTGTTGAGTAGGCGCTTCACATCACGGATTCGCTTTTTGAGATCGTTGACCGACGGGTATTCCTTTTCGGGCTTGGGGGCAAATTTGTCCTTGAATTTCCGAGTCACTTTGGGCTTCGCTGCATCGCCTTTGCTGAAGTCCACGAATTGGCCTTGGTCATCTGCTTTGTTTGCCTTGCGGTGCACCTTCTTGCGGGCCGGGGGAACCTCCTCTGACCCATCCCGGGTCTTCCTCTTTGAGGGAGCTGACTGATCAACTTGGTTTCGAGTGTCTGTAGACATGTTTGTTGGTCTAACAGAAAGGAAAGAAAAAAGAGTGTCGAAGCTACAGCAGAAAACGATAAGAAAAAAAGATATCGGCGGATTTATCGGCCCGTCCCCAGATTGGCGCCAACCAATGAGCGTCTTCGTCGATCGCCATCACCGCTGCCCTCTCGCATCGCATCGATTTGATTTACTTCAATTGTCTGCTAATTTGTCTATCTAACAGTTTGAATTTACTTATGTCACTGATTCAATTATTGAATTGAGCTAAATAAAAGGGCCAGCATGGAGTCCGCCATTCGCTGGTCCCCGACATCGTCGGCCACTGAACAACGCTTCCTGTCGGTCGACGTCACGGGAAAATCATTTCGTCTGTGTAGGGTGACTGGTTTTGATGGTAACTATATACGCCACGAAGTGCTCTCCACCCTGACCAATGTGCCTGGTTTCCGCGCATTCGACTGGTCTACTTCAAATGAGAACCTGATCGCCGTGGGCCAGTCATCTGGGGAGGCCACTATCCTACGCCTCGATGGGGATGCCAAGGAGTCTCTTTCATTCCCAGTCCGCAACCAACGTTACTGCAATGCGGTTGCGTTTAGTGCACACGGTCTTGTGGCATCGGGCCTCGATCGCGTTCGAAATGACTTTTGCTTGAACATCTGGGATGTCAATCAACGACTAAGTCCTGCTGGTGGAAGTAGAGGATTTACCGAGCCCTTGCGAAAGCTAGCCAGCTCAGAGCCTATCACCAGTATCAAGTTCTTCCGAGACCAGCCTGATACGATCGTAACTGGTGTCAAAGGCCAGTTTGTTCGTATCTATGATTTAAGAGGTTTGTCTTTCCTAGCTTATATCCACAAAAGCATGACTAATTTTGTGACAGAGGGACCTGGCAATCCATCATTGCAATTTCCCACTCGATGTGTCCATAATCTGGCTATTGATTGGCTTGATGAGAACTACATTGCGTCTTGTATTCCATCAAATGAAAGCACCATCTGCGTGTGGGACCGGCGCGTTGGATCTCGACTGACATCTCCATCAATGGGGTCTTCTGCCAGCGTTGCAGACTCAGGGCAAGCAACGCCTGCTTTGGAACTCAAAAATGTTTTCCATCCGAAGTCCTCCATTTGGAGCTTGCGCTTCTCAAGGACGAACCGAGGAAGCCTCGCTGCGCTCTCCAGCAACGGTCATTTCAAGAATTACGACATTGCTAAAGACTACTTGCCGGAGGAGTATCGCTCTTCGATAGATGAGACTCTTGGTCAGGGATCTTCGAGAAATTACCCAGAATCGGTATACACCAAGCATGTGCGGGACGTATGCGTACCCTTTGATAATCCGACTCGCAGCTACAAAGAAAAAGACCGAGTTGTCTGTTTCGATTCCCTCAATCTTAGCTTGTCACCTCAACCAAGTGCGATCGCACTCGACGGCAATGGGCAGCCCCAGATCATCACCGCGCGACCGCCGTGCGCACCGGTTGATCTATCTTCACGGAGTGTACTAGCCTGCGGCATCTCATCGAGTGACTCAGACGTGCGATCGATTCACCCACTGTCTGAGCACATTTCACCCATCTCAGACCTGATCGGGAACATCAGATCACGCGTCTGCTCGACTTCTCAAGAGCATGGGGCCAACTCAAATGGTCAGCTGTTCGTGTCGAAGAATCTTGATTTCGAGCCTGTCCCAAGCCACGAGAACCGGGAGCGTGCCATGGCTCTCGGGGTCATGGGTGTTCCGCTTACTGCGAAAGAAGCGCTCACTCTATGCACAATTAATCAGTCGAGGTGCAAAGAGGGTTATCTGTTCGATGAGGCTCGAAACCGACAGGTGGCCTCTGATGATCAAGCTCTACAAGATTTCTGGGGCTGGGTTGAACGTGAGTTTTTCACTTTTTATAGGGATCGTAACCACATATCTAATACATTTCTAGGTGCTCGAACTGAGTCTTCTGGGACGTCAATGGTTGTCAATGGCTTGGACCTGAATTATCTAGGTGTGAGCAATGTCTGGAATAATGACCTAGGTTTGTTTGTTCACGCGGTTCTCAATCTTTCTAAAACTGACCAAGAACAGGCAAAGGTTTCGAGCAACGTTGTATCAGTGCTAAAAAGGATGATGCTAAAACAGTTGCGGATGCAGTGGCAACTTTGGCAACTCAGCTAAACCTCCCCGAGACAAAAGGTTGTGATACGGCTTACCCCGATCATCGCCGACTCTGCCTTCGTCTCTGTGGTGCAACGCAATCTTACCGTGAGCTGGAGGAATCAGTGAAGAATTTATCTAGCGAAGACCAGCATACTAAAGCTGCTGCATTGGCTGTTTTCCAGGATGAACCTAAGCTGGCTTACCTCGGGCTTCGAAGCAACAACCCCACCCAAGCTCATAAGTTATTGGCCATGGCGATCGCCGGTGCCTCCAAGGGGGACAATGGCACAGACTGGGAGGATACCTGTGCAGAAATCGCCAAGGAGCTCACTGATCCATACGCTCGGGCAATCCTAGCCCTTGTGAGCAAAGGCGACTGGAACGCAGTCATCAAGGAAACCACATTGCCTCTGAAGTATCGTGTAGAGGTCGCGCTACGCTGGCTTCCAGATGACGAACTAACTGAATATCTGAAGGATGCTACAAGCCAAGCAATCCGTCAAGGCGATATTGAAGGAGTTGTGCTCACAGGGTTGGGTCATCTGGCCATGGGTCTGTTCCAATCGTATATTGGGAAATTCAATGATGTCCAAACACCCGTGCTAGCAATGAGCCATACCGTGCCACGGCTGATTAGCAACCAAAAACACATTGTCCAGTTCGAAGCCTGGCGCGAGACCTACCGGCGACAAATGAACTCCTGGAAACTCCAACTCGAGCGAGCCCGATTCGACGTTGGTTCCCGTCGTTTCGCGGTGACTGCAGACGGTCGCAAACTCATGCCGCCACCGCCGCAGCAAGTTAGCCTCACCTGTAACTACTGCACGAATCCGCTCACCCAGCACGACGCTTCCTCCCAGGCCTCTCCGTCTACCAAGAGTGCGGAACATGTTCATCCCACCACGGGCAACCCACTGGCACCCACCGTCATGTCTGGGACTGTGTGTCCACGGTGCGGTCGACATATGCCGCGCTGCGGCGTGTGCACCTTGTGGCTCGGCTCGCCAGACCCAATGTCACGCGCTAGCATTGCAGCCGACGCAGAGGCGGGTTCGCGCAAACTCACTGAGACTGAGGTGATGCGGCGGTTTGTAGTGTTTTGTATCCATTGCAACCATGGATTCCATGCAAATCACGCGAGCGACTGGTTTAGGCGGCATAAGATCTGTCCAGTGGCAGAGTGCAACTGCATCTGTGATCGGTGATGGTCTTGCTGGTTTGCATTGCCTTTCTGAGCCATGGACTAGATCTTCGGCTTGTCTTTCTGCGATATTCTATACCCAATACGATTTATGTAAGAAAAATGATAAAGGAGTATGCGATTCCCTTGGTGCGGTTCTTTTTCTAAAAGATGTAGATGGTAGTTGTGCGTCAGGTCGACGTAAGGATCGCCTGGATCCGTGAGTGACAAGTCTGTATAGTCTCTGCTGAAACATGAAAGTCTTTACCCTGCGACGGATTATAGGGGTCTCATGATCACAGGCATCATCGAGATCTTCCTTAATCCGTACATGACAGAAGGAAATTAGAAAAGAATGATCGAGTTCTTTGATCTCAGATATGTTCACAGTAATCTTCAAGGATTTGACCGAAGGGAGCGAGGTCGGGAAAAGAAACCTTTGAAACAACCTTGGCAGGATGACTGAAGTCCGAAGTCGCTTAGAAAAGAGTCTTTTACATCGTCAAGGATAGCGGCCGGATGAGGAGCCGGAATGCCCACATAGATCTATCAGCCTAGGGGATATGAATTGGAAATAAAGTGCCACAAAAGCAGCCGGAAAGGCGACATGAACTTCAAATTGGAAAGGACTAGAGGGAGCAAAGAACTAAAAACGCCAATCATCTCGCCGCTTAACACTTCTAGATACGTATGCTAGAGCTAACATCTCGATTTGGTGGAAGATGTGAACGTAAAAAAGCTCACAGAACAGCGCCGGAGTTAAACTGAGAGAGCAGAATACGGATAGATGTGACGGTAGGTGGTAGACAGAAATAGAGAGAGATAGAGATAGAGATAGAGATAGGGATAGAGATAGAGAGAGGAAGAGAGGGATAGAGAAAGGGCCAGAAAAGACAAGTCAAACACGAAAGAAAGTGTGTTGTATTGGGGATTGTTGTCCCAGAAAGAAAATCATATCAAGCGTGATTCATAGCAAATTGAGAATGACCATTAGGTATGATCTTCCATATCAAATGGACATCCATTTGAGACGCCAGCGATCCTGCGCCAGCAGAGTCGAGCAGCATCTTGCGTCTAGCTCGAACATCAGGTGTTCTCAGAACAACTGAAAGAAAACAGCCGCAGCAACAACTCAAGAGGCATCTACCTCACATGACAACGCAGCTGCTACCACTCTGGGCTCGCCTGCGTCTTCCGCCAAGGGCAGAGATAGAACCTACGCCATAACCATCGTTCTCGTCTTCGTCTTCATTGTACAGACGCTCCGCTTCACGGGCACGACGTCGGCGTCGACGAGCACCAGCACCAGCGGCGCCAGCTTCCTCAGTGGCGATCATGTATTCGGCCCATTTCCGGTCCAGCCGGGATGCAGCGGCGAGATCGCCGCGCAGGATACGCTTTGTGTGTTCATCGACGGTCATCTGCCAGCCGTAGAAACACTTAAGCTGGATGACTTCATTGGGATAGGTTGGTGCTGGGGACGGCGAAGGTGAGGAGGCTGGAGTGACGAATGTACTTGTCTCCGGGGAGGAGCCAGCGTCGGATGTTTGTGTCACTGTCACCACTGTTGAAACGGGTTTGCGGGAGGCGCGCGGGATGTATGCGTTGCTGGAAAGGACTTCCCTGACCCCTGCCCAGGTGACGTTGGCACAGTCGAATATCATAAGGCGCAGTCCGACTTTGGGGAGTTCGTCGCTGTACCCACGGCGGCGGATGCGGAAGCTGGCTTCCATCAGGGTCAGGTCTGATACTCTGGTGTTGTCCATTTCGACGGATCGGAGTTTTCGGGCAGTTCTTCATTACTCGGAGCATTCCCGTGTCGCTGAGACTCTCACAGTAGCTGATGTTCAAGTGTTCCAGGTTTTGGGCACATGGAGATTCAGCTAGCTGCACCAATGTAATGTTTGTCAAGTTCTCCAAATCCTCCAGTTCCAGATGGGACAGTTTTGGCGTCGTGCTAATGACGTTCATGACAGATTCATCGGTCAGATCGGAGCACTGAGAAATTTGTAGGCCTTCCAGTTCTGGAACGTTATGGGCCAAGCTTTTCAATCCATCGTCGCTCACTTCAGGGCAATGGTGAAGGTCCAAATGACGGAATCTTCGAGGTGGGACAATGGGCCGATCGGTCAGAATATCCATATTGGGGTTCTCACCATGGATCAGCATCTTCAGGCTGTTATCGGTCAGGTCGGTACGACTCATGATCAAGCGATCCAAGGTATTGCGCTCGAACAAAGCCAAAGTGAATTTCTCATCCTTAAACCCACGGATCTCGCTGGCCCGAAGATCTTTCAGTCGCTCACAGGACTTGACAATCCGGAGAAGACCGGTGGTGTCGACATGATTACACCAAGAAACATTCAATGTCTCAAGTTGCGGGCAGGACCGCGCAATGACCTTCATGGCGGAGTTGGTGACACTCGTCAGACCCGACAGATTGATGTATTCCAAACGGGAATTACGAAGGAGAAAAGAGTAGATGGATGCCTTGTCGATACGACAACCCTCGAGCGAGAATTTGACAACATTCCGGCACAGGTCGGAGATGCGTTCTCCATCCGTGGACCATTTCTCGCGCATCTGAACGCAGCCTCTGAGATTGAGGTCTCGGACAAACGGACCACCAGAAGTGATAAGCTTGACCAACACATCGCTTGGGATCTTAGAGTAGTACTCGGTTGTATCAACCTTGGACCATAATTGTCCGTCGTAGCACATCTCATTCCACGTCTTGGACACAGAGGAGCAGCAGACGATTTCTTGCGGGGTGAGGTACTGGAAGATTTCTATTTTAAGCTCCTGTGGCATATCGCCCCAGAAATCAAGAGTTTTGGCCGGCTGCGATTCTGGAAGGACGACCTCCTTCTCCACCTTCACTCCCACCGGAGTTGCAGTGCGCGGCGATCCACGCGATGCTGGCCGCACATCGAAGGGCAAAGGTACGGTGCGAGGCGTAGTGAAACCAGGGCCATCGGTGTCCATCAAACGGATACGAGCGTTTGTGCCCTGGGGTTCACCGGGAGAACTAGAACAACCGGGAGTCGCAGGCCGAGGATTGAGGCCGCCATAGAGCTGGGAGGAACTTCCATTGCCTAGACAGGGCGAGTAGGAAGTCGACGATAACGAAACACAAGAGAGAGACGCCTTATTGTCCCGGCGGTAGCTAGTAGTTGATGAGGAACGCCCGCGTCTGGTCAGTGTTGGGCTGGACGACATCCGTTGGAGACTCTGCAGTAACTTCTGACGACCCTTGAGTTTCGGCGGTTGCTCCAATGGGATCTGGCCAGCCGAATTGGTCGGACTGTTCGGAGAGATATTTCCTGGAGAGGGCAGGATCTCATCGGATACCTGGGAGGCCATTTTTGCGACTTGATTCAGTTTGTAGCACCTATTTCCTGGCCCACTACTATCTTGTCACGTCTTCCGGGGGAGTCGGCACGGTACGGAGTATCACGCGAGGGAGAATAACGAGGGAGGACAGTGGAAACGGATATAGCGACGGGCGCAGTCACCGGAAGCTCTTAGATGAGCATAGTGCTAGAACTCAGCGATGACCGTCTTTTGGGTATTGATCAGCACTTTGAAGAAGGGAGGTACATAGAGAGGAGCAGAGGGAGGGAAATGACCGAATGTGGGGAAAATCACGTTGACCGTTATTGTTCTACTCGGGGACCACAGTTGAAGAACCGTGGAACAGGTTTCGGCAAAGATGCCGTACAGAAAACCGAGAGAACCGAAAGAGCCGAGTAGCAGATACAGAGGATGGGGGAAGGTGAGAAAGGGAGAGAAAGATAAAGAGAAACAAGAAATGGCGGAATGCAGAGCGGAAGGGAATGCGATACATCTGCTAAACCTGGGGCTGGCCCAACCATCACATAGCAGACGTTGTACTACGCAAGTACTCCAGGGCTACGTTATCTGCTTATCGCTCCCCACCTATTCGTACTAGGCACCGGTATATACATGCGTCTACTAGTAAATGCCGTTTTCTTAGTATTTCCAAGGTTTCTCTCCGCTTCTTGGGTAACGCTGGAGTATATTGTACAATATACTCTGGTTTCCATGTACGAGACAATGTCCTAGCACAGACCGTCTGATGTGAGACCACCTGGGCAAAGCCCTCGGCTGACGAAAACAGAAGAACAAACACGCCCAGAACCCACTCAAGGCACCGATCCAGGGACACCCCCGAGGCGAGTTCCTGAGAGGCAAGTCAGATTCATTTTCGCCTCTTTTGGACTGCCCAGGTGCCCAGTTGTTTTCGCTGGTGGGGCATGTGCGGGGGGGAATACACTAACCCGTGGTACGATGGCAAATAAACCATGGAATGGAACATGCCACATCCAACCATGGATGTCTTTTTATGGTTAATTTTAATTTTTATCCTTTTTGTTTCTCTGGTGGGTTTCTGTGAGACAACAGAACCCCCAATTACATTGAAGAGGTCCAACTTCTTAACATTGGCATATAAAGTGGAGATTCGCCCCATAGTGATGCGGACTAAGCCACACTAGACTGGGTTTTGCCAAGGACTACACCACTGGAACGTACGCTAAATGTTCCCCCGCAATCCAATCAAAGCCGTACTCCGTTGTATGTAAGTCTGCCCTCTTGGGTCTCTAGGTCACATAAAGAGATATGCAAAGGTATCGCAAAAAGCTTAATAAACCCCAGATAAAAAAATAGACAAATCATGCGTTGATGTTCATCATCACCCATCAACGAGAAGAATAGACACTTGCTCCACACCCGAAATGATACCCAGTTGCCCGAAAATTTTTGCATCCATCATCAAAACGTAATCAACTTTGTGGGGTATCGCGTTATTTTTGTTATTTTTGGTTAATTTTCTTTCAGTAGGTAAAAGGGGAGGGTGAAGGAAGAGTTGTACGAGAAAGGTTTCAAGCCCCCACCATCCAGGGGTGTTCAAGCACTTCAGTAATTGTGAGTCGGTTGTCAACGTCGCGATCGAGCATTGTACGAATGAGGTCAATGCAATCTTCCGAGAAAGGAAGGAAGGGGATTCGGAGGGGGTGGTCGAGGATCTCATCGACGTTGTAGAAGGGGTTCTCTTTGTAGACAATTGTGTAAAGGAGGATTCCCAGGGCCCAGATGTCCTGTTCCTTGCCTCGATACGACCTGCCCTGTAAAACTTCGGGCGCAGCATAATCTAACACATCTAGTCAGCACCTTGAACCCCCTATCGGTCAAAGAGAGAAAGGAAACTTACCAATCGTTCCCACAAAGACATCAAACGGGCCGTTTTTGATGTAGGCCGCACTCCCAAAGTCGATCAGCTTGATCCGTCCCTCTCCATCAAGAACCACATTCTCATCCTTGATGTCACGATGTACCACCAGTGCTTTGGTGTGTAAATGATTAACGGCGCTCGCAACCTGTTTGAAGATGTTTCGACACTCCGACTCGTCCATGTTGGCCTTGAGCTCAATATAATCGAACAGGTCCATTCCCGGAAGCCCATGGGGAGTCATTTCGATGTAATAGTTGATATCATCTTCGAAGAAGCCTTCCATCTCCACAATGTTAGGGTGCTTGAGCCCATCCCGCCGTAGGAAGTCTAGAACATGGATCTCCAGTGGCACAGTACCGAGTCGCCGATCACGAGTCCACGTATCCACCAGGATCCGCTTCTTGGTGACAAATTTCAATACCATCTTCTTGTTGGGCTGCTTCTTTAAACGTGCCAATTTGACTTGGCCGTAGGCTCCTTGTCCCATCTCCTCGAGAATCACGTAGTCATTGATCGTTCGTTTGGCCGGAGGGTCATTTTTCGCATTGGCAGCCGAAACCGGAGGAACAGGCTGCGCGGGACGGGCGGTAAGAGGCTCAGAGGCCGCCTCACTGAGTCGCTGACTGAGTGTTGATGTCGGGGTCTGGATCTCCACAGAAGCCTTGCTACTTTCCGCGGTCTGGATACCAGCGCTGACGTCTGATGGGCGATCGGAATCCGGATCATGCGTGGGCGAGGTAGGCTTAGAACTTGGTACAGATGATGGCGAGAGACCAGCAGCGGGCCCAGCAGCGTGGAGCTGTCTTGAGTACGTTATCCATAAAGCATAGACCAGCTCCGTGACTGCAACGGTATCATCACTGTCATCGGAATCGCTGCTGCGATCGCTGCTTTTCTCTGCCTTATCCTTTGAGAACAAGGTGCCGCTCTTAACCACGCGCAGTTGAATGTCCACAACAATGGTCGAGCCGTCCCGATGTTTCGCAAGCAAGCCACTTGGCTCCGTAAACACAGATGCGGCATTTGCCTTTCCATCGCGGAGGATAGAAAGTGTCCGTGCTCGTCGGAAGCTGTGTTCGGGTATGACAATACCATCGACCAGTGGCACATTGTCCTCCTCGGTCAAAACGTCTAGAATCTCATCGAAATCAGGTACAAGTTGGGTGATGTGAAGTCCCTCCGGTCTTTCTTGACCGAATAGGACCGAAGAAAACACAGAGTTGGAGCTGATCACGTTCAATGATGAGGATGAGAGCACCATCATGCCTGCGACATGAGGAAAGCTGGAGACCTGCAGAGTGCGATGACCTTCTCCTTTGCCGACAGCAACAGGAATACAGACGCCAGCCGTGGTGCGGGCGGCGAAGTGCTTCAGCTCCACGATTTTATCCAGTCCCTTCTCTAGGGAAGTCTCGAGAGAATCCGATGGCAAACAGGGTAAAAGGTCGGTGATCGACTGGCCTTTTTGGACGACAGATGGGCCCCAGATCTTTTCGACTGCACCTTTGGAACTCACGACGTTCCATGAATCGTCGCACTGTATGGTGGCAACATTCTCTGTGATCTCTTCCAGGACCCAGATCAGGCCACCACGCTTTTCCATAACCCAGACGCTAGCGGATCCTCGTGACCCGTTGCGCTTCTGAATTGGGACCACATCACCGCACAGCAAGACTCCGCGTGACTTATTGGCCGGATGGTTGTTGTTTCGGGTGTTTCTCGTGCTGGAGCCATATCCATCATCAGTCTGCGCTCTCCGAGACTTTTCTCGTGACGATGGTTTGCTGAGAAGCTGTGCTGTAACTCCATTGCCAAGACCTCGGAACTTGGGATTGACAGCGGAGATGTTAGCTCTTTCAGGCTGGAGTGGCATGCGGGCAGCGGCATCAGTGCTGGGATCTCGAAGTTTAGCCTTGAGCCATTCCCGGTGTTCCTTCTGTACAACCTCCAGGATGCTGAGACGGCGAACTTCGGATTGAAGGACCCCAAAGATGAGACATGACAGATCATTGGCGGCCAGAATGGTCCATGGTTCCTTGGCTTCGGTCCTGAACACGGCCTGGGAAGCCGGGGTCCATTTGTTGCTATGGGCGTGAGGGGCGGGGATCTGGAATCCCAATCCAGCTGTTGAGGAGTTAAGTGAGGCGAAAGGATCCGCGGAAGAGGTGTAAGGTTGTGCTAGAGTTTCCATCAGCTTGCTCCTGACAGAGACAGAGCATAGGTCCGTGTATGTACGTTTTAAGCTTACGCGCCTGGACGTAGGTGCAGAGACCAGGTCCCGCCTTTGGTTGGAGATACTATCGCTGGGCACCGGGCTCAACAATTGGGAGCCGTCAGAGGGATGTGACCCCGAGGGAATGGAATCCTGGACGCCACCTCGGGTGCTGGCCGGAGAGGAATCGGCATCCGAGAAGGCCTTCTCAAAGATATTGTCGCCATTAATCTCTGCGGGTCCTGTGATGGGTCCCCGGCCTTGGATTTGGTTTTCCTGGGTTTCAAGCATATTTGCTCGGGCCAAAAGCTCCATCACACCTTGCATCTCCGTATCCCCACTGGCGTTTGCTTGTGCGTTGGCGATCGCGGCATTGCTTGCGGCCCATCCCATCCGGTCGCGCATGAAATCAATAGACCTCTTGAGAATGTTTTGGCGGCTGTGGAGAAATTCCTCGGATTGTTGGGCAAAGGAGAAGGAGTGTAGCGATTCCAGGGGAAACCGGTGCAGGTCTTCTAGATCTGTGAAACTTCGGTTCGACAAGTGACCGGTGTGCGCTCGAGATGATGAGCGAGAGCGGGGAGAGGGAACGGGACGCTGGCTAGGTATGGGACCTAGCGATAGCGAGGAGGTAGACATGTTTGGAAGGGTCAGTACTCGCGAAGGTTGGTTGTGGCGTATACGATCCAGCCCAGATGGACCGATTCCATGGTCATTCTCGAATAACGGAGACCTGTTGAGAGACGGAAAGTGTCAACGTTGTATTAAGAAGTCGAAAGGATATCGTTGCTGACCTGGAAAGAGGGTCATATCCTGAAGAGACACTCCCCGCGGAGCTCCTGAGGCGATCTGTCTGTAAAGAAAGGTGGTGCAGTCCGGACTCGGATTCGGGCGACTCAGAGAGGGGTCCTAACGGCGACGAAAGAGGACTCGGCTCGCCTAAGTCTTGATCAGCGAGATTCACCTAGCTTATTATCAACCCAATCGGCGCGTCTCAAGGTTTCCATTTCACAGGCCTTCCGAGGAAATGTGATGCTTCCAAATGATCAAACAGTTGATCTCCGCGGTCAGATGCATACCCGGGCATGTGCTGGCGGGTGGCTGTGATCGCCTGGGAGAAAATTGATTCGCGCCCTGGTTGCTCCCCGAGCCCTTCTTTTCGGAGTGCTCGATGAGTTGTAAGCTCAATCCGAGTGAGATGACCTGATTCTTTACTTCTCACCTCCACTAGTTCCCCAAGGCCCATGAAATGTGAAACAAAGACTAAATGATCAACATAAAAAAAGCATGTGCGCATGACTGACCATCATGGTTGTAAGCCGACCCCATCCCCGAGGTCTCTCTTCTCTCTCTTTTATCTCTCTTTTGTCTCTCTCTTTTTTTCTTTGGTTTTTTGGATGTTATCCTCGGGTTCGAATTCAGATGATCAGATGGGAAACAAAGAAAAAGTACGAGGCTCAATCGAAGCGAGCACTCGTGAATGTATGGAGGGTACGCGACATGTATGGGGCCGGTCATTCGCAACTGTAACGGGGGTTGGGCGGGCAGCTGCCTCGTAGGGTCTCAGGCGGCATATGTGGCGTCGCGGCTGGGCAAGAAGTGAAGGACAAGATGAATGCAAAATGCTTTCAAGGGGGAAAAAAAGGAAAAAGAACAGCGGGGAAGAGAGAGTGGGGAGAGGAAAATGCCAAATGCGAGGAAAAGGGAACTGGGTCTCCCTCTGATGTAATAGCTCAGTTGTGCCCGTATTTTATATGGTTTTGGATATTTCCAATCTTTATATATCGAACAGCCATTTCTCCTTCAAAAAAGAAGAGTACTAAAAATAAAATAGAATAAACATTTTCCCTTGAACAGATGATTTGCCTTGGTTAGATCGGCTGATCGACATGTTTCTATCCCATGTGGCGGAGAATTTTACCACTGAGGACTCGTCCACGGATAGAATCAGCCATGGAGATCTATACCTATACACCTGGGCATATATGTAGAGATAAAATTCATATATATCTCAAAATATCTCAAATAGAACCAAGTACCAAGCTACCACTCTAATACTTGAAGATAATTACCCCGCTCCGCCAATGCAGTATGTCACGGCCAAGTTATTTTCCCATCGGAGAGACTCGAGATGATGCAAAGTGGCTTTGTCGATAGATCCGAGCGCGTTGAAATGTGGAACTTTGACCCCCTGGGTTATTTACTTTCTTGGAAAAAGTTAAGATTGGTTCACGGCGTAAATCGAGACAGAAAATGATATAGAAAATTAGATTCTGCCAAATAGGCGCCTCCCCTTGTAACAGTGTCTGTACCCGGTTTCTGTACAGGTAATATAATAATGCAGCCTAGCAGAAGATAAGAAGTGGGACTAGCTTCGACCCAGAGTATATGTATCTCCAGTGCATACGCAAGCAGTGACATTGACCGGGAGATCTCATAGTGGGCCGGTTCCTGACAGAGGGTCCCGAGACCCCCGAAGGCTGTACAGAGCCAGTTCACTATGCTCAGAATCGGGCCCTGGATTGTCATCTCCGCTCAGACCGAATAAGGCATTGGGTTTGGGCTTCCCCCGGGTTTGGTCAAGATGTCGAGTCTGCTCCGGCGGCGGCGACGTCGAGCTAACAAAGCCCGACAGGTTCCGACCACCGCCAAGCATCCATGAGAATCCCGAATCCGTCATAGAAGGTCGCACAGTTGGTCGCGAGCGTATTGCCCGTGCATTCTCCTTCCTGTCACTGTTCGTCCGACTTGCCGTGTCCAGGGTAGAATTGGTTCCACTCTCGGCTTTCGGCCCGGTCGTATCCGCTTTGACGGGATTTATTGTTCGGGATTGACCCTCGTTCGCCACAATCTTGTCTTCTTCCTTGCCCATCGTTGAGGCAACTGTCTCTTGTAACTCGTCCAGTTGGTTCAATTCACCGTCTACACGGGGATCAAGGGGAGGATCTACTGGTATGGAAGAGTCTCCGAGGCAGACCTGGACACTCTCGGCTTTGACCAGAGCCTGCTTCACTGCGCTGTTCGTATCAGAACCGAGGTCCTTGATATTCGCCAGCTGCGAACCAAGATCATCCAGTGCCTCCCGTAACATCGTCGCCAAAGCCTGGTTCCTTTTCTCGAGTACATTGATCCTCGTTTCCAGCCTGGCCGACGCCACTGTAGACGCCATGGGCGCTTTGGATTGTATGTCCGAGGCTGATGCCACGGAAACAGGCCTCGAAGAGCCAGGACGCATATTTGGATCAAAATTCATGGTCTGCATATTTTTCCTGGCTTCTGTCACAGCGCCTCGAACGGCTTTGGCTACGCCCCAGGTTTCTGTTCGGCGTTGGATTCCTTGGGAGACATCTTGGAAAAGAGTTTCGAGACTGTTGGGGCTGTTTCGGGCTGGTAACCCAGTAGGGGAGTTACTTCCACTGCGTTTCTTGAAGTCTTCCCAAAGGAAGGCCTTTCTCGTAGGCCGTGTACTAGGCTGCTGGCGAAATTTGGCATCGGGCGGTCTACCTGAATATTTTGATATGATGAAACTGCCTCGATCGGCGGTAGGATTCTGTTCCAAATAGAGTGCATCATGCACAAAACTCTGGGGTGTGTGTGGTTGGGGCGAAGGGTAGCGAAGTAATAATGTTAAGGCGGTTGTATAGTCGGCCGTGAGCACTAAATGATGCATGTCAGCGAAACCAGATACAATGGAAAATCAAGCAGGTCGACCAACATTGCCAACGAATTCTAAGCAGCATTGCAATGCACGTGAAATCAACAAGATCAGACCGTAGTCCATGAGCAAATAGTAGATCCCACATCGTGAGGACATCATCAAATGGAACTTCTCGCCCAAACAGAAGGCGCATCCAGCGACTTTTCAGTGAGTTAGTATAGAAGAAGAGAGATGGGTGTCTGGAGGCAGCTCACGTCAGGAAAATTTGCGGTAATACGTCCACAGCTTCCAGGTGCTCAGCGAGTTCATGATCGATAATTGTCAAGGCTTCCTTATGGAGGTAATGACACCGATCAACAATCGGAATGACATCCATCTGGCCATTTGCCGACCGTGTCTCGCCGTGCTCATAGTATATACGGGCCGTCTGCATGACAGATAGAAACAGCGTAAATGCATCATGTTCCACAAATTCTGCATCAAGAAGTTTTCGCATCAAACCCTCGCTTTTGTCCTTGTTCGCATCAAGACCTCCAGGGTTTGGCTTCATCGAGTCTCGATCTACTGCCCACAGTATAGGCGCAAGTAATTCGTGCATTCCTTGTCTATAGCCGACGTCCGGATTGAGCTTCGAGTAGACGAACAAGATATCAGTCAACTTGGATTTCGTGTCGGGCTCTTGGAAAAAGAAGTTCTCTTGCAAGCATCGATCGACATCTTGTAGGATCTCGCCACGCAGCGTCTCATCGTGTCGGAGTGTTTGCCAAGGTGACTGATTGTTCCAAGAATTAGTTAGATAGGGATCAAGTTGGGCGAAGCACAGCGTGTTTCACATACCTGCTCATCATCCGCTAGCGGATCAACAGTCGACTCTAGATCGTCCGGATGTTCGATGTATTTCAAGAAATGATCTCGTAGCGCACGATAAGCATCCCGGGATTCGTCGAGCTTAGGGGCCCATTCAGATTTGTCCAACCCGTCGAAGAGCAGAAATGCCTGCTTAAAGAATGAGCATGTATATCTCCATCTCGCGTTGTCAAGCCCACAGAACCTTCCAACAAACCGATCTCAGTCCGTCATTGCACAGGTTTCCTCCTTGCTCGGATTGCAACGCCGCTCGGAGGTCGGAAGGTGTGTCATTGTCGGAGAACAGGATGTCCCATCTCTTTCTGCAAGAATTAGTACAAGTGGGAGATGCTCAGACAATTCAGGGGAAATACCTGGTCTCCTCAATGGTCCTCATTGCTGGGGATGACGAGGAGAACCTTAGAAGATGAGGGGATGCGGGCGATAGTAGACCGCCCGTGCCTTATCTCGCGCTACTGGCCCTACTCGGCCATTGTGACATTCCACCGCGATATACTCCGGTTAAGTTCGGATTAGGGACTTTGCATATCAAAAGCGATAAAGATTGCGCCTGACATCAGTATATTCCATTTTGTGTCGCCACCCTTGCAGAAACCCGCTGCACTGTTGCATCGCTGCACTTTATGTCACCTTTCACAGCTTCATGACACCCGTGGGCATTCAAAATGTCCGCAGATCTACTAGCAGAGTTCGGCCAGGCGCCTGCATCAGACAAGAAGTCCGGACAACAACCATCACAATACCAGAAAAACTCATTCTTCGGTGTCGACGACGACATCGATTTCTTCGGGCCATCGGGAAGTGCTCAGCACAACAAACCTCCCCATCCGGACCCGGGAGCAGCCGGTCAATTTGCAACTCCAGCAGCTTCGTGGCAGGGCCCTAGTCATCAAGGATTTGACCTTCCCTTGAATCCACATAGCGATGTATTATTCGATGCAGCATTTGATACACCAGCAAGTGATGACGACTGGGGTGATTTTGAGGGCCCTGATTCAAATACCCAGCATGAACAATCAACAGCTCTTCAGCATTCAACGACAGCTACGTCTCAAAAAGCAGAGTCTCGGCAAGATGATCCACAGGGGTTTAAAACAATTGACTTGCTAGATTCACTCTCAATGCAAGACCCCGTACCAGTTGTGAAACATCCGTCGAAAATTGCCAAAAAGGACCAGCAGCTCGAACCTACTAATAACCGAGCTGAGCCGACATGGAAAGATGATTCATTTGATGACTGGGGCGATTTTGCCGATGCACCTGCTAGCCAACCTCTCCCCAAAGTCTCTGAGAAGAAAACAAAACCACCTACAAAACCACCCGTCAAGTCCAATAGGCCGCCTGCATCAACCTGGGATGACGATGCCTTCGAGGACTGGGGTGATTTTTCAGATGGCCCCAGTGTGAAGCCCAGTGTGAAGCCCAGTGCGAGGCCTGTGCCCAAATCTAAGCCTACCTCACCACCCACAGCCCATAACCCAGCTCCTAGTAGCTTTGCTTCTGGGAACCCAGCCCCCGCAGCCACCGTCCGTCCAACAAATATCCCGCCGCCATCAGTACTTCTCGAGCTATTCTTAGATGTGTTTGAGAATCTTCAGAAGGAGGCTGCACTCGCAAAATCCCAGCTGCGATCTTCGGCTCCACCGTCGTCCTCATCCTCAAAGGCCGTTTCAACGACAGCCTTAAATATTCACAATGTACTTCAATCGGCCGCCCGCGTAATCGCAGGGCGAAGTCTCCGGTGGAAACGTGATACAATCCTTAGTCAGAGCATGCGAATCGGGCCTGCCCGTTCCGGCAAAGCCGGTGGTATGAAACTAAACAGCGTGAACAAGCAAGAGAACATCAAAGAAGAACAAGATGCTGTCGATGTGATTACTACTTGGCGTGAACGGGCGGCGATTTTCAATGCGGTTCTACAAGCCGCAGGCCTGCGGCCAATCCCTACGGTACCTGATGCTAGTGCGCTCAAGGTTATCACGGCACGGGCGGACCAGGGCGCACTGAAGGCCTCGCATCCATGTGCACTCTGTTCGCTTAAGAGAGATGAGCGGGTGTTACGGGTGGACGAGCAAAATGTTCAAGATAGCTTCGGAGAGTGGTGGACTGAGCATTGGGGCCACACAGCATGCAGGCAATTTTGGGAGAGGAATCGAAATCTGCTTGGGCAGCGTTGAAAGATATGTAGTCATGTACATAGGAAATGAAAATGAAAGTCCGTGTATGCCCATAGGTGAATGGGGAGAAAGATAACGGGAAATGTCAAATGACCAAAATTTAAATCATCGATCGGGAGGGAACCCGACATGTCTATCTCTCTCCTCCTCCCCTCTAGAACAGATAAGATCTTATCCACAGGTGAGCATCTCTGCAAAACTGTCTGATTCGTTCTTCTGATAACCAGAGAACCCACCTGGGCAGTCATTGCCCTCACGGGCATCACGGACAGGGAACTTCCCCCGCATTTCGGCCTGATTCCTGACATATCTCAACATTGAACACAAATGGCGGGCAATGGAAGAGTCACAAAACGATCGTCAAATGCGTGAGTAACATTTAAAATTAATGGAAATGCATGCTAACAATTTAGTTGTGTGCGATGCCGGAGACAAAAGATCAAATGTTCCGGGTCGCAGCCATGCGATGGATGCAGCAAGCGAAAGGTTAGTCACAATGCTACATGTATCCTGAGGCCTTTCTTTGATATCATCGGCTTATCCGGGATTGTCTGAAAAGCTTTCTTGCGTATTCGATGACCGTGATCAGAAGATCCTGGTAACAAAAGGGTACGTCAAATAAGGTCTGGAGAAGAATCGATAGCTCACATTTATCGCAGCTACATTATGGAATTGCAGCAGAAGATTGCGCGTATAGAGCAGAAAGAGAAGGGCCAAGCAAGCCCTTTCAGCTCGAATTTCGATACTCAAACCATTGGTGCGTCTTCATTTATACAGATGGTTGATTCATCTACTAACCTACTACAGATCCCAAAGATCGTGAACGTGTACCTACCCTGGAGAGGACTAGTACACCGGATGATCATAATGAACCCCGGGAGCTGGAGGATCTAGACTCTGAGCTAGCCAACCCATTATCGTCTGGTCCTCCTGCTTTTATGTCTGCAGCAAATGGCCGCACCTGTATGTTATGCCGGTTTCCTGGAATGCGCTACTCTAACATCGACAGTCTATCTTGGAACATCATCCAACTGGTCATTCACTCGGCGAGTTCTCAGCTTGGCACATCAGCACCTTTATCAGGATGTACTACCCACAGAAAGTTTGATATTTGATGAAACGACCTATGAACTCGGATGGGACGGGCTACGAACAACTCCGAGCCTAGATTTTCCAGTTGTCCCGACTCGGGACCACACTATGTATCTGATCAATGCCGTGAAATTTCGGTGCGGGCAATTGTATCATCTCTTCGAAGAGGATGTGTTTATGAGCTCTTTGCAGCAGTTTTACTCGGGAGATGGGCAATCCATGACAAATAGCTTGTGGTACATCCATTTTCTCCTTATCCTGGCTTTTGGGAAAGGATTTGTCCAGCCCAAGGCTCAAGGTAGAAAGCCACCAGGGGTGTCCTATTTCGTCAAAGCTTTGCAGCTTCTACCTGACCCGACTGCTCTGTACCGAGATCCTATGCTGGGGACGGAAATCTTATGTTGCATCGCCTTATACTACCAGTGTGTTGACTTTCGAACATCGGCACACAACTATGTGAGATTTCCAAATTCTCATTTGAAAAGCCTGACTGACCAATACTCTAGATTGGCCAAGCAATGCGGATAGCTATGGCACAAGGAATGCACACTAGTATGCCAGTCGAAGCTTTAGGAGATGACATGGTCCAGAGATCGGGCAAAATCTGGTGGACAATTTACATTCTGGACCGAGAAATGACATCGTTAATGGGTCTGCCCCAGTCTATCAATGACCGATATGTGCAAACCCAACTCCCCACCTTTGCAGACCCATCAGAGACAATGTCATTAGGCATGCACATCAAGTTGTCACAGATCATTGCCGAGGTGAACAGCAGTAAGATTCCCTAAGCCTGCATTGTTGATGATCATCCCTAAAGTAATGAACAGCGATATATGTTATCAATGGGCGCATCAACCGGACTTTTCTGCTCAGCACTAAAACAGCATTGGCAAACATTGCAGGGCTTGCAGATGAACTTCGCGAGTCATTTCCGCTATACTTGGACCCGGGCAGCGGAGTTTCTCGAATATCAGCATACTTACATCTTCAATATCACCAGGTACGTGTATTCTTCGCGGGAAGAGCGGCATCCGCTGACAACTCACACTATATTCAGTGTATCATCCTGGCCACCCGACCTCTCCTATTCTGCTTCCTCAAAATCCGCTTTGAGTCCCCAGAAAGCTGTCTAGAATCCCTCAACGCATCCCGAAATGTCCGAAACCTGATGCAAATGTGTCTTGAATCTGCCCAGAACATCATCAGTATTCTCTCCAGTTTACAGAGCCAAGGCCTCTTAGGTAAACAACATTTTTCTACAAATATTCCCTCCCAACTAACATCCAATTACTAGAAACCTTTCTCCCCTTTGATCTGGAATCAGTCTTCGTATCCACAATCATCCTCCTGATGGGCCCAGCAATCGACCCACGGGTGCTAGAAAGCCACCCCAACTGGCTGGAGAAAGCCTATGCCATCTTCGACGAAATGATCAGAGATGGAAATCAAGTTGCTAGATTCCGGCGATCCGAGCTCCAACAGCTACACGAGACATTATTAGGATGTATCTCTGGTGATCAGCCTCGACAGTTAGCGGTACCTGATTTCTTCCAGCAGGCTGATGTTCTTCCTAACCCTGCTTCCCCTTCTGTAACACCAATCCCTGGGGCTATGCCTCAATCTATTCGATATGATGATGCGCTTCTGAGACCGGATACGGATTTGGATGTGGAGTGTGACTTTAGTACGATGCTGACTTCGGCTGAGATTATGGCTGTTGCGGACTCGATTGAGAGTTATGATACTGAGTGGGTGTCTAATGCGATGGTAGAACATAGTATATGGTAGATTGCATGTCTGATGAATTGACGAATTGCAAATTGATATCCACTGATATTTTCGAACAGTATCCGTTCTAAGATAAATCTACCTAGGTAAGCTGGTCTATTACTTAAATGGTTAATGATATGTTTGTCTTCAACTGGAAAATGCCGTAAATCAATGCATGTACTCTTCTAACATTCCAATAATCTAAAGCTTAGACAAGACAGGTCGAATCTCAGAGAGCTCCTTCGACTCTCCAAGACGCCAGCTCACATCACCACCCCAATTCCCCTTGCCCTCCTTGGGATCGGTATGCTTCCATTTCCACCGTGCTTCACGCTGCTGACCAGCCTGCAGGAAATCCGAAACCCACGACCCAAAGATAGGGAACATCTTGAACCCATGCCCAGAATCCCCAGACAACAAAACAACCGACGACGACGTCCCGGGAACAAAATCAATAATAAAGTCCGAATCATCCGTATCAGCAAACCAGCAAAGCGACTTCTTAACCAGCGGACGATTCGCAAGCGCCGGAAGCGTCTGCGCGAGCAACTTCCTCATCTGCCTCTCGTCATGCTCCGGCACAAACGCACTTTCCTCCAAAGACCCCGGCGCATGAGAAACCCCAGTCACAGGATCCGTATTGACATACCCACCACCCATAGGACAAATCTTCAACAAGTTAGTCTGAGGATCGGGCTCGAAGAGGAATCCCAGATCACGAGCATAGGTGACAGGAATCCCCCGCAGCGCAGAAGTCTCTTCATCCGTAAGATGAACATGCGCAACAGACCACGACTTGGCCACGACCTTCTTCCCGATTTCCGGGACAAGACGACCGACTGCACCGCCCGCTGCGACGATCACCAACGAAGACGGGTGGAACTTCCCGTCTTTCGTTCGGATTCCGGAACTCTTCTTGCCTTGAAGTGTGCTGACGTAGACGATTTCGTCGACTGCGCCGCGTTCACCGAGGTAGAAGCGCACGCCTGCTGCCTGCGCGGCGCGGTATACTCCTGCCAGGGCGTTTCCGGAGTGTGCATACCCGTCGAAGCGGTTCAGGTATCCATTCCATCCGGTTAATGGGCCGTCGAGCTGCCAACAGGCTTGACGGATGTCGTCTTCGCCTTTGAGGGGTACAACGTGTGATTTGAGCTGATCGTTCCCGTTTGCCGAAGCCCGGAATCTATTGAGGGTGTCGATGGCTTTCTGGGGGGGCTTCGCCAGACACGCAGTGGAGGAACCCCGTTTGGTGGAAATGAGGTGCGAAGAGAGGGGTTTTCCATGCGGCGATGGCTTTCTAATTAATTGATAAAACAAACACCGGTCAGTAACTAACTCGGTTACTGTACATCGAAGGTTGACTTACAATTGTCAAATCGGTATAGAATGGATCCTCGTATTCCGCGCGCACGATCTTGTTCAGATCATTAGCGGCCGAATAACGCGGTGGAATATGCTCGTCTCTCTCGAAGACAGAGATATTCGTAAACCCTGAACGAGTCAAATGAAGAGCGCTGGAGAGCCCGAAGGCTCCGCCGCCAACGATGATGATCGGCTCGGACTTGGAGATAGCCATGGCGAAATGCGATGGGAAACTCCCACCAGATGGTCCAATACTTCTATATCTATAGTTACAGCTCCATATACTTCCATGAGTCAACGGCGTCAATGCCGACGCCGCAGGAATAGTGCGGGGGCTGCGGAGAAGTGGACCACCGGGAGGGTTCCCGATGTGCCCAAACAGGCTTTTTGGATGATTTTGATATTTTTGATAAGAGGATGGAGCCACGTAAGAGGTCCTTACACATGATAACTAAAAAATCATATGATACGGTGAGGGGAAGCCGGAGGATTGAATCCTTGGGAGTTATATTTAGGAGTCCATTTATTGGTAAAAGCGCAAAAGGCACTGGTTGCACAACAGTCAAAAAGAAATACTTCTTGGCGATAAGGGATTCCTCTGAGGTATATGAAATGATACATGATACTCTATCCTTTGGCAACCTTGGAATACTACAGATAGTTGTGTAGGCAAAGACTGAACTAATTAACATCCCTGGTGCTACATAGAAAAGTCCTTTGATAAATCAGGCTATAAAGTCCTACATCGTTGAGAACAAAGGCATACGTGGTCGACTACTCTGTATCTTATAATCTTGGAAGTGGAATTGATAGAAATAACATGCTTGAGTTGTGAAAGTACATATTGTGTTAGCCAAAAATCTATAAACTATTCATTTTATATCCCAATTTTAGTCGTTGCTGGGGTAAGTGAATCCCTCTTGATCGAAGAATTCCTCCTTAATCAACCGCGGGCTAACAAAACGACGAAGAGGATCAGAGCTACCAGCCTTGTCGTTGGTTCCGCTAGCACGCGCACCACCGAAAGACTGCTGGCCGATAAGGGCAGCGGTTGTCTTGCAATCTGTAAAAGGTGAACGGTTAGACATGACAGTAATTCATGTAGGCACTGTGGGACTCACTGATATAGAAGTTACCGGCAGAGTACCGGAGCGCATCTTCAGCCTGGCGGATAGCAACGCGGTCCTTGGCAAAGACAGCACCAGTCAAGGCAAAGCCGCCTCCATTCTGATCAACAGACTTCAAAGTAGAAGCCCAGTCGGCATCCTTGTAGATGTGAACAGCAAGCACGGGGCCAAAGATCTCCTCGTTGAAGAGACGGTGGTCTGGTGAATCGGCTTGGTAAACAGTAGGGTGCACGTAGTATCCAACAGATTCATCATAAGTACCGCCCGCAATCAGCTTCAGCGAGGGGTCCTTGTTGCTAGCATCGATGATGGATTTGATCTTCTCGAATGATCCACGGTGGATCACAGGGCCCATGAAAGCCGACAAATCCTTGTCCGGGTTTCCAATGGTAATCTCCTTGATACCAGCCTTCAACTGAGTAAGGAACTCCTCTGCACGAGACTCGGGCAAGTAGAGACGAGAAGTGGCAGAGCACTTCTGACCCTGATACTCGAATGAGCCGCGAATGGTGTGGTTGACTGCACTGGTGATATCGGCCGAGGGGTGAACAAGGTGGAAGTTCTTCCCGCTGGTCTCGGCCACGAAGCGAGGGAACTCGCGGTATTTCTTCGCGGCAACACCCTGGCCAATCTTGCCATATAGAGAACGGAAGACATCGGAAGAGCCAATGAAGTTCAAGCCGGCAAAGTCGCGGTGCGAGAGTACAGTCTCAGTAATGGCTTCGGGGTCACCAGTCACAAATTGGATCACGTTGGGAGGGAGACCGGCCTCCAAAAGGATCTTGTAGAGCAAAGAGCTGGCGTAGACGTTAGATGCGGAAGGCTTCCACAGTACCACGTTGCCCATCAGCGCAGGTCCGCAGATCAGGTTGCCACCGATGGCTGTGAAGTTGAATGGGGAGACAGCATAAACGAAGCCCTCCAGAGGACGGTAGTCGATGCGACTGCGATTACTTAGTAAGTAATCCCATAACGGCTCAAGAGTTGAACGTAGACTAACCTCCACATGCCATCACTGCCACGAGTTGGCTGCTTCTCCAAGATTTCAGCGGCCCAGTTGCAGTTCAGACGGAAGAAATCCGCCAATTCAGCCGCAGCATCAATCTCTCCTTGCCAGATATTCTTTCCTTGTCCAAGCATTGTAGCTGCAATAATCTCGTATCGGTACTTGGTGCATACCAGCTCGGCAGCCTTGAGAAAGATCGAAGCCCGGTCAACAAATGGGGTATCTTGCCAGCTTTGCTTTGCCTCCAGAGCTAGTTCAATGGCTGATCGGACCTGCTCATCGGTGGCAAGGGGGTAGTTTGTGAAGGTAGTGGCATGTTCGGCGGGCAATGGTTGATCCCAAGACTTGGAGCTCGCTTGTAGTTTTCCATCATAGAAGAGCTCACTCCGCACGGGCAGCTGAGAACGGAGCTTTGTCAGTGCTTCTTCAAGTTTGGCACGCTCCGGGGAGCCTTTCTTGTATAGAGGCTAAACTATAGTTAGCATCGAGCTGTGCTCAATAGTTCTGGCACACGCACGTTTGGTTCGTTTCGACCATCGGGGAGGCGGAATGGCATGGTAGCCTTAGCACGAGCTTGAATAGAGAGACCTGCGGGAACGGAGCGCAGGCGAGAGCCAGTAGGCCTTGCCGAGCGAAGTCTCATGAGTGTGGTAGACATGATGAATAGCAGGTTTGAAGTTAATGAATGGCAAAGTAAACTTAAGAAATCAGTTTGAGACGACGAACATATCAATTTAAAAGTCAACGACCCCTCTTAAAAATGTCGGAGGCTTCCCCGTTTACCCCACATAATTATTGCAGTGAGCTTGAGCTCTGAGGTGCAAGTTTAGGCCAAATGCGTAGCTACTCTTCGAGATCTGCAGCATCGGGAGGCCACCCGGTGCTCGTATCAGGCTGGATTAGGCAGTGCAATCCTATATTTCCAAAGTAGATAAGCACGAGACTCCGAACTATGTACTTCAGATTATCATTATGCAACACCAAATTCAGAATGAAGCTCGCTGGAGCAATCCTCAACTAGGACAACTGGCAGGCGATCTCGCCGCGGCAGCAGCTTCGGCTTCACTAGTGACACCCGCGGTAGCAATTATTGATAGGTTCGTCTCGCTTGCAAGCGCGAAGATTCCGCGCTGACAAGAATTTAGAGCGCTTGTCGAGCAAGCTGCCTTCAAGCAACCCATTCTCCGTGGACTTCGTCGGCATGCTCTCGGGGCCCTCCGACAGCCAGGTCTGTTTGTCTTCCAACGACCCTTCGGTATCGTCTGGGCGCTCTATGCGGCAACATATTCCGTCGCAAACGTGACCGATACAATCAGTCGCAAGCTTGAGATAACCGCCGCGGGGACGGTCACATTTGCCACGACTATGTTGGCTAACGTTCCGCTGGCGCTGTGGAAGGACCTCCGATTTGCGCAGGAATACGGCACCGGCAGAGGTCCCGATGCCAAGATATCGAAAGCAACCACACCACTCCCTGTACCCCTCCAGAACAAGTCATTGGCACGCACTGCAGCTGCTATCTTCCTCGTACGAGACGGTGTCACTATCTTTGGATCATTTACGTTGGCCCCGTGGTTGTCGGATGCTATCCCCGACAGCTTGGCGGCTCATCCCCACGCGAAGCCGATCATCACTCAGTTGACCGTGCCCGTCTTGACCCAGCTGATTGCTACCCCGCTGCATTTGTTGGCGTTGGATATGTATACACGGCAATATACTATGCCTTTCTTAGAAAGAGTGAAGCAGTCGCAACAATATCTCCCCTCGTCGACTTTGTTGCGTTGTGTCCGTATCATTCCTGCGTTTGGAATTGGGTGTTTGACGAACATGGAGTTACGATCTGCTTTTCATGCCAAAGCCTCGGGTTGAATGATGAATAAAGCGTTAGATTAGCACGGTAGAAGGAAGCCAGTTTTTCTTATTATCTAACTAATCTAAACGCTCCTAATTACTACGTGATAGACGTATAAACTACCGCTCTCGGAAGGTTTTATCGTACTCGCCCTCGTACTGTCGAATCTTACGATAGATTTTACTATCGGTTGGGCAGAACTTATCCCTCAAGCTATAAGGATGGAATCTCCCCTCTTAAGTGGTACTTTACCATAATCATCAATCTGATACTGTTCATTATGAAGTCTTGACACTCTCTAGAACTCGCGTATTCAACCGACCAGTACTGTCCTGTTGACGGCTTATTATCTTACGACTCGCCTCAATCTTTGTTTCACCAGATGCTCTGAGCCACCACGTATTGTCCCAGGGAACCATGACCTTGTGTCCTGCCCATTCTATCCCAACCCCATCAAGCTGCTCACCACTACGTTCCCTGAATATCCGAATTTTTCCTTTTTCGCTCACAGCATCGATAGCAATGGCCATGATATTATCAGGCGGATCAATCCGAATCCCTATGGATGGAGTCATCTAGGAGATACCACAATTGTCACAATTTGTCTATATATCACAAGCGTTAGCCTACCTTTCTATCCGTGATATGAAGCAAAACTACCTCAGCCTTGCATTCTGCCTTAAGTACTTTATCTGTGGAGCCGTTTGCTTTACACTTCTTCACTATCGCTATGTGTTTCTAAGTTCGAAAGATACGAAAGGTCCACAAGTGAAACACAGCTTGTTTCCGAATTATAATAACCTAAAGCCTAGAGTCTAAAGGTTTTCTAAGTCGTAGGTATAGTGTAGTTAGAGTACTTCTAGGTGATGACTGCGGATGTGCAAGTCAGTGAGATATCGACTGGTTAGAAATCCCAGGTTTAGCCAGAGCACCTATTATAATTTGAAAAGAAAAAAGGCCCGATAGCAGGCATGTCTAGGTCTTAGAGGGCAAGTCTCTTCCGATGAAGGCATACCATGAATCCCCGAATGTTACTAGTCTGCAACATTCTTGCAACTATCGAGTTGACAACAAGGCCTACTAAGTCATCGTCTTTCCAGCCCACCCGCGTTCTCACAATCCGGAATTTCTGAGTTTAGGTATCTTTCGTATGGCGCGCTCATACGAAAGATACCTCCTACCTAGGTAAGTTTCGGAAATTCCGGATTGCGACATATTCTGGATTGGGAGAGCGCGGATAGGCTGCTTTTTTAATTGTTTTCATTTCAAAGTTGAAAGTCGCAAAAACTATTTCCGACATCAGACTACTAGCCGGGCTGGCGCAATGGTAGCGCGCAAGACTTCTAGTTCGTACCCCCGTTCACGGGTGGTACGAAGGGGGTTATCTTGAGGTTGCGGGTGACCCCCGCGTTCGGTTCTTTTTTTTCCCTTTCACACCTTTCCTCTCCGGGTGCCTTAAAGTAGTAACCCCGCTGCATTTGTTGCGTTGTGTCCGTATCATTCCTGAGTTTGGAATTGGTTGTTTGACGAACATGGATTGCGATCTGCTTTTCATGCCAAAGTTTCAGGTTAAATAGATCTCTTGTCTAACTATCTATCCATATCCCGTACAAATGGCTAGGAAAGGATCTATCGACTCAACGAAACTACCTATAGACGTAGATTTATATCATAACCTAGACAGCACTGAAAAGCATCACATCATCCCAAGCTCTTCATATCATTTTCAAGCATTCTCTACCTGCATGGCCTCCAGTCCACCCTTCTCGGCATTACTGACGTGCGCCAGAATCTCCGTCCGGTAGGACATCTCCCGTGCGATTCGAACAGTATCGAAGGTAGACTTCGACTGGACAAATATATCATCGATCTCCTCCAGCGTACGGCCCTTAGTCTCAGGGCAGAAGAAGTAGAAAGACACACAAGCAAAGGCACTAATGCATGCGTAGACAATGTAATACCGCCAGTGGATAGTAGCGAACCCCACAGGGCTCACTTCTGCCAACACGAAGTTAAAGAGCCAGTTTGCGGCAGCTGCCATAGCAGTAACCTTAGCACGAGTGCGCAGCGGTGCGATCTCTGCAGCGTACATGAATGGGACAAGGAAAAGCCCGATGGGGGAGCAGAAAAGCGCTACAAAGTAGAACAAGAGTGATGCGCCAGCTACGGACCTATTTTCAAGGTCGCTTGATAGCCCTGCCAGACAGGCCTGGGCAAGGGTCATACCGGCAGCGGCAGCAATAAGCAGCGGACGACGTCCGACACGATCGATGAGTAGAACGGCCACGCCTGCAGCCAAAAATTGCCAGATTTGCAGACAACCGGTGATGATTCGTGAGAGTGTGCCTGAGTAACCCAGATTGGATTCGAAGATAGTATCGGAATAGAAAGTGATGATGTTGACACCAGTCATCTGCGCCAGAATATTCACACCAATGGCAATAACTGTACGGTGCAGGTGGCGGTTCTTCGTGAGAGCAAATGGCGAAGAGGAACCTGCCAATTCGATGCTCTCGTCAATTACAAGTGACTGTCGGATAATTTCCAGCTCCTGTAGAACATGTTCAGAGTCGGCTGGCGCATTTTCCATGCGGGCCAAGACCTCAGATGCCTCTTCTAGGCGGCCGACGCGTGCGAGCCAGCGGGGAGACTCGGGTAGAAGCATGATACACCCCACAACAACGAGAGCAAAGAGGCCTTGGAATGCAATAGGAAATCGCCAGCTGGCAGAGTTGTCGCTGACATAGTAGAGTCCAAATTCCAACCATGTTGCGAGAACAATGCCGCCGATTGCAAACCACCCCTCCAGTAGGACCATTCGTCCACGGGCCTCTGCGCCAGATGACTCGGAGACGTACATTGGGATTGTAGCGGTGAAGCCACCGACACCAAGGCCTGTTCAGTTCCTGTTTAGCTTCTTGCAACTTGTTCGATGATAGACTGGGGCTTTATTTACCGGTAATGACTCTGCCAGCAATGAGCTGACCAAGCGAGAAGGGACTCGCTTGAATGGCTACACCAACTAAGGCTACACAGCCGGCAAGAAAGATGGTCTTGCGACGACCAAGCCTGTCACCTAGGAAGGCACAGGAACCTGCACCCATTGCGCATCCAACTTCATAGATAGCGACCGTTGTGCCTTATAATGGTTAACATTGCTCTCATTAACCTGTGGCAACAATTTCTTCGAGCAGATACCTTGAATCGTAGAGTTGTGTGATTTCTCACTACCGCTGGTATGCACGGTATCGATCTGAGAGGAAGACAGCGATGAAAGAGCCCAGTGTCAACAGTCCATTGGCAACTGCCTGATCGTAACCCTGCAGTACAAATCCAACAGCGCCAACAAGGCCGATGACAAGGCTCAATGACTTGCCTTTGAGCTTAGGGGCCATAGCATTCACTCTAGTGTTCAAAGGTCTTGGTCAGATGAGCCCAAAAAAAAACTTTAGCTCTCGCACATTTCGAAAGAGAAGACCGGAATTTAAGCCTTCCAAAATCCGGGAGTAACACCCCGGCTTACTGAATTCTGAAGCGAGGGGCCCCAGATTGAAGGAGACTATGGGAGCAGGGCTACTCCAGGCAGAGGAAAAACAAGCTTACCAAGCTTCGGGCGTTCTCTGAAGTGGCCAATAGAATTTTCATATCTAACGTGGAGTGGAGCTTAAGCTTCCTCTAGTTTGGCACAATACAGCGCTAGGCGTAATACGGATTAGCTCTATCAAGCCCCATGATTAATGATTATGTCGGCGCAATATTGGCCCCCGAATCCACAGCATCTCCGCATTCACATCCATTTACTGGCTACGTACGCCGTATACGACTCGTATCTCCTCCATTAATATCTCAATCCCACTTCCCCTCTTAGCTCCTAGGCGGGTCATACTTTGTACTTTCGTATCCAAATGGGACTGAGGGCTGTGGCGTCAAGTAGAGCGGTGTCGGGCATAGCCCCTTCCAATCACGAAATATCTCTTATCTCATGTATCACTTTCTTCATTTGGCTACGTATGTTTGGTGGTCCATGTGACGCAGGCTGCGCACTGCTTCGGTTCTAACGCCCTTGGTAATGGCTGTGAGACATACTGAACGTTCTTAACCCCCCGAGGTCCCTAGCATCATCACGCAATCATTGCGGTGAACTTCAGGGCGATATGTTATCTACAAGGATGACAAAAGTCAATGATCGCCAGGCCAAATTCCCTTGACCCTCGCTGCTTCCTCTACTCCAGAAAGCCGAACCGGGTTTAACCCGACTTTCGATGCTCACGATAATAACAGTCCCCGAGATTACCGACAAGTTGCAGATCTTTTCCTAAAATGACGTGCGTCGACGCTATCATTATCCCCGAGGATACATATACACAACCAGCACTCATTATACATATTCAGTTCTTCTGAAACTAAATTGTAATCGCCAAAATTGCAAGTGGGGACCCTGTCGGGCCATGGGTATTCTCGTGATGAAGGTAAAGACCAGTCGGTCCATCGCGGCTCCCCTGCCAGCCCGTACTTTTGTTAGATGTAACTTAGCTCCCTACACCGTATATCCTTAATCTATTACTGTGGGTCTAGTCCATTGAAAGAATGTGGATTCATAAGCCAGTGAAACACATTGATCATAAATGCGTATGTCATTTAGTGCGCTATGAAGATGGCGAAAGAGAAAGCACCGACTTCACTCTCCGGAAAACCTCCTTCTTCAATGCCCGATACTCATTATCCGTCCGCAGAACAGCATCCCGATTCTCAATTGCCCGACGAAGAAGATAGGCCAGACATTCACCCATACCTCCCCAAGTGGAGCATTTGTAGACTTCCGGTGTTCCATCGCCATCATTCATCTGAAGCAGCGAAAAGCTAACTTCATCAGACATACCATGAAGCTGAGCAAAACGCACAGGCACAGTGGGCAAGCCAGACATGACACGATGCTTGTGAAGTTCGTGGGCAGTTACTACGCTCTCCTTGTTATGACTTGCCAGAAACAGATTCACCGAGGGGAAATCGCGGGTGCCCTTGTCTCCAAATTCTCCAATGTTCTTTCTCAGTGCCCCTTGGGCAATCATATTATATGCGTTATCGGTGTCTTCCTTCGTGTCATGGATCAAGGACCGTTCATCAGTGGCCATGTATGCGCCCCTCACGAGCTTGAGGCCGAGAGTGAATCCATCTTCGTTTGCCAGAGCGAGGTGGTTGGCCAGTGTCGCTGGTGTGTTTTTGAGGTAGGCCTGGTAGGTATTGTAGATAGTTGCGTAACCGTCACGGTTGTATTTGCGCATAAGTTCCACAGCAACCCGTAAAATGCCCTTTTGGAAATGCTGAGACTCGGCGTCGATGAGAATGCGAACCTTTCGGTCTTTGGCCTTGGTGCAGACTTCATGCAGTGCATCCATCATTTGCTGCGGGGGCAACTCTCCAGCCGTAAAAGCCTCGGTGACTTTGGCGCCAGCCCCTGTCAACCTTGTAAATGGTCAGTCGTTACTCCATAAAAGGGCGGGATCCGAGTAACTTACTTGACTGCGATGTAGTCTTCTGCCTCCGTCATGTAGATGGTCTCAACTGTCCCTTCCCGCCACGCTTCGATGCTGGGACAGTAGACTGAAGCCTCGACGGACACATCCCCGTTCTCGCTTTTCAAAGCAGCGATGCCCTGTCTATTCTGAGCCTGAGTGCTATGATCAAACACAGTCTCAGCAGCGTATGTCAAAATCATACCGCGGAAGCCCATATCTTTCATCTCCCGGATGGTGGATCTGCATTCCGCCCCATTCTCTCCAGCACAGAATTGATTGTAGAATGTTGTCTTTAATATTCCATGTAGGATTGGATTCCGATCCACGTCAAATAGCCAGATCCTGTTAGGCTTGGACAGGAAGGACATCAACGAAAGCGCAGGAATGAGGAGGAATCTCTTCGACGATATCGTAGAGACCAGCAGCGATCTGAGCAGGACACGCGCCGGTAAAACAGAGAGAGGTGGTAGTGAGGGGCTCGTTCCAGACTTAACCTGCGCGTGTGCTTGGAGCGTTGAGGTAAATCGCAGTGCCATCGAGGCATTCACATTGCTGGTTGGTCGAGTGCATCGCGCAAGAGCTGTTAGAGGCTTTCCTAGAAGTAAGGTACCCATTTCTTTCGAATGAATGACTTTAGATTTCTCTGCTCCTTTTAAATTAAGCGAAGGGACCAGCTTCTTTATCCTTCATTGTTGTGCCCCTCGTATAGAGCTAGATAGCATCTCGGACAGCCGCCCGGTGCCTTTGGTAACTAACGAAACCCACCATGCGGGGTGATTAATGATGATGGGCAGTATCTCCACAAACAGTAATGGAATCCGGAGAGCATATTCTGAGGACTGGTCCCATTGGTGATCCAGATGATGCGGTCGTGGAATGTCTGCACGGGAGACTCGCCGGTGGCGGGGTTGCTTGTCCATGTTATCAACGGTATGGCTACCGACAGCACCTATTTGGTTTTTGATCAAGTGACAAAGATAAAACGGAAAATGCATTGTCTGTGGATCATTCATGTTGCTGTGAGTGTTATTTTATATCTTTCAGGCATGACAGGAAGGCTTATGTACAACCCTTCACTAGGTCGCTTCTAAAACCTAGTTCATATCTCATGCAAGGATATATCATCGCTACACACGAGATATATTAGAGACAACTTGGATTGTAGAATAGAGCCTAGGGTATCACTAAAGCGCAATATTTTCTCGCTTTAACAGACCATTACAATTTACTTCATGGTCGTAACTAGCGGGCTTCAGGCATTATGAATATCTCATTTCTAGTCTACCTAGGTAGTTACTGTTCTTATTATAGAATTTGGCTGATAATTAGATTAGCAATTGCGACTTTTCCTTTCAATAAGTATGTATGACATTCCGGGTGTAAATCTAGCAAAGTCACCCAAAAGGATACATCCACGAGTGTTAAACAGGCTAATTTCTCCTAGGATAGAATAGTATCATTAATTCACTCTAATATACTTTGTACATAGAAATTGATTATCTTATGCACCCCATGTTCTGTAATGTGGGTTTGTTATATGGGCAAAAGACAAAGGCATGTTTCCAACCACCCTTCGACTATAACGAAGGTAGCCAGTGTTCAATTATTGTACTTATCAGGAGGAAAATACTGGTTCCTAACAGATATAAGCTTGTACCTCTCAGTACGGTCTTCATTATCGCCAATTTCCATTTTGAGTCTAAGATAATCAGATGCCGGCCCCGGCCCGGTGCACTAGAAGAAACTTAGGATCACTAGTCTACAACCCCTTTCCATCCATGTCATTATCTACTTACTGTCGAATTGACTCTCCCTTAGCATATAATTTTCAGTGAGTCAACGAAAAATCCATCTAGAACGTCTTCACCCGAGGTTTTCCCTGTGTCGGATGAAATCGGGAGAATAGGGTTTGACAAGGCGCGATCTTCTCCTTGCAGTAGCTATCTCTAAGTTAATATCGTGGAGTTCGTGAAGCTATTATCGAGCATACACTGTATATTGTGGTACACGAGATCCTCAACGTTGAGTCATATTCTGCGTTCTGCATTGTAGGAAGCAGAACATCTATAGTATAAAAGACGGACAATCCTGTGGACTTTCACTACTCAATTCCAAAATAAAAACATTTGGATCTTGTATAGATTTCTCGCTCTTTTATCTTTTCCTTCGTGCAAGTCTCATTTTTACTTTCCTTATATGGTTTGGTAGTCATGAAGCTCCAAACAAGTACAGCTCGTCTCTCTCTTGTGCCCACCCGTCTTCAGCACAGCGCGATGTTCAGAACAGGAAGTATATTATGTGCTCAGCCCAGCAGACATAGCAGCCTATCTACATTGTTACAAATCAAGCGAAACCATACAACAAGCACACACATTGGCCAAAAGTCATCATGGACCCATCCCGTGTATGTCCTCAGTAGAGGGAACCTTTCCTTCATCTGAAACATTTGTATCTGACATACATCACCTTCCTACTAGATATACAAAGGAACAGATCCTCGCTGTCCGAACCGCCCACCGCAAAGCATACACCTGGCAAGACAGAGCAGCTCTCGGAACCGTGCGCCTCTTACGCTGGGGTATGGATTTCGTCTCCGGATACAACAGCCGACCAGCAAACACAAACACACTCTCCAAAGCCTACGTAATGACAGAGGAGAAATGGATCACTAGATTCGTCTTCCTGGAAAGCGTAGCAGGCGTTCCAGGAATGGTAGCAGGGATGCTCCGCCATCTCAAAAGCATCCGCCGAATGAGACGAGACAACGGATGGTGAGTGCAAGCCATACCATCCTTCTTTCCGCTGCATGGCAATGTATCCGTAATCTCACACAAAACAGGATAGAAACCCTCCTCGAAGAAGCCTACAACGAACGAATGCACCTCCTCACCTTCCTCAAGCTCGCCGAGCCAGGCCCAGCAATGCGATTCATGGTCCTCGGCGCGCAGTGGGTATTCTTCAGCGGGTTCTCCCTCGCATATCTCATCTCGCCTCAGATATGTCATCGCTTCGTGGGGTATCTAGAAGAAGAAGCTGTGATCACGTACTCGAAGGCAATCCGTGATCTCGAGGACGGTCATCTGCCTGGCTGGGAGGGCTTGCAGGCTCCCGAGATGGCAATTAAGTACTGGCAGATGCCGGAGGGCCAACGCTGTATGCATTCGCTGTTGCTGTATGTTCGTGCTGATGAGGCGAAACATCGTGATGTCAATCATACTTTGGGGAATTTGGATCAGAATACGGATCCGAATCCTTTTGCGGCGAAGGTTAGGGCTCAGGTTCAATCTGTTGCTGGTTCGACAGGGGGGTTGCGTCAGCTGGAGGAGAATAGTCGGAAAGGGACTTGATTGAGAACATGTTTCTGTTTCTGTTCACTTGACCTCATCACTGGTCTATCACGAAATGGGTTTGTTTGTGCAGAAGTAATTAGAGAGCTCTGTCATCGTATCGTTAAGCATGCCAATACACTTACGTGAGTTGCTGGATATCATTAGTAAATCTTTTCTTATCTGCATAGGTGTGAACCAAGTCCAATTTTTGCAGATCATATCTGATACCTAAATCTGCATGTTGCATGTGCATAAAGGCGATGTTCGAAGGCGGGTGAGCTGCCCGAGGCTTGTCGGAAGGTGGACCCGAGTGAGCCTAGACATAAAACTGGTCATCGTTGGGCTGTATAGAGTTCTTACTGGGAATCAGAAAACCATTTCGGTCTGTTTGACTGGCTTCTGGTCGAGTCACTAGCGCGTTTAGTATGTAGCGGTGTGGCTTTGATTTACCCACCGAAGAGTTTAGCCGAATGGGCAACTTCGCTAGACGATCGAAAATATGGAGATGATATCTACAAGGTACTCTAAAAGAACAAAAGATTCTACGCATCTAAATTACTAAGTAGAATGGCCCATGGTGCCAGATACGTGGAATAAAGGAAGAAAGCCGAATGATGCCCAAGTAATACCATTTGTCTGGGTAAAAGAGTAGAGATAATGTAAGTACATGCAGGAGAATGCCACACCAGAAACGAGAGGCCTGATAACCCAAGCCATGTACAGATACATAGCTATGATGTTGAGGGGGGCCGAAGAAAAATGCCGTGGGTCTGGACGCGTCTGCGTTATGAGCTGGAACCGAATTAGGCGACAATAAAGTGGCCTATGAAGTTTCCACATGCCTTTGCTCGAGCATGTCTTTCCATTGAGTCTGCAAATTTGGGATCTGCGGGTCCATGCATGCTACGGTACCTTATGGGGTCCGATGCGCGGACTGGTCAGAGGAATCCGGTTCATTTCTGCGCCAAACCTCATATTGGGCAGCCATACCGGGGGGGATTGGGTCCGGAAGTTGGTGCGAAGAGCCGTGGGGGCAGTGCGTTTTCAGTGATCAGCCATTATCAAACAAGGGATAGGCTACCACGCTGCTAGCTTGGTGAGAGTCGTGTTCATTGCCGGTCAATGACTGTCAGAGTAATCGAGACGATGACAACAAAGACCGATCGCAGGAGATGAGATGATATCAATTTCAAATGTAGAGCCAGTCGGTGGGGCCTAATAACTTTGTGCCGATACCGCCGCGGGCTGGGATTGGTTAGCGATTCGTTCAAGAAGATGCAGGATACAGTTTCTGCATGGTTCGTGAAAAGAAAGATCGGGAGCGTCGTACGGTGCTGCAAGGTTGATCGCATGGGGGTAAATCCAAAGGGGGGTTCCTTACAGGGCTGTTCAGCATGCTGTTGCGCTTGTTCCGGCCTTTCTTAATGTGGTTCTTCAAGGCGGTTGAGTCCAAGGGTTTGAGAAGTTCGAAGCTGCAAAGAAGTTCGCCAGAGACTGACATGATAGCGCCCCAGTTATCGAACTCGCCGCAATACTGGAGAAGGTTAGTGAGAGTCGCAGTGAAACACAAGTGAAAGCGGCTTACGTTGGGTGCAGAAAACACAGTCACCAGAATACGATCCTGGTAAAACTCATATCCATCCTCAACCACCATGTGAGCACGGCAAACAAGGTCAAAGTCGTGACGCTGCAAAAAGTCCATGATCACCTTCTTTCCAAAGCAGTAGCTAACACCACGCTCGTTAGGCTCCCAATCTTCCTCCATGTCTGCCGGATCACTCCACAGTAGGTCGTTCAACAGACCATAGTCCGGCACGTCAGTGGGGCGAGCGATGCCGCGAATGTCGTCCATATGCGAAAGACTAGGAGAGAGACCACCGTGGACACAGAATATTTTGCCGGCCACAATCGCAGCAATCGGGAGACAATTGAACGTATCGATGAAGGTCTTCCAGACCTTGATATTGCAACGACGCTTGCACTCATCATAGAAACCATAAACACGGGTAACGTTGGCACACTCATGGTTACCTCGAAGCAGGAAGAAGTTCTCGGGATACTTGAGCTTATAGCACATCAGCAGAAGGATTGTCTCCAGACTCTGCTTGCCTCGGTCGACGTAATCACCCAAGAAAAGGTAGTTGGAAGCGGGAGGGAATCCACACATCTCGAAGAGTCGAATGAGGTCAGTGTATTGGCCGTGAACGTCGCCAACAATCTTCACGGGAGCCGACAGCTCCAGGAGAGCAGGCTGCGACAAGAAGAGCTCGCGAGCGGCGGTGCAGATAGCGGTAATCTCCGCATTCTTCAAGCAGACTGTTTTGGTAACCTTGCTCGAATAACCAGCGTCTAGGAGTCGCGAAATCATGTCGTCCAAATCAATGGATTTCAAAGCGCCCATACCCATTCCAGGAGACCCAGAAGTCTCCAAAGGAGCGTTCAAGATGAAGTCCAAAATGGGATTCAGTTGGTTCTCTCGCTTCATCAGGATTGATTCACCTGCGACCGCGGCGGCCCCAGTTGGGGGGCCACCAGAGGGAGGGCCATCCGACACGAGGTCGACTTCGCCACTCTGCTTCATCGCGTTCACATCTTTGTGGCCTCGTTGCAAGGTGGTGGAAAGCGAGGGAGACGGCGGGGGCTGGGGGGGAGCTGGGTCGCGAAGCGCTCTCGGAACCAGGCGACTGAGGGAGGCCGGCATTAGAGCCAGGGCGGCTTCCGACAGACTTGAGTGAACCAGCATCGGATTTGTCGGTTTGGCTCTCAGTCTGGGAGAGAGCAGTGGTGGAGCCCCGAGGGCTATCGGAGCTGCGAGCACCAGGGATTTTCGATCGGATCGAGCCACGGAACGAGCGGAGAGACTCTTTGGTGTCGGACTTGGAAAATGAAGGGTAGGACTGAAGAGGGTCGCCGGAGGCGTTGCCCTTGGAATGCGACTGACCCATCACTACAAGGCTCGGGTAACTGCCAAGCTTGAGTTTGAGATGATCGCACGAACGATGGAAGTTCCAACTGTTATGCCGAGAAACCCCTGTTGTGTTGCTGGAATGTCTTGGCCCGTGCTTCTGCAATATTACAAAGAGCTTGGAAGGGCTCTGCAAAGAATGCGCAACGGTTTGTGTGAAAACTGATTATCACTAATCCACCTATTCAGGACACTTGAGCAATACACAGGCAGAGGGGCAAGTGCGAGGGACGTGGGCACAGTTACGAGGCGAACTGGGCGAGGTGGCGAGATCAAGGTGAGGAGCTAGGTAGCAGGCTAGATGTTTTGTGATTGATGCAGGTGGAGGGGGTTTCGAATGGTTGGAAGCTAAAGATAAAGGCGGAAGCTCTGAGGTTGAGAGGCTGAGGAAGCTCTACCGAAAGTTAGCCTCTTGCACGAGACAATGCAGGTGCGGGATTGCAGGGCTGACTCCGCAGAAACCCAGGTGGCATGTGGAGGTATTGACGAGAAAGAGAAGAAAGAAATAAGCAAGGGAGGTAGGTCCTTGAATGGAGAAGGACTGGGAATGGTGGGTTTGCGGATAGAGGAATGCGTCATTATGTACGGGGGGGGGGTAGCGGGTGTTCCACATTGTAGGCAGATACCCCGGTACAATTTACCTCAATAAGAATCAAAGGCGATGTAGCAGAGATCAAGAAGCTTAGAAGCTCCCTGTGATGAAAACAAGAAAAACCTTGGAAGAAGAGAGAGGGGAAGAGGAATGAAGGTTAAGCAAGTCAAGGACAGAAAGGTCAGATGTAGGCAAAAGTACTCCGCCACCGCTAGTACAGCAAAAAGGTACTTCGCGGGTACAAAATGGCTTGTTTCTGTGGTTTCCGTTTCTTGGGCCCGGTCTCGATCGGGGGTGGGTGGATTAGGTCAGCCGGATTATCTTTCGGACCGAGCTATACAAAGAACCTTGTCCCACCTGGGAGGAGAGTCTAAGACAGTTGCCTGATTTGCCTGAAGAGAAGAGTCTGGACTCTGATATTTATATTGAATGGATTTCGTGGGTATTCATCATCAGCTTTAAGAAATAAAAGGTTATTTCTTTTTATCTTTTTATTTGGGTTTGGTTTCTTTTTCTTTTTAAACCGAAACTAGTACACATAGATCTAAGTCCCTTGTAAGGTCTGTATATCTCTTTACAGCTTCACACCGCACAAAACTTAGAAATACCTGCTTTGTTTTCTTTATTCGGTCTTGTAGAGCCCTTGCTTTCTTCCCAATATCCGAACAGTACCTTTTGTTTTATTTTTCCATATTGTAATCTGATCTTTTTGGCTCGTTCGATTTCTTGATCTCCCACTATTAGCGCTCAATAAGCGATGCTTTTCTCCCTACAACATACAACGTACATGCATTTACATTTCAATTTGGGCCACCTGAAGAGACCATCACAAATGGATTTGCAAATCCAGTCGGACACGAAGAATCTTTTTCCGAGCCTACCCGACCTTTCGCAAGAGAATCTATCCGGAGCTTGGACCCCGTCACCCGGGGCACGTCTCCTATCAGAAGTGATAGAGATAAAGTGAAGCGCCCATTAACTCAAGTACTCGACACCACGTTCGGAAGCAAAATGATACATCACATTGACTGCGTGACAGAGCGTAAGCCTCCTGCAAACACTTCCAACAGTGGAAGGCGGCTAGAGTATAGTAGCGTCCCTTCTGAAACAAGATACACCCTGCCCCATGATCAGATTGTAGAAGCGGACACGAGCCACAGATAGTCTTGGTTCTGCACGAAAGCAAGCACGCTGCATGCCAAGGGATCTCTGTGGCGGAGACACCGCTATTTTGCCCCTCCATTCACCCCTTGTTCGCCGAAAGCGCCTGCCATAAACAATCTTCCTATCCGATAACTTGACTGCAGACCTGTCGGTCAAGCCACCTTAAATGGGGCGACACTGCGATGCAGCTGCTGTGCTCCCGGTGCCACGTTGGCGGAAGAGCAGCGAGCGCCGCTGCAGGAAAGCCTCCTCTTGGCAGCCCCGCGCCCAACTCTAGTCCTGGCGGAAAAGCAGGGACCAGGGTGGTTGCGGGCGCAGGGCAGACACCGGGCCTCTCCTGCAGCATATCGCGTGGGTGGGTGCAATAGGTGGTGGCCATGCTGCTTGGTAGTGGGGCAGTAGAGCCAGGTTTATCATTCGAGAATAGAATAGAGAACGATCCCCAGGTGGGCGAATGAAGATCTCGTGGATACGAGCCGGAGTTGGAACCAGATCAAGGCTTACTCCAGCTCTATTTTCGTAATGTGTCGTCCTGGGATCACAATGAGGCCTATCAACCGGTGTGTCATGTTCACTTTGACAGTTGCGCTCTTTGCTTCCGACCCCTCTTCCCACGACTCTTTCTCGTGTGCGGCGGCTTGCACGGCAGATGTGGTGGGCATACGATATTCGAAAGAGTTTGCGAGGATGATGTTCCGGTCCTGTCGAGGATTTTTCGTTTAGTACCAGTTGCTGTATGCTATTTCAAACCCTATAGCACGTAGTTCATAGGTGACTGCTTACCGCATCGGTACACTTGAAAAGTCCGACGAACATCCGAGTATCTGTGGTATGGATCCGCAGTGTGCGACCCAACAATCCTTCCAAGTACTGAACAGACCGATCGTGATCCATTGTGGTTGGTGCGTTGCTCGTGTCAGCAGCGAGAGGACTTCCAATGTGCGGGGGAGTTCAAGTCTGAGGGTAGCCGAGCTGAAAAGGATTCGACGCAGGAGGAAGGACAGTGTCGGGTTATTCGGGGCGTTGGCAAAGTTAAGTAATTTCTCTTGCGGTTTGGGATTCCCCTGGCCTTGTGGTTCAATTGAACGAGGGACGACGTCGGGTGGACAAACAACTTTGTTGATGCCTGAGGCCTCATTAGGCTAGCAGCCATAAGCAGCCAACGCAAAATTCTACACTTTTGAAAGGGCTATAGTGTCTAAATAGTGAAGAGTCACTATGCTTCAATGCAGCACCAGCTATTAACCTTGCTCTATACTTATATCTATGTATATACTAATGGTTATGCCAATGGTTACCATTCTAGGCAAGCGATCACAATACCTTCAATATAGCTACCTCGGGCCGGATTGCCCCTACCAAAACCGGCAAATGAAGTCGGGAGTCACTAGAACATCAAATCAAGCCAGATATCTAGCTATGTATATTCATTAAAATTTAAAGCCCCTTGGCTTTCAAGTATTCCCAGGCTTCCATAGACGCCAAAGACCGAAAAGTCTCTCAGTTCCTTTCGATCAAGGAAGAAAAGCAAGACAACATAATTAGCCAGTAACACCTTGCCCAAATAACCCAATAGGTATCACGAAATAAATGGAAAGGTGATGATGACCTCTCCTGATATAAACACCAGCGCGAGATGCTGAGAAAGGACCCGTGCAACCGAATTACATCCAGGCCATTCCTCCTGCCCAGTTCTTGGACGCTTGATCCAACCCATCACTACCGCTTCCACTATCCATGTCCATATCCATGTCCACATCAGCACCCATCTGGTTGGATTCGGGACTGTTGCTCTCGCTTGAGCTGTCTCCGGAGCTCATTTGATTAAACGCCTGGAGACGCAAGACGTCCTCCCGTACCAAGGCAGTCTCATTGGCGCGAGGGGCAAGTGCTTGACGGGATGGTCGGAAAGACGATGATTGTTGGGGTTTTTGTTGGAAAAATCGGTGTAATGTTTGCTGCCGGGGGTCAACGGCTTCTGGTGTTTCGATAGTCGGCTCTGAGTCCATTGTATCCATATCGGTGGCCTGTGTAGACTCCTGCTGCTTTTGTGCGGAGAAAATCCATCGTAGGGTGTTCTCTGCTAGCTGTCAGCGAGGTCTGAACGTTGACGCGATCAAGGGAGGGTGCTACAAGTATAGCAAGGGCGAGGCCAGGCACTTACGGTAAATCACTTGGTCACTGGGACGATCATCTCTGAAGCGTTTTCGTGTCCGACTGTAGAGATGTGTGCTCCCGGTCATCATGCCCCATTCACTGGGGGCCGGAACTGACGGACTGGGCGGGAGAGCTGTGAACGAAGCTTTCCGCTTGAGGGACATTTTGGAGCTCGGGTGTATAGTAAGATCGATTGGTAGGGGGTGCGAAGAGGTAATCGGGTAAAAAGTTTCACAGGGGTGATAGTGACAAGAGAAGATAGGTGTGAGGAATTGAGACGAGGACTGATGCAAACACAATTGGCTCAGCGCGTCATTTCCGGGATTCGCGTTGCATTGAAGCTAAGCCGAAACGGGTAATATAGATAACAGTTTGGGTCGTGACAACCTTCCACAACTGGACTCTGACCTCTATTTTGTAGAAGAAGATTCTTTCTACTCTCATACTCTCAATTGATATATCTGAGCTAGAGATATGCCGTTGCTTCGACCACGCGACTGCCCCTTGCCGCGATTATTCTTGCGGTATCCAGCACTACCCTTCTTTAGACATGACATAACTATACAGTGATGTACAACGAAATTCTGATTGTTGATTTCTTTGGAGGTATTACAAACAGCCACACCTTTATATGCAGCTATTCGACCCTTCAATTTGTTTGGTATGTTATAGGTACATACGCGGTACTTTAAAAGTTACAGAAGATAATCAGACTTCAGATGGGAATTCATAATACGATATTGACTAGAAAGGCCTATAGGAAATGTTTTGATATAATCTTTGTCTCCCAAGTAGACAAAATCCAATCAATACCATTACCTATGTAGGTACCTACCTAGGTACCTAGGTAGCTCCCAATATCTCCCCATTGGCGCGCCGGCTCGAGCGTTTGGGATCCCCACCCAGGGACGCTCCCCCACTTCTCCTCATTGGAGAGCTTCAGCTTGTACCCAGGTAGGGCACCATTTCCCAACATTCAGCCTTGACATTAAATCGTTTATTCAAACCCTACAATGCCATCTCGATACGCCTCTCACTCTGGATCATGGTACTCAGATAGTGCCCGCACCCTGACCCGTCAGCTGGATGGCTGGCTGGCGCAGGTGCCAGACACAATGGAGAAGGTCGGCTCGCTGCCAACTCCAGGAGCCAGAGTGATCATCGCACCGTATGCTTGAGACCCTTATTATACATATGACGCTATCCAGAACCAAGCATACTGATCAACCAGGCATGCGGGGTATTCGTACTCGGGACCCTGCGCAGCCTACGCATACAAGGCGCTAGATCTCTCCAAAGCGTGAGCTTACCTACTGCTTCTTTTCTTGAAACTCCTCTAATCTCACAAATAGGAAGCGAATCTTTATTTTGGGACCGTCACACCATGTCTCGCTCGCAACACTGGCTCTTCCAACGCTAACTTCCTACCGTACCCCTCTATCCGATGAACCCCTCCCACTAGACACCGAGCTGATTACCCAGCTTCTCAAAACCCAGGCAACCAGACCAAACGGGGCAAAGATAAGCTTCACAACCATGTCACGCTCGGTCGATGAAGATGAGCACAGCATCGAGATGCACTTGCCCTACATCCACCGCTTGCTCCAGCTCCAATATCCCGATTCTCCAGCCTCTGAATACCCACCTCTAGTCCCAATCATGGTCGGAAATACCTCTGCGGCGACAGAGCAAGCATTTGGCGCCCTCCTAGCCCCCTATCTGGCGGACCCGGCGAACGCATTTGTGATAAGTTCAGATTTCTGCCACTGGGGCCTCCGATTCCGCTACACATACTATGTTCCACAGGCCCCCAGGCCAGGGCCAGAACTCCCACTATCCGGTGATATACTTCCGCAACCCGGAATGGATGCAAGCAGCGTCGACCAGGTCGTCGAGATGGTCTCAGCTGGTCACTCCTTGCGGCAACGCGATCGTATCTCAAGCCGTGAACCTGCCATTCACGAGAGTATCTCAGCATTTGACATGGCCACTATGGCTGCCATCACCACGGGATCTGCAAAGTCTTTCCTCGACATTATTGAACGCACGGGTAACACAGTATGCGGGCGCCATCCGATCGGGGTAATCATGGCAGCCCTGGAAGTTGTCACGGCGAGTCAAGCAGCCGACCAGGAAGGACGCTTTTACTTCCTGCGGTACGAGCGTAGCTCGGATGTAGAAGAGATCGATGACAGCTCGGTGAGCTATGTCTCTGCATTTGCCGTGCTTTGAGATTCCACCAGGCCTCAATGGCAGAGCTTTTCTCCTTGTTTTAGCTCGGATGCGTTAGCTCTAGAAATGATAGCTAAAGTAAGGTTGCAGAGATTCTCAATCGAGTTTATATTCCCAGCTTCCCCGGATTGCCATAAGTTGACACTCGGTGGATATCCGTACCCGCCTGTAGATCCCTTGATCGGCGTAGGTCCACGCAGATGCCAGGAATCTCGAACGGCATATATCCGTCGCTAGGCTTCATTCAAAGTACTATTACTTTGCCACTCTCACGAGCACGGGGAGATAGAATATCATGTCGAGAGATGAGCATCTAGCGTGTGATTGTAGAGCAGGGAACTCGGAGGTTTTCGTTTTGTATTCTCTAGTATCAAGAAGATCTTAGATCGCTAATAAATGGCCGAGATAAACTATTCTCAAAGTATTCTCCAAGTCTTACCTAGGTAGGTCTGGATTTGAAACATATTAAACGCCGTGGTACCCCACCATCGATTGTACTTGGGGAACACCGTGCGGTGCTTAATGGACATGGAGCCCTAGTCTCTGATATTGAATAAGATGTTTCAAGATGAGATCTATCGAAATAGCTCAGTACTTTAAACAAGGTATTCTTTGTTATCCCAAGGGGTCAGACATGGAACGTGAATTAGCCGCTGGGCTGTTGGAGGCGTTATTCAGCCAATCCGACAGCCCTACAGCCCTGTAGTCAGATCATTATCCCTCTGGGCTCATTCTATTTCAACTAACCAGGTCGTAGAAAAGCACATTTCGGCTTCCTGGTCCCGTCAAAATCTAAGCGCCGACCCTCGTCTGACATGGCACTGTAGCTGTCGGGGAAAGGATTCTTTTTCATTGCAGGCACCCACTTTAGGGCTCCATTGTCTAATTGATCTATTGTCCATTAACGCATACAAAGAGTGGATCTGATTATAGAAAATGTGGCATTGTAAAACAAAGCGCCAAAAGCATTCAAGACTTTTTTAACTCAAGTCTTATGTCCTATCTTTACACGGTCTTTCATTTCTTCATTCCTGTAGTCGCTCATTAAGCTGGATACATCTTTCATTCCTTTTATCTTCATAGTTCAGCTTCACAGAGTGGAGATATTCCTCGGCTGGTACTAGGATTTCTTCACCGCTCGAAAAGCCATGTTCTACCTATTCGTGGCCTGCCTATTGCCCTTCTTCACCTTCGCTTCCCCGACTCTAGTCGACTTCATTACCACCATGTCGTCTAACGATGAAAACGTAGGAAACAGACTGGTTTTCTGTCATTTTATGGCAAGTTACACATTTATCGCATTGCCAAGTCATAAAACACTAACACTATCTAGATGGGCATCGTCAGCAATCGCGAAAGCGCCTGCGACTATGACGATGATATGAGGCGTGCCAGAGACGCAGGCATCGATGCCTTTGCATTAAATATCGGCACCGACCCTTACACCGATACCCAGCTGTACTACGCCTATGAATCTGCTGCCAGAAATGGCATGAAAGTTTTCATCTCCTTCGACTTCAACTGGTGGCAGGCCAGCCAGGGCAGCGAAGTCGGCGCCAAGATCGCGCAGTATGCAAGTCATCCCGCGCAGCTCATGGTCGACGGGAAAGTCTTTGTGTCGTCGTTTACCGGCGACGGTGTCGATGTCGATGCAATCAGATCCTCTGCTGGCAGTGAGATCTTCTTTGCGCCGAATTTCCATCCCGGTCAGGGTGATTTCGATAAGATCGATGGTGCTCTGAACTGGATGGGTTGGGACAGTAATGGGAATAACAGGGCTCCGACTGGTGAGCAGAGGGTCACTGTTGCAGATAGCGACCAGGCTTATGAGGATGCTCTTCAGGGGAAACCATATATTGCGCGTAAGTAGCTGGAGTTTGTTGGTTCTTGTGTGCGTATTTGCTGATTGATATATAGCTATCTCGCCGTGGTTCTCGACTCATTATGGCCCCGAGGTCTCGTACAGCAAGAACTGGGTGTTCCCTTCCGACCTCCTCTGGTATGACCGGTGGAGAGAAATCTTACGTCTCAGCCCTCGCTTTGTGGAGATCATCACCTGGAATGACTATGGTGAGTCGCACTATATCGGCCCGCTGTCGTCACCACATACAGACGACGGTGCCTCGAAGTGGGTAATGGACATGTAAGTAGAGATACCCCACCCTACCAAATTACTATAAACATCAACTCACAAAGGAAATAGGCCCCACAACGGCTGGCTCGATATGGCAAAGCCCTTTATCGCCGCCTACAAAGCAGGCTCGAGACTGCCCATCAGATTCATAGAGGAAGAAAAACTGGTTTACTGGTACCGACCAACCCTAAAGAGCGTCGACTGCGACGCAACAGACACAACAATGCAAAGCTCCGACAGCGCCAGCGGCGACTTCGCCCGCGGCCGGCCCGACGGCGCCGACACAATGAAAGACGAGGTGTTTGTCGTTACGATGCTGAAGTTGCCCGCGATGGTGCGGGTGCAGTCTGGTGATAAGTCTGAGACCTACATCGCGCCTCCGGGGATATGGTCACACTCGGTGCCGATGGGTGTGGGGGCGCAGAGTTTCAAGGTCATTCGCGGCTTCAGGACGGTTGAGGCTTTGTCCGGGACGAGTTTGAGGGATGTTGTCGACACGTGCGTCTGTGGCATCTATAACTTCAATGCTTATGTGGGCACTCTGCCGGCGGAGGCCTGCGTTGACCAGCTGCAGCCGGCTGGTTTGACTATGTTGTCGGAGGGGTTGCAGGTGACGCCCCAGATTAACGCTCTAGGTTGACATACTAGGTGTCGGGCTTGATGTTGGGTTACTAATTGCTTGAGGTCTGGAACCTAGGTAGAATACACTGAGTGTATGTTGATCGAAGTGTTAGAGATACCTGTAGAACACCAATAAATACAACACCTGGCCCTGAACGCCCTCATAAGGCCTGCAGCTTAGATGGGAAAGCCTCACCCGGTAAAGGAAATTCAGTACACATAGAGGCACTTAAGTAATATAATATGTCTTGGGACTTGCAACAGGAATAGCATTCATGAATGCTTATCATCAGTTGCTATTGTTGAATGAATTGAATTTGGGAAGATAGAATAGAACTGTGGAGTATAGTTAGAACAAAGTACCTTAAAAGATCTACAACTAGCCCGTTTTCTTCCGCATTTCCTTATCTCTTTTGGTCTCAGATATAGTATATCAGATACATGTAGCGACATAAAGACCTCCTATGCCCCTTTATCTTTACCTTCACCGACACTTTGCCCAAATCCTTAACTGGGCCACTTAACGCCCGTTCGGATTGACGGGAACGTGTTGTGCCCGATAGGGCCAGCAGCAGGTCTTGTGACACTATTTATGGACCTCTATCACTGTCAATGTTTCTTTATTTTTGATTCCAAGAGCGAACATAGTTCCTACTAACAATGACCCGTATGAAGGGTGTCTTCTCATGGGAGGATGTGCTGCTCCAGCGGTATCAGAGTAAGTCAATATCCATTCTTACTATTCTTACTTTTCATTCCTCACATTGACCTCGGGAGTATACATATCTAACAGATCTAAAAACAGGCAACAAACCCCCTCCCCTCCCCCACCACCAAACAATAGCATTCTCCTCCCCGCAATCCCAAAGCCAACTCCTCACCCGGCTATCACCGGAGCTCCGGCTAATGATCTGGGGATTCGTCCTAGCAGACCAAAGAATCCATATAATCCAATGCAACAAACGACTCGGACACGTCGTATGTCCCTGTGCGCTCGAGCAAAAAGCAAAAAGGTCTTCACCTTCACCAGAGCGGCGCACACGCCAGAACAGCACCTGCGAGATCTGCCACGGAAATGGCATCTCCCAGCCGGCGAAAGAAGCCGATCTCGCACGCTGCAAGAAAGTTAAGCTACTGGGTCTGGCATTGACTTGTCGACAGATGTATGAAAGATTATCCTTCTACTCCTACCCCTACTTCTATACTTCTATTGTACTATACATGTATACATGTATACATTGTACGCTGTACATGTACATGTACATCCCAACCTACCTCCCCTCTCCTCTCCCCCCAGAAAAAGCTACATATCCAAACCATCCAATTCTAATAAAAACAGATACCACGAATCAATCCCCATGCTCTACACCCACCCAACACTAGAATTCAGTAACCCCTGGACGCTCCCATATCTCCTCCCAACAATCCGACCCGACCACCGAGACCGCATTCGCGCCATCGAGCTACGCTGGTCTTTCCCGGGCCACTGGCTACCGAGCAAGGACTCCGTGCGCGCGGTGTACGTATCCGCCGGACGGACGCAGTGGATAGAGACGTGTCGGGCAGTTTCGCAGCTGCGCTCGCTGCGGTCATTTGTGCTCGTGTTGGAGAGTAATTGGTTCAGTGAGCCTGTTGAGAAATTGGTTGGGTTTTTGGAGCCCCTGCGGGGTGTTGTTGTTACTGGTTCGAGACGGTGGGATGGTGATGGGGATGCGAACGTGAATGTGAATGTGGGTCTTGATGGGTACAGGTCTGGGGGTCGGTCGGTGAGAAGTGTCGGGTGTGACGGGTTTAGTTCGGACGAGGACTCTTGTAAGAGTCTGGGATCTGAATCTTCGTTTTCTTCTGTTTGGGATTCTTCTACGGCTACGTCTGGATCGAGGGGGAGCTGGGAGCTGAGGCTTCAGGGCCAATCTTACTACTTGCATGAACTGGATCGGATAGGGAGGGATCTTCGGCGGAGGGGGATAGACTGCTGGATATCAGCGGTGTGAGAGGTATTCAAGATTTGTGGATGGCGTGACTAAACTTGTTTTATGGGTGCAATGATCGTCCGTTGGATGTATGTTGTACTACATACATACACACATACATACATACATAGGGTTGTCACTTTCTTGTTTTTGCATGTTTCGGCATCACTTCGGAGTATGTTGACACCGTTGCAGATCTACATTATCGGGATCGGAGTATCATCGACACATACTCGGGCATCTACTTGTTTCTGAACGTTCCAGGTACAATCTATATCGTAGTCTGACTTGATAATATACAGAAATGCTGTGAAGTACTCTGTACACCGTACTCAGTTGCTATAAACGGAATATAATTTCTTATTTTCCCCTCGACTCCCAACCAGGTGAGACCCTGGACCCACTGAGAGGAGTCGGTCTATAAATACATAAAACACGTGTTTTAGCTAGTATGCATACATATGTAGTGCAGAAGATATCAAGTCAGGTTTATCCATTCCAGGCAAGCATGCTGTACATTGTACATCTACGTACATTGTAACTGTCATATCCCTTCCAAGGTTAGGGTTAACATGATGTATGATGATGTATAATGCCGCCAGGGGCAAGAAAAACCTGAACTTGGCTCCACCAGGAGCGCTAGGGAGACCGCGGGGAAGAGTGCGCATCATAATCAAACTAGCCTTGTATTGGAATACACTGGATAATAAGATATTGGTATTGAATGGTGCTAGCCCACTGAACGTAAAGGAAATCGACCCTTGAAAAAGGTGGCCAGGTATATAAGTAAAAAAAAGATCGAACTGGCGATCCTGCCAGGACATGCAAAAGTAAACATAGAAAAAAATGGCTGCAACCGTGACTCGTAAATGTGTCGTCGGGCATATCCAAAAGATATTAGAGATAGAAGACTGAGAAAGGAGATGGAAGATAATCGTTGTCACCATGGGCGCCGTGCAAAACTATAAAGCCAAAACCCCGGTTGTGACCCATATTAAGTGCAAGATGGTCGGGAAGAAGGAAAAAAAATCAGACTCTGGATGTGGTATCTCAGAGAGTAAGGAAATGGAAATTATCACGTAGATGTCGTGATTCGGGCGGAGAGAAATTGTATGATCGATGATCAGAGGAACAATTGGTCAACATCGCCAGCCATTGTAGACAGGTAGGCCCAGGAGCCTTCTCGTCCAAGTCTGTGGTCGCACATGCTTAAATCTTTGTCAAGATAGCATGGCCGTCTTCTGATTCTGACGCCCGAAAGGGATGTCAGCGGCTCGAAGTTATCCAGCGCGACCGCAGTGGCTTTGGTAAATAGTCGGAACCAATGTTACCTAAAGGCCTCTCGAACGTCGCTGCGCCCGGCCAGTGCTCCGATGCGAGAAAGAGGGCTGAATATTGAATATCCAGGTCGCACAATCGTTCGATGAGTGGGTGTGGCTGATGTGAAATTTCAGAAGCCAAGGGGGTGATGTGATGCCAGATTACCAGCAGTAATCTTACCGTCCTTCACGGGAACGGTCGGGTCCTGAGTTACCATGGCCTCGTGCGGCAAGCCATTCGGTCGAGGCCTCCTGGCGAGCACCTGGGTGTTTCTGGTCCTCGCGGCGACCGACAAGTCCCTGTGGGAGCATGTTGTTAATCTCTGCTGCCAGAGCAGATGCCATGTAGCATCGGAGTTCCTTCTCTTCACGCTCATCCTCCTTGATCAGGCGACGTTGGTCGGTCTTGGACATGTTTTCGCGACGCTTGCGTCGAATCTCGTGAATCGACCACAGAACAACTTCTTCGGGGGCGCGAGTGCGAGGGCTTCCGTGTCGGGAGAAATTGCGAACGTAGCGGCGGGTGACATCGGTCGCACCGTCGATGGAGAAGGCCACACAGTAAGAGATCTTACGTTGCCATCCTTCGGTGTAAAGGCGAGGCTGATCCCAGGCGCCCTCGCAAGAATCAACGTGGACCCATCGTCGCTGGTGTTCCGAGTACACTTCGGTCCAGACATAATCCTCGGAATTCCAGACCCAACGGACACGGGCTCCGACTGCGCGGCAGAACATGCTAAAGCAGTTGGCCCATTCGCCAACTCTGCCTCGTCGGGATTGCAGCAATTGCCACACATCGGAATACCGCGGGAATCGCTCGTGGGCGGTGCAACTAGTATCGGAACAACGGTACAACTCGACTCGGGTTGCGCCACGGGCGGTCTCATCGGGGGTCGGAGGGGTCATGCCTTGGGCGATCGTGGGCATTAGGCATTTCGAGCATGGAGGGTTATTAACAAATTGGAAGAATGACCCCTTGAACCATCTGGAAAAGATAGATATGTTAGCAAGGGCGCAAAGGGTCTAGACCATCTAGGGATTCCAACATACTTTAACAATGCTCGGATCACACAATCTTGGTAGCCCCATTCCGGCTTGCCTCCCACACTGGCAGCCTGGGCCTGCATAATTTGAGACTCTTCCTCGGCTTCGGAATACAGGCGATCGAGCGGGATAACACACAAGGCCTCATCCAATAGACCAGGGTTTTCGTACTTGGTCGGTGTGACTGATAATCCCTTCAATAAATTATAAAACTTGAGCGAAGCTGCATCCTGGGGAGGGGATGGCATGATAGGAAGACCGCGTAGTGCTGGTGAGGTCGTGGATGGCTTGGGCGAGGGAGCGGCGGCAGGAGTGCCCAACGAGGGAGGTGGTGGCGGAGCTCGTGTAGGCGGCGGAGGAAGTGCTGAACTGGACATCGGAGACGGCGATGGTGAGTGAGTACGCGAGCGAGAAGGTTCATGAAGTCGGTTAAGTCGTTTGGTGCGCATCAGCTGCTCGAATTCGTGGGTTAGGGAGGAGGCGTCGTAGCCGTTTGGGGCAGGCTGGGTAGCCCGTTGTCTGCCGTCCGCCATAGTCGATGAGGAAGTCACGGCAGACTTCCAAGACGATGAATATTGAGATCCAGGATGGCTCGGAATGGGCGAACGATCGAGTTTGGGCGAAGGAGGTCCAATTTGACCCAGGGTCGGGGGGAAGAGGATGGTAAGAAAGGGATGCCAGAGACGGAGTAGTAAAAGAAGGGACTACCTCGCTCGAGTTGACGTAGCACTTGACGATCACTCTCTTATTGGAGAGTCAAGAAGGGAAAAAAGAAAGAAAGGCCCTTGGATGAGAGAGAGAGGGAGAGGACAAGAGTACGGAGTGTACGCAGTATTACGAGCGTCGTCAGCATCTGGCCCCAATCACGGGCCCCGCGGCCAAGCCGCGTGTGCAAAAACCAAAAAAGAGCCAAGAAAAAAGACCCTTTTTCCCCGTAATTTCCGTAATTTGCGTATTTTTGGCTCCCGTGAACACGTAACGTCCACATCCAGATTTTCATGGATCGTTGCTAGTTTCTTGGCATATACTTTGGCTTCTATATCCTTTCTTGTTTCTATACTCACTTACCTTGATATTATTTCGAACTTTCAGGTATATTCAGGGTACATACAACATAGGTAGTATGTATGTACTACACATGAGTTGACCGATATGAGTACTTTACCTATACCTAACGTGGATCATCAGGCAGTCATTAATCCTTCCATGGTTATCGTCAATATAATAATCAGCAACAGCGAAGATCAAACACCCTTGAGAGTTCATAAGGCGATGATCAAAGCTCATGGTCGGCTTGTTCCGTTACCTAGGTATACTCCTAAAGAGTATATAATCTTGTACATCAAATGTACTATATATGCCGTACCCCGTACGGAATCAACAAGCTAAAGTCAAGACGTCAAGGGGAAAAAAAAGAAAAAAGAAAAAGAAAAAAGGGAAAAAAAGGAAGGAAAAAGAGAAAAAGAAATATCAAAAAGAGTGTGTTGTAGGGCCAACGCGCGGCCAAGGTACGAAAGCTCGACTGTTCTGTCCGCTTGTTCCACTGAAAGGCTGGAGACGCGCAAGCGTCCGTCTTGGCATTTCACCCGATTGGGGGGCCACACTCTCTAAGCCGCTTTGAGGCGGTGCTTCCAGCCCCGATGAGGTTTAGACTATGAAGGGGTCCTTCCAAGGCATCTTTATCTTTTCTCTCGGCATGAATGTATGCAACGTGAGATCCTAATTCTTGGGATACTTTATCGTCTTACTTCGATGGGAATGGGAATGTGAGATTCGATCCCGTGTTAAAATACATTATAGTGCGGATCATTAGGGCTAGTCCGTACAACACTACAACATACAACATACAACCCGCAGGAACTCGCCCTCCATCGCCAATCAGATCACCTCAAAGAAGACCCTGGAAAATACTCCGTGCTCCGTAGTGAGGTTCCAATTGTGGAAGCATCTTTTTCCCTTTTCAGTCAGGCAACTGTCGATCTACATCGTGTCCAATGAGCGGACCTAAATATGAATCAGGGGTTGGGAAAGCTGCTATACTTGATTACGGAGTTGGCTATCCAAATATTTGCCTAGCAGGCTCAAATGGCATTATCAGTCATGTTCGGGTGCAACTATATACCCATGGATATGTAGAATATTAGGGTCTAGTTATAGGATTACTTTGTGGTATGCCCAGGTGTCAATGATGCGGACAATATTAGGATAATCATTTTTCTCTTTAGATTCACTCCGGGGCCGAGATTCAGCCCTGAAATCTATTACAATATACATCGGATGACTCGGGAAATTTGACCGGGCGTTCTCTCTGGGGAAACCGATCCGTCGTTTCATCTTCTGAGCCGCGTTTGACCCTAGTAATATTCCGAGGCTATGTTGAGTGGCTGTGCGAAGTTCATTGTGATCACATAAGTAGTTGAACAATCCGTATCAAAATTTTTGAGCCTTCTTTTTTTTTTTACTGATCTGATTTTCCCTATTCGATGCCGAGAAAAGGTGTCCTGATGCTTAGCTCGGATGGCGCGAGCACCAATTTCACAAAAAAATGGGTCATTTTACGAGTACCAGGTATTTTTGCGGTGATCCCTGTTATTTTATTGGATTTTTTTTTAAATCAATGTGTGTTATTTTCTCTTCTCGGTGGTAATTGACGGTAATCATAACAGTTAGTACTACCTAGAATCAAGCAAAAGGCGATTCGTACGCAACACGCAAGGCACTCGTACTGGCAATAATTCTTGCCATGGGATTGGTACACGCCAGCCCAAGAAGTGCAGAACTTCCAAAGCTAAAGCAATTCGGGCTCAATGAACCGAGCGAGCCAATTACCCCCGGACGCCAAGTGCCAAGACCTCATGTCTCTCCTGACTCTCTTGACTTTATTGCTTGAATGATATATTAAACCAAGACACAGCCTATCCAGCGAGACTGTTCGCGTATCCTATGAGCTTGGCCCTGCCTTTGCAAGGTGCCAAGGCTACATGCACCATGCTTCATTCCCGTGGATGCATGAGCCCATGCCCAGTCCGCGCATCTGGTTTCCACGCGTCGATGCCCATTTAATACCGCGTCCCTCCGCATCTCTCGGAAAACTGTCAAATCCTGTGGCACAACGATAATAATGGGGTCCTCAAACTGATGTGGTGGGCGTGTCGTCCCCAGCCAAGAAGAGAGGACACGCACGCGGCATAGGTGGCTCGTCGTGCAGCTGACTTCTTGAGCTTGGCCTTACGTTGACATGCTTCGACATCGTACTCCATGCGGGCTTTTTTGTTTAACGCGAGAATGGCCACTGACGGATGTACAGGAGAATAGCGTTGGGTAGGGTGGGCCAAAACGTCATGCGCTAATCCACTAGCTCTATCGTTGTCGCAAGCTCTTGGGTCTTGGAGTTCTTCCGCATCTCACCAGCCGATTCGTTGGATATGAGGGCTCAGGTCGTCTAATTGCCCGTTCGGACCTAAGATGTTGGAGCGACGTGCTCAAATCTGCGCGCATCTTGCCATGGACTGTTGAACTAATGGGGAACAGATGACCTAGATAAACTGCTTGCAAGAAGATACTCTGGAAAATAACTGACTTAAGTCTATATCACGTGTCCTTGACGCTAATAGCCTCTGTGCTGATATTTTTGTGTTTTTAGCTTATTCCTTATCTATACCTAAGGAAGTAGGGCTGGCTTTACTTTGAGCCCTGTTTTGATATATAGACTCATTCTATAGATTGGAATAAATACCGAAATATGGCCTTACTTGACCTACTAAAAACTGTTTCGATAACACATGTTGTTGATGATACATATGTATGCAGTTTGGCGTAGTTAAACACCAGCCTATAATCAACATCTACTAGCAGCTCACATTAACAAACTCGATATTGTAGCCAATTTAAACAGTCATGAACTATCAAATATCGAAACTGAACAATATCGGGAAGACTCAAAATCAGAAGTTTTGAGCAACTTATCTTCTAGATATATCTTGCGTACACAACCCACCTAGGCACTCTTTATATTATGTTATACACCCTTCACCTTATTTAACAAAGCAACAAAAAGAAGAAACCCAGCACAACCTTGGAATAGATAGCAGAGCGGGATATATCTGGCAGTTGCCGTGGGCTGGACGTCCCTTCCTCTTCAACAGTCCAAGCCCTTCCATCCTCAGTTCAACTACCGATGGGTTACCTGCACTATGAATCAAGCCCCTTTAACAACATAGATACTTTGTTGAATTACAACTAAGCCCAATGACGGTCTTCATCGCATCTTTGTGAGTTCCTCCTCGCCTACAAGACTCCCCAAATCTGACATGGTGTATACCAGGTTCCTCCCATATACCATCGATTTCCAAGTGACGGAACCCAAGCAGGAACAACACGGGTCCTTGTCTAGCCATGCAAATGTCGATGGTCCTGGACCTATCCTTGGGCGCCTGTCGGATACCTACCATCCAACTCGTCCCACGAGTTGTCTCCCACTAACTCCTGGAGCCACCACAGAAGACGAGACTGTCTTCAAAGGATATACTTCGCGATCAGCAGATGAGATTCCAATTGCCAATGATCGATTGTGGCACGGCCCCAGCGAGCCCCGGGCCATTCCTTGGGGACACAGTCGGAGATTTAATCAGCCCCGGTCCAAGGCAACAGATCCTCCAACACCGTCCATTTTGAGCAGTCGAGGCCCAATCCAAGGACCGAGAAGGGAATTATCTTTGGATGGATCACAGGATCAATGGGACATGAAATACTGCAGTAGCACACGAGTCTCGCTCTCCAATGCTGACTGGGTGGTAAAGGCTGCCGAACAAGGCCACGGAGGTCTACAAAATGCCATCCACGCTGCTGAAAAGTCGAGCTTGCTCAAGGACAAGACTTGGGTGGGGACTCTAGGCATGCCTACCTACTCATTGGCAGATTCTACCAGGACAGACATCGCTGAGACCCTCCAGGATGTGTATGATTCGTTGACTGTGTTTGTGAGTGACAACGAGTTTGAGGGCCATTACACCCATTTCTGTCGCGCGGTACTTTGGCCAGCCTTCCATTATCAAATGCAAGAAAGCCCTCGGCATACTGAGTACGACGGTTACTCTTGGGTCCAATACCTCAAGCTGAACAAGGCATTTGCAGAAACAATCATCAAGCACTGGAAACCGGGTGATCGAATATGGGTCCATGACTATCACCTTCTGGTTCTTCCGGGCCTTCTGAGGGAAGGTTTACCACAAGCCGAGATTGGATTTTTCTTGCATACTCCGTTTCCTTCCTCTGAGATCTTCCGCTGTTTGACTCCACGTGAAGAGCTGTTGGATGGGCTTCTGGGCGCCGATCTGATTGGATTCCAGACAGACGAATACTGCAACCACTTTCTTCACTCCTGCAGCCGGCTGAGGAGGCTGGAGGTCTCTGCCAATCAAGTTCACCTCAACCATCGGTACGTTAGTGTTGTGAATTCTCCATTGGGGATTGACCCTTCGTCACTTTATACATTACGCCAATCCACCGAGGTCAAGGGCTGGATACACAGCATCAGCCATAGGTACAAAGGGAAATATCTCATTGTAGCGCGGGACCGATTTGATGCACCTGGAGGGATTAAGCAGAAGCTTTTGGCATATGAGCTGTTTCTCAACAGCTATCCAGCATGGAGAGAGCAAGTAAGTCGACGAATTTATCTTATTGCATGTGAAGACTACTAATTTGTTTTGTATAGGTGGTTCTAGTCCAAGTAATGTCATCTGCATCTGAGAATCCCGAGCTGGAGGCACAGATCTCAAAAATCGCAATGAGGATCAATGCAACATATTCAACCATCACCCACCAGCCCTTGGTACTGGTCCAGCAAGACATCAGCCACTTCCAATTTATCGCCCTCTTAAGTGTTGCACATATCTTCATGGCCACCAATCTGCGTGAGGGGTGGAACCTGTCCAGCCATGATTTTATCCATTGCCAAGATGGACAGCTTAGCTCCCACCAACATGGATCCTTGATTCTTAGCGAATTCGTGGGGAGTGCCTCTATCTTTCGTGGTCATAAGCTTCTCGTCAATCCGTGGAACTACAGCCAATGTGCTGATGCGATCAAGTCCGCACTCGAGATGTCGCCGGCGGAGCAGAAACTCAACTGGGATTTTCTGCTGGGTTGCAAATCTCCATACACTGCTATCAAATGGCACACGGTGTTACAAGAGGCTCTCACTAAAGCCCACGAAATGCAAATCCATCAGACAAGCCACCTCTCTCCACTTTCACCTACTGACTTGAAAAAGTCATACCACGCCGCCAGGGCACGGATGTTCTTTTTGGAAGACAGCGCAATCTTCGGTCCAGCTTTCGGCGTAGAAGAGTCTCTCCCTCGTCTAAAGCCTGCGAAACTCTACGAACACTCATAAACGACCCCAAGAATACCTTATACATAGCCAGCTCCCGAAGCACCGAGCAGCTCCAAGAAGCGCTCGAAAAGCTCCCCTCTGAGCTCGGGTTCATCGCCGAGAATGGATGTTTCCTACAAGAACCTGGGTCGGGTTCATGGGTTCCATTCGTGCCAGAAAGCGCCTTGAAATGGCGCACCGGTATCAAAAAGATGATGGAGTATTCCCACGAGCGAACAGAGGGCAGCCGAATCAAGGAACGCCGCTGCTCGCTAACATTTCACTACGACGGCGCGCTCGATCGCGAAGTAGCCGCTCGCCAGGCCTCCGAGCTAGCCGATCAAATCAACGGTGCCCGCGGGCGTGCAGATTTCCATGTCGTCCGCGAGGCATCCTCTGTGAAGGTTGAACCGCCGCAAGCTGCTCTTGGAAACGGGAGAGCCGCCACCTATATTTTAGACAATCTCCCCAATATCAAATATCCCGATTTCATATTTGCAGCTGGTGGTTCTCGTAGTGGCGAGGCGCTGTTTCGTTGGGCAAATGAGTTGGCTGTTGCGCCCGTTGCTTCTCGGTTTGAGAAGTCTGAGCTTGGGAAAACACTCCATGTCACCACCGTGACAACTAGCACTCATGCTACAGAGGCGAGATCGGTGTTGCCGTCTGATTACTCGCTTTTGAATGTTTTGGGTGAAATGTCGAGAGTCACGTCGAATGGGGAGAAGGCTGAATGACTTACTCGCGCTCAGGTTTGTTGTGGTTGACTACTATTGTTACTATCATGCGGACTGTTGTCACGTATGATGCAAGACGGATCATGGAGGGATATGACTTATGGTATAGGTTTGTCTGATATGCAAGGGGGCGAGGGACAGCCAGACATGCAGTATAGCTGTCAAGAGCTCAATGACTGATACATCTTAAGCAGTCTTATTTTTAGTATTGCCCTAGGTTCTTTAGAGTGGCTTTTATATTCCGAGAGCGTTGTTGTAAAGGACTTCCCCAATCGTCTACTTAGAAGGTAAAGATAATACATTTTCATTCTTTATTCTCATGCCACGATTCATGCGTAGATCAAGGGGATCAGCAAACATGAGCAAGAAGGTAGATTGGCTCTCACAACTCCATCAACCATAAACCCGATTGTTGAAAAAGATTGAAAAACAAAGATAGTGCAAATACAGAACATAAGATACGAAGAGGATATAGCATGAGCAATGATAGCAATGATTAGAAGTAAAAAGAACATGAATCATAAGAAGCGACAGCTGGCAAAGCAAATTGGTCATTTCATGCCTTGCAGGTGCATACCGAGGCCGAGAAAGGAGTCAAGACGGGAAAAGCCCACATAACCCCAACTTCAGGTCTTGTTATCCTTCGATGAGGCACCATCAGTACCCGCCGAGATAAGAGTAGGCGCCACACGGCGTCTCTTCGGCGGCTGCTGCGATGCACTATTTGGTTCTTCCTTGCCCTCTTCTTTTTCAGACTCACTTGCAGGCCTTACATCACGCTTACCCAGCACGCTAGCACCGGTCGTAGTGGACCCATTCTGCGGAGCGCCTGAGATAGGCGTTTGTGGTGGGGTTGTCAGCGGGAGTGTTGGTGGCTGCGCAGAATGTGTTGCTGTCACCGACGGGACAGTCCCGAGTGTGGGAGTAGGGTTATTCACGACTGCTGCAGGGGTAGGCTGTGTGGAAGGCTGTGTCGCGACTGAGCAGGCGGAGTTGGACCGCGCGGGACTAGCTGGTGGTACGGGACCTGTGCTATTTGAGGATGTATGGCTCGTCTTGACTGGAGATGGCACATGTGGAGACGCCGAGTGCGTTGGCGTCAGCAGAGGTGTGACATTCGTCGCAGGGGTGCTTGCGTTTGCTGCATTGTGAGCTACAGAGGTTGCTCCTGTGTAGGGTTGGCCCAGCTCTCCAGGTGCGAACGAGAGTGTAGAACAGAAACCATCAGAGGAACTCATGATCAATGTTAACCCATCGGCGGACCTGTTGTGCGTTAGGAAGCAATACGTGGGACCAAGAATAGAAACAGTACTTACCAGGTCAAGTCAGTAAAAGTAGCAAAATGCAAATTGCTAACAATGCATAGCGGGGTTTGTTGTTGCGTGTCATATACCAAAACAGCATCTTGAGTGGCAACAGCATATACAATGCGATAAGGAAGTGCAAAGACGGGTGCTGAGCTCTGGCTTGCTTCATTGCTGCCGTCCTCGGCAGGTTTTGTGGATGGCTGAAGCTTTGATGGCTCGGCGGTCGTTGATGATGGAGGGACCATGTGGGGTTGGCTAGTGAAAGATGGGTTTTCCGATACCACGGGGTCTGGAAGAGATGAGAACGTCTCCTCGCCTGAAGACGTATCAAGGGTAATGTTTTTCGCAGGCTGAGTGCCCTGCTTCAACGTGTAAAAGACCGGGGAGCATTTGACAGCTACAGAGGGCTTCTTGTGCCCTGGAAGATGAGAGATCGGGGGTTTGTTGAAACCAGCCCGTGTGTAGACGTAAACCGTGTTGATAATCTCGTCTGTCGTCTTTGTAGAATCCGTAGCTGATACGTGACTGGTTTTGAATTGACCAGCTGGTGTGAACAGCAGACTTCCGTCAGGAGCAAAAGTCAGTCGCCTGAAGAAAGAAGTAAACGTCTCGTTGGCATAGATGCTGGCATTCTTGACACCCAGCCCACCGAGACTTGGGGAGGAGACCTCCAATGGCTTAACGGCGGGCAACGGGAGGGACGGAGCAGGAGACGCAGACCGTCGGATCGAAGGAGACGAGCCGAACGACGAACGCCGACTGTGTGAGACTGGAGGAGGATCCATGGGGAGATTGGAAGCCATTGGGGTCCCTGGAGTCGAGGGAGCAGGCGAGGCAATAGCAATGGAATTTCCAGTGCTTTGTTGAGACCGGCTAGGCACATCTGGAGGCGCAGGACTGCCAGATGCGATACGTTTGGCAGGGAGATCCATCTTGAGCACCTTCCCGTGTGGTGTCAATGTGAATTGTCCGTCCTTGGTCTTCAAAGTGTAAATATGAACGGATCGGTCGGACGATTGAGTCGCAACAAACTCGTTGAGCGGGTCCCATGCTACACCTTGGACATAGTGAGAATGCTCGGCAATCTGTCGTACCATTTGCCCTGCAGGATTCGGTCAGGTTATCGAGCTATATGAAGATTGCCCGAGGATAACTAACCGGTTTGGGCATTGTAAATCCGTGCGATGTTGTCCATGCTGCCTGTAATGATGAAAACACCATCGGGAGACCAGGCCAGGTCGTAGATCTCGGCGCCGGACGAGCGACACATGTGCTTCACTCGCCAGGTCTCTTTATCGTCCGAGCGATCTTCACCCAGCCCAGGTTGTGTCTGTATCTCCGACGGTACCCAGAGTAGGACATTTCCATCATCTCCGGCAGATGCCAGCATCTCACCTACATCCGTCAGGCTTGCAGTCATATGCTGTCCTGCGGAAGAACATACCTTTTGGGCTGAAGCGGACCACATTGACGGCTTGTGTATGCTTAATCAGAGTACTCAGATAAGCGACTTTTCTTTCTTCCCCAGTAGACTCGACTTTCCAGAGCTGTAGAACATGTCAGATCAAGGTGTGCGAAGGGTGGCGGAGGACGGGTTCATACTCGGACGTTGTTATCACTAAAGAGGAAGCAGTCAGTAAAATCGCTCAACACCCTGAGAGGACAGACACAACCTACTTTCCAGCAGTAGCTAATCGGCCCTTGCCATTGGGGTCGAAATGCACCGAGTAGATAGGGGCATTGTCATTATGCCATGAGATGAGCAACGGGGTGGCCTTCATGGCGAACGCCGCAGCTCAGCCTGTTGAGGGCCACCGGTTTCGAGTAGGGAAATATGGCCTGGAGAGAGAATAGAGACTTTCCGAGTCCAATGATCAACCAGGTATCTGTTTCTGCCAGGTGATATCCGGGGTAGTGGATTGAATTGAAGAGGATTCAGTAACTCCGGGGCTGAAGAGATGGGGAGGTGTAATTCAAATAGGAAAGAAGATAAAAAAGATGCGACAGTTGGGAGAGTTTGAGTAAGGGAAAAGAGAGAGTCGTGATTCTCCGATGATGCTTCGAGTTGTTTGCGCGGGAGAACGCGACCGACGATTAGATAGGCTACGGGAGGGCTTTGTATTGACAAGATGGACATTCTTGGTTATTATATATATTATAAATTTCTGTATGTATAATATGTATATAGCATTCTATATCTATTAGATTATATCACTGGATTGTTTATAGTAGAGATGTTCTTGTTTCGATTTCAATCTCTATCCGAAGTCATACCCAGCCCTAGAGGTAAGCACTAGAGAAGCACCGGGGTAGATAGATTTTAGAAAATCAGGACAGATAGAGGCAGCTAAAACCGAAATGACCTCGAAGACTACACTCAAGTGTAAATATTACTCTCTATGGAGTATTATGGGAAAACAGCTATACAAATGTAACTTAAAGAACCCCCAACGCCTCTCCAGTCGCCATTCAAAGCATTCAAAGCAAATAGTACATATGTAGATACAAGAATTCAGAGTCCCTTATGATAGCCACTTGCCGATAGTCTCTCCAAACCAGCTAACAGCTTTTTCCTGTCGCTTCTGTCGAGCGTCGTCATGAGTCTTCATGAAGGGCGCAGCCTCCTGCGCATACATCTTGTGCTGTTCCCGCTGCGCATAGTGTGCGCGAATCTCCAACTCTCGCTCATGTGGCGTGAGCTTCTGTAATGGCTTCGACGGTTTGAGCTCTTCCGGGATTGTCTCTCCTCCAGGGATCTCAAGGCCAACTTCCGGAGTTTTCGATGGCTTCTCTGGGTTGAAAAGCGATGTGAGAGGCGGTGGCTCAGTTCCAGCGGCCTTTGCCTCCTCAACTCGCTTCTCGTAGTCTAGCATCTGGTGGTAGAGTTTGTCGGCATGCATCTGAATGCGCTCCTCTTTCTCGGCGTCGTATTCGAAGCTAGATGCGTAACCGAGAGCTTGGAGGAATTTCTGTTTAACGGGAAAGAATTAGAATTGACGTGATCGAGAAAGCCATACATTGTGGCAGCAACTCACAGTCTGGGTCATAAAACATCGCGAAAAGGTGCCATTCTCCGCCGAGCACATGGTCAGCCGGGCTTCAATTTGCTTGCGCCAATTGCCGGTCTTGAAACAGTATGTCAAGGCTTCATGTTCCAAGGCACAGTTCTCCATTGCTGCTCGCTGCACTGTGTCCCCGCGCTCCTTGTACTTTTCAATCACTCGTGACGCCCCGCGGACTCCGGATTGCTCGTCGAGCTCCATCGGCGGCTTGTAGGTTTTCCATAGATCCGCATAACGGCCATCTGGGTAGAGTGATGCTGCAGGAACTTTGGGTTTCGAGGGATCAGACGGTTCAGGTGATTGCGCGGGCGCCGAGGGCGTTGAGGGCTTCACATTGGGTCCAGGCACATATTTGTCGGGCTTCTCCTGTTCGAGATAGTCACGAAGCCCCGGGTCGAGCTTTTGGACCGTATCGTTTTTGTCACCCCAAAACCAACCCATTTGGAAACACCAGTTCGAGAATAATCAAGAATGTGCAACAGCTGGAGTGTTGAAAGTTGAGAGCGCGGAGAAATCGGCACAAAAATGGATCGGCTCCGATCATCTTGGCTCCGACCGCTCGCCTTTACTCCTCAACCATCAACACGACGCGTCTTTTCGACGCCGTTCCTCCAAAATGGAAGCCTGTATGTGCTGTCATGTTGTGTATCTTTATGTGTGTGTATGATTGCTAACAATTGGCAGCGCGAGAGGAGCGGCAGCTGATGCGGCAGCGCGGAGCTGGGTACGCGTCTTGCCTATACCCCGCGAAACCATAACATAGAAACTGACTTTGCTGGTACAGGACGCGCAAAGCAAAAGAAGTTGATTTTGGGTTCTCATTTGGTAGTCCAGCGCTTGGATTGTCAGCGCCCGCACCACTTGCGACTGTCCCTGAAGCTCAGAATCCACCGCGAACACAGACCGCGCCGAATACAACACCACGACCGTTAGAGGTATCGCGACCAGGATCGCAGGCCGGGGGCATTGAGCGCACGCCGGGAAGTGCGCGCAACAAGCTCCCAGAAAGGCCCTCGACATATGAAATACCTTCTTCCGATGATAGAGCCGAACAAACGCGAAGCAACAAGAGGAGAAAGATCAGTATGTTATGGACCGGGCTGGCTTTCTACGCTAGAAATGTGTGCTAATGCTTCTTCAGGTTCTCCTGATGTAACAGAGGATACTCCTTCTCGTCGGAATGGTGGGCGACCTGAGAATGGAGATGCACACCCGTTGAGAATAGTGCAGGTAGCACAGAGTCTCAAACAAGCCACACCCAGGCATCACCGAATACAGATACACCTCTACTATCAGAAATAACGAACAATGAGTCCTCACAGCCTCACACCTCACCAATTCCGGAAGCCTCAGTCCAAGATCAACAACCGATAGAAGAGGGGACCAACGGCGTGGAACCAACAACATCAACAGCCGAAGAGCAACTAGCCCAAGGCACATCTCTAGTATCTGTTCCTGCGGCGCCTTCAGTAGCTGGAGAATTCCAAGCGCCACTTTCATCACCTGAAGCTTTCGAACAGCCTGAAAACACAGAACAACTACGCAAGAGACAACATAACACTCGGTCACCACCACGGCCTGAGGAGCGAATCCAAATAAACAAGAACGCAGAAACCGCTTCTCCAGTTCAGACAGATATATCTGCCACAAAAGCCTCATCACCACGTGGTACCTCCGCCGAGGCTCTTGAAGCTAGCCATGCGGCGACTACTAATGATGTCGATATGACTGAGGATGTTCCGCCATCCAAAGATGATGCATTAGAGCAAGACAACCGGACGTTTCAAGGGCCTTCTACGAAGAAAAAGCCTCGCGGTCGCCCGCAGCATCAACCTACCGCAAACACTACCCCGGAACTTAATGTGGAAGCCGCTGTGCAGGAACCTGCGAGTGAGGCACAATATGAGCCCGCAGCAGCCCAAGTTGAGGAAGCCCCAAAGACGAAACGGCCTCGTGGGAGACCCTCGCTTAACAAGAAGGCCATTGAAGCTATCGAGACTGAGCAGATTTCACCCGAGGCTACACCAAATGTCGCGGAGTCCCCTTCGGGCCCACGTCGGGGTCACAAGCCAACGTCACAAAATGATGACCAGCTGGAAACTGTGGTGGAATCGGCAGTGCCCAAGCCACGTGGCAGACCCGGGAAGAAAGCGAAACACGCAGTGGAGCCTGAACCCGAGCCTGAGCCTGTGGCAGCAGACCAAGCAGAACCAGAGACAGAATCTGCAATCCCCAAGCCACAGCGTGGCAGACCTGGAAAGAAAGCGAAACGTGCAGCCGAAACTGAACCGGAGCCCGAGTCTGAACCTGCGACAGCAGACCAGCCTGAACCAGAGGCAGAATCTGTGGTACCTAAGCCTCGTGGCAGGCCCGGGAAAAAGACTAGACATGCAACCGAACCTGAGCCCGAGCACGAGACAGAAGATGAACCAGAACCCGAAGTAGAATCCACAGTATCTAAGCCCCAACGTGGTAGGCCCGGAAAGAAGGCCAATCGTGCAATTGAGCCTAAGCCTGAGCCTAAGCCTGTCGCAGAAGAGCAGCCGGAGTCTGAAGCGGAATCTGCAGCACCCAAGCCACAGCGCGGCAGACCTGGCAAGAAGGCTAAGCGCGCAGTGGATCCCGAGCCTGAACCTGAGACAGAACACCAACCCGAGCCTGAGCCTACGCAAGAACAGCCTCGTCGCAAGACTCGGGAGCCTCGTGGAGAAACAGTCCCGGTCACCGTTTACCGTCTCGCGAATGTCAATTCTCTAGGTGGCAAAGCATCTACGGCCGACGGGTCTGGCGACGAAGAAGAATCCGCCGATGAACTCACCACCCACCAGAGGGCCAAGATACCCAACCGGGGTGGTGTCAACCCGGCCGATGTATTGAGCCAGATCTGCCGCGAGACTCTGGAGAAGACACTCAATACACTCAAGGATGGGATCGCGAACGAGGCGAATGCTACGCGACGTGCAGAGTGGTCCCGCAAGAGAAAAGCCGTTGAAGTATTTGGCTCGGAGCTTGAGAGCCGGCTCATGGATCTAAGCGGGATACTCGATAGCAATTTTGTGCTTGGCGTGCAATTGAAGAAGGCCAAGCGGGAGATGATGGATCTACGGAATCATCTATACCGGGTCCGTCGAGAACGCGAGAACATAGCTTTGCAGATGGATGCAGTGCGCAGCAGACATATCGAAGGGGAGAAGGCCAAATCGGTGAGATCTTTCCATATTATCCCCTGAAAACATCACTAACAATAGTCCCTAGTCACGATCCGCGATCAACAATTCCCTCCACAGCCTTGAATTGGCCCTCGACCGTAACAAGCAACGGTCTGCATCTGTGGATTCTTCTACAGATCTTGAATATATGCTTCGCACCGTTGCCGACGTGAGTTCTCGGGCCCCTGGAGCACAAGGCGGTCTCTTGAATCAAATCCGGGCGTTCAATGCCCAGCTCGAAGCTACTGTTGGTCGCCTGGAGCGATGATGTCTACTTTTTTGTTCTGCATTCTTCTACAATTCGTTATGATACCAGGAACAGTGTTTGTGCGATGATTATTATAGTCTATGGCTGGGCCAGAAGATGGCGTTTGGCGATATTTTCACCTGTACAAGTCCCATGCCTAAGTACATAGGTAGCCCATGTTACTTTCATACTTTCAGCTACTATTGAATGTCAAAGAAACATCACGAATCTCCAATTTATGAGCTGCTATTCTACACCATATAACCTTAGTGGCCAATAGATCTTGGCGTCTATTTTGTATTATTAATTTCCCCGAGTCAGGGCTGGAGTGGGCCAACTAGCAACGAATCAGAATCGCCACTCGCCCCTCTCGGCGACTAAAGACATTGCAAGACTCGGTCTCATACTCTTAAAAGCATGATAATCTCGGGAATCACCTTAACTCCGCTGCTTTTTAAGCCAAGTGGAGCACCGAAGTTCAACGAACCATGCAGATACTGCGAATATATAAAAGCCATGGCCACTCACTCCAAATGTATTCCAAACTCTTAAACCAATTGAACCCATTCAAATAAAATAAAACCAAAATGACCAAACTCTTCACCCCCCTCCGCGTCGGCCGCGCCGAGCTCTCCAACCGCATCGCCATGGCCCCAATGACCCGCTTCCGCGCCGACGACAACCACACCCCCCTCCCCATCGTGAAAGACTACTACGCCCAGCGCGCCTCCGTCCCCGGCACGCTCCTAATGACCGAAGCAACCTTCATCTCCGCCCGCGCCGGCGGATACCCCAACGCACCGGGCATCTACAACGACGCCCAGATCGCCGCCTGGAAAGAAGTAACCGACGCCGTGCACGCCAAGGGCAGCTACATCTACCTGCAGCTGTGGGCGCCAGCCGAGTCGCCAGCGTCGATCTCCTCCAAGCCTCGGGCTACGATCTCGTCTCTAGCAGTGCGACGCCGGCGAGCGCAGACGCACCCGTACCGCGCGCACTATCCGAGTCCGAGATCCACGAGTGGATCGCGGACTATGCGCAGGCGGCGCGGAACGCCGTTGCGGCGGGCTTTGATGGCGTCGAGATCCATGCTGCTAATGGGTATTTGATTGATCAGTTTACGCAGGATACGTGCAATGCGCGCGATGATGCGTGGGGTGGGAGTGTTGAGGGGCGGGCGAGGTTCGCGGTTGAGGTTTCGCGCGCTGTTGTTGAGGCTATTGGCGCTGATCGCACGGGGATTCGATTTAGTCCTTGGAGTACGTTCCAGGGGATGCGGATGGGGGACCCGAAGCCGCAGTTTGAGTATCTGGCGGAGCGGATGGCGGAGATGGGACTTGCGTATGTGCATTTGGTTGAGTCGAGGATTGCGGGGAATGCTGAGGTTGAGGCGGATGATGACTTGGATTTCTTCTTGAGGGCTTATGGGAAGGCTTCGCCGGTCATTGTTGCTGGGGGGTATGTGGCTGATTCGGCGGTTCAGGCGGCTGATGTTAAGTATGCGGAGTATGATGCTATTGTTGGTATTGGGCGGCCGTTTATCTCGAACCCGGATTTGCCGTTCCGTGTTCAGATGGGGATTCCGTTTGTGCCTTATGATCGGAATACTTTCTATGTTCCCAAGGATCCCAAGGGATACACTGATTATGCGTTCAGTGCTGAGTTCCAGAAGTCTATTGAGGCTGCGGCTTGATTTGGGGTTGGTTTGGTGTCATGATTGCTTAGCGATGTTTGTATAGACTGGATGTATATAAAGATATACATGTTTAGAACAGCCCTAAAATATAGGATGTATGTATAATTGGCGCTTAAACACCTTCGTAAATTCACTTCAGGCTGTGCCGTGACGAGATCCCAGATTCCCATTCTATTCTTTAGTGCTTTGGATTGGTTAGTATGAGTTCTCTGGTCAGAAGCAATCTTGCCCTCCTTCCATTCCTCGAATGCCGCAAGAGCCATTTCACATGTAAGTTCTCACAGCTAAACACGAAAGCCGCGCTACCTATGGGTCCGCTCCCTGCTCAAGCAAGATGCGTGCAATTTGATCTCCAGACAAAGAATCGGTGATCCTCGTCCCCAGTGACTGCCCAGGTGGGCATTGAGTGCCACTGAGTATGTAATCAATGAACACCCCCGAGGCCAATGACGATCTATCACTCCACACATGACGTTTGCGCATGGTATTGACCCTGCTCGTCTCAGATCGAAAAGCGGGGAAACTCCGGGGGATGCATATGCATCTACATAAGCAGAACTCGGTAGATGTGATAACCCGAAAAAAAGGGAATTCCCCCACAATACAGAGACCCGGTTTTACAAAAACGTGGCCTCCGACTTGGCGAAAAAAAAAAAGTTCCGCTCCGCCGAACCGAAAATACACAGCCGAGGGTAGAAAGAGTAAAGTCAACCGTGGATTCTATGGGGTATATGGGGTATTGGGGTATGTATTGGATTTTGGGATCAGATGAACAGAATGTGGAGAGAATTGCCAATTCGCCAAGTTTAATAATCGCTAAATCGTACTTCGTACATACGCACGATGTTTCAAGGCTCACTACTATGTTCCAAGACTTCGTATCCCGCGCTATATATATATATTGTAAGATCGCATGACGCACGATGCTCGTTAGGGATACGATCGACCAGGGCTGAGAAAGCTATCCCCGCACTGTGTCGCCATATTAAGCAGGGAGCAACGCCAAGTTCCCAGGACATCCGGGGGAAGGGAGCTGTTCTTGGAATTGGCACCTCCATGCCAGCAATTATTGATCCGTGCATTGTAGACGAGATTGCTATTATTGGTTGAGAAGGGGTTGAGATGTGGAATTATGAACTGTCAATACAATATATAGGTATGGAGTATGTTTGTATGGTGCCACCTTTGATAGAGCAGAGTTTGCGCTCGGTTCAGGTCTGGATCGCAAAAATGGATCAAAAGGAAATTGATTAACGGCAATTCCTTGTTCTGTTAGATTGCTTTTTCATGCCCTATGCATGCGTCGTAGAAATAAATAAAAACAGGCTAAATTGACATGGAAATAAGAATAAACTCCGTACTCCGTATAAAACTCTTTCATGATTTAAGGGTTTAAGGGAAAGTTAAAAAGGCCACATGGCCCGAGAGGATAGAATTTCACCTGGCACGTTGCCTTTGTGGCGTGTATTGTTTATTATTGCTACTTGGCGGACGCCACCAACCCAAGCTATTGCTCGGGTATTTTCAGTACAATATTGTACAATCTGGGGAGAATCCTTCGCGTCCACTCTCCGTTTCTTGTTGTTTGAGGGCTACAACGAGAGCTTAGCAAGACATCGGATGATTGTCGCACAACATAAGTGGACCTATTATTGCTACACAACTATATACGATGTACGGCGTATGTTATACCCTGTACGAAGACATACCGTCCTGACGGGATCTTGCATAATATCATTTCCGAGGTCTGAAGGACAAAGAACCTTGTCACTGTTGCAAGGCTACCTTGTTGCCACGACATCAAGCCTAAATTATACACGTTAGTCCAAATTCGACCGGAATCTCTGCCCCGGCCCGAATCTCAAGCCAGTACGGAAGCTCCGTCCAAAGTAGGCACAAATGATTGGAACAGAGACGCCCACAGACATCCAGGGATCCACTATGTCTGCCGTTAGCGTTAGTTGTAAATCCTATCGCAGAGCCACCTGTGGAGACGAAGCTTGACACGCTTGCATCTCTCCGGAGTAGCTTCTCGCACATCACGCGGTTACGAGAGAAAAATAAAGAAAAGAGAAACCAGGTCCGGGCCTCATGCGCCGATCCAGGTTCCCCCCCGGACTGATGGCCCGTTTGAGAGAACGGAGAACACACGGCAGGAATGGTTAAACTGGTTCGTGGCAGTGTGCCGCCATCTTACCCTCTTTTTTTTTGCAGATCAGTCTGGATATGACATTTCGTTCCCGTTTCCCCGAGACTTGAAACGCAAATGGCCTAAACTTGGACCTAAACGGCCTCCACGCGGTTGTCTGGTACGCCGTAGTCTGTTTGATGTGTGGTAGGTGCATGGTTAGTGTATCCGTGCTTCGTGTCCGGTCTGAAAAAAGGGGCAAAAGGGGGATTGTGTGTGAGACTTGCGCTAAGTGGGGGAGAATATGAATATCACAGAAGTAAACAATAATAATACACGCAGGGAATTGTAATCCTTGCACATATGTATGAAATGGGAATAAATAGGAATTTTGATCTCAGTATGAATTCATTGGTGCGTAATTCTGTCCGGATATATCAGCCTAAAAAAGTCCCGAGCTCTACATATGTACTCCGTACTACAATTTATATCACAGCACAAAGTACTCTTTCTTTTCCGGCGCATTGAATCTCTACCAACCCAGACAGGTGACTGAACCATTTCATAATCCGTTACTGGGCAACAACTGGAATGAGGCAAAATACCTCAGCTAGACCGAGGTCGTGACGCAGTCTCGGCCCGGTGTACTGAATACCGGGATTTACCACCGGACCCCCCCAACAAAGTCTCTTCTACCTGGGCGAGTTCCATTGCGCTAAAGTACGTGCATATGCACGATGTACGGAGTACTGGAATAAAGTGGACTCGATGATCATGGAAATCTTAATGTCTCCTAAACTCATAAATTTCTGTATGCTGTAGGGGCTAGGAAGATCTATGGAGTATACAACATAGATTGAGAGAATTCAAATGGATTATACAATATTATACAATATCATATACAAATGTACATGCAACCTTAGTATTTATGCATTAAGTTAAGCAAGTTAAGCAAGTTAATAGAGTTATAATGAATTATTCTCCAATTCTCTACCAATCATATCATTCCCCCGTCTCTCCAGGGCTCTCCACTTTCTTCCCCAGGCTAAGTTCCTTTCATCCTTATTACCAAGACGATTACCAAGACGGTCCCCCATTCCTCCGTGCCGTCCCTGCATGGCTAATTTGACATTCGTTCTATGGTCTTTTTTTTTTCTTTCTTTTTTTTTTCTATTTTTTTTCCTTCTAATTTTCTACCTGTGAAACAATTTAGCAAATTTCATGCAAGCCTAAAAACTGGATATTCGTATATTTACTGAGCATTTCCCCCGATATCACTTTTCTCCTTTTCTCTCCACTTTATATTATTCGAGACTTGACTGTGGGAACGGGTCTGCACATCATTGGTATATGTAATTTATAATACCGACCAAATACCAACCTCGTAAGTTTCCACACTTGCCCCAATCCAATTTTCAAGGCCTTCACAGCTTTGGGAGTATAATAGCTTCCTTTCCCCCATCCCTGTTCTCCCATCTCTCTCGCCCCAAGCTGTGCTTGACTTGAAATCCTTTCTATTATCCCTATAACTGTGTTATAGGCTTTACCTTTTACCTTTTACCTTTGACTTTTTTTTTCCTCTTACCTTCCTCATTTTAACGACAATTAGACCCCATCATGTCTGCGACTGAAGGAATCAATAACGCCGACCACGCCCAGATGGAGAAGGACGTGGGTCCCACTCCCTCCCCCCAGAACGGTGGCAACGGCGCTCCCATGCAGCCCCAGATGTCCGCCGAAGAGCACCAGGTAGCACGCGCCGCCGCGCGCTTCGGCTACGGACCTCTCGCCCACGTAAACACCGCCGAAGCATCCCTCCCCCCTTCGGTGGTGAGTTCCAGCCCGGTCTGTACAAGTCCGTCGAGGGTCGCAAGTTCGCCAATCCCGCTCCTCTGGGCCTGTGCGCTTTCGCCCTCACCACTTTCGTCCTGAGCGCCGTCAACATGGGTACTCTGGATATCTCCCACCCCAACATTGTTGTTGGTCTTGCTTTCGGTTACGGTGGTCTCGTTCAGCTGCTTTCCGGCATGTGGTATGTATCCGTAACTTCCGCGGCCCTGTGGGTTTCCCGGCTATGTTCTGCGGCTAATACGCGCTTTTTTTTTTAATAGGGAAATGGCTGTCGGTAACACTTTCGGTGCTACTGCTCTCTCCTCCTACGGTGGTTTCTGGCTCGCGTTCGCTATCGTCTTGACCCCCGGCGGGTTCCAGATTGGTACTGCTCTCGGCGAGTTCAGCTCTGACCCTTCCGAATTCTATAACTCCATGGGTCTTTTCCTGATGGTAAGATCTTGCATCTTTTTCTTTCCACCAGATAGACAATGCGCAAGAGATCATCCCGCTGACAATGTCTCAACAGGGCTGGTTCATTTTCACCACCATCATGTTGTTCTGCACCCTCAAGTCCACCGTCGCCTTCTTCCTGCTCTTCTTCACCCTGGACCTGACCTTCCTCCTGCTCGGTATTGCCTACCTGCAGCGCGGTCCTGACGGCCACCCCAACGCCAACATCCAGAAGGCCGGTGGTCTCTTCGGTTTCCTGGCTGCTTTCGCTGCCTGGTACAATGCCCTCGCTGGTATCGCCGATACTAGCAACAGCTTCTTCATCATCCCCGTCGCTCACTTCCCCTGGTCTCCCACTGGCCGTGTTCGCCGTGGTAAGACTGACCGTGAGCTCGCATAAGCGATTCTTTCTTCCTTTTTTCTTATTGGAAAAGAGATGGGGATGCGGAGTGCCTGCTTGTAATGTTTTCGATACCCAGTCTTGTATGTATAGACTGCAGATAGACTGAATTCCTTTTCGTTTTGTGCTCATCGACACGTTCGCTCGTCGTCGGTTGGGTTGCGGTTCGGAGGTCTGTCTGTTCGTCTGTGACTGTTGCTATGGACAGATGATCAATACGGAACATCATGTCCAAGCGCAGTTGCAAAATATCCGCCAGTCATCTCTTCCATAATGTCGATTGATGCTGGTTGTAATTTTTCGGGGAGCACTCGGGCGATCTGTTGTGCTCTCTGGTTTTTCCTTTTTTCCTTGCTGTATTTAGTCTCCTTACCTGCGAGTTTTTGTGACTCAGTAATTAATTCATCAAACATTCTCCAAAGTCCTTTCCACCTCTTGTTTCATCTTGTAGACTGTTGTCCGAGGGCTGTCCAGTCGATATCTTCACCTTGTGCTTGCTCTTGTTCGGTGTTGCAGTGCTGTTGTTGTTAGCATGAAGAATTGTCAAGGCAACCCAAAGCCATGCATGCGAGTCAATTAGGTCATTGTTGCGAGTACAAACGCCATCCATGGACGCAATGCATCCATCACAGAGCAATATCTCTGCACTGGCACCTGTCATCAAATCATCCAAGCATATGCATGGCTAGTCAAGCACTCTGACCTCGTCTGAAGGCCGACAAGCCATGTATAGCATGGTAGTGATGCATGAAATGACAGTCATCCAGTGAAGGTAAAAAGTGAAAGACAAAGTCCGAATGTCTTATATTAGCAAAAAAAAGAAAGAAAGGGCTTGTTTCAGAAGGAAGAACAAGTAATAGGGGGCAGGGGAGTATGTATATACCCCCGAATGAGTGTTTTTCTCAGAACCAGCAGAGCCTACCTAATATACCTACAACACCCTTGACCAGCCACGGAATCAAGACACCCGACAGTGGAGATGGGTGAGATCACGTCGGTATTTTTCTCGGTCTGTCTGAAACCTGTAGACCTGCAGAGCTGACAGGGTGACTGATAAGCCAAGAATTGTGGATTCCGAAGACTTTCATACTTCATGGTGTAAAACATAGTTGTTATCACATACTTCCTTTCGAAAGTATGTGTATATCCGGTTTAATCGACGAAAGAAAAGTGAAGAGATAGCAAAAATGTACTCTAAAAAAGAAGAAAAGAAAACCAGACAACCGAATAAGCCAGAAAGGCCAAGCAAGCTGGAGTTGCGACATCTATCAAAAATCGCGCAACGCCGAGCCAAAGCCGTCCGGCTGAAAATCGGTACAAGCTCGGCGGGGGCTTCTACAGCGTATCAGCTCCGTCGTAGCGCGAAAACGGCCGGAGATTGTTCGGGAATCGGGATGCCGGGCTTATCTTCGTGGACTGATGGGCGTTGCATGCCGAGAATATGAAGTATGCGTCGGGTTTGGTCGGGATGGTGTGCTTGGCCTCGGTGTTGAGTTGTTCTTGTCAGGGGGGGCTTGGTATCTTGGCTGTTTGAAGGGACGGCATAGTTATTGTATATTGTATGTTGATCTGAGTAATTGGGTAGCAACATGCTGCAAATACTAAGTGCATTTAGTTCCAGGAGTGGTCCGTTGGGTAGATAGGCTGTATGGCTATTTGGAGAGGAGTCGTCAATCATTGGAATACAACTATGTACGCTATATCTTCACTCATGGGCTGGGTAGCAAGACGGCAAGTCTGAAACCTGAGAATATACTTGAAGGAAGCGGATGTATATAACCAGCTTTGAGGAAGCTAGATCTATTACGGCAGAGCCAAGTAGCCAAGTTCATTCTGCCGGTGGTTCATCTACCTGGAAATGACACTCATCCCAAATCTGACGAAGCATAGGCAGGTGAATGCGATCGACATAGAAAAAGCCCAGCAAAATTGCCCGCGCCTCCTGCCACGAGTGGACTCCCTGCAGCCGCGCAGCATTGGCCAGTTCAGATACGAAGAAGGCCCGCTCGGACGGCAGGGTTAGACTGCAAGCCGCGCCCAAGAACAGCTGCCAGAGGAGCAGGTCGCGACAGAGCGCGAATAAGCCTGATGGGATGGTCGCCTCGAGGGCAGTGCGCAGAGCCTGGATCGGCTTGGGCAGCAACTGGCCGATCATTGGATAGAAGTTCCAGATGGCGCTGTTGTGGAATAGCAGTAAAGCAAGACGGGTGCAGCCCTCGATGGAATTGTCACCCTTTACCTGGCCAGTTGCTGTGTATCGATCTGTGTGCAGTTGGTATTCTACGTGCAGCACTTCGGTGTTGAAATAGTCCTCCGTCTCCTCGTTGAACTCTTTGTATCCAGTGTTGCCTTTGATCCATTCTGCATACCAGGATAGTTCGAGGAGATCATATACGATTTGCGGCATGGCTTCGCCGAATATACCGGGTATTTTGAGTAGAGGGAAGAGGCGAGTGGAAAGTAATGCTACGTCGTCGTTGGGTGGGATGAGAGATAACCGCGCCGGGCGGGTGTAGCGGACAAAGGGGAATATAGGTTTGGCGTGGGCCATGCAAGCAACTCGAATATCAGTCCTGATTGCGAGGTTAGCAAGCTTTGCATCCAATTATGAAGAGGTATACCGACCATGAGATCTGGAACCGCACGTCTGAAGGAACATCGTCAAAGTTCTTTCGCAGTGCGATCATCTGGCGCAAACCTGCCAGATGAATTTTGAGATAATCGGGATTCCCCGACGCAATCTACAATCAGGTGTAAGCTTCAGTAATCGCAAACCTGATTGCTGGAGTATACTCACTTCAATTGTCAATAAGGTAGAAACTGCAGCAATCAAAACATCACTGGAAGCCTTGACGGGGTCTGACAGGCCCTCGTTGACCAGTCGAATAGTCTCACCACGGTGATGGAACGTATCGATCACTAACTGACTCCGCTTTTGTTTTGGATCACGAATGGGTAGCTCGCCTGCACGCATAGCGTCATTGGACGTAGCCATACAAATTGTAGCATGAAGAATAGCGGGATCGCGCTGGATCAAGGACGCCCAATGCGCCTGCAGCTTAGGCTTATACCGCGTCTGCAATGGATGCGCTTCTTGTGTCAGATCCCAGAGGACTATATCCACGTTAGTATACAGGCTCCACCATATAATGATCAGTTTCAAAAAGGAAGACACTCACAGACTCGCAGGTGTCGCATCATTCTATCTGTGAGCTGTGTATGTCCAGTATTAAAAGGATCATTAGCTCCTTGTCCCACGTAAGACCATGCAGATGGTCCAGCGGGGTAGACCATCGTCCCACCAAAGCTACAGTCATCCCACGATGCAGTTTGCGTAGCAGGGTATCCCACAGCCGTTGATGTGACAACCTCCTCGACCTGTTCTAGCTCTTGTTCATCTGTGATTTGGCTGGTGGGCAAGCTGGTGGACGAGGTAATAGACGGACGGGGAGGCTCAGCAGGTACGAGCGCCCCGGGAGTCGTCGTCGGTGGCTGATAAGACGAGTGGTTCCATTTGCTCTTATTGTACTGTTCCGTGCTCTCCATTCGCTTCTTGCGATTATGCTCGGACATAACATGGGACCGAATCCGCTTTAGGGTCTCGTCCGTTGTGCCTGCCGCAGCAGTTTGTTGATCACTGTTGACCCAAAATAACGTCGATTTCCCCGCAGATGCATTGTCATTTTTGCGGGTTTTGCGTACCCTGGTGGTTGTCTTGCGACTGGGAGCTGTAGGGGGCGGTGGAGGTGGCGGTGGAGGGGCTGGAGGAGTTGAGGCCACGGTCTGTACAGGGCGTATATTGGGATCGAAGTGGATGGGAGCTGCATAGGGGGAGTGGATCGGATCGGCCGCCCAAGCCGCAGCCGATGGCCGAGACAGCACGGGCAAGGTCTGCTCGTAACCCGGTAAGAGGTCCTTGGCGTTCATCGAGCTTATTTGGACGTTCGAGGCATTACCTATGTTGGAGAAGGGAGCACTGGAGGTTTAGAAGAGGACAAACTTCCTTTCCGGACCGGCGGGGTAGAAATCACAGGAAATTTGGATTCTTCACATTGCAGGACGAATCATCGGGCCCGCTAAGAGCTCTAGTGGAATCCGACAGGTTTATTTTAAAGGATTTAGGGCAATTAGGAGGTTTAAGGGGTTTTAGGTGTTTTAGTGCATTTATGATTTTTTTCTTTGTTTTTGTTTTTCCAGAATCAAAATAACACCCTTTCCAGGGACTGCAACAACAGTCGCAAGTTCCAATATCCACTTGACCTTGAAGATACGAAGTTATATTCACCGAGCTTGTTTCTTTTTGAGGTCAGGTGGCGTTGAAAAAGAGTGATGACACATGTTGTGCGGACACATCGTGATCTACTATGATCATCACCACCTTGAGATTCATGAAACACCAATATGCGGAGATAACCCTGTATATTGAATGATCTGCATTTTGGCCCTCTATGTGTTCATTACAAAATATCTCTAACGGCCAAAAAGCCCTAGACGTCAAGTCAAGATTTTCCCCTGTCAGCACTAGCCTTGGACCTGTTAAAGTGGGCAGTGGGCATGGTATAGCCAGAGACCGTGCGACTGCAGTTTCAGAATTACGATTTTTTCCCGTCTTTATTGGAGTACACAGATTGCCTTAATGTCAAATCTGAGCTCTGCCAAGGTAGATTACGTACATATCTACGATATACAATATTTGATGTAGGTAATACCAGGGCTAGTTGTACACGGAAACATCCATGGTCTACTTAGAGCGGGAAGCAAGATAGAACGAATGAGATAGTCAAGTGAAGATAATCTAACGGACGTCGGGTTCATTCCGCAAATCGTGTTGGGCCTCTTTAGGTCACGCCGGGGCGCGGGAATACCGGGACCGTAGGCAGCTGTTCTAACCCACCCATTGTACCACTCTGAGTGTTTTGCCAACCTTGTCCAGTCTGCTGATTGATAAACTGGCTCTGTCGGAAAGGGTTGGTGCTACCAGTTGGGTTAGGCCGCAAGGGGGCTGCTGCTGGGGGTTGCAGACCTTGCTGCGGAGCAGGTGAGGCCCGCGCAAAAGGGTTGGTTCCCGTCCGCTGAGGCTGGATCGGCTGCGCTTGTGGTGGTTGCGTAGGCGGGAATTGCTCGTTTGAGGGAGTATATTGCGTGTTTGCCGTGGATAGTCGTCTCGCGAACGGGTTCGTGTTCTGTCGCGATAGAGGAGCGGCGGGTGGCTGACCGCCCGTGGTAGAGTTAAGCATTGATTGACGGAACGGATTGGTGTGCTGGGGCTGCAAGGCCTGAGGTGCTTGCTGTTGTTGTTGAGGGAAAGCGGCAATGCCTTCCTGCGGAATAGGAGCCAATTGCGACTGGAAGCCATACGACTGTGGCTGGGGGGAATACCCTCCAAATCCAGCGCCAGTTGGCATAGCTTGAAGCGGCGCCGGTGGCGGCGGCTGTTGCTGTGGTTGTTGCTGCTGCTGCCCAAATGGATTATTAGGGTCTTGTGCTTGATAAGGTGCTCCATATTGGGTCGGCTGGCCATATCCAGTTACCAAGGGCTGCTGCTGAATCGCCTGAGGTTGCTGCTGGAACCCAGTCTGCTGGGGATAGAATGGTTGCTGTGGCTGCTGTTGGAACCCTGTTTGCTGGTACTGCATTGAGTTCTGTTGCGCCATTGGCTGCTGATTCTGCTCAATTGAATCGAAAAAGTCGATCAGGTCCACAGGTGGTGGCTTTGGTTGTTCGGCCTGCTTAGGTGGGTTTGACGCTGACGGGTTCGACATCGGTGTGTTCGACGTTGGCTTTGATACATCTGTGGTCGCACTGGCTTCCATGCTGGGTGGAAGACGTACACCTTTCTTGGCCAAGTACTCCCGTCGGCGAAGATCGAAATCAGGATCGTTGAGATCATCCTCGAGAAGGCGCGCCAGGTCCGTAGAGGCATGCTTGAGCTTTGGAATCTCCAGGCGAGTGGCAGATTGGAAATGTCTTGCCACTCCTAAAAATTGTACCACTTCTTCTGTCTGCTTTGTGAACGTCTTGTAGATCGCCAGGGCACGTATGCTATCCGGCCGCGACATCTCAAAGTAGTGTTCTATCGGGGTTCAGGGTTAGATCAATGTCGACCTGTGGAGGGGCTGACTTACCCAAAACATTGATCGTGCCCTCATTCATGACTGAATATAGAGTCAATAGATCAAGTGTGAGGAGACGGAACGCGGTCAGACTGATTTCGTTCTCGGGCTCATCCGTCAATAGCTATACACTGTCAGTCACAAAGAAGACCCAAGTTCGGAATTCACCCACATCACACCGCAGTAACACACGAATTTGCTTCTGTACAATTTCCGTCTCCCTCAATAGGCCTTTCTCCACCCTATCCTCTTCAGCCGTCCCGGTCCACTGCGTACATGATCGGTCTTGGTGGCCTCGAACGCCCTGGCACGCGCGATAAGGTAGTCGGAATACCGTCGGATATTATGTCCCTGGGACTGGGCTGCAAACACGGTTAGTAAGTTGCGCTCACATCGGTATGAGGGAATTATTGGACTGACCTTCAGAGAAATTGCTGGGCGCGATCTTCTTCGGGTTATCGGACAAGTATCCCAGCGCAGCATCCTGTTGACCCTCTCGGATCATGAGATGGAGGACTATGAGCGCTTTGAAAACAATGGTCCATGCCGAGTCTCGGAGTCGTAGTTGGAGGGTTCGGAATACCTCTGCGACTCCTGCCTCGCCGGTATGAGTTGCCACGAGGATATTCTCTATGTATTTGGATTTAGGGGCCGCAAGCTGTTCACGCCAAATAGTTAATGGTTGTCGCATCTAGGAAAAAGTACGAGCTGAGCATTCAGACTGACCTTGAGCTTTGTAGCCCCTTTTACTGACTTCTCGAATCCCCCGGGCATGTTGTTGTTAAAAGTCGCGAATCGGTGCCCAACTTCTCAATGCTTCAGGAGAATGTAAGTCTGCCAGAAGACAGCGGAAAAAGAACTGGAGAGCCTGCTCCAGAAATCAATGCCCTTGTAGTGTCTGAAAATCTTCAATCATCCGTATCGTTCATGACGTGGCTCATTGAGCCATGCTGTAAGCCTAGGGAAAGTGGGCGGTTTTCTAGGGGAGAGGGTCAAAGTCCGATTCGGAACAGCCGGGTTAGGGATCGGCAAGAAATAAAAATCACAGTGTGAATATGGGCTGAAAAGCAAATTGAGGGATAAGGATAGCAAATAGGAATAATCTCAAAGGAGGGCAAAGGGAGTTCCTGGGGGCGGAGTGCATGTTCCTAGAGGCAACCCAAATCGGGACTAGCGCATGTTGGCAGTTCTATGCCCACGAGGACAACATAGGGAGTATATCAGGACTGAATTATATCGAACTTGGATATCAGATATATGAAAGGGGCTAAATAAACTATAACTAGATGGAGATTTCGTGGACATATTAGTCTATTAACAACAGTGTCTGAATTTTGTGGCCTCGACTTATATATTTAAGGCACCACTATATCATTCTACACCATCAAGACTTCCTCTGTTTTCAATCACAGGTTATGTTTAAGTTGCAGACTGTGGCCTTAGCCGTGTAACTTGTATATAGACAATATTTGGCAATGAACTACAATGCAGATAGTTAGCGACCACAAGCTATCATAGTAAAGAGGGGACCTGCTTTGCACAATTTAGGGAAACATAACGAAGCAACATTTTGTTGTGTTTCTTCCAAAGATTTTGATTGGATTGAAATAGTAAATAGTAAAGATTAAGACACTCCGGAGTACAGCGTAAATTGGCAACTAGAAGACTACTAGTATTTTGAGGTATAGATCTAGGGCTACACCTTGAACTAACTATGTATACATCCATGGACGTAGTACTCCGTGATGATCCTAGAACATAAGCCAGTAAGCGAGAACAAATTCGCATATTCCCCCGAATCAGATTGATCGATACTAACGTACTATATTTTTATCCTGAAAAGCAGGCCTAATACATATTTGCCTCATCTGAGATTGGCAAAATGCGTACCTAGAGTGAGATCTTCAACTTCTACCTTATCCCAACATGAGAGGAAATTGTGAGAAGAGATATGTTATAAGATCAGGTCCCTCTTTGGGCTAAAGGTAGTGAGTTTATTTCACTCTTTGCTGCTACATGTAGGAAAAAGATATAGTCGTATACATAGGACCGAAGAGATATCTATTCCCAAACTGCGCGAGGCATGATCTGGAGATCCCTCTCTTCTCTCTTTCAAGTCCAAGCCTCGAGATTACCTGCACTCATTTCTCACTTGCGGTAACCTTCTCTTCTTTTACTCTCTTATTCCTACCCTGACTTTCATTCTTCAATCATCTCCCTCACCTCCTGGTCAAGTCCTCACCATCCCTCCCATAAGGTACCTCTTACAACCTTGCGGCTCCTCCGAGACCTTGCCCCCTGCCTTTCTCTTTCATTGAAAATGGAGAACCACAACCTCGAAAGACCCAAGCTAAGATGGGACATCCCAATGCGCCAAGCCCTTTGCTGCCTGTACCGGTTTTTCCGATGCGACAGAAAACAGAAAGAGGAGATCTTCTTCTCGATGTTCCGAGGCTATCTGAGAAAACGTGGGATTCATCGGTTTGTTCCAGGTAGAACGCTCGACGCACAGTGGAGCTGGATGAGAAGCACTGGCGATCTTGTCTGGTCTCATGTTCATCGGGACACCGAGTTCAGCATGGACGGAGAATGGAAGAGCATCATACAACGCATCAAGGCCACCGCAGTCACTCTCCGTCTTCCTCTTCATGAGAAGTGCGAAGATGACACTGACATGAGTCAATGGCGGAAGCGAGTAGCAACGACCTTGGGACCGAGACCGAGAACTGAGTCCCCACTGCAGACACCCCAGAGCGTGCCATTCCCACTACCACAGCGAAGAGAACAGGAAACAAGTCGCTTTTTCGCCGAAAGGGATAATCAAAGCAGTGAGAGTAACACGATCTCCGTCGGCCACAATCTAGAACAAACCGACGACCTGGATCAGACCGGTAATGTGGATCAGACCGGTCACTCGAGAAACGATGAGTCGGTTGTTACTAGCCATGGGAAGATTTGTCTCTGGTGCGGCCACGAGGCATACAGCCCCGATGACCAGAGCCTGAATACCCATCCCGACCAAACCCAACTCCATGGCCAAAGCCAACAGTCTCAGAATCGGCACCAAGGGCACCAAGATCGGGAGCAGCAGGATCATCACCACAGCCAACAGCCCCAAGATCAGTACCAAGAACGGCAAGCTCAACAGAATCAGCCACAAGATCGATTGCAAGAACACCAAGGTTGGGCCCAGCACCATCATGAGCAAGGCCAACAGCACTTCCATAGACAAGGCCATCACAACGACCATGAAACGGCCATGCAAGGAGTTCCTGTCGAGAAAATGCCACCATTGCTGTTTCGGTGGTCAAACCGTGACTCGCAAGGAGTCAACTCGAAGACCATATTCCTAGCCGGACTTTTCTGCAACGGTGAATCGTTCAATCCGGAAGACTTGCCTGAAGACCGATTCGAAAGCTTCTTTCGGAGCCATGTCACAAAGCAGGAAGTCAGGACCCCATTTATTTCGACATCTCGTTCCCCATTAGCACCCCTTCACCGTGCTCTTGCTGGCGGGAAAGGCGCTATACTGACGGTAATTGACACGTCAAAGCTGGATACCAAAGTCTTCTATGCACATCCACTTGCGATTCGAACAAGAACCCAAACCTACAGCTGGAAGGGCTACGGGGAGTATCTCATCTGGGGCCACGTCGCAACAGATGCAATTGCCTTCAGCGTGGAAATCACACGTGTCGAGGACATCGCACAGTCCCGCCGCGATATCGGCCGCTTGCTTCAAATTCCACTTATCCGCAGTTTTCTACGATGCAATCAGAAGCTGCGGGAGGTGTTAGCGGTGAAACGGAAGTCGCCTTTCAAGTCCGGTCGTACACTCGGCAAGTTGTTGACTCTTCTTGGAGTTCCAACCATCCACTGGGACAACATAGCATCTAGGTTCGCAAAATCATGGGGTTGGGTGTATACGAGAGAGACTGCTCTGTTCCACAGCGGTCTGCGAAGTGCACCACCCTATCTACCCGAGGAGCTGTCTGATTCGGAAAGTGAGGGCCCATTGCTCACACCGCAAAAGACACCTGGGAGGATCCCTAAGGAGATGCACTTCCGATCCGGCTGGGATTCCGATGATCAAGACTATGAACCGCCCGAAACCGACTACGACTCGGGAGAGACCTCTGAGTCGGAAGATGTGGGTGATATCTCGATGTATGACATGACAGAGACAGCCGACGACGAGAAATTCTCGACGCATGAAACGCTCTCGAGTGGTGTTTTCCATGAGAACGATGGTCTCGAACAGTCCTCGGGGCAGGTACCCCATCAAGAGGTGATTGATCTCACCTCTGATAATGAGGATAGCAGCTCGCAGTGTGCACTGCAGCGGGACTGGCCTTCAGATGAGGAGGACAATTATCCTGACACACCAACAAAGGTGCAATGGAATACTAAGAACAAGGCCACCTACCGTCGTGTACTTAATGGACAGGTGGACATGGACTTTTTCGAAAAGATCCGAAATTGGTCTTAGCACGAAAACGACAGAATGATATGTGAAACGTCACGAAAAGAGAACCTATGCCTAGGGTCATTGAACAATCTTTGGTTGGTGCAGCCATGTGAAGGGAGAAGACCGTAATCGATGTGTCAATATGCCTTTGTGATATTAGTTGAATGAAACATTGAAACATTGAACTTCCTGGCAATGCTGTCTAGAACATATCTAATTTCTGTAAGAATCCATTATCTACAACACCTTTCGGTATCTAGTACATGCATCCATGAAATAAAGCAAATGAATCGGGCATAGTTAGGATTCTACCTCCCTATGTGTCTAGGCAAGTAGGACCTGACTAGCAAGACAGGTAATAAATGCTCGAAATGAGACCAACACCACACCTACAGACAGCCAAATGACAACCCTTCTCCTAGGTATGCGATTTGTCATACCATAGAACACATACTGAGGTGATACTGTATCATGTTAGACCTAGAAGAGCAAGGAGATAACCCAAGATGCACATTGAGAAGCTCTGGCCAGATTGCCACCCATGACCAATATTTTGCCTTGTGCCAGAGTTGTTGTACAGTTTCCATCACAGGAGGGCCGAACAAATCATTTTGATTTTTGCGTGGATACACATTCATCAGCGAGGTATCTGGGACATGGAAACTCATAAACTATCCCGACCCCCATCCAAGAACTTCCCGTATATCCAGTCCATACCGCTTCCTTCGCCTTCAAAACACCCGGTTTATTAACCTAGAACTTGGAGAAAGACTTGACAGCGCGCGAGGTCTTGGCGTGAACCTTCAGCACGTTGAAGCGAACCTAGAGAAATTTAGAGTCAGTTATCAAGTTCATAGCGGAATAATATGGGGCGCCAAATTCAAGACGTCGCAGTAGTGCAATAATGCGTGGATTTGCAGACTGTGAACAGGGACGAAAATTGACAATAACCACAGATAAACGTACAGTCTTGGAGAGAGGACGGCACTGGCCGACGGTAACCATGTCACCCTCCTCAACACGGAAAGCGGGGGAGACGTGGGCAGACAGGTTCTTGTGGCGGCGCTCGTAACGGTTGTACTTGGGGACGTAGTGGAGGTATTCGCGGCGGATGACAAGGGTACGGTGCATCTTGGTGGAGACTGTAGATAATTAGTTAGTAAATCCCCTTGCCTTGAAAAAGACAGTTCCAATTCAACTTACCGACTTTGCCGACGAGGACACGGCCACGGATGGACACCTGGGAAGTGAAGGGGCACTTCTTGTCTGTAAAAGGTTCACGAATGAGTAATCTGACACAATAATTTGGTGATTGCGGGTGTTGTTTCTGGAATGAGTGGTCTTTTCGATGTTCGGAATTTCGAGTGTTGAATGCGAATATCGGCCAGAGAAGGAAACGACAGAGATCCCGGGCCCCTCAATTCCTCCATGCGATCCTCCATTCGCCCTTTGAATCCGTGAAAAGACCACCCACCCATATATTCCGCCACAATATTTCGAATAAAAACTCAACGGAGGTCGTGCATACCGATGTAGGTTCCCTCAATGGCGGTCTTGGGGGTACGGAAACCGAGACCGACGTCCTTGTACCAGCGGCGGCCCTGGGCGGTCTTCTTGGAGGAAGCCTTGGCCTTGGTGTTAAGGAAGATGTGAGGCTGCTTCTGGTAAGCGCGCTCGGACTGGACGGTCAACTCGGTGGCCATTTTTGCGGTGTTGTTCGACGAGGAAGCGGTGTCGAAGAAAGGTCGGGTTGGCGGCTGTCGAAGATGAGGAAGATTCGTTGCCCGTGGAATCTTTGGTAATTCGTAGTGTGCGACACTAGTCCCAATTGGGACTAGGCTAATTGGGGTTAGGGCTCTGCGCTTTTGTTTACATCACGTGATTGCGGAGGCAACGCGCTTTGGGCAGGTGCGATAGGAGTAGATTACAGGCTCAGTCCTGTTTGATCAAGGGATCTCAACGTTCGGATTTACGGAATATGCGAACTTGAATTGATCTGCGAATGCGCCGATTCCATCGCCGACAATGTCAACTCGACCCGACTCCGCGGCTTTGCGACCGCCACGATCCCGTCGGTCTATCGCTCATGTTCCGCGGTCTAGGATGACGTCTGGTTTGGACAAGGAGAATGCGACAACTGAGATTGGCGCAGCCCAGCCATTTTTAAATAATTCAAAGCCTTCTATGAAAGATAAGAAATCTCGGAGCAAGAGCTTGGGGCCCGGTGGACTCGATGCCCTGCAGAATTCAAACGGCAATCGTCGCCAGGTAGCTACCAGCGGAACAGCGCGCGCACATATGCAGAACAATTCTGACTTGAATATTTATAGTCTACGGCCTCCTTTCCGCTAAAGTCTATTCTCAAACCTACAGTCCCTGTCTCTCCAGTGCGAAACATCCCATCATTCGAGGAAACCCGCCGACGTACACCAGCTCGTAGTAAACAGCAGACCCATGACGGCACGATGGATGGACAGAACCAAAGTGACCGAGGGAAAGCGGGTCTATTGATTGACTTTGAAACGACCCCAGGGCCTCCCACGACAGATAATGACAATGACGACACGGCGAATCCCTTCGATACATTCAATGCGACTTCCGCCATTCGCGAGGAGATGGCTGCTACCAAGGAGCGCGACGAACAGGAGCGCAAAGATCGTGAACGACAGAATATTCTTGAGAAACGAGCGGCGCGGAGGAAATCAATGGGTTCGTGTGTCCCACTTTATCATAGAAAAGTGAATATTGACGCCTTCATATAGCAAATCGCCGAGTATCTTTTGCCCCCGAGGCAACCCTGCACACCTGGAATGTGGTGGAGATTCCGGACGACTCAACCTCCTCCTCTGCCGCGAACTCAACGAGACGTGCATCTGCTGCCCCAAACTCCCAGAACCAACCTGGGTCCATCTCGCCCACGAAAGATGCTCCATCTTCGCCAGCAGAGTCGGAATTCGGATTCTCCCCCGTTCGTACACAAGATCTGGACCAGATAAGAGGTCGCTCATCATCTGGGGGTGGCGATGATGGCGGCCAGGATTTATCTTCTAGTCCGTTCAGCGGAAGCTCAGAAGGAAGCGAAGACACCGGCGCCCAAAGCCTGGCCGGAGAAGAGGACGATGGCGGTTCTTCAGACTCCGACGATGGATTTGACGCTGAGAGTACAGCGATGAGCATGGATGACATGACCGCGCGCTCGGGCATGAGTGTCCAATCAGACGCAAGTTCTAGCTCAAGCTCGAGTGCCAGACTCAACGAAGCACTGCGCCAGGCCGCACAGGAAGCAGGAACCGAAATTGATGAGGACGGAGAGATGTCCATGGAAATTGCGGATCAAGAAATAACCGGTGCTTTCCAGCCGTGGATCAAAAAGGGCCAAAGGCAAAGCTTTGACTGGGGAGATATTAGCGCGCGACATGATGAGGAGAACCTCGATCCATCCAAGAATGCCACTACTCAAGGTTTAGCTGAATCAGATGATATCGACGAAGACGAAGACCTCAGCATGGATGTGACGAATGCCGTCGGACGCATTCTTGGCAAGTCTTCCGACAGTCGCCAGAGCATGGCTCGTCGCCAATCCGTGGCAGAAGAATCCAATTACGGAGATCAAACTATGGAGATGACGAATGTCGTCGGTGGCATTGCGCAGGAGGATTCGCCATCAAAGTTTTCTGAGATTGGTAACGAGGATGAAGGAATGACAATGGAATTCACTTCGGCCGTTGGCAAAATCTTGGGCAACCAGCCTACTTCTTCCTCCAAATCTGATCAGATGAACTTCGACCAAGACAATGAGTCCGACGATGGTATGGACATGGAGATAACTGGTGCCATTGGTGGTATCCTACAGTCCGGGATTGAAGCCAATGACAAAGTGCACGCGAAGATGGTAATGGAGCTCGAAACCGACTCGGGTCAGCTGGCTAGCTCGCCTTTCCAAGACAATGTTCGGCAGTCTCCTGCCAAGTCCCCTGCCAAATCACCTCTGCGTTATCAAATTGCTGCTGTTGCATCTGAGAATGGGAGCCCCAGTTTGGCAACCGTGCGGGCTAGGCCTTCTCGGCGTAGCTCCACTCCAGGATCGTCGGGCACGCCAGGGTCGGCCAGCCGGCAACGATCACCAAACACGAAGCCATTGACTCCGCCCAAACAGTCCACCCCCCCAAGTGAAACCTACAACCCCAAGCAAGACACCTCCCTCTAGCAATGTTACTTTTAGAAGTGCTTCACCAAAGAAGCTCTTCCAGCCCGAGCTGCAGCAATCGGCAGATAAGCGCAAATCTTTACGCCAAAGTCTCTTCCAGCATAACATAGCAACGGGAGAGTCCACCCCGCTCTTTAAATTGCATCCCCGTGAGGGCCGTCGCTCTTCTGGTCTAGGGATTGACAAAGAAGGTCTTGGATCTCCTCGCGTGGCGGCCTTGCTTGACAAGCGCCAGTCGCTTGGAGATGTTACCCCCAAGTTCGTTCCGCAAGAACCGCCCCGATCCGGTGTACGCTTCGAGGACCCTCTGCAGATGCAGGCTGAGGAAGAACGTGATCGCGAAGAAGAGGAACTCCGAGAGGATGGCCATATCACGGGTTCGCAGTCAGATCGGGACGTAACCCCAAGCTTGAAGGATATGATTGCAAATCTCAGCCCGAAGAAGACTAAGATCGGCGGCCGTAAGAGTCTCCATGTTGGAGCTGCTCGCGGGGTTTTGGGAAAGCGCCCGGTCGAGCTAGACTTGGATGAAGACGAAGTGGAAAATTCGCCCAAGCGACTGCGTGGCCACGATGTCAGCCCAGTCAAAGGTGTCAAGTTGCCGGCACCGATGTTTAGGGGAGACAATGTCCGTCGGTCAATTCTTTCTCCCGTCCGTAGAGCTGCTAGCTCATCGCCTCCTAAGGGCAGCATCACGTCTTCCCAGCAATCCCGGAGTACTTCCCAGACTTCGACAACTCCTCTTAAGAATGGGATTGATGCTCTTCACATTGCTTCTGATCCTCAACGGCCAGAAGAAGAAGAAAATGCCCCTGTCGAAGAACCTGCTGTTGAAATTGAGCCTATTCAGTTGCAAGACTTCCTTAAAATGACCAATATTCATTTCATGGAGCTTACTACGACAAAGAGACGGCACACAACTGCCCCTGGCAGTGCCACTAAGAAACTGACACGACTCTCTGGCGTGAACATGCCTAAACCAGGCTCCATAACGTTTGGTGATTGTGTGGCAGCTGGCTTTTGTACAGTGCCAATGCTTGAACTGTACCAGCATGTAAGTTCTACTATACCCGGATATTTTTGTTTTCGCTCACACCGTCTCTAGTCATGCCGGGAGTTGAAATCCTATATCTCTGAGGGTCGGCAAGTGATCCGCTCTATTGAGGCAGAAACATATGCCGAGAATCCGGCTCTCTTCAAAGAGTATGTCACCGCTCCGCCGGATATCAGAGTGATCATGGACAATCAATTCCGAAACGTCAAGACCCATGCCCGTCTGCTGAGTAAGGCTACATGGTACGAATGGCGAATGAAGTTGCTTGAGGGCTTGAAGGAAGGGCTCCTCCGTCACGTGGAGGAAATGAAAGCAGACGACGATCTGCTATCTGAACGAGAAGAGTTGCTCAATAGGAACGTGCCGCTACTCGTGGAGAAGCATGCCTCTCTCGAGCAAGAGGCAACCAACCTACAACAGTTCGTGGATGAGATGGAGAACTGTGATCAAGATGAGCTACGCAGTACGCGCGGCAAGCTGTCTGAGGTGGACTCGGAAATTGCAGCAAAGAGACGGGAACTTGAGCAGCTGCAGGAGGAAGTCAAGGAGAAGACGACTTTCATTGAGGCTGGAGCAGAAATGCGGGATGAATTCCTGGCTCAAATCCAAGAGGCGGAGCGTGTGAAAGAAGAGTGCCGTGGCTGGAGTGCCCGGGAGATCAACGAGTTGAAGGGTGAGCATTATAGTCCTTTTCTATGGGTGCAGTACTGACTTGACTGGGAAATTAGCCTCCGTCCAACGAATTCAGCAACAAACAGGCTGGTCGATCGTTTCGGCCTCAACTCCTTCAGATGCATCGAAGGGACCTTTATTGAAGATGGCCTACCGGGACCAGCTCCAACTAGAGTTCTATCCTGGAGCTTTTGCCTCCAAAAACAGTGCCCAAGACGAGGGAAAGAACTACCCGATGGAATTGACTTCCCGAAAGAATGCCAACGTTTCTCCCATTGCGTCCTTGGTCCTCCACTCGCTACAGCACCATCTGACTACGATCCAGCAGTCCACTGTTGTCCCCAAACAGCTCTTGCGCTTCATCTCTAGCGCATGGGACCGCACAGTTGGGCTGGAAAATGAAGCACGCATGCTGGAATTCTGTGGTGTCACTCGGCTCACCTTATCCAAGCCTGATGAGGGCTCTCTTTCTCTACGCACACGCTGCACGCTCCTCGGCAACTCCACCGTCTCCACATCTGGTAGTAAAGGCGTTGATTCAAAGAACAACAATGCCAAAAGAATCGATGTTGACTTCACAGTCCGTACCCGCATTGATAAAGCCAATGCAGAGAACACCATCGGTTCCTTGGACTTTGATATTGACGTTCTGGCGACGAAGGTCTATGGTTTTGGAACAGGCAGCAAGTCTGGTCTTCCAGACAAGGAGTTGCAAAGCATTCTTGGCAAAGGCCTTGGTCGGGATAAGAACGGTGGCATTCAGCTAGGAGATGGCGTGTGGTGCAAGGCCGTACGCACGCTCACGGGATCTGTGTTTTAGTTTTCGAATATTTGCTCTTTTAGGAATCGGTTATTGGACGGGTTCGGTCTGGGTTTGGGAATACGGCGCAGAGTGAATCTTTTTCATGCTCTGCTTGGGTTCAATGGCGCGGGACTATGGGATATCTTGACTTGGGGATCTGGGCGTTCTTTATACCTAGTCTTTACTTTCATATCCACTGATTGATCATTTGTTTCTATCATACCACACTATTAGTCGCTGCATCAACACTCGTGAATCCTGGCTAATGCATATACAAAGAAGAGAGTAGAGAGGTCGTGCTTAGGAAAAGGCAAAAGGCAACGCTAACGAGAACGAATCCAAAAAAAAAGAACACCCCGCTCAATCTTTCCCTAAAACAAACCCAAAAACCCATTAGGCCAGACCGGATCAGCGCCCTGATTCGGATCCTCCTGACCCTGTGGCACATAACCATACCCCAGACTCTGAGGATCGAACCCACCAACCTGAGCTATCTGGCCGTCAATAGCAGGCGCACCATGGATAAACGATTCAGCCGATAGAATCGGCATGGAAGAATACGGATCCGCAGATTGCGTGCCCGTCGGAACAGGGGGCGGAAAAGTGTATTCTGTTGGGAAGAGGCCGGCGAAGAGAGATTCCCGCCGTGGCTCCAATCGCCGGACATTGGGTACTGGAAGAAATCCGGGATTGAATTGGCGGTGCTGGTGAAGGAGTCTGGGGAGTTGATGGAGTTGATGGGGTTGGGGGTCATGCCTGATGACCCTGGGGCTTGGGCTGCGGTCGTAGAATAGTCTTGGGATAGTTGCCAGGGTGGAATTTGTGGGGAGTGGAAGGTGTTGTCGCGTGTCTCGTGGAGGAATGAGGTTGAAGGTGAATATGTGTTCGGTGGGTTGGCGAGATATGGGGATTGGCTTTGGTTGCTTTCGCCTGGGTCTAGCATTGGGCTCATGGGGACGACGTAGCCTGAGGAATTGACTGGCGGAAGGCCTTCTAGGGTGGAGGGGATACTGATGTCCATTCTGTTGGGGTTGGCGGTGCTTGATGTTGGATACTCGGGAGCTGTGGCGGGTGTCATTGTTGTGCGGAGGGTTGTGGGTCGGCGATGCTGCCTTTGGTGTGATGCTGCCTGTGTCCGTGAAGCGTGTTTCTTGCCTCCTGGTGGCTTATATTCTTGGTCTTCTTCGTCTGGGGCGCGGGCTCTTTTCTCGTCTTTCTCGATGACGGCTCTGGCAATGCGTTCGAGGGTCGCGCTCATGCGGGCCATGAAACCCGCATAATTATTTGACCCTTCACCTGGGGCAAGAGTTGCAAAGAATGCTGAGACCATATTGAGGGATTCGAGGTCTGCTCGCACTCTTGAATGACGAGAGTCCCGCAGGATATTTGAGAATAGTGTTGATGCTGCCTGGAAGACGTAGTATAGTAATGACCTGAGGGTTGAGTGTGAGGAATAAAGCTGATATAAACCAAGAGCAGACTGTTGTACTTACCAGGTCCATGCGATGTCTCCCCATGGCATGTTATTGACAACCTTCAAGGTATCTCGGGCAGCCTGTGCACCAATGGCTGCTGATCTCAATGCATGCGCTTTGCTTATCGACACGACCTTCTCTGACTCCTTTCTGGCTGTTATCATGTAGTTAAGAAAGATAGGTACCCGGTGAATCATGATCACAGCATTGTGATAGACAAAATGGAGACCAATAGAGGCAAAGCCAAACAGGAAGTCGCTGTCAGTATGTTTTCTTTTGGGTTCGGTGAGAGTCGGGGACTCGCGTTTCCATTCTTCAAGCTCTGCGTATAGTTCTTTAACCGTCTTGTAGATTTCAACGGGAGGTTTTTCTAATGCCGTAGCGGAGTACAATCGACTGTAAATGTGGCTCTTGATGAGCGACATCCGACAGAGCTCGCGGAAGAATGGAATGTTGCTTGCGGTTTCGCCATGCTTATCGCCCTCCAATTCTTCAGGAAGAGGGACATCGAAATCATCGTGATGTTGTGATGGAGCGTTTCCAATCCTTAGACATGTGCTGGAAAATTATATTAGTACTTGAGACGATATATGAATGGACTTCCCTTACCTTTGATCAATGACAAATGTTACCCAAAAAACGCGTCTTCTCTCCTCTTGCTCAGCCGGACTAAGTTCCGGTCTTGCAATATTTCGATGAAGCCCCATTCGATGACCGGACCGCATAGCGGCAGTTATGAGTGGCAGAGCTGATTGAGTTCCAGAATTTCCCCGAAGGAAGAACGCCTTTGCACATTGTTAGATGCTTCCATAGCGGCGAAAGGAGCAGAGACTAACCATGCTAATCAAAGCCTGTACACTCAGTAGATCTGTGCGTTTTAAGGCTAATTCAGTGAAGACCGACATGGCGTTTTTGAAGTATAACTCGGATTTCTCCTTGTCTTTTTCTGACTTGGGGCCATTCGAGTAACGATATTCGTATGCCAGGCAGATTACCATATTGATATTGGCCCAACGGGCAGCGTCATCACAGGTTTGCTGTGTATATTGCCATTCGACCATTTTCATAAATGACGACTCAAGATAGATAGGAAGCAGACGGTTGGCCGTCCGGAAGAAATCTTTCATAAGAGAGAAGACCTCAGACCTTGAAGGCAAAGGTTTAAAAACTTTCGAGGCAAAACAGATCATGGAACACGTCTGGTCGCCATTGATTCCATGGATTTTCATGAATAGATTCAGGAGATATAAGTCGCAAGAAGCTGACATCGCCTGTTTTGCTTTTAATCCACTCTATACCTGTTCGCGATAGGATTGACAATGAGCACGACGTCCCTGTCCGTTCAGTCAGTCTCGGCGGTTTTATATCGCATGGGCTGTACTCCCTATCTTACCGAAATATCGGGAATCATCTCTTTGGTCTGCCGGAAAGATGGGTGTACCCTCAATGAACCCACCCTGTGAGCAAAGAGACGCCCCGAAATTTGACTTTGGACTAGAAGTAGATGAGATAACTTGACTAGCTGGTTCGTCGTCATCATCTTCATCGGACAAATCATCTTGGCTCATATCGCTCTCTTGCAAGATACCTGCCGTCCTCAACAACGACTCAACCCTGACGAGGCGATCTTTCAAAGACTTGATATACTCATCACTACTGCGGTAGTATTAGCCATGACCGACAAAAAGCAGATCGGGAAATGGCGCCGCATATCGCCGTACCTTTGCTGATCATCCCGCTTCTCATGCTGGACCGGAAAGACACAATGCGTATTACGGCGCGTGCATTGCACGCAAACTGAACTAGATCCTTCAATCTTGCACTTGGTCTTTTTCCGATGGCACATCTCACAAGCCTAGATAGACGTCATCTCGCCGTTAGCAACGCTGGGTTCCCCCCTGAACCGGAGTCCGCCGGGAAAGTGGAACTCGGAACGACAAGCGAAACCCACCCTTAGGTGCTGTCCTCTCCATAGCACAGAATCCATGGGCAATGCGTTCAGCGAAGATGACTGGTTCATCGCCTTGGCCGACGGGTGTGGATGGGAGTCATGAATGTGCATGCCAAGACCTCGTGAAAAAGTCGCCCCAGCGGAACCGGCGAAGACTAGCGGGAGATCTTTGTTCCTTATTTCGATCTCCTGTTCGATATCTACCTATAGGCAGACATTTGGAATCTGCAGGGAAAGAGGGAAAAAAGCTGAATAATCAAGAACGGATGTCGGCACTCCCGGATTCCGTTCACTTTCTGCTCTTCCGGGGTACTTTGGTGGACCGGGGTTGTGCCCAGCACTCCACAGCCTGCTCCATACCCCTGAAACTCACCTTCAACTTCGAAGTTGAACTTTATCTGTGAAAGGTAGAAGCTCGTCACTATAGCAAATGGCGAAAGTAGTCGGCCATAAATACATATATTCTTAACGATGTAGAACTTTTACAGTCATCTGCCCGGATAGTTCAAGAATATAAGCGATATTATAGAATAGCATTCCGATATCTTATGTTCTTTTTAGGTATTTTCCTCGCTGTTATAACTAAAAGGGTAGCGGATGAATCACGTCGGGCTTATCACCCTACGATGTACAATATACAAAGGTGTTATAAATCATAAACCATATAACTAGAGGGCTTTTCTATGTATAACAAGGGATTCGCGTTCTTAATGCTCCACGGTGCATACTCTCTCACGGCGAGAAACAACTATATAGCACCTCTCCTTGAAGGATCGAGGTTCCCTTGCATGTGTTTGAGGTATTCCTGGGGATAGAATAGATCCCATCCTCATTCTGCGAGATTATCAGACGTCTATAAGTACTTGGCAACATGGAAACCTTCGACGGGATATTATTATCCATCTTGCTGGCCAAGAGGACACTGCCGGGAGTTCGCATATTTATGATCCATACAACCATCTGAGAAGCTTCTCGCCAGATAATCTCGGGACGGGTATCCTGTCTCAGTGTGCCGCCTTCACCTCGACGACGATGAAGACTTCGCGGATATGGTTTCCTTCGAGGTAACCGTCGGAGTTGGTAGCCATCGCAAATACTGGAGCTTTTTAGACTTACCTTGAGTTCTTGAACTGACGATGTATACCATATGTGGCCAGACCTTATATGCGGATCAATTGGTTCCGGCAACTCTGTGGCGAATTATCCACAGTACTGAATGGACATTTGCCAGAAGTCCATCGACAGCCCACACCCAGAACATTGATTGTAAGAGCTTTGATAAGGCTCGTCGGAGACTCGTTTATAAATTTGTTCTTCTGTTCGTCTACAGTGTATGGTCCATTCTGCACTACTAACTTATCACTGTCACACCGTTGTATCTATCAATACGGCCAACCTTTTCATCCTCGATTTATACTACCGGAGAGTAACCAGAGTACTTGGAGTCATATACATATACTTACATACCTAGATAGGCACTTCTAAGTAGCAGTAGAACACCTGGACAGCTCACTACACAACCATCTAGCCAATCACCGGGCGTTATTTTATTTACATCCAATAGGATGCATCCACCCTTCGGCTCCACTGACGAGGGGCCGCCTCGCTGCCCAATAGGACGTCACCGTTTGGGTCCGGTCCCGTCTGACCCTTTACTGCCATACTTACTCGAGGTCCAGGGTCAACTACGCAGTCCTCAGGATCCGAAAGAACTATTTGAGCGCATATTTAGATAGACTACGGGTTATAGCGCCAAGGAAAAAAAAATTGCACCTCTTACCTTGAATTTCATTTCATTAAGCTGGGGGATCGAGAGGAAGCTGAACTATCCAGGTATGCACCTACGTGACCCAAAACTCAAATAAACCTTGGAACCTCGCGTGGGTTGGTAAGTATCTTGGTATACCTGAGTATCCGGATGTGCCTCCAAGTATCTCCAACGACCTGACCGTCTCGAAATATGCATGGTAGTGGATTGTATGCATTATGTGGCCACCCGAGCCATTTCCCGATCGTCATGCAAGAAATGGGAATGAATGATCGTCTCAGGTTAATACAGACATGACATTCAAAGTCATCTCTTTAAAGGAAAGGAAAAGATGTGAATATAAGCTTAAATCCTCAGCCCAGTCACTCTCCATACCGCATTGGGAATCGGGGCAATCACGACATCCCGACGATTATGTTGTACAACCAACCTACCAACCTCTTCTAAGGTTCGAAGCCCTCAGATCTGGCTGAGCAACCGGCAGTAAAAGTTGACACAAGTATTTGGTACTTACTCAAAAAGACTACTACTAAGACCTCGTAAAACAATCCCTTCACTCACCATGAGACCCTCTACAGTTGGAATTGTATCGATCGAAGAGATGGGCCCAGGTATGACTAGACTCCTAAAATCTCACGACTACCGAGTCATCACGGTCGCAGAAGTACGACGCCAGAAGCAAAAACCAAACCCGAGAACTAACGGCCAGTGAACACCCACTGGCGCGAATCCACTCAGAAGATCGAGATCCTTCCCTCAGACCAAGCACTAGTAATCCAAGTCGACTACGTACTTTCGATCGTACCACTGCAGAAGGCAGCGGCGACAGCGCAACGAATAGCGCGCACTGCCGTCGACGGGCAATCTCCGGGAGGCTATTGAGGGCGTAGAAAACCAGTTGAAGAGGCCTAAGCTACACTACCTCGAGCTCAACGCGGTATCCGCCTGGCTGGCGTCGGAGATGGCGGCGCCATCCGACGAACCAACCACAGCAACGGGTCGGGGCCGAGGGTGCCACTTCGTCGATGGCGGAATCATTTGGGGGCCGCCACCAAGCACGCAAGACTGCAGCTGGAAGAAACCTACTCCGTAGCGTGGTGTCCAGGTTGGTGGATCTGGCGCTGGGTTTGCGACTCTAACTAGCTTTCTAAATAGAAGGCTTGTCTCAGCTTGGATTGGCGCATTCACGCCCAAACTCTCCTTCTCTGCGCTGACGAAAGGTCTTACCGCATAGAAGGAGTCGATGTTGCCGGGGTTGTTGGCGCTGGAGGAATACTCCTCACGCACTGCTGCACTCGCGATGAATGGGTTATTGCTATGAGTCCCAAGCCATACCGATGGGAGGGAAACTCGTGGATTGGGGAGGCTTTTGATGGATGAAATGGGTTCAGGCCGGTGTTTATGGAGGGTTGAGCTATCGGACCATTACGGAAGATACTTACAACATAGGAGGATATAGTGGAGCATTGAGTCCGAGGTATAACGGTATTGATCATAGCGAAAAGTATTACTTTTAAGCCTTTGAATAATATATTAGCATGAAGCATATGTCATAAGGACGATCGAATGTTTCTAGACCAGTACTAGACTGACTACCCTAGGTATATAGGGGATTTCGGTTCCGGTGCCAAGCTTCTTTTATTACCAGTCCACGTCATCCGTGATGCGTTGAAATGATGGACAAATTAGATAGAGGATAGAATACTAGAATACTGGGGATTTTTACATACAATGGTATACAATGATGGACTCCGTACGCGTGCCTTGATACTCCTAGTACTCCGTACCTTCATCAGGGACTGGTTCCGTAAGTGGAGGCCCCCTTTTTTTTTGAATAGCTTGATATATGTGTTCTAATCTGGAGAAGCTGTTTATATGCTAATGAGTATATTTTATATTATATCTCTCCCTCCTCCTATATACCTACGTACTCCTTATATACTCCATACCACATACATATCTACAAAGCGGTGAATCCCCCAAACCGACGAACCAGAAGTCGCGATCACGACATTTCTCCATTCTATCAGATCATCGACTAGCATCCTTTTCCACTTGATCTTTCTCTTTGCCCCCCTTTTCCTAAAAAGCAACCCCCCCATTTATTTCCCTTTTCATTCGTTCTAGTGGAACTCCCGCGGCATGCGACGATGAAGTGATCTTTTACGAGGTGATCGTGGCCGAGAATTCAACTTCCCGGTCTTTTTCTACTTTGTGTCTCACTGTTAATTGTTTTTTTTTGATTAAACTCGTTTTTTTTTTTAAAAAATCATTTTCCGCCTTGATTTATATTAGGTGATTTTCTTTTAGGTGATTCTGATTTGCTTCATAGAAAATCCCGTCCTGATCTGGGGATTTGCAACACCCCTCTTCTCTCTCTCCCTGAAGGTCAAGGGGGAAACTTCTTTTTCTTATTACTTTTCCTTCTTCAACCATGCCGGGGGAACAACCATTGCCAGGTCCAGGCCCCGTCTTCGACAAACTTGAGAACTTCAATTTTTTGATGTCGCGCCACGATCCAGCAGCCAAGACTCGACAGTACTCATTTGACGCTGATAATGGGCTGGTCCCGTTCGGCAATGTGAGTATGGACTACGATCAGACCGAAGGCATGGGCGGTCTATCTGTCAGTTCCTATGAGAGTATAGAAGACGACCGCAGCTCCCTGGATCTTCGAAATTATCCCTATCATGGTACGTGTCAAGCTTTTGAGCCCTTGTACCCTTGTGCCCAACGTTGCATTTGTTACGCCATCGCGTCTCTGCGTCTGAGCTTTAGTTTGGGGCTGGAAATTCCAATGTCTTAAAATTGAAGTTCGATCTCCCTTTTTGCCTTGATTTTATTTATCCCTGTTGTTTTTAAAAGAAGGCCTGGATAGCCCGGTGCTGAATTTCTCCCCTCCCCCTCTACCCAATGTGCAAATCTCATTTCGAGGTTCTAAAGAGGCTCGAGGCCGCAAAGCCCAGGATGTGAGCAATTGGAATGCATCTCCCATCTCCAATGGTGGGAGGAGATCACCGTCGGTGCTCCTTATGCACGAGCACGCAATCCCGCAATGAAATGACAAACACCAGCGGTTGCCTGCGGACGCTTAACTGCCCCCATCTTAAACCCTTCTTGAGCTTATATCCTTCGGAATATGATTTGCACTTCCCGCATGGGGCTCATTCCCTCGAGGGCTATATCGACTGTGATCGCTTACTCCATCCCTAGGCCCTCCCGGCGAGAAGTCCATCAACTACTCTCTCCCAGAGCACATGATGCCCTACTCAGCTCATTCAATCTACCCGCCAGTCCCATATGCGCCCGACGAGCTCGGTCACGCGCCAGGGGCCCTCACTCCATCCGATGTTTCCTCATCCATCTCGCCGCCCAACGGCCAAATGGGAAACACCAAGTACAGCACCTCGATCTCCGGCGATCGCATCGCTGCCGCCCTCGACCAGGAAGAGGGCGTACGCGGCGCCGCAGAGGAAGATCGTCGGCGCCGAAATACAGCCGCTAGCGCCCGCTTCCGTCAGAAGAAGAAGCAGCGCGAGCAGGTCCTCGAGCGGACCGTTCGGGAAACTACTGAGAAAAACGCTTCCCTCGAGGCTCGCGTCGCACAGCTCGAGATGGAGAATCGCTGGTTGAAGAACCTCCTCACTGAGAAGCACGATGCTAGCTCTTCGCGCTTGCCTCCCCCAGCTAAGGATAGCTCGAACACAGAGCTAAAAGGTCCTGGCGGGAATACCAGACAAAAACATATTCAGCCCAAAAAGAAGGGTGTCGGCACCGAGGAGTGACGAGCCAAAATGGAAGAATGTGTGTTTCTGTTTTTGTTTGCGTTGCTGTTTGTTCCGTTCTTTCTTTGTATCATCTCCCCAGCCTATGGTATCCTGCTCTACACCTGGGCAAGGCGTCCGTTCTGAATCAGCATTCTGCTTTTTTCCCGTCTACTCGCTTTACCTTTGCTATGGTGTCTGCACTCATCTCTCACTACCAGAATGGAAAATGGAGCAGATGAGCGCAGGCAAATGACGACGTCACGACCCTTCTCTTCTTCTCGTTCGGCTCTCCCGACCGTGGCTTTTTCGACTTCTAGGGATGGTCTTTGCTTCTGCACTTCAGATCTGGCACTTTCGTTTGATGTTTCAATCCCTATCCCCTCTACTCTCTACTCTCTATTCTCTTCCTACGGGCTTTCGCTTTATATCTCCTGCCCAGACTCTCTACCTTCTCTACATCCTAACCCTTCCTATCCTCTTTCATCAGATCGTGTGCTGCGAAGGCTTTCGTTTTTTCTCCTTTCCTCGGGTTGGAAAGGAGATGAGTTGGCGGTGTTGTGGTCCAGACTCGCAGTCGAATTTTGTTTTGCTTGGTATTTTATATTTGATATTTGATATCTCTTTTCACTTTTCTATGGGATTTGCTTTTTCTGTTCGGTTTCCTCCGCCCTTGCTACCTATTTATGGACCGGAATACGTTCAATATAGGGGTTGTCTTTCCTATACGAATTATCTCTTCGTACTCCGTACTATTGCTATACCTACATATGTAGGTACCTATATAGGTTTCTCCAGATACGTCATAGCAAAGACGTAAAAGCAGCGGTAAGTGACGTGCTCTATCGTGCTAATCCCAATAATTCCCTCACGGAGATCGAATGCCATTGGAGAATGTCTCACTTTTCCGGGGTAAGGGTGTATCCCCACAGGGCTGTTCAGATGAACTGCACACAGACACTTTTAGAACCAGCCTAAATGTATAGCGTACGGAGTACTAGGAATATAAATTTCTGAAAACAATCCATTAGAACACCTTAATTACCCTGGATCCTAATCCCCGAAAACAAAAAAAAAAAAACAAACAAACCAAAACACGTAAGATGGTATTACATCAATTAAGTAGAAACAGGGAATGGAAATAAAAAAAGCAGAACACAAAACCCAGACAATTCCCAATCGCACTCGGTCTCAGTACGTCTCCAACTCCGTGGAGAAAAGGGCCTTGAGGAAATTAGACCCACGTCCTCCGATCTCAAGCATGGAGAAGTGGAACATCCCCCCAAGCACGATTCATCGCCGATAAATCACGACATTGAGAGGCGTTCATGTGGAAAAAAAGGCGTCAAACATCCAAGTTGCGTGACGTGATTGATGTGCATCTTCGAGAATAGCACAGAATCAATAAAACAGACATAATATATGGAAGATCAGAAGCACGAGGGTGGGGATTTTTGACATAAGGAACGTGGAGATGAAAACGACTCGTGCATCTGTCCCGGAAATTCAGCCGTCAGATTCGTGAGAGAAAAGAGGGTATCTTTCTCGCCCCTTATGCGGCAATGGGCTCACGCTCCTCTTCGCGGCCTCGCATCTCGCCCTCAATGGTGCTGACGCCATCATCGCCGTCCTCGTAGCTAGGGTGCTGGTCAGCCGGGAGCCAAGAGTCACGGTCCCGGCCAAGGGCTGATCCTGTCCGGACAAATCCACGCCCTCGCGGTTCTTGTTGAGGTTGGAGCGGTGGCGCTGGGAGAGGGTGCGGGAGCGCTGGGAGAGACTAGACTTGACGACTGCCTTGGAGGAGACCCAGTTGGTGAGGGCATCCTCGCAGTCCTGGATGATGGCCTTGGAGGCATCGTAGCCATCGTAGGCGTTGCGGGTCTCGCCGGGAGTGACGGGGGTGTCGTCGATCAGGTCGAGGAGGTGCTTGCCGTAGCCGGCGACGATGGCGACCTTCTCGCAGTGCTCGCGGAGCGCATCGAACTGGTACTGGAAGGCGGCCTTGACCTTCTCGCGGGTGATGTTGGATAGCTGGGCCTCGGCGACGAGGGACTCGGCTTCGGCGCGGACGAGTTCCTGCTCCAGGACGTCGATGCGAGGCGAGTTGGGGTCCTTGTACTTCAGCTTGGCGATCTCATCGGTGATCTTCTGCTTGCCTGGAGATCAATTTCAGTTAGTTAATGCTGGGGAGTTGAGCGGTCAAGACCGAAGCTGGGAGAATCTTACGGTCTCGGCTGGGCTGTACGGAAGCCTCGATGTTGCGGATGCTCTTAATGGTGACACGGTACTGGTCGTAGCGGTCCACAAACATATCCTCCAGCTCACCGATCTCGTAGATCAGCACGCCGAGCTTGTCCGTCACATCCGACACATCCTCATCGCACGCTTCACCCCAGATGGAGAGTTGTTGCTATGGCGACCGAGTCAGCTTCCAATTTATCCAACCATCATCACAGAATCAGGGCCATCCACATACAGCGACTTCCATGCGCTCCCGGGCGACGAGCTCCATGCTGCGCATGGCGTTCTTTTCCATTTTGACGAGCTGCGACAGCTTCTTGGCGAGGTCAGGTCCGAAGGCACCGGCGGCGTTCTTGCGGAAAGCATGACCTATTCGCAGGATGTTAGTGAGTTCAATTGTTTCATGGACCTCTTCGAAGACTGTGGTTCTCCAGTTCGGCCGTCGCTCTCGTAGGTGGGATAGGGAAGAGTCGATGGCCCAATTTTAGGCAGCCCCCAACCTGACGAGCAACGAACACCCTCGGGGGATTTCCAGTCGAAGCCGATCGCACAAAATATCTCAATCGCACTCACCGATTCCGCCTTTCCCTAGCCATCTCCCGGTCTTGGTTGTGGACAATGGTGGTGGTGGGCTCTCGACTTGCGAGGCGGTCGGGGCGCGCGACTGGCGCATAGAATAGGTGCGGTGCATGGTTTGGACAGCGAAATTGGAGGTAGGAAGAAGATTGTAGAGATGTAGAGATGCTTGTTCCTGTAGAAAAGAGATTAGAGAAAAGAAACGAGTTTCCAGTGCCTTGCACAGTAGTGACGTGAGCTTAAAGAGGGGCCCCTTTTTTTTTTTCTTGGAGTACGTACTTGACCTGTGGGATGTGACGAGAGAAAAATATTCGACTGCAAACGGACAGGGGAATCTCCTTTTCAATGAACTTGAAGAAGTGAAGTGAAGTGAAGTTCTCCTGGAAGCTCTCGGGAAGTGACGTCGACTATTTTCTGCCCAATTCGGATCTCAATTGGACGGACTTGGAGGGAAAAAAAGGAAGACGCTAAGAGACTCAAGAGTCTTTGCAGTAAATTAGAGCCTACTCAGCCACTAGCTCCTCATTTAAGCCAATAATCCGTCGATCTTCCCTGAGTTGCATTTTCGAGTCTTCACGATCACCGACGTCATCGACATCCTGATGTCATGGAGTCTAAACGGTTGCATTTGGATAATTTCAAGTTTATAGGGATATCCTACATCTGACAGTAAAATTATCACTAGAATTCCCCTTTTGAAGCTTTAATATATCCCTCTTTCTGATAGGAATTGCAAGTGCATACATAATGTACCTAGGTAGTAGTATATAGAGCTAGCTACCATTGAGTTCCACTGCTGATCGCGGAGATCGTGGAACTCCCGTTCGTGGGGTAATGCGGTCTCGGCTTTAAATTCCACTCATTGGGGTCTACGGTTGAAGATGATGACAACAGGTACAAGTGAAATCTGATCAATGTACATGTAGTTATTAAGGAAAATTAAGATATGGACTATCCTGGAAGACCGAACAGAGCTGAGATCCTGCCACTCATTCGCATCAGATCTGTGGTGAGAGTATGAGATGAAGGTACTTTGAGCTGAGGATGCTCGAAGATGGAGACCAGGGACCGTGTGTTCAAACTACCCTCGGACTTCTTCGAATGGATAGAAGGAGACTGGGATAGAAACGTGGCCGAAGAAAGAAAGAACAAAAAGGCGGAAGGAGAGAGGAACATTTTATACCGGAGAGCTCACTTGCGGCCTCGTTCACGATCTCGCCAGGAACCTCGCCGGCACTATCACTATCCGGTTGTCTGGTCATGTGTCAATTGCCCCGTTATACCGTGTAGCGACGATATATAGCCTTTACCAGGCATCTTTTCAAGGAGCTGTTTCACTGTACCATCAACGTCTGCTTTAGGAAATGGCTCTTCCCGGTAGACCAGTTCCTGCTAGACTTTGCATTCCAATGATAGCGCTTTCTTGTGATTTTGCCTCGGAATCCTTTGCCAAACAAACCTTCCTGGCACTAGGCGCATAAGGCCGAGGGCGACGAAGCTGAAAGTGCTGAATATGACGAACCAACCACAAAGTCCGAGATATACTGCCTCATCCCCTGTTGCCAATTCCAATATCTTGAAATGTCTTACCTTTCCTGAGACTGTTTCTTTTGGCAGACTGTCCAGCCACCCATCTGCGAACTCTGTGGTTGGTTGGTTGGTTCGTCGTCGTTGTCAATAAGAGGATTGACGGGTGTAGGATAGGCACTGTAATCCAAGATCAGCGAGGGCCCATATTTGCCGAGCAAGAAAGCGCACCCATGGTGTAGTAGACGCCGTGGATGGTTCGAATGGAACAACTTGGAGCGTTGATGGCATCCCGGTATAACGCTTCATATAAACTAGGCCAGACTGTTAGCACATCATCTAGAAGATAAGACACGCATAAAGTGTGGTCTAACCGGATAGAGCAGCGAGAGAGATGTCCCCCACGCAATGATATATACCCTTGGGGACTATATAGAAACCACGACTAGCAAGGACCTGGCAACACGATTTATAGAGGCTGTGGCCGGTGCCGGGATGTTGGGCAGAGCAGGCAGAACCGGCAGAGGTTGGTGCGGTTGTAACTCATCTCCAAAAGTGTCTGGTTTGATGGGAAGGTAGGAAATAGATGATGAGGATGGAGGGACATTCATGTGTGTTGAGGCTACGATGCAGATGCAGATGCTGGGAAAATCAAGAAGAAGAAACTCTTAGTATTCAATTAGCAAAGCAGGGCCTTTTTATAGAGGCCTGCATTGACAACCAACAAACAAAGCGCTCAGTCTGCCACCACAATAAGGCATCCATGTAGGATGGGACGATCTCAACAATGTGGAAAAGAAAAGAGATAGTAGACGCATGTGGGATATGTGAGAGATAGGATGGGACAATTCAGTGCATAATCTCCGGTGTTGAAGCTAGGGAATCAGGAGACTAATATATGATGATTTGATACGAGACACAGGTAAATCAGTGGGAAATTGGATCATGGTGGAAGTTGTCTTTGTCTTTAGTGTTCAATAGCAAGCTGCATATCCAGACCAGGCGAAGGATAATTGTACAACCTACTTGATCCAGGGCTGTTTGCACTGTTGGACTATGACTGGGCTCATTCTCAACCTGTTTAGGGAATAGACCAGTCGTTAGCTTCTTCTGTTTACAAGGGCTGTATCGGAATGAGTGATTATTATTCTCCTCGCCTCACTAGGCTAGACTTTTGTATAAGGATTGCATGCGTTGTAGATACTGGGAATCTATTATGTACATAATATGTATGCTGCCCAAGAGAATCCCAATCCATCAATCCTCGTATCATGGCTCAGGAGAGTTAGCGCGATGTGTTTTTCGCTTTTTACTCGTTCCAGCCTTGGCTTTGGTGGCTGAGCCACCTCTTTTGCCTTTATTCTGCGAAACGGAGGCTTCTTCTTCTCCCTCTGCATCCCCGATAGCTGGCTCACCGGATCGCGAGGTTCCGCCTGTCTGAGCTTCCTGACGTAGCCGACTAAATGCCTTTTCCATGCGGCTGGGTCCACCTGTACGAACGCGAGGCGCAAACGCACCCGCGCCCTGTGGACCTTGCATGAATTGTGTGATGTTGGACTGTGTGCCTTCCTGGTCTCGCCGATTCATGTCACGAATTACCGGTACCAGGACTTCATCTGTCCGCTCTTGGCTCCAGCCGATTGTGGTCATGAGGAAGGCCCGTAGCCCATTCAGATCAGGAACACCCCATTGGAATTGGGAAGGGTCGTCGTCGACCGTGGGTTCCAGGTATGCCTCATCAACTCTGGCATCAGGGAAGGAAGGAGGCAAGAAGATCTTGGATGCCTTCTTTCGAAATTTCTTTCGGAAGGCAACGTGAGCATCGTCTGCAGTATTTGTGCCCGTTTGCAATTTAGTCCACCAATCGCGGAACTCTTCGAGGCTGGAAAACTCAGTGAGTATCTCTAGGGCTGTGACTGGACCAATCCCGGGAATGCCCTCTGTGTAATCGCTGCCCAACAGATGGGCAAAGCTGATAAGCTTCTGTCGATGGAGGGCGTACTCTTTCTCCAGGTCGGACGTCAAGTAGCACTCGACGAATTTACTTTGGTTGAACATGTTTTTGTAGACTCGCGTTCCCCCGAAGAGGAAGATATCACTGTCATCCGTGACAATCCCATCCACAAGGCCTAGCGATACCAATTTGGCGCACTGCGCTTCGGCTTCCATAGGCGCGGTGATATAGGGTAGTCCGAAGAGCGTCAGGAGCTGTTGACACTCATTGATCATAATAGTGGTCACCTCGTCTGCATCGCGACGCTCGTTTCTCTGCTGAGACCGTAGTTGCTTTAGTTCTTGCTCGTAGTCAAAGGCTTCCTGGTGAGGAGCAGCAGAATTAAGGGTATTGGCAAATCGCAAATGCTCCTCGCCCTCTGCTGCAAGCTGCTTGAACAGCTCTTCATCCTCCGGGTCACTGTAGTCGGCTTGGTCCTGCACGAAATCTTCCATTCGATCGACCTCTTCGAAGAGCTGAGGCTGTGGCTGAGCCTTTTGATGGGATACAACAGTGATCTCGGGGCCTTTGTTGGGAACATGAGGGACAACGTCTTCAAATTCTGGCGAAGGAGAATGTCCCCTGCGTGGAGACGGCTCATCAAGCTTTGTGGTGATCGGGGCCGGAACTTGTTCACTCAAAGGCTTCTCATCCGGATTTGTAGAAAGCTCGTTGTAAATCTTTTCAATGTCCTCCACTTGAAAGGGTTGTTTGGATTTCTCCTCCTCTTTCTCTTCCTCTTCATCTTCCTCCTCTAGATCAACAACTTCCTTGGTGGCGGAACTTTCATCTATATCGATAATGTCTGGCGAGCGACGATTGGACAGGAACAGATGATCTGGCGCCGCTGGTCTCTCATCCTTTTCAGGATCTTCGACGGGATCAACGATGAATTCCGCATCTGAGGGTTCACCCACAAACCATGGAGGAAGTGGGTCAGCCTGTTTTGGCTTCTTTGTAGGCTCCTTGACGAAACCCCCTGCATCCTCACCAACATCGCCAGCTTTAGTATTATCTTTCGCGACTTTAGTGAGTTTGATGGATTCAAAAGGGAGAGGACCACCGAATGGATTTGGTGCATATGGGGCTTTCTTCGAGACCTTTGTTCTTGCTATGGCAGCAGAAAAGTCCATCCCATCATCGCTCTCGGAATCAATATCTGGCCCCATCCCATAGGACGGAGCTGATTTGACCGGTCGAGGGATGTGTATATCAGGCATATCTTCGTCATCAACTGCTTTATCCGGTTGTAACGAAAGGGCAATGGCTCGTTCGAGGTCATCATCGTCGCCATCAAAGAAATCCTCAGTTTCGTTGTTCGGCTCCTGTGTGCCAACATTTCCCTCGGCTTCAACAAAAAGCGAGTCATCTTCAGCCTCTCGTACACGATTTTCATTCACTAGCTGTCGCTGTGAAGCAAGACGCGATTCTTGTATAGCCCTTCTCATATCTAAGTTTTCGTCCATCTCGAGTTGAAGCGACCGGTCGAATACACCCCTCTTGAAGGAAAGGAAGTTTGGGCAGTCGGTTCAGACCTTCGATTGGAACGTCCTCGAACTCATCTTCATCCGACACCTCGTCCTCATCAGACAGTATCTCAGGTCGATCTAGATCGATGGGCTTTTCTTCTTGGCCTTCCCTGTTCCCCACAACACCTAGGACCCAGCCACCTTCATGTTCACGATCCTTGACAAGCACGTATTCCCTGCCACGTTCTCCCGCGATACGCTGCCCAGATTTGTAGAATGCTTCATCTCCGTTCATGCCGTTTATATTCATTAGTCGTTGCGTAAGGTCATTTCGTTCCGCGACACGGTCGATTTGAAATTTCGAGAACGCCATGCGATCTGGAAACATGGTATCTAACTGCTCTTTCGAATAACCCATTCGAAGTCGGCTCCTTAGCCTCGCTGCATTCAAGATGTTGTAGCGATCAGTGGGGGGAGACTAAGGAAGAACATGCTGTCGAAGTCGATTTTGGAAAAATCGTAAAGGTTGATATCTTGACCCTGGTGGAAATGTCTAGCATACTCCTCCAGTTCCTCTTGGGACATGATGCGTGGATCGTTTGGTGCTCCCATATCCTGAAGCGAGACGTCTAGGTTAGGTAGGTGGTACGCATCCTTCTTCTTGAACTTGCGATTTTGTCGCTTTTCTGTCTCTGTCATGAAAGCCTCGTCTGCGTAGACCGGAGCATCTGGCACCTCTTCCTCCTCTTGTCTCCGACTCTTATTGCGTCGGCGAGCGTCCTCCTCTTCCGCACTACGTTGCATTTGTACGGCAAGCAACTTTCCCGCTGTTCTCGCAGCATCTTCTCTGTGACCCTCGCGTCTCTTCTTTCGGCCAGCGATCGTCTGCCTTTTCATGACGGGGGCCCCGCCATCGAAGACGAAGACAGGCCGGATCCCGAAATACAGCAGCTTGCATATGCGGCGAAAGAACCCAACGATATGAGAATTCCGGAGCGCATTGCCTTCTTTGTCTCGCACCGCCTTCAAGAATTGATAGATCCAGATCGACGCGTCGACAGCTAATCGTTTCTTGTTGAGCGTCTCGAGTTTGATAGGGCGAGCGCACGGCTGCACGACCGTCCAGAGGCCAGTGACACCCATGGCTAATCAAAGGAGTATCAAATCATGAGACTTTATTAAGGAGGTCTGGCATTTTAGGGATAATTTACTGCTCGCAGGTGGCTAGTTAGCGAAGCAGGATTCGTCGGGCAGGTGAGATGAGCGCCGAGCCCCGAGCGTCATTCCACTCCCGCGCCTCGATCGCGAGATCACGTGCATAATATTACCACTTACGGACTAGTGCCAGGGTTATATAATCACATCGGGGAAATCATCGAAAAGTAGTGGGCTTTTTTTGGCGTGTGGTGGGATGTGCACTTTTATCTGAGGCAATTGAGGTATTCCGTGTAATTCGCTTCTCTGCTTAATGTGTGTAGAAGTTGGCAATGTCTCTATCACTCGAGGTCAGTGTTGCCATATCTGTAGTCAAAATGCTGTCCCGCTGACTCAAAATACCAGCATATTGATGCTTTTCTCCCGATAAGAGCGTTGAAGACGATTGTACTGGGTGCTAGACGATTCATTTTCCAAAGTCAAGGCACATTCTTCCGGGTTGTTGATGAATCCACTGGTGTCGTCAACACTCAAATCCAGATATTCAAAAGAAACAATATTCATGGTTTTATTACTTTGAATCAACGACTACAGGATCATGATTCGAGCCATGTCCAAATAGTTGTCTGGGGAGGGCGCTCAGTGCGAGCGGTCGACGTCTTTGTGGCATCTGACAATGAAGTCACGTTGTCAGCCTCTAGTGCCGAGTTCACTGCTCCAGATTGGATCATGAGTGGGTGCGCAGCTGCTGTAGGTGGCCATTACGGGGCGTTTTTCATCACAGCGAACAATGCACTCCTGAGTATCGAACTGGTCGACAGTGATATACCCGGGAGAGATACCATATCCATATATCAGCTGGCGACAAGTGTGAAGTCTATCCTTTACTCTGCTGATGTGACTGCGCTATCTTCCTCCCATGTACTCATTGCCGCTGGTACCGTCTTCGGAGAAATCATCGTATGGTCGTGTTTCTTGAATAAGGATAGATCACACAAAGCTAATGCAATTGGCTCCATCCACCATTTCTTCACCGGGCATGATGGATCAATCTTCGATGTCCGCATCTCTCCCAAGATCCAGTCCTTGAACGGGGGCCGGTCTGGCAGGATACTGGCCAGCTGCAGTGATGATAGAACTGTCAGAATCTGGGATATATCAGATTGTGAGCACAAAACAGCCGAAGATCATTCTGCATACTCCACAGACGGATTTGAATTGCGAAGCACAGGCTTTGGTCCTGTTGAGGCAGGCGAGGACAGCGTTGGATCGGAATCATGTGTGGTCCAGGCATTTGCCCACGTGTCTCGCATTTGGGGTGTCCATTTCAGAGCAGTCAAAAATAATAATCAAACTCACATGGGTTTGGTTTCTCGTGGAGAGGATTGCACATGCGTTTTGTGGGACCTAAGCTGGCAGTCATCATCCACTGGGACGACTGTCTATCAGCTCAGGCAGACTTCTTCAATACAAACACATATTGGAAAGCATATTTGGTCTCTGGATCTTTGCAGAATCGGCTCTAAGACTGTGGTTTACACTGGAGGTGCTGACGGCGCATTGAAAAGTTTCCCCATCCAAGAAAATGACCATGAACAACTGGGCAACGACTCTGGTGCTTCTTCCCAGAAATCGCGTGGCTTGCAAGTAAAGGTGAAAAAGAAGAATCCCACAGTTGAAGGGACGAAAGCCTTTGCATTTGTCACCCAAGATTGCCTTCTTCGCACCTCTCCACAAGGGCAGATTCAGCTTGGGTATGTCAACCAAGCAGAGGATACTGCCATTACTTGGGAAACACTATGCGAAACACCTGATCTTTCTTCTTTCGCCGTCATGGCTGCTTTGCCCCAGATGGGTTTGGCTTTGATAGGTAATTTCAGAGGACTCATTCGACTCTACAATCACGCTACGAAATCTGTCATCAACATCACAGACGTTGGCAACAGACCACTTGGATTATTCTTCCTTCAGTCTCACTCTTCCAAGATGCATACCCTGAATCCTTCTCAAAAGATCACCTTCCTCGTCTATTATCCTACGGGAGAAGAAATAACACTCGTCAACGTCTCCGACTGGAACAGCGATCATCCAACTGCCGAAATAACCAACTTTAACCTGCCATCCATGTTTGTGGTTTGCAGTGCATCTTTCATCTTCGATGGCAAATATTTGATTATAGGAGGGAAAACCGGCGCTCTTGCTATATACAACACCTCCGAGGCTGAGCCCGTATCGGTCAACCGACGTGTTCATAGCCGAGAGTTTGTCAACCATATTAGCGTCGTCACGTCTGTTGTTACGAATGATAGGAAATCGGACTTCGTACTGACCTGTGGGCGAGACGGAACTTATTGTCTCCATGAATTGCAGCTTTCCGGGAACGGAGCAGATGCGGTATCCATACAAACAGTGCACCGTACAGCATCTATAACCGGTGGAAACATTGAAGGCGCTTATTTCGACAGAGCGACTGGCGATTTTATGTTGTACGGATTCAGATCCCAAGATTTCGTCCTGCGCAATGAGTCGAAGTTGACGGATATCGTATCCATTGCTTCAGGCGGCTTTCGCCGATCCTGGGACTTCATCCCAGGAGACAAAAATACCAATGCTTTGTTCGCGTGGAAAGATGGATATTCTCTAATGACTACTCGTGTGCGAGCTGCTGCTAGTACCTTGCTTCGAGCTGGAGGTCACGGACGGGAAATCAAAGCAATGGATGTTTTCAACGCTACCGGTGGAGATCGGCCTCTATTTGCGACTGGAGCAGAGGACACTACTGTTCGTCTTTTCACACCGACTTCTTCATTGGCTGCTAGTCCGTGGGGTAGTTTCGAGTGTCTGCGCGTCTTGGATACACACAGGTCTGGGATCCAGCAGGTGACCTGGTCCAAGGATGGAAGATACCTGTTCACCAGTGCTGCATACGAAGAGTTTTTCGTGTGGAGTGTCCGCACCATTCCCATATTTGGCGTTGCTACGAACTTGATGGCTGCCAGTCCGAAGGATGACGTGAATTCAGATCTCCGGATACCTAGTTTCGATTTGGTGGAAGTAGAGGAAGTTGACGGGAGCAGGGCTTCCTCCTGTGCATTGCTCTTTCCAACTCCGTTTTCAAGGTAAGAGTGGCTCTTTCCTTCAAATACCACGGCCGACATGTACTAACGTCCTTGCAGATCTTCCACTTTTCACCATCTAATGGAGGCCAATTCACTCTCCTGGCTCGTGGGAAATACATGACCAATTGTTTGACCCAAGCCCACTTCTTGATCTCGACATCTTCAGTGTGTCTTATCACCGCAGCGACTGATGGCTACTTCACACTCTGGGATCTAACAAGCACACTTGAACCGTTCTACACAATCACACAATCCACCTTGAAGACTAAGCACTCCTTCGACGGCTCTTCCATCTCACCAGAAAACATCACATGCGAAAGTCGATATCAGATTCATTCCAACAGCATCAAAGGGATGGAACTGGTTCCTATCTCTGACACAGCCACTGTTGTTGTGGCTGGAGGTGATGATAATTCTCTCTCGGTCTCCCTCCTAAGAACACATCCATCCGACACCGGCTCAAATGCACAGGTAGCTACGGTGTCTCATCCCCGATGCTCACGCTGCGTCAGTTACCACGGTCAAAGTACTCAATCAGCAAATCTCTCGTGGTATTACATCAAATACAGAATCGATTAAATTCACTGTTGCATCCTCTGGAAATGACCATCGAGTCAAAATCTGGTCAATCGCCGTGGACCTTACACAGCCAGGTACCCAGGGGATCATCGTGGGATTCTTACTGGATACATACAGCTCCGTGGCTGATATATCATCATTGGGGATTGTCCATGGGCCTGGGAATGGCCTCCCCGCAGAGCGCCAAGTCCCTGGATCGGAAATAAATCAGTCGCGATTGGTTGTATGTGGTGAGGGCATGGAGATGTTTGCTGCCGAATCGGATGGAGCCCCATCCGCATGATGCCGATTCGATGTCGGATATAGATAAGACTTCAATACAACAATATGAACATAGATGATACCACGTGAGACTACAGACTTGGGTAAGGGGAAAGATGATAGCAAATCCACCGGACAAGAGGAAGGCAGTAGTGAACTACTCGGATAAGAGGAAGACCAAAGCAAATTAGGGCATGCGTTCTAACTGCATGATGGCTCCATATTCAGCGAGGAAAGCTATGCGACTGGTCAGTATAGTATGTTGGGGTATTCGTCAACTCCAACGAACTACTCCGCTCCTCTGAAATAGTGAAATAGCTTGATTATTCCCATACTACGCCATATCTACCCCGCAGTTTCGGGGAGTTCACCGTATTTTGTACTGATATGGATGAGCCGGAGGGACCCCATTTGAGGAAAGATTGACAAAAGCGGTTAATTAAATGACATAGTCTCGCGGTCTTTTAATTTATTTGTCTCAGCTCTAGGGCTTGTTTACTTGCAGTATTAGTGAAACGAAAACAGCATTTCTAAGACGGGATACATGTATATAAAGAAAGAACCTAGAAGCGTGAATATTTTCTTCCAACAGACTACACTAGGCATTACATATCTTCCTCATCATGAAGTATCTCGTTGGTATGATCGCCGGCGCCGGGCTGGCTGCTGCTGCTCCCTTGCAGTCTCGTGCTACAAACAGTTATTTCTTTACATTGTGAGTGATAGATCGTGTCCCCTTTACATAACACGCTGGAAAAGGAGCTAAAAACCCATCCGCAGTGGTAATTCCTACACCATGACCAGTTTCGATGTCGGTGGCACGCAGCCAACTACTGATAACCCTATGGGGAACCCAGCACTGGGTGGGTCTTGCTCACTCCCTAGCAAAAGCAGGCTTAACTTATTTTTTTTTAAAAAAAAAATAGGTACAGGAACAACCACTGGCGGCGTCAACTGGGTGGGATACCTGACTACTGAGTACAATGCCTCACCAGTCCTCAGCTACAACCTTGCTGTTGGAGGAGCGTCCCTCGACAATTCCCTCATCACTACCAATACCAAAGAAGACATGGTAACGCAAGTCGCCAGCTTCGAGACAGCATATGGGAATAAGCCTGATGCTGCACCATGGACTTCAGACAACGCAGTCTTTGGATTCTGGATTGGAATTAATGAGTATGGTCCCCTAGATCCTGACTAACGACTAGACTAACTCTCCAATTTGCAGTATTGGTTGGGCTTGGTCAAGCAACGACGCCAATGTTCTGATTCCAAAGATCATGGCCCAGTATAAGGCTCAAGCTGAAAAGATCTACGCAAGTGGTGGGCGGAAGTTCATCTTCCTCAATGTCCCGCCTACAAGCCGATCTCCCCAGATCGCCGGTGAAGGAACAACCGCTGCGGCCGGTCACGCTAAGTGGCTGGCGTCTTTCAACGCTGCCCTTAAGACAATGGTCGATGAATTCATCGCGGACAACAGTGGTGTATGTTTTGATTGTCTGATTATATACGTGATTTTGCACAACTGACCTAGCTGCAGACTACAACCGTTCTCTACGATACCTTTGCCTTCATGAGCAAGGTCCTCGATTCCCCTACAACATATGGATTTACCGATGCTAATTGTGTCAATGATGATGGTGCCACCTGTGTCTGGTGGAATTCCTACCATCCAGGTCATGCTTACCACAAGCTGCAGGCAGCGGATATGAAGGAGCACATGCACTCTCTGGGTGCTTGGTAGACTGATCGGGATGGTCTGGGAGAGGGTCATATGGCAGACTAAGAGTAGTAAGGTTCAAGTTTGGAGTAGCCATGTATAAGCCGGCCTCTTTGTTTTGGAGTGAATATCAAGACTTTGAGCGCGATGTTCCTGGTTTCATCTTGCAATCAACTTGCTACGGCTACTCTCCTTCCACATTTGGTTTTCTCAAGTCCCCATGAATTACTACAGCGTATGTTTGAAATAATTTTGTACTTGCATATGCTTTAGTAAAGATAATTACCTATACCCCGTGCTGGAGAATGCATGGATGTGACACCCCACAACCCCTGAGTATGATACCACCCCTGCATGTCAGAAACGCCGATCAATACCTGAAGCGCCGCGGGCTTGCAAAACATCAATCCTTGAAACAAAGCGATGCATATTTAAGCCACTTGTGCCTGAAGAAAGCTTCGTCGAAGCGGGGTATATCCGATATACAGTGGGTAATTCTTCTAGTCTGAAGACTCGGGGACATTGCCTTCTTGGCTATCCGTTTCGCATGAGGTCGCCAAGAAGGTCTGTTTCTCACCATTATCCATGATTCTACGCATCCTCATTGATGGATTATTGTTGTTAGGCACTGTAATATCCGAAGTTGCTGTACATCCCACATATTAAGGACTGAAGACCGTGTCATTTTCTGTCAATCCCTAATTTCCGTCTGGTTGTACTCGTTTGGAATGTCCTGCAAGTTATTCGACAATGTACACTAAGTCACTGACAGAACTATAAAATGGGCAATTTCACCCCGGCTGTTAGTATCCCTTCGCATTGCTATCACATCACTCCTCTTGACTCGTCAATATGAGATTCGATCACATTGCCCTCCTCGCCGCTGTGGCTGGATCCGCAGCGGCGGCTCCTGCCAAAAACGCAAAGAGAGCTTCGCCCTTTCAATGTTCGAATCCATGAATTCACAAGATACTCTTGATCATCCATTGACCAATTTCTCGTATAGGGTTCGGAACAAGCGAGTCCGGGGCTGAATTTGGCGAAGACAACCTTCCTGGTGTCTACGTAAGTGGCCTAAATATATACGTCTTTTGAGAATTTCAGCTGATAAAGACCGGAACAGGGAAAGGATTATTACTTCCCTGATGCTAGCACCATCAAAACGTTGGCTGGAAAAGGAATGAACATCTTCCGGGTGGCCTTCAAAATGGAGCGGCTGGTACCGAACTCCATGACAGGCGGGTTTGACGACGCCTATCTAAGCAATCTGACCGCGGTATGTCGTGCCATATCTACCCAAATGTGAACAAGCGAATGCTGATCTAGTGGCAGACGGTCAAAGCCATCACAGATGCAGGATCTCACGCCGTGCTTGATCCGCACAACTATGGAAGATAGTAAGTGTTCTATCCAATAAAGCGAATGGATCGAAGCTTATGAGTGTACCCAGCAACGGCGAAATCATGTCGAGCACCTCCGACTTCCAGACATTCTGGAAGAACGTCGCAGGCGAATTCTCCTCGAATGAGCTAGTCATTTTCGACACAAGTTAGTATCGCCCGAGTCTTATCGCATCACAGGCCTTCCATTAACCAAATCACGCACAGACAACGAGTACCACGACATGGACCAAGACCTCGTCCTCAAGCTCAACCAGGCAGCCATTGACGGCATCCGCGAAGCGGGCGCCACAAGCCAATATATCTTCGTCGAGGGCAACTCTTGGACCGGCGCGTGGACCTGGGTTGACGTGAACGATAACATGAAGGCCCTAACCGACCCCCAAGACAAGATCGTCTACGAGATGCACCAGTACCTCGACTCAGATGGATCAGGCAAGAGCGAAACATGTGTGTCGACGACGATCGGAAAAGAGCGCGTGACGGCGGCGACACAGTGGCTGAAGGATAACAACAAGGTTGGGGTTATTGGTGAGTTTGCCGGTGGTGTGAATGACAACTGCAAGGCGGCGATTACAGGCATGCTTGATTATATGGGTGACAACTCAGATGTCTGGCGCGGAGCACTGTGGTGGGCTGCCGGTCCTTGGTGGGCGGACTATATCTTCAGTATTGAGCCTCCCACTGGCGTGGCCTACACGGGTATGTTGTCGACGCTTGAGCCATATTTGCAGTAAACCATCCCGATCGAGGTGAATGTGAACATACATGGTCCATATATAGTTATCAAGTTCGGTTGCTGAATCATACCGTAATCAATGCCAACTTTCCGCAAATAGGCATGATATACTCCACGGCGGAGAAAAGAGTGACAACCAATCATGTTTTCATACTCGTTTGTCCATAATCAGATGAAATTACCTAGTCTTCTCTTTGGACCCCAGTGCCTGTCGCAGGTAGAATCGCCCGATGCGTCGCATCGAACGACAGACCACGATGTCTCGAAAGGAACAGACATCAACGCCCAAAACCAAGACGGCCAAAAACCGTGGTCTTTCCGATGATAGACATAATCTGACAACAAAGACGATGGATAATTGCGACAGAATATTATATAGGGGCATATTGATCTCTCCGATGTCTCCTCGAACAATGCGTCTGATGACGATTCATCCTTCAGCAACTCCGATCGGACGGCAGTGATGGTTCAGATGATGACACCGATGATAATCCGATCCTTGATGACAGAGACAAGCAGGGAAAATTGAACCAGCTTGCTCTACACATAAACCTGTTCTCGAAATCTGCCAGCTTGGGACAATCGTTATCATCCCTGCTTGAGGTACAGTAGCTTTTGAAATGACGAACACAACACCGTTTACGAGCTCCCGTTGGCAAGAAAGGTTGGACCGCATCGACCGAGGGCACTTTCAATAATGGCTTCCAACAGGTCCGCGTACGAGATCCCATTGCTCTCGGCGCAGGCTGGCAAAGGAGAATGGTCTGGAAGCAGGCCGGAAATAGGGTTCACCTGCGCAACGAAGACATGAGTCTTGTACAACTGAAATAAAGGTAAAAATAGAGTCATATACTCACCTCCAAGATATTCGGAACAGCATCCGGCTCGTCCGAGTCAAAGCGAATGTCGACACGCCCGGCATCCCGGCAGCCGAAAACCTTCCATGCATCTAGGGACACGCGACAGGCGGCTTGAACTTGCGGATGGGTTAGATCTTGATCTCGGAGGATCAGCTTGTTTCTGCTGGATTTGCTCCATCTGCTCGCAAACTCCAAGTCGGGATGGCCGTCAACTCCGTTGGTAAAGTCGGTGGAAGGCTTCTTCCAGATGAATTCTCGGACGCCAATCACCCGGGCATCCTCGCCCGCCCCTAGAATTCCCACGGTGAATTCGCGACCGGACAGAAACGGTTCTACCAGGATATCCTCAGCCGGGAATTTGGATCTTAGTTGCTGTACGGCTGGCTCTAGCTCGACCGGGTTCTTCACTTTATTGAACCCGTCGATGCCCTTGGACGAGCCTTCGGTGACTGGCTTCACGAAGAGCGGATACTGGAGCCCGGATGTGGTGAATTTGAGGAGGCTGTCAGCCGGTTCATTGGCTGGGATCACCAGAAAGGGCGCAGTAGGAATATTGTGATGGTTCAAGACCATCTAAGTTTGTAGGGAATTGGTTAGCCGGCTCCTACCTAGACAATCTCCGGGAAGAGAACCACGTGTGTCTACCTTGGTATTTGCCTTGTTCTGACACAGCGCCATTGTGGCCGCATCCGCAAAAGTGTGCGGAACTTGATACGCGCCTAGGAGCGCGGGGACCTGCGATTCTCTCGCGGGCCCGTGGAAGCCCTGCGCCATATTGAACGCCAGGTCCCAACACTTGTGCTTCCCGGCCGCTAGCTGTTGGACCAGCGACTCAATGCCTGGGACTAGCGTGACTTGGTGGCCTAGCTTCTTGAGCGTGAACAAGACCGCCTGGATTTCTCCGTCGTGCGTGAGTGCCGCACAGTCCTCCTCGGAGTACCCGAGTTGGAGGTAGTTTGACCGTTGCTCGGAGATCAGGGCTACCCTAAGGCTAGTAGACCCGTTAGATTCGCCCATGGTGTGGGGGTTGTAGAAGAAGGAGAGCAGAAGAAGACGGTCTAATAATCATAAGAAAAGATGAGAAGAATCATATAACAGTACCAATGTCAAGAATCAATCGCTGCCACTTAGGTCAACACGACAGCGCCTGGAGCATATAGTCGATGACGCATCAATGCTACCGAATTGTCCCCCGGGGCCAGCACGCCATTCTATAAAACTAAAACTGGTTTAAATATAAGCTTATTGAATCCAACTCTACTACAACTGCTATACAAACTTGTTTAAGACTTTGACTATGACTGGTTGAGTTTATTTTGATGACCAGTTAACTGGGGGGAATGCATTTGTTAATAGTGGAACTCTGTGGAGCGTCTGATTATCAGTTGTTTCCGTTTGCGGTTCTGTATTTTCAGGCTACACTAGCCCGACTAACCTATTGCGACAATGGGTCGAATCCACTTCCCTGAAATCGGTGAAGCTTGTATATAACTGGGACTGCGCCGAAATTTCATCGTGCGAACGCGATTCAGCGCCTCTTCCAAGCTAATGATCCGCTGTTTGATGAAGGGGTTTCGCGCTACAGATTCTTGATATCCACAAGTGGTCGTATCTCGAAATAAATGTGCCAGACTGATGACTAGGCGGCCACGGACGGTGAAACCACATCACTGTACTAGCATGTGAATTCTCGCTTGCTTACCCCGGAGAGTGGAATTCTCTGTTCTCCAAGTTGTGCTAGGCGTTAGTCTCCTTGTCGGTCTCCTCGTAAGTGACAACTGCATCCTGGGTTTCTTAATAAGATGCTTGGATGTTCAGTTGCTTAAGTGTTTGAGCTTCTACTTCTTATGTGCCTGTTTGACATCTTTGGTCTGCCCTGTGGGTCGGTCTCCATGTCTAGGTCTCTCATATTTAGATAGCTCTCTTTCCCTCTTCTTCTTGGTTGAGAGTCTTCCTTGCCAGTGCGTAAGCTTCAGCTATCAGGCTGAAGAGTGTCAGATGAGTGCTTTGTCTTCTAAAAGAGGATATATATGTCTCTGCTGCAAATAGAGCTAATGCTCTCTCTCTCATTGGTTATATTATATAATTGCTTAACCCAGGCTATTATATGCAGGTGTCTCCGTCATCTGATTTTCTACCCCTTAGTCTTTAGCATGGTCGAGAGAGACCCCTTGGAGGTGAGTAACATCACGCGGCATTTGCGCTTTCAAGGGCTACTATCCTCTCTGTGAGGGCCGAGACTTGCCCCCGAAGTGCTCGCACTTCTTTTTGGAGTTGCGTCTCTTCTGCGGCCTTAGCGGCCTTCTCTTTCTTCTCTTCCTCCCACTTGGTGACGTTGAGCCTGTGGGCTGCTTGTTGCATGATGAGGCCATGCAGGCCCCACAAAAATGCAGCTCCGCCGTACAGGTGTGTGGTCCAGTGTGGGGATGACCCCGAAGTGGTTTCTCCACGTTTGCTTAATGCTAGAGTTTCATTGTTAGTATATGAAGGTGTTTTCCTGGCTTGGGATTTATGACATACCAGCAAACGCCGTTGGGGTGGCATCCATTCGGGCATGCCAAATAGTGACATTCGGATCGCTCTGATCCAGCTCATCCTCAATGATGCCAAGAATGGTGGCCTTGAAAGCCAGCATCGATATATACCATGACAACCCATAGTCGCTGTGAATATCCTCACGAAGATAAGAAGTCGCTTTCTGCGCGAGGACAGCTGGAACCGTGCGTAGCGCCACCTGCGAGTGCGGGAAGCAGAGTGGGAGCTGGCAACAGACGACGCAGAGTGCCACAGTGTTGCTTGTAATCCTTCAGGTGATCCTGAAAAATGTCCACGAACTGTTAGTAGATCGACAACGAGAAGATGCAAAACCGGAAAGGACTCACCTTAGAGACGGTCTTCTTGACCAAACTGTGATCACTGGCGCGAGATTTGACGGAGATCTTCCCGCGCTTTTGCGGCCTTCTCCCTCTTCTCTGCCTCCCACTTGGAGACATTTAGCCAGTGGGCAGCTTGCTGCATTACGAGGCCATGCAAGCTCCACACAATTGCGGCTACTCCGTAAAGGTGTGTAGTCCAGTGTGGGGATGACCCCGAACTGGTTTCTCCACGTTTGCTTAATGCTAGAGTTTCATTGTTAGTATATGAAGGTGTTTTCCTAGCTTGGGATCTATGACATACCAGCAAACGCCGATGGGCAACCCGAAAAGGATGGGAACGAATCGTCGGAGTGATAGCAGCGATGATTCAAGAGAAAAGAGCTCACGCGTAGATATGAAAAGACGATTTCAAAGTGAAAGACAAGTGAGAGCAAGGCAAAGCTTCTCAACAATGGATAGCACTCAACAAAGAGATGCTAAAAGTGAGCTTGAGCGTGAGATAGTAATCATACCACCCTCAATCAGGAAGATATAGCTCAATCAGAAGCCATATGGAAAGGTAGGTCAACAAGGCCCTGCAAACCCAGGAGGTGCGCTCCAGAGGAAAGAGGGTAGGTAGATTACAACCCTGGAACCTTCCTTGGAAGGTTGTTTACCTACTTAGGTACCTACCTAGGTACCTAGGTAGGTACTCTGGCAGCCTTACGTAACCAATTCCAATTTGGAACCTGGGAACGGATTAACGACTATATTTACTGTTGCTCCTGACTAACGGGAATTTAGGTGGATATCAGTTTGCGATCGGGGTAAAGAGTACAACACGCAAAAGGAACGCCAGGATGTAGTAGAGGAAATCAAGTAATAGGACAGGCGTCGTCGATCAGCGCACGGTTTTGCCTAAAAAGATCTTAGAACATTTAAGCTGCGCAATAGTTAGGTTCGTCAGAGCGGAGGGCTATCCCAGATTTGAAAGAAGTTTATCTGAAAATATTAAATATAGAACAGCCCTGGAGGCATCATCATTAGTAAAATTTTGCCCTGTGTAAAGAGACAGCGGAGTGAGTTCAGTGGAATGGGTACAGCAAAGGGCGGGATACGATAATGCCAAGAGGGAAAAAATAGAGGAGCCTGGCGGCTTACGCAGTCTTGAGGCGGAGAGGGAAAATTTGAAAATGATCCACAAGGCTGATCAGGGAAGGATGATTACCTGTTTTGGCCACTAGAATGATGATCCTGGGAACATGGATATGACGTTTTACTGAATTTTGTACGCTACATATGTGTAATTTAGTGAGAGAATAGAATCTGGTCTATAGCATTTAGGAGATTCCCTGCATATAAGCAAAATTACATCTTCGAAGGATATTCCATATGTTGTACATGTAGTTCTTACTGGTCTAACTGTGGATGTTAGGGATAAACAGATGAAGGATCATACCCAAATAGGACTAGTCCAAGCCACAAATAGAAGCAAACGTGGCCCTGGCGACGTGACCGCTCAGCCACTGATTGGTCCGCTGATCCTGCGCCTTCCATGGGAGGCTGGAGTTTCTTTTTAGTGTGAGGCTGTGCGTTCCCAAGGTTGTACGTTGTTTACTTGACACTGATCGCCTTTATATTAAAGTCTTTCCCCCATCTCACCTCTCCACTTCTCATCCATCTTTCACCTTTTTCTCTATATTCCATATCATTTCCATCACCTTATTCATTATGGGAAAAGCCGGTCGCGTTGCGTGTATCTTCACGCCCTATCTCTTGACCATTGCATCATTAATCTGCATCATTATGGTGGGATTGGGTTGCACAAAAGCCAGTTCTGACACCTTGAACAATTTATACTTCATTCGCGTAAGTCATCGAAGTCTCTACATGATTACTGCACCTGCTAATGCTAATAATCTATAGCTCGACCTCTCAAACATAAGCCAAGGATCGGCAGTTACATCAGAAATCACAGATCGCCTCGCCGATGCTGGTATCACTTCTGTCACTGCGGAAGAGGTCTCAGCGACCATCCAAACCTTCCAGAATGATGGCAATATCGCTGATTTCTACGACATTGGTCTCTGGGGTTACTGCGAGGGAGATTCCACCAACGGCAAGGATACCGTCTCCAAGTGCACAGACCCTAAGGCTCAGTTCTACTTCAACCCGTCTTCGATTCTGGGCATGAGCGAGGCCCAACTCGAGAAGGAGCTTGGCAGCGGCATGAAGAAGACCATGAACGTCTACAAGGCTGTCTCCAAGTGGATGTTCATCGCCTACCTAGTCGCCTTTATCGCCACCTGCGCCCAGGTCCTGCTTGGTATCTTCGCTATCTTCAGTCGCTGGGGTAGTTGCGTCACCACCATCGTCTCGATTGTTTCGTTCCTCTTCACCCTTGGCGCATCCCTTACCTCAACCATCATGTTCTCCATCGCAAAGGGCTCCCTCGGCACAGCCCTGAAGGTCTACGGTGTTGAGGTAGACCTGGGTAAGAACATCTACGTCGCTACCTGGCTCGCGGTCGCTTTCTCTCTGGCAGCCACCATCTTCTGGATGTTCAGCACCTGCTGCTGCTCCGGCCGCTCGCCCTACGGCCACAAGGACCGTCACAACACCCGCGGCAGCATCACTGCAGAGAAGGCCCCCCTACACCTATGAGCCCATCGGCGCTGCCCACCCTCCCTTCGGTTCTCCGCAGCCCCAGCACGGTTACTCCACCTCGTACCCTCCTCCCCACCACAATGATATCCCCATGACCAACAACAATCAGCAGTCAAGCGCCTACGAACCCTTCCGCCATGCTTAAAATAATTGGCTTTTTATGACTGTACACCCCTTCTGAAGCGATTTTAGATTGGTTATACCAAGGCGTTCTCGTGGCTTTTTGCATGCTTTTAATGTCCACGTCCTTTTCCTGAATTTATGATGATCACCATGCCATTTATTTTGCATAGCGAGACTATGGTCTCCATGGGAGGGAACATTTGCATTTTGGTATATTTCTCTGATCCTCCACGGAGGAATCATTAGTATCTATCTGTCTGCAAATTGGTCCAAATACAAAATCCATCTACAAATATCATCTGGCTCTTCAATCTCTAACATAGTCTAAATAGCCCAGTCTCTGTTCCACTCCTACCTAGTTTGATGTAAATACATTGTAGTATGTAGATACCTAGGTAATTCTCTGGCCCCGCTGACCCATCCTACCCATGAGATTCGTTTCTTCTCTGTGTGTCCAAATGGCCCTATTATCGTGAAATAAGACACTTGACCCTTGCGAGCTCCCGCAGGGCAGGGGGCTTCAGGGGCCAAAGCTAGGATCTGCAGCAAGGCCCGAGCATGGTTGTTTGCTGCCGATCTTCTGCTTCGCCATGTGCGATGCTATCAGACGTGTTAGCGCCCCATGGGGAATTCGGGGATAATAAATCCGAGCGGATTCCTTTTTGCTATTCACATCCATGAAGCACGCGTATGATTAGGATTTAGTGAATTATCATGGTTGGTACGGAGTATTGTCACCCACTTAGTGAGAGTAAAGCCTTCAAATGTTTCCTGGGAAAGGGGTTTCAAGGCTTGCGGCCCCCAGTTCAGTATCCAGGTGCTAGCTAGTTAAAAAATAATGTACAGAAAGAATACACGAATCTGAATCTGAATCTGAAAAAATAGGATAGTACATCATCCCACCCATATTTTGTTTCCTTTTGCTCAAGCATGAAATGAAATGATATCTGCCGTTATGCATACTCCTTGCCGTTGCGATGAGCCAGCCGCTCGTAGAAAATAGAAATACAATTGTTGAATGATGGAAAGTGTCGGAACAATTACAATGGTTAGGGACCAGGGTTCTCTTGTTGGTTGTAGGTGGGCCGACGAATGACACCCTTTTCATCAACTTGAACCCTAGCTCCACCGCGACGACGGAGTTCCTGAAGAACGTTCTGGTCTTGGCGCGCCCAGCGCTTGAACGGCGTGTCGGGGTCATCGGACCATACAGGACCTGTTGGGAAAATGTTCCGAAGAGATCGGAACCAGGGCCTTCGTTGTCTTGGTCTCTCGAGCTCGGCATTATTCAGACAGCCTAGGGGCGCGGGCGGCGCTGGAGGTGCGGGAGAGGGAGAGGCAGGGGCAGAGATGCGGCGATCGTCCGTCTCATCGCCAAGTTCAATGCTGGCAGTTTCATGATGGGTATCGTCTCCTTCCTGTGTCTCTTCAATTTCGTCCATGCCGGTTTCGGTCATGTCAATGTCGTTCGGATTAAACGAAATGCGAATACCATCTGCGTCGTATTGTGTTGCATCGATCATCTCTTCATCATCGTTGGAAAGCACGAGCTTTTGATCATTGCTGCTAGATATATTTTGGAAGTGAATCGTTTCATTGAAAGAATCATCTGCCTCAACTTTGGGCTCCACCGAATCCGGGCGGGTGCCAGCAGACGGGGATGGCGAGGACTGTGTTGCAGCGGGCATGTTGGCATCCGGGACAGGAACATCATCAAAGGACCGGGCGTGGAGGTTTGAGAGCTTTTCCACAAGACTGGCCGTGAAAGAAGTGTTGGCGACTTCGCTTTGCGCCACTTTATCCTGGGTTACCTCGCCTTGGATTGTCACTTGCTGTGGAACTGGCGGGTTTCCTAGCTCGGGACGGGTAGGCGGAACAAACTGAGACGCGACTATGTCAACTCCATGGGCTGTTAGGCTTCTCTTTTTATGCCGGGGGCGTGAGAATTTCGAGCAAAAGAAGTCTTCGTAATCCAGTGTCTTCGACTCTTGAGATGAGCATTCTGCAAAATAGCGTGGGTACTCTTCCAGATGTTGGATGACAAAGTCATCCCATAAGAACGATCGTTGCAGTTGGCCCTTTTGCCGCATTGCCTGCAGTTTCGAGCACATCTCAGCGAAGTGAGCGAAATTACCAGAATATGGCGAATAATCATTGCAGAACTTTTCATAAATCGTCTGTGCTTCAGCGTACTTATTGGACTTGCCGATAAAGCCTTGTCGCCGTGCCACCAACTCGGCATTCGGGCTGTGCGTTGCCTTCTGGCCAGTGTCAGCACTCTCGCGGCCCAGGTGTCGTGAACACTTGGATGGTGATTCTCCATGAGCAGCGAAGGTGGTAGATTCCATAGGGGACAAATCCTGCATGTGTGACGCTCCGTCTAAGGAAAAGGGTCCTCTTGAGGAATCTTGGCTTGGTTCATGAAGTTGAGACATGGACAGCGAGTGACGCCTGGGATAAGAAAAAGACGATGGGTCGTCCGAGGGATCTAGATAGAAGATAGACGAACCACGCTGTCGTTGAGCAGGTCGCGATGAATCAAGCACAACGTCTGAGGATGACTGGACTGTCGCCTGTGATGGTGCGTGTACACTGCTGGTCTGACTCTGAGTACCTAGCACATCCAGTCGTAGTGATTCGTCTGCCAATATCGGCAAAGATGGATTTGAGGCCTCCTGGGATAGGCCACTTTGCCCGTGGCTATCTTGCGAGCGGTAGGTATCGAGAATTCGAGACGAGGGAGATGTCTTGGCAGCCTGAGAGTATGGCTGCTGAGAGCTCGGGGCCTGAAATCCGGCTCTCTGTTTGCTCTGCTTGTTGGGATTCAGATGTGTGATATGGACTGCAGGTGTCTCTACCACTTGGATAGTCCCACCTGCAAGTCTTGGAAGCGATGGCCCCGAGCTAGTAAGTTCCTGCTCAGGTTGACTGCTTAATGGAAGGCTTCCACCCAGAGCGAAAGGAACACTTGTCTCCATCTCTGGCTCATCATCACTCTCATCGACACTTGATCCATTACACACTTCAGGCTTAAATGGGGGATTTTCGGCGGGTTGTTCATCATGGCAATGTTCTTGTTTTACACGCTGGGGTTCATGGAGCGATTTTGAAGCGTTGGGCTTTGAAAATGGGTCATTTCCAAGGTCACACTCCAAAGACATCGGATTTATCGGCTCTGTTGTTACTTCAGGAGACGGAGAACATTGCTGCTCTACTGTCTCGATGACGCGCTTTGACGAGACAATAACCCCCTGCCCTGGCTGAGCAGGAGCTCTGGGAGATCCGTTCACCATGCCCACATCACCATCTTCTGTAGGTTGATCAACGATATATTGAGTACCGCTTGGCGTAGGGATTCTTCTGGCAGGCCTTCTGTAGACTTCGGGAGAAACCGTGTCTCGTGGAAGAACATCGCGGGCAGGTGTCCTAATGGGTGACGGAGACCATGATAGAGGAGATGTAAACGCGTCTTGCGGGGTCGGAGTATGGCCACGGTCAGATACTTGCTCTTCCTCTGCTCCTTCTTCTTCTTCTTCTCCTTCTCCCTCCCCTCCTCCTTCTTCTCCTTCTTTTGTCAAATGCTGTCGTTTTCGTGCAATGTTGTTCCATTGTGTCAAAAGATTAGGTGGTACATGGCATAAGGGTGCGGATACACCGGGATCCTGAGGGATGAATTTGAGTTCTTCCAAAAGTTCAGTTTGATCTTTTGGAATATCAATTTCACTCAAAGGTATTTTTACCATTCCTTCCCATGGATTTGTTGCGGATAGGGAGATGTCTGTTTTGGTGGTTACTATCTGCACCCTAGGATATGACGGCACGGGCTTATTTCGCACTTGCTCAGATTCAGTTTGGTCCGCCGACATCGCCTCTCCAGTATCAATGCGCTGTCGCTTTTTGGAGGGTGATGTGGTTGGGCTTTGCCGGCCCTGCGAGCCCAAGTCATCATCATGAGCAGCCTGTGATGGCGGATCTGTACTGCCACGATGTCTTTTCTTCGAGAACTGCTGGTTGTCTCCCGTTCCAACAGCATGAGCCCGGTCAGGATCATCCGATTCATTTGGAGGCTGCGAAGCCCGAAGTCTACACTCCTCTATTAAGTCGTCGACGTCTCGTTCGAGATTGGCGTAAGACGGGTCTGTAGCGGATCTACTAGCGCACGTCGCATCAGCAGTGTTGCTGGAAAGTCTCCGGAATAAGGGTTGAGCTCCGGTTAGGGGTCTATCAATGTCTTGTAGTGCCACTCACTCTCTTTCATTTGGTAAGGGAGAATGCCTGCTTTCACTTTCACCTAGAGATGGTCGGTGAGCCCCGCGAAGCTCTCTGGGGGCTGTGTCGTTTGTTTGAATTTGGTCGTAAGGCGCGAGCAATCCTAGAAGATCCGATGACCCGTTGAGGGAAACACGATTGGTCATTGGATTACCCTTCGGTGGGCCATGGCGCATATGAGACGGGGGCTGGGAGAAGAGCGACTGTGATACAGAATTGTTCTGGGAATCATTGGTCGGTATGTTTGGATCACGCTGAGAAACAAACGAGTGGGTCAATCCGGCATTTGTTTGACCATTGGAGCCAACATGCGCTTGGTTCTTCTGGATTTTCTCGCATGTCATAGTCATCAGGGTTCTGAGAGTCTTCTTGAGCTTTGGTTTCGGCACATCCCCTCGTGAGACCGCATTCGGGCGGATAGTAAAGCGTTTGACTTGAATGTAGATATCCGGGGTAGATGCTGAGTACGTAAAAATGAGCTTGATATCAGAAAGTTCAACTAGGTGCCTAGGGCCTCCTTTGATCGATGGTGGGCAGGGTGGTGTTTCTCCCTGTGCGTCCGGCGAGTCGCACAGAATAATCGCATCGATCTGGTTTTTTGAGTCTGTAAATGTGGCGCAATGCCTGTTCTCTCCTTGACCCCACTTATAGACAAAAGACATAGAGTTAGCAACAATTCCTTTTTTTGGTCATTCACATTCGCTATAGCTATCTTACCGATACAACAATGGCTGTCTTGAGTGCAGGCCTGCGGATACTGAAGCTGAGACATCCATCAATATCCTCGACCTGAACCTCATCTTGATCATTTTGACCGAGGTAGAATGAGAGACATTGGTCGGCTAAAGCCGCGATCCAGGGACTTACTGGACTCATCGTACGAATCCAGCCTTGTAGTCAATGTGGTACACAGCGTATGGGTCATAGCTGGTAGGAGAGAGCAGTGAACATGGGATTTTTGTAACCCTAGCGTTTGTGAAAGGAGAGAAGGGAAAAAAAAAGAGAAGGTCGCACCGTATCAAGAATCCCACTTAACCGCGTCTTATCGATTGCGAGCTCTGCCCTGGAGGTGGAGACGCGTCTAGCTTACTCAGCAGCACCACCACGTCATTCGTGCGGAGGGCCAAAAGGACCTGTTCTTTTTTGAAGTTTCTTTGATCCCGATCACTTTGACAGACACTTTTACCGGACCCTCGATCCTCTTCCTTCTTCACACTCGTCAAACCTGAGACCTTCCCGTACTCCTACCCCGAATGATCGGCTATCAACGGTGCCTGTATCCTGTGCGGAGATGATCTGAGACCTTTCTGCCTAACTTGGCCATGGATTCTCAGCAGTCCCAGGACTCACGAAGTCCGTCTGCATCTACAAACTCGCTTCCTCTTGGGCGACGCGGATCACGCGACTCTATGGCCACGACCCAGACTGAACGAGAATCGATGAATGCAGCTCTGGATAACTACCATAATGCAGCGTATCAGTCCGAGTCGCTCACTCTCTTCAACGAGTTCACTAGCCCACCAGCTCCCGCTGCTACATCAGATGAGAAAGGATTGTCTGACGAATTACAAGGTGGGCTAAGCGGTCTGTATAGTCGCTTTAGGACTTCCGTCGGCGGGGTGAGGGATATTGTCAGCGGTGGTGGAAAGTCTACAGGCAAAAGTGCGACAGAAACCCCTGCGGTCAAGAGTCCTATGCCAGAGCATCCAATGGCAAAACCAGTCTCAGACGTGGCTACAAGCTCCGCTGATTATCCGCCATCACAGCCCAACTCGTCACAAGGATCAAGGCTCCACTCGCCTGTCGTGGCAGACTTTCACACCCATCAAGATTCTGTACAACAATCGAATGTAGGAAAGAGATCAAGAATATCCTCCAAAAGTGGCAGCATATCTTCCAAGGCCTCCGTGTCACCATCCCCTGGAATCAAGCCCAGTATCGCACCGTTAACGAAAGCCACTGGTAGCGCCGTCGTGGCAGATCCTGCAGTCACTCAGCTTCATGTGAACGCAATCGGAAAGCCGGACCGCTCAAGAAGCAGCTCCATCAACGGCCCCTTCCAGGGAATCCACAATACAGAATCGACAAGTATAGGCAGCAAAGAAGGCCCTATGGATCTTTCCATGAGTCAAACATCCTCTTCATTGAGTCAGAACCTTTCTAGTTCGCCGATTCTGTCTGCCAAGATGCAAGGCAGCCATCACGAGGAATTTAACTCCAAAGACTCACTCTTAGCAACCTATACTCCAGACAACCAGTCTCGGCACTCCATCTCTACTCCAGATCAACAAAAGCTGCCCGAAACCCCCTCTCAATCAGCTGACATGCAAAATTCCAAGCACTCTGAGCCAGTTCAGGATCATATATCTCAGCATCCGGGAGAAAGATCAAAATCACGCACATTTTTCCCTCCTGAAGAGCCGAGAGCTTCTGTTTCTGCGTCAAATAGTTTATCAAAACTTTCCTCCCATGATGAGGTACCATGCAATGCTGAAAGACCCCCAAACAACATGGAGACATCTATTCCTCGTGACAGCGCCAACACCAACGAGTCTCCGAAGGTTACAACCCCCGGCAGACCAAATAAAGAGTCAACGTCCTCGGCGCGAGCAGCGCGACTGCCTGGCTACGTGGTATCACGGGCTTCCACGGCCGAAACTACCACAACGGTCTCTTCATTGCCCCCTTTGAATACTGAATTCGATCGGACTACTGGTCAATCTCTACAAGCCAGGCGTCAACCTCTTGCCGGGGCCGACGGTGTTTTGTCGCAACTGAGGAGTAAACTGCTTAGCAGGGATTTCTGGATGCGGGACGAGAATGCGAAAGACTGTTTCCATTGCGGAGAACCTTTCACAACATTTCGCAGAAAACACCACTGTCGAACCTGTGGTCAAATATTTGATTCGAAATGCACTCTGCTTATTTCGGGAACAAGATTCGGACAACCTGGGAGTATTCGGGTTTGCAAACCCTGCGAGAAGATGATCAATGCACACGATGATGATTCATCTGAATTCTCCGATAGCGAGCAGAGCCCCATAGTGGCCAATCCTCGAGTTTCGGAACTCAGCTGGACCAATACTGGGCGGGGATCTGCGGATGACGATGATTCATCTTCGGTCGTATCCCAGTCGATCGATCACGTTCTGAGAACCCCGACGATGGCCATACCGGCCACACGACGTGCTGGAGAGGGACATAACCGCCGCTCGGCAATTCTTGAAATTGATTCGGATCGCCCTCTAGCCCGACCTACCTCTTCGCGCTCTCTGCGATCGTCGCTGGGTGGAAGGCCACACTCCATCAGTCACAAACGTCACCACTCTCGTCAGCAATATATCCGTGGCTTCAAGCCATATCATGAAGATCGAGCCCCCTTCCAACGCCGACATGCAGATGACATAGACGCTGAATCTCGACTCCCCGCTTTTCATAAAGATAACATCATTGACCCTGACCTTGCTCAATATCTCTCAGATGACGCCTCCAGCGGCGATGAGCAACCTAGTCTCTTGTCTGCAGTGTCTGAGGGCGCTCTGTCCAAGAGTGGGGGTGAAAATGAGAGGGCATCCTTTGGTGGGCTTCTCGCTGCCATGAAAAAGGGCAGATCTGCTTTTGGAGATCGAAATGCTCCCAGTATGAATCGGGACGCAGATGAAGCCAGTATTACCAGTTCAAGAGCCGTGAATCTCCCTCGTTTATCACGTCGTCGAAACCTGAGCGTTACTAGCAGTTATCAACCGCGCCATTCACCCAGGACATCAAAGGACAGTATGCTCCCTCATGACAACCCAGTACCCGTCATATCTTTACCCGAGAGTGCAAAGCAGGGCGGGTTCAAGATGACCCGGAGTTCATCAATGAGGGGCACTGATGCGCCACCGGTGGAATTGAATAAAGCCAGTCTGGAACACGTACGAAAGCTTCTCCATCAACTACTTGTAGAATCGGCTGTGCCAAATGGCGACAGCTGGGAGAACGCCTTGATGCCAATACTCATGAAAGCAGCAGACGAGGTCAATCCCGATGTCCAAAACGGAGATGATATGGACATTCGACACTACGTCAAGTTGAAGAAGATTCCGGGTGGCCGGCCTGGTGACACTTCTTATGTATCGGGACTCGTTTTCACCAAAAATTTGGCCCTAAAAGGCATGTCACGAAACATCTTACGTCCAAACATCCTGATCATCACATTTCCTCTTGAGTATGCTCGCCAACAACATCATTTCATGAGTCTCGAACCTGTCATTCGCCAAGAGCGGGAGTTTCTAGAAAACTTGGTCAGTCGGATCGCAGCATTGCGTCCAAACCTGCTGTTGGTCGAGAAAACTGTTTCTGGCCTGGCTCTTGGCCTCCTCGAGCAAGCTGGAATTGCCACCGCATACAACGTAAAGCCATCTGTTCTCGAGGCTGTGTCAAGATGTACGCAGACTAGGATTATGACGTCTATGGACAAGCTCTTGACGACCACATTGCATAGTGAATGCAGCAGCTTCGACGTGAAAACCTATGTTCATAACGGTCGAAAGAAAACGTACATGTACATCTCCGGCTGTCCAAAAGAGCTCGGGTGTACCATTATCCTGCGCGGAGGAGATGATCAAGTCCTCAGGAATGTGAAAAGGATCACTGAGTTCATGATCTACGTTGTGTACAATCTCCGCCTAGAAACAAACCTTATGCGAGATGAATTTGGGAAGATATCAACGTCACCGACAGAGGAATCAACAATTGTACCCGACAAAGACAAAAACTTCAATCCGCAGATTACCAGCCATGAAGGCGAGGCACATCTAGTCGACCCATCTGCTCTTCAACAGGGAACAAACGAGAAGCTTGGTGGTATATCTGATAGCCAAATCCTCGTTGATGCCGATGCTGCAAAAGTTCCAGACAGCATCCCAATGCCGACATACTATAACGATATGGTTAAGGATTACGAGACAAAGATTTTGTCGGCCTCTCCTTTCGTGAAATTTGAGCCTCCGTATCTCCTGACGCGTGCGCGCGAAATGGAACGCAGACTTTCGTATTTGAAGTCTCTTCGTGATCAAGACCGCAATTCTAATCAGATCACCGATGAAAAGGCCAAACCACAGAAATTTGTCCTCATTACCCCGGAAATGGTCCATCAGTCACCGCAAGATGCGCCAGCAAAAGTGAAGGAAGTATTGCATGCTGCGCATGAAGCCGAGTACGATCGGGCACTTTATCACCATCAAACCCAAAAACGCCAGTGGGAAGCCTATGTGGCGGGGAATTCCAACATGTTTGACCCTTATGCACATCAGAACCTGGTCGTTCTTTACAGTGTTGTGTGCACAACAACATCCGTCCCCTGCTCAGGGCCAGATACCTTTGCCCTGGAATTCTACAATGAGCATGGAGATGATACGATCTTCGAGTCAGACCTCACACTCGGGCAGTATGTCGAGGACCTTTGTCTCACAGCAAATTCCGTATGCACCGTCAATGGCTGCGAGAAGCGCATGTTTGAACACCACCGCCAGTATGTACATGGCGAGGCTCAGATCAGCGTCTTAGTCCAGCCTTATCCTTGTAAGCTCCGTGGGCTCCACAATGCCGTGCTGATGTGGAGTTGTTGCAAAATATGCGGCAATGAAACTCAGGTCCTGCCTATGTCGCCGAGCACATGGAAATATTCCTTCGGAAAATACTTGGAGCTGTGTTTCTGGGGCAGACACTTGCTTGCTCGTACTGGAGGTTGCTCCCATGATTTGCGGCGGGATTACCTCCACTATTTTGGCTACAGGGATCTTGCTTTGCGAGTCCAATATGACCCTATTCGTCTTCTCGAGATTATCGTTCCACGGCCTCGTGTCACCTGGAAGGTGGACAATGATCTGAAGCTGAGGAACGAAGTTTATCTGCGTACTGAGCAACGTCTTAACAAGTTTATGGCATCCGTTCAAGACCGATTGAAAGGCATCAATGTCGAGAGTGTTGTTCCCGAGCTACTGGAGAGCTGCAAGACGGAAATCCAAAACCTGATCAAGAAGAGCCATGAAGACCATAGCTCTTTGGTCCGGCACTTACAAGACACATACACAAGTTCTCGCTACTGGGAGATAATACCGCTGAATGAAGTTCTCCGTGCAGTCCAAGAAAAGGTTGTCGAATGGGACACGACATTTGCCGATTTCGAAATGAACTTTTTCCCATCTGAAAAGGATATTAAGCATATGGCAACGCTGCAACTCAAGAAGATCTTCCTCGACAAAGATGCAACGTCAGTTTCTACAGATGATGCCCTTCAGACTCCTACGGATGTTGAAGATGAAATCAACCAGACAGTTGGCAGGCCACGGATGATGCGGCGCATGACACTTTCTCCGGAAAAAGCACAGAATGTACTGGTTTCCGTTGTCGAGGAGCATGCTGGCAAAAAGCATCGCGAGGATCTCGAAGAAGTCGAGTTGCCCTCGCCTCCGGCATCGGCCGAAGAAGCAACTTTGTCAATCGATGCAGCCGGTGGAATGAGGTCCTCTCCCCAGGATGACGCTGTCTCTCAAGAAGAAGTCCGTCATCTCGACTTGGCTGTTCCTACTGGTCAATCGGAACGCAGCCCCGTCGGCAATGCTGGCATTTCGAGCCAATCTCCCATCAACAACGATCTCCCTGTGATGATCCCCGGCGACGGATCGTCAGAATCATCACCACCAGAAAGTGCTGAGGCCCCAGATCAAGGAACCAAGAATGGAACCGAAGACAGCGGGGCTTCTGATATGCCAAGTACCCCAGTACGTCGGCCTTCAGCGATACCAAGACCTACCGAGCCAGCCGTTCGACGCCCCGGTAAGGCACGATCACCTCCGCTTTTGCGTACTCAGTCTCAGCCAGCAAATCTACCACGATCGTCTCACAGCGTTCAACTTCCAGGGTTGAAAATGGCATTCACCAACCCAATCGATCCGGAAAAGCCTGCGGCCCAATCACCAACAAGGTCATCGGATAGAAAGCTTAGCGATCGTTTGGGCTTCACTTCTCTCAAGAACGCCCGATTTGCCTCGGGTCACTCGCTTATTCCACGGTCTGCTCCAGGTAAAAAGGGGATATCGCAGGTTTCTCATCTCGCCAGGCATTTTGAGCAATTGAGCCGTGAGTTCGAAAAAGAGAGACAGCGCGAAAGACGTCAACGCGCTGCCAAGGGCACTCAGTCCCGAGCATTCCCATTGGCTTCCTCGAAGCCCATCGTGGAAGTCTATCGAAATGTACGAGAGGCTGTTGAAGAACGTGAACCACCGGTTGATAGTGATGAATCTCTGCCCTCAGCTCCACGGATCCCAATGGACGACATGAGTCGCAAGAGCGACGAACTTACACATGATCATATAACTCCTGATGAGCCCTCTCTGCCAACCGATTCTCCTCCAGAGCCTTTGGAGGCAGACAATGCACTCTGTCCTGACAACCAACTATTATCTGGCGGCGAAGCAGATGATCACCAAAGCGATGAGGATCAAGACGTGGTTGGGGAACTCCATCCGGTAGATTCCCATGAAGAGACGAAACAATCACCCGAAGACGATTCAATTGATTTCAAAGAACTACCTAAACATGAGCGCACCACGCTTCTGAAATTGCTGACAAACTTCTGGTCTGAACGTTCTGCAAGTGGGTGGGCGTCTCTTGACTATCCACTCAGTGTCATGGATCATGTCTTTGCTGATTGCAATATCATTGTTCGCGAGGATGAACCAAGCTCTTTGGTGGCGTTCGCTTTGGACTCTTCCGATTACAAAGAAAAGCTCTCAAGCATTCAACAGCGGTTTGACGAGGCGGAGGAGAACAAACCAGATGCGGGAGATGACATTGAGGCTGCGAAGGAAGCGCGGGTCGAACATGCTCTCTTGCGACCTACGGGCACACACCTCAAATATCAGTTCCAAGAAGGCCAAGCCAAGATGCTGTGCAAAGTGTTCTACGCTGAGCAGTTTGATGCTCTACGCAAAAAGTGTGGTGTGGCAGATCGAATCGTCGAGTCGTTGTCCCGGTGCGCAAAGTGGGACTCGAAGGGTGGCAAGACAAAATCGTTGTTCCTGAAGACCCTCGACGATCGCTTCATTCTCAAGTCACTCTCGCCGATTGAGACGCAGGCTTTCCTCAAATTTGCCCCGGCCTATTTCCAAATCATGTCCGAAGCCCTGTTTCATGAACTCCCTTCCGCAATTGCCAAGATGTTTGGCTTTTACCAAGTCATCATCAAGAACCCAGTCACAGGAACAGAGTTCAATTGGTTCTTGTTGTTAATGGAGAACTTGTTCTACGACCGTGTCCCTACGCGCATCTTCGACCTGAAAGGCTCAATGCGAAACCGCAAAGTAGAGAGCACCGGTGAACGGGACGAGGTTCTCTTGGACGAAAACATGGTGGATTTCATCTACGAGACGCCTCTCTTTGCTCGCGAGCACTCTAAGAAGCTTCTCGGCCAAAGCGTATGGAATGACACACTCTTCTTGGGTCGTCAAGACGTCATGGACTACTCGCTCATGATTGCCATCGATGAAAGTCGCAACGAACTCGTGGTAGGGATCATTGACTGCATTCGCACCTACACTTGGGACAAGAAGCTGGAGTCCTGGATTAAGGACAAAGGATTTGGTGGCGGTGGCCGCAATCGACCAACGGTCACAAGTCCTAGAGAGTACAAGGGCCGTTTCCGTGAGGCAATGGCCAGATACGTGCTCCAAGCTCCAAGGTCAGTTGATATATCTTCCCTTGAGTGTGTGACTGAATACTGACGAGTGTAGCTGCTGGCATCAATTCCAACCAAATGCGATGTACCGCTATGAGAACCAGACCGCTGAATTTGAGACTATTGATGGGAACGGGTTTGTGGAAGACCCTGGTTTCTAATGGTTGGCAGTCTCCATTTTGATATCTTCCCGTGAACAACTTACTCTAATGAATTACGACCTCACGAATCTGCATGAAGAGGCGGAGCGTAGCGTGATGCTTTCATTTCTTGCGAATTTCTTATTATTGTGACTCTACATTGCCTCATTCAGGACATTCATTTCATATTAGCATCTTCATAGCCAGCCCGCTTATATGTTTACTCAATGGGATCTCAGTTTCCAATAAACCACTTCGTATATACTCTATGAGAAACAGAACATCGCAAACAGTGGAGCTCTTTCATCCTGATTTCTAATACGCGATATAGAGATGCCTCTTGTAGTTAGCCCACACTTTGGGCTAGGACATCTTTTGATACTAACGCAAAAGCGGGATAAGCCACGGGAAGCCATATTTACGATGTCGTGCTTCATGCTACCTGTGAATATATTCAAAGCTTTTATCCATTTGAGAAGAAAGGATATTGCCCAGTTCCAATCCAAGCATTCAGTATATGTAGTACATAATATATACATTTTAAAAAGGTAAAGAAATCCGTCAAAGGTGTGTGCAGCCTGTGGACACTAATTTGCGCAGAAAATGCAACGCCCATCGGAAAAATGCATTTTATGCGACGCATTATTCGACGGCCCAAGGTGGTTGGATGGCTAAGTCAAGTGTCCCTGTTGCTTTTTGGGGACAGGTAGGCGCTCAGCCTTGCCATGCGTCTTCACCAAGGGGTATATCCCGGCCCTGATTTTGGTGGAGATGACTCGTATTCCACAATCACATCATCTTTGCGGTGTATATGTCCCAGAGGGTGACTATTCTTCCCTTGGTCATCGGTGGGAAGGATGCTTTCCTGACTCTCTTGGTTGTCGATGTTGGTGAAGCCAAGGTCGTCGTGCGTTTTTGACTGCTTGGATCGATGGAATGAGGAAGGGAAATTGCTGCTGTTTTTGAACTGATCGCTCTTTCCTTGACTGTAGGAGCCCATGGCTCGTTTGCCAAGAATGATTTCGAGGAGTGGTTGTAAGGTGGGAATGCACGATGCTATAACGACGACGTCGGCCTCAATACTACCGGGAAAAAAAGGGTTAGATTGCATAACAATAAGAGATGGGAGGTACTTACTTGGTCCACATGACAAGGTCGGCAGTACCGTCTTTTGTTTGGTCAGCCTTTGATTGTACCTAGAGGGATAACAAGGGTCGTAGAGAGACTCACATGTATAGTCGGATTTGTCGGCAAGTCCATGCAGTTGGGTACACTTGACAATCGCCATTGCAGAAGCACTTTATTGCCATTCCGGTCAGTTTCGGGGCAGTGTGGCATGAGATTGAGAAGTATCGACTTACATTGAACCAAGCCCTAAAGCAGCACATAGCGCAATTCTCTTTCGTAGAGACATTTGGAGTTTCAACAAGATGGTGGTCGGATAAATGGCCAGAGATAGATCAACAACAGCGGAGACCGCTAGAAGCACGGTGTTAATTTCGGAGGGTGCAGATTTTTAAAGGGGAAGAGACCTACCTCCAGTGAAGATAGCATAGTCAATGAGCATCGTTGTACTCTTGCACTTAGCGCCTGCTGCGACGAGTCTGGGCTTCCACAATGCCTCTGCTGGATCACACATTGTGAACAAGATTATAATGCAGATAATAGACACGACGGCTGCGGTTCCAACCATCACCCACAATATTGTCTTATGCATTGGCTTGGGGTTCAAGATCCGGGTCAACATGGACGTCACAGCAATCTTGGGAAGAGTGAAGGAAAGAATCCCAAACAAAAAGCTGACTGTATTGAGCAGAATGGCCATCTCCAGTTTGTCCATAGTCAAGTACTGGGCATGTTTTCCAAAGCCCACACCCACGCCTACTGTAGAGATTGCGCAGTATGCAAGCCCCAATATCTAGGACAGAAGCGCCAATTAGATCCAAGCAGAGAAGATAAGAGCTCGAAATCACTGACCATAGAAGCCACAATCAAATAATCATCCATACCAAAGTTGCGCAGCAACTTTGAGTCGGATGTAAACCCTAGCTATGACCATGACGGTTGTTAGTCCAGTCAAGGTCCATAGGACAGCCAGGATCTTAGGGCCCTTGTCATCGTGAAGATTTTCTGCGGTGACCACCATTATGTTAAGATTGATGCCGAAAAAGCGAGGAAGTGCAAGAAAGTGCGACCCATTAGTTTATATAAATGTATACGCGAAACCTTAGAAGGGCTAAAATTAACACTAGCACATAAGGATTTACAGGGAATATACGCATGTAGGGACAAGCTTGATTTAGGCCTTTCATTATTTGATCAGCTATTATTCTTGACAGTCCATTAAACGGGAAATCCTACGACTTCTTAGATGGGACGATCACCCTATTTTGGCAAGCCAGTGTTTATCTTTCGACACAACGCCACTGTTCGGCAATTAATCACCGGGGCTAAGGTTGCATACGGAGTACGGAATACGAGTAGATAGTCCACTTTTAGTCAAATAGGGGTATAATAAACCTTGGAAATCCCTGTCACACTAGTCAGTTAGTCGATGCCGCTAAAAGACATAACAGTAGAAGCTGCGGATGGTCCCCTCTCAGTATCCGGCAGACGGACCTAGGTAAAAATGGCCTTGGAGATACTCCGCACACACTGCATTGAGGTCTAATAGCTAGGCTGTTAGCCTTGAGATCTGACCCAGACATTCTAAAAGGAATTGGATTGTGCAGTCTAGACCATGGGTAAAGTGCAGATCATATGTTGTCGGTTCTAAAAGTACTAAGAACTCAACTGGGATTTGACAGCCTGATAGTCCCACAGAACTAGTCCTAAAACGAAGAGAGCCGGTGGCCCGGGAAGCATGGATCAACCAGCCGGCCTCATGGGTCTTGTTGAATCAGACAAAAGCACCAAGTACGTCGAATTTAAGGAGTCCGTACGGAGTACCCCGTACGAAAAAGCAAAACTTAGTCAAAGTATCGAAAATGCGCCACCAACGACCCGTTACCCCGTTTTACGGGATTCGGTGTGGATATTAATATGTTTCTATCCACTCAGCCGGTTCTGTCAGAGTCTTAGCCCGCCTGATAGACATGGTCATTGATATTCACATGCATTGTATACATTTACGGGATTCATTGACAAAAGTACATACAGATTTGTACTTTTATACAAATGGAATAGGGGAATTCCAAGAATTGCCCAGGTCAGTTTGGCACTTCAACGACCTATAACGTGCACCATATAATAGGCAGGTAATAACTTAGTTTATGACATCTGATAGATCCTTCTGGAGACCTGGGGAAGGCCCATCCCTAGTTCTAATTTTATTCTCTTTTTAGTATTATGTATGTACATCCGGAATAGGGAATACCGAGCAACATATCTTACCGTGGAATGAGCCGTTGGACAATCTACTAGTTTATTTCCCGAATAGGAAACCGTTTAACTGTCATATCTCCACCTCATTGGCCCCCAACTTCGGCAAAAGAACAAATCCATATGGGGGCGGAATTAATTCTCGTCGATCTTCCTTGACAGACCCGCACGTTCACACCCGGTCCAACCGTTGCTCACCCGGATGTGCGGAGGAGCTTTACCAAAATAAAAGGAGACAGCGACTACAGCTTATTTCAAGGGGATGCATACTTAGGCACCTAGATACTGAATTTAGTTTATTTAAAGTCCCCTGAGTACTTTTGACTGGTACATCTCTCCACGTTTTTCTACACTTTCCAACTTATTCAGATATATCACATTCACCATGACCGAGACCGCAACCTTTACATTGAATGAGCCCCTCCACGTTAATGGGGACTCGCAAACGAACGGCGTGCATCATGCAAATGGAGATTGCCAGACCAATGGAGACCTCCAGGATGCCTTCGTCGACCGCGTAACAGTTTCCGCCAACACACCCGACCTTGTTCCTGACCTGGTCGACCAAGTTGCCTCCCTTGGCAAAGTCGCCAGCCTGCAGGACCACACTGATCGAACAACGCTTTTGGAAGCCGCTCGATCACTGGTCTATGCACTTGAGACCCCACGTGAGGCTATGATCAGATACTGCTGGTCCCAGGTAAGTCCCTATGCTTCTAAAGCTTCAACTTGTGTCATTGGCGGCAACTAATGTTGACTTCGTAGGCTACTCTTTATGCTTCTGTGGAGACAGGTGTTGACCTGGGACTTTTTGCTATTTTGTCCAAGGATGAGAAGCCGAAGTCTGCTGCCGAGCTGGCCAAGGCCACAAGTGCTGACCCAGTTCTTCTTGGTATGTGACTTGCCATCTCTCCCTGAGCCTTGTCAGTACAGCTAGCTAACCATACATCTGATCAGCTCGCATCCTCAAGCACTTATGCGCAATGGGAGTCATCCTCGAAACCGGTCCTAATGAATATCGCCGCACTGGAATTTCCATTTCATTGAGCTTGCAACGATACAGTGATGCATACCCTTGCATGTAAGTCTGAGGCCATGGACCTGGAGTCAAAAAGTATCGTACTAACTCATCTCATCGACTAGGACTAACTGCATTACCTCCGGTATACTTGCTCTACCTGCCCAGCTCAAGAAGGACGGCTATACCAACCCATCAAACGGCAAGGAGTGTGCCTTCCAGCGCGGATTCCGGACCGACCTTCACTTCTTCGAGTTCATGAAGGAGAACCCAGAGGCTGCTAGCCAGTTCAACAACCACATGTCTGCCTACCACCAAGGACGTCCTAGCTGGATGGATGTCGGTTTCTACGACGTGCCCAGCTTATTCTCCAATGTTACACAGGATGATGTTCTCCTCGTCGACGTCGGCGGCAGCGTGGGCCATGACCTCTCAGAGTTCAAGCGGAAGTGGTCTGATGCTCCTGGACGCCTAGTGCTCCAGGATCTTCCCGACGTGATCGCTCAAGCCAAGACAGGGCAACTGCACTCCTCGATCGAGGCAATGGAGCATGACTTCTTTACTGAGCAGCCTATCAAGGGTATAGTTTTCCCTTCTATAACCTGCTCTGTACCCAGATCAAAACTAATGTTTTTTTTCTCTATAGGTGCTCGCGCTTACTATATGCACTCTGTCCTCCACGACTGGACAGATGATAACTGCCGCAAGATCTTGAAGGGTCTCGTCGATGTCATGAAGCGCGGACACAGCAAGATATTGATTAACGAGAATGTCATCCCCGATACCAACGCATACTGGGAGACGACCAGTCTCGATATTATCATGATGGCCGATTTTGCTTCAACCGAGCGGACTGAAGCTCACTGGCACCAACTGGTGGGATCTGCTGGGTTGAAGATCACGAAGATTTGGAGTGCCCAGAGAGGGGTCGAGAGTCTTATCGAGTGCGAATTGGCATAGGGCTATTGGGAGGTGCGGTGCTCAGAGCCCTAGAATGTATAGTGCTTATATTAAATTAATATGTATATTTTGAAAATGTGTGTCGCCCGAGGCTTTAAGGATAGCCCCACGGTACCTGCAGCACGGAGTACGTTGGTAGGTCGAAGGTGATACAAATGGTGCTCTTCTAAGCGGGTGTCTCGGTTTGTGGATATTGGGGTTGCGGGGGTAGCGACCCTAGATGGTGAAACTGATAATGAAAGAGCTCGGAGACTCAACGAGGACTCATAACTTCTGGGAAAGCGGAAGAGGGAGCAATACTGTATTCTGTATCTGGAGATTCCCACCGTTAGGGAAAAGAAGAAGAGAGACGAGAAGCTAGCTACTGGCAGTCCGGATCATAGGGTCAGTTTTTGGCCCCGTAGTAATTGGGAAGCAGCATCAGTGCCATCCCACTTCCACTTGTTGACATGGCCAGCTCACGCGTCAAAGCCCGCTGCCCGCTGGAGAGAACGGCTGGCACTAAAGTGGACTTGGTCGATCATTACCTGGAGGCCTCTCGTCAATATCCAGACGTGTATAAGCAGGAAAGAGTCGTCGGACTCACTTTGGCTAGTATATTCGCTCATACTTCATAACTGTAAAGGAGAAGCAAACTGCTGCATCTGCAACATGAATGGAGGTAGTGGCACAGGGACAGAGCGAGCATGCAACAAGTCTAGCCAACAAATACCGTGGAAGGCTATATTGGAATGTTCGAGCTTTGTAGAGAATGCAAGTTCGACCTAATAACTGATCAAAGTTAGTGATAATAAATCGGGGCGAATACATACCTTCGGGCAATTATTCGACTAGCTTTTACTACCACTGGGTGCTTGTAGATATTCTTCTCCTTATATACTATCCGGGACTGTTGGAGATATCGCGAAGATTGACGTATCCTGACTTGCACTATGAGAAAGAAGACGAAATTTAAGGGATATCCACAGGACAGTCCTTTTATAGAAGGTCAAAAATGACGTCTTTAGTTCAAAAGTGCCATTACAGCTATATAGCCTGCATTGGAATGAGACATGAACAATAGGGTCGTTTTTATACCTTATAGAATCGGTTCTATCCGCGCTGCTAAGGATATACCACCCAATTCCAACGCAAAATGACGCAGATCTATATAACACAGCCTTATCTCAACATTGGAACTATCGGCAGAAACCGGGACCGGCCCGGTAAAGGCTCCGCGAAATTCGTTTAACTAATTTACTGGTCTGTCCTTTTAAATTCTCTTTTAATTCTCTCGCTAACGTGACGAGACGATTTCAAAAATCGCATTATTCCCTGCGCAGAGAAGGAAATCACAGAATGCGTCGGCATATGCCCGGATGATATCGTCACATCCTCGGGCATATCGGGGGATTTAAGCTGCCTCGGGTGCGGTCCCCCGCATCTGGTTTTCGTTCGACTTTCGTTTTTTCTCTCCTTTCCTTTGAATGGAGTGCTCTTTCAAGAGAATCATTCAAGTTTGAATCGCGCATGGGCTTCGGAGCAGTTCTTCTATGCATTGGCATGCATACGCGAGAATACTCTGTCCGATTATAGCGACATTCGCGAACTCTCCCGGCACGCGACATACCAAGTCTACAAGGACTCAAGCACAAAATACCAGTTTCATGTCTACTCAATTTACAATTTGAATTGTTTAGTCTTTACTAACCCACTAACTTGACCGGAAAGCATTAAATTCGTTTCATTTACATGAGCAATGTATTAACCTTCCAGGCTATGGTCCAGACCATCAGCGCAGAACAAACTTGGCTTCGAAAGAAAAAAAATCGAGAAAAGAGAAAAAGAAATGTATGTATCCCATCCGCACACCGGCGGTAAACAAAGCATATTGGACCGTCAATCCCCAAAAGCTTCCCATCTGATGAGTTTACGGAAGATTTACTCCATGGCGAGACCGAGATTCTCATCGGCGGGAACCACACGAACGGTGTTGGTGTGGCCCATGCCGCCACGCCATCCCTGGACGCAGACGATAGGGTCGCCCTTGTTGATGATTCCGAGCTTGAGACCGTGGTTGATACCCCACTTGAGACGACGGTCGACATCCTCCTGCCAGATCTTGACGTTGAAGTCAGGCTTGGTCTCGGGGAAGTAGAAGGGCCACACACCGCGGTACAGGTGGGAGTACTGGAAACTATTGTCAGCAAAGAACGACACTCCAACGACCGAATTGGACTTACCCGGGCAGCGGTCTCATTGCGAGTGACCATCAGGATGGGGCAGACAGGACGGTACTTCGACACAAGGCGGGCGGTTTTACCACTATGGACTCGTTAGTATGATCGTCATCAAAAACGACAGAAACGCCTTTCCGGCACATACCTGGTGGTCAGAACGATGATGGCACCGGCGTTCAGCTCCAGACTGGCACTGACAGCGGCCATGGCAACGGACTCGGAGGTTTCGGTGGGGCGAGGGGCGAGGTTGCGCAGCTCATCAAAGACGTTGAAATGAGGGATGGCAACCTCAGCCAGCAAGCAAGTCTCGGACATCATCTTAACGGCCTCGCAAGGGTAGTTACCCTTCGCGGTCTCACCAGACAGCATGACACAGTCAGCACCGTCGAGAACGGCGTTGGCAACATCGGAAACCTCAGCACGAGTGGGGCGGGGGTTGTATGTCATGGACTCCAACATCTGGGTGGCACAGATAACGGGCTTGCCCTTGATGTTGCACTTGGCGATCATCATCTTCTGGGCAAGGAAAACCTTAGGGGCGGGGATCTCGATACCGAGGTCACCACGAGCAACCATAACACCATCGGTCTCGTCGAGGATCTCATCGAAGTTGTTGACACCCTGCTGGTTCTCAATCTTGGCGATAATCTGAATCTCCTTGCCGTCCTCGCCAAGGACTTCACGGATGTGCTTGATATCGCTGCCGCGACGGATAAATGAAGCAAAGACCATATCGACCTTGTTCTTGACACCGAATCGCAGATCGGCAATATCCTTCTCCGAGAGAGCGGGCAGGTCTACATCAGTGCCGGGCAGGTTGACACCCTTGCGGGATGAGATGTTGCCGTCGTTCAGGCACTTGACCTTAAGGTTCTTCTCATCAACAACCTCAAGCACCTCGAAGGACAGAATGCCATCATCAACGTAAATGAGCTTGCCGGGAGCGATCACATTGGTGATGTTCTTGTAGTCAAGGTACCTGTTGCCACACACTTGTCAGTCCACGTCACATGTCAAGCTCATCCAGCCACGCAAATACACTGAACGAATGTCGATTCAAACAATTCGCACTTCATCCATGGGAGTGATCTTACATGTTCTTATCGTCAGAAGCAGTGGCGTATGCCTCATCAGTGGTGATGTTGAGCACGGTGCCCTGCTTGATGGGGTAGTCCTTGTCACCGACGGTGTTACCGGTACGGATCTCGGGGCCCTTGGTGTCGAGGGCAATGGCAAGAGGGCGACCAGTCTGGATACGGGCGGCCTCGCGAGCGTTGTCAATGACAGATTGGTGGTACTGCAGGCAAGTCAGTGAAGGTCTTCATCAGATATTGACTGGAGATACTGACGTCGTATGATCCGTGGGAGAAGTTCATGCGAACGACGTTAAGACCGACTATAGCCATGTCAGACTATCTACCCAGCAAAACTGCCCATTTCCGTCGGAAACTTTATTGCCATACCTGTGCGGAGAGCATTGATCTTCTCAGCGGAGTTCGTCTTGGGACCTGATCGACTGCCTGTTAGTAACCGGTTCTTTTTTCCCTCCGTCGCAACTTCTTCGACGGTTCCAAGTTATTGCTATGACATACCAATGGTACAAATGATGGAGGTGCGGCGGAAGTTCTTCGCAGGCACCATCTCGGTGTTGAGCTTGGAGTGCCACTCCAGCTTCATGCGGTTACTCAGGTGGTCGAGGGAGTTGGTGGCAGCCATTTTGATGTGATCAACAATTGTTGAATGAAAATGGAAAGGGTAAGGTAGTTCTGATCAATTGAGAATCAGAGAGGATGGTAAGAGAAGAAAGGATGAGAGATGGAGGGGAAAGAGAAAACGGATGGGTGCGGGGCGGGAGGGAAAATGTTGGCCGCCGGTGTGAGTATTGGTGTTCCATCCCAAGACCTTTTTTTAGTTCTTACTATTGATGCTGGACAATATGTATACCAAATTAATTTGCGAATTCTCTGAAATATCAGGATTCGACTGGTCTTGTTTCTTTCTCTTCGTCTAGCTATATTTTCTATTTACTGAAGCTTGAGGTGTTGGGAGAGGCGGCATAAATTATCCAGGCAGAAAAAAAAAATTATATATCGACTCCAGACTAGGTTGACCGCAAAAAAGCGGAGGATTGCCCCGTGCTGGCCTACGCGCTGTAGATTGGAGTCTTTCTATCAAATAAATGTGACAAATACAGACACCCAATTGATCCCCCAGAGGCGAAGGGCGAAAGGGGATTCCGGTGGGATCAACGCTTATCGATAGACCGAATCCGGGCTAGTGCCCAGATGGACAACTGGACAATCTTGGCATCCCCAGCCTCATTGTGGATTATGTCAGGTACCCAGTTTAGGTAACCAGCCTCATCTCCAGCCACCCTTAGAGACGTCATGTGAATTCCCACGTGACCACTCTTTAGGCCGATGACAGCTTGGGTCTCCTCTTACTTTTTGCCTCACAAGCTTTTTGGTTACTGTCGGTTACTCAATATCCACGGTGTTGACACCCTCTACCTGCATCATGGTAAGAGACCTTTGCTAGTCGATCCTGGACAACCGAGGTCCCCGCAACATAGAGCATGTCATGACTGACTTGCATGATCGCTGCGATCTAGTTCGGCCGTCTTACCCACTACGCATTTGATGCGGTTCTCTGTGAGTCCTATAAGCCTATGTGGAACCTCGGAATACAAACTAACCGGTGTCTTCAATCTCAGTCTCCGCCTTCCTAGCAGGCGTCAAGCGCTCTACAGGCCTCACGTAAATACACCCTACCCCTCACGATTCTCTTCTTCCAAGCTATCACTTATTCAGCTTGTTGCTCGTCATGGGTGCTCTCGATATGCATGGTAGAACTGTTGGCTAACTCTGTTACTCCCGCGCACCCCGCTCGTTGGGTCGTGTGTGCGTGGGACCTTGATAGCCCCAGCCTCAATTCAGACAAGATCACAGATAACAAAGACATCAAGAAATGGGTTGACAGTTACCTTGGTGTTGGCGAATGGATGATGGACCAGTCAGTGGCCGTCATGGGCTCGTCTTCCTGGTTCGAACGACGCCGGTGATTGGCGCCGTCATGCTTAACTCGGGGAGACAAATCGGCGATCCCTTTCTCACGACTCAACATTAGGCCATTTGATGTGTGTATGATTGCGGAATGAATTGTGGTACATGGTAACTCAAGGGAGTGCATGAATTGCCGCGGGGCTGGACTGGCGGCACAAACGTGGGCCTTGGTCTTGACGCTTGGCCTTATGGCAAGGTGATACAATATCAGTACGTACAGATTGAGTCTGTGTTGTGGCCGTGTGGCTTTTTCAATCACCGGGCACCACATGTATATGCTTCAAGGCTGGATTGACGAGTGATGACCAATTCTTATCTGCGCTCCAGCCTCCACTTTCGACCAATGCTTTTGAGGTCATGGCGTCTTGACTGTTTTTCGATACCTTTTATCTTTCTGCCTGCTCTATATCATCACACAAATCCAGCCATTAGCTTACCAGACAACCACTGGAATATCCTCCTTGTAGATATGGACGAAAGGTCACAGACATGTCAAGATGTCTCTTGCCAACGGGCTGTAACCCGTATAACCCGAGATCATAATCTTTGTGCGTACCTAGCTTGGGATGGTATTAATTCTTGGAGCTGGGGACGTTGGTTTCTTAACCCTCCGTCAGAAAATTCCCTAGCTGGCGAGTTTCGTTGTGAACTACATCGTTGTTCACTTACAGTGTACCGAGCGTATCATCATAGCCCATCGAAGACACCTTCTGAACATTGTGCGAACTGCACCCTGGCACTTCTCTTGCTGTTGTATAGTAAGTTTACGGAAGAGTAAGAAAATATGTGACAAATAAGAATGCCTTAAGACTTTTATTTTATGACTATCTCATGCTATGGAAGATAACGAAGAGTCCCCGAACGAAAATGGGGCTTCAGATGAAAAGGAGACGCATTCACACAGTCCCATCTCTCCTCAATAACTACCGAAGGCTCCTGCAATCTTGTAACGTCAGATCAGGGAATCTGTTGCTCTTCTTGGACATCTGTCAGCGTATGGATGTACCGGCAATCTCGGACCGCACATTCAGCTATGGCCAGGTATCTCTCCTCGATCTTGCTCCAGTCCCATGTCTTCATAAACCGGACCCCTTCTTCAACTCTTTTCTGGTAGTCCTCGTCGCTCTCCTGGTCATCAAGATGGGTCCACATAGTCGTATTAGCCGGTCCATCTTTGAGGATGTAAGCAGAGATAAACGCCATGAGGTCTTTCTCTACCCGAAGTCGGCTATCGTGTTCAATTGGTAGTTGCAACAGATGACGTATCAAGGATGACATGTAATGAGGAGGCTTGGGGGTGCGGAGGTGGAGCTCGTGAGCAAATGTCGAGGGAACCTCGACAGTCTCCTCAAGAGTGAAACCAACCAATGACATAGGCATAAGATGAACACGCATCCAGCCCTGGCCATCAAGGTCATGCATCAGGTATCGACTTTCCCAGTATTCATCGACTTTAGGGTATCCAGTCCAATCTCTCTCATGATAAAGAAGGCGGGGCCAGTTGTGCTCGAGCAACACCTGGGAAGCAAGCAACAGCTGTTTATCTGGCACAATCCACTCTACGGCCTGGTGAAACTATGTTAGCTGGTTATTTTATTGGAGAGAGTGGAGAATTTTTCATCACTGACAATCAAAACCTCTGCATACCCACATCTGTATAGAACCTGGTTCCCGTATTCCACAACTGAGATGCTGTTGTCGATAAGTGCTTTCAACGCTTCCTTTATAACAGTGTCAGGAAATTGTTGGTGAAGTGCCACGTTGCCGACCTGTGCGTCTGATGTCTCGGTCTGTTGACTTGGTTCTTCCAAGGGGCCTGGGTTAAGTTGAGACAATGATATCGGCTCGATGACAGGCGAGACAGGAAGAGAAACTGGGAGTTGTTTGGTCTCATCATGAGAAGCTTGCATCGGCTCACTGACAGGCGAGATAGAAAGGGGGACTGATAGTGCTTCAATTTTCTCGGGAGAAGTTGGCGTTGCCTCGATAGTGGGCGAAGTAACATGAGGGACTGCGAGCCCTTTGGTCTCTTCAGTCTCCATTGGTGATAATCAATGATTGCAAGCCCTTCGAATATGAGACGAAATAGCAATCGAGACTATTTGGAAAGGCGTTGATTCTTACCACAAGCAAAGACCGGGGACGTAGTGGGAAGGGACAGGATATAGTGACAGGAAAAAGTGGCAACTCTCTTCTCCTTCTCAGTTCTGAACTGAAGAGCAATCATTTTGATTTGTTTGCCTTCCGCGGCTTTCTCCTCCTCGCTCCTTTAAATATCAAAGCACTTCCTTTCTTCCTCTTCTCTCTTCTCTTCCTCCCCAACAACCGCGACCATGCCTTCGCAAAGCGACTTCAGCCACTTGGATGCAGCAGCAACCACTTTAACAAATATCTTGCGCAATGAAAAGATTTCTCACATCTTCATCGGCGGATACGCTACAGGTCTCCTTGGAGGAGCCCGAGTGACAGAGGTACCACCTTTTCTAATTCCCCTGGTTCAAAGATACCTCCTGGTCTGACAAAACATTAGGACATCGACCTGGTCGTAGACCGGGATTGCCGCAGCCTTCTTTTACAGTACCCAAACATTACGGAGAGCGAAGACAAGCGACTGGTGTATCGCTACCATGGGACAAACGTCTATATAGACATGGAGACTATGGGGACTGCGCCATGGGCCCCAAATCCCAGGACTGCTAGGGTGCACACTGTCGCTCCTGTGGACTGCCCGCAGCGGCGATTGCACACGATGGGTGCGCTCTCTTGTTCGACGAATATAGAGTCCTCGCTAACCTTAGATTATAGTGCCCATCCTACACCCATCAATCCTTCTATTGACGAAGCTTCTACCGTGGAAAGAGGCCGACCAGGCGACACGAGTCGCCCGGTATATGAGAGCACGGACAGACTTAATGGATATCTGGACCATCCTACAATGGCTTGTGGACAAAGGGTCCCGTATTGATTTCTCTGGGCTGCCCGGTATTCCCAGGGGCAAGTTGATGAGGCTCCTGGGAAGGCTGTACCGGTCCGAAAGGCGGGCACGGCCCTACCTCTCCCTGACCCTCTCAGCTGATGAGATGTGTGATGCTCTCACTGCGGATAAAACCAAGTAGGGTGGGGTACGTTGCCTCAGAGAGTGGTTGGTTTTCTGACTACCGCGGAACAAACGTCTACGTGGGTGTCATGAGCCCACGACTGGTCATGACACATCCAAGGGGCCCCATGACAAGAGAAGAGAAATGAAACTGAAATGAAAGTGAGACGAAAAGTCATTTGTGACTCCGAAATCACCAAAAGCAAAAGAAAATCTCAGAGCATTTTTGCTAGTTATAATTATATTTAGTACTAATCTCTCGCATGGGAGCTGGTATCATTGCTCAGCATAGATTACCCTGTGTCATGGAGCATTGCTGCGATATAGGTCGAGCCAAGGGAAGTCTACAATGTGAACCCTGAAGATTGTCCAGGTCGCCGGCCAAATACATCCGGTGTTTGGCAGACTCGCTTATGATTACCGTGGAACAAAAGTCCACGTGGATGTCATGGGCCCGAACAATCGGTCATGGCATATCCCAGACCCCAGAGCAACAGAGGTATACAATGTGAATCCGGAGGATCGTCCAGGTCGCCGGCTAAACACGTCCAGTCAGTTCTTGCTCAACTAGTATTGGAACTCCACTGACTTTAATTGATAGTGTCCATTGTCCATCCCTCGGTGCTGGTCCTCACGAAACTCAAGTGTTGGAGCACAGCCGAGATGGCAACGAGGCAGGCATATCATCAGTGGGCCCGCACGGATCTCCAGGACATATTAACGATCCTGCGGTGGCTGGAGATGAACAACCTCATGATAAATTTTGCTGGCCTCTCAAGGGTCCCCAAATGTGAGCTGTTGTCGCTCCTCGCCAAACTATATTGGACACAGAAGGAGGTGCGTCCGCACCTTGCGGCAACCTTGACTCCTGAGGAGCTAAGAGAGGTCCTGAATACGCGGTTGACGGACAAGGAAGTCCGGAGAGTCTTTGCAGCTCCCGCTTCCGTTAGGGGTTCGGGGGGTTCGGGGAGGTATGAAGCACTGCTGTCATTGCAATACAGGGTTTACAGGACAGACGACGGTTCTGGAAACCTGTGGCTACCGAGGTACATATTTACTTGGTTAGCTGGCCCAGAATATATGCGAAATTGAACAGTAAATCCATCATTATGTAAATGTTGAGCTGGCATTTCAGATATCTTATCTACCTAGAACATCGTATTCTTCTTTGACAATGATATGTACACAGTACCTTGATTCCTTGATACCTCAGACGTAGTTGCTGAACAATCCAGAAATTTGCCGGTAGGAGCCTCGCCAACTTGTCCCTGGGAATACCGGACTACAAGACCCTTTGTCCACAAGCCATTGTAAGATAGTCCGGAAGTCTATTAAGTCTGTCTATGCTCTCATATATCGGGCGACTCGTGTCGCCTGGTCAGCCTCTTTCCCATAGTAGGAGCTTTACCAATAAGAGAATTGACGGGCGTAAGATAGGCACTATAATCTAAGGTTAGCAAGGACTCTATATTTGCCCAACAAGGAAGCTATGGTATGCAGTCTATGGGAGCCGTAGTGTGAACCCTGGCAGTCCTAGGATTTGGGGCCTATAGCGCAGTCCCCATAGTCTCTATGTATGTGAACCTTGGTGCCATGGTAGTGATACACCAATCGCTTATCTTCGCTCTCTGTCATGTTTGAGTACTACAGGAGAAAGCTGCGGCATTCATTGTCTACGACCAGGTCGATGTTCTATTGTTTTGTCAGACCAGGAGGTGGCATCCTGGTATAAGTCTTCGTGCAGATTAGGCCAAACTGTTAGCATATTATATTCATGGATGGAATATAAACGCGAATAAAGTGTGATCCAACCTAATAGAGCAGGGAGAGAGAGGTACTTCACGCTCAATAATATATACCCTCGCAACTATATAGAAACCACGACTAGAAAGGACCCGCCGATATGAGTTATAAAGGCTGTTGCTAGTGCTATACTGCTGAGTGGACTAGGCAGAACGGGCTGGAGGGACACGTAGGTTGTTGCGGTTGTAGTCCATCTCCACAAGTGTCTAACCTGGAGCTGTCATGGAAATGAGGATGGGGGTCATTCTTGTGGAAAGCAAAAGAGATAACTAGTTCACTAGTTAAATATAGTTAGAAGATGCATTGATAACAATGAATGTTGTTTAGGCAGAAATGGGGAATAAGGCATCAAACTTTCCTAGGTCAGACTCCAATGTTTGCTCCTTTACATTTTAACAGATAGAATAGGGTAATCTAGTACAGGGTCCCCAGTATTGAACCTACGAGATCAGAAGAATAATCTATATGTATAAAAATCGAAGAATTAACAGCTCTTGAAGCAAACCGAGATCTAGGAATAGCTTTTAAGAGCTAGGGTACCGATCTTTTTATAGACCGCTGATACCTTAAAAGTACATATGCAATTTACTCATTGATTTGTGCGTATAAAGTGCCAATTCAGGACCATTACTATTTTCCTTTGGAGAATTTACTACCATTGGTTTTTACCCGTATGCTCGTCATATCCATATTGCTGCCAGTATAGGGGGGAATCGTTAAATATTCGCATCATCATTGGACAGTTCATATTGTAACCGAAATGTCAAAGATAAGATCTATCTACTATGTAGAGGATTCACACAATGGGCTCAATGGACAGAGTTGAATCGTCCTAGTTGGGAATAGCAGAGAAAATGATTGTGATGTTGAATGAGTATAGCCACCGAAATGTCAAGACAAGAATTAACTACTAGAATATTCGCACGATGAGCTCAATGGACAGAGTTGAATCGTCCTAGTTGGGAGTGCAGAGAAAATGATTGTGATGTTGAATGAGGTTCTTTGTTGTGAGAGGTCAGCCTGAGGAGAGGGTGGTCCTCCGAGGCTCCTATTGGGTTCTCAGCTCAGGCAGATCCAACAACTTCAATCGGTCCTCCTTTAAAATCCTCTCTGTTGTAACCCGGTCTGGATAGTTCCTCATGAACATGTTTGTGAAGTGGGTTCCGTAATGGATCTTTTCATCTGGAGGCTTGCCATCATAAAGCTTCGCGATTGGGGAGATCTCAGCTTGGAAGCTAGGCTCATGGAAGTAGGCAAAGGCGTATCGCTCGCGGGTATTCAGGCCGACCTTGTGGGGGGGTGGATGGTAGGTACGAGTTGGTCATGAACTGCATCATATCCCCTGGAGAATGGCCGAATAAGAACTCTGAAGTATTTGTGGAGAAAAATATACAAACCTGGGAATACTGTGAAGACTCCGGGTACAGGAGGTACATAGGTCCATCGATCATCATGTTCGCGGAAGCCAGCAGCGCTGCTCTTCCAATTCTCGAGCTTCTCATCGGAGTAAGGTGGCCGAATAAATAGGCCTTAAATGATCAGTGAATATACACCTAAGGATACACTGGGAACCTCACCTCCAACCTCATCCTGGCCTGCAATGACCAAGAGACCGTAGTCCGTGTGAGACCCAATGCCGCGGCCATCTTTTCCTTTCCCGTTAGTCTTGTTGTGTTGAGGGAACCTGAACGTCAAGGTCAGAATACACTGAGCCATTTTTAAATAGAACCTATGTAGCCTACCTCAGGGTACGGAGATGGTGCCATCCATCCTTGGTTAAGGAGGTCAGAGTCTTAGGCTCCAGACTGAGTCCGTGTTCAATCAACTGCAGGAGCGTTTCCCCGCTACTACCCAAGGAGTCCATATACTCTTGTATAGGGGCCTTCGTATCGATATCTGGCCAAGGGCAAGGACCATGGCAAGGCCACTTAGCTGCCACTCTAGGCTCTTCCAGAGGAAGATCCTTAGTGACCGTAAAGATCTCTGAATAATCAGCAATGCCATCTGTAATTTCTTCCCCAGAGGCTATATAGCCTGCGTAGCTCTGAGTGTCCACACAATTAGCCTTTACATTGGGAGGCAGAGCAAAGAACCGTTTACTGGCAGCAAACGCTTTATTAAAGAGATCCTGCTGCTTGGGATTCATTGCAATCTGAAGGATACCGTCTTCACGCCACGCGTTGATCAACGCCTTTCCCATTTCGACGTCTCCGGGAGATCCGGTGGCCTTCTCGGGCAAAGTGAACGTCTTGAGCTGTCCAACACGAGCCACATAATTTGGTGGCATTGTGCTACCCAAGTCGCTCGGTGCTGTAGTAGTCGCTAAGCCTTTCGTCTGCTGGCGCGCAAGAAAGTTCGGGGCATGGCGAATAGAGTTGTGACAGACAACTGGTGGACGCAGTGCAATAGAGACACTCCGATGTGAGAGCATTTTGTCGTCTTTCTTTCAAAACTTTTCGATCAGTATTTACCTTAAGTCGGTGTTCCATCAACTTACTGGACAGCTATATGAGAGGAACAATGGTGGTATGTTGCTCTCAACATTTTGCGGAATATCATTATATATATATACCAGGCCCTCTCCCACACCTTGCCCCGGCTCTGCGGATTCAGGACGGCCTCCCATTCGTCCAGTTTTGGTGAGGTTTTAGGAGAGCGAAAATTTATTATATTATGTATACCAGGCCCTCTCCCGCACCTTGCCCCGGCTCTGCGGATTCAGGATGGCCTCCCATTCATTCAATCCCGGTTCGCCCCACTAGTAAGTCTATACTTATCCATGCAGGAATGTCGATGTTTTAGAATACTATGGTAAAACGGGTTTGAGATAATATTGTGGGATTAAACCGTTTTACGGCCCGGAGGATTTCTATATGTTTAGCCGTTGTTTTGGCAAAACGATTTTATCTATAAATACCGTTTTAGAAATGAATAACCGTTTTACTGAGATTTTGGTGAGGTTTTAGGAGAGCGAAGATTATTTTTTTTTTTATATATACGTATATGCCAGGCCCTCTCTCGCACCTTGCCCCGGCTCTGCGGATTCACGACGGCCTCCTATTCGTCCAATCCCCGGTTCGCCCCACTCGTAGGTCTATGCTTATCCATGTAGGAGTGTCGATGTTTTAGAATACTATGGTAAAACGGGTTTAAGATAGTATTGTGGAATTAAACCGTTTTACGGGATTTCTATATCTTTAACCTTTGTTTTAGCAAAAAGTCTTTATCTATAAATACCGTTTTAGAAATGAATAACCGTTTTAGTGAGGTTTTAGTGAGGTTTTAGGTAGGTTTTTACTCTATGTATAGTAGATTTAAAAGGGTTTTAGACTTATAAAACGTTTAAAGTCAAAACGTACTGTAATAAAGACGTTTTTTTGAATAAAACTGTATGTAAAGCAATACTATAGTAAAACCGTTTTAGTCTAAACAACGCACAAGAAACCATTTTTTATGACAAACCCATCTTGTGACTATACACTTACAGTTTTCTAAAACATCGACACTCCCGCATGGATAGCTCACCAATGGATAATGATTAGGGGTGGCGAGGTGGTTACAACCACCTTAGACAAAAAGATGAGGTTGCATGAAATGCCTCGCACCATTTTATTTGCGAGGGCTGTTTGCAAAATCAACCTGAGCTAGCTACGTGATCTCCTCTGGGCTAGCTGCACAGAAGCCTTCTTGTTAACTGGACTGGCTCCAGCATTCAAAGGTAGTATGACGGCTTGAGCACGTCAGCGCCACCCTTCGTGACTATAGAGTAGCTCACCTTCCTAATGTAGCAATGTGGGAATAACGATAGCTCAATGCGATATTAAACATGAACAAAACAGGAATCCCAGTACCTAAAGCAGGCTGCAGGTCACACTATAGGGTATCAGGAAATATTGGTGATTTATTCTACCTGACATCTTGTTAAACCAATGCTAATCAATGTCCTCAACGGGGCAGGAGACGTCCTTGACAAGGTCACGGCGGAGGAGGCCTCGGCGACCATGGAGCCAACGGGGCCAGAGATGGTGGTCAGACCGAGTCATCACCGGTGCAAGGGTTATTCTCTTACGCGAACCACATATTCCTAGTCACCCAAAAATGCCCTTTCATTTTGCTTTGTAAGAGTGTGCGGATGGTTGGCGAATCGGTGGCCATGTTGATTGGCGTAGACGACCTACACTGGGCAACATGCATGGATTAGTCAAGAATACAGTATATTACCTAGGTAATATGGAGCATAACGTTGGAGTATACCGTGTGAAGTCCTGGCCACTGACGTAAAAAAAGAACAGCCAAGGGCTGCATGTCATCTACTTTTTCTCCGGATGTATATTCTCCAAAATGAAATCATTTCTATGGCTCCATTCCTTACAGGATGTCGACATTGATGGTCTAAGCTTGTGACACCTCCAAGGTTGGTTACCAGCAACTAATTGTCGAGATGGAAGAATACTGTGAAACTTGAAAAATAATTCCACGCTTTGTACCTTCTCAGTTATATGAAAGCTATATGAAGCTTGAACCAGTGGATGAGGCTATGAGGAGCCCTGGAGGCGTCTTTGAGCATCTTAGTTAAGCCCTACGCCCCCGGGGCCATCACCTAGTACCATACATTAGCTACTTTATTGCACAGATCCAAGTGTACCGCCTCGCATGATCATTTGGAAGTCTGGATATGTCCTTAACCTTCATTTCCATAAATTGTTTGCGGGACTCCGCTGGACACACAGCCCGGGCGGTCCGTGTCGGGACGGTCCGCTGACCACGGCAAACCCTAGGAGAGCAATGCCACGTATGAGGTATCGATGACATTATCTTAGCGTAAATTCCATCCATCATTGTGTAACCATCCTTAGCGAGGCTGAAATATAATAAATAGCTCGATGGTCAGTGGGTATGCAACTTGATCCCGATTTGGTCATTGTGTAACCACCTGGGCATCCCTACGGTAAGGCCTCCTTAGTGTATGTACATACTTTAGGAAAGGTCTCCCAAATCTGCCAAGGGCAAGCGGACGAATGGGCCTATATCTTTCAAGCATGCGAAGAAAATGAGGAGAGGCAGGTGTCTGGACGTTTTAATACCTCAGGCATAATTGCTGAACAATGAAAGTTGTCTGTGACCCGAGGTCCAAGAAGTGCATATATAACACACATATATACTACAGGAATCTTTCACCCCGGAATACTGATGTATGAAAGTATGGTGATATGAGGGGAGAATGAAGGTCTTGGCGGGAGCTCATATTTTCTCCCAAACCAGGGCTGAATTCAGTCCGCAATGATCCCACAACTTAAACGACTCAATAAACACGACATGGAAGCAGGGGGTATGTAAAAAACGAAAAATTAACTAACTGGAACGAAAACCGCAGAAACATGGTCGTCAACTATGAACTATGTAGTAGAGCGTCAATGTCCACACGGCGGAAATACGAGACATGGCCCATTTCCTTCCAGTAGTGAGCCATGTGGTCAGGAGAAATAAGGATCAGCTGGGAGTCAATGTAGGTGTCTGCGAATGGCGTGTTAGATATGATCGCTTTGGATTATTTAGCAAGGCTGCTTACCGTCACGGAACCCAAGTCCAGCTACATGGCCACGGCAACGCACAATCCGGGCGCCGACAAAAGGCTCCTCCTCATCCCGACACTAATCAAGCCTCTGGAGCCAATGTCTTCGGCAACAAACGAGAACTGGCCACGAGGAACATTGGGGTCACCTGTCAGCTTGACAGCTTGCAACGAGCCTCGCTGTCCAATATCCTCCTGGGCGTCGGTTATCTTCGACTTTTTTTCATCGCTGTGTGCTTCGGCCTCCATCCCCTTCTGCAGAACAAGCAGAAATTCACATCCATGGGCTGAGTAGTCTCCGACCCAAATTCCCTGGTAGGGTCTCTCTACAGTGGGAGTGTAAAGGACAGGATCGAGAGTTGAATAAGTTAGACTCGCTTCGTTTGGTACCGGCGAGAAACATAAACCCTGGGTCAAGCCATTTCCTAATACGAAAGAACGATTCGGACAGCTCCCACAAGCGTTTCGGTCTTGGCGGGGGTGAGTCCCTCAGATCACGAACTGTGCGTGTATTACTCGGGATGGTTCGTGGTGGCCAAATGGCATCGGGTTCAACCCAAGGGCCTGGAGTGCTAGATTCAGAGCAAAGCGATAGCGGGGAATCTGAAGCCATGGGCATGCGTCGCTCCTCTGGCATTGACTGAAAGGATTGGTTTGGGGCTGTTTGGGAGGTCGGATTTGGGTCATTGAGAAATAAGACAGGATCATCTAACGCCAGCCGTACACTGGGTTCAAAAGACTGAATCATGACTTCTGGGTGTGAGGTCCATAATTGAAACTGAGGGGTGCCACGTCCTGCAACGACACGGTATGCTTCAATCACACCACAGCGATTATCATATCGAGCTATGATCAGCATCCCGGTGTGTTCATGGTCTGCGAACCAGATCTTGTGCTGAGGAATGAACCAACAAGGGTAATATGCAAGATAGAGACGACGAAAATGACCCAAAGGGACCTGGGTCCCGGATAGGAGTAGGTAGTCTCTCGTTCACCAGGTTAGCCCATAGCAAGTCATTCGATGCATGATCGACGAGGGCCCGGCAAGTGGCGCCGAGGCGAGCGAGATCTGGAGCCGAGAGATAAGATGCAATGTCTTGGATGATCTCAGCGGGTAATTCAAGCAACGACAATTGATCTGCGGGTGGAGACGACTGCCCGTCATTAGCTGGCTGGTCGGTGGGACCATCGTTGGTTTGTTCCTGCTGCGTCAAAATGTGAGCACAGGGTCATCCACGGCAATTTTTATCATCAATAATTAAACATACACTGGTAGTGATCATCATCTTTCTTTTGATACACTGAAATTTGCCAGAGATAAGTGATATGGTTGAGCCTCTTCAGAGTATCGTAAATGACATCACCAGGAGACACAGGAGGGGGGAAATGCATGAAGTCACACGGAGATAAGGGGAATCGGTCCACGCAGGGAAGATGTTTGATGTGCCTAATATTGCCAATATTGCAGGGTTTAGACTGGAGGAAGCTGGCCAGTTTTCCGTTTTCGTATTTGGAGCTAATGTGAGTTGGAAGCTATCGATAAGGTACATTTTGTGGCAGTGCGGAGTAGCTCTGACCTCTATCTACAATATATCCAATTTTTGAATCTCCACTGCGTAGCTGAGTATCTGCCTATGAAGAGACCATTGGATTAAACACATATTATTTTCCATCTACCTCAATGAGTTATGTATGTTGTATAGGCATGACGGAGTATGTCACGTGTGTTAATATGTCGATATCACGTGGAACCTTATGTTCGGCTGTCACCTGATTGCCCAAAGAAGCATCTTGTTTACCATTACCGGAATAGGAAATATGCATCCAGGCACGCGTCTGGGCCCCTGCTGCCTATAGAGCCCCACTTTGTTTGTTTACGTCTTAACTTGTGATCTATAGAATTCTTTTTATAAGCATATCCCTGTGTACACTTTTATTTTGTAAAACATTTCTTTGTTTTGGCTTTAATTGTTCCGATATACTCCCATACTCCCCTATCCAAGATGGACATCACTCGATCAGGAAGGAAACGGAAGAGCTCTCTCTCAAGTTCAAGAAGCCAGTCACCAGTCTCAAGTCGGACTAGACGGAGCTTGGCAGCGGTGCCAGAAGATGCCAGCCTCAATCAACAACAAAAAGCAGTATCCGTCACACCCAAGAAGTCAAGAAAGAGAGTGCGGTTTTCCGACCCAGGCCCTCGGTTATTGCACGATGAAGATGCCGGGTCGACTGGCTTGACCCCGGCCATGCGTCGAACATCGTTCGAGACAGGATCTAGGGATTACACATCTAGCCGCAAATCCCGACGCAGGTCGGCCCCAACACCACGCTTCCAGCGGTCGTATGACCCGGAGGAGCCGTTTGATGAAACATGCACCGAGCGAAGGATTCAATTTACTCCGCTGCGCCAAATCCTGGATACACGAACCCAGAGAAGAATTAGGCGAATCGGGTTGAGCGATGAGATCAATCAGATTGAGCGCGAAAAGCGCGAGACCCGCAAAATGGAAAAGACCATGCGAGCTTTGCTTCAAGAGCGAGATTCGTTAAAAGATGAACTCAGGGCCATGAAACAAGGTGGAATGGACTTTGAGGACAATTCATTGGCAGAGTCATATTGGATGACACCTGACACCCCCAGATCTTGCGAGGAATTATCAGTGGTTTCGAATCACAGTCTGGACGACGCCACTCTATTTCCGAACGGTGAAGGGGAAACTTTTATGTTCAATGACAGTGCTGTCATTGTGTCCAGCTCCCCTGATTTCCGTACTCGGAGCCATAATCCACCCGTCACTGATAGCTTGATGCTAGCCGACGAACACCAAACGCAGAAATCAGTCAATACAGAGGCATCCGAGGTTCACTCCCTGACTCTTGACCTGGAAGCTGCCAGGCAAGAAAAGAAAAACTTGTTCGACGCATGTCGATCAAGAATCTCAGGGTTCAATGACCCTACGATCAGTAGCCTTTTCCGCCAGTCATCTCCACCGTCGGACTTCTTCGAGAATATCATGAAGATCTTGGAAAATGCTCTGTCTCGTGCGGCAGATGCTGCTGAGGCTCTCGAAGGAGTCACCCAAGAATGCTCCGGCTTGGGATTCTCCGGAGACGGCGTGGACGAAGTTATATCCGACATGCGGAACCACTTCCGCTCAGCTCGTCTCGAGCTTGAACGTGCGCTACCTGGTGAAACTGCCAACGTCAGTCTTGAGGACGGCAAGGCAACTCTAAGTGCACTGGTGAGGCGCGTTGAGTCACTGGCAAAAGATCTGGGGACAGAGCGCCATTATCATGATGGCTCTCTCGGCCGGGAAAAGGCTCTCCGAGGGCAATTTGACGCTTTACTACACCGATACGAGACAGCTACAAGAAAAATTGACAGCCTCGAAGATTCAATCGCATCTTCCGCGAGCGATATGCTCCACACGCGGATGCGAATGCAAGAGCTCGAACGTGAAGGCCAGGAACAGGCTGTTGGGATTGACAGATTAAGCACAGCCCTCGACAAGTATCATTATGAAGTGAAGGGTCTCGAAAGCCTTATCGACAACCTTGAAAAGGAGAATACAGCTACAAAGGAGGACTATACCCGGCAGATATCTAAGCTCAAGAAACAAGTGGCCCATGAACGCTCAAAACGCTGTTCGGCCGAGGCTACTGCTTCTAAGTCCGAGTCTCGTATCCGGGAACTAGAGCAAATAGTCGAGCACAATCGAATTCGAGCTTGCGATTTGATGGCTCAGGTGGAGCTTCTTGAAAAGGAACATCAAAGAGCCATCGAGAGCCTTGAGCAAAACAGCAGTGAGCTTCAGGCGCATGAAGCAGAGACGGGGACTCTCAATGTTCGCATCTCAGACCTCAGCACATCATTGCATGGTGCCAAATCTGAAGTGCAGCGTCTTCAGAATATCAACACCGGCCTTGAAGAACAACTTCAGTTAGAAGTCGAAGCTCGAAATGAGCTCCTGGACAAGTGGGCCGCAGATCAAGTGCGATCTTTCGCCCACATGAAGGAGACTATCAACTCGGAACGTCGCAGAGCCAAGGTTCGCGCGGCCAACTGGGAGTTGAAATCGGATGATCTCATGTCAGATGGCACTACAATTGGAGATGGGAGTGAGCCAATTACTCCCGTTAGCGCTCGATTTGTTGATGTGCAAATCGGTCGCGGCAAGGACCGGCGACGCATGGATAGTGTCGAGATTATGGGGGAGGAACTGGAGAATGACATTTCGCATGTCGGCAGCGTTATCGGATCTGATGTTCATCTTCCCCATCGGATTTGGCTTAGTTTTTGTATACAACCTCGCTCTTTTTGTTTATTTATTTTCCTTTGTTTTGGCTCTAATAAAGACTTGTACCCATCTTCGCATTTACTTTTTATGCTTAACATTCAACTATCTCCAGATCATACCTGATATTTGCCGGGGCGTTTCAGGGACTCGGAGATACGATTGTTAAACGGGTTATAATGTGGAGCGTTACCCCGTAACTAGGGCCGATCTTATCCAGAAATAATAACAAGGTTACTATGCTGAGTTGCATTTAATCTATGGACTATCTCACAGATAACAAGAAGCGAGCTCGTATATATTTGTAGGCTGAAAGCCACCGAAAACACCCATGCACCCTATACCAACTCCACGATGAGACTCAAATCTTCAGTCATTTCTCTCATTGCATGCTGCGGCTCACTTTGTAGTGCCAGAGACCGCATCCTCAAGCATGGTTCTCCTGAATCAGTGGGGCTTCTCGCCGAGCCTCTTCAACAGCTGCCACTAAACTTGAGCCAATACACTATTCCTGCCAACTACGGAACACCTACGCACAATGTGATTCACCCCATCCAGCCAGGAGGCTCCGTCGTCATCGGCCACAAGTCCACCATTGTGAGCGCCTTCGCTTTCGGAAATACGAGTATGTATGCAGACTCCAATGGCACATTGCTTCCTCCCACAGAATGGACCCCGGCCAAAATGGACACGATATACGATATGGCCAGTCTAACCAAAGTGTTCACTGCGGTAGCCGCACTGCGTGCCATTGACGAGGGCAAGCTAAGCTTGGATAAGAGCGTTGCTTCCTATCTTCCCGGGTTCGCGGCAAATGGGAAGAGCAACATCACTGTCTTAATGCTGTTGACCCATACAAGTGGCTTCGCTCCAGACCCTCTGCCCGGTCTGTACGAAGCACCTTACAAGACCATGCAGCAGCGCGTTCGTGCGGTCATCGAGCATGAGCTCGAAAATGCTCCTGGATCTACGTACACATACTCAGACCTGAACTTTATGAACCTGCGCTTCTTGCTGGAGAAGGTCACCAAAATACCATTTGAGGAGTATGTCTATTCATTTACCCGTGAGCTCGGCATGACAAGCACCTTTTTCAACAAGGGAAACAACCAGTCCCCTTCATTCCAGTACTGCGCGCGCATGGCGCCGACAGAGTATCAGATCGAAGTCCTGGGAGACGCCGAGCCTAAACGCCCCCAGCCCGTGCGAGGAACCGTGCACGACGAGAACGCCTGGGCTCTTGATGGTGTGAGCGGACACGCCGGTCTCTTTTCGACGGCCGGGGACGTGGCGATCTTCTGCCAAATGATCCTGAACAACGGCACATATGGCGGTAAACAGATACTGGAACCGGAGACTGTGGACTTCATGTTCACAAATTTCAATACCGCGTTTCCTGGTAATGAGCACAGTATCGGGTTCGAGCTCAATCAGAGCTATTTCTCGGGACCCATGGCCAATATGCTGGCAGGGGGACACACGGGCTTTACTGGTACCACGCTTGTTGTTGATCGTGCGTCGGATACATTTATGGTCATGCTGGGTCATCGTGTGTATCCGAACCGGAACTGGGCGAGTAACAATATTGTTCGGGAGGCGATAGGCTATTGGGTTGCCCGCTCGCTTGGTCGGGATGTTCCATTTCCATGATATTCTGGTCGGGGGATGTCTTGTCAGACGACTATCTAGATAGAGAACGAAACTGCAAACCACAAAGGATGAAGATAAGCAGAATTTCTGCATAGTTAAATCATGTATTATCCACGAAGTGCTCAATGACTAACTGTCCTAGACATTATAAACCAAATGGTATATCTCTCTATCTGCAAATGAAAACAAACTCCGAAGTAATCCAGACAAACTCAGCAATTGCGCCTACTCGTTGGTCATAGCTCTAGGCTGAGGCTCAATATGCTGTTTGTGCCCTGGCCGAGCAATGATAGCCCCAAAGAGATTGAAAATGTTATTACAGCGAAGAATCATGCAATAGAACAAGGTAATTCCCGTAACCATAATCTCCTCTTGAGCAGCTCTGTTATCTGCCTTGGGCCCGACGAACTCGATCTTGCCAATTTTGGTGACACCCCAGCAATGGGCAGTGAACTTTGCCACGGGCATCTGCTGCTCATCCACACAGATAAAGTCCCAGGTCTTGAACCCGGCATCGCTGGTCCATGTCATTGTGACTGGAGATTCGGTATCGGAGAAATTGAGAGAGCGGTGGGTGTACACTGTCCGCCAGCGTTTCTGGGCTAGAAGGTGGGCCTTCTGTCCTCGTAGCTCGTAGTCGGCGTTTATAGAGACCGCATTTAGCTTTCCACTGCCGATTACTTCATTGTTCGAGGCTTTTTTGAAAACCATGTTGGCTGTGAGGCTGAATGGGGAATAATGTATAGTGTATAAGGGGGCTGCTCCGGGATTATTGGCGTCGGATACAATGGCCTTCCATTTCTTCCATGTGAAGTCAACTTTAAATGTGGAGCTCTTGGAGGAATTCTGCGTGTATTGTGGAGTATCGGATGAAGCCATTTTGTTCGAGTCGACTGCCATAAACGGGTCCGTGGAAGCAGAAGAGGGTTGAATGGGTTGGGGGATATCCGCTGAAGCCATTGTGTTTTCCTAATAGTTGAGAGTTGAGAGTTGAGTCTTGTATGGGAATTTAGACTACTTATATAGTTCATCTCATCAGCCCACCTGGCGGGCCAAGGCGCAATGTCTTGGCATCTCCACCCACTTAGGGTTCATCGAACTAACCTCTTTGGGTGCGATGTACCGCTCTAGCCAATCAAATTCGAGTTTTGGGCCTTTCCGCAGGCTGTGATGTCATTCCCAAAATGGATTTTGGGGCCAGCTGAGCAAGGCTGAGTGTTTGCATCTACAAAGTACGAAGTAGTTGGATAGATATAATCCCTTGTGGATATAGCATCCCTGCGCATACTGCGCAATATTGGCTGTGTTGAACAGTTCTTCTCATTCGTGGAAGATGCATGCTATCTTATGTACCGAGATCAAACGCATTTGAAACCCTTGGAACAATTCGTAGACCACAACACTGATAATATTTGCCGATATTATCCAGAGCTCTTCAATACCAGCTACGTCTTTGGTTGTTGCCAGTCGGGCACAGTTGTGGTGAGAACTCTTGACACCGAATTGCCCCTGCTTATCAATACTTGATTATCTTCAAGAACGATGACGTTGTTGGGCGTCAAGCCTATAAAATTAGATTCACGCTTTAAATAAATTTCTAGCAACAGCTTGTTAAACAGTATCATTCCTTCACACAATTCATCAAACCAATTTTTTATCCACAACAAGCATGGTTAGCCAGGACACCAACGCGCACAAGTACCGCTTGAAGGTAACGGCAGGCGCAGACTACGACCTCAAGACTCATCAAGTGGTACCTGTAAACGGCGAAACAATACGAATTGAAAACGAGCATGCTATCGTAAGTCTCTGCGTACGGGTCCAAAATTACAGAGGTATTACTTCAACTCTCATCTATTCAGTGAAAGAACGGAGCTCATCGTCAAATAGGCTATCCCGAGAATTCACCATCCACAAGCCCATATTTCGACCACCCTCTCCATAAAAAGGACCTATACTCCATATGTTTCGCAATAACCTTCAAAGAGCCGGTGAACGGCAACAACCTCGTTTTTGGCAATGACTTCGATCACCCAGTCCGCGACATCCTACCTCCAGGATTCAATGCCGCGCTACGGATTGTCCAGTGGACACTCGACCCTGGTCTGAGACGGCGATGTCTACGCTGATAAACCGTATTTGTACAGCCCGGCATTGGCATCGTCGAACCTGTTCCGCATCGGAGATAAGATGCGGAAATCAGACGAGGTGCCAACGCTCCATGATGAGGTTATTGAAGAAGGTTCTTATAGCGAAGATGCTGCCAACGTGCGTCAGAAGTTTAATATTCCCGAAACAGCCATGGGCCGCAGAAAGCATTTCCAGGACGAGGCGAACAGAAAAGAGTTCGAGTTTGAGCCTGGGAGGATGTATGTTGCTGATTTTGGAAATCCTTATTTGGCATTTGAGGGTCAGTGAAATGCAGAGTTGCACTTATTGGGATCACCGGCTCACCAATGATAATAGATTTCTCTGTCCGTCTTCCTGGATTCAATCTACATATCATGAAGTATGTGGATGAGAGCAACCATGAGCTGCGGTATACGCTCAAGGATATTTCAACCGGACGGGTGTATCTTGCTGTGGTGTTCTCGGTCGTCCTAGGCGAACCGGAAGACGAGAAAGACTATCGCAAGGGTGAGCAACGTGACGACAGTCTAGGGAAGTTTGACTGGGAGCCGGAGCCATCGTCTGATGATATTGAGTGATACATTTCTCGATTTAACACATAGATACGGGTTTTATAATAAAATTAAATGGTTGTCAATTCGTGCAAGGGAAAACACTAAATTCATGTCTAAGTATCATCTGCAAACTTTGACTTATATACAGGTTTACTTTTACAGTCTCTTCAGGACATCGTCCAACACCTGCTGAGTGGTGGCCTTTCCGCCCATATCGGGGGTAAGGAACTGGGCAGCATCCAGGTTACCATCGACAGCAGCGTAGATCTGGGCAGCGGCCTTCTCTTCACCCAGGAACTCAAGCATCAGAGCAACACTGCGGATAGTAGCAATGGGGTTGGAGATACCCTGGCCCTCAATGTCAGGGGCACTACCGTGGCAGGGCTCACCGATAGCGAAGCCATCACCAACGTTGGCACTGGGGACGAGGCCCAAGCTGCCAACAAGGGCAGCAGCACCGTCAGAGAGGATGTCACCGTAGAGGTTAGGGGCAACAATGACATCGTAGAACTCGGGCTGGCGGAAGAGCTTGTAGACCATGGAGTCGACGATCTGCTCCTCGACGAAGACGGAGGAGAATTTCTCGGCGGCAAGAGCACGGCGCGCGGTCTCACGGAAGAGACCGTCAGTCTGCGAGAGCACGTTGGACTTGTGGGTGATGGTGACCATGGGCTGGTCACGGGTAGAGGTGGGGGAAGCGGCGCGGATGTTCTGGCGGCGGAGCGCAATCTCACCGGCGATGTTGGAGATGCGGAACGAGGCCTTCTCGGAGATACGCTTGATGGCCTCGGCGACCTTGCCGTTAGGGCCCTCGATGGTGCGCTCTTCCTTCACGTACAGGTCCTCGGTGTTCTCGCGGACGATGACCAGGTCAATGGGCTTGCCATTGCTGTTGCCGGCGGTAGTCTTGACGGGGCGGACGTTGGCATACAGGTCGAGCTTCTTGCGCAGAGCGACAATGGGCGATGAGTAGCCGGCGACCTTGGTGCTAGGGGAGCTTTGGGAATTATCAGCCGGAATTGCGGGTGCTAAAACAGAGAAATCATGGCTTACCTGACAGCACCAAAGAGAGCACCGTCACACTCCTTCTTCAGGGTATCCACAGTCTTGTCGGGCAAAGCGGTTCCGGTCTTCTGGAAGGTCTCGTAGCCAGCATCGAGGTCTACGAAGCTGAACTTGAGGTTTAGGGATGAGGGGAGGGACTCGAGGATCCGACGGCCGGCCTATATTTCATCAAGCAACATCAATCAGTGAATTGGCTCGCATATTAAATCTTGAGTTACTCACCGGAATGACCTCCCGTCCGATACCGTCTCCGGGGATGAGACCTGTAAGATTCCGGCCATGTCAGTCAATTGCCGAGCCACGAGATCGCAAAACAAGGGCGATTGTACCAATGCGAAGTGTCCGGGCAGCAGCCATTTTGATAGACTTTTTTGAAGAGTTGCTTTCCTGAAATCGACAATCGCCGTCATCGGAGCTTTGCATTTTGTATACGGCATCGGATTATTGTTGATCCGATAAACTAATCCCGGGGTCCGGAGAAGAGGACATTGTTATAGACTTACTCTTCTAACTCATATTATTTCCGACGCAGATCATGAAACAAGATCTAAAAGCAATGCTGTCTGCTTGGCTATCCATTTCAGGAGAAAATGATGCGGTCAGTTGGGAAAATATACCAAGGTTGCCCATGGGCATGCTCGGACTACTTAAACGGGTCACTTCTCGCGAGGTCGAATATGGACAACCTTTCTGCATGTCCCCTCCCTTCAAGGTTATTTGGCGGTCTCATCGAAGTGAAAATATCCAATTTTATTAGAATTTGAGGTTGCACCCTTAGAACATGTTCCATCCTTCTTGTCATTCCCTGGATTGGGTTGACGACGATCCCGATATGGCTTTCCAGTAATGAACTTGAACTGTCGGTCATATCCAGGGCAAGCTTGTCCATACTTGTCGCATTTGACACAGCCAGGAAGTTTTTGACCGCACTATGGCGTTATCAATATGACGCGGACTATGTAACCGGACTTGATGTAAATATCCAACTCAACTTGACTCGACATTCAACGCAGAGTAGGCAGCCATTGGTCCGGGGCATGCCAACCATTGCGAATCATAAGTTCGTAACGAGTCAAAGACATTAAGGGAGTTGGAGAAGCCTCGTGTAGGATCTGGTGCCGTCACGTGCTTTGATCGGGCATGTCCCGAGATCCTCTCATTGGTTGAAAGGCAGAGTATATGTCTCCAGGGCCATATTGTATGCCCATGGGCTTGTACAAGTCCAAGGATAATCGACCATTTGCCTTGAATTGGAAGTAAGCATGCCATATACTATCAAAAGGCGGCATATTCCAATCTGTCTTCCAACTTGTATTTGTTGACTAGTATTACCTTCATATAACTTCCTCTAAAGCCAAGTGTTATACCTAACAATACATAGCTTAGCTATTAGACATATATCTAGATACATACATATACTAGGTACCGAAGCCACCGAAGTTTCGCAAATAGAGCCCAAACTGGGGAAGTCCAGTTCCGATAGATCTGTGTTGATGTTCTGCCTCAGGCACAAGATGCCCCTTACTGGAGATCCACTTGGAAAGGTGTGTCAGAATACAGACCGAGTACATGGATTACCGAGTCCAATACCATGGAATCATGTGATTTTAGACTATGCAAATTGCGTACTAATTGTGTCCGACCAGACTGTCAAAAACGGACCATTGTTGTTTTTTAGTTAGTTAGAGAACTTTACCATCGTGAATTTACCAATACGTTCGCCATACACCTGATTTCCGTCAGTTATGAGCCCGGAATCGCTTCAATTTTGATCTCTTTTCCATCCTTTTGTTAAATCTCATATATATTGAGCCCATATTTGCCTGGTTTTAGACCGGCCCCTGGCTGTACGGAGATAACAACCCCTGAATTGAGATAACCCCTGAGAAGTATTAACAACAATATTGGAAATCTATTTGCGAACGTTAATCGAACCGTTACGATGTCGGATTACACTCTCTCCGCGAATTCGTCCTCTCGCGTTACCTTAAAGGATATATCGAACTGGGAGCTATGGCTCTCGATGATCAAAACCATTGCGGAGTAGTTCGACGTCTGGGATCTATGTGATCCGGAATCAGATACGGAACCCGCACTTCCGAAAGAACCGATCGAACCGAGTTGGGAGGATCTAAAGAGAGATCATCCAATAGACTGGTTTCATCTGTACGGCGTACTAAATACGCAATATGAGAGAAAGCTCAGTGTATATAAAAAGAAGCTCTAGGGTAGGAAGATAGTTGCAAATGCAATCCGCTAGAGCATCCATGAAAAATACTAGGTTTTTATAGACCAGGAGACACTATGGGGACTGCTTAGGAATCTGCGATAGCGGGTCTCACCGGAGTGCAACCCTACATATAGAGCAAGCCTTCGCACGGTATGGAGGAATCTAGATAGAGGTCTAGATAAAATAATAGATATTGATCAGTGGCTGCTGAATTGGCAAACCTTGTAAAAACGCTGTGTAAAAGTAGGGATTACAGAGGCTAGGGAGGCTTTAATCCAATTTCTAGAAGCTGTATTAGTGATTTTACCGGAATTCTATACAGCCTGGATTGTTATAGCTGAGATAGCCTCTGCTAGTGAGAGAAGCGAGGAAGAAAGATAGGCTGATTTCGCAAACCTGCTTACCCGGTATAAAGCCTATTGGCTTATGGCCTATGGAAAATAGGCAGTATAAAGAGGCCTGTCAAAAGCTGTGTTTTTAATATGGCAGGGCCACCAGGAAGCTCAGCCCGGAGATTCAACAACAAGTAGCTTAGCTAGCAGATCTGCTAGTAAACTAGCTAGGAAGAAACCATCTGATTTTCCTATTAAAAAGCGGTTCTGTCTATGTAGTAAGATGAGACATGCACCATAGAGATACTGGGCTGCATTCTTAGAGGATAAACCGGCTGGTATGCCAGATGCATACCCAGACAAAAAGAAGGCATGGGATAGAGCCATAAAGGCAGACCCTGAATGGAGAGCCTTTGTTGAAAAGAAGCGAGCAGAAGAGAAAAACATATAGGCGAACCCAGTTTTCTAGCCTAGAGCACTAGGCTTCTTCGTAGCTGAGAACCAGCTAGTGAACGACGCATTTGAGATCTAGAAACCCGTAAAGATCGATTAGAAACATTCTGAGATCGATCACGAACATTCTGCGATCGATCACGAACATTCTGCGATCGATCACGAACATTCTGCGATTGATCACGATCATTCTGCGATCAATCATGAACATTCTGTGACCATTCACGATCATTCCATGTTCCACCAAACCAGTTATGATCCTTTCTACGATAGATGGCTTGTCGACACCGGTGCATAAGTCCACATTTGTAATAACCGGAGGTTATTCGTCGAATTTCAGAAGACGACGAGCTCGATTTGGGTAGGAGATACGAAGACGATGGTGGAAGGAATCGGAACTGTCTCAATCTATGGTGTTAGCCCTGGGAACGAAGTACCGCTGCGAATGGATTTGTTCAATGTCAAATACTCGCTAGGTTTCCATACGAACATCATCGCCCACGGTCAGATGTTTGAGACAATAGGAGCGTTTTTAAACTTCAAGAAGAACTGGATCGAATAAGACGAAATCCCACTATATGCTACATACCGGGATCAAAAGCTTCCCTGGTTAGTGCAGCCGAACCAGCCGTTGGTGAATGCAGCTGTGAAGAAGTCAGCTAGAGAACCTGCATCTGAAGCCTCTATTGAAACCTGGCATCGTCGCCTAGGCTATGTTAGTAAAGAGAGGATTGAAAAACTTACTAAGATGACGGAAGGTGTGAAGATAACTGGTTGTAACCCTGAGAAGCAAGAGGCTTCGGAGAAATAGGTATGCGAAGCTTGCTAGTTAGCAAATGCACCTAGGCAGATCTCACGGAGGAAGATAGGCCAAGCCTACGGGGTACTCGGCAGAGTGCACTTTGACCTCGTATAAAATCAGCCTGCGTATAACAGATATGTCTGGTTAACGCATTTCTATCTTGATGGGATCAGATGCCACTTTGTATTTACTTACGTGAAGAAGAAGGACTGCTAATGGGCTGTTAGGAAGTTTATCGCTTTGATCCGAAACTGGCTAAATGTTAGAATCAAGGTCTTCCACTATGATAATGAGCGTAGTGCTGGTAATGAGGTTGAAAATATGATTGAAGCCGAAGGCTGCGTTATAGAGCACTCACCTCTTGAGACACTAGAGATAAACGGACTAGCAGAGAGATCCGGAGGTGTAATCATCTAAATGGTAAGGGTATTGATCAATGAAAACCCGGATCTGCCGAAGACGCTCTGGCCGGAAGTAGTATATGCATCAGTATACATACTAAACCGTATGCTAACAAAGCTAGCAGATGGAAGATGGATCATACCTTGGATGGAATTGATGAAACTGGCTGCACCAGATGGGATAAAGGACTAGCGAATCAACCTTTCAAACCTTAGGGTGTATAGCTGCTTAGCGTATTCGAGAATCCTAGATTCAAAGCGCACACAGTCAGATAAGATGTCACCGAGAGCAGAGATCGGATTCCTAGTGGGGTATGTCTCTAAAAACCTGTATAGGATCTGGTTTCCGTACAAAGGGGGACAGTATGGAAGGGTAGACGTTGTTAGAGATGCTGTTTTCGATGAGACACGGCGGTATACGACGGCGAAGAAGCTGGAATCAGAAGATACAGTTAGTACGCTGACAAATGCGCTGGAAGAGAGAGAGAACTGGCCTGCGCTCCTAACATGGGATGAAGCTCAGTCTGAACTGAGTACCTGAGATGCAGATGCCGTTATCCATAGCCCGTATCGCCCTGCATGATGACGTTCAGCATACACAGTAAGGGCAGGATCCGCATACAGATGCAGATTTGCAAGATGCAGAGATGTAAGATGCAGAGATGCAAGATGCAGAGATGTAGGATGCAGATCTGACAGATGGAGAGATGTAGGATAGAGAGATGCAAAGTGAGAGAATTGGAAGACAGCAGACCCCAATTGCTATACAAAAACCATCTGATAATATGCCAATTACCCCGGCGTCGATCAGACCAACACAGTAAACAGCAAATAGAGGCTATATGCCTGGGTCCTTCCTAGCAAATCTCTCCTCACCTCCGTCACCTACTTTACTAGCATCCCATACTATGCAAAATCAGCCTTTTTCATCAGAACGGACCCCGTTTTCATTATCTTCCGCACTAGATACCCTGGAATCAGCCTCACAAACCCCGAGATCTCTACATACAGACGCCGCAGATGCAGATCCTGAGCATGTCGGTGATGACGAAGTGAGAGATACCGGAATATATAGTGAGAGCAAAGTGAGAGATGTTGGAACGTATAGTGAGCCTAAAGTGAGAGATAACACACTACTAGAGCCAGTCCTAACCTCCGCTATACAGACAACCATACCATCTGTTGAGACTGGGGGGGTGGAATACGAAGATGAGATCTCAGAGAGCGAGATGCAGCTGTAGCAAGAGCTGTCACAAACCCCGGTTTTGCATATAGGAAGAGATAGATCAGATGGTATTAACACTGCAAATATTATCTCAGGGTCCAGATCTCGGAAACCTAGGCAGGACCCCGACTATGTAGTATATCTCGCTATGGAAGAAGACGAACCACCAGCGCTAGTTCATACATTTGGAGCCTGTATAAACCAGAGATTCGAAACAGATTAAAAGCCTAGGAAGCCTCACAGAGATCAGCTTCCCCCGGAGCCGTAGAACTGGAATGAAGTCAAATCCTATCTTTACGCCAAAGACTTTATAGCAGTAGCGGAATTCGAGATCGATATGTTACGTAGAAAGGAGACCTTCTCCCAGGTTCCGATCCCGAATATACGAACCACACAAATCCTGCTATTGAAATGGGTGTTCATATACAAATTTGATGCCGATGGTGTGCTTGACAAGTTTAAAGCTAGAATCTGCGTGCGGGGAGATCTTCAGTGGATGACACCGGAAGAAAAGAGAGCTGCTATACTCGCGGTGAAGATAGCGAGAGCGGTTTTTGTATTGGTTGCTGCGTTTGATCTAGATATGAAGCAGCGAGATGTTGTGAATGTATTTCTAAACTCTATCTTATAAGATGAGATTTATACTCGCTGTCCCCCCGGTTTTGAAGCATCAGGCCGATGCTGGATGCTGCACCGTGCGCTATACGGACTGCGGATGTCTCTACGTTTATGGCAGTAAGAAGCTACCAGGGTGCTAGTGAAACTAGGCCTTACCCCTATACCGGAGGATCTATGCATTTTTGTCATAAACGGGATCATCGTTTTCTTCTATGTTGATGATATTATCATTGTGAACTACCTAGATTATGCAAAATAGGCTGCTGATCTAGATGATTAGATGAAAAAGCACTGGGAGCTTCGTGAATTTGACGCTAGTTGGTTTCTAAACATACGCATTATAAGAGATCGGACTAAAAAGAAGCTCTGGCTATGCTAAGACAGCTATATTGAGAGTATGGCGGCGAGATATAGTCTGATCACTAACCGGAGGGTTGATACGCCCCTAAGTATAGAGCCATTGCTCCCCTTTGATGGCGTTGCGATAGCGAGCCAGATCTATGGTTTTCAGGCCAAAGTTGGATCAGCTTAGTACGCCACTACGATCTCCAGACCAGACGCTGCAAAAGCAACTAGCAAACTGGCTGAATTCCTTCTAAACCCCGGACCGAAGCATCTAGATGCTATTGACAGAGTTATCTAATATCTCTACTAAACCCGCTACTATGCAATTGAGTACGGAGTTCAGATGAAAGATGAGAATTCCAGCCTACAGCTTGCAGCAAAATCTGTTGAATTTGTAAGCGATGTATCTTTTGGAGATAATAGAGATCGGAAGAGCTCAGAGGGCTATATATGTAAGCTCTATGGTGGTCCTATAGACTGGAAGGCTTTAAAATAGAAGACTATCACCACGTCTACCACCGAAGCAGAGCTTTTAGCTCTATCCGAAGCAGGTAAAACTGTCTAATGGTGGCGCCGAGTCCTCGAGTCCCTAGGGTTTAAACCCTCTCACAAGCTGTCAATTGCATGCGACAATCAGCAGACTGTTGATCTGCTAACAAAGGAAGGCGCCACTATGCATACAAAGCTTCGACATGTTGACATCAACAGGCTTTGGATGAAACAGGAAGTGAATGCTGGCCGCACTAACGTGTATTGGATTCCTACAGCAGAGATGCCGGCAGATGGCCTCACAAAGATACTGCCGAGGCAGAAGCAGCAGGCTTTTAGACATCTGCTTGGGATGAGAGAAATCAGATATCTGATTATACCCTAGGAAGGTGGAATTAACAGCTCTTGAAGCATTTGTGAATAGCTTCAAAAGCTGGGGGGTGTGTCAGAATACAGACCGAGTACATGGATTACCGAGTCCAATACCATGGAATCATGTGATTTTAGACTATGCAAATTGCGTACTAATTGTGTCCGACCAGACTGTCAAAAACGGACCATTGTTGTTTTTTAGTTAGTTAGAGAACTTTACCATCGTGAATTTACCAATACGTTCGCCATACACCTGATTTCCGTCAAGGTGTCCAGATACCCTGTTTCAAACCTCACAGGGGGTTTCAGTACCCCGTACGGTAAAATTAATTAGACCCATCAAGGATGGAATCACCTGTCACATAGAAATGAAAGCCCCTGAGACAAGGAGTACTGTATGGAGTACGGAGTCCAACGTAAGGCGTTGGCCTATTGGACGCGCTAGCCTTAACTAGCGTGTATGTATGTAATAGTTTCTGGATCGGCCCTTCTTCACACCTTGTGTCCTCTTGTCTCATACCAATTCTCTTCTGACTTTGACGCGTTGGATCTGAACCCTCCTGGGAACATGCAGTGGGATCTGCCTGTATCCGATTAGACGTCACAACAATCCCGTTTTGACCTGATTTCAGGAGCACCCCCTGTGCTCTGCATACGCGTTACCAGATTCCCCTCGATTGCAGACACGCCCTTGTTCGCCTGACGTACCCTCAGCGATAATGTCCGATAACAATCCCCATCACCCTGGGGTGCGCAGCTTGCTAGCCAAGTTTGAAGGCCAAAGCCCCGTCGCCTCTCCGCCGTCTCGTGGCCGATCCCCAACTGCTTCAGACTCGTCAGGGACAGTTCGACAGCTGTCCAAGGTCCGGGCTAGCTTTGTCACCGTGGATGGGGTCATTCAGTCGAATCCTGCTTCGCCATTGAGGAAAACAAGTGGGCGCAGCGATAGCCCTGGAATGTTTGGACCGAAGATCAATTCGGGAGATGCGGAGTCGGGCCGGCAGAGTATGATCTCCCCCCCCCCCGTCAGTCGCCTGGACCACACACAGAACGCGACTCTGGGACAGATAATGGCTGAGGGTCGACCGGAGGAAGCCTTTGAAACCAAGAATGGAAAGAGTCAAGCTGCCAAGGAGGAACCAGAGCGCGCTGAGACCGAAACGCGGTCGCGAAACACTCCGCCAAAACAGACAGAGGAGCCCACCGCCACGGATTCCAAGTCTACAAGCTCCGAGACTCTCCTCGCAAAAGTCAGATTCATCAGTAGTGATTAAGAAGAAGCCTTCTTCTGTTGAGTCTGCCCGCAATGCAGCGAGCAAGTCCGGGCCCAGTACTGCAGCTTCAACTGGTGCGAAGCCTGCTGCTCACAATACAAGCTCCAAGCCCACAGCTCGCGAAGTGGCTAAAGAGCGCGCCAACTCTTTGGCCCACAAACCGAGTCGTGTCTCACTGAATCCCAAGACAACAGCACGGCCAACCCGCGGCTCAGCACCGGCACAAGATACTTCAAAGCCACATTCCGCAGGTGCATCCAGCAGGCCAGGAGTGAAATCCCCACCAAAACCTGCCCGTGTACCCGGCTCGATGAATACGTCAAACCAAGCATCCGCTGCTAAACCAGGAAGCACAGGGGCTTCGAGCACGCGCACTACCACCAGTACATCCACCCTTACAAGAAAGCCTTCATCCCTCAAAACCGCAACTGGGGTTCAGTCGCGTGCCACTACTCCTAGTACCAGCATCCGCAGACAATCTTCTCGCCCTTCGTTGCCTGCTCAAGCAGCTAATGATACAACCACTAAACCGGTCAATGAAGGTTTCCTCGCGAGAATGATGCGGCCTACTGCTAGCTCTGCGAACAAGTCTCATCTGCAGGAAAAGACCGACGTAAAGCCTGTCACCAGGTCAACCTCTGTTTCCAAGGCCCCCAGGCAGTCAACTGGGAGGGTGCCAGACCGTAGCGTTCACCAGGTGAAGCCTAAGAGCACTGCCCTTCGACCTCAGAGTCAGAAATCCCAGGCTCTGAACAAAGAACCTGCGCCACAGAAAGATGGACTCAAGCCCTCCCAGAAGAAACAGGAAAGTGAAAAAGAGAACATTGTGAAGCCTATCACAGCCAGTGCGGAGGAACCTACGACAGTGGAACCCGCTCCAGTTGCGGCTGTGGAACAGCCCGAGACTGCTTCCAAGCCAGTAGAGACCGCTTCCCCTGCTCAGGTTGAGGAGCCTACGCCGGAAGTTGCTGTCGCGTCTCCTGAGTCAACCGAGAAGTCAATTGAAGTGCCTGAGCCGATCATGGAGGAGACAGTGACTGAGAGCTCCTCTGACCCCGTCCCAGTTGAGGACGCTACGGAGGTGTCGGCTGAGCCTATCAATTCAAACGAAGCCCAGGCTTCAACCAAGGCTGAGGTGGATGCTCCCGCTGAGACCCCTGTTGAGCCCATCGTCGAGAATGCCGAGGAGAAGGCTGCTGAGACCACCACCGTAACCGAAGAGATTGCCGCAGAGCCCGTGGCAATCCCAACGGCTGACGATCAGGTGAAGGTCGATGAGAAGCCAGAGGTCTCGGTGCCTGAACCAGAAGTGCTCGAGACTGCCGAATCAGAGACCAAGGCCGAGGTTCCCAAAAAAGATGATGCGCCGGTGAAGGAGGCTACTACCCCTGAAACTTTGGCAGAGGCCGCAGAGGAGAAACCCGCTGAGGACAAGTCTACTGATGAGCCTGCCCCTGACGCGCAGCCCGCAACTGAGGCTGAGTCGAGCAATGTCGCCATCGATATTGCTAGTCTGGCATTGAACTAGACGCTCGATATCAGAACTGCACCGCGTTTATCTGAAATGGATTTCGCTGGCCAATCTCCGCTTCTGGTAAATCTTGGAACAACATTTTAATCTTCTTTGGTCATACTCTTCACTGTCTTCTATCTCACCAAGCGTGAGCCTCTTTCCATTTATCAAGGCTTACCCTCAACCTTTTCACCATCCATTCTGCCGTGTCTCTTTCTTACCCAATGCTAGCACTTTCTACATCTATCAGTGTTTTGGGTTGTCTTATTCTTTGTTTATCTCTTGCATACTCTGTGCCAATTTCGTGAGCATATTATTCTTAGCGCTTAGGGGCATTATCCAATTTAGCATCTTGATTTATCAATATAGCGGGGCTCAAAGCTTTCATACTACTACCATTTCTCGGTTCGTATATAGTAAGCACTTCATTTTCTCATCAAATCAAGAAGCCAAAAGATCTTCTTATGCTGGTTTCCATAGCACTGCTCAGCAGCCGGCCTAGTAATAAGGTGATCATGACCAGCAGAGATCTCTGACAAGAAAGACACAGAATCTCAAACTCACACCAGAAAAAAAAGACGCTCAAAGTTTCCTCTCAAGCTTCTTCAGGAACCTATTCATACCACCTTCCAACCGCTCTGCTCTATCCTCCAATTTCCTCGGCCGCTGTCCAGGATTCTTCATGGCCTTCTGTGCATATTTCTGATAGTGAGAGCTAGCCTCCACTTCAGTGGGTCTATACAACTGGCTATGGATATCATATTCAGAGCCAGCACGCTGGTGCTGCTGCTGCTGCTGCGCCTGAGTCTGGTCATACGACTGGTTCGAGAACCCGCCTATCGGCACCGCCACCCCAGTCTGATACTGGGGCGGCGTCTGGGCTGGGCACCCCCATAGGCATGCTGGTCATATAGATGGGCATTCGGATCCTGCGGCGGCGGAGCGAAGGACATTGAACCTTGCCGGCTTGCGCTGTACTGTTGAGGTCCCTGCCCGCCGACGAACGGCTGCGAGTATGAAGGGACAGGAATTCCGGGGCTGTGGACTGAGGATCGGGCAATGGGGAAAGTGCTTGAATGTTGTAGTCCTGCACTCGGCGGAGGGGAGGCGAATGTTGGCGGTGCTGCGATTGGAGGGCCTGCGTATTGCAACCCCGGTGTTGATGGGGGCGGGGATGCAAGTCCGCCGACACTTGCGCCCCCCATCATTTGGTGCGGGGGCGTATAAGGTATGCCGTTGTCGGCTGCCACAGCGGCTGCAAGGCCGGTGCCGCCCATCCCGTCCTCTGGCGGCGGGGTCTTCTCGCGGTGTTGGATTGGCTCTGGGGCGGCTGGGGCGGCTGGATTGTATGGGAGCGGAGCGAAGCTAGCTGGGTCTTTCTTTCCTCGGCGGGTGTAGACCCAGCGCTTAATCGTTGATCAGCCGGAGGTCCGCTTGGTGGGGGCGGGGGGAAGCTGCTGGTTTGTGGCGGGGCCTGTGGCACTGGTGCCGCTGCGCTTGTTGGCTCAGATTGCGAGTTGCGTGTTTGACCGTTCTGGTAGGCAGGGTCGGAGACTGCGACGGCCTCGAGTTGCTGGACTACAGAGCTCATAGTTTGTTGTTGTTGCGGAGCTGGCTCTCGATCTGTCTCCACCTGGCCATTGGATAGAAGCCGGATGACAGTGTCCAGAAATTCGGTTGCATCTTCTTGGGTCCAGAAGTAGATATCCAAGGTATGCAGGCGAGGGAAATCGCGAATTTCCTTGGGATTATCGCGTGGGTCTCCGCTAGGCAGACGCCACTCTCGTTGAAGAGTATCTTGTCCATATTGCTGTTGGGGCGAGCCCGTCTGTGCATCAACCGTTAACGTACAGAGTGTCGGGAACTGAGCAGAGTGTCGTATATGAACATTGCTCAAGCCTCCACAGAATGCATCCTGCTCGGGTGAACCGGGGTTATTGGCAATTTCCATCCGGGCCTTGTTCTGAAAGGCATCATGGTAAATATAAACATAGGAGCCTTTATCAAAGCGGTGGTGATGTGGTGAAGGTCTTCGGGTTGGCTCCGCGAAGTAGTAGTGGATATCCGCAAAACTATCCCGGCTATTAGACACAATTCAAGGACTGCTTCTTATCGACCTGCGGGGAAGTCAGCTCAACTCACACAGTCACAAGGCGCTCTTCGCCCGCCGATGGTGGCATGTCTGACAATTCAAAGTACGGAATGCAAGTATACAACGATAGCAGCTAGTAGAGGGGAAAGGAAAAGAGGAACTTACGTTTATTATTTATATCTTGGACTGAGGGGTATTCAACCTGTGAAACGCCAGCATCAACCGCCATGCAAGCTGGGCGCTTAGAAGATGCATGGATGTGATGTGATAGGACGGTACTAGTACCTGCTCATCACACACCTCCGCTACGGGCGAGAAAGTACCGGGTACCTGGGCAAGGCCGCGACCCGGAAGTACAGTTTATCCGAAAATTTCCATCCCAAATCATCGCATCTTCAAGTCGCTACAACACCTCCTGCCGTGTCTTTGCTTCCCCAGACAATTGCAGTCCATTGTGGTCCTTCTCGGTCTTCGCGTTTGTGCATCCGAGTTCCCTGCCCTTCTTCCTCTTCCAAAATTGATCAATTCCACCACTCTCTTTCCTCTCCGAACGGCCTCCGGTAGAGCTTAATTGCTGCCGTTGCGAAATCAAAATGTCTCTCGTCAACCTTTCCGCCGTCTGCGCCCACCTGAACAATGCCACCAAGGCCCGTCTCGCTCTCACCTCTATCCCTAACAGCAACCTCCACCTGAAGCTCTCTCTCGCCCTCCAAAACTCCGGCTACATCTCCTCCGTGGCCCGCGGAGGCCCGACTCTCCTCCGGCTCATAGCATTCTCGGTTACCCTGCAGTCAACGATGAGGTCGAAGGAATTGAGCCGATAACCCGCGATAATGTCGCATCAAGGCGGCTGTGGCTGGGCCTGAAGTACTGGCAGAACGAGTCCGTCCTGGGCAAGATCAAGATGGTCAGCAAGCCCACCCGACGGGTCAACATTGATGTGGAGGGACTGCGCCGAGTTGTGCGTGGTGAGGAATCCGGGTTTGTGGCCGGAATTCGCTCGCCGGGTGAGAGTCTGTACCTCTCTACAGACCGCGGGATTCTAGAGGCTCGCGAGTGTGTTGAGAAAAAGCTTGGTGGGCTGGTCTTGTGCCGCGTGCTATAAGTCTGCCCATTGTTCTTGTGGCTTATTTCTGATTTGGGGGAGCTGCCCACCGGGGAAATTGTCTTCTGTTCTTGCATTTACTTTGGAGTTTGTTGGTTAGTCGCAGCGCTTTCTCTTTTCGAGATTAGTATTTTTGTGACTGTTGGGATAATACCTAGGTCAAGGATCTGTATATTAGATGTCTGCGTATCTCGCATTCTGTGCTCTGCTGGTGATTTTGCAGCTGTCCTCAAATGTGACACAGTGTATAGATTATGACTTGAAACATGTCCGTACTCATGGATGTGCTTACTATGATATAGTAGTAGCCTCCATGGCTGGAACCCTTGTCAGGCTTGTTTTATAGTGTACTCATCCAGTTTTCCAAGGGCTAAGGGTATGAAGGTAAATAGTATTGCGAATGGCCATGGCGAGTACATATGTACTAGCCTTATTCTTGCTGTGCCCTTGACGGTGTAATTTGATTCAAGCTAAGAAACATACCTAGGTAGAAAAACATTGTGCACGTTAATCAGACATCCTCACGAAGTCATGATCCACCCTTCTAGCAACTCCTGGTCTTTCTGTTTGATCTTGTTGGAGAATCCCCCACAGATGGGAAGGTTTTTAAATCAGACTGAGCCTACGAAGCTGTATAGGCGCCATGGGTCAAAACCCCGTTCCCCGCAACTATTGATGCCTTAATGCCTGATTTTGGCCTGGTTCTTGACCGTGTTTTACACCGCTCCATACCATGTATTGTATGCTTGTAAGAAGAGGCTTTTCATCCCATAAAAATGCATACATCTCCAATTTTTGAGGTGGTTTATGCCTCCATGTACGAGAATGAAGGCTTTTTCTCCCATACAAATGCATATATCTCCGAGTTTTAAGGTGGCTTGTGCATTTGTATAGGAGGACAAGGCTTCATTTTCATACATAGAGAGATAGCCGACAGAACAACCTTCCACCTGGGCAAGGAACCAAGGTTCCAAGGTTGGAATATAATACCATGCTTATTAAGACAACTGTAATAGTAATTCACGTATCTTTATTTTTCTGCCAGTTTTAATTCAGGCCCCAGGCCATATTCAGGCATTCAGGCATCAGAAATTGCCGGAAATGGGGTTTTGACCCATGGCGCCTATACAGCTTCGTACTGAGCCCCTTTTGATTACTTGCTTGTTAGCTCAGGCTTCTATAAAAGGCCTTTCACTTAGTAAATTCAATGCATCAGTTTCTTCTTCCTGATTTTCCCAGTGCTTAGTAGCAGTCCTGGTTTCCTAGCCTCAACAGGTCATAAGGCCCTCGTTTCCCTACTATTTCATCAAAATCTATTGATTCAGCATCAAGTATCTACTGCTTTATCAAGACCTACCAAAATCTAGTCTTTTTTATTGAGAATAGCACTATAAAGTGATATACCTTGCTTCAAATCTGAGTATCTCCCTATGACGGAGTACTCTCTCGTTCATCAATTGGGAATAGTACGTTGCTATATCCTATCATTTATTTTGAGAATAGCATCTCACCTTGAGCGCTATACCTCTTATTAATTTATCACTTTGATATCATTTTTGAATAGTATCTCACAGAGAACTACTCACTTTATTAGCATAATATAAAATTTTCGGCCCAGGGTTATCTTTTAACGATAAAAATCCAGATTGTTGAAATATCATGTCTATGTATCTTTTGTATGAGCGCACCATACAAAAGATGCCTAAATTTCAGAAATCCTGGAGTTTGGAAACTCCCGGGAGGTGAAACAGTCTCATCCCGAGAACGCGGGCTGGGAAGACGACTATAGAAGAAATAGATAGATTTGATGGATGGTAGAACTACCCGTAGACGGTAAGTTGAAATCCAATAAAATAACAAAGGCATGACAGATATTGAGAGCTATCTCTTATTTGATCTTCACTTTAAAATTTCAATCATTTTATTCTGCACTTATACAAGAAATCAATGGGGGGCAACTTTTCCAACACAGCTTCTCCCAATAGTCTCAACAGATCTGTCTTTTGAGATATCCTTCTCTTCAACTTCCTTCTTCTCACATCACCTCATTTACTCCAGCCCCGGAGACCATCTTGTCCTCTGAAGATCTTGCCAGTGATCGTAGGGCGTAGGACTGCGCCATGGCTACACATCAACGCGCTAAACGAGCGCGATCCAATACTACTGGCGATGCCCACATCAATGAGACAGCACCGCCACCAGAAGAGATTTCCCGCCGCATCAAGCACCTCAATCCAGACACTGTCGACAATATTCTCACGCAAGCAGCGCAAATCCATCCCGACGTTATGAGCATGGTGGACGATGCCATTCGCGTCATCCGGGAGAAAGAGCAAAATCGCGTTCCCAGCTTCGACCATTATTCGAGTTCAGTCTGGAAATCGATTAATGTCACTTATCGCTCCATGCGCGGTGGAGCACAGTACGATATCTCGTTCGAGGTGGCCCAGGAGGTCGTTGATACCATCAAATTGATCACGGAACAGTGTGGACCACTCACGAACCCTCGAACACGCTTCAATGGGCTCTCTGTTCTACGCAAAATTGGCAAGACAATTGCTCTTTCTTCCAACGATACAGTGGGCCATGAAGTACAAAGCTATTTCCAATGGGATACCTGTCTTGTGACAGGGATGTTGGAAATCCTCGATTCTATGACTGCGGATGAAGTCCGAGCGATCAGAGAGGACGAGTCGAGTCCAGAGGCATTGTGGCCAAAGTTACAGGAATTGGAAGAGCTGTCCCATGATTATTGTATTCATCCTGGACTAGCAGACGTGTTGAAACGGGTGGACCCCGATGGCTATGAGGATGAAGAATGGGACGAAGAGGAATATGAAGCGGAATATGAAGAGGGCGATGAAGAGGGATACGAGGTCGAGGAGAACGAGGTCGAGGAGACCGACGAAGCACAGCCATGAGCGTCGTCTTTGGGATTGAACTAGTTAGACCGTTGGGCAAGAACAAGAACCAACTTCAAATCTGAATGAATTAAGCAAGGACTGGTTATTTCAGTCCCTCTCTTTATTATGTCCAATATTATTTACGGTGTTCTCAGATGCAGTACTGTTTTATGTCCTATGTAGCTGTGATGTCGCACAGTTTTGTTTACCCGTACTTTCCTCCACAACACCTTTTCGTTTACACTCAACCACCTGGGCAATTCCCACAATGACCGACTCAGCAAAGAAGATCCTTGTATCTGGTGGCACGGGCTTTGTGGGCTCGGCCATTGTACGTGCTCTTGCAGAAAAACACCCAAACTTTGTCATTGCCGTCATCGACCAAAGTCCCCCACGCCCCGAGCATGTCCTGCCAGAGAGAACTACGTATATGCAGGCGGATATCACTTCAACTAAAACATTGGCCAAAGCATTTGAGGCCGTGAAGCCAGATATCGTTGTCCACGCTGCTGGAATCGTCCCAGATCTCGCCGAACGGTGGGGTCGCCGACTGGAACAGGAGGTATGGAAGATCAACTTTGAAGGCACACAGAATATGCTGGATGTCTCCAAGCACAGTGGGGTTGAAGCCTTCATATACACGAGCACTTGCTGTGTAGTGATCGACGATACGCGTACCGATCATCTTAACATCAATGAAGACCGGCCCTTGGCATTCAGGTCAACCATTTATGGAGAGTCCAAGGTTTGAACTACTAATCCCAATTAACAGGGTACTCCACTTGACAGCAAAAAATTTACTAACACACTTCCATGGTATGTAGGCTGCTGCAGAAGCACTCGTTCTAAAGACCTCGAGCAGCAAGATGCTGACATGTGCCCTCCGGCCATCGGTGCTCTGCGGGCCAGGAGACTACCAGCTAGTACCGTCTATTCATGCATGCATCGCCAAAGGTGAAACCCCGTTTTTGATCGGAAATGGCCTCAACCTCTGGGATGTCACCTACGTCGACAATGTCGCCGATGCTCACGTCCTGGCCATAGAGAATCTGTTGACGTCTCGCACCGCTGCAGGAGAGGCCTTTTTCATTCAGAATAACGAACCTATCGTCTTCCGTGATTTCTGCCTGGCGATTTGGGCGCATTTTGGGCACGTCCCACCTTTCGAATTGCATATCCCAAAGAGTCTGGCTTACTTCGCCGGGCTGGCGTGTGAGACTGTCACCTGGTTGATGGGAACAACAACAACTTTGAGCCGTGGAAGTGTACGGGATGCATGTGCCACCCGATATGCCAGTGGCAAAAAGGCTAGTGAGATTCTGGGGTACGAGGCGCGCATTGGTATCGAAGAAGCCATCCGTTTGAGTTGCGAGGTAAGCAGATATCACAAGCCCAACTTCTTCTATCGCCGTACTCACCGGGGCTAAATCCAGGGTTATGCTTCTCATCTCGGAGCCAAATTACCAATGCTCAATAGTGGAAACCGGCAAAAACAGTAACATGTCACGTTGCTGGAGAACCACATAGAATCTCCAGCTCCCCGGCACATGCTGATACCCTGGAAATACGGTCATGATTTTCTGGGTCTGAGAAGTGCTCCTTATCCCGAATTATTTCACCATACCTTCCATGGCCTTTTCCCCGTACAGTGTTATTGATAGTAGCAACCTCGACCTTGGAAAGCATCGACATTGGGCTTCTTGTTGGGCTGCAAGGTAGATTGTATGCCATCGGAACAGTTGAGCTCTCCACATTTGAAAACTTTATGATATCGGGTTGCCTCTTTGTTTCACCCAGATCTCCAGAAGAGTATCCAGAAGAGAGACATGGCCCATGCGGCTTATTCCATTGGGCCCCAAAATAGCCCGAGTGCCCAACGCGGCTTAAGTGCACGCGTCACGGGATTTACATGTTACATCTACCTCCGCTCATCTTTGCATTTCTTCTAGGACCTTCGAGGGCGCAGATCACATCTTCTATCTGCTCATTTGGGTATCCATAGCTCAACGATTTCCAAGTCCAGAACCCCGGTCCTTGCGTTTCCTACCCAACCCCAGCCTTGCTGCCCGAGGCATTTCCCCAATACAATTATCGAACCAGAATGAAGGTTGTACGGCACTCAGTATGCTCGTGCTCCTCCCTTAATTCATGAAAACCGGGGCTTTGGATGCAATATTTGCCATCCGGAGTCATGCCATGCGCCCACGGAGGCTTCGCACGGCGCCTCGACTGCCAACAGGCTTTACACACCGTTTCTATTCTTGATCAATCGAGATCTTCCAACTTACATAGCACGGACGGGTAATATCCTGTTACACCATTGGTTTTCTTGAAACAAACAATGCCCAGGCAATACAGGCCTCGTCTCCATAGATTTCATCTCCACTAACGCCACTGGCCTAAAGGCCTCTAGCGCGGCTCTCAATCCAGTTACACTGCCGTTGCATAAACATGGGTGGGCTCCGATCCCCTTTGTCAGGCACAATCGATTCATTTAACCCGGGTAGAGTGATTTTCTCAAAAGGACTGAAATACCTGCCCTTTGCTCAGCTTCCGTGAATTCATTCGCTCGAGAATTTTCCCAATAGATTTTTTCTTTCCATTTCTGCTCTTCTAAAACTTGTTGTCGGTTATTATAATAGGCTGTGGCAACATTCCGGCCTTACTTTCTTCATGCTTCCTGTCCTTCCTCATCCATTGGCGGTTGGACCAGTCTATCCGTTCTCTTTGCCAGCAAGTCTCGGTTCTTGTGCAGGTTCTATCAACCCTAAATTTGATCCTCGGTCTCGCCATAGGTCAGCAGAATCAGCATCGCCATTCCCTCCTCTATTTCCGTGCCAAAACTCTGGGAACCCAAAACTCATACCAGGTAGCAGCACCAGCACCATGGCTCAGCACCATATGTACGGAACCCCGGCGACCTCTCCGCTGGTATATCAACAAAGGTATTGTTTTGCCGTGGTTCACTTCATTGCAAACTCCTCCCAGGCTATCATCGACATCGCTTTCGTTCCTTTTGCTAAGCGGTAAAAGGTCACCATCTACTCCCCACGGATATGGCTACAGAGACGACCGTCAAGTGCCTTTCGGTCCGATGGATTCTAACCATCAGGCTCATTACCACGGAGTTCCAGTCCCTCTGGATAGCCACAGCCACATGATGAACCCACCCACGGGACGTTTATCCTACCCTCCAGCCGGACAGACCCACGCACAACCCAGGACTCATGAATGGAGCCAGCCGAACCACATGCCTCGAGAATCCCTGAGGAGGGACCTTGGAATAATGAACCCCCCGGAAAGCCCGGAGTACGTCATGGAAAGAAACAGCCAGCGAGCTGCGGAGAGATCCAGAGGAAGCCCACACTATCATTCCCAGAGACGGACATCCAACCGGGATGAATTTGATGGCCCACATCAGTTCCTGGAGCCACCTTCTCCACAGGCTGTCGCAGCCCAGGATAAAGAGCTTCCCCAGCTCCCCACTAACCTCGATGCCGGCGAGCAAGACAGCATCCTACACAAGGTCAACGACCGCCTGTCCCAGTGTGCCTATGACTTCATCGCAAAGTACCAGTTCCGCGTTCCTATCGAGCAGGACAAGAGACCCGTCAAGGTCCCCTCGGACCGCGAGTGGACGGAATGGGTACACCTCTTGAAGCGGCTGGCGACTACCCGTCGCATCCCAGCTCACCTCTTGTACAACCGCCAAATCAAGCAGCTCATCACTGTCCTGGAGAACTCCCTGGAGATGCGCCATGCTGCCAAGCACCAGTCTAGGCCTGTCAAGGATGACCGCAACGTGTTGCAGCTCATTTCGGCGGGAACGCAGGTCGCGAAGATCCTTAGGGATTCGAGCGCTATGCAGTTTCTTGATTGTCTTTATGCTGACACCGAGAAATTGATTCTGGAGCGACGGGGTCGTCGTGTTAGATTCGCAAACCCTTGAATCCTCCGGGTGGAAATTGGCCGTCTTTAAAATGCCGCTTGGATGCCACTGTTCTGTTTCTGTCTTCCCGTGGAAGCCCTTTGGATTGTCCTGTTCTTCTTTGCTTTTCTCTTCTTTTTTTACAAGTTCCTTCGGAGTACCCCGTTGTCAAGTTTGAGCCCCCTTGAAGGAAAGGTATCCTGGAGCTCCGGTGATTTCCAATTCAGGACAAAAGCCCAGGCTACCCAGCCCAGATGAAGGACCCCTTCGGGCTGGCAGGAAAATAATCGTCAAGTTCTCGCCGCATGTCACAATGTGTACATTTCCCCAGGTCTATATGTCAGGCAGCGATGTGAAAGGAATCAGTAATAGGGCTGGAATTGTTGGTTTTCTCGGTTTGCTTTCTATTTTTATTCTGGCGTTTGGGTCGGTTGTCCTGATATGTTTATGCTTGATACGTTTTCCGCTGTGCCACACGACCATGTCATGATTTCGGTTTGTTTATGGATTATGTTCTGCTTTTATGTTGTATTCAGTACGAGATTATGTCTGTGATTTATATTATGTCTCTAATGTGATTCGCTTGGGTGGTCCATTTCCGTTTTTTTCGTTTACTGATATTCCATACATTCCAGGTTTTGAGATTCATTGTTCCGCATGTCCACAGGCATAGTCTGGCGGCTCTACTGGACTCTGCAATTTGTTCACATCAATTCATTCGCACCTTTTAAAGGAAAGGATCCAAAAAAAAAACAAAGACAAAAAAATAGTTTCCCTGGGAATCGAACCCAGAACCTTTCCGGAACATCTGCTAATCGCATTTGTTAACGGAAAATCATAACCGCTAGACCAGGAAACTGTTCGATGGAAGAAAGAGCCATCTTTGGTTTTATTAACGAGAATTATTAATATACAACTAAGTATACAACCCATGTCGAGGCGAATTGATATTTACCCCAAAATAATAACTAAATGGGCACTTGATAATGCAATATAGTATTAGTAATTAAGAAGTGGATCCCATATCGTAGAGTTTGAGGTATCTATTCCAATATTCCAATATTGCCATTCAATCCCATCTATATATTTAGGGCACACTGACATGGGCATGGGTCCTATTACACTTGAAGCAATCATAACAGAATGTATCTAGTCCTTCCCATCAGAATTGACAACCACCTGCTGTGCCTCCAAGCTACTGCTGTCAGTTTGCTCCTCCACCTCGAGCGCATCAGAAACATTCCAGTTGCCAAACACCGCGAGAAGCGTAAACGGGATCGTAAAGCCCCATAGCGCAAAACCAAGTGCCATCTGGTTCAGATTGGGCCAGTGAGTTGCCCCGACCGCATAGGCAATCGTGCTGCCGATAGACTCCCACGACCTCAGGATGCCGGTTGTTCTCGCAATATCGCCATCCCCCTGCGCCCCCTTGATCTCGGCCATCAACCAATAGATGTACGTCTGCAACACTTCATAGAAGAACCGGAAGAATATATAGACCGTGAAGGCCGAGTTGAAAAAGGGACCATCGCCCAAGTCGAAGGCTGGTGGCTCAGCCATGCGGGAGAGTTTCGTCTCGACAATGGCGTTCCATGTCCAAGAGCCTGTGACGAAGACAAGGACGAATATGTACACAACTTTGGACCTGGTTTCTCGAGATAGGAACTTCAGATCTAGAAATATGCCTGTCACCATATTGGCGGAGGCGCCGACAACAGCGGTTAGGAATGATGCAAGGGCTCTGGAGCGGACGGTGAAATAAGCTAAGGTTTCCGTTAGCGACGCCATTTATCATCGAGAAAGGAGGATTGGAGATGCCATACTTGTCAAATAGTTCCCTTGATAAGTTGTACCAAACTGTCCTGCAAGGAAAACCGGGATGAGCAGCAGCATGTACTTATTTGAAAGTTGCTTCCAGATAGCGCGAGCTTCAATAGCGAAGCTCGTTTTCTTCATGTAAGGGATCTTGGTGCCATTACTTCTGATGACATCCTGTGGCTGTGACAACAGCAACGCAAACGGAGCTCCGAGAGATGAGATGGCAACAAGCCCTAGGTATGTTGTGTAGGTGACCTTGCCAACATGTGCCGTGTTGACATTGAGTGCTAAGGATATCGCACCACCAACAAGCGGTCCCATCTGTCTGATACTCATCCAGATTGCAACATAGCTAAACATAATGGTCAGTCAGATTATATCAAGTAGATGGTCTGGAGCTTCAACTTACCGTCCTCTTTTCTCCTCCTCCGGATATCCAACTGCAATGGCAGCCTCACTGGCCCATAGAAGAGACGCACCGATTCCACAGAGAGCAGCTCCGAGCAAGAGAAACCACTCGTTGCCGTAACGATTGTTGCAGTATAGACCAGCCGCATAGGGAGTGTAGAAGGCTGCACCGATGAATAGGGTCCATTTCGCAGTGATCTTGTTTGTGACGCCACCGGCAAGGAAGCAGCCTACCGACATGAGTCCGTACGTCAAGGCGTTGGCGGCATTGTTTAGGTAAGGCTGTACAACATGTTAGTAGCAGTCACGCAGAATCCCAACACCCAGATGACTTACTTTGGCATTGCCTCCAGCTCCAAGATTATTGAGAGCAGTCCAGATCCCGGGTTCACAGAAGGCGACTAGTCCTACAATGATAATCTGCAGTAGACATGACCGGTAGAACCGGGCCACACGATCGAAAACCATGGTGAATGTGGGAGGTTGCTATACGGATTATAGCACCAGAGAGAGCTTGAGCTACTATTAGTACTGCATGGCGATGGGAGCCAAGGTGACATAATTATATGAACCTAAAGAACACAGCACGTCAGGACCCATTATAATCGCGATATCTTGGTTTTTCTCTTGTCGGTAGAGCCCCACGGCAGCTGAGGGGATAACTGGTGCTAGCTTGTATACTGGAGACAGTTGAAGAACTCTGAGGTATAGTCAAATCGATAAGGGGAACAATCGAAGGTAATCTCCAATATCTCGGGGATAAGAATGGTGCGAAGTGAGCCATTGCTCCTCGAAAGCACGTAATACGAGGGGACGTGCCTCTAGGGCTCGGCCACACCGGACTCATTTGCGAAGTATTTCCCGTTACAATAATGGTATCTTGGGGAAATAAGGTCTGGAAACTCCATCATAAGATTGGTTAGTAGATGTTACGTATAGGATGGGCTAATATGAATGTCTAGACCAGTACAGAGTAGAGCCGATTCTAAATTACATGTAGACAATCAGACGCTTATTTCTTTCCAAGGTTGGTAGTTAACCGAATTGCCATTGCACTAACAAATCTGCATCAACTTCAACGTGCCGATAAATTACAATAATGTACAACTAGGTGAATCCAACCTTTTCAGAATCAGAAGCTAGCCATCTCAATCCAACTGGCCACAAATGCCAGTCGACGTCCCCGGTCAGCAGCCATACGGCGTGAGAATTCCTCAAAGTTGAGTCTCGCACCGTTGCCACGTTCCTTGTTTTCACGTTCTACCTGGTCTAAATAGACCCACCGGGCTAGAGTCCGGGGCGAAGGTCGGCGTGGCGCAGGGGCTTCACGAGGTTGGTCATTGACCCGGTGAGGGGGTGGGAGTGGTTGCATAGGAGAAGGAGGAAGCTTGGGGGCCGTGGACTCGGCTTCTGGGGGAGGAGTGGGGAGAAGAGGGGGCGGGAAGAGAGGTGATCCCGGGTTGGAGTCGGAACTGATCAGGGAGACCAGGGGTTGTGTTCGTAGTTGGTGATTCTTCGAGGTCGGAGTCTGATTCATCAATCACTTCCGGGGCCACCACGAAAGGCTCGTCGGGACGATGGTGGGGGAGGGTTGGGTCGTAGTAAAGTGTATCGTCTTCAACAATCAGGCTGGATGGCCCCGCACCAGATGCGTGGGAGACATCGTCATAATCGGACGAAGTGGCGGACGCTGTGTCGGATTCCTCGAAAGGCCGTTCTTGACCAAATCCAGTATCTTCTCCGGGATCGGCGAGATGAGTTGGTCGCACATCTTCATCGTTATCTTCATATTCATCTTCATCACCGTCATCTGAGGCGGTGGCCTCTGGCGAGGAAGGAGCTAGCACCGGTCCGGTATTGGCAGGCGCCAGGACTGGACTCTGAATTCCGTAACCAGCGCGCTGTAACAGATCATCAAGTGGCTGCTCGTTGATAATTTCCTCGAGTTCCTCCTCAGCTGGAGGATTCTCAGCTGGTGTGCGTTTTGATGGGTCCTCTTTTGCCGCGAGTTCAATCTCGCGGGCCCAGACCTTGCGATCAGCCCGGGTGCGATAGACCTCCATCATGAGGTCCTCTTTTGGCTTGAACAGAATATCTAGAAGCTCATTGAATCCCTGTTGTGTGACTTGATACAAGATTTCTTTCCCGACGTCCCTTTCGACCTCTGGAATTTCAAAGCCGCCCCATCTCTCACCAACAGGAATACTCCGTGACGAGGTTGATGGGTTAGACCGAATGTCGTACTCGTCGTCATTGAGATCATCTTGGAATCGCACCTTGGACGAGGATCGTGAACGGAAAGAGGGCGGGCGCGATTCGGATTCATCTAGGTCTTCATCGCTGGAGTCATCGATGGTAGGGTCCCTTTCGTAACCCGGAGGAACAGTAGCGCCATCTTCTTCGTCCGTGTAGAAAGCCCGGCGCCTCCAGCGCTCGTCGATTCCACGCTGACGAGCGTCAAACACACGTCTCTGATCATCTTCGCGCATTCTGTGATAAACGGCATCCGCGACGCGAGCCCGATCAATTGGATCTGTGATTTCACGAGCAGGAATATAGGACCCGAGAGCCTCGATGATATCTTCTTCGAGGATGTGTTCAGCTGGGGGCCAGGCGCCACTGGCTACCGATGAGCTGGATTGGTCTGACCCACTCTCGCTAGCACCATCTTCATCCTCTTCGTCGTCATTTTGCTCACGCTCCATGGCAGCACGCTCTATGGGATCCAAGTTCTCGGAGGGCGCCAGGCGCAGTGTAGATGGGAACAATGGCCTCATTCGACTAAACTGTGCTCTGACAGCAGCATCGCCCACGACAGAATGTCGATCGCCAGTATCGTCTCCGTCCTGTCGCAAGATTCCTTCGTTGTCGATGATTTCCATGTCCCCTCAGAATTCATGCGTTTGCCTTCGCCTGTACGTGAACGTTCACCTGAAGGGATACTGCCAGGGAACGCAGAGCTGATAGGCTGGCTACCGAGAACCACATCACGGGATCCACCCTCCAAGAAGTCGTCCTCCATGCCAGCAACCATGTCCCTTGTCAGCTCGCGACTCAGAGCATAGTATGCCCTGAAAACCCGAAGGAAGTCCTTGCGTTCGACGTAGCCATCTCCATCGATGTCGTAGCCACGGAAAACACGTCGTAGCCGTTCGTCATTGCTATTATTGTTGAGACTGGCCAAGCCCTTCAGGAATTCTTCAAACCCAATAAGATTGTCGCCATTGGTGTCATAAAATGCGAACATTCGGTCGTAAATGAGGCTGGGAGGTGGCGGCCGGATAGAAGTATTAGGTACGAAGCATCGGTCGAACGTTTTACGATCGATAGCCATATGCAACTTGTTCGGGTCGTTCGCCCACTCATAATTGGCCAAGCAGCGGAACTGATCCCAGAGTGCATCAAGCTCTGTGTTTTCGAAATTGCATTCTTTCATAAGACGCTTGGCAAGAGGGCGTGGAAGGCTGCGCGGGAGCATTGAAGGCTTCCCAGGATACCATACAGGCTGGGATTGACGAGGGCTCCCTAAAAATGGGGCTGGAATCCGCACTTTGTAGAACAAGTGTGTCTTGATGTGGACCTGCATTGCCTCGCATGTCTCACACAGATCATAGTCGATGCAATTCGCACATCGGTATCTAATACCCTGAATCGGCATGGCACCGCAGCTGTTGCAAGTAACTCCACGATGGATATAGCCGTCCCTTCGCGCCTGATCCTCAGCAATGTGATAAAGTAGGTTGAGCAGGTTTTGACCTTCCCTATTAGAAGGATCGTTGTTTCCATCACGCCATGAGAAGACACTTTGGTCGTCCACCACCGTCTCACCACCATCAAGATTTTGTGGAGCCGCAGACACGTCTGGAAATGTAGAGGTTGAGAGAGTGACACGTTCACCATTCTGCCGTCGCCGACGCAGCTCCTCTCCATAATTCGCATCTCCGTTGAACCTGAGCAGAGCCCTTTCGATACCAGCTCGGGAGATGCCTCGGCGTTGAAGTTGTTCTGTCAAGTAGCTTCTTTCAGCGGTATCCTCTGGGAGAGTGTGGGCAGATGGGAAATCGAGTGCAAGGAAGGATTCAAGAAAGGTGTCCTCCATCATCTCGCGCATGCGCTCCGCATGAGCAGGCGGGACACCAACTTCTTCCATCAACTGGTCTCGTGTTGCGAGGAGTGATGGAAGAAGACCGCTCTCCACGCGACGCCCATCCTCTGTCTCAATGCGAAATGTCCCATATACACCATTCTGACGCTCTAGTTGCTCAAGGTGGGTAATGGCTCGATAGGACGGAGTATCAGCGACCCCGAGTGCTTCAGCTTCGGTTGGTCTCGCCCGGCGCACAGCATTTCGTCGTCGGAGCGAAGTTGATGATGATGGCTGCGAAACGATATTATTGTGAACATAGAGAATCGCATAAGCGGCAGCGACACCAGTAAAGAGGTAGAGGATCGGTCGATATCGTGCTAATGAGACTGGCCCTGAGCGCGAATCGGCCATGACGGAGGTTTGGCGGAAGTTGAGCTAGCGGAAGCTGCACAAAAAAACGTCAGGAATACAAGGTGTAGCGCATTCTGATCACGGCTGGATAAGCAGATCAAGTTAGACCCATAAAGTGTCAATCAAGATGCCCAACAATCATGGATAGGACAATCAACTTGTAGATTGAATTTCCAATGTTGAACGTCAACGGGGTGACACCCGCCGGGGCCCAAATGCTGGCTTAGTAAGCTATGCTGGAGCTCTGCCGGGCCTGCTTGGCAGAGCTCTACCTAATTAGGTAACTACATCAGAACCTTCCAAGGTTGAAATATCTACGATGTATGTAAAGCAATGTTATCCGCAGATGGCATGTTATACTTACCTCTTTAGTTGATCCATGTCTTCCAAGGCTGAAAACCTATGTATTTATTTCAAATCTACTCAAGAAAGGAACAAACTTCTTTTATATCCCGTATATACTGGTAGCTTCTATGGTTCATATATACGATGAACATGGACAGCCAACCTTACTAGATATGCCATACACCATAGTAATTCCCGTACAAGTTTGTCGCTTTTCAGCGCAAATCTGTATCTTTTGAAGTATAGAGCTTCACCTGTGGATTAGCGGTTCAGTTTGCTTTCACGGATGAAACAGCTGCTCAGCAAAGCAAAGAACACCACACAAACCAAAAAGGCAAATCCCTTGTTGGTGGACCAGCCATAAGAGTCCCGGACAATCCTGGCAGTTGCTGGGTCGAGTGTTTTGATAAAATCAAGACTTTCTCGGACCCCTTCGACGATCTGATCGATATTCTTACTGTCACGTAGACCTGATTTCAGTCGATTCCGTAAGACTTGCTGAACAACAGTTGATGATAAAGAGAGACCAATCACAGATCCCAATGAGCGGAACAGATATGAGCAAGCAGTGACAACCGCCTGATCTTCATAAGTAGCGTTCGATACTGGTAGAGTGATTAGCATACATTAGAAGTTTATAGAGCAAGATCAGATGGAAACTTACTCAAACCGATCAAGGTTGTAGTGACACCAATGCCATTGCCGAATGCTGAAATAACCATTCCGCAGATCATCGGCACTGTGCTAGCCGTCACACCACCGGAGAACATGTATATGCAGAATACACCGGTTGTCAGGAAAGTATACGCAGCAACTGTCAGCCAGTAATACTTGCCATTCCATTTCATCAACAAGCCCGCGACCACGGATCCAAAGACACCAGATAGAATGCTTGGCAATAAGCGCAGTCCTGCAGTCGTAGCAGAGACACCATCAACCGCTTGGAAGTATAAAGGGATGTAGAACAGGGCGGCAATCCATCCCCCAAAGCTGAAGAAGTTGCAGCCGTAGCATGCAAAGAATGTTCGGTTGAAGATGATGTGACCAGGCGCAAAAGGTTCGGCTGCCAGGTAGATCTCAACGAGGATAAAGATCACGAACAAGCCAGCGGAGACACCTAGCGAGGCAATTGTCAGGGGTAATTTCCACGACACATTACTACCACGATCAAGACCAAATAGGAAACCAAGAACGGCACCAACAAGGACGACAGCGCCAAGGAAATCGATGCGACGCAGCTTGGTCTTCCAATGGGCGCTCTCCCGAGGGGGAAGCTTGAGCAGGTACGATACAGCAATGAATGCGATAATACAGAGAGGGAATTGCGCTAAAAATGCCCTAGAGAAAAACGTCAGATGGCGTAAGGAGATGTGGGTCTTGCATCATTCATACCAGCGCCAGCCAATGTAGTCGGCGAGAATTCCACCCAAGGGTGCCCCGGTACCGGCACCTGTGGCATAGATGATATTAATGATCCCCTGCCACAGGCCTCGATCACGAAGAGGAACAATATCACTCATCAAGATGCTGACAACAGTGGTCATACCACCACCACCAATGCCTTGGAAAACCTGTTCGAAAATAGTCAGCATTACATGATCTAGGCCTGAGGCTATATGCGAACATACACGAGCAGCAATCAACTGATTAATATTACGGGCCAGGCCGCAGCCCAAGCATCCAATGCCAAAAACCGCATATCCAAAAAGTAGACATGGCTTGCGACCAAAGATATCGCTCAGCTTGCCATATAGAGGCTGAAAAGATGTTAAAGTGAGAAAGTAAGAAGTAGCAATCCAGCTAGTCAGATTGAGAGCTTTGAGATCGCTACCAATCTGGCCATAACTGGCCATTATAATTGTCTGGTCTGCCGCTGACAAGAAGATCTATACATCCCGTTAGTTACAACTTTGATTTCAGAAAGCAATGAATCAACATTGAAACCATACTCCAAGCGAGATGGCAGGCACAATATATTTGAGCTGCTTCTGGGCGTCAGGGAACGGCTCTTTGCCTCGCTCCTCCGTCTGAACTGGATCCCCCGATTCCACATGGTGATCGGGAATCGTGCCGTTGGACCCAGCGCCGTTAGCGGATACAGATCCCAGCAACGGGGAATTCTCAGTGGGAGATGCCTCTGGAGCCATTGTCGAGACTTGTGTCTATCGCCAGATTGCTCCAGATTGTCCCAAAGTCAAAATGACTTGAGTGAACGACTACGAGGAAGGAAACAGAAGAGGAGAGCGAGAGCATCTAAACCCCAAAAAGTCTCCACGTGAAGATAAGCCGCCCCCTCACTCCCAGGCCCGACTTACCCGTTTCGCCCAATCAAGTATCCCCATTCTTCGGCTTATGCCGCCAGACCTTTGATCTGCAACGACACTGACAAAGTACTCTTGCTAGTATGGCCATTTGATACTTGACCTCAATTATGGAGTTATACTGATAGGCATTGAACGGTCGTAAATTCGGTTGTTCTATAGGTATCTGAGTAGATGCGAATATTTCCAATTAACTTCCAATTCCCCAAGTTCATGCCGCTGCAGGCATAGGAACTGGCCCACCAGGTGAGTCAGGCAGACGGGCAGTCAGCACCTCGACACCATCCTCAGTTACAAGAAGGGTATGCTCGAACTGGGCCGACAGAGATCCATCTTGGGTGGTGCTGGTCCAGTCGTCGGGCCAAGTGCGGTCACGGTGGGTACCGATGTTGATCATGGGCTCAATCGTGAAGCACATACCGGGCTTGGCAGTGCCCACAGCCTTATTCTTAGCGTAGTGAGGAATGTTGGGCGCACAGTGGAACAGCTGGTTGATACCGTGGCCGCAGTAGCTCTTGACGACACTGCAGTTACGACCCTTGGCGTGCTTCTCAATGATATTGCCAGGTTCACGGAACAGCATGCCAGGCTTGACTAGGTCAATTGACTGGTTCAAACATTCACGCGAGGTTTCCACCACCCGGACAGCGTCGGGGTTCGCAAGTGCCTTGTCTCCAACATAGTAGGTCTCGTTGATATCACCGTGGAATCCCTTGTGATACAGAGTGACATCAATGTTGATAATGTCTCCATCCTGCAACGGCCGTTGATCGGGAATACCGTGGCAGATAGTCTCGTTGACCGAGGTACATACGGACTTGGGGAAGTTCATGTAGTTCAGAGGCGAGGGGTAAGACTAGAGAAATGTCAGTATGGTTTTGTGCGCCAGAGAGCAACTCTTCGTACATCACGCTCTATACAAGCCTTGTGGACAACCTCGTCGATGTAGTCCGTTGTGACACCAGGCTTCAATTCACGTGCAGCAGCATCCAAAACCTCACGAGCCAATCGGCAAACCTTGCGCATGCCCTCTTGTTCCTCCTTGTTCAGGATGGTGATGTTATGACGGCCGATAAGCTTTTGCTCGGAGCGGGGAATACCATCACGGGCATAGTCCGGGTGCGGGATTGTCTTGGGAATCGTTCGTTTGGCGGACAGAGGATAGACGGGTCTCAATGAACCGCTATAAGGGAAGGATGGGTACGGATTGAAGGTTCCGGTAGCTGGATCTGGTTCAGAAACTACCTTCGGAGGAAAAAGGTTGGTGAGGATATTACTCTTTTTGTGAATGCTCTTATGTTCGCTCTGGAGTAGATGGTCAGCCCTTGGTTTCCCGCGTAGGAGCATAGAACAGCGCCCCTATTGCGCAGCTTCCAGTCGCATCAGAGTCCCTACATACCCAGCTTCGCTTGAAACAGTCCTGTGAACAGAAGAAACTGTCGGTGCCGCTCTTCAGACATGTCGGACATTGTAGGGTGCCTGCGTCGTTAGGGCAGTCCACACCCCGACATTTGCGTTTGGCAGCTTCAGCCATATTAGAATAGCAGAAGTGGAAGGAATAAAAAAAATCGAGGAAATACGTAGTCAATAGTGGATTAAACCGAGGCCAAAACTTCAAGAAAATCCCCGCTGGCCGCAAGGCGATATGGAACTAAACCTCATTTGGACTAGCTTCAAAATGGCTGATATTTGCCTGAGGCAGCAAGGCAACCTCGAAAATGACTAATGTCAATCATCTCACTTTGGAACATTGGAAGGGGCCGATCTCGCAGCACGTGATGACGACTTAATCTTCCGTTTCAACGTGAGCCTGTCTCGATTTTGGACATTGACCACCTGGGCAGATATATGATGACCATTCCGAGGCAGAAAGTGGTTGTTGTGGGTGCTGGCCCAGTAGGGTCCTTGGCAGCCCTGTATGCTGCATCAAGAGGCGACGAGGTGGAAGTATATGAGCTCCGTGGAGGTATGTCTTAATGCCTTGTGTGACGTTTTTTTTCTTTTTTTCCTTTTTTTACCTTTGTGTGACCGCCATTGAGAACAATCCGATTGTCAAGAAAGGAGGTACATGCCTTTGAGCTGGAAATGGTTGGTTTTATCAAGGCAACATGTCGCGCAAGGTCCCTATCCCAACTCTTCAATTAAGAGGAAAAGGCCCCGATTAATCCGTACCACCATCTGCTATATCTTCCATACCCTTGCACTTGTCCTGGCTCAGTTGTGATTCATTGCGAATTATTCCGAACTGACGCCAATAATCCCTGCGCCTCCGTAGATCTCCGGGACCCTACAACTGTGCCATTGAACTTTACTAAGTCTATCAACTTGGCACTCTCCGAACGTGGCATTACGTCTATGAGACATTCTGGTCGGGATGATTTAATCGACAATGTTCTCCGTGAAGCGATCCCCATGCATGGGCGGATGATCCACGGGCGAGACCGAGGAGATCTGTGGGAAGCTGCACAGGCCTATGACGTTCACGGCCGGGTATGCACTGATCACCTGCTTGGCAGTTGCTATTGCTATTTATCCTGCATAACATAGCTAACCACTACTATAAGGCTATTAATGCCATCGACCGAAGCACTCTCAACAATGCCCTCCTCGATGAGCTGGAGAAGACCCCCAATGTCAAGCTATTTTTCAACCATAAGCTTACGGGTGCTGATTTCCGCACCAACAAAGCCTGGTTTGAGCGCCGAATCCCCGGCGAGACACCCATGCCCGATGATGCCGGTATAGCTGGTCGGGTACCGGAGATCGAGGTGTCCTTCGACTACCTCATCGGTGCCGACGGGGCACACTCCGCCGCGCGCTATCACCTGATGAAGTTCGCTCGTGTCGATTACCAACAAGAGTACATCGACACTCTTTGGTGCGAGTTCCGCATCCCACCCACTGAAGACGGAGACTTCCGCATCTCGCCAAACCACCTCCATATCTGGTCTGGGCGCGAATTCATGTTTATAGCGCTACCATCAGCCGACAAATCGTTCACATGCACCCTATTCGCACCATCCTCGCACTATAACAACCTAGAGACCTCATCAGAGGATCTGCATGAATTCTTCGATGAGCATTTCCCCGGCGTATGCCCAGAGCTAATTGAGCCCGCGGCGTTGAGTGAGCAGTTCGCGGCGAACCCGCATCTCCCACTGATCAGCATCAAGTGCAGCCCCCACCACTTCAACGCCAGCGTCGTCATTATTGGCGATGCAGCGCACGCAGTCCTGCCTTTCTACGGACAGGGACTGAATGCCGGTCTTGAAGATGTCCGCGTCCTCTTCGAGGAGCTGGACAGACATGGAGTCTACGACCCCAACTCCAGCATCTACACACGCGGTCTCAAGCGCAACGCAGCCTTCCAAGCCTACACGGACCAGCGCTGCGCTGATACACATGCCATCAACGATTTATCGAAGGAGAATTATCTCGAAATGCGCTCTGGCGTCAAATCGCCGCTCTACAAGCTGCGCAAGACGATTGAAGAAACCGTCGATCGCCGTTTCCCTTTCTTTGGATGGAAGACGCAGTACGCCCGTATCAGCTTCAGTAACCAGCGATACTCGGAGGTTATTAAAGCTGTTCAGCATCAGAGCCAGGTGCTTGGTCTTGGTTTGAGCGGGGCTTTGGTTGCTAGTGTTGGTGCTGTGTCCATCTTGATGTGGAAGTACCCTCAGTATCTCTCCCCAGTGGGGTTGATTCGGTGCTCGCGACATCTGGCTTGTGTTGGGCTAAGGACCGTTCGGAGATTCATTCATATGTAAAGCTGCATTGTCGGGTGGGTGGAACTTTGAACATATGACAATATGCAGATTTTGGAGGATGTTTAGTGCATCTAATTTATATGAGGAAGTAGTTTAACATAGACAGCAGACTGGTAGAAAGAATCGAGGGCACAAAAGGGAAAGATTCCAAGATCCAAGTCTGAATTTTTGATCAAACTATCATAAACACCTGATGACCACAGAAATCCTTAATCCCAGTACCTAATAGCACCGTCTAATCCACCAGTGACAACCTTGCTGGATTCATGGGGATGCCAGTCCACACAAGTAACAGCGCCACCCTCTTTCCCACCAGCCTGGATCTTATGGTACATCTTGCCAGTCTTCCAGTCCCAGAAGCAGACATAGCCACCGCTGTCACCAGAAGCAAGGAACTGGCCATCAGGCGAGATCTTGAGGTCGACAGCGTACCCGGAAGTATTATGCCCAACGAAGCGCTTCTTCCGGTTTTGGCGGAATTTGTCCGTCGCGCTGTAGACGACGACCTGGTTGTCGCCTGACTGGAAGGCGACGTACTTGCCATTCGGATGAGGCGTCGCACGGGTGAGCGCGAACATGTATGGCTCTGCGATGAACTTGATCGGGACAGGGATACCGTATTCCCAAGCGCGCAGCGACTTGTCATCTGAGGTGGAGATGAAACGGCGGTTGTCGTCGACGAAAGTGAGGGTGTTGACGGCTGCCAGATGGTGGTCATACTCTTGGACCAGCTCGCCGGACCGGGTATCGAATTGCACGATTTTCTTGTCGGACATACCAGCCAGGAACTCGTGTGAGTGCTCTTCGCCGGGGTTGAAACGGACGACGTGGGGTGTCTTGCCCGTGGAAAACCGGCCAAGACATTTGCCGTACTCGGTATCCCAGAGCTTGATCTGTCGGTCGTATGAACCGGTAAGGAAAGTCTTCCCAGATGGGTGGAAGTCTGTGTCTGAGATTGCCTTCGTGTGGCCGGAGAAAGTACGCAAGAGTTCCCGAGAGTGATACACATCCCAGAGCTTGGCCTTTCCATCGGCTGCTGACGAAAGCAGCAAGTGGCCAGACTTGGGTATGAATCGAAGAGAGGTGATCGGCTTGGTGTGCGACTTCCAAGTCTGGACGAGCTTTTTCGGTACGTAATTCTTGGTGGTGCCGGGCTCTTTGCGCAGATCGATATCCAGGTCCTGGGGCACGTGCATGTACGTCCGGCCCTGGTAGTCGTACTGCTCTGATCCGTGGAACTCGGTGGTCTCTTGCTTGGAAAGGTCGCCCTCGTAGGCGGTGGCATCCTTGCTCATGGCCGGCATGGGCGCCGTGGTAGTCAGAGTTTCGTCTTCCTCTTCGACATATTCCTCGTCGCTAGCAAGCGCGCGCTCATCTCCTTCACCAACTTCCACATAGTCATATTGCTGGTCATTTTGGTATTTCGCCCAGGGTCCCAAGTATGCGCCCTCTCCTTCCACAATACTGGAATCGCCCTTCTTTTGCCGCTTTGTTCGCCAGTTTGCGGACGCGCTCTTGGTCGGCTTAATTTGTACAACATCCCGGCCTCCATATTGCGCCGCATTTTCGAGATTTCCAATAAATTGGTCCGGTTGTGTCGGATTGCGCGTGTATCCCAGACTCTGGAACGTGCGATGCTGCGCAGCAAATGTGGACTCGCTAATGGCTGCTTCTTCGGCAAATCCTGTGGGGACATTCTTTCTTTTGATACCGTTTCCGGGACCTGTTGGCTTGAACGGATTCACAGGGCCCTGGGAAGGCTTCGTAAGATCATCGTATGTGGCATTGTAGGTGAGGGCTTGGGATGAGGCGTTGGCGAGGGCCATCTGCATATGCGCTTGGTCCTGTAGGATCGTTAGTCTTATCTGTTTGTCATGGCGGAGGCGCGAGAAACAAAAGAACTCAGGGAGGAGGGTGATTATCGGGGGACCAAACCTCTGTATTGACCTCTGGTGCAGCAACGACCTTGGTCGCGGTCGTCACAGACGAGTTGGGCATAGCTGTGGCGTCATCGTCGCTCGAGTCATAACCGGCACCTAATAAGGCAGACATGACTGATATGTTAAAGAGAGTAAGAATGCGCAGACCTCAATGCCCCTCTGCAACAACGTTGGGGTTGAATGTGGGTGGTAAATGGTAGGTGGTGCAGGATGGGAATTTTACGGGCGTCGGGAGACTCCCGACACGAAGGCCGCGGAACAGCCACCGCAGCCAAGCTCTTTATCAGTCAAGGCAGCTTCACTCTTAGTTAGGTGCGCATGTCAACTATGCCTACTGTTTTTACTCCGATTTACGTCTATTTGATGCCATGGTACTTCTTGATAATAAATCAGTTAAATGTCAGAAACCTTGGGTATCGTACGCTCTTCATTGCCAACCGCATGGGAGGTATATACAACTTAACAGGCCGAAAGACATAGCAAGATCAACACAGAAGAAGAATTAAAAACAAAACAAATGATAACAAAAGAGCACATACACCACCGCGAGTCAATCATACAGTGTCTCGAATCAACCCAGCTCACATCCCCAGCTCGAGACACTCCAAAGGAAATATCTATTACTTCTCATCGCTGTAGTCCTACCAGCGAAGATCTCAAGGCTGAAAGAATTCGTTGCTCATCCGTAGTCATGGCCGCCCAACAGACAAGGAACCGCGTCGATATACCGATTTATATGGTATAGCGGCCGCCTTGGAGCTGTGGTCATATTCGAGGGTTGTGTGACAGGCCGAGAACAATGCCCAGAGAACACTGACCCCAAGAACTCATGACAACCAGCTCATCGACAGACGGCTCCTTGATCTAGCCGGAAGGACCATGATGCATCGCGTATTCGGTCTTTTGACGCAATCAGTGGCCCTCATCGCGGATAAGGGCAACAATCATGCTGTAGAGGTAGAAGAAGAACATAAGGAGGTGGAAACCAAGCTTGATGAAGGATTCCTAAACACGATTTCGAGTCAGTCACTGCGCTGCGGCTTGCGTCTTGGAAACCAAACTAACCTTCTTGTGCACGTTCAACTTGCGGAAAATCTCGGTCGCATCCAAAAGGTGCTGGTTCTCGTAGATCCTATATGTGCAAAAACGACTCGATTAGCCGTCTGCTGAAAAGGGCTTGCGACTACTCGGGGGAGCTTCAACGTACTTCTTGGCGTTGAACAACACGAAGGGCAGGTTCAGCACAATCGCGAGCCAGTATCCGTTAATCACGAAGAGGAAGGTCAGGAACGCGTGGACAGCGGCTTCGGGGATGATATAGGCGTTAAGGCGGTTGCAAAGGTCGATAGGGTTGATGTAGTCGCTGGAGGGGGAAAAAACAGAAAAATGTCAGCTTGTATTCGGCAGAAGTATCCGTGGACCCAAAGGAGTTGCTAGGGACATATGACTGGAAAGACTCACCATTCGAGATCACTGTACATAATCGTGAAGAACACCTGGAGGAAGAGGTTGACGGCGTTGATCAACACCGACAACAGGTAAAGCCATGCTTCGCCGGACATCATTGCGAGTTTGACGTTGCGTCAAATATAATTGGCAGAATTTCAATTGCTAAAGAGAGAATATGAGTAAACTGTCTGCGACAAAAGTGGTTGAGGTCAAGGTGGATTTGAAGAGGCCGGAATTGGAGATGTTTGTGGGGTTCTGCGGCCCAAGGAAGACTGAGGAATCACACAGAGTCCTCTCCGAAGAGGGGTCAAAGCTCACTCACAAATAAGAAGCTAAATGCACTTAAGCTTGTGGAAGTGAAAAAGAGCAAACTGAGCAGAGATGAGGTGGGATCGAAAGAGGTTTCGATTAGCGAACTGCGGCCGAACCTGAAATGGGTCGGCGGTGTCGGGAGGGCTGGTCATCATTAGCGCAACCCGCAAACGGGGCTGGGAACGTACCTGGACTCCGGAGTACTCGATAATAAACAGATTCAAGATGTCAGATTCGAAATAAATTGTTGACTACTCCGTATTTGGGTTGGTAACTGAACTCAGTTTGCCTAAGTGTTGACTCGAAAGACCAAGCTTGGAAGGTTTGTAGATGACGTTGACACGTGCCGTGTAGGTACATGGGAGGTACATGAGGTCTGGATGAGATCTACCCAACTTCAACGTTGTTTATTTGAAAACATGAAATGCAGGGGATCGTCAGGATTGCCTATCTTGTCTATATACATAATGACAGACTATGGACCGCTGCATACGGGCTTCCATGCGTCTTTAGAGAGCCGATCTTCAATAGTCTTCGATCATCTTCGCAATGAACGCAACCAACATACGAAACAACGTCCGACAAGGACAAGGACCAAACCGAACCCAAGGCAAAACATTGAATCAATGGAAACGCTTGATGATATCATACCAGTGTATAGTAACATAAAACGACTAGCTCATCGCTTCTCCACAAGTAGGAAATGCATTGCACTGTATGCAATGATGATGAAGGCCCCAGAAATGACAGCCAGCCCGATAACATCGCTCCAGTAGGCTTGGGTGTTAAAGCCAAACGCACTTAAGATAGAGGCACCGGGAACTTCAATATCCAAACCGTACTTATGGTCAATCAAGGTGAGGTAAGTCACTTCGTTGACGATCAAGGCCTCGAAGCCGTAGTGGAAGATGGACAGCTAGTACTATTGTTAGTAAGGAAAACATCACTTAAGTTATAGGGAAACTCACAGTCTGCAACCACAATGCTGACTTGGGGATCGCATCGTGATTCAGCAGGAGACCGGCGAAGAGCAAGCTGAAAAGCATCACCAAACTGCCGATAAGATTGGCGACTCCGCCATCCCGGAAAATGATGCCGATGAAGAGGCAAATGTTGGCCGCCGCAAGATTGAAAAGGACCAGAACCAGCAAAAAGCGGAAGAATTCAGGCCATGCTGGAATCAGACCCGTCATGGGGTATACGATGATGCCCATGATTATGGGAGGAATCAGCCTCAAAGGAACGATATCAAACACAACCTTGGACGCAAAGTATGTGATCGGATGATAGTAACCGTTGGCACGCTCCCGTACAAACAAAAGCCGCTCCGTGGAGAACACGTTGAGACTGGTCAAAGTACTGAAACCAAATAGAGCCAAGATGAAGAAGAAGAGACCAAGACGATTCTGGAAGCCTCTGATATCGTCGGTGAGACCATAGAAGAGGTATCCAGATAGGACCGCAAGAAGAATAGCAATTGCGTAATGGGTGAGCATCAGCATCGGGTTCCGATAAAGATTACGCCATGTCCGCTGAGACAGGATGATAAACTGCCGCGCAAGACCAACTCGAGCATAGCCCTTGGACTGTATCACAGTATCTGACAACATGGGCGAATTTGGTGAACCATTCGCAGCCTGCGCATTCTGAACGGCTGTTGAAATCTCATCATGCACACGATGGCAAACGTCAGAATCTGCGTAGCTCGCCACCAGAATGTCGAGATCACTTTGTCCAGGTGCCGGAGGAGGTAGCTGATCGGGATCATCAAGGATTTGCGGAGGAACATTGCCTTGTTGACGGGAAAGACGCAGCCATTGTTGATGATCCTCAGCTACATCCAATGTGGCACTCTCATCGTCTGTCTTTGGCGTGATTGGGCGCTCATTATGTTGCTTTCGAGAGTAAAGTTGACGATCTTGTTGCTGTTTCAAAGATACCCGGCGTTTGCTTTTGGGTCTCCGGCTCGCCTCTGCACTTGAGTTGTCTTCGGTGCTCTGGATCGATGCGCTGGTGACGGACTTAACGGCCCTAAGACTGCTTGATGCTGTCTTAGGCGGACCAGTGCGCCCACCCACAGATGATTCTACTTCATCTGTATATGATGAATGAGCACCACCGGCGTGCATTGTAAGATCGACAAGATAATCTGCAATGTTGAATCCCGGCGGACAGGAATAGCCCACACGGTCGAAATACTGTTGACAGGACGAGAAAGGACCGGAATAGACAGTACGCCCATCAGCAAGAAGGACGAGTCTGTCAAAGAGAGCAACAATGTTCGAGCGAGGTTGATGGATGGTGAAGATAACAGTGCGGTTGTATGTCTTGGCCAGCGTCACCAGACACTCCACCACATTGAACGCATTATAGGCATCCAATCCACTGGTGGGTTCATCCAGGAACAGGATACTAGGGCTGGTAACCAGCTCACAAGCAATCCCGACTCGGCGCTTCTCTCCACCAGAAATGCCACGACCATTGCCTTCTTCCGAGCCAATCAATTGATCCTTGATGTGGTAGATCCCAAGTTGTTTTTCAACCTCCAGGACTCTTTGCTCTTTAGCTGCCCGACTCATGTCCCGGGGGGAGTCTGAGTAGGGCGCTTGTCAAAATGGTCTCATGGACAGTCAAGGTGGCAAGCATTGTGTCTTCTTGGTCGACAAAGCCAACCATGCCCCTGAAATCATTGTCGTCAATTTTCTCACCGTTGACGTAGAAATCGCCATTCACTGAGCCACGCTTGTTCTTTCGTGCCAGGATATCAAGGAATGAAGTCTTCCCAGCACCGGATGCTCCCATAATAGCTGTAATCTGGCCTGGGACGGAGGCACCTTGGACGCCAGAGAGAATCTCCTTTCCGTTTATACTGTAAGACACATTATCCCAGTACAAAGCCGCCGGGCGATAGTCTGAAAGGAGTTTGGCAGCTTCGTCGTCCGAATCATCCGAGAGAGCCAGGCGGATATAACCACGGCGCGCAGCACGACGTGACAGATACCAGACGAGCAGAATGACAGCAACCACAAACAATGAACTTCCCGCGATCACGCCGGCAATGAGTGGAGTGTTGATTTTCTTCACGGGGCGCTCGTATCCCGGTTCGTCAGTCTTGTACATGCACTCACCTGAATCGCATGACAAGAAGATGCTGGGATCACCGAAGACCCCCGCAATCAATCCATTCATCTGAGGCTCAGAGAAAACGCTCTTTGTACCCTTCAAGGTCGATTCAGTATCAAAAGTAGCCGGGCCCTTGATCATTTGATCAAGGAAATCGCTCAGATCGATGGACCCATTCTCACCACAGAGGAAACGGCCCGGAATACATTTGCACTGAAGGTGGTCACACTTATAGTGAGTTTTGTTGGTGTCATAGTCTGTTTCCATGTCCCACTTGCAAGTGTCTAGGCCGCAATAGAATGACTCTTTCTGGTCGACCCAAAATTGGAAGCTACAAGTTTCATCCTCAGCTTCGCAGGAAAAAGTCACTTGAGGCTTGCGGCCGTCGAGCTGTTTCAAGATCGCACGGTTCGTCACATCGCACATTTGAAAGTTCTCCTTAACCGTGACACCCTGCTTATGACAAACTCCCCCTTGGTTTTCTGGCATCATCGCATTGCAGGCATTATCCGAGTCGCAGACATTGCAGTTGATGCCTTTCCAGCCATCCTTGCATTGACAGGTATTGGAATCACGCTGCGGTCGGTTCAAGCCGTCGGCCAACGAACCACATAGGGGAACGGAACAGTCATCGCCTCCAAATCCGGGGGGACATGAGCATTTGCCGTTGAAGTTGTTGCATTCAGCAAAGTGAGTGCAGTTATAGTTGTCAAGCTGGCAGTTGAAGCAAGCCGGACACTCGGGACATCCGGATGGTCGATCGTCGAAGAGGGAATAGGATTGCGTAGCGAGGTTTGCGTCGGAAAATTCACTCCATGCTGCAGCAGATCCCAGCAGGGGAGTTAATGTGAGAAGCGAAAGAGATATTGCGCCAGTCAAGCGCATCTTGTGGGAAGGATAGCAGCAGCGTGTCCTAATACGCAGATACCAACAACGAAAGAAGGGATGCGGGGCGGACCGCCGAATTGATCAAAGTAGAGGATAAAACCGGAGCATACAGTTGGAGTAAAAGATAGAGACAAGGCAGGTTTGGAGGTTGAGAAGCAGAAAGCGGAGAGAGTGGTGAGATTGGCCCCCGGACGATGACGCGGGCGGAGAAGTGGCTGGGCTGATGCATGGGGCGTCAGGAACCCGCAGACGACCCGACATGCTATGCAACCTTGGAAGATTTACTCGAATTTATTCTGTCAAATCAACTAGATACTCTATGAATCCGGAGAGGTTTCCTACAATATTTCTTCCTGCTCGCTGCTGTATGTCTTGCCTCGGTGGTTCTGCCTTCAATGCGGGGAAAGCGGACCAATTTAGCGAAGGACTGAGGATATGCCTGAAATATAGTGTCCTTTGCTATTGCAAACTTACTTGCATTAACCCTTTTATAAATAGTAATAGCACCTAGACAGACTTCAAATCATTGAAGCAGCAACGCCGTTATCTATTCTAATATCAAAGGTTGTGTTTCTATAACAGTGTCACCCTCTCCTGTACCGCTTCCCAAAGCAGACAACCTCCCCTTAGGGCTGGACACCCACAATGGCCGGTCTTGTTCGTAAATCTCGTGCCATACAAGAATAAAAGAATTGGTCTCAATTCACCCAAAGGCCCGAGGCAACTTGCGGTTTACGTTCCAGACGTATGAGGTTCGCACTTGACAAAGATAAGCCAATGACAGAAGAATCTACTCTAGTTCTAGCACTTCTCTATATGTCTCTCCCAGACAAGGTGTCAGTAATAGTTTTTGGAAGTCATCCAGTGGCTCGGTGACTCGTCCCCTCTCCCAAGACATTACAAAATCGCCATAGAGTACGTTGTCGGATGCCAAGCAATGCGACTCAGCAAGCCACGATGCAGCTGTACCAGCCTCCCATAGTGAAGTCTTGGATGCAAAGGGCAGTATGCTCAGCCCTTTGACGTTCGAACAGTACCCCTTCTTCAGCGTCGAAAATAAGCCGTCGAGCATCAAGGAAAATATGACCGTCCTTCGGACACTCTCTTCGAATATCCATTCTTGCCATGTGAACGGAAGGGGCAGTTCTGTGGCTCGGACTTTCAACTGAACGGTCCACGCTCGCAAGATATCCATATTCTGTTCTGCCAATGACCGCTGGCGGACGTCACCGTCAAAGAGTTGGATGATATGAAACAGTATAAGTGCCTGCAATGCTGCGAGGAGCTCCTGCAGATTTGCTTCTTTGTAATCCTGCTCCACGAGGAGCCCGACCTTACTTTCGATTGTGCGGAATACCATATCCTCTGTTGCGGATGTCTTGGTGCAGTAGGCTGCCGAGACTGCGAAGGCATCTTGGATACAGGCGGGTAAATATACGTCGTAGAGGCGCTGATGAATAAAGGGGGTTTTTCGAGAGCAGCCAAACACCCGCGGGTAGCTTTTAATATTTTGCAGCAGCTGATTGATTGACCACCTGTCTAATACGGCGGTTTCTGGGAAAAAGCCTGCGGGGAGTAAAGATGGGGCGGTGATGAGAGAAGGGCTGGGAATAATCGATGGAGGGGGCATGCTCGCATGGTTGAATAGAGAGTCATCTAACGGCCAGAAAGATAGAATGTCGTCGAAGGCATGAACTGATTCTGGATGTGGTGCTGAGGATTCCTTCCGGTGCCTCGGAGACCGTATACCCAGGTAAGTACATTCTAGCCCCTGCGCGAGACATCGCGAGCACTGCGGAGTTTGGCGATCACAGCGTCGCTTCCCTCTAGCGCATGCAACACAAGACTTCTGCCGAGAGGCAGCATATGGTGATCTGTAAGCCATGAATTGAGTGTAAGCGGAGCCAACCTTGGAATGCGGAGAGGATGATGCTGACGAAACTTGGAAAGTCCGCACGTTCGTACAGGCTGACTCAAAACTCCGCAAACTCCGCAGCAATTCCGCCGACTTGTCAGGTCACAAGTCTAATGACCTATCTTTATCATAGGATTGGTTGGTTCCATAGGTTTCGAGTAAGGGTACTGTAAATGTACGGATAAACACATGCTCCAACAGCTATAAAAGAAAGTTGCAATTCCATCTCTTGGACAAACATACATTCGATTCTATCAGAAAAACGCATAGCATCTCTAAAATGGCCATCACCGAACTTGTTTTCCCGCAAATCAAGACTGATCCAGCCTCGCTCAACGAAATTGAAAGAGATTGGCCGATCATCAGCAAAAGATTAACTGACCCTAACCCCGGTCTAATCCACGCATTTCGTGGATGGGTTTTGACGGAAAATGGACAGGATGTGAGAGACGCACACAAAGAAGTTCTCCTTTTCGGTGAGTTACCATGGTGAATCGTCTCCGAATGGTCCTGATCTGGTTATAGAATGGAATAAAGCTGAATCTTTCCATGCCTTCGCTGGCTCCGAGCAATTTTCTGCTTTCGCTAGCTCGATTAGGCACTTGGTAAATGGACCACCTACGCTGCAACTCTTTGAAACAAATTACTCCCCTAAAGATGTGGCTTCCGCGCCTGTGGTGGAGATCACTCGGGTGGAACTTGAAAACCCGAAGAGCGTTGAAGGTGCACTGCGGACCTGGGAGAGAATTTCTCATTTCCTCGCGAGCACCGGTGTCAAAGCCTCTGTCCTGTACGGAAGGAGCTCGAACCTAGATGAAGATATCGTTATGGGAACCATAGGATGGTCAAACCTAGAGGTAAGTTCCAAACAAGTGTATGAAAGATGTCATTCTTATTTGGAACAGGATCGCTCTCGGGTGTCTCATGAGGAGGCTTTCGCGGAGGCGCTGGACACTCTCCAGACGCTTGGAGAGGTGTCGAACATCACTATTGATGTTGATGCAATGGAGCTTTGATTGTGTATTTAGAGCTGAAGAGAGCCACCGATGATAGTGCTGATGGGGTTTCTTGTCAAAGATCGAGAGTTCACTTGGGGCCGAGAAACGCGAGCATCTGTTGTTAATATTTCGCCTGAAGTATACATTTGTTGTAGAAAACAAGCGCCATGTTATCCATGGATGCATCTATCAAATGAGCTGTAAGATAATGTCAGCGCATGGAGCATCCATGGATTAACTTACCGCTAGCAAGTGATCAGTATAGTTCCAAGGCCGAAACTTGGTGAAATTGAAGGCCACCAGGTGTAGACATTGTAGCTAGCCGAAGTCTGCGCCGAACAATCGACGGAAAGGGTGTTGTGGCCTTCTATAGTGATCTTCTTAGGTAGTCTCTAATAACTACATATGTAGTCTTTTATTATATCTTTTAAAGGTCTTTTTTAGTAGTCTCCTTAGGCAACTTTTTAAGATATCTAGTTATATAGATATTTTCTCCCCCTTCTTAACATATTAGGTAGATAATAGGAAAGGGCTAAAAAAGGCTTAATTTATAGAAGGGCACTGACTTTTCTATACATGACCCCAGATATCTCAAACTTCTATAATACTGCTCATGGAAAAGACCGAAGGAAAATAGACGTAGATTAGGGAAGTGGTGGGCCTGGGGCAATCCACACTTTTGGCCGCGTCAGGGAGTAACTTTGATATCCTCAAAAATATCAAATATGGAGCATATGCTCACTGTTCCCTTCCGTTCGTCGCCGGTGGTCAACATCCCGAAGACGTCGCCGCACTCCGTATACAGTGGAACTGACCACTGAATGCACCCATGTAATTATCTTTTCGGACCCTCCATTTCTCGTTCCCTGTCGACAAATATCCACCGACATCAGATCGTTGTTCAGGCCAGAAGTTGTTCCAGAGGAGCGCTCTGTCTTGTAGAGCTTCATCCTCGGATGAGCCTGCAGCTGAGGGTTGAACCAAAGTTCGCTGGGTAAAATGATTCTGGTAGGGTCGTAATTGAAAGGCTAGAAGAAATCATCGTTAGCCACATAATCAATCTTGAATGAACAGAATCTTATTTTACCCGATTCCCTTTGACCTTGTCACCATGCATCTGTCGCTGGAGTCGACCGAGGGCAATGTCAATCAAAGCCCAGTCCATACTTGATGGCTTGTTCTGCACCGTTCTTTTGGGTCCGGTACACGCCGCTTCCAGCAACAACATGTCTCAGGTAGTAGGACCTATTGTCGCGCATCGTTGCAAGTGGTTGTCGGTGGGCTTCAAGGTCGCTGATTTGCCTGGCGATTCCCTTATAACGCCTGGCGGCGGATTCTGGAATCCACAGATCCTCGCCTTCGTCAATTGCCCTCTGAGTCGCTTCCAACTCGAGAAACTCTTCGGTTTTAATATTATCGATAATGCCACTTATCTCGGCGATGGTATGCTGGAGATCTCCGAGAGATGGATGATCGACTTTCAAGATTTGTCGGGCAATGGTGGAGAGTGGATGTCCTAATCTGAGCGGGCCATATTCCCAGTTTGAAAGCGCTATAGTCACCATTAGCTTGGAGCTTATGTATAGAAGATCTTCACTTACCGGTTGCTGCTCCTTCAATCTGTACATTGATTCTGGGCGCTTCCCCTCTGGGGGCCAAACGGCGTGAAAGCATGTCAGACCATACGTGTGCCAGTGGGATTGTCCAGAAAATCGCAGCTGCACAAACCCGCCCAGAGTCGACGCTCCAGCGGAGCTGCCATGGATGTCCAAGCCAACTCCAGGATGGATTGCTCCACTGCGATCGAGCGGGTTCTCTACCAGGTTCTGTTTCCCGTCCTTCATAAAAAGGATGTCGACACTAGACTCGTCGAAGTGGGCAAGAATGCCCCTGATTATCTGGTTTGCCGTAAGGAAAGAGAGAAGAGAGTGAAGTGAGAGAAGTGAGAGAGTAAAGTGAGAGAGAGGTGAGAGAGAGGTGAGAGAGAGGTGAGAGAGAGGTGAGAGAGAGGTGAGAGAGAGGTGAGAGAGAGGTGAGAGAGAGGTGAGAGAGAGGTGAGAGAGAGGTGAGAATAAGACCCCGATGAGGCATATAAGTACCTACCTACATAGGTAGGTAGGTAAATTGGAAAGAGCTTGACGCTTTATAAGGCAAATCGAACCTTCTTTGATCATGCCCAAGGTACCTACCTAGATAGGTAATACCCTTTGTTTTCCAGCCTCGAATTATCCTGTATATGCAGACGCTATCCTATATATGCAGACGCTAGCGGTTGCTGTTGGTTTACAAAGTCGCTTACCTTGAGAATTAACCAAACTAAGCAAGCCCCCGTGGACAAAGCTAATATCAATTTCCCTCCGCGCAAAAACCTGAGATATTGTGAGGACCTCACGTATCCGCAGATGAGGAGGGTATATTCCAGATGAATAATTAATATATAGTACAGTTAAGAATGCTTAGATACCTAGGTAAAGACTACGGCCGTATAAGCGACTATTCTTATTATAGAAATTGAGATATTATAGAATTGACCCTGTAAAAGTTGATGGTGTAGCAATTGTAGGAATTAATTATATACAATGCCGTACAAGGACGTTGATAGCTCCCGCGGGGGAACCGTCGCCTACGAAACATCACCTTGGCGTTTCAACTGCTCTCCATCATGTTCCATCATCATGGCACGGAAAACCCCGGCAGGCCGTTGCATGAGTTCTTGGGGATTCCCGAATTCGGCAACACGTCCACCACTCAAAACAAGGATACGATCAAAGTCGACGACTGTGCTCAATCGATGGGCCACTACCAAAAGACTCATCGAGTTTAACTTCGAAATACGGCGGATAGACGCTTGAACCTTCCGATCAGTCTCCTGATCAATTCCTGATGTGGCCTCGTCAAGGACCAAGAGTTTCGGTCGTTGCAGAATTGCGCGAGCCAAACACAGTAGTTGTCTTCGGCCTTGGGAAAGATTTTCGCCGTCCGCTGCAATGGGGTAGTCGAGCAGGGAGGGAGCAGTAGTTGAGTGCTGTGCGGAGGTTGTATGCTGCATCATGATCAAAGGGATAGATGACTCGTTTGCATCATCATCAGCGCTCTGGAATTCATTGTCCGATACCAAATCGTCATCTTTGACTGGGCTAGTGGAGGAGACGAACAGGTCCTCGTCCCACTGCACATCACGTAACGCAACCAGAAGCTCGTCGTCAGAGTGCTGTCTGAAAGGATCCAGATTTGTGCGCACAGTACCCGAGAAAACGGCCGGATTTTGCGGAACGATCGCCAGTCGTGCGCGCAGTTGTTGCAAATTGAGAATCGAGATATCGAGACCATCAATCACAATGCTACCCTCGCTTGCTTCAAGAAAACGGAACAGAGCTAGGATGAGAGAAGACTTTCCAGACCCCGTACGGCCCACCACACCTATTCGTTCTGCCGAGTTTATGGAGAAGCTAATGTCGTGAAGAGCCGGGGGAAGATCAGCGGCGTAGCTCACTGAGAGCTTCGACACTTGGACGCATCCGTGGCTGGGCCAGAGGGTAGGTACGTTGTCTCCACTGTGAATTGGCTCGGTAGGTACCTCCGAGTACTCCAGGATACGCTCCACACTGTTCATGCTCAGTTCAAGGCCTGCATATCGGCGGACAGTCAGCGACATGGACTGAGCCATCTTCAGCGCAAAGCTGATGGCAAAGCCAGCCAGCGAGGCGTTCACCGAAGGGGATGAAACAACTAATATACTCGCAACAATGGCAAATACAGCGCCCAAGACATCCATGCGGAAGGCAAGCCAGCAGTTCAAGAGCCAGAGCTGCCAGTATGCCCGAGCGTACTTGTCAATGCCTTCTGTGACTTTGCTGACGTATACTGCTGTCTTGTCTTCAGCACGAATTGTCCAGAGCCCGGAGAGCGCGGATCTAGCTTGCTCAAATATAGAGCTTTTCAAGACGCTTTCGAGCCTTCTTATCTCTCGCGCGGTATTGAGATAGAGTCGGCCATAGATTACACATATGATGCAGAGGATCGTAGCTGGTAGCATGAGCCAAGGGCTCACTAGGCTGCCGGCTAGAATAGCTAGAGCCATATCGAAAGCATTGGCAAGGGTAGATTGAATGTCATCTCCCAGGAGAGAATCCACTACCATGTTGTCCACAATAAAACGATTCATAATACGACCCGGTGGCACAACATCTAGCCAGCGGAGAGGGGTGTGAAGAATGGTATGCAGCAATCCACTGAATAGGCTCTTTGCAACAAAAAGAGAGGTCTTTAGAGCAAGGTAACTCCGTGCCGTGCCGATTAGGCAAGCAAAGGCTCCCAGGCCAACGTATACCCCCTAGGTAGAAAAGTAGGCTGTTGTCCAGGCATGCTGTTGACCCTGTTGTATCGCAATAGGTTACTGTCCCGTGGTCACTCTCGTGATTACTCCAGATGTGGAGCCACCAGGTCTATAATCCCAAAGTCAGTCGGTGACCATGTCTGAAGCAATGTAGAGAGATGGTCGGCATTACCCGGGCCGTCAGCAGTATGCTATATCCACCGAAGGTGATCATCACCCAGGTCCAAGGGAGAACGCTGCCCCCCATTGTAAAGTAGGCCTTCCAAACCGTCCATTGCATTGAGCCCTCTTGACGTTTTTCATCTTCCACGAATTGCGAGGGTGAGCTATCGGGTGCCTGAGCATTGACATCCTGATCACCCGACATCTCTGCTATATCAGGTTGGCCATCTTTCTCTAAACACAGACCATCTTTGTTTGTCTCAGCAACTTCTTTACTGCCTGCACCAAAGCCAGCCACCACTGGTCCTGCGTACTGTACTGAGCCATTGTTCAAAGAAACAATGTAGTCAGTTTGCGGAAGACACAGAGAAATATGATGTGTGACGAGAATGCGCGTCCGTTCCTTAGCAAGGAGTCCTGTGAGCGCATGAGTGTACAAATGACTAGCAGTATGTACATCAACAGCGCTGAATATGTCGTCCATGACTAGTATATTGGCCGGGGAGTAAAGGGCACGGGCAAGAGAGAGCCGCCACTTTTGCCCGCCGCTCAAGTTGACACCATTCGGACCAACTTCTGTTGCATCTCCGTCAGGGAACAAAGTGAGATCTTGATGAAGAGCACATGCAAAAAGAACATCGTTATATCTGCTGATGTCCAGCGAGTTGCCGAATAGAATATTGTTCCTTATGGAGGTATTCTCTAACCAAGGGACTTGGGCAACATAGGCATACTTGCCGTCTCTAGGACCGCGTATATTACCACCAAGTAACGTAGACTCCTCCAGAATAGATGCAAGGAGGAGACTCTTGCCACATCCAGTAGGCCCCGTCACTAAGCTGAGTTTTGATGGAGGGAAACACAGAGTCACTCCGTGGAGAATGGAATCAACCGCTTGTCCCGGAAGGGTACCAGTCCAGCCCAAGGTAGCATTCGAGAATTCAACTGCTGCGGCCGAATCTGTTCGGGAATTGTTCTCACGGGACTCTAAATGGTGCCGAATGCGCTTCATGCTATTTAGGCCGGTGGCCGTCCGCGCCACACAATCTGGCAAGGCGTACATGACAATTTCGATGGAGTTTAGAACTGCAATGGCGGAAAACGCAGTAGGAGCAGACAAGGTCTGGTACATCAGCGCGTGAGTCCCCAGACAGACGACTGATAAGATCACAGGGGTGGTCAAATAGACGGCCAACTGCGAAATGTGCCAGCGAAACGCTGACCACTGCGCATGAAGTTCCTCTTCCCTGCTCTGTCCAATGATTTCCTCCCATCGAGTCTCTTGGGCTGAGAATTTGATCTGGCGAATTAATTGAAGGACCTCGCTGAGGACTTGCATTTTACGGTCACGGGCCACCATCAAGCTTTGTTGCGATAAAGTGTACTTCCGAGCTGCGTGTACATTGACCGGGGTCATCAAGGCCAACACCATAGCACCGGCTACGAGGCTTTGCCATCCTAGCAAGTGCGCCAAATAGATGCCGGAGATGGCTAGCTGCAGTGGTGCTTTGTACAGTACATAGCTGAAACAGACACAATCAGCAACATATTTTGCGTCCATCGCGATCAGGTTCAGGCAATGTCCGGTGCCTTGCTCAGCTGCATCAGGGCCCGAGAAGGTGCCTGTAGTGGGTAGAAACATCGACTTCTCAAATACCGCTAGAGAAAGCTGCTCGAAGGTTTGCAGAGATAGACAGTTGAACGAGAACCACACTTTCCAGGTGTCCAGTGTGGAAGATAACAGGACTCCCAAAGCCAGGAGCGCCACATTCATCCACAATCGAGTATTAGGAGTGCCATCCGTCCATGTTTCCAAGGCCTGAAGGATCTCGAAGAGGGCAAGTGAGGGTACGATGCTGAGGAAGCAAACAACGACTGTCAAGCTCATTTGTTGTATGAGGACGCCGCGGTGTAGGCGAATAAGTGTCCACCAGAGAGAAACACCGGTGGATCTGGCTTGTCTGAAAGAGTCTAGCAGCGTTTCTGCGCGCGCTTGATTGGCCATTTCTGGTAGGTCGTCAACGACAAACTTATTTCCCTTGCCCTTCACAATGGGCATCACGTCTCTGGCCCAAGAAAATGTAATCCGACTCAAAATACTGGTGGTAAACTGTCCATCAACCGGTTTGCGACCCCGAAATGTCTGGGGTCGTCGCGGGAAAGAAATATTTCCTCCAAGTCCTGACAATATCACCAGCGTCGAGAAGACCCCAAACCCCCATCCTGCAACAGAGATCTCATCATAGCTTAATTCCTCATCTATGCTCATAAGGCAAGAGAGTCCCGTCACCAGCCAGCTCCAGGCTCCTCTAAGTCCGAGTCGATACCGAGCAGTTATATCAGCCTCCGCGTGCATTGACAGGGCTTGGGTCACCAAGGCTAATCCATTGAGAAGGGCTAACCCATCTCGAACGAGCGAAGGTTGAACTTGTGCCAAGAAGATCCACGGTTTCAGTATTGCCAGTATGGTATGAGTGGTCGCCAAGAATATCACAAGTTTGCTGGTGATTTGGGATGTTTTTTCTTGTCGAAAGTCATGGCCGGCCTCTCCATCATCGTCGTCGTCGTCATCATCGTGGTAAAACGTGTTCGGGAGCTGATTATAGTCCGTCAACCGGGCGAATTTCTGAAGAGCCGGGCGACTGAGGGCCAAAACAATGGCAGTTGCTGTAACATAGAGAACAATGAGTAAGGTAGACATTGTTCAATTTGCTAGATTTCGCAGGAGCTTAGAAAGTCATACCAATTTGACACTTCGGACATCGTGAGATGAGGTAGCAATGAACAGAAAGCCCCTTACGCTGGCCCTGATACAATTTTGACAACAAAAAGAGGATAAGAATGCAGATCAGTCGAATCCACACAAGCAAGAGCTGATACGGTCCACGGGTGGGTGATCACTCTTAGATTCCCTCGCGTCTGGATACTGAATCCCTCACATTTTTAGGAAGGAAGAAAGGGAGCGATCGGTAATATGGCCGTGACATAGTCTCATAGCGCTGAAATCCAACTCTGAAATTTTCAGCCTCTCCTACTGAGATGAATGACTAGGTATATCTTCCGTCCTAAACAAAGATCCGGACTTTTGGACATTTGAACAGTGTGAGGCTCCTAGCTATTGACGGTACGGTGGGGCTAGGTCTTTTATACAGGCAACTTTTACAGCCGATCAGAATATATAATTCCTAGATTTATTTGACCTCATAGGATAAAAGGACAAAATAACACCACCATACCCCTTTGGCTACCCTGCAGTCAGCTAACGAGCACTTGCTTTGTCTCTTTCTACCATTCCCCCAGCTCGTCACTTATTTGGCCTCAGGAGAAAGGAACTGCATTCCATCGCACACGGCGCAAGTGTCTAGAAGGATCTTTGACACTATTCCGTGCATGGAGCCAACGCCGGTTATCCAGAAGGATAATAGATCTTTCGGGCAAGTCCGCTGCTTTCAAATGCAGCGTTGCCTTCGAGGACAACTCCGAATCCTCTAGGACGCGTTTAAGCGCCTCCAGGCAGATGTTGCCCTGGTGCTCATCGGCGTCACGATATCCTCCCGGAATCGCATTATTGTCGATTGGTCTTGTTCATTGATACCGAGGATGCTGCCCATAATATGACGCTCGTTTGGCTGTTTGATAAATTCCGGAGGGATTTTGATTTGAAACTCAGGTTCACATAGAGCTGCCTTCGCAGACGAAGAAAGGAAGCGAGTAAGCTGGTCGACCTTCAGAACTGAAAGCGTGCCCCCACCACAGCGATCTGGCCGGAGGACCTGGAGAGCAAAGTATTGTGGGGGTGAATCTTCATAGCTACAGTCTGTGTGCCATGGGAATTCTTGCATAGTCTCTGATCGTGCACGATCGTTCTGTGGGAGACATGTGTTTTTACCAGGGCGGACATCCCAAAACCATCCCCGACTGGCGCTGTGAGTGATGGGAGGCCCGTGGCCATGGTAGGCTCCAAGACCCATGACAAGATTCTCCAAATATTGGCTTTTTTCGTCGGAGAATCCTAAAGAGATTTTGAGAATGCCTTGTGATTGGAGATGATGATGCACTGCCCGGATATGGTGCCGTTGGTGAGAGTCAGATATCTTGTGAGCCACAAGATTAGGTACCACTGGAGCTGCCAGCGTAGCAAACGGATGATATGAACAACGAGATCTGCCCAGGCGCGGCAAAGCAATGGACTTGCGAGCACAGCAGGCCCCGAGAAAGCGAGGCGTACAATACATCGTGAACACTTGGGGGCTTTCCGTAACCACGAAGGCTAAATGCTTTGTTTCAACAGCGGCAGTCGCTTGTATATCCGACTTTTGTAAGGTTGGATGGGGCTTGCGCGAGCATCAAAGTGGTACGGAAAATATATGGACTGAAGCTACCAATATGCCGAGCTTGAGCATCATGCTTTGTGACAACAAAAGTCGGATAATCACAACGCTACACAGCATACCTCATCCCGTAGAGGCTCCGCCGCAAGGGACTCTCCAGTGGTTCAATTGAAACAGCCAGCACAAATCAACCACATCTACAACCCTCTAGTGGCTGCCTGACACGCTTTCTGTGATCAACGATACATATTTGCGGAATGATTTTCCATCTCAAGTAAGGGTATATATCACCAGGCGTAGATCAATGTTAAAGGCTACCTTCCTAGGTAGGTAAAGCACATGATACGTTTTGTCATCTCTGGGTATTGGAATTAAGACAATAGTTTGAGGCTATTAATATGTACATCTAACAACTCACGCAAGAATACACTGCAGCAGACGCTTCGTTGGATCTACCGGATTAATTGGCGGTGAAAAGTATTTGGTTATATACAAAGCTGAAAAAGCGACAGTGTGCAGCTTTCTTCGGAAATTCGCCCACTGCTCTGCATGATAATTACGTACGATGAACACGCCTCGTGCACCATTTGGCACTTTTATTGGGCTCCTATACTATTGACCAAGGTCATAAGAGCTTCAAAATGAGGAATATTTCAGCCCTCTAAGGATAACCCTGCTAGGGATAGGACCGAGCAATGCGTAAGCAAAGGAGACCTCACCGCCATCGAGTAATGTTGTATCCTAGTGCGTGGTTGATGCTCCGAAATAATCTATTCTTCTCTATATACCTTTAAATTTATGTTCATTTATCAACTGCCATTTGTAGCCAGTATAGCACACTCAGTTCCATCCAGTGTTCCGCAATCACTAGATGGGTGGTGATGGTTGATACGAGCAATAGGATTACTGTGGTATACTAGGAGCGAGAACATGACGCGGTTGGAATGTATATGGAGGCTTGGCTTACGCTTCAATGCATCCATTAACTTGCGATCTTCCACAGGCCGCGCCGCGCCGAACCACGTTGCAGGAGGCTAGGGCAGTTAGGGCGGAAGATCAGCACTGAGATAACTGCATCTGCGGCTACAACCGTAAATGTGGATTGGAAAGAATTATGCATGTAATAAACAGGTATCGCTGTAAGACCCTCGAGTTATTGAGTGGTAATAACTACAAAATTTGCCAGTCGCATTACCCAGATACAGAAGTCTGGATATGTAGTCACGTTTGTTCGAAACCAAAATCAAGAGTCATGCATCACAGAGCACATCCATGCGCCGCCATGGCTAATCGCACACACTGGACCAGGACTACTGCGCCAAACCCCAATCCCTAAGAACTCACCGTGGACACTATGGTAGGTCCCGACAAGGGGGAGACTCTGGACCCCCACTGATTCCCTAAGAAGAACATCATACTTGCCTTGCCTAATGTTGCGCTGGACAACGCTTGTGGTTCCCTCGGGAGACAGGTATGGGGATGTCAACTCTTCAAGATGAGACATCCACGACTCATACGTCACCTTGTCCCCAAAGATGATACCTTCTCCTTTTCCACCTCTCGCCGGCTTTAGGATGTATCCGTTTTTGGTGCTTGGCTGAAGGCGGCACTTTTCGATAAACTGGGTCATTTGGGTAGATCCAGGAAGCACTGTGTGGCATATTCCTTGGTTGATCAAACGTGCTTCGGAAGGTAGAAGAATACTTTTGGCCACGAGAGAATCAAGCTCCTCCAGAACAATTCCTAGCATACGCTTGTCATGGACCAGAAGCAAAGTGCGCATATCGTTGAAACACCGCAAACTGACTTGTTGGAGAATTTCATAATCGAGGGCGAGAATCTCTCTTTGATGCAGCTCCAGTCCCACCTGATGAATCTCTTCAAGAATTTCACCGGCTTCATTGAGAAATGGGGTAGTTTCCTCATTGACTGGGCGCTGGGGATTAGCCAGACAGCATAATTTGTATCCATATAAAGACTGATTGCATGGGACCAATCGTAAGTCATCAGGCGTGATAAAGCGTATGTGTTGTCCAAGAACGTTCTTCGCGTAATGAGTATATAAATGAATGTCAAACCCATGCTCTTCGCCCTTGAGAAGGTGAAGGGGCATATCGGGATTGTACAGCCGTTGAAGTCCGTCGAGAATCTATCATACCAGTTAGCCTTGCTTTGAAAACGTGTAGCACGATTATAGCCTGGCTTTCGATGGACAAAATACCTTTTGTGGATCCGTCCCACCGGATATTCCATCGTGACAAATACCCATATCCAATAGAGCTTGTTGTCCTAACGCACTCATCATGTAGCCATTCCAGCAGAAACGGGCATTGATCTCGCAGATGCGAAAGGCTTCCACACCTTGGCCCAGATCAGTATCCCCATCGATGAGAAAGTCCGGTCTCCAAGATCCGCAACACTTTTTGAAAGGGCGTATAGCTTCCATATTCTGTGTCTCCAGCCACTGCATACAATGAGTATCTTCCTTCGTCGATTTGGGGAGCACGTACGCGAAGAAGCTTTTCCTCCAAGGGTTGCAGAGGCATACGTTCTGGGAACCTTGCAGTTGTATCTGTCCACCATCTCGAGACGATGTTGGTTATAGCCTTCACAAGCGCTTTATTTAGATTTTCTAGCTGAACTTGATGCTTGCTATTGACCAGAATAGGATAGGGGCAGTTGGATAAATGGCAACTGCCGGTCCAAGTGTCAGCTGGACAGATTTTCACGAGGCTGGTGTGAAGAGCTTCGCTTAAGGATTTGCGGGTAATTGCATCAACATCTCCAGGAGAAGTGATTGTTGTTCCTTCTTCAGAAGGGATGGCACAGATACAACGGAGTTCATCTTTGGGGGGGCCTCATGGTTGTGGGATAGAGAAAGGAAACAGGAAATCAGCTGAAAACATTGAACTTACCCTATGGATTACTCTTCTTTATGGGGGCACATACTCGTTCTTGGTTTTCGTCACAAGTCTGTTCTATGCAAGGGGCGTAATTAATATGTATCATAAATTCATCACAGCATGCGCAAGATAGTTAGATATACATTCTTCAAATTTAAAGAGGAAGAAGCCCGCCCTGTTTTTCGATGCTCATTCAAGATTAATGCGGTTTGGACATTTCGCTTCATCATGCAGCCTGACTTCTACCCTCTGTCAGATATTCTCGAGGTTGCCAGTGTGCACCCTTTCTACTCCGACGCTGAATACCCTCCAACACGAGAAGAAATACCGGCTATATTAGAATCCTCCCGGCTGAAACGTGAAGACGTCCAACTCAGGTCATTTCCGGTAACACGAAAGGACTCTCTGTATGCTATCTTTATTATATGCACGATTGACCCCCACTAAATCGAATAGATACCGCCACATCTCTCGACTTACAGTAGACAAGGATCCACGAAATGGCTACCGCCAGGGCACCTATATTAGCACCACAGGGGGCGGATCAGGGGGTCCACCTATGGTCTTCGCGACAGATTGTCTCGAAAATCGGCGACAGCGTGCCGTGATAGGAAACTTACTGAGGGAGTGTGGTCTGATAGAACGGGGTGACTGGGTACTCACATTACACGTATCAGGCCATTTGTACCGGTAATTACCTCTGGAAATGCATGTATTGGGCTTGACTACTAATATCGAACTTGATAGGGCAATAGACTTGATGACGGAACTCTTCGAAAATGCAGGCGCCGCCGTCTTGTGTGCGGGCCCTGAAATGCCTCACCAAGCTGTGGTGGAGGCCCTCATTCAGTTTCGAGCAAATGCAGTTGCTGGGGATGTCAGTCAGCTCCTCCAGCTAGCAAATTATTTGACCACCCTTGGAAGTGAGCAGAGGAAGGAAATTTCGCTCAACAAGGCCATTTATACATCCGAGTCCATGACTGCATCGCAAAGAGAATTTCTAATTTCGGTTTTTGGAGACATCAACATCTGCTCAGTCATTGGCAGCGCGGAGGCAGGGCCTTGGGGTGTCTCAAGCACCGCATTGATGGAAGCTCCCAAAGGCAACTATACCGACTTCATCGTCGATAAGCGCACGATTTGCTTAGAGGTCCTTCCATTTTCGGTTGGCGAGGAATCACAAAAGACATCCTGTTCGCTCACCTCGTGTACAGAGCATGTTCCCTTAGGCCAGCCAGGTCTCTTGGTACAGACTTCCTTGCAGCGCCTGCGCAATCCTCTGGTTCGATACTTGTGTGGTGACGTGGCATCTCTTCATCCTATGTCTCCGGAATTGCTCGAAAGGCTTCCTAAACAGTACACCGAACATTACCAACTGGTTCGAATCTACGGCCGCGATCAGCGCTCCAGCTTTACATGGTATGGCGAGTATTTCGATTTTAAGGCCGTTCAGACCTTTATGCGCAACGACCAGTGGAATATCATCCAGTGGCAGATCATTCTACAACACGCAGATCGCAAGGGGGCGGGTACAATGCTCGACGTGCGAGTTCTACGCGGGCTGCACATAGCAGAGAGGCATGCTAGTAAGGAGGACCTTACAAAGAAAATGATGGAGTTCTTTTGGGTATTTGATTTCAATCGCGATTTGTTTAGTTTGACATTTGTCTCGGAACCAGGGGGGATTCTTACGGAGCAAGACGGGACGAAAGGTCATGCAGTTCGTTGACTTGACCGCATAGTTGTTTGCCTTACAATGGTACATGGAAACAAGCAGAGACGATGTTAAGGGCCTCATTTTATGCATTATTCGGCTAATTGACTTGGCGATCCATTGGAACTTTTGCAGATCACAGTGTTAGATTTTTGTATGGATCCCACACACATATGTATCCTTCCAAGTCACATCCCTTACCTGCGCTATAGTAGCAATGCAGCTGCTTCTGATTAATCACACAATCTTGAACTCATCCCAGTGACGACGATCAACGTGGTGGTGAGTTATGAATCGTCTACATATAGCCTAGCAAATCCTTTCCACTTTAAACCTAAGTATATGCTCTCATTTACGTACTAGGCAGCCTCCATCAAACATCACTACGATATTGCTGCTCCCTATAAGTACCTTGACTATATTGCGGGGATACATGTTCTTCTACCAAGCCGAACATGGCCAAACAATTCTATACACTGGGCGAAGTTCTCGCAGTCGCTCGCAACCACCCTTTCTACAATAGAGATGTTAAATATCCGCTTTCCCCGAACGAAGTTTTGTCGGTCACCTCGGAAGCGCAGTCCAGTGACGATGAGTTCCAACAATATCCAATCATTGACAAGAAAAACATGTACGTTCTATAGCGGGCAAAACCTATTGTATGATTTATGGAGCTGACTCGTTGAATTAAGCTTTTCTGTTATTGAAACCTTGGCAGCAGATGATTCACCAGAGAACACCTTCCGCCAGAGCTCCTATACTAGTGTTACAGGCGGAGGCTGGAGCCGTGGTGTTCCTATGCTATTCCTTACCGATAGCGCAGAAAACAGACGCCAACGTGAGAGTATTGGTGCGCTGATTGAGGCAGTAGGGATTGTGCAGCCTAAGGATTGGATATTGAACATCCATGTTTCTGGATATTTGTATCGGTTTGTTTGCCCGATATGATTGAGAACTTGATTTGACAGGAGCTTCTAACATGAGAAACCTCTAGTTCCCTCGATCTGTTGACGGATGCTCTAGAGTATGCTGGAGGAACAATACTTTGTGCTGGAGGAGATATGTCTGCCGAATTAGCCACTAAGACTCTGATACAGTACCGCTGTAACTTCCTCACAGGCCCTGTCACAGAGCTCATCAAGCTATCTCGGCACATATCGGGTCTCCCATCAGATATTCGGAGCCAAGTCCGGATCACCAAGATTCTTTACACATCCGAACCTTTACTACAGTCGCAGCGCAGCCTTTTGATGGAGATCTTCAACTCTCCGGCGATTTATTCTGGCCTTGGCAGTGCTGAGGCCGGATTTTGGGCTGTTTCAAACCCACAGCTCACCGATCATACCGAAGATGTCGACACTGCCGACGATGGAGCAGACTTCGTATATGATATACGGGCCATGCATGTTGAGATTCTCACCCGATCGTCACCTGAGAGCAATTCTCCCTTAAACCAGCCCGTTGCCGATGGTAACCCCGGTGCTATCGTTCTCACGTCTCTGCAACGTCTTCGGAACCCATTGGTGAGATATAACTCCGGTGATATCGGGTCTCTCCATCCGCTCCCAGCCAAAGCACAGACACAAATTGCACCCGAACGCGTGCCGTATTTGCGGTTGCTACGCATCTACGGCCGCGATAAACAGTTCAGTTTCAACTGGGGATCCAACTATTTCCATTATGACACTATTCACAAGATGATGCAGACAGAAGAATTTGGGATCCTTCAGTGGCAGATTTTGCTCGGTTGGGAGCAAGATGTTCAGGGTGTTGAATCTATGGAGGTCCGTATTTTGCGGGAGTCCTCCAGCACTAAAGATTCAATACTCCCGGAAGATGAACTGGTGGCGCAAATCAAATTCAGCTTCCTGGTCATTACCAATCCTTACTTTAGGGTTGTTATTGTGAACGATGTAAATGATTTTGAACGGAGTGGGACTGGTAGGAAAGTTACACGGGTGGTTGATCGCAGATAAGCATGGGAAAAGCCAATACTATTGTTTTGACGCCTTGAGATTTTCCTGTCTTGGGATATTTAGAACATGATCATTATTCTCAGTCTATCCGTCTATGGACTCCAGATGCCTACACATCTTGATGATTCCTGCAAATATTATTCAATTACAGAGAGCAATTGGCTATGTACTCAACTTGCTTGAAGTCTTCTAGTGCCGTTGCGGGGGCAACGCTTTGATACAACTATAAGAATTGCAGTCAACGTTAGAAGAATAGGAACTTGAACAAGTGCGGCCCTTATAGGCTATGCAGGGTGCACTGACCGATTAACCGACGACCTCAACGTATTAACCTTAGGATGAAGATAATTTGGGATATCGCGATCCATCACGTGATGACACACAGCCAAGGAACTTATAGGTCAAAACGGTGGTAGCATAACGAGAGACCCAAGTTATTACCCATTCGACCGAACCTTGGAAAATCCCTGGACCAAGATATTTGAATTGTTAGCTTTGCTCGGTAATTCGCACACTTATCAGCCATGGTGAAGATAGAAGCTTTCGCGGTTGAACAGGTACCTCCCCGCATTACCCCATGATTCGGTGGTGTTTGTCTGTTCCCTGTCCATGGGTATACAGCTGTCCTTATTGACCAATTTGCAGTGGATGGACAAGTATGAGACCACTGCCAAATATAATACCGCCGAGACCTGCTGCGCATCCATCTCCGTCGACGATCTCCGCGCGCTCTCCGATGATAAGGAGTCCGACCCCCTCGCCCAGCTTCAGTCAACGAAACTTACATATGGCGCGATCCGTGGTTCCGATAAGCTACGAAATACATTGGCGAATCTGTACTCGGTGAGGGCACCAACGCAGTTGCCGATGGATAATATCTTGATCACCGCTGGCGCGATTCAAGCGAACTTCTTGCTGCTGTATACATTGGTTGGTCCAGGAGACCATGTCATCTGCCATTATCCAACATATCAACAATTGTTCTCCGTCCCTGCGTCAGTGGGGGCCGAAGTCAGCCTATGGAAGTCCAAAGAGGCCGATGGATGGCAGCTGGACATTGAAGAGCTGAAAGGCCTCATCCGTCCCAACACGAAGTTGATCATTATAAAGTATGTATGATTCTTATAAGGCGCGGTTCTTTTTTTTCTGACCATCATGCTCTTCATAGCAACCCGCAAAACCCAACTGGAGCCATCATCCCGCGCCAGACACTCCAGCAATTGGTCGATATTGCCCGCGAGAAATCCATAATCATCCACTCCGACGAGGTCTATCGCCCACTTTTCCACAACATCAGTCCTGCAGACCCGAGCTTCCCACCCACACTTCTTTCCATGGGATACGAACGCACCGTGGTGACAGGATCTGTTTCCAAAGCATATAGCCTGGCTGGGTTGCGGGTCGGCTGGGTTGCATCGCGAGATAATTCTATCATTGATGCCCTTGCCAACGCGCGCGATTATACAACTATCTCGGTGGGCAGATTGACGATGCAATTGCTAGTTTTGCATTAGCACCGGATTGCATCCACAATCTTCTGAAGCGAAATATTGATTTGGCCCGGACTAATCTCTCTATCCTAGAGAAGTTCATTGATGCTCATCGCTGGGCGTGTGAGTGGATTAAACCGCAAGCCGGTACCACTGCATTTGTGCGCTTTAACAAGATGGGAAAGCCCATAGATGATGTCGCTTTCTGCGAGATGCTTCAGGAACGAACCGGTGTTATGCTTGTACCGGGAAGCCTTTGCTTTGGGGTTGGAGAAGACTTCAAGGGCTATGTTCGCATCGGGTATGTCAATGAAACCGAGGTCCTGGAGCAGGGCTTAGATGCATTGAGCAAGTTCATGGAAGATGGATATGAAGATGTCCCAGTGAAGAAGTCCTTGCAAAAGTAATATGCCTTAAGGGATTCGGCTATCAAAAACCGGTGATTGGACGCATAAACTAGTACCTGGAGTACATACTACTAGTACATATATAGTATAGCCTTACTCTCCTAAAAGTGCGGGGTGGCGATCCCTCTACATAAGCCCCATGTGAAACTTTGGTATAAGAATCAGAGAATTGTTAGAATTGTTAGAATTGTTAGAATTGTTAGAATTGTTAGAATTGTTAGAATTGTTAGAATTGTTAGAATTGTTAGAATTAGCATCTACCTAGCTAATTGTTATAAACCGAAGTACTAAATAAACGCATAGATATTGGTCTCGAAGAGATAACCTTGGAAGTGGTGAACGGCTAAATTCCATTGTGTGGCGGGTACGCGTTGTACGATGTCGCATGTCGTCAGGGGATCGGCACATCCGTGCCGAGGCACGTTTCGATCTCTTCTTATTTCAATCCGGATTCCACTGCCAACCTTCATTGCTTTTGATCAACAGGCAGCAAAGCCGAGTATCGAGGAGCCTCTATAGTGCATTCTCGGGATTTTCCCCCCAGAGCTACTACCTAGGTACATTCAAAGCTGGAATACAAAGGGCGACCGCATCCTCCACCCAAATACTCCTTGGTCATACTCACTTGAGCTTGACCATTGAATCTTTTTGGCCATAATGCCACTTCCATCTCTACCCGGTAGGTTATGACCCACGGCGCGACGGCTGTCATGGCTAACAAGCGGTCTCTTTGCGCAGAAATTCCCTTGAGTCTTGCACTCCCTGCCGCGGCAACTACACTTGCATATCTCAACGCGAGATGGTCGCTCTCCTACGATTTGAATCTCATCAAGGGCTTGCTGAAGATGTCTGCGAAGTCCCGCATCGCCGAACGTGGCGACCGCTTGAACCTCTTCTACACACTTGAAGCCTATGCACTCGATCCTAAAACTGCAGACAATGATTTTATTGTGTACAATGGACGAACGACGACATTCCACGAAACCTATATCACAGCTCTTCGCTATGGAGCGTGGCTCAAGACAGTCCACGGCATTAAGCGCAAGGAGATCGTCGCGATCGATTTCATGAACTCGTCTACCTTCATCTTCATGCTGTTGGGACTTTGGAGTATTGGAGCGGTCCCTGCATTTATCAACTACAACTTGTCTGGCAAGCCGCTCACCCACTCTATTCGGACGTCCTCCGCAAGGCTTGTGGTGGTTGACGAAGAAGTCCGCCACTGCTTCCCGGAGGAGCAGGAGAAGATTTTGACATCCCCGAACTTCCGTGATGGCAAGGGACCTGTTGAAATTGTGTTCCATACCCCAGAGGTGGAAGCCCAGATCTTGGGGATGGAGCCTATGCGAGAGGATGACAAGGCTCGCAGTGGCTTGATCCCTCGCGATATGGCCATTTTGATTTACACAAGTGGCACCACCGGGCTTCCCAAACCCGCTATTGTCAGCTGGAAGAAGTGCTGGTCTGGTAGTTTATTCGTTAAAGATTGGTTGAACATTACTCCCTCTGACAGATTCTTCACGGTAAGGTCTACCAAATTTACAAATGTGACTGTCCAAGCTAACCTCTTAACTAGTGCATGCCACTTTACCATAGTTCGGCTGCGATACTTGGGTTTATAACTTGTTTGATGGGCGGATCCACCCTGATCATTGGCCGCCGGTTCTCTGCCCGCAACTTCATGAAGGAGGCTCGGGAGAACGATGCCACAGTTATTCAGTACGTGGGCGAAACGCTACGTTATCTATTGGGCGTAGCACCTGAAATTGACCCGGTCACCGGAGAGGACCTTGACAAGAAGCACAATATCCGCTTGGCGTTTGGAAATGGATTGCGTCCTGATATCTGGAACCGCTTCAAGGAGCGCTTCAACATTCCCACAATCGCCGAGTTCTACGCCGCCACCGAAGGCACTGCGGGCTCATGGAACATTTCGTCGAACGACTTTTCCGCGGGTGCCATCGGCCGAAATGGTGCTTTAGGAAACATTATCCTTGGTCGTGGCTCTGCCATTGTGGATGTTGACCACGAGACCCAGGAACCATGGCGTGATCCCAAGACTGGTCTCTGCAAGAAGGTGCCTCGCGGTGACCCCGGTGAGTTGCTGTTTGCCATCGATGCAGCAGATCCCACTGCCAATTTCCAGGGCTACTTCGGAAACAAGAAGGCGACAGAAGGCAAGATTATCCGTGATGTAATCAAGAAGGGCGATGCCTATTTCCGGACCGGTGACATGGTTCGATGGGACAAAGACGGCCGCTGGTTCTTCTCGGATCGACTGGGTGATACCTTCCGATGGAAGAGCGAGAACGTATCCACCAGCGAGGTTTCTGAGGTTCTGGGCGCGCATCCTGAAGTGCATGAAGCCAATGTTTACGGCGTGGCTCTTCCTAATCATGATGGTCGTGCCGGTTGTGCAGCCATCCTCTTCAACCAGCAGATAGCAAGCGGTGGCCTCTCTGATTCCGCACTGGAGCCCTCGCGCGAGGTGCTTGATACTCTGGCTGCACACACTCTCCAGAACCTGCCCCGGTTTGCGGCACCGCTGTTCTTGCGGGTTACGCCTGTGACGCAGTCGACGGGTAACAACAAGCAACAGAAGCATGTTCTCCGTACTGAAGGTGTGAACCCGGCTCTTGTGTCGAAGAAGGACAGACTGTACTGGCTCCAGGGTAATACCTATGTCCCCTTTGGACAGAGGGACTGGGAACGGTTGACTGGTGGTCAAGTTCGACTTTGATTTGTCTCCTTTCCTTGGACTCATATTGCCTTCTCGTGTCTCCTTTGACTTTCCCTATTACCTGTCTATCCTTTTCGGTCCTATGGCCTTATCCCTACCCTCCTTTACCTTAAGATACCCTCGACAGCCCTTAATTCAACGATTTATATATGCCCATTTGGGGTTGGCCTAGTATCACTAGACTTAAGTTTACCTGTAGCGCATCCTATAGACAATTGTATAGAGACCTTGGCAATTTCCTGGTATCATCTAGTCTCCTGGGCTCTCAATATTGGAATGTCGCTGAAGAAGGTTAGTAGGCCACAACTTGTATGCCCGGGAAATGCATAGTACGGGAATAGGCCCGGTCACATCCACGGATACATATTCGCGAGGAAGGTACATATAACAGCTCCTGGAAGGCACCATGCATTCTGAAATAGGAAGGAAGGGACTGCCACAAGGCAAGAGCATCCCTGGAGTTCTGTATGAGGAAGGAACGATAAGGAAAGTGAGCATAAATGGAACTCTAAGTCCAGACATAGCAACCCCCAACCCCCATGGCTCAGATGGGAAGTGCCCCGGGCAGGGTAATGTTAGGTTGTGCGTTCGAATCACAGCTAGGTTGGGTTGAAGAACTGTGAGTCACGGGCTGACGACAGGGAGTACACCAACCCCACCTTGAAAAGGGGGCTCCCTGATGCCTCAATAGTTAGGCCTGAGCGAGGCGCGTATGAGGAAACTGTCCCTACTAGCTGTTGTGAAGATCCTTGGGGCCACTTTTTTTTTCCTACTTCGGGATCCTTTGAAGCTATTCACACATTTGGACCCACCACCCCACCATAACCCCACCCCCACAACTTAACTTCTTTCAAGCTTTGGTTTCTTTTTAATATTCCTACAATATGGTCTAGTATTATTTTTTTTGCGGAAGTCATTGATTTATTTTTCTTCAATGTACGCTCTTGGTTGATACAAATGCTTTCTCTCGCTTGCCCAGGTGGACAAAGTCTGCACCTGGGCAATTTCCTTCTCTGAGTGTTCTTGCTCTCAACCTTCCAAGGTTGGTATACTAGGCGGAACGGTTGAATGTGTCTAAAGGCGAATCAGCCTCGACGATCTTCCACACCTGCTCAATCCGTGCTGCAATTTCCGCGCTCAGGGGACCTTTGCTCAATGCAGCAAGCGTCTGATTGAGCTGCTCAACATTACGCGAGCCAACAATCACAGCATCTCCGAATTCTCCTTTGAGGGCCGAGTTATGCGCCACCCACCTATATGCCAATTCAGCCTTGGGAATACCAGACTCCTTGGAAATCCTCCCCCATTGTTCCAAGCCCTCCAACATGCTCGGCTTATTAAAAAGCGCATTGTACACCCCACCAAGTGGTGTCTTTGGATTCCATCGACCCTGGCCGCCCGCGACCAAAGTCGCAACATCCTTGGTCAGGAACCCACCCGCGATGGGCGAATAAGCATAGAAGGACATGTTATGCTTCCGTAGCGTGGGAAAGAGTTCTTTCTCTGCTCGGCGTGCAACAGCGGAATAGTTGCCCTGGTACACACTTGGAACGACATAGTTCCTTTCGCGACAGATGCGGACCACCTCTTCGACCTCCTCGGCGAGATAGTTGGACAATCCAAAACGCTTGAACTTCCCAGCCCGGTACTCAGAGTCGATACTAGCCAGCAAATCTTCCATTGGGCTTCTGCGTTCGGGGGCATGCATGTAGTAGACATCGAGCTAGGAATGGGATCAGAGATTGGGTCTTTACAGCCTCAGGTTATGGGAAGCTCACCTGGTCAGTTTGAAGAAGATCCAAGCTCTCATTCAAGCTTGTAACAAGAGACTCTGGGGTAGAAGGCTCGGGTCCAGCCCCGCCAGGGAATTTGGAATCAATGGTAAAGCGGGAATGGGCTTGAAGTTTTCCCAGTAGCTCCTCGGAGTTACTGTAGCGCTTGGCAGTATCGATGTTTTTGATGCCCTTAGCATGTAGAATATTGAGGACCTCGCTGATGGATTCAAGGGTTGGATAAGAGACTTTGTCGACGATTGAGGCTCCGCCCCAGATGATTTTGATGCTCGCCATGATAGATGGTTGTTGAAGGAGATTGGGTATATGAATGTTTAAATACAACACTGACGGGTATTTATTCAATCCATGAATACTCCTTGGGGAGTTTTATAATCAGTATCTTCTCAGGTACATGAATCTACTACCTACATATACCTACATGTAGGTATCAGCCCTGGATTATCAATCATCGGTTCGAAGGTTACCCGTACCGAGGACTGCCATCCCCACTTCCCGAAGTTCCGAGTCGGAATCGATGGCCCGGGGAGGCCTCTTGCATGTAGGAATTATAATTCCCATTGGCAAATCAAATTGGGATAATATTATCTACCTAGGTACATGTAGTCAAATCATAAAGGAAAAAGTATGTAGATAGGCAAATCTAATGTCATTCTACAGGGACAAGCATAAAGCCGACTTGGGGAGCCAAATCGGCTTCCCCGCATGCATTTGGAGATCCCCAGTTTTCCTTTTCTTCTTTCTCTTTTTCTCTTTTGCTTTTCACCACTCTCCCCAAATCATCATGTCTTCGAGTTTGTCATTACTCACACCTCTTCGCCCGCGCGTACTGGCGCAAACCCGACCGGGCGCAATTCGCAGTTTCACCATCTCTCAGCGTCTCCGCTCAGATGCGTCCTCGGTAGCCTCGGCCTTCCTGTCGCGCTTCCAATCCCTGGGGCCGCAAACCCGTACACAAACCATAGATGCGAACCAACTCCAGCTTCTCACCCTCACACTCAATCGCCCGACTCTGTTCCCCGGTGCTCCCTCCCTGTCCAATGGCGCATCCGCCCCGCAATCCACAGTACCCGTTCCGCCGGGCTACCACCTCGCGTATTTCACACCCGCGTTTTTGGAAAGTGAACTTGGGGCTGATGGAACCGATGCGTCATACAATCCCGACGTGCCCTTCACACGGCGCATGTGGGCAGGCGGAGAGGTGCTGTGGCCCCGTGTGGATGGGAAGCCCAATCTGTTACGGGTAGGACAGCAGGTGCAGGAGACAACGCGGGTACTTAGCGCGGAGCCCAAGGTTGTGAAAAAGACCGGCGATGACATGATTGTTGTTGGAATCGAGAAAGAATTCGCGAACGAGCACGGCGTCTCGATTATTGACCGACGGTCGGTCTTTCCTTTTCAAAGAATGTCGCAGACCAAAGTACTGACAACAACGTCATATAGCAATTGGGTGTTCCGTAAAGCTCTACCTGTCCCGTCTGCATCAACGCCATCCAGTGCCCCTCCCTCGTCTCCAACGTCCCATCTTGCGAGCCCGAATCCTACTTCATCCGTCATCTCCACCGAGGGCAACACCCATACGCGAACCCTGGTGCAAACACCCGTGACACTGTTTCGGTTCTCTGCTCTGACTTTCAACCCTCATAAGATTCACTACTCCCTGCCCTGGGCGCGGGATGTAGAAGGGCACAAGGATATTGTAGTACATGGCCCGTTGAATCTGATATCCATCCTGGATCTTTGGCGTGACACTCGCCAGAATGTCGCAGATTCTACCTTGGTTGTACCTGAGCGCATCTCTTACCGGGCGACGAGTCCATTATATGCGGGGGATGAGTATCGGATTGTGCTCGAAGATGGCGAGGGAGCGAAGGTCCAGATTATTGGGCCTGGAGGAGTAGTCGCCATGAAGGCTGAGATCCACTAAATATTAACTGCACAAATATACCACGTATAGAACTGTGATGATTGCGGTCTGTAAGGGCTATTCCTGATAGAATCGAAGGACTAAAGCCCTGTCCGGTGTTAACGGTCTTAGCGGGGCGTGTAGATCCCCCACGGGCTTGGGAGTCCAATGGTTTTTCCTTTTCCACCTGGAATGTCAGTCCCGGGGCATCTTCCCCATCATTTGCTGATCGCAATAACCATAATAACCATAAATAATAATGGACGAACCTCTGGACCCTGCTGCGGAGACATCCGCCCCCAAAAAGCGGACACGAGTTCAATTTTCCTGCACGGCGTGCAGGTATCGAAAGTAAGCTCAACGCATGACGTGCATACACAGCATATCTGCAGCGACTGATCGATAACAGATTGAAATGCTGTCGCAATCACCCTTGCGGTAATTGCAAGAAGCGAGGCGAGGCCACATCATGCACCTATGTCGGGCGCGGGCCACGAGCCAAAGCCCAACATGGGCGGTCAAGCCCGACTCTAGTTCAGGACCGCTTGCGCCATCTAGAGAATCTAGTGAAGTCTCTTGCACAGAAGCAGAGGTCTGAACCTGATATCGACTTTAATGCGGTGCAACCAAAGAATCGGGACGGTTATGCAGCGCCTTCCCCGGGCTCTGACCGTGACGCTGCGTTGGTTCCTGGTGACACGGGCACGCTGGTCGTCAAAAATGAGGGAACTAGTTACATTGATGGTGCAAACTGGCGCGCAATTCTAGAAGAGGTCCGTCTTGATCTGGTCATTGTTGCGCTCTGAAATGGACTGTGCTGACGGGTTCTCAAATCTGAAGATTAGTGACGTGAAAGAATATCTAGACGAGGATGGTGAAGATTCAGACGATGAAGGCGTCGAAGTTGACCCGTACGATGACTCGTCACCAGTTCTGCTGCTTGGTCATGGTCGTCCGGTGAGCAAAGAGGAGATGCTTATGGACATCCCTCCACGGTCAGTAGCCGATCGCCTGGTCTCTCGATTCCTGAAGACATCTGAACCGGCACGAGGTATGCTATTCTCAAGGAAAACTCTGGGCACTGAGTATTGATAAGCTAGCAGTGTCAATCCATGTTCCCACGTATCAGAAAGAGTACGAGGAGTTCTGGCTGCGCCCAGCAGACAAATCATTTACTTGGATTTCTCTCTTATACTCGATCATGGCTTTGTCTCTCTCTCTATATGATCGAGGCTCAGAGCCGCTGCCTTCTAGCATGGCTGACCCTATCAAGTCATGGGCCATATTCCGGAAAAGGTCCTCGCAGTGTCTTATCCAAGCGAACTACATCACCCCAGGGCGATACAAAGGCGAAGCACTATTCCTTTACTCACTCACCGAGTTCTACCGCACCCAGGATTCGCAGATTGGAATGTCCTACTTGCTCGGGATGACTATTCGTCTGACTATGCGTATGGGTTACCATCGTGATCCACGTCATTACCCAATGCTATCTGCCATGGATGGGGAAATGCGCCGCCGTCTCTGGGCGTTGCTCGTTCAGCTCGATACTTTAGTCTCATTTCAAGTCGGCGTCCCTCGAACAATCCAGCCTTGGCAATATGACACTGAGTTGCCCTCTAACTTGCTGGACACCGACTTCGACGAGACTTCCGTTCAATTACCACCCGAGAGGCCAAGTAATGAAGGAACAGATTGCACGTACACAAGGGCCAAATCTCACATTATGAGTGTCTTTGGTCAGATAACAGACCTAGCATTCTCTCGAGAGCATTCATCCTACGATGAGATCATGGAAATTGACCGTCGTTTGGAGACCTCCCATGATATGTTACCCTCCTGCTTGAAAATCCGGCCAATGACGCAGTGCATCGCAGACCCAGCAGAACTGACCGTGCGGCGCTTCGCCTTGGAGCTCCTGTATCAAACAGCACGGCTTGTCCTACATCGCCGGTATATCGCTGAGACCAATACCAAATTTGCTTACTCGCGATCAGTCTGCCTAGCCGCAGCTCGGAAAGCGCTTCAACACCACAAAGAGATCTGGACTGAGTTCATGCCCGGCGGTCAGTTGCACGCTGAGCGATACTTCCTCAAGTCCCTCCATAATTCCTTCTTGCTCTCTGCAATGATTCTTTGCCTTGAGATGTCCCAGGATGCAGATCGTGGGGATGCTGCGCGTCTCGGGCCCCAAGAACGCGCAGAGTTCTTGTTTCTTCTGGAAAGTACCCATCGCATATTCATGGAATCCAGTCGCCAGTCTGTAGATACACAGCGAGCAGTGAATGCTCTGAATATCATGCTCAAGCGGGTGAAGAAAGGTGACTTTCAATATTCCAGTTCGACTACTGGGAAATCAACGGCGCCCAGGGATAGTAAGTCTAACCATTCTCTTCTAAAGATCGCGCTGACAAGGTCCCCAGATGATATCCCAACCCGATCCACGGGTGCACCAACCTTTAATCAACAATACCCAGCCTACACATCCAATTCTGGCGAATTCCAGTCCGCGATACCCAACGTTGGCCAGACAGCGTCATACGATTCCCTGGGGGTCATTGAAGGCATGCTTGATATACCTGCTCAACTGGACTGGGTAAGAGCCCCAACTGTGCTTAGTACAACCGTTAATAACCCTTCATTTCTAGAACCTGTACGACAGTCACATATCAGGGGTCCAAATGGCCACCAATAACAACATCTGGTACTCCCATGGCCCCGCGACTCCGGCGTACGATTTCAGTGCGTATCCTCCTGGCGTATCGCCGATGGATCATCAGAGCTTCCAGCAATGATGATGGTGAATTCCACATATATATCCAATGTTATGAATATACTTTGCCTCTCTTGTACATCGTTGATCAAAGATCGCGTGATACTACCCATCAAGGCGCTTATGTTGTACAACGATAAATTGATGAACGAGGCCTAAGAACAGCCATGTTGTAATACGTACATCGCTAGAGCTATTTGGTTTTTTTTTTTATCCCAAAAAAAATTGTACGAATTACAGAATGATCAAATCCGGAGTATGTACCTGGATGTACCTGGGCACTCACTAAATCCTGCCGAGGCGGCTGCAGATCCGCTCCGCGGAACCGGAGCGTTTTTCCTGTCTGCCAGGAACACTCAAAGAACCAACCTGTGGATATCTTCTTTATATCACCCCTCCCCGATGCGACCATTCCGTACCTTCCGACTCCCAAGTCGCGCAACTCTCCCCTCCCAACAGCAGAATGTGTGCTCGGTCTCCCACTTCAACACAAGCACGAGGACAATAAGCACAATACAACGACCAGGTCTGCGCCAACCTCTACTCCCAAGCAATGGTACCAAAACCACCATACGAGCATTCGGCCTTCCCGACCTATCCTCCTTCCTCCCCAGCAGCAACAATAACAACAATAACAACTCCCCACACCGCGTCCTAACCGCCACCCGCACCCTCCCCTACAACCCAGCCCTGTTATACAAAGTGATTTCCTCAGTCGAAGCCTACAGCCAATTCCTCCCCTTCCTCACCGCCTCGACCGTGACAGCGCGAGATCCGGAAACAGGATACCCAACCCAAGCGTTCCTGACAGTCGGCTACGGCCCGCTCAGCGAGACGTTCACGTCGCGCGTGATCTGCGACGTAGAGAAGCTGACTGTGGAGGCTAAGAGCGGCGCCAACTATGCTAAAGAGGTGCAGGATGGCCGGGCTGGTAAGAGCTCTTCTTCGTCCGGGCTGAGCGGGTTCTTCCCTGGTGCGAATGAGGGCCTTTTCGAGTACCTATCGACGAGATGGGAGTTGGTGCCCGTTTCACCTGGAGCGCAGGGTGGGCCGTTGACTAAGGTCAATTTGGAAGTGCGGTTTGAGTTTCGTTCGCAGATGCATGCTACGCTTATGAGTGCTGTTGAGGGGCAGATGGCTGGGGTTATGATTGAGGCTTTTGAGAAGCGGATAAGGGAGGTTGAGGGTAAAGGACAGTGATAGGGATGTCAATTGTAGATTGGATTGTATATTAGTGGGAGTTTTGGTTTTCGAGCATACTTTGCATATATGACAACTACATAAGACTACTTGGGCTTACATGTCGACTCTTGACAACAGAAGGGAAATAGAGAGCATCGCCAATTTGATTCTATTGGATGGATCGCTGTACATGCTCAATCAGAAGCCTGTGAGAATGAGCAATGGAGACCAAAATAAAAAAAAATAAAACATGATAGTATATATAATACAGATTATCCAGACACAGAAATGATTTTCAACTTAAAGCATGCTCATACTCCGATGACGGTTGATGGAGCTGCGCGAGTTCTTCATCGAGCCGACAGCATTGTAGTTGTCGAAGACCACATCCCAGTTAATCCGATCCCACCAGCGCTCGAGGTACTCGTCCTTGCCGGCAATACCGTAGTCCATCATCCACGCGTGCTCCCAAGTGTTGACACAGAGAATGGGCTGTACGTCGACAGCACCGGGAGCGAGGCTCTTCTGGTTCTGGGCATGGGCGCCCATCGAGCCGGCGAACTGGTTGCCCAGTGGAGTCTCCGGGGTGTGGGTGGCCATATCGACGGGTTGCCGCCGGGAGTGGGCGGCCGGGTAGGGCGAGCCGGCGCTGTAGGTGCAGAAGATGTGCATCATGCCTTCGCGCTCGAGGTTCTTGGCAAGCCAGACGAATCCGGGGCCGAACATTGAGCTTGCTGTGGCCAGGAAATCCAACTTCAGGGACTCGACGGAGGAGCAGGTGTCGACGATGTCCTTGGCGAACTTTTCGGGGATGGTGGTGGCGGTGGGAGACTGTATTGAGCAGGCTAGTCAGGATGGTAAGTCCCATATAGAGGGATTGTTGGCTTTACTAACCAGGCAGTTGAAGAAAAAGTGGTTGTTGTGGGCCATTGAGGCATAGTTGAACACCGAGGCCATCTCCGGACGCTTGGAGTATTTGACCAGCAATTCTCCTGGTTTAGCATCTGCGTCGACGGTATCTAGTGAATTCGAATGTCAGACACGTCTTCCAATGTGCCATATCGCTCAATCATGCAGTTGGGGCCGAATTGGATGGATGTATCGTTCCACAGGGTCGGAGTATCGGGCTCACCTTGTGTCAACAGATTGAGCTTGTTAACGAGGAGAGACTGGTATTGGGTCCAAGAGAAGTCGAACGCCTCCGGCGACAGGAACTCCGGAACACCGTTCTCCTTATAGTAGGCGTCGTGCTGCAATTGGGGCATGCGATGGATTGCCCGAGTCTGGAAGCGTGAGAAGGCGGAGGTAGGTTTCTGGACAAAACGCGGTCAGTCAAGACGAATTGGGCGACGGAGGAAGTGAGTCTCACGGGAGAGAAAGAGGAGGCTGCGCGCAAAGCGCTTTGCGGCCTGGCGAATCGGTTGAACATGACGAGCGGCTCTGTGAATGGTCGGGTTAATCGGGCAGAGCTTCGATGTCGAAGAATTTCCCTCCCGACGTTCTGCCCGATCGGGACTAGTGTGGTTATGTAAGACCCCTGGCCCAACAGCCAATCACATCGTCTAGATCTACTTCATCTCTAAGCGCCTTGTACACTTCTGCACCCTTTGTCCTTCATCCAATCGTCGTTCTGCAATTCCCTAGTCGGATGTGGTCCTGTAACAAAGACTTGATTTAGCGCCCATATTGTTGCCATTTTAATCATGCTGCTCACCCTGAAACAGCCCGGTGGCTATTTTAGGACCGCGGCGCTTGCAGGTACTTCTTTGTCTACAAGACGTGAAGGATGGCAGTGCCCAGGTGCCTTTCAAGAATGACACATCCTGGTTCTTTGATTGATTCGTTTCAGACGGAAGTCAATGCCCTTGTTTCTTAACTATTTTCAACCTATCTCTGTCAAGGTTTCCTCCAGTGTTGGTCTTCCTACTTGCGACTTGGGCTTGCGTTATACGTGATATTCTGTCAAGAACTCTATCAGACTCTATCTTCCAGCGAGACTCTGAACTTAATCGTCTAATTGTCGGACATTTCTATCTCTATCAGCCTACATACGCACCGTCAGTATGACGAGGTCGCAGCCATCCGTTCTGCTGCTGTTGACCCTGATAGCCAGCATCCGACCAGGACAAGCATATAACTCTGTCGATCTTCTCTCAAGAAGCTCAGACGCGTGTCCCTCATCATTTACTCGCTGCGGCAGTACGAAACTCCCAAATGATTTCTGCTGTCCTTCAGACTCCACCTGCATCAGTCTCAGACCAGGGTAGCTCCTCCATCTGCTGTCCCGCCGGTAGTGATTGTAACTACATCTCGCCGATTACATGTGATATACAGCAGCAGGATGTCACCATTTACCCAGAGAGTGTCATCAAGACAACCCGTCTGGGCGACAGCCTTCCGAAATGCGGCGATGCGTGCTGCCCGTTTGGCTACACCTGCCAAGGTGACAACACTTGTTCCCTAAACGAAAAAACCTCCACGACTGCAACAGCATCTGTATCCAGCTCCTCTACGAACACAGCATCATCCTCGACAACGGCTACAAGCTCTGCAACACCCCAGGCAACCATCACACCCGTGCCATCCCCTCATCCGAAAAGTCCTCGAACTCCACAACCTGCGCAGCAGTATCAACATCCTGTCCCTCCTTCCCAGCCGGAGCTATAGCAGCAGGATTCTTCCCAGGCGCAGTCTTCGGCGCTGTCGCCGCCCTCTTAATAACATTATGTTTCCGACGAGCCCGAAAAGATGAATGTGAAATCCAAGAAGGCAAAACCGGACCAAACTGGTCCCAACGCTCTTCTTCCGGCGCGATATTGTGCATATCAAATCCCATCCCCCAAGACGATACCTCCTACCGTACCGACTTCCTCCGAAGCCCACCACGAGCCAAGCGCTCTTCGATAGGAGGACGCTCCACCCGCACGATGATCCATCGCACCGGCAGCAGGGTGCGGAGTCTATTCTCCGGTTATCCAAGACAGAATCCTCAGCTAGACAAGGATGTGCCGCCTATCCCTATGCCGAATCCCGTGGCATCGGCCCCGTTTACTCCGCCTCGGCAGCGTCAGCCGAGCACGGAAAGTATCAAGGTGTATTCGCCGCCTGAGTCGTTGTTTTTGCAGAATCGCAATCGTTTGGGACCAGAGCCGTATCCTGGTTCTGCTGCTAGGCCGGATACTCTGTTTAGCAACCTGATGCGGGATGTTGGGACTCCTCAGGGTGGTAAGGGGAAGGTGCCTTATCCGACTCACGATGATAACCGGGAAAATCCGTTCCGGGATCCTGTGCGTTGATAATTGAGGGATGTGAGTGTACGTCAGGTGGGTAGAGCTGTGCGCTCAGTCTTCTGTGTTAGATATTTGGCTGTTCTGGCATATTAACCGTGTCCCAAGATATCCATATTTGTATTATTTTTTTTTGACTTTGTTCCGAGGGTTGGGTTTCACCTATTTAGATACCTGGTTAATTCTCAATCTAATTTAAAATGTCGTATACCGTGCAAGATCAGTCTACTGGATATATGCCTAGAAAGGGGTGTCATAGCTATCTTATGTAGACCCAAGACGCCCATAGATAGATACATTCTCGGAAGAAATAATAGATTCAATGGGTGTATATATAATTCCTAGAATACATAAATGTCGAGAGGTTATATTACTCTACAGCGTCACCCCCTTCGCCTTGCGTCGAGCCGCAATTCTCTTGAGCTCTTTGAGCAGCCCAACAACAAGAGGAACACCAATTGGTCCCAGAAGGGGCAGATAGACTGCCACCTTATGCTCATCTGGGAAATAGACCTGACCCACCATACTCTTTTCGAAGAAGCTGCGCTCAGCTTCTGTCTCTGCAACTCGGGCGCTCGCAAGCGCGGCGCCGAAACGGCCCTCTCGCAAGTGAGCACAGGAGGAACTCAAATGTGAGAGCGTGGTGGCGACCGAAGTAGCCACGGTTGCCGGAATGGGAATAGAGGGTAAGGACTCGGTAAGACGGGCAAGCGATCCCATTGTTGATGAGGCAGAGAGTAACAAGCTGGCCGCGCGAATGCGAATAGATGTCTGAAGGCGGAGTGGAAGGGAGGCAGGAGTACTTGGAGTACCGAGGAGGGTGAGGAGTTGATGAGAAAAGGTCATGAATGCAGGACGTAAAGAGTCCTGGGAAAGATGGGCAGGATTGGACGGGCCACTCTGATTGTCGGCATGGGAAAGCGGCGGGTTAAGGAGGAAAACCCCGCCCCATTGGGGGACTATCCAACTAGAAGCACGGTTCTCCTTGACAATGAGTGGAGACTGCGAAGGGTCTGGGACATAGAGGATGAAATTGATCGTTGGGCCACTTCCGATGCTCGGATTCAGTGGCCACTCGGCGGCATTGACGAAGGCGCTCAGACCTTCTTTCTTCAATGTCCATGCCGCCTCAGTCTCATCATACTCAGGCTTCGGCGCAGTGGGTGCAAAGTTCGCGTAGAGCTGCACTTGCGTGTCGACAGTGAAATTGCTGATAGGAGAGAAAGCCTGCAGGAGAGGAGAGACATATTCGTTCACTGCAGCCTCGATGTCCCACGAGGAAGGTTCAGATCCGGGGGTGAACAGTGAAAAGGAGAGGTGGTAAGTTTCAGCGTATTTCATCGATCGACGCAGTCTGCGGTCGATCTCTTCGGCGAGTTGTGGTGAGGTCGAGTCAAGCCCAGCGGTATTTCCAGACAAGATGTACGCGATGGTAGCCTTCTCCTCGCTGTACAATCGTTGAAGCTCCGCCGCAATAAAAGCGGAGAGGGGGGGAGTTGGAGGAGGAAGGCACAGGAACCTGGTTCGGCGGGTAGAAGATATCGAGCTGCGTTGTAGCTGCATGGAGCTCTGACCGAGGACCTGCTAGACCCTCCTGGGGCAGTAATCGGACAGTCAATGCAGTATCCGGTGTGTCCTCTGCAAGATGATTGAAGCCTTCCGCACTCTCTTCCGCATTATGGGTTGCCATGCTGCCGTCGGTTAACTTAAGCCGAAGGTGATGAGCTGCGAACTCGTTGAGATCATCGAGGGTATGCTGCGTCGTGCGGAGGAGGTTCTGGGCCTCGAGTGACTGCATCGAAGGTGTCGCAAGGTGAATTTCCAAAGGAAAGACCGGTCGGCAGGCCTATCAGGACCATTATTAGCATCCACCAAGTTCCCAGACTCAAAGGTGATTCCACAAACCGTACCTTGCCATCAGCCCAATCCACCATCTCCTCGATAGGAAGAGACGCTCGATAGATCGATGTCGTCTTCCACCATATCGGGAATCCAAGGAATATAATTACGGCCCAAAAGGCTGTTATCACTCGAAATCGTGTTTGAAGGGCGGCCGGGGTTTCTGGGGGCGGAGCACGCTTAACACTGGCTTGGTCAAGCTGAGAGGCCGAGGCCTGAGGAGACTCCTCTCCTGTTTTTGTCATCATGGTCGGGACATGCTTTGTGCTCTAAATCGGAGCAATAGAGCAACAAAGGAGTGAGTGTTTACCAAGTCGATGGGGGGAAGTTGATAGCCGGGCGGAGAAGCCAGCGAAGTGGACACCAGCCCCAACTATGTATGTTCTTTATATTGTACTCTGAACTTGATACCTACATAGTAGGTAATTCCACGATATTTATTTGGTTTTGTTTTATGCTACCTAGGTATCTTTGCTAAGAATTATCTAATTATCTAATTTTCCCTAAGCCTAGGTTGCGAAGGGGCATAACGGCCAAAGGTTAAATGCCTGATTTATACCTGATTTTACACCGCTTTTGACACCGCTCTATAGTTACATTGTATTATATCGTTAGTGGGACCTCCGACCTCATACCTAGATAGATATACCGCCTTGTATACCGCCTTATATACCGCCTCCCTTTTAAATATACTGCTATAAGAATAAATAGTCGGCCGCTTATACGGCCGTAGTCTTCTTCGTGGTCTTCTTAGATAGTCTACTCCGATAGTCTTTTTATATGTCTTTTTAATGGTCCCTCCTTAGCAGTCTCTTTAGGTATATACCTTAGTGCTAGATCACGTGCCTATACACTAACTTTATTAGGAGTTTTAGTATAGCAGAACCGGCAGAGTTTAGAGGGCGGTATATCTAGGTACTATATAGGTTTAGCCTAATATTTCGGAGGCCCCACCTATAGACTCCAGCCCTACTTAGGTAGAAGGTCCCGGGGCTGTACCTTGCTTATTAAGAGTCTGTCATCCGGATAGTAATTCAGGTATCTTAATTTTCTGCCAGTCTAAAATCAGGCATTTGACCTTTGGCCGTTATGGCCCTTCGCAGCCTAGGTAATAAAGTGTTCTCTTTGCATTTGTGACTTTGTTATTTTAGCTTCATTTCGGCCTACATATGTACCGGAAAATGTCTGGCACTCGATACCTTTCCCTTTCCATTCATATTATATACATTTGTCTGAGATATCCCAGTGGTTGCTTTCTAAATGCACTCGTCCTCGAAAAATCAACAGGTATGGCGGTTAGCTTTCTGCCCAAGCTTTCCGTATTGCGCTCTCCGCTAGATGTTGTACGTCGCCGATAAATGTCTCCACAAGATGGACCTGAGCAGTGAATGAGGCTGGTGCCTGTTGCCATAGCTGTTTCCCAATATGTGCCTGGTTTCTTCTGATTAAATCCAGGTCGTCCGCGCTTTGACTCTGAAGAGGATTGCTAAGAATATTCGAGAAGAGATGCATGGTAGATACAGCCAGCTCTGGTAAAGAAAATCTATAAGATATTAGTAACTGTGAGCAATGGAGAACATAGATTCACCGTACAGAAGAAAATGCCCTTCCAGATGTGGTTGGGTTTCCAGAAAACTCTGTAGCACCGATCGGCTCGCTTCAACGCCAATGGCAAGACTTGAGCCTGCTGCACGTGTGTCCTGGTTTTCAATCCAGCTAGTACACCGACTGCTTGTTTGATGAATGGCAGCCATGCAGTAATGATGTTGCATTTGGACGAGAAAATCCACCATACTGCCTTCATCTCGCGATGAGCTCCCTTCATCTCGTGATGAGCTCAACGAGTATACGGGAATCGAGGACCACCATTCTTCCAAGGCACAATCCAGACGGCGGATAGTAGCCAATAGCTCAGCATCACTTTGGCCCAGGGCGGAAACGGAGTACAGCCCGTGATAGACCTCTGACTGAACCAATGAAAGGCGAATCATTGTGGGAAATATGGCGGAGTTGCTGTTGGGATTCAAGAGCGGAGAAACTTCAGGGGAGCTATCCCCCTGCTGAGCTCTGGGAGGCGTAAGGTCGCAGCAGGAAGCATTGAAGACAGGCTGTACGCCTGTATGCAAGCTGAATGTTTTGTCTATGATAAAACAGATCCAAAAAAGGTTTCTGACATGCAACTTAGCGCTTGAAGCATCTCCATCAGTGGCCCTGGGGTAGATGTGTCCTTTGAGATGGAAAACATATCGTGCTGCTGAGGATAAGTGTAGCTCTAACTTGAGGATGTCCCCAGATATGGCTTGACTGCAGATGCACTGTTTAAGCAAGTATTAGCCATGATACTTGATTTGAAATGCGATGTCTACAGTTTGGCTCATGATGATCTTACCAGCATGACCAGTGTCTGTAAGCCATCCAAAGTAACAGACTCATTGATTATGTCCGGCAATAATTCTTGAGCTTCCTGGGTCAATTCATCCACATCCATAATCGTGTCCAGGTGCGGTTGAATAGTGAAAAATGCACTAAACGCCATGAAGGCAAAAATGCATGCTCTGGCACTAGAAACTCCCGGAGAGACGTCGGACAGTTCCCCGTTATAAGCTGCGTTGATAGTGTACTCGAAGCAACCTGGGTCAATGATAGGGAATAGTTGATAGAATACCGATGCTCTGTATGCCTCCAGCTGCTCTAGGAGCAGCGTTTTATCTGGAAGTGGAATATGATTGCCGGGATGATATTTCCTGAGTATCCGTGGCCAGGTGCTTGGTTGAGCACTGCAATACTGATTCAGGGGCCTATCTTCCCCTGTTCGTGCCTTAATCCATTCGATGCCACCTTGAGAGAACAAGGGAAACCCATTGAAGGCACAGATATTTCCTAGGGATTGCCCTGCAAAGCACAGGTCGCTGCCAAACCCTTGAGGCGCCACGGCCTCTGGACTAGGCAATTGGCAGACCGTACTAGGGACATGTAAACTATCTGTATCCAAGGAGCACGAAAGCGAATGTTAAAACGAAGCCGTAAAATTTTATTTTTTATTTTTTTCCTTTTTTTAAGAGCAGGGAAATATGAAAATTGTGAATGTAGACATACCTTGGCTTAGTGTATTTGCATCAGTCACGGAACCGGACAACCCACTATTCCAAATTGATGCTGTTAGCAATTGCCTTGTTCATGCAAATGACTGATGATTATATAAAATAAAGGAAGGAAGAAAATAGGCGAGATATACTTATATTGTTGCGTTTCACATGAGCGTGAGCGCGGTTTTGAGCTGTTGCGGGAGAAGGTGCAGGAAAGGTTGCGATGATAGCACCAGTCACACTTGGGGTATGCGCCATCGCATTTGATCTATAAGAAAGGATATTAATTAACATTCAATGGTTTGGCTATGACCGCGACATACCTTCCTGTGGTAGCAGGAATCACAAGCGCGTATACGGCGGCGCTGGCGCGGAGGTTTGGTGCAATCCGCTCTGCGGGAAGACATCAGACAAAGATTAACGTGTAGATCGAAGTTGATTGCTTGTGACAGAGTAACGAGTTAAATTTCCAGGTCCATATACCCAGGGAATATCATGGTGACGTCTGCCCCTTTCCTTCAGCACCGGAGCTGCGGTGGTTTCTTTCTCCGGCCAAATTAGCTCGGCTCGTCTGCAGAATTATTGACTAATAGTGTTCCCTGAGTAATAATAGACTGTCTAGGCCCCGGTTATCCGGCGATGCTACACCGGAGCCTCCAGCAAGCTCCTTCTGTTTCTCCCTGCCCAACACGCTAGGAGCAAATCATGGCCTTTGGTCTCCAGTGAGGCCGAGACTGCGCCACGTCGGCATTCCAGTCGCCGACTCCCCGTGCCAAGCCTCCATTGGGATGTAATGTGCCACTCAGCTTCGGGGTCTTACTCAGCATGGATGATCTGCAGTGCGGCACCCAAGGCTGAAGGAGCAATTCGGAACACCTCAACGCTTCCGGGAGTTGAATCCCATGAGGGCCACGCAACAAGTATTCAGAGTCCACTGGTTTCCGCGCCTCCACTTCACCAAGTATTCTCGCAGCTCGGAAATCCTCCAAAGTTTACTAGTGAACCGGATCTTGTCGGGGTCCCCTCTGCATATCCCGAGCTTGTAGCCGTAGCATCTGCCGGTAGCAGCGGACCCTGGCATTTACAGAGGCACGATAAAAGTTTTTTACCCCAACCGTTCTTTCACTCGCTAAACCAGACTAGGTAGATTATTAATGTGGGTCTGCCGGGGGGCTCAAACTTTTGTCGTGCCACTGGCTGATATCATTATTATTAGGGGGCTTTTGCAAGCGCTCCGAGAGACTCAGAGTTTTCAAATTAGGTATAATTGACCCACCAGTCAAGCCTATATAGGCCCAATTCGGAAGTTCCCCTATCAGAATCCGACTCTGAGTGATCCGGCAAATTTTTGCCGAGTTATTAGGAGTCCTAAGAGGCAAGACCAAGTCAGAGTTTAATAAAATGTGTTTAGAGCCCAAATAAGCATGGTTAAACCTTGGAAGCCTTTAGGGCCCACATTTCTGGAGTTAAAGTTAATTAAGCAGTACGATACTCAAAAATATATATCTACCTTCAAGTGCTATACTAGAGTACCTATTCTTATATCTTAGTAGTAGGCTTTCATATAGCTATAGACTAAGATGTGAGAATAGGTACTCTAGTACAGCACTCCAAAATAGATATATATGTTTAAGTATAGCACGGTCGTATCCAGTACTGTTGGGGAAGGAGCAACCGTGGGGAATAAGACCTTGAACACCTATAATTGTTGAAAAGGACCAAACCTCTCATATATCTCGATTAAGCATCCTCTATTCCATTATTCTATTCCCTATCCTCTACGGGCATCAGCAACCATGCTACGCAACAGTACTACAAGGTATAAAGGGGCCTAGTGGTCAGGTGGTCAATATCATTAATCATCAGTATGTCATTTCAAGGTTTACAATTATGCAGGTTAATAGAATAACTAGTTGTACTATATTAACTTTGAGCTAGCCTGATGCGTCAAAAACTCTGAATCTCTCGGAGCGCTTGCAAAAACCGCCTATTGGGATAACAGATTCTGCAAAGAGGCGTGTTATCCGCACTAAGTACATTGAGTTATGTCCAATGACTACTGTCTTATGTTGTTTTGACTAGCAGGCCTCTGAAGAGCATACATCTCAAGCCAGCTTCCATATAAATTATGTCCTGGATTCGTGGCATTTGCAATCAAGTATTCAAGGACGATCAGCTAGCCTGGGACCCCAGCTCATTATCTTGGAGCGGAACAAATCGCACTTTGACTTGCTTCACATTCGAGGTGACGGTACCGATTGCTCCTCGAACAATCCCCTCAATCTGGTATGTTCGGGAAACTGGCCATGCTCCTGGCACAGCTAGTTCGAGGTCAATGAGGTAATTGCGTCCCGATTTGATGCCATGGACGGTTCGGATCTTGACGATATCAGATCCTGTCATGGATCTTACCCTATTAGCTGCTGCCTCACTGATGGACGACGTGACATCACTATCTATAGTGATATCGGCTAACTCGAGGAAGGAGTTTAGAAGATTACTCCAACCTGCGTGGATAACCATTAAGGAAATCAGTAGTCCACCAGCAGCATCTATCCAGAAAATGTCTCGAAATAGTCTGCCTCCGCCGATTGCTATCAGTGCGACAAAACTTGTAAGCGAGTCAATGCGGTGATGGATAGCATGTGACGCAAGAACAGATGAACCTTGTTCAATTGCAACTTTGTTGGCTATATAAAAACGCATGGTGGTTAGTTGATATTTTCTGGGATAAGGTGTGTGTTACTTGTCTGGAAGGGGAGAGCTTACTGGCACGGTAAAGCCATTCTTTGACAAATATAGACCCTGCTGCAAGCCATGCGGCATTGAGATTCGTACCACTAGCTTGGGTTCCATGCGTTTGCCAATCTTGACGTGCCCTGATTTCGGAAAGCAGTACCTTGCTTGACTCAAGGCACGTCAATATGCCCCCAAGGAGAAGAAGCCCACTGACAACAAAAGCCCCAATATTCTCGATCTTTCCATAACCGTTTGGAAACCTTCTCGATGCCGGCCACAGTGACCACGTGATTGTCACCAGTGTTAAAGCGTCCAAGACAGAATCCATAAACCCGTGATAAGCGTCAGCAACCAGAGCCTGCGAATGCAGGATATAACCCCCGATAAGCTTTCCAATGGCCATTGTCATGTTCGCAGCTAGGCCGATCTGTGCTATACGAGTCCCAGCATCAGAATGATTGTTTGAATCGAGGGTCCGTTTTCGGGCTTCGTCGTGGGTATAGGGAGGATCACTTTGACTGCCGCATTTTTCGTCCATTGTCCCCATGGCGATGGATATTATTCGTTTCTTTGGACTTCGATCCGATAGTGAAGGCCTCGTGGAGTGTAAGGCGAGTATTAGACAGGAAAGAATATCGGGCTCAGACTGGTTGATATGAAGTTTGAACGTGGCAATCGAACCCTCAATGTCAACTGAAAATTGCCAGCTGAAATAGCTCGTCTGGTCATCGACCAGTTCTTATATGATCCCAGACATGCTGTGTGGAGCTACCGGAAGTCGCCAGTACCGTTTAAGACTCATGATGGGTCCATCAGCAATAATGACCACGCCGAGCTGTCGGCCTTGGCTTACCTGAGGTACCTACCTAGATAGGTAGGTATTCATTTCCGCTTAGTCACCAAACCACCCCTCCCAGGGCTGGTGTGGGGTTTTAAAGGACGGAGACGTCGGAATTTTGGGAACGCAATTACTGAAAAGGTTGGGAATACACACGACGTATCGCTTCCTTGGTCAAAAAAAGAAGTTCAGAGCAACGTGGACATTCTTCAGAGCAGAACGTCTTTGACTTTTGCCCTCTCCGGATGGGATATCGAGGTCCAGCTCTGTCGAGGTCTCCAGGCATGGCCGGCACGCACGGAACAGGCGGTGGCAATGTTGCAGCATACATGTTACTAAGCGGGGAATTTTGTGAGCGTGGCTTCTTTGTTGGAGAACCCTCATAGATGGGACCTCTCTTTGTGTGCAGACTGAGACTTTATACCAGTGCTTAGTTTGCTATTTTCCCGTTGTTGATGCAGGCTTTATATACAGCCTGCTGTCCATAGACTTACGATCAGTTTCTTCTTCCTGATTTTCCGATGCTAGCAGTATCTAGTGCTTCAGTATCGTAGCCCTCAACACTTTTGAGCATCGTCGTGACAATACCCCCAGCAAGACCTCGCAATGCCCTTGCATAATGATCTGCGTGATATGATCCACTGATCGTAGTGGATATACCTTGGTTACGTTGTCAATCCCAGCCGAAATGATCAAGCGCATTCGCCAATTGACAGTATTACGACAATAGTTGCTCCGCACAATACTTCCTGTTTCGCCATGACTAGTTTCGTCAGTCACTAGTGTCATCTAGATCCTTACTCAGCGGACGAACCCCAGCAATCCAACCAGCCTAATTTCGGCCGGTATTGAATCCTGCCGCACCCCGGCCGTCTGAGCTGCTTTATTCGCCAGCCGGAAGTCGAATTTATGATTGAGAGCGGGTATAAAGCGCATCTCCGTTCTTTTCTCCATTCCAAAAAAGTTGAAGAATCGTACATCATTTATCTATCATGTTGCTTACCCGGGGAATATTAGCATCCGCGCTCCTGAGCTCATCAGTGCTCGGCCACCTTCACAACTTTTACACTGGATTCTACAGTGGCAACTCGTTATATGGCATACAATTTGATGACGTCTCGTCCGAGCTGAGCGTTGTCTACAACGGGTCGTTGGATATGCAGAGCTCTCAGTGGATTGCTACTGACGTGGGTCATTCGATTATATTGCTCAACTCCAGCACATGAGACGTCACTGACAGTTTCATTCAGGAAGGGCATCGCAATCTCTATATCGCAGATGATACCAAATACGACAGTTATTCCATCCGCGCGGACAAATCTCTGGTCTATAAAGGAAGCGCGTCTATCCCAGGGAGCTGTGAGCAACCAATCCCGGTTGAACTTCTGTTTTTGGTGCTAATTTCACAGGTGACACCGCGCTGTACATTGTTGGTTCGACCAAACCACCCTTCACTGCCTTTGGTGCTTCCTACGCAGAAGGTTGCCCAGGCCAAGTCATCAAAGTTGATGAAACAGGAACACTGAAGTCGGTTGTGGCGAACATACCGTACAGCAGCATTGCCGGTGTCCATGGGCTCGCTCTTAGCGCAGACAACAAATTCATTTACAGTGCCGATGACATGGGTAGTGCTGTGTGGGTTCATTCCTATGATGCTGTCAGCAACAAGGTGTCCGCGATCCAGCAGCTGAATGTTACTGGGCAGCCGAGGCATGTTACCGTTCACCCGAAAGGATCTTACGTCTATGTGGTGCTTGAAATTAGCAATGAGGTGGCTGTCTTCAACAGGGATCCAGTCAGCGGACGTCTCTCTGGAAATACTACTTACTCACTTCTTCCGTCTGGTGAGCAATTCTTAGCATTTGGTATAGCCTTTTGCTTACAATATCAAACAGGACACTCTAGTACAGTGACATACTGGGCCGACGAAGTCATTCTCTCAGTTGCACAAGAAGGGAGCAATCCAAAGTATCTCTTCGCATCGACTCGCGCTCTGAATACCACCACCGAGACGGGTTTCGTGTCTGCATTCTCCCTTGATAGTGTGACGGGCGCAATCAAGGATAGGCTCTTCTTGTTGCCGACAACTGCGTCTGGAGGTGGTTCCAATGCAGTTTCTCCGGCTATTTTCTCGGAGCAGTACTTTGCGATTGCGGATGCAGGAGACAACTTCGTCGAGGTTTGGAAGCTGAATGAAAGTGGCAGTACGGCCTCCATGGTGGCTCACTTGGATATTGATGAAAGTCCATCAAACATCGTCTGGATGGACTAAGTGGGCGGAGCTGTCTGGCCGTGCACGCCTCTTGACAGTAGAGCTGGAGGATAATCAATGGCCGAACAAAGCCAGACTGGGTAATAAGGATAATTCACGGAGGCTTGCAGGTATGGATAATAAGAGCGTGTTACAAATTGTTAGCGGTTCTAAATTAGGGGTTTTAAGAAGTAGAAGATTACTAGCAGAAAGTAATAGTTACCAGTAGTATAAGAAAGTATTATCAAGCATTACCAGTTAATAATACATAATACCTCACTAGCATCTGCGCATCTGCATAAAAATGTTGGAAAGGATTGGCTTCAGATAGGCGCCAGGCCAGGTATGCTGCTATGATTTATCTGGCTTGATGCAGCCGCGAATCCGGGATCGAGCTTCAGGACTGAGAATATCTGACTCTTGTTATCGCTGGTACTTTGCTCGCATGTCGAGTCAAATGAGTACTGTACATTGATGTATATGATTTACTCAGGGGCTCATTGGCAGACAGGGAAGAACTACAGTTTTGCACCTCCACCGGTCAGTTTTGCCCAGTCCGCTTTGTTGAAGTCAATGTATCCTTCCTCCCAAGGAGGCAGCCAAAGGAACCGGTCCTCCATGCCGTCGCTCACCTTGGTGCCCACCTTGTCCGGGTCCACGCCCTCGTCGCGTAGCGGCACCTTGTTCTGTTTATGGTTGCCGATATGGACTGGGCTCTCGATGACACGCAGGAATACCGGGACTGCATATTTCGGCAGTTTAGCGCGCGTATACGCCGCCAGGGCTTTGAAGTCAAAGGTCGCTTTTGTCTCTGGGGCGAGCATAAGCGCGGCGCACCCGGCTCGTCCCTCGTGGTTGGGGACTTTTACCCCATAAACATTTGCTTCCTGGACACCCGGGAAGCAGCCAATCACTTCAGCGACTTCGGCAGTTGCTCTGAATTCGAGTTAGCCTGGATTTGAGGGAGACCTGGAATTGAGCAGTGGAAGGCCGGGTGGTGTATATCAAGGAAAGTTCAGCGTACACATTCTCACTCTTCCATCGGAACGTATCACCCAAGCGGTCCACAAAATACCATCGCCCGTCATCCTCGCGCCGCAGCGCGTCTCCAGTCCGGTAGTACAAGTCTCCCGTGCGGAAGACGTCGCGGATGTATTTCTTGGCCGTGGCTTCCGGGTTATGCCAGTAGCCCTGAAAGGATGTTTCGTTGGGAATGGCCACGAGCATCTCGCCACCCTGCTTATAGGGTGGACGGGTCGCGAAGCCGGTCCGGGGATCACGGATAATGTCGCCTGTCGTCGGATCGACTTCCACGGGCACAAAAACGTTGCGCAGCATCAAGCGCGACAGGACTCCATGGTGGCCGACGCTGTTAGCAGTATAAGGGCCGTTATTATGGTTATAGAGGCTGAACATTCCCTCAGTGCTGTTAAAGAATTCCATAATTTCCGCGACTCCAAAGCGGTCGCGGAACCGTTCCCAGACGTCTGGGCGAAGTCCATTGCCATACATACAACGAACTCGGTGATTGCGGTCGTCTGGTGACGGGGGTGCTGCAAGTAGGTACCGAGCTGCTTCACCGACGTAGACGATATATGTCGAGTCCGAGTCGCGGACGTCACGCCAGAAGTTGCGGACGCTAAACTTACGGCCAATAGCGATCCTAACGCCAGTACACAGAGCAAACATAAGAGATAGGCCTCCTGTACCATGGTACATTGGCATGGCACAGTACCAGCGGTCGCCATCAGGGCCATCCCTATCGCCCGTCGAGTGGCGCCGTGGACTCTTTCCCGCGTAGAAACGGGCCATGGTGAAAGCACAGCCTTTAGGTTTGCCGGTGGTACCGGAAGTGTAGATCAAGATGGCGGGGAACGAGCCTTGCATGTCTAGGGCGTACTCCATAGGAGGGAAGGTGGCTGGATAGGTCGAAACAGACGAGCGAAATACAGAATCCATCATCACAAGCTCCATACCCAGTTCCCCTTCGAGGATTTCCCTCGCGGCTTCTATCCGCTGGCGGCATTCGGCATCGTTATCGACCAAAAGCAACCGGGTCCCGCTGATTTTCAAGCAGTGGAGGAGCGCATCGTCCGCGAGATGATAGTTGATTGCCGCAGGAGCACAGCCAATACTCCAAAGCCCGAGCCATGCGAAAAGGTACTCAGGGCAATTTTGCAGATAGAGTCCCACGAGTTCGCCTGGTTTTACACCCATAGAGAGGAAGAGGTGGGCGTATTGGCAGGCTAGACCCTGGACCTGCGTGTAGGTGTACGCGCCCTCGCGCGACCAGATGCAAGACATGTTTGGGTACTTCTTCGCGGTCTCGGTGAAGAGGAACCAAGGGTTCCCACGGCCGTTGCGAACTGCGTATGATTAGATCATTCAAACTTCTATTTGAGAGGCAGAGGGGGACCGACCCGCCCGCGCATATTCGCGCTCGCCTTGCTTTACAGACATGAGATTGGACACATCCTTAGTGACATGGAACTTGGCATTGAGATACGCGGCAAGCGTACTTGCCCCTGCAACGCTGGCAGCGATAGAACCTAGGAGCAGAGTAATTAGTCGGACATGGCCATATTATTCCGGAAGCAAGACATCGAGGGCTTACCAATATCCATTTTGGCAATTGCAGGCTAAGGATGGTGTTGGGGAACAGAGACAAGATGGATGATAAGCGTCGTGATAACGGGTGCAGGGCAGATCTTTACAGTGAACAGGCCAACTGGGAACCTCGGGAGACTCCTCCTTTTCCCTTTTAAAAAGCCGAACGGTTCGACTGACAAGTGCATCCTGCGCCGGGCCCGAGGTTGATTGTTTCAATTTCTTGGCCCGCGGTCAACTGTAAACTGGCATCGGAGTTCGTTTGCCGACGTGACTTTCATCACAGCTTCGTTTCCAGCCGTATCGGCTCAGGATCTCTGCTGGGAAGAAAACGACGATGAGCGCAAACACCATGTATTCACTCTCCGGTGGATGTGGGTATTGTCTTTCGAACCGTATCTGCTGTGACCGATTCGAAGGCGAGCTGCCATGCCTAACATGTAGCGAATATAATATCGAATGTCGGGGGCCCGAATCATGGTAAGAATGCCAAACAACAACGACGGTGTCGCAGAACTAACCCAAAAATCAGTTATTTGAGGCCAGAGCTGGAAGAGGGACCCGACCCCCCTGCGGAGGATACCATCCGTAAGTAGAGGACTTATGGCCGGCGGAAGGGTGCTAAACCTATCACAATCAGAGACTCCAGAGGTGTACACAGACAGTCGCTTCGAACTCACCGATGATGCTTCATTCCCCATCCACTGGATGGCTCCTCTTGCTAACTGCAAATTGATCGCTCACAACCTCCTTGGCTTTCCTGTCCCTGGCCTCCCTGATAGAATCCCACCGGCCTACGAGTCTGCTCTGCCGTCTTTCATCCAGAGACTCCCCGTCAATCTCCTCCACAAAGATATTCGGTACCTCGCAGAAGAGGGTGTGTTTGCTCTTCCTAGCGACAGTCTACTGAAGGAACTGCTCAAGACATTTGTCCTTCACGTATATCCTTACTTGCCGGTCTTAGACCTTCCACCCTTTCTAGAGGCAATCGCCAACAACGACGGCAAATCCCATGTCAGCCTCCTCCTGTTCCATGCTGCCATGTTCTCGAGCATCGCCTTTGTTGATCCCAAGTATATACACAGCGCGGGTTATACCTCCAGAAAAGAAGCTCGTCAGGAGTTCTTCCGAAAAGCACGGGTAAGCATGCCTCCATTACTGAAGGCTCAAATCTCATGTCAGATGCCAGATTCTGTACGACCTCGACGTGGAACAAGACCGTATTGTGTTAATACAATCCGCCCTATTATTGACCTACTGGCACGAGACCCCATATGATCCTAAGGATTTCCGACACTGGCTAGAGATAGCCCTTTCACAAGCTGCCTTGGTTCCCTTTCCAAGTGATGAACACTGGGCGAACAAAACCACTTCGCGAGGTCTCTGGAAACGCATCTGGTGGTGCATATACACCCGCGATCGACTTATTGCTCTGATTCTCTGCCGAGCAACGGTTATCGAGGAAGCAAACTTCAGCATACTGCTGCCAACTCTTGCTGACTTCCCCATCCAGCAATATCCTACCGAGGTGGTTAAAAAGCTAGGAGATTGCGGAGTCCTGCAAAGGATTGACTACCAGGAACAACTGGCGCAAATCTTTGTCGAGAAGACCAAGCTCTGTTGTATGATTAGTGGCATAAATATTCTAACCAAAGGGGCCTCTGCTTCTTCACCATCTGTATTCATACACTACATTAACGCCCTTAATGGATGGCAAGCCGACCTGCCATCAAGTATCCGGTACAGGGCGCCTTCGTCGCAGAATCTATCTGAAGGGGAGAAGGCGCTATTCATGTATCGCGCCTGGTTGAAGATGATATTCCTTGCGGCGTCTGGAGCCCTACATCGTCACAATTCGGTCTTCTCGAATGCAGAAGAGTTTCAAGAAGCCGGCCTTCAATCCATAACACAATCAATGACGGGAATTGCAGAGCATCTACATCGGCTTGATCTCGTCTCCTGTCTCCCAACCACGACGGTGGGACTACTCATACCAGTCCTCGCAATGCACCTTATGAATATCCGGTCAGGAATGTCCAACCTTTGGAAGAATGCGTTCAAGTCGCTGTACCAGTGCATAAAGATACTTGAGGAACTAGGAGAAGTGTATATATTGGCGGAGTCCATGGCAAAATTCTTCCAGTCCACCATTTGCGGTGATGATAACAAGTCAAACTCGGACACAGGAATTGAGCGGGCATTTCTAGAAAAGATCTTGACATCGGCTGAGCTAGAGTCTTTCTCGCATCTCGTGTGACACATGCAGGACGGTGCTTCATAAAGCAGTCTAGCCTTCAAATAGAATCGATTACATGGACATGTCTTTGAGGCCAGCGAGCAGCAAGTTTGGTCCGTATTTTCAGCTCCTATGAAGTTCTAAACTACGTAGAGGACCACGTAGACCTCCATCTTGTGCGACCATCCAAAACGAAAAGCAACGACACACTCTCTCTTCTGATGATGTTGTTACGGCGTGTTCCTGACTCCACTGTATCTGCTAAAGCAACTGTCCCAGTGAATGATAGTGTCTACCAAATCATATTCGATAACAGCAGCACTCATCACATCGTCACCGAGGAACATCTGCCTATTGGTACGGGTATGTAGCCCCTCCCCAGATACTAACAAGCCGAACCGCAGTGTGCCAACTTCCTATGGGGCTTTTAGCTTGCTGGTTCTCCTTCGAAATAGAGACCAGGCATTGGACATAAAAGAGGACTGATTGATCTCATCCCCATAGGCGGTTCAACCGAGGTTGTCCGGTTGATCGTCCGCGACCCCAGACGGCGAGCACCCCAATCACCACCATCAGCATTCAGTCCAACTATTCTCTCCCTCCATTATATGGCAGTGCACTTCCCCACTCGATTGACGTCTACACACACATTGCACTCTATCGATTGTCTTCAAGGACGCCATCCGAAGCGACACACCACACTCACGTGATCGGCTATTGTAGGAATCATGGCGGCCGAGGCACTCGTTAACCACCCAGTGCTGGAGCACTGGCTGCGTTTCATCGCGACTACTGGTGCGTATCTTTGGCTTTATAGCTCTCTTTTGCAAGAAGCACCTCGGATTAGTCCCAGATTCCCAGGAACAGAGGGCGGGGAGCCTGGGGTGCTATGGCATGATACATATTCAACATTGAGACTCCACCGTGTTACATCCCAGCCCATATAACAGTGAAACAATCCACTGGAACAGTCCACCACAAACGAGCCAACCCACTTAGCTAACCCATCGAGTCCTACGCAGTCGCGCGCGACAAGGTGCTCCGCACGTTCCAGTACTTCTCTCGCTTCTATGCCTGGTACCTGTACCGTTTGAACAAGCCGCAGTCGGCCATCGACCCCTACAATGCCGTGCAGAAGCAGTTTGCCACGACCCGCAAAATCTTGCGCATCGGCAAGTTTGCCGAGCACTTGAAGGCCGCCTTGATCACTTTGGACCACAAGAACGTTGCTGATCCGGTCCTGCGCTACCTTGCCGTCGGCCGCCAGCTGGGCTACGCCGGCTACCTGACCCTCGACACAGTGACGGTCATGGACGCCGTTGGGTACCGCAAACTGACGGGTGTAAAGCGCATACAGGAGAGCGCTCACCGGGCTTGGGCGATGGGACTGATGTGCAGCGCCGTTGCGAATGTTTATACGCTGTTCCGCCTGCAGGAGGAGGAGAACACTGTAGATCGGAAGGAGGGTGAAGGTCTCGCTGAGGTGAAGAAAATCGAGAGGTATGTTTGAGGTATTTACTGATTGCAGGAATATTATCTAGTCCCCCTTTTCCCTTGTTACGTTGAGCGTTCGTGCTAATCGTCTGCTTGCAGGCAGCGGACCGCCACCCAGATACAGCTCATCTCCGACCTGTGCGATTTGACCGTGCCCGCTGCTACCCTGGGATTTAACCAGATCGACGATGGCCTGGTCGGCCTCGCTGGTACCGTCAGCTCGCTGATCGGTATGTGGTCGGAGTGGCACAGGGCCGCATAAAAGGACCCAACATACCGGAACGGTATCTGAGGGAGGAGGACTGTAGAGCCCGGCCGGTATGGAAAACATGGTTCTCTCACTGGTGGAAAAGACCGAAAATAGCAGGTTAGGACAAGGGGACTCGCAATATCCCTCGGCTTGCCACGGTATTCTCTGCCGTTTATACTCTTGATTGCGTTCGTGAAGAGACCTGTACATCCCTCTTCTTATTCTTTTCCGTGTGCTTTCGAGCATATCGCAAATCTTATTTGCCCTCCTGAATGAGTACGTGTGGTGCCTAAATTGAAGTAGATTTTATTCCTCATCACGATATGAGTCCAGCACCGTGTAGGTATTTCATAGCCCCGTCGTTATGAGGGAGGTAGGTACTTGGCGTTTGATCATTGACTCAATGTTCAATATAGTTACGAACAGGTTCAAATTCAATAAGTTCCATTTCCCTACATGAGCAGTCACTGGGAAAGAAATTCAACGTTTGGCGATTGATAGATCCCCCACGGCGCCACCGATGCAATCAAAAACCAAAATGTTAGATGCTAGATGCCAATCAGTTCTTCAGAAGCCCAATCAACTAAATATCTCCGCTCCCTTTCGAAGTGGAATTGATCAATAGAGGCGAGGTTAAACCCTGGCGGGTGCCATTAGCATGCATGCAAGTATCAGAGACAAACTATATTCGACTTACCATGACTACAAATAGATGGACAAGGTCTGGTTCTGCCGCATATTAGAGATAAAACATAGCGTTTGCCATTGCGAAGAGCTTTAGCTCCTACAGGGTTGATTGCCTGAGCGGCGGAGGTGAGGAAATCCCCTCTACCCAATGGAGTCTACAAAGTGTATGGAGTATCTGATATGGGTTTGGGGTATGCCCTCCGGTGGAAGTTTATTCCGGCTTGATCGCAGGATTCTCGTTGGCTTTGCTTATCTGGATTCTTGCATTCAATGGCTGAGGCTGCAAGTGCTTCAAGGCCTAGGTAATTGGGAAAGTAAGTCGGACTCGTCAGGTGGATTATTGCAAATGGCCGTCTTATAGAACCCGTCTTGATAGGCGTCTCCTGATCCCTTGACCTCAACGCTTGGATTTCTGGGCTAGCAAGAGGTCGTCGTCAATATAAACGTGGCGACTTCGAAGGAGAATGCGGGAGATACAGCTCAGTCAGGAAAAGTCTGAGGTTACAACATTATAGATATGAATACCCCATGGGAACGGGTGAGTTAGCAGTCAGAGAACAGTCGAGAACGTCGAACAAGCCGATGATGTGCCTCTGCCTGGACCCATGTCGTCCAGGTGAGAGCCTCCATGCCCGGAGTAGATGAAGGGTCGTCGCGCTCCTGGTCGTTGAATGTGTGCTTGCGGTTGCTTTTGAGCTCTATGGTATGCGGGATCTTGATCTTCTCGGCTGTCAAACCTCTAATGCTCTTCCCAAATGAACTTCTGGTCGCAAGGACGGCATCGTCAACCACGGCGTTTTTTTAATCCCAGGGCTTCCTTGTCCTCGCCGTTTCCGCCATCAGCGATATACTGCTTTACGGTGTCAACGGATTCTATCAATTGAAGCCTCGTGTTACTCGCAGGTGAGCCAAATCAAGGTTACCCTTTACTTGGGGTGTTCTCTTTACGCTAAAGCAGGATAGAGTAGTGACGTGGAAACTTGCACTCAATGTTCGTGTGCTCATGGGCATTCTGACGGCCTCGTACTTTTATCGAGTATCTCGACCATTTTCGAGTCCTATTGGTCTCCTCTGTCGCTTTGTTGGCAGTATTCTCCGACTCAGCAGTCCTGGCGACAACATCTCCGGGGGCCAATATAACTGGGCTTGGGAGGTTGGGATTGGAATGACGACCGTTCAGTCAGAAATACGGTGGTATCCTTTGTAGATCATTTCAATCCGTTATATTCTTCTAACTGATGATTGTGTATATGTTTGTATGTACCTCTCGGGCACCAAGGCAGTATATTTTGCTTATACCACATGGCACATTGATAAGGACTGACTGATTATGACAACTCCTAACAGCCCCCGCGTATCCGTGTAGTATGAAGCTATAGCAGCTACAGCTTCGCTCCCCCAAGTAACCATAGCGCCGACGCATCTGCCTTGATTGTTTTGCCCTTGCTGCCTTTCAGATGCCCACTCACATCTTCGTCCTCCTGCACTGCCTGGGCGATGGTCCAGGTTTTATGCCCATTACGGGAAATACACCACGAGTGAATCACCAGGATTGCTGCGGCTCGCACGGGTTTCCGATAGCGTACGGTGAGCTGTGCGGTATAAGTTGGTCCAGAGCGCAGGACCTCTGCGCCAGACGCGGGCTTATGGAAAGCCCTGGCCAGCGCCATGGTCTCGTCGAACAGCGTTGCGATGAGCCCACCATGCGCTGTTCCCACGATTCCGCTCACGCCTGGCGTCCCTAGCGACACTATCGTTATCGTATCGGGCGGTCTCTCGGGGGTAAACGGTTTCTTGTCGTACTCCAGTGCGCCAGCGGGCGGCGTGGGCGGTAAAGCCGCTGTCACCGAGCTGAGGTCTCTTCGTCGCAGAGTGATAAAAAATGGTAATGTCTCAGGAGTACTGAGCGTGCCCGCCAGGAACCCATCTTCGTCCGTCGGCTTGCTTTGTCGTCGCTTGGTAAGCGCCGGGACATATTCGCTGTTCTCAGCGCTGGCAGCGGTCAAGAGGGATTTGGCCCATGTGTTGCTGCTGAAATGGTCCCATTCTGCGGCTGTGATGGAATATCCAGCCATCGTCTATTTTGTATATTTCCGTCCGGCGCAGCGATGGCGCGATGCTGGATGGCACGTGGATAACGTCACTGTCTCGCAGCAGGGTTTTGTATGAGCAAATGCCTTGGCCATAGAATCATGACGAGCCCTTTATTTGTGCTGGCATCTCGGCTCCCCCACCGAGTTCGAGAACGGAGTATAGAGGAAGAAAGCGGTTTCGGCTAACGGCGCCATGGGCCTCGGCTGTGGTGCTAGCGTATACCCCCGACAGGAAGCAGGGCAGAATGCTCATTGCTCAGGCATCTGCCGAGGCTGCAGTGCTAAGCCTAGCCTTAGATTTAGACTATATCACAAAGTGGATCGATCCTGATTTCACAAGCCAACTTTCTCCAGCTAGGACAATAGATCAAGCCTTTATCTACTCGGAATGGCATCCAACTCTGGCCTCCTTTCGATAACAAGTCCAATATTGACGATGTTTTCTTTTCTTGCAGTTATGACAAGAGCCAGACGAAGCAACGGTGGTCTACGTCTACAATGGGCACGTTAATTATGGATCGTTCTTATTAAGAAAAACAGCTAAAAGCAAGCATAGGATCCGATCCTTCTGAAGAGGCATGGGAATTTCGGTTCCTTCCAATAGTGTGGCATGGAATACATAAAGTGAGTGGCTTGACTGTATTGACATCGCAAAGTCGCTCATACCGGCGAGTTATAATTGACGTTAGAACAAGCTGTTAGATCCTTGCAGAACCGCCAGGTTGGAAGGGAATATGCTACTTGAGAGGTAGTTATTTAGCATTAAATCGAAGTCGTTTTGGTCAGGAGTCCGCATTATGTCTGACATCAGCTGATCGACTTCAACCAGACCGAGATTGTCTTGCCCGCCGTCACAAACCGAGCCCCTGTTTGCAACGAGGTAGTGGCCACCATCACCATCACCTCCTGGGTAGCTTGCAGGGTTTTCGGTACTTGGCCCTGGATGAATTGATTGCTGTGCATGTTGAGGGTCAATATCCGAGACCCGTTCTAGTGAGTGAGGCGGGCCAGAATCGTAGGATCCGGTTTCAGTGAGATTTTTCATCAGGTTGATAAAAAGACGTAGAATCCACCCAGCCACAGGCCATCCCTTTGCAAGCTCACTCATTCCTAGGATACACTGGCGAGCTCGATTTTCAGACAGCTGCTTCTGGATTAAATCGTTGCTCCTAATAACGAGGGCGTGAATTGACAGGGCAGCAAAGATTGCCGGCACTCTAAACCGAGTTAGTGGGTGTTTGGAAGACTGTGACCTCAGTGAAAGCCTGGACTTACAAATGCAGCTGTCCAAAGCTTAACGTCCCTGCAGATAATAAGTCTTCCACAATCCTGGTGGTGGAATCCGCTGCAGCTCTCGCTTTCCTGTGAAACGATGCCGACATTTCTGCCACAGGGCTGCCCCCCTTGTGTCGAAAAAGCAGGATCTGACAGTTGCTAGTGGTATGTTAGGGAAAGCACCAATAACCAATCCCAGGATCACTTACTGATAACTTGCATATAGCATACAAGACCAGAAAGGTGCACCAAGTGTCTCATCAACAGGTGCCCGACAAAGCTCTTGGGGAAGATCTCTTTCCCAGCTGCAAAGGTACTCGTTCAAACGGTCCGTCGAGTTGCTCCTGTGTGTAGCCTTGCGGGGTGCAAATTCATGGTTGAGAAGCATCCCCACTGTAGTATATCAAGAATGTTAAACGCGGTGGGAAGCGGACAACAGAATGTTCTTTCACAGGGGCACTTACATATAATTGCAAGCCTTGCCATCTCAATGAAATAAGATCTCTGGTACTCATATTCTGTAGAAAGTAGTTCGCTATTGGGTTCGTGATCGACAAGGAAGTCATGCATGCCAAGCATTTCAACATCGCAATCCTCGTCATTAATGCGACAAGGCCGACCAAGAGACGCGGCCGCGTGACGATCGCGAATCTAGGTTTCGTAAGCGTGAGGCAGAAAGATAGAAGAAGTCGTACTGACGTAGATAGACCACCATATCCTTTTCCATATCGATCGTTGTCGCTCCGGCATTCCAGCGTTAACAGTCCTGGTAAAGAGTGAGGTCCCATTCCGTATGGCGAAGAACGAGGCTGAAAACAACATACGATCGATGCATTCCTAGAGTTTGAGCAAGACCAATAGCAGCACCGAGCCAATGCCATGTATCCTTCTGATCCTCTGGGCCTTCCCACCAGAATGCTAGGAGAAAAAGCACCGCCGCAAGTTTCTCTTTGCTCTTCTCATAATCCACATCGTAGAGAGCTTTCGCACGAAGATAGAATGCCCTCCGAGCACTGAATCTGTCGCCAAATCCAGCACGCTTCAAGGTATCCTCACTGCAGATGATCGAGGAAAGAAAGTAGATGGTATGCTGAACCAGCAAAGACGATTTTCGGTTGCGATATAAGGAGCAAAACTCCTGGCGATCAAAAACGGGGTAGGCCGGATGGACACATTCGAAGAAAAGACGAACGAGCTGGTCGCTTACATCTTGCGGCGGCAGCGTAAATGCGCCATGCATATTGAGATACGCGAGAGTGGCCGGGTCTGAGGCCTTTAAGCCCTCCGCGGCTTCCAGTGCATGTTCTGCGACACGGTTCGGGATTGGATAGTGAAGCTTTGGCTCGGCAGACGGCGCAGATAGTGACCGCACAATGAACGCGAGACTGAAGGAATCACCCATGTAATAAGACCGGACATTTCCGGTTGAGAAGCCCGGGGATGCGACATCTGGCGCAGTTTCCGCAAGTCGAGTGTAGAGCATTTCTGGGCCTTCACTCGCGTCGTATCGTTCAACACTTTCGGGAAGTATACTAGAAGACGTGGGTGGGCTCGGCGCCTCAGGCGAAGACGTGCGCTGCACTGGGGAATTCAGTTCCTTGTGCGAGGTGTGCGCCGTGGAAAGACCTGAGCCTTGATTTGGCTCGGTCGACGCCGGGGTGCAGGGGGCGATATTGCTGGCTCGTGTGGGTGCGGGCTTTTTCCTGCATTGGCTCAACATAAATAACGGGACAACGGGATGGCTTCATAAACAACATACTTTCCTCGTCGCGTCTCGATTAACTCACAGTGCACGCCCCGCAGGCGACACTGCCAGCACGGCCGAACGTCGGAAGCATCGCACTTGACCCTTCGGCGGTGGCAAGACTTGCATGCGATCTTGGCCCGTTTGCCCAGGCCCCTTGCTGGTTGGCCTGGTGAGGACATGGGTGCCCAAGGAGAGGATGAGGCAGAGTGTGCGGTCGTCGAGGGATCACCGTGCGGCAGAGAGAGAGCGCGAGCTGGGATGTCCAGGAGAGATGGCCTCGGCCTACAACGCCATCGTTCCGAGTCTGGGGTCACGCGGGGGAAGGATCCGGGGAGCACGGGGGGAGAGCGAGGGACCCATTCTCCTTCCATCGTCGCCCCCCGCCCCCACCCGGTTGCTGCTGCAGCTCTCATGCAGGCGTGGGGCCTGGTGGAGAAGATCCATCCTCTGTACCTCGGCGATTCAACCACGCGCTATCCGGACCAAGCCACCGGCTACGTACGGTACGATTATGCCCCTGCGAAATGCATAACGAATTTATACCCTGCACGGGCCTTTGTTAAATAACATGGACGCAAGTGGTCCTGCTTATATACCGAGAATGACACCCAGGCTACGACAAGCCAATTTTCTCCGTGATGGTAGACGCTACGGTGACGAACGGCTCCAATCCTGGCGGCGTGCATAGCGACCCTCCGGGGTACACCGTCAAGGAAACGCCTCTGGGGACTCCTCGCCCGCTCCGAGTGATCACAATAGGCGCTGGCGCATCCGGCCTAAACCTTGCTCGCCAAATCGACCTGCACATGAGTGATGTGGACTTCACGATCTACGAGAAGAACCCAGATATCGGAGGCACCTGGTACGAGAATCGATACCCGGGCTGTGCCTGTGACATTCCTTCCCACAACTATCAATTCACGTGGGAGCCCAATCCAAATTGGTCGACGTTGTGAGTTGTCAATTATTGTTGCCCCCGAGCCGCATCCCACTGATGCTCCTTCAGCTATGCCCGTGCTCCCGAAATCCTAGAATATTTCCGAGATGTGGCCCGGAAGTACGAGCTCTACCGATACATCAAGCTTAGCCATCGCGTCATTGCCGCGGAATGGAATGAACCTGGGGGTATCTGGCAGCTCCAAATCGAAGACTTGACCACCGGAACTGTCTTTGAGGACGCGTGCCACTTTATGATCTCTGCATCGGGCATCCTGAAGTACGTGCTCCCCTGGCCTTTCGACGGGACTTCTGGGCATCGCGATCATCACCGCTCTGTATACTAATAACGGTTGATAGCAATTGGAAGTGGCCCGATATACCGGGCTTGCATTCGTTCAAAGGACAACTTATCCATAGCGCTGCGTGGGACAACAGCGTCGACTGGCGTGGAAAGAAGGTTGCAGTTCTCGGATGTGGCTCCTCTGGAGTGCAGATTGTACCGACCCTTCAACCTGGTAGGTGCCATCAGTGTCGATTGATGGCTTGCCTTAGTTCCTAACCGTTGCCCGCAGAGGTTGAACACCTCACTACCTTCATCCGTACCCCAACGTGGATCACCGCTGGCTTTGCGCAGAGCAAAGCTGGACCCGGAGGCGCAAACTTTGAGTGTACGTATCGACTTGTTATCTGCATCCGATCAACAACTGACATGTCCAACAGTCAGCGATGAGCAGAAACAAAAATTCCAGACAGACCCAGAAGCCTACCTGCAATATCGCAAGGAGGTTGAGCAAGAACTTAACAATCGGTTCAAATTCGTAGGGACAGCATGTTGATTGAAACCACCCATAGCGAGTGCTAATACCGGGCGTTAGATAATTAGGGACAGCCCCGAGCAGGCCGAAGCCGTTCGATTTTCCATCGCCGAAATGAAGCGTAAGCTCGGCAAAGACTCGCCTTTGCTGAAATACATGATTCCTTCCTTTGCTGTTGGGTGCCGCAGACCGACCCCGGGCAACGGATACCTCGAATCCCTCACCAAGGACAATGTGCGAGTGGTCACCTCGAGTATATTGGAGATCGTACCAGAGGGTATCAAGTTGGTGACCGGGGAGGTCATCTCTATCGACATCTTTGTCTGTGCGACCGGATTTGATATCTCCTTCCGTCCACGCTATCCTGTCCGTGGTATTAATGGTATAACACTGGAAGAGCAGTGGAAAGATAAACCCGACGCTTATCTCTCGTTGGCGGCGCCCAATTTCCCTAACCATTTTAGTATGAACTTTCGTCCTCAATATTTGGATGTCAGGCTGACAGACCCACAGTGTTCCTGGGTCCTGGAGCCCCAATCGGGCACGGATCGGTCCTCCCCATTACTGAACATGCAACAAAATATATCGTCCACATGATTCGGAAATGTCAGACCCAGGATGTCAAATCGGTTGTCGTTTCGCAAGAGGCTGTCGACGACTTCAACGAGCATATTCAGGTCTTCATGAAGCGAACCGCTTGGAGTACTCACTGCCGATCCTGGTTCAAGAACGGTACAGTCGATGGACCCATTGTAGCACTGCATCCAGGAAGCAGAGTTCACTGGTTTCACATGCTAAATGAACCCCGTTATGAGGACTATATCTGGCGGCGAGAGCACGTTAATCGGTTTTCCTACCTGGGCAATGGATTTTCTACCAAGGAAGGGGATGGAAAAGACACTGCCTTCTATTTCAATAACCCTAGTTCAGGCTTTGAGTTCATCGATCACCTGTGAGATTGTCGGCCGCATGTGCTGGGAATTTGGTCCCTGGCCAAGTTGGGCATATTCTTGCTTCGAGAGAATCATCCGCATCAGGGGCAGAACGTACTTAGATAAGTTGAAACTACTAGATTCTGTCATTAGTATTCATACTTGAGCCTACCCTAGATTGCCATCACGATAGACACAGCGGTATCTTTGGTAGGCATACAACAACTCCAGTCTCAATCCTGTTTCATTGCTACTGGGACCCGTTGGAGAGTTAGGACAGCTCACGTTAAACGCATCCACCTGTTTCTCATTCTATCGCTCCCGTTGTTGCGTCCGCTTAGCGGCCGTGTGGAGGATGGCACGTAAGTCGGCCTCTGTGCTTGAGACTCAATCCTGAGGGCCGCCTGCGTCAACGCCCCCATACGAAGATTGATGTGAGGACCGCCCGCGAGCAGGAACCGGCAGCTCGGGGTAGATCTAGTGGAACGAGGCGATTTAACCTCCTCTACTCTTTTAGTTGCCATACAGCTACTGATCCGAAGCACTGTATATGGCGTGCGCCTTGATATTTCACCTAGGCTATATATAACAGGTTAACGTTACTCGGCACAGTTAAACGCTCTTCCAATCTTTCCTTCGCAAGGCGTCATTCATCTCGCCCGGTGACCGATCCATAACCGGGCCGGTCGGGAGGAAGTCACGAGGTTGGGTGAAGTCTTGATACTGGAACTTCAAGTGAAACCGCCAAACTCTTGAAAAGGCAGACTATACTGCATTGAAGACGCCGAAGGTGTAATTCCCGGGAAATCAACACCGGAAAGGATCTGGTCAACACTCAGGTTGAGGAAACTAGGATCATTTCCGTCCGTGCCAGAATCTTGTCTCAGCCCTCTGAGAGGGCCCTCAGATGACGAAGCAGAAAGGAACCAGTCCAAATCCGTAGGCCAATCAATTTCAGGCAAGCTTGCGTAGTCCATCCACGTCTCGCCATGGCTGTTTATGGGGTTTGAGGTCTGTTCGGGGCCATTTTCGTCCAGAAAAATCGCGTTGCGGTTCATGATCTTCAACAGAATACCCTTTGTGTATTTTAAAGACGGGAAGTGATCTTCCATCAAATCAAGAATGTAGATACACGTCTTCAAACTATCTCGGTCTTCTATAAGTTCTTCATGGTGACCCTTTTCGGCCGTCAAGATGTCGAAGATTAGCGTGGTAGCAGCGATGAAGGACATCCGCCCGAAGATAATGGGGAATTGTTTGGGAACAAAGCGGTCGATGTAGGCTTTCAACACCTGGCTCATTTCCAGGGCTGCGGATCGGCATTTGCTTCGACAAATTGACGATACCCCGTCATGTCTGCCTCGCCCATTCGGGAGTTCGGGCCAGGTAAGACACGAGCGATTGCCCTCGAAGGCAACGAGCGGCCGGTATAGAACAATTAGGCAGGCGAGATACGTCATATGTAAGACGTAAACAGCAGGTGGCTTTCTAGCGTCCTGATTGTGACTGAAGCTGAGATCATCCGACAACTCAGAGTGCCATCTCCACAGCGTCTGGTCCAGTTCAGATACAAATTGGATCATATCCTCGGTGTACAATTTAGTCCGAGGGCCGTTATATAAGTCAGTAATATTCACCTGGACCTGGCACAAGGCTGCCCAAGCCGCAAGCAAAGCCATGTCCGGCGAGGTATGGAGAGGGGAAATTGGAGGACAGCTAATATCATGTGGTCTGATACAGCTTGGTCGTCCAAAGGAGACACTCCATAGACTGAAAGATGTTAGCAGCCGATCGGAATATGAGTTCTACGAACAGACCTGTCGTTAACAACGGCGCCCCAGAATATCATTTGACGGTACTCCAGCTCTCTGCGGGTGGCTTCACCGGTCTTAAGTAGAGGCGTCAAGTCTTGATGCAGACCTAATGCAAAGACCAGTCTGCAAGCAATGCCTATTTGAAGGTTAGAGCTCTTCATGCGCGACAGGGCATATGGCAGTCCTACCGACGTACGTCCACCCTAAGCCACTCTTGAGTTGACCTGAAAGGCAAGCCGAGAGAAACAGCAACCCCAGTACAGTGTTATGATCAGGGCGCTCCAGCTCAGTCAATAGATGTTGCTTTGCCCGATCGAACAAGGCTGGCTCCAGCCTTTTTACCAATGGGTTGTCAGTCAGTGGCAGCGAGCGCAAAATAATACAGTTTAGGAGGAAGGGTGAGAAATAGTGCGTCTTTCGGCCCTTGCGTACTCCCTCCATGAACAGTTCCCGGTCGTAGATGCGCAGAAATGAATGGGGATATTGCCAGAAGAGCTCCAGGAGATAATCCTGAAAGCAGCCGTATCCCGACAGCTCGCTGGAGAAGCTGCTTGAGGTTTCGGTGGGTGTTGATTCTGATGCCGTGTCGGATTCAAATGCGGTATGATGGTCGGAAGTTACGCCATAATAGCGCGTAAGGCCATCCGCATCCATTTTCAAATGGCCCGCCCAGCCATTAAATTTCTTGAAAACATCGTCACGGCTAGATTTAGCAGTATCGCCCTCAGCTGGGCGTTTGAACACCCCGGATGCTGGTGCAGGGCTTTCCGCCACACAGTCCAGGTCGCTTTTTCGCGGGAGACCAGTCGACACTGGTTGTTCGGTCAATGGGATAGAATAATCTTCCACCGGAGATCCCGCGACCTCATGTAGTACGTTGCGGCTGGGGGCAGGAGATGGCGAGTATTCCGAGACAAGGTGACTAGGGCTGCGAGGGGCGACTGTACGAGGAGTTGAGCTGTGCGGGTCGCAGTACTCTCCCTCATAGGAACGAAGCTTCTCTTCAAGCTTTGAAATCCGCCCTTGCAGTTCCTGGACATAGGATTTCGACGAAGGCCTGCAGGCAACGTCAGCAGGTTGATGTACGAGAAGCTTAAAAACGCACCATTTCCGAGCGTCGTTCAGGACGAACCCGCACTCGATATTGAGTCTTTGGCAGACTGAACATCGAGTATTTGGATCGTTCGGATTGCCATCGCACTGCATGAAGTATTGGGTAGTGTTCCTCTATCGTGTTGACTGGGATTCCTCTGACCTTCGACTTGCGCTTGCGACAAGCCACACACGCGGTAGAGGACCGATTCACGGCCCTGGTGCCCTTTTTTCTCGGATAGTTAGTGTTTTGTTGCATCAGAAAATCGCGTCTACTTCGGCGCATGAACATCGGCATCGAGAGTGTGCGAGTTGGTCAGAAAGGGTTTCCAGGCAGTCATGGAACCCCATGGAGATTCTCAGATGGCAGTCGATGCGGGGTACAGGCAGCGGCCGTATGGAATAGCCGAGGCCAGAGAAGAGCGATCACTAAACCAAGCAGAACTATAATGTAGGGCATCAACTGGCGGCCAGATTACGCGTTCCACAACCTCCATAACCCCCACAACCTCCACAACCTCCACAACCCCACAAGGCTTGCCACCATTGAGCTACCGGTGCGGTAATTGATTATCCCGTTCAGTCAAGCCGCGGCTGGTCGGAACTCCGCCGACAGTCGTCCCCGGGATCCGACTGTTCCATATCCGAGACAGATGCTAGTGCGTCCAGCGTCATTCTACTTTTCCGGCAAATAACTATCGGATGCTCATCCGCCAACGCATTCACTACTCGGGGAGTTGGTTCTCCGGGGAGGGGTTTCTCTGATATGGTAGATTGACAGAATCGGACCTTCGTCATTCGACAATCCTACCGGTACGGTTGCTAGCCACTCACCTAGCGAGACACTCAATGAATATAGCACCACAAAATATACACAATCAAATGCCTATCAAGCCTGTACATGACCTCGTTGATACTCTCTTAGGGGATTGGTTCCAACTTTGAATACTGCATGAATCAATAGCAAAGTTGAAGGAGAGGTACATCGATTACCTAGCGTCGACAGTCTTGGTATATGTCTATGGACTGCTGCTTGTGCATGCAGATAGGGATTCAGAAAATAGAGTAGAAATAGAATAGAGGATGCTATGGAGATACATCAGGGGATTTGTCCTTCAACGACTCCGGGAGGTGTTTCAAGGTCTGACTCCCCCACAGTCGCTCCTGCCCCAACAATACTTAACTAGGGACATCCCATAAAAATTACTAGAAATATCATCCTGGAACCTGAGGAAAACTCCTCACTTGGGCAGAATGCTATCTTGTAATAAGTGCAGATGTTCACGGCTTGCCTAGTCAGCCAGAGCAGTAAGGTTTTTCACGGACGGATCTGCCAGAGTTAGCAACTTGGTTATAAGGACAATTGATTGCGGATTTGAAGCATACTCGGATTCACGGTGGAACCGTCCTTGACAGAGGAGGTATCGATCGCCTGGTACACTGTTAGCTAATCCCAGGGCAGTAAAATGTACGGAAAAGATGCGTACCAATGTAATGTAACCAAGGACACCGTTAGTATAATCCTCCCCGTCGAGGGGTTCAGTATCAAGTAGTGTCATTGCGCCAGCTTCGAGAATCAGTTAGCACATGCTTTTCACTGCGCAGGACAGACCATCGCGCCGGATCTATAGATTGTAAAAGAACACAGGAGGTACGTACTCATCGATTCAGTCGTATAAATACCGTCGACATCATTGAGGGTTCGCTCAATCTGCGTGTGCGAGGCATAAGGTTGCAATGCCATTATTTGTTTGCTGAGCTCCTCAGCCATGAATAGCTGGCCGGTACTAACGATGGGGCCATGAGATAGAGTGCCATTTGATGTCACAGACCAGTCGGTGTGAACCTGGGCATGGATATGGATAGTACGATCAATCTACCAAAATTAGTGACACAACGTTTGCAACCGAATTTTTATCTTTGGACTTACGTAGAATCCAGGATACACAGTGGTAAAAGAGGTAACCCCATTTTTGTTTGTTGGCCACATTCCACGCAAGAAAGTTGAGTTGTCCGTTGAAAGCCACTATAGAAGTCAGATAATTGCACAACACGTCAACAGGATAAGGCGGAGCAACGTACTGAGAGATCTCCAAGCCCATTTGTAATGTTGCTCAAGTCAACACCTGCCTCCTCAAACAAGATGTTGGCATGTACGTTCGGAGAGAGGCCGGTGAACGAGCTATAAGAGCCAGTAGCATTGCAGTGCTAAAGTTGAAATACAAATATTAGCACGTAAATACCTGGATATCATGTAGTTCACTTACCCAGATGTCAACCAGCACATCAGGCAGGGGTTCGCAGGTGTTAACATCGATAACACCAATCTCCAGAGAAAGGGGAACACCGGGTTGTCCTTCTCGGATATCCTGGCGAAGGGTCTGGCTGTTGGGATAAAAGTATGGCCCGTTGCTTGCCTCCGGCGTAAGAATGCAGGATTCGTTCTTAATGAAATCGTACTTGGGAGCATGCGCATGGACGATATAATCAGTGATGCCAATATTGGGGTCAATGGACATGTCCCGGCGACGGAGAGCATGGCTCTTCCTCTTCATCAGGCCAATTTTGTCGGAACATTGCGCAGCAGCCGCAGCTCTTTTCTGGTGTGCAACAGCATCCACAGGCGCATGAGGACCAGGGTGAGCTATATTACCATGTATTAGAATTTGACCACGAGCACGGTAATCAGTCACCTACCATTTGCGATAGCTGCGAGCACGAAAAGAACGACAAGGTATGCGGCGAACATTTTGGGCTCGAAGACCTTGGATGCGAACATGTTGAGGAAAAGACTTTTGATTGCCCTGAGAATTTTCTAGATCCAAGGACCGACTCTTTATAGACACGTCTATTGCATCATGAAGAAAATCAGCGATGAGTAAGCGGGGAATCACTCTACAACATAGGGCTCCAGGGCTCCAGGGCTGTGTTTCCACGTTCGATCAGTGGGCCCGAGATTTGCAATATCCAACTTATTTCACTAGCGTATTTCACCACGAGTGGATCACACCATCGAGTGGATCACTGCGAAGGTGTATAACGGCCAAGCTTCGTATGCCTGATTTTTGGGGTTTATGGCCGAATTAGGCTTAGTTATTGCCTGAATATGCCTTATTTTAGACTAGCAGAAATTGGTAGAGATTAATATACCTGAATTACTATGACAGAGCCCTTAATAAGTAAGGTAGCCATATTTAACGCCTTTTAAAATAGGTAGGTAAAATGAAGCTATTCCTACCTATACAAGAATAATGGTGTACGTTACGAATGAGACCCGGATGCAGCCGGAACCTGCGGCCCCGTAGTAGTCAAGTAGTCAGGTAGCCAGGTAAGTTTTGCTTACTAGTAGCTATTGACGGCCCTATTCCGGAACCTGTATCTGCTGCGCCCAGGTAGCGTTAACCTCCCGTTGCTTCCGCGCCACGAAGGGGGACACTGTGGCTTGGTCGAGGCTGCAAAAGGGATAGGGGTTCCAGAAGCCAATCACCGCAGGCTAGAAATAATCAACCGCAAAAAAAGCGGGGAACCAGAGATTGATCTGCAATATGCATCGACTAGCAATCCACGTCCGCTTATTAAGTTGCCCCTAGCTCCTAGCTGTGGAGAATGAAGATGAGCCATGGATGGGGACACTCCTTAAAGTGGTTCAGAAATACTCCGTAGTCTATCATGGTTCAGCAATAGTTCAGCATCGTCTAGAACCTGACCCACGCCCACTTGGATACGTACGGAGGAATGCGGGTCAAAACACAACGTGAAAAACAACCTTTTTCTGAACCATGCCAAGGCAGATGCCAAGCATTTGCGCAGTATTTGCCAGACAATTATTATTTTCCGTTGAATATTATTGCCGTGGTTCAGGATTCGAAACTGCCATCCGATGGTTCTCCGATCCAGGTGCTGAGCTACGGAGTATAGTTCTAAACCACGCTGAGCGTTGGGCCCTCCATGGTTCATACCATAGCTCAATGGCCCCGAGTTGCACAGTCACGCTCATTGTTTCTTATAGTGAATATAGTTCCATATGACGTTTCATGTATACGAATAAAACCTCATCTGCTGTTTCATTATGGCAAGGGAAAAGCTATAGCCGGGTCATGCATATTTCACGCATATATCTTGGTGCGTACGGTAGATGTTGTCAATTACCAGTAGACCATCAGTGGGGCAGATCTCCGATTACTAAGCGGGGTTTGCACCCGTGGGCATGTTCACATCTAAACTATCAAATGCTAATCAAAGGTATACGACAGATGCTCTCCTTCGGTTTTCATCGGCAGTTGATGCTACTAGGGGGGAGACAATTCGTCTCATCACTTGTCCACGGGGGAGATGTGTACTAGGCAGACCAATTTTCCATGTCAGGATCGTCGCTCATGGACAAGGTATATTTAAAGCTGCATCCTCTTCCTATACTCAATCTCTAAAAGCCGTTGCAACTGTACAAGATATCGTTGCTCTTTCTCTCTACCTTCATTATTCCACTAGACATTATGGCCCCGCTTGCTACTTTTCTCACTCTCGGCCTTGCTGGCTTATCCAGCGTAGCCTCTGCTCATCCTGGCCATGACGTCCAGAAGGAAGCAGCTGAGCGTGCTGCGTTTATGCAAAGCGCACCACTTGAGTCGCGTAGTCTTGGGCACTGCACTTCAAAGCTAAAGGCCCGCGGTACCGAAGACCTCAATATTGCTCGTCGGGAGAGTGCTGTCCATCAACTTCGCGAGGCGCGAAACCTAAGTACCGGTATGACGCACCGCTCCTCCATTTACACCCAGCTATTCAATGCACAACTCAGGCTAATATATGCCCAGGAGCTCGCTATCTCAAGGCTCGTGATACCGACTCTGTGTTGGCCACGGACCACCATTCGAACTTGACTGGTGTCACCCCATTTACTGATCCTAAAGTCCTTTTCGCATCCGGGGGGAACTTGCATCGTGCAGCCCGAGGTCACTCAGGGGCCTTATTGTAAGACCCACGGTTCTTTCATTTTTGGCAACAAATCTAATCATATAAATACAGACATTTCGGGTGAACTGATCCGCAAGGAGGTTGCCGAAGACCAGCAGGGCGTGCCTCTGTTCATGGATATTCAACTTATCGATACCAACACCTGCAAGCCCCTACCCAACGTATACGCGGATATCTGGCACTGCAATGCTACTGTAAGTCTTCCATGGGCGACTGAAGATGCCAAAAATCGTGGCTGACTCTTTATGCTTCAGGGCGTCTACTCTGGTGTTGTTCAGGACGGCAACGGTGACACCAGCGACAAGGGTAACATTAACGAGACCTTCCTACGTGGTGTTCAACGTACCAACCTTGACGGAATTGTGCAATTCGCGTCGATCTTTCCTGGTCATTACTCTGGACGGGCCACTCACATCCATGGTGAGGCAACACAAAACTACATCGCCAGTGTGATCAGAACTATGCTAACACACTCAATACAGTGGTTACGCACCCCGCAAACGAAACTAGAGCCCTCCCCAACGGTACTATTTCAGGCACTTACGACTCACGCTCCTCCCATGTTGGCCAGATCTATTTTGACCAGGACCTCATCACCGAAGTCGAGAAGACTGTTCCCTACAGCAGCAATACTCAAGAGCTTACCAAAAACGCCAATGATAGCCTTCTCCCAGCGGAGGCTGAAACCACCGACCCGCTTATGGAATATGTCTTCCTTGGCGACGATATCTCAGATGGTGTATTTGCCTGGATTTCCATCGGTATTGATGGAAAGAGGGATGTTCCCGTCTCCCCGGAAGTATTTTGGACCGAGGACGGTGGCGTGGTCAATGATGACTTTGTCATGGGCACAGCTGGTGTCCCTACTGAGATACTTGCCAGTCTCGCTGCACAAAGCACCAGCGCATGATGTTTCTGAACTAGTGAAAGTGTTGAAAATGAGGGTGGAAGTTCTTACTCATAGAACTTATAGCTACCATAGAATAGAAGACATGCTTAGCTTTGTACGCCAATGCCACTAGTTCCTCTAGAAGACTCCATATTTCCTGCTTTTGAGACAAAGAATACTCGTTCTATGATTTAAAGCGTGTTGCAGTGGATCATGTATAGTCTAAACAAAGTACCCAAGCTAGCCGCGGCAGTAGCTGCAAGGAACGGGCTGTCGCCACGTGTGAGACCGCGCGGTTTCCTCTCATGTGAGAAGGTACCCTAAGACTTTAATCTAATTTGCTTCTTTTGTACAGCCATAAATAGCTATCTGAATTCGTGTTTCCAAAAGAGAAACTTTACATTGTGGTTTGATAGAAACGCATTGGAGAATAATTTGTCAGGTTCAAGTGAAAGCGGACCGCTCCATACCGAACTATGCTGAACTAACTACTCATTATTAAGAAAACTAATTAGGAAACTGTAGGCTGCGTCCTTTGCCTTCTCCTCTGTAGACCCTGGCTTGTATGTCTTATCAAACGCATGTCCACACTCATCCATCCGACGGTGATGGACCAACTTTCCAGGAGCTGACTTGATTTGCATTGCAAGATCTTCTGCTTCGGGACACAGATTATCACGGGCGCAGGTAACAAAACAACATTTGTCCGGGAAACTCTCCGGGGCACTGAAGAATGGCGAGATCCGGGGGTCCTTTTTATTATTCTGACCAACATAGCAGTCAGTGAAGATGTCGGTCATCCATGTAGGAATCGGTTCGCCGTTAGGATCTGGAGCCGCTTTGGATGCTCCGTCTTGGAAGAGGTTTACAGCCGGATAAACAGCAAGAACCTTCTCAAATTGCCGTGGAAACAAGGTAGATGAGGCGACCAGAGCAAGGTTGCCGCCGGCGCTGAAGCCAGAAATGGATATGCGGGATGGGAGAAACTCGGTTGGACGTGACAGAACCCATTTCACAACGTCTTCGACGTCATCAACAGCTGCTGGCCAGGGATCTTCGGGGGCAAGACGATATGCGCAGTCAAGCACGGTGTAGTCCGTGTTACTGGCCACTTGCCTTGCGAATTCCTCGTCGCTTCCATGAAGCCTTAAGATAAAGCCGCTTCCATGGAAATTGATCAGGACCGGGCCTGGGGAAGATTTCTGCGATGGTTCATACTTGTGAACGCGGATGGACCGCTCTTCCGCACGAGAGGGAATATGGAGGATGGCATCCGGACGTGGTGAATATTCCGGATATTGTTTTGAGGTGACTTGACGCACTTGTTCTGCGAACTTGACCTTCTCTTGCTGATCCATGATGTGTTGAGTGGATGGGCAGAGAAACGAGTCTGGTCAAGAAGCAAGTGTGCGTGAAAGACAAGGAAGGATGTGGAAGGAGCTGAGAAAGAGTCCTACACAGTCGGTGGCGAACAGGGACTGAAAATATATGTGTTATATGTTTAATATCCTTAGTACATTTATTTAGTTTATAACCTAATTTAGGGCCCTTGACCTACCTAGGTAGGTACAATATACCTAGGTAGGTATTACTAGGTCGAAGGGCTCCACCTAAAACCTTACCTGAGACTCAGTTGGGTCTGCCCAGGTGGGTTAGGGTGAAATACGTTACCGGCTCCACCTATGTACCTGCTTCCGGAGTACCCTCCAGCGGGGACGGTGTCCGCTTAATCAGCGGTATTTGTCTGTACAATCCGCAGGCATCTGCAGCTTCATTGCCGTTGGCATTGCCGCGAAGACTGGTGGAGCTGATCTGCAGACATCTAGTCCGCAAATAAACCTTCGGTCCTTATCCATTGGGAATGACGCTCGGCAAATCAATATACGATCGTCTGCTATTGTTTTGGTATCATATTTGGCCTAATTAACAAGGAATGATATTACGGAGCATAAGCAAAGACGACAAATGCTCAATTGCCGATCCTACGAGCATGCTGCTTCTAGCCCAGGACAGCAAAAAGAACTCAAGAGGCTCACTGCCTATGGTTTACCTTCTGACTACCTGTCAGAGAGATATAGGCCTCTGCTTCTAACGAATTTATCCCAGCTTACCTTTGGTTCTTCGACTATTTCCAACGAAGAATTTGTCGGCCTGGCTGTTAACCGGGGCACTCGTGCCAACGCGAGTGCCATGGGGATAGAATCTGCAGCGTTGACAGTTACGCTGATGGTCCTGGCATTCTGGGGCATTTCTACCGAGGTGGCTGTCGGCACCTATTCCCGAGTTCCCGCTGTTAAGCTGCAAGTCGAAAAGTTACCGCGGCTTTCAACCACGCCGGCTCATCTGTAATATCCCAATTCTATTCTAACAGCGGAATGGCGGTAACAAGTCCGTGCCATTTCTATCTTCTCCATAAGTTCCTAGAAGCCCTGAAACCTCTTCAGCAGCTGCCTCGTCTCATACTTTGCAGAGTCAACTCTTTACGGCATCACCATGTCCCAACCAACTCTAGTAACCTCACCTCCTCGATGCGTCAATTTTCGGCTTACATACCCAGCACCGTATGTTCTTCTTGTCACCTTCGAGCGTGAAAAGGCCATGAACAGCCTTACATTTGCCATGCACTGGGCACTGGCAGCCGTGTGGGACTGGTTTGATAGCGAGCCTGATCTGCGAGTTGCTGTCGTTACAGGCCAGGGCACAAAGTCATTCTGTGCTGGCCAAGATCTGTTGGAACTGCGCGGGAGAGGGACAGGTGACGACCCTAAGCAATATATCTACCCAAAAGGTGGATTTGCAGGCATTAGCCGCAGGTCGGGGAAGAAGCCAATTATCGCGGCTGTAAATGGTTATGCGCTTGGTGGAGGGTTCGAGATGGTGCTTAATTGGTAGGTACTGTGGGCCTTGAACGAATTGTGCCTTTATATCTGTACAATTTCTCATCGACTCTGTGTTTTCTGCTGCTGCCCGCTGAAACAAATTCTATCTGACCGATCTCAGTGACATGGTCGTCGCGTCACCAACTGCTTGTTTCGGTTTGCCTGAAGCTCTCCGTGGTCTATACGCGGCTGCCGGCGGCCTGCCGCGGCTCATGCACATAGTCGGGCCGTTCATCGCAACGGAAGTTGCTTTGACAGGCCTTCGCCTGTCTGCTCAGGAAGCTCTAGTCCATAAACTTGCTAATAGGGTTAGCAAGACAAATGAGTCATGCGTTGATGAGGCAATTGAGCTAGCACAAAAGTGTGCTGAAGTTAGCCCGGACGCAACTTTTGTTAGCAGAGTCGCGTTGAGAGAGGCATGGGAAACAGGAAGTGTGGAGAGAGGTGTTGAGTTGGTGGAGGGCAGATATCGGAAGCGATTGCATGAGGGAGAGAACAGCCGGGAAGGACTGAGGGCATTTGCGGAGAAAAGAAAGCCTAACTGGGTAGCTAGTAATCTTTAGACACGTTCTAGGGATGAGAACAAGGGAGTCCTATCTGGCAACTAAATAATCGAGAGTACTTTGCTATACTGTATGTACTTATACAGGGTAAGACGATTACTGATCGGGTATAGACACAGACTAATTTTTGGAAAGCTACGATATATATATGCAATATTAACACTGGCAGGGAAACTTGGTAATTTGATTTGTTCGGATCGTAGTTGTTTTCTTACGCTTGAAAGTAAAGCATCTGTTATACTGCTATATCTCTCTAGCATTTTGAGCTGAATACTTAATAGAGATGCGATGCAGATGGAGAATCAATGGAGAAAACACTGTGTGGATTGACTGTCTCGCACGAGGAGAGGAGGAAGAGAAGGAAATGAGAGAGAGCTATCAAACTGGGGGTTCTATCACATAGTGATGCCTCAGGCATCCAACAATACTGCATCATCAAATCATCAAATCACAGTTTTGCCTGTTTACCCATCAACTTCTGCGCTTTACTTAGTGCCTCCACCGCACCCTGAACCATCTCCTCCACTATATCCTTTGCTGGCTGATTTGGCTTGTTGATCAAACCTGCCACTATCCCCATCGGCCTCAACGTCGCCTGCTCCTCAAGGTCCTCCGTCAATGCACCGGTGTCATGCATTCTATCCAACTCATGTTCCATTACCACGATGCCTCGAGACTGCAGGGCTCTCATTTCCTCTGCACGATTGGCTTCCCAATCTGCCACAAGAGGGGTTTTCAGCGCACGGAGGGGGCGGCCAGACCAGAAAGTTGATCTAATTGTCGAATCGAAGGTTGCTTTTATGATCCTGTGGTAGTCAGAGAATGACACGGTACAAGTAACAGTAATAATGAAACTGACTGATCCTTTGCAATTTCGGGGGCACCTGACTCCTTGCAAGCAACAAACCGAGTGCCAACCCATACAGCACTCGCGCCGAGTGACAAAGCGGCAGCGAGACTACGACCATCGGCCATGCCGCCTGCTGCGACCAGCTGAACTGGCTGGCCCGTGAGACTCGATTTGTACCTTTGACAGACGTCGGCACAGGCAGGAACAAGGATACTGTGAGAGTATGTCAGTAGTAGACCAAAATACAAAGTCACTGAGACCAGACCTTGTTGAAATATCCCCCGTATGACCGCCAGCCTCGCCTCCTTGGGCACAGATTATGTCTGCGCCATTTTCGCAAGCTCGGACGGCATGCTGAAAATTTGTCAGTATGTTGAGAATGAGTTGACGCCGTGGAATAATTACCTTGGGATGGCCGACCATGTTCTTAAGGGAAGTACTCCGGTCAGTCAGGCTTCAAGTAAATTGACAGGACAACATCATTCTTATTCTTACCATGTACAATACGCCGGCAGCATGCAGCTTATTAACAACATCGCGTGGAGGAAGGCCAACTGCCGCAACGAAAAGCTTCGCTCCACTCTCGATTATAATATCAATGAGCTCGTCCAGTTGACCTTTGGTATAGTCTCTCTGATTTTGGTATTAGCAAGCACAAGCCAGTTCCAGCCACAATCTCGTCTAGGCAGGGCACCCACGTTTGTTTTGCGGGCCGATCCTCCAACCTGGGGCAGTAAAAGATCAACACCGAAAGGCAGAGACGGATCTTTAAGGTGTTCCTACAGAGGCAGGAGTTATTTTCGGCGAAATAGATCAAACCAAGTCCCTTTCGCAAATTACCTTCACCTCAGCGAGTAACTCCCGAAGCATGGATGGTGTATATCTGACTCCTCCAATTACTCCAAATCCACCTGAGACTTCCGTCAGCTAAATGTATTCTCCTTCCTGTTATTGAGAATAGAGACTCACCCGCGTTTGACACTGCTGCGACCAGGGGCGCTTTGGACGTATTTCCCATTCCCGCCAAAAGTATGGGGTGCTCGCAGCCTAACAGGCGTGTGACCGGAGTGGTAAGAGACATGATGAATCGTGGACAACAAGGAGAACCAGGGATTGGGATAGCCGAAGCTTAAAGAGTAAAATGCTGTGTAAACCTTGCTAGTGGACCTGGCTCAATAACGGCTCTTATTGCGATGGTACCTTTCCTCAAAAATTAAATAACGACGGAAGCGTCTTCAACCAAGCTAAAAGCCGAGCCGCGGGCAGACACAGCCTGTCGGATAGACGGCTTGCGCTTGCAGGATTGCGGCGGATAATGTTCTCCGACAGAGCTTGGTGGTTTTGAAACTAGAATATGTACCGAGTAATAAGCTAGGCTAATTAAATCAATGTAATTTGATAAAACTAAGCTCTAATTGTGGTCTTATTCTGAATAAGCCACCTTAATATTGATTTAATTTAATATAGGTTTTAGACGTATCTATAAAATAGGTTACTGATATAGGGCTGCAGGTTAGGGTGTCGGACAGTCTGAGGCCCCAACCCACCCTAACCTGGACCCAGGCGTGTCTATGCTATAGTAATTTACTAATAACCATGTTCGCAATATTTCTTAAGGTAGTACCAATACTAGCGCGGTCAAGAATTTTGGCGCACGAGTATGTAGATTAGGATCATTCGGGGGACTTTTTGAGCCGGGGTAGCTTGCGCTGATCATGGACGGAATAAGACACAAACCGAGGTATTGGCATATAGCCGCATGAAGCACGAAGGGAACGACGCTCAGCTTCCGCATTGTTCCTTCAGAAATTCCCCGCAGGCAGCTCGCAAATAACGCAGGCATGTTGAAACACCTCGGCAATTTAATTCATCTGTCGAGCCCTGGAAATGAGGGCCTCACACATGTTTTGAGCTATCTTTCACCGGCCTCGCTTCAACATTATTCTTATACCTTCCCTGAATTTACATGCCTGAAGTCTTTGAGCTCTTAGCACTCGTCACCACCGCTGAAGTTCTATTCGGACCTTCATTTTGATTTGGCCGTTTTCACCACCGTTGCAAAATGTATACTCCAATTGTTGTAGGCGTTGGCGATGTCATTAATAGGTCCAAAAAGGCAGAGGATGCGATTGAACCTCTGAAATTAATGAGCCAAGCCATCGAGACAGCAATAAAAGACACAGGGCTGTCGTCTGCCGCAGCCGCCAAACTGAAGTCGAGCATCGATAGCATTGATGCTGTCCGATGCTGGACGTGGCCATACCCTGACCTTCCTGGGTCACTCTGTGACATCCTGAAAATCAACCCGGAACATAGGCACTACCACCCCTTCAACTCAGGCAGTACCCCGGGTCTATTCTTCGATCAAGCCTCGCGAAGGATATCCTCGGGCGAAACCAAAGTCGCAGTCTTGACTGGTGGCGAAGCCCTAGCATCCAGTACGTGGGAGTCTGAGGATTTGATGTACCTATGCTAACAATCCGTAGTAAAAGCGTGTCTTGCTGAGGGTAAAATGCCGCCGCCTGGCTGGACAAATGTCGGCAGGAGTGTCAGTGATCCAACAGCCCGCCGGCTGGCGGATGGTACGCTCATGCAAAATCACGGTTACCCATCATCTACTAATACAAGGTAATAGATGTCGCGGGTCTCCATGGGATTGGTACGCCAATGCAGGGATATCCGTTGTTTGAGAATGGCTTCAGAGCCCACCGTGGTCAGTCAATCCCACAGAATATTGACGAGTCTGCGAAACTGTACGAACACTTCGCCGCTATTGCCTCCAAAAACCCGAATGCTTGGTTTTTTGGAAACTCGGAAACTGCAAACTCAATCAAAACAGTCACTAAACAAAATCGAATGATATGTTTTCCATGTAAGACTTGGATGGTTCTGAGCTTGATCGCCGAATGCTAATGTACCCAGATCCTCTTTTAATGAACGCGATGAACCTAGTCAATATCAGTGGAGCTGTCCTTTTGACTTCCGCTGAGTATGCTGCGGAACTAGGAATTCCCAGATCCAAATGGATATATGCTTTGGGCGGTGCTGGTACCAGGGACAGCCCTAACTGTAAGATCCAAACTACTGAGGCATCCTGATATCAGAGCTTACGCTTACTCTTTCAGTTTGGGAGCGCCCAAACTTTTACTCCAGTCCTTCCATCTCGAGATCACTGGATGCCGCAATTGAAGTCTCGGGACTGAGAAGGGAGGAAATTGACCTCTATGACTTTTATTCGTGTGTGGACCTTTCTTGTGCCTAGTCAATGCTTTAACACCTGTTGTAGATGCTTTCCCTATCGTCCCCAAAATTGCGGCCCATGCCCTCGGTTTACCAATCACCAACCATGCTCAACCTGTTACCCTGTTGGGGGGGGTCTTACTTTCTTCGGTGGTGCCGGGAACAACTACTCAATGCATGTAGGTCTCATCATACCTTGGATCTTGACACACAAACTCCGCTCCAGCTAATTTTCTTGATAGTCCATAATAGAGATGGCACGCGCACTACGCACCGGCAGAGGCCATAATGGGCTTGTTCTGGCAAATGGCGGCATAATGACCTACCAACATGTCGTTGTTATGTCAGTTCGACCTCGTCCGGACGGTTCGCCGTATCCCGTGCGACAACCTCTTCCTGAAGTAATCACAGACATTAGTATCCCGCCCATCGAGGCAAAGGCTGATGGCGAGGCGGTGCTTGAAGTGAGTCCCCTTCTTACTGCGAGCCCACTATCTGCTAACATCACACAGACATACACAGTTGACTACAACCGGAATGGCTTGCCGTTCCGTGGGTATATTATTGGGCGCATGAAGAGTAATGGTCACCGATTTTTGGCCAACCATGCGGATGAAAACACGTTGAAGCAGCTCTGTAGTACGAGCAAAGAGCCAATTGGCAGGAGTGGGTGGGTGAGGAACGACAGCCTCAGTGGGAAGAACTTGTTTAGATTCGAGAGTGAATGGAGGTTGTAGATGGACATCGGAATGGACAGCTTTGTTGAGTATACTAAATGACATGAGAGCCTGCCCCTCGAACAGATTCACCAAGCATGGGTTTCAATTCATGAAGCAAAGAAGCAACAAGGCTTAATAATAGTAAACCTGGAAACATTTTCGGCCCAGTAGTCGTCGGGTAGTCAGGTAGTTAGGTGAGTTTTGCCTACCAGCAGCTATACCTGACGACCCCCCTTTCATCCGTTTGCTCCCTCGGGTGATTTTCTATCGTTTACTCCCCTTTGGGTCCCGGGCCAGTGCAATTTCTGCCTTTCCTATCTTGCTTCAGATGGCGTGGAGTTCTGAACTAACTTAACCTGACGGAAGTGCCCTCTTGGGAGAAAATTAGACAGCAAAGACTGCCCATCTAGCGACCGTAACTCATCCACGTTCTGGAATCATTACACCCCCCATGCTGGAGGCTCATTTCGATTACTAGTGGACTGGTCGCTCGCGGTCTCTATGCTGCTCACTAATTGAAAAGTAAGATCATGCCTACGCCGTCTGGCGAATGTAGCCCCCCCATCAAAATACACTTGTCCACTCGACTGGAAGTATTCTTCTAATCAGGGATTATTCCAAAATCATTGATTCCAATTCTCTCAACCTCGCTATCTAGCAGGCGTACCCCCTTCACACCCAATACACGTCTCCCCTCGACATATTCTTGCAACTTAGGCTTTTAGGAGACTTCTAACTTCCACACCCGCCGATGACTTGGCGCCGCAAGCCGCGATACCACTTTCTTCGTCCATGGTGACTGAATTGACTTGCTCCATTGTTCACCCCCGAGACCATTTTCTGGGTTGTACACATGAATGGCAACATAAGGGGAAGCAAACTCCGCATTGTCGCCAAATGTAGTTACAAGTTTGTAGCGACTACCTGTACGCCATCCGGGGACATCACGTAGAATGGGCATGTGTTCCTCTTGATACCAGGCGTAAAAGTCCTTGATGACTTCTTCGGTTTCGATCGGCGACATGCCCGCGGTGATGACAACCGATCCCACCGGACGCTGGCGAGGCTCGATATCATCTCGTTTATTGAATGCAATGCGCTCATAAAGGTGGAAGTCGACTTTGCCAGGGGAATTGGTGCCCTTCTCGGCGGGGAGAAGTGACCGGATTAGGTCGTCGCTGATTAGGCTTGTATCTTCGATATGATAGCTGTTTTCATAGCGGTAGGGTTTGGCGTCTTCGACCTTATCAGTTGCTGTGAGGATGTCGACTCCGTAGACGCCTGGCAGCTGGGAGAATGCTCCCTGGCGCCAGGCATGGAAATCCGCGTCGCTCAACGAAGAAGGGCGATCGAATAGAACGCGTAAGAGACCGGTAGGCATAGTAAAGATATTTACGGACGAGTAAAGATATGTATGGATGGTGCTTTTTTGAATACAGGCCTTGATACTACGAGATTCGGCTGGTGAATGGCCTTCTTATCTAATGCAGATAAATGCCTCGGAATGCGAGATGCAAAAGCCGCCGGGGATCTGATCCCCGAGTAACCCCAACAGCCGCGCCGGAGTTCTGGCTCCCGAAGCAACCCCGCAGTGCTATCGGCTATCGTACTCCGGGCACTGTCCCGCCCCCAGGCAGAAGTGGCAGATTGAACATAATTACTATAATTCCTGTCCTTCTGACGGTGACAAGCATTTCAGTACCTGCCAACATCCCAGATTTCCAGATTTAACAACCATTGAGCTATGTTTGCTGTGCCGGAGATCCCACACTTTGACGAACTCCCCCTTCGCGAGGGCGATCCTCCACTCTCAGCCTGGGGACTGTGGAAGAAACCGGAATTCGGTGCCCTCAACTATCTAACCGACAAGGCTTTGGCGCAAGCTGCTCGCGATGAGATTCAGACTGGAGAAAGAGTATCTATGGAGTGGGTGCCCAGGCTCTGATACAAAAGCATGATATATGGGACAAGAAGCTTGCTAATGCTTCTGTAGCCTGCCCTTGGACTTGATAGATCCTCCTCTTCTGGGAAGACGAGGGTTTCAGAGAGAGATCATCAACAAGGCCCCCAAGGTTGTAAATGATGATGTGGTAAGTAACTTTCCACCCCTACTGTGTCGGCCAATGGTTAATCAGGTGATATGACCAAACTAGATTACGTTTAATACCCAAGGAAGCTCCCAGTGGGATAGTTTCCGACATTTTGCCTATCAGAAAGAGGGCAAGTTCTATAACGGGTGAGATAGGAAGCCATATATATGGCTTCACATTATCTAATACTGTATACAGAGCTACCCAAGATGACATTCATGGCGACCAGTCAAGCACCGTTGGATCTTCTTCCCTTTGGACAAAAGGACTGGGCGGTATTGCTGGTCGTGGCATCTTAATCGATTATTACACCTGGGCAAGTGAAAAGGGGATTGAATATAACCCTCTCAGCACACACGCTGTCCCCTTGGATGCGGTCAAGGACATTGCTCGCGAGAATGGTATCGAATTTCGTCCAGGGGATATTCTCTTTCTACGGACCGGTGAGCCAGTGAATTCTTGCCTGGTCTAATCCCATTATTGATTTTCCTATCTCTCTGCAGGCTTCGTCAATGGTTACTTGCAGCTCAACAGCACTCAACGAGAAGAAGTATCCAAGGCGCCTCGCTTCCCTGGGCTCAGCCAGTCACGAGAAACTACAGAGTGGCTATGGGAGCGACAATTCTCTGCTGTAGCAGGTGATAATCCAGCATTTGAGTGTGTCCGTATGTTGTCTTACCTATGTCATATCTGTTTTATGCGTGTATAAACTAAAACTGAACTAGCTTCGGCCAACCCTGAGTGGCTTTTACACCCTATTCTTCTTGCTGGGTGGGGCACCCCAATTGGCGAGTTGTTCGACCTCGAGGCACTGGCAGAAAAGTGCAAGAAATTGAAGCGTTGGTCGTTCTTTCTCACTTCGGCGCCGTTGAACTATACAGGGGCCGTGGCGACACCGCCCAATGCCATCGCTATCTTTTGATTCTGGCTATGAATATCTATCCAAGATATCAAAGCTTGCGGTGCTTGCTTGTATTTATGCCAATGGGCTAAATAGACATAGTTATATGACTTTCGTACCTGCTGAACAGGGTATAACACTAGACTGCTATTCCCAAGGCATATCGGGCCTCCGTAGCTTAAGAAATTGTGTCGAATTTTATTGCCAGTATGCATTATTTGATGCATATTCGGCGAGAGCAATTGAAAACGGAAGAGTGCATTACGCGCTTTACATATCAAGAGCCACTACTTGTGCACAAAATAGTGTGGTAAAATCCCCCTAAAAACCCACGAAGATATCCTATTGTTCCTATGGCTGTGGGTGTTTTTGGCGATGGAAGAAGACTAGCTCTTTACCCTAGCATATAATCTGGTGTCTACAAATTAAGCTTTGGTGTCTCAAATTTAGCCACCCTGCGCAGGTGCACACCACCTCGCTCAGCAATTCGAGATACAATATCACGAATAAATACCAAATCTTCCTGCTGACCTCCATTCATCAGAAAGCCCAGCATATGATTTCTCGCCTGTTCCGGACAATCAATCCCCAGTAAAGCTGAAACAATCACTTGCTGTGTCTCCGGGATGTCCAGGATGGCATCAAATGAGAAAATATAACCATACAACAGCTCTAGTTATACCATATTAATGCCTGGGCTGTTGAAATTGGTTCCTGGAGTATAGTAGACTCATGTACATACCTCTCGCGATGTGATAGTAATCAGGACCTGCGCTCAAGGTGCCACTCCCCTCATAATCAGGGATTTTGCCGTAGATCATCGAAAGCATCCGTTGACCTCGCTCAAGAGCCTTTTCCCGCGTGTCGGATTCTCTAAACTTTTGATCAGTGGGGCTAGTTGAAATAAGCTGACAGCTGCGTGATACCGGTGATATGTAGGATCCACGAGTTCGGACGGTGTAGCAGCCGCTAGTTGACGAAGGCTGGTTCCTGTCTATTTGGATTTGATTAGTTAGACAGCTTCCCATTTTCTCTCTTAATCTTGAGGTAGGCAAACGAAGATGAGATATACCTTAGCAGCTCCCATAATTCCACACAATTTGGTTAACCCTTCACGAATCTTCTGTGTCTCTTGAAACTGACTCTCTTTCGGGATATACTTTTCTAACAGGAGATTGTAAACGTTCGGGATCTCCTCGGGATAATTCAGTGCGCCCAAGGCCATGATTGCCGTTTGGTACCATTTAAACCGAGAGGATGGTTGGGTCTCGGACAAGGAGATCCAAAATTCACGATCAAATGGGGTAACACGAGTGCCTGCCATTGTGAGATTTCTATTTATCTTTTCTCCGGGCAGTAAAGATGGAGTCATGTCAGTTGACGAAACGTATATTTATTATGTCTCATTGTTAGCCTGATTGGAGGCTGGTGATAGTTGCCGTGGCGAAGTCGGAGCCGGTCGGACTTCAGATCTCCGTAGGAAATCGATTGCCGATGCTCTGCTGGAGGATAAATATTAAATTGCCATGAGACGTGGTTCTAGAAGAGAATCAATATCGCACCAAAGACAAGAAATAATACCACTGTATCCATTCCAGAATGGCACTGTGTCTTGTACCGTCAGTCAAATTCAACACCGAAACCGAAGCAAGTCAGGTACATTTTCATCATGTTTTGGGTATGAGCAGAGACAGATACTTATGAAGATATGCAGTTTCTCAACCACATCCGTGATGTATACGACGTTACATACAAAGATGAAGCCGAATGCCGGGCATACTGCTGGTTTCGCAAGAACGGTGACCCGAGCATAGTCCAGGGGTTTGAATTGTATGTTGTCCTATTTACCATTTGCCCAACGCTGCATAATGTAATGAACGATTTGACTAAATCTACCTGACCCGGTGTTACTTGCATACAGTTACGAAAATGAAAATGCCCTTGCAATCACACACCGATCCTCTGACCCATACAAGAAGATGAGACAGTTTCTCGGCACTGTGCAGATCGGACGCCCGAACGGTATAACACACCAACCACCATCTTCCATGACTCCAGTCGTGGACTCCCCTGCGTGATAAAAACGCAGTACTTCGCTTCGAAGAACTTAGCTACAAACTTACTATTACAAAGCTTGAAGTTTGCAGCCACGCCATCTATGCAGAGTCTACATTCGCACAGGTCTTGGAATCTTTGCAAAATCTTGCCTTTCAGATAAACAACTGTAACACGACGTTGGCATGTTTTGTGGGTATGATTGAAGAGAATGACAATGATCAATCTTCTGGAAATGGATCCTTGGGCGCACAGAGAACGGCTCATTTCTCAGTCGTCGAATGCTACTCCTCGGAAAGTTCTGATCGGGAGCAATTTGAGAGAAGGGGTCTATGCCTGTAAGCGTTCCCAGTAGGAGGCTGGCTTGTGTCAGGATGGTGGCTGACTTGAAACCTGCGCTAGGGCCAATATTACAAAAACAGTGGCTACAAGAGTGAGCATTACTGATTGCACTGATGGTTTTGGGTTTATGAGAGGCAAGCAATCTCAATAAATATGTACATATTTAGAGCGAATGCCCAATATATTTTGGAAGGTACTAGATATCGGTCGTCATTTCCTGGGAAGGTCATGTAAATCGGGTAAATTCGTCCCTGTATGTCGTATGGGTATGAAAAAGAAGAGAATACGTGCTTATCCAGGAGTCTACCATTTCCCTGCGCATGCAAGCTAAGTCTATTGCCCAAGTGGTAAACTAACTCTGATGAACAACCTTCTGAGCGATAGTCGTTCCAGCGAGGATGCCCCAGAGCGTAAAATATTACGCACTTGCCAGCATGAACATCTACCGTGCTGCCATGTGTGGCTCTGTTGTCGTCCAGTCGAAGAATCTCATGAGCCCTACAACAACCGTACGCCTTTAGTGGCGCTCATGTATCATCGTAGTGAAAGGTAGTTTACACAAAACCAAAGAATAAGAACCACATTCAGCTAATATGTTGTATTGTCTAGTGGATTTCGACATGGCTTGAAGACGAGGTATCCTGAGAGAGGCACCACTGCATGTTTTCCTCGAGTACAGTGTCCCACCGCTGTCCTGATGGTAGATCTGCAAATATCCGAAATCCGTGGGGCAAGCCGGGAAATATATGTACCTTGGTCGGGACCCTTTGTGTGTCAACTTCATAATGCCCCCAGAATATTGCAAATGATTGCAGAAGCAGTACACCTAGGGGGATTGACTTACCCATTTTCCTTCAGTTTCTCGGCATAAGTGAGCCCTTCGTCTCTCAGGAGGTCCTGCCCCGCTACCAGGAAGCAAGTCTTGGGCATTCCCTTAAGCTTTTCCGACTCATTGAGGGCCGTGTTGAAGTATGCATCATTGACTGCAGCGGGCCCGAGAAGATCCGCAAATCGTTTCAGAGACGACCAGGGGAGGACAGGCGCGAGCTGGTTCTGCGTGAACGACGAGAATTCGGTTTTAGGAAACGGATTTGTGGATGGATGAAGCAACCATGGACAGCACAGAATTTGGCCTTTGATAAGAAGGAGTCCGTTCAACCGGTCAGCCTGCGCCAGTTCATTGTGTTTGGTCACAACCGCTGCTGCGAGTCCGGCGCCTGCGGAGATCCCACTCACAATGAGTTGAGAAGGGTCTCCGCCGATATCAGAGATGTGGGCTGTCAGCCACTCAAACGAGTCCCATGCATCGTTGAACTGGGTTGGCCACGAATACTCGGGTGTATGCCTGTAGTTTACACTGACCACAATGCAGCCAGGGCTCGGATACGAAGCCACTAATCGCGCGCGGCTCGCGTCTTCCGTCTCAACGGTGCCAAAAAGATACCCTCCTCCATGAAAATACAGCTGGACCGGTAGCAGCGTTGATTCGGCGTCGGGCTTTCTTGGTTTGTAAACCCGGGCAGTGATGTTTTGGAAGTCCCTTGTCAAAATGGAGTAGTCCCGCCAAGTGACCGTTTCCAGGAGGCCTGCTTAATCGGGAACGTGACCGCGTCGCGTCAGCAGGGCTCCTAACACTTCTTCGTGTAAATATTCTCAAAATGACTGACCTGGTGTCTCTTTCAATATTTTCTGCGCCCCGGCAACACGCACCGAATTCGTCACCGTGCGGAGCTCTTGCGGTTTAATCGTGGCTGCTGGCGGCTGGGCAAATCCGGTCGAGCGCACGAATTCCTCCCACTCCGCAACAGGTCCCTGGTACTGAGAGAAGTCCATGTTATTCTTAAGGTGGTGCGGGAGCGCAGCAGAGGGATCCCTCAGTCATGTGTAAATCCACATTTTTATGGAAATGGCCCGGAGATCAAATCGCCGAGAGGGCGGCGCTGTACTCCGTATTTACCGAGGTTTCATCATTCCTCCGAATGATGGTATGGCTGCCCAGAGCTTGGCTTACTCCAGTGCGAAGCATCTGGTAACGCTAGATGATCATACAGGTGCAATTCGATGTGGTGCGCGGGCAAGAGTTACAGAATATCCGTCTGTGGCAGGACTGATACTACAGAAACCGCATGGCTAGCAGCAGCCTGCTGGGGTCTGTGGGATCGCAGTCGCATCGGAAAACATTTTGGGTGGCAAGAGTAGCCCGGTAGACGATATCCGGTTCAAGGGCCGCCTGTATCGAGGCCGGAAAACACGGTCCGTCAGCGAATTCGTGCTTATAGGAGCACGGGCGCACCAGCACGGCTCTCTAACTTAAGTAAGTCTGACAATTCTCAGCTACAGGGCAGTTATCAGGATATTGAAAAAAAAATTCAGGAGAACACCTGTGCACCAGAATGTCTGCATCCGACCTCGTTGATAGCCCCCAGGCGAATGGGAAGACTATACCAGGTACAAGCACTCAAAATGCGCCAACCGAAGCCGGCCAGTCAGCTAAACCTGTTGCTGCTGAATACCACATCCCTCTTTGGGACGTTCCCTCCTACAGCGTACCGAGGAAGCTGCGCGTAATCACGATTGGCGCTGGCTTCTCTGGTTTGACATTCGCCTACAAGCTGCGGTACGAGAATCCGGAGATGGAAAAGATTGTGTCCAACACCATTTTCGAATCTCGGTCCGACATAGGCGGGACTTGGCTTGTTAATACATATCCTGGCGTGCAGTGCGATGTCCCGTCCCACATATATGCGTTCCCCTTTGACCCCAACCCAGACTGGGGACATTACTATTCCTCTGGGGCTGAAATCCAGGAATACATACAGAAAACAGTCAAAAAATGGGGTCTCGATCGGGATGTCCAACTGAACTCGAAGGTGGTTGGCCTCTACTGGCTGGAACACTTGGCTCAATGGAAGGTCACAGTCGAACGAAACGGTCTTCAGAGAGACGAGTATGCCGATGTTGTCATCTCTGCACAAGGTTTCCTCAACTCCTGGAAGTGGCCAGATATACCTGGATTGCACGACTTTAAGGGCCACAAAGTGCACTCGGCATCATGGGACCACTCTTATGACTACTCTCATAAACGGATTGGTATTATCGGGAACGGGTCTTCGGCGATTCAAATCCTTCCACAACTGGCCAAGCTTGAAGGGACAGAGATTATCAGCTTCCAGAGAAGCCCTACCTGGGTCGTGTCACGTACAGACCCCGGAAAGCTTCTGGGACGGCCCAATTCTGGATCGAATCCGGCCTACACAGAGGAAGAGCGCAAACGGTTCCTTGAAGAGCCTGAGGCGCACCACAAATACAGGAAGAGCTTGATCCACGCGTTTAACAAAGGATTTAGTATGGTTAGTAAAGATCCTGTCCCTGTGGAGTCCAATTCTTGCTAACGCTATAGAAATTTACAGTACCTGAAGAATTCGCAAGAGAATATTGCCGCCCAAGAGTTTGCAGCGCGCCAAATGGCCGAGAAATTACAACATGACCCAGAACTGTGTGCGAAGCTGATACCAAACTGGGAAGTTGGATGTCGGAGAATAACTCCAGGCGCTGGATATCTCGAATCATTTTTGCAGCCAAATGTGCAGTTAAAACAGAGTTCTATCGCGGAGATTACTGAAGACTCGGTCATCACGACAGATGGTGTCAAGTACCCTGTTGATGTTGGTAAGTACAACTGCCCATCATCATTTTCTGTCGGCTGTGAGAATTAATTTATCTTTAGTTGTATGTGCTACCGGGTTTGATGTCTCACACTGCCCGTACTATCCAGTTATCGGCCGTGATGGCGTTAGCCTTGCGGATAAATGGGCTGATGAGCCTGAATCGTATTTGTCATTGGCTTGTCCAGACATGCCGAACTATTTCATTTTCACGGGGCCCAACGCTGTTGTCGGCCACGGATCCCTGATCGAGGCCCTTGGTTGGACAGCGGATTACATGATCAAATGGATGGAGAAGATCGCCTCTGAAGATATCAGCTCAATTGAGCCGAAACAAAGCGCTGTGGATAATTTCATCGCCTATGGAGACCGTGTGCATGAGACCCTTACCTGGACCGGTGGATGTCGAAGTTGGTATAAGAAGAACAGGGTCGACGGTAGGGTAACTGCCACCTTCCCTGGCAGCGCCTTGCTATATAGGCGGATGATTTCGGATATCCGGGGAGAGGATTGGGATATCCGATACCGTTCTCCGAACAAGTTCAGATTCATGGGCAACGGCTTCATGGAATATGAATGTGGAGGGACGAATGACTTGGCGTGGTATGTCAAGCAAGTAAGAGGTAGCTAGGGGTCATGCAGAGTGTTTCATTCAGCGCCATCACGAAAGTTGAGGACGAAAATGACTGTTTCGATTCTTTCCTGGTCTGAAAACGGGGTGTTGAGATGGTGGTGTAGCTGATGAAGCCAGATGTGTGTACTATCTTCAAATTTGGAATGTTCAATGCCAGGATTGGTTTTACCCTTGACCTGTCATCCTTGCCTCCTGCTTATCCGCTCCATTACATTCCAGGATACCACTACCCCCCAGCATTATCTGTTGGTGCTACGTGTGGTATGAGACTAGGAGAAGACCACTTCTACTATTCAGAATATGATTACGGTCCTGGTGCCGCATTTGAGAACATGACCGTGGCTTTTATCTGTCTAGTACGTTTACCTTGTTTCTCCAAGCGATGGCTATTGGTCGACGAACGAGGCTGATATCAGTCGACAGCCCATAGCGTTGGCTACTTTACAATCCGTGCCGCCTGTCGAATGGCTCTCGTTGTCCGACTGGAAGGTCGCGAAGACTGTAACGTAAAATAACAGAACAAAAACGGTGCTCGTTAAATCTCCAATACGCAGGTGACGGCTATTACATGTGCCTTGCGGCCAGGTGCTTTTGGAAGTTGTTCTTTCTTGTTCATTCTGCTTCGATTCTCCATTTTGAGGATGCCAAGAAGCTGAAGGCCAAGTTATGGTGGAGCAGCAAGTCAGGCTTCAACCATGGCGCGGTGCATACGACCGGCAACCTGGCCATTTAAGCGGCTCCCATTGGCTCGTTCCCCGTGTTAGAGGACCGGTTCATCGGTGTAAGCCCGTTTCGAGCATACATGTCATAATAGTCGGCTATTAGAGGCATAGATTAGCAGCAGGCGTCAAGCCTAGAACATATTCGACAGGAACCTTAGACGAGTCCAAGGCCGCTACCTGGAAGAGCACCCCGGTCTCCGGTGAGCGTGTTGTTATATCCCTCAAACCTCTTCATGTAGACCAACAACCACATCGATACTCCAGTAACCAATCTATAGCCGGATAGACTCATGGCATGAGAAGAGTAGCCGAGGTCCACATTGCCCGTGCGTCATAGACAGTCTGACCTCGCCAAAGACATGCGGGGAAAGAAGCAAAAGGTCAAAGCCGGGGTCGGAAGAGCCGGGGAGTTTGCGGCGGGTTCGCGGGGAGTTCGTGGGGAAACCGCAGTCCGAGCACCACCAGCTCCTTGTCCAGTTTCACCTTTCATAAGCCACCCAAGCAGCATATGCTGGCAATACCAGTGTTGAAGTGAGAATGGTACGGAACACAATGGCTGGTAAAATAAGCGCGAGGAAGCAGGCCGTGCGAAATAACCACGCATGCAGCTTCTGCAGAGCCCGCAAGGTATGTTCCACCGATTCACTCGCCTCTCCACCTCGCTAGGAGATCTAACCATCTAGCGTGGAGCTAGGTCAAATGCGACGGGGTACATCCAGAATGTGGTTTGTGCCGATCAGAGAATGTCCATTGCACATACGAGCAGGATCGACGACAAATATCTCGAGTGTCTCCGGCTGTGGTCCAGCGCATGGCTGACCAGCTGGCGGAGATGGGAGAAAGGCTCAAAAAACTGGATTACCATATCGCACAGCAACAATCTAGTCAGTTGCGGACTCTTTCAGACACCACAATGTCAATTCTTTCACCACTGCGTGCCAGCACCCAGGCCATTGACAACGTGTTTGCGGGCACTTCGCCATCTCAAAACTTAGAGAGTATACTGTTCCATGCTCCTGAGTCGGCTTTATGCCCAAGTGATAATCAGGGAATCTCTGTGGAGATACATACTGGTGTTGAAAATGACGGAGGTCACATATCCGTGTACGGCCCCAGCTCAACATTCAACCCGCCTCTCTCACATGCCTCCCACCACCACCAGTCGCGTTCGCCTGGTCGAGCAACTAGATCTTCTCGGAATACGCCAGGGTTATCTCAGAATAACATAGACGACATAGCCGCAGAGAAAGCCCGTCTATTTGCCAATTCGGCACTCCAGTTCCAGAAGGAATGGACGTATATGACCGAACGAAAGTTCGACCTGGACGGTTTGGACTTCGATACAGCCTGGAATCTACTCCAGCTCCACTGGAATCATCATCATCAAGCATACTTGATCACCTACAGGCCCGCAATAATGCACAGCCTTGCAACAAATGGGCCATATGTTAACAAACTCCTCCTGAACGCCATCTTCTTGGCATCTGCGCTCATTATAGATCGCGAGGAGTTAAACGACGGCTCAACCAGCAGGCAGTCACTCATTGCGAGGTTCTTCTCTCGCATCCAGCAGCTCACCGTTGCTGAGCTTGAAAGATCAAGCGTTGCAAGTGCAGTTGCTTTCAACATCATCAGCTCCAGCTTAGTCTCGCGTGGCTATCAAACAGCTGGCTGGCATTACTCAGGCCTGGGGTATCGCATGATAATTGACTTTGGGTCTACACGTGGACTCGCATAAGGTTCACTTTACTCACTCAGACCCATCTCAGACTGTCCGCAGTTTTACAGAAGTCGACCGGGAGTTGCACCGCCGTGTGTATTGGGGCGCGTACATAAACGACAAGTTCCAGTCTTTATATTTTGGGCGCCAGCCAGCTCTCATGGCAAGTGGTGCCGAGCCGTCAAGAGAATGTCTTGATACCTTTGAGGAACTGGAGTTGTGGGAGCCCTATGTGGATTCTACTTCCGCCGTCTCACCATCTACTTATGAGCCCCAACCAGCCTACACCGTGTCCACATTCCACTCATTCATATGCCTAGCCGACATCATGGCTGGAATTTTGACGAGCCTATACTCGCCGCAGGTGCAGTCTCAGTCCAAGGATAGAATACTGGAGAGCACTGAAGAGCTGCAGAAACGCCTAGAGCTGTGGGAATTAAATCTCCCAACGCATCTCCAATACGAACCCTCTTGGGGAAAAGCACCTCCAGCCCATCGCTTCAACCCACCGTTCGTATCCCTCTCAATATGCCAGTACTATCAGAACCCGAACTCATACATTGTGAATTATAGAATGACGTTTCACATGCTCCATATCCTCCTCCACCGCCCCTTTCTACAAGGAGGGCACCTCTGGCATCTAAGGAACATGAACAACAACGCGCATAGCGAAATCTGCCTCTCCTCTGCTATACAGATTTACGAACTGGCAAAAGTTTACCGCGACAGCTTCACCCTTCGACGAGCAACCTATATGTTCTCCTACTGCCTCATATGCGCGGCCTCGGTAATCCCATTTGCAGCGTCGGATCCAGACGATCCGTCGCAACGGCATATGACAGGGTGGTTCTGGATTGCGCTCAAGGAGCTGCAAAACGGAGCTAATTTTGGGATGAGACGTCCGATCATGATTATCAGGTCGCTGATTGAGCACGCAGGGCTGGATTTGGATAGTATACTTGCGCAGACGACTGGCCTGGGAACAGGGACAAGGCCTGTGTATGGTACAAAGTCTCATCTGGACCATGGCTACATCCACGTTCCGGGTGTAGAAGATGAGAGTGGCTTACCGCCAGCTCAAGGTCTGGATCCGGATGCGCAGGTGGATGTGCTGGAGGATCGTGATTTTCAGCGCCTGTGTCAGGATCTCTTCTCGAGAGACATTGATGGCCGCGCGGCTCCGCAAGAGAACGGCTTTTATGAGGATGCATTGCTTTATGGGTTATTTAGACAGACATAACTCCGCCCTTTGGAAATGCAACTTAATTATGTCTAGCGTGTGCAGGAAGAATTATGTCGCAAGTGAAATTACATTCCGAGTCAAAAACAGGCCCCATTATGACCTTCATGGATTTAGATTTGGAAAAACGTATACAGGCAGCAGAGCAGGTTAATTTGCTACGAGGTGGATAGCAAGGTGGACAATGAGCTTTTACAGCGCCCCGAAAAGCTTAGGTATCATAAGCTTTTCTAGCGTCCCAGAAAGCTTAGGCACCAGCATTTCCCCGGATTATCCGTGCCCCAGTCCGGAGATGAGATCGCCGTCAACGACCAGGCATAGACCTCGGCTTTGGTATTTTCCGCGCACTAACTTTCGATGGGCTGGGCGGAGCAATCTGGCCACCATAGACGGCCGTATACGGCGATCTGATTTCCGAACCGAGGTGTGGGGAACCTTGGTATTGTGGAGGTGAAGCTCTGGACACCCCATAAATACCATAAAAACAAACTCAACTACCTGACCCAGGTACTCTCTACCACTTTATTTTTCCTTGCTTCCATACACATCATCCAAACATGTGGCCTTTCCGAACAGGAGTCCTTGCCTCTGATGGCTTCATGCCCTGTTTCCTGATATCACTGGGCGCGATTGCCATGGCATACCCATCTAGCATTGTTGCATCAACGCTTGCAAAGCCATCTTTCCTGCAGTATATGGGTCTTGGGGACGAGAATGGGATATATGAGGGTAAGCAAGGGGAGGTTGGGACAATTACAGCCCTCTTTCAGGTGAGCAACCCCAATTGTATAACTAATCAAATTTAAGAGGAGGCTAATAGCTCTTAGGCGGGTGCCGTCGTAGGCCTTCTAAGTGGCTCCGAGATATCTGATCGCTTTGGTCGCAGGAGTGCCCTGCTCTTCGTCTCGATTATCTCAATTATTGGCAGCGTTGGCGTGACCGCGGCTCAGAATATGGCAATGTTATTGATATTTCGGTTTTTTACCGGGGCCGGAAGCTATGCATATCTGGCTTTAGGTATGGGTGTTCAATTTCAAGGCTAATATATTTCTCACGTGGCTAACAATTCATAGTGCCAGGGTATATTTCCGAGCTCGCTACACCTAAGAGGCGCGGTCTCTTTGGCGGCCTTTGCGGCACCTTTATTGGATTCGGTTACTGCTGTGCCTCGTTCGTTGGTCTTGCCTTCTATTACATCCATAATGAAGAAATGCAGTGGCGAGGACCCTTCGCGATTGGGATTCTATGGCCTGTGATGACACTAGCAACCTACCCATTTATTCCCGAGTCACCTCGGTTCCTATTGATGAAGAACAGGCCTGATGAGGCGTGGAATGTGGTCTCTCGGCTCCATGCCGATCCTAGCACAAATGATAATTCATTTATGCTGGCTGAGTTCTCTCAGATGAAGCAGCAGGCTGATTATGAGCGGACGTTGGACAGGTCCTGGCTGCAACTTTTCAAGAAGCCATCATACAGGAAACGATTGATCCTCATTGGAGGTATAAAGATTTTAGGCCAAAGTACAGCAGTACTAGTACTTAACAACTATGTAAGTTGTGCTTTATATGCTATTGCATCCCAACTAATGCTCTTCTACAGGGTCCAATCTTTTACGCTGCCCTTGGCTTCCAGAAACGCGACCAGCTTATTCTTGCTGGTGGCCGGGATGTTGGTATGTTGCTCCTAAACTACTTATCGGAATATATTAACAAAGACAGTTGCCTTCCTCGGAAATATGACCGGCGCCTTTCTAATGGATAACTTTGGAAGAAGACGTTTACTACTTACCGGATTTGGAGGCTGCCTTATTAACCTATGCATTTTTGCAGCAATGGTCGCCGAGGTCCAAAAAGAACCTAGAATAGGGCTAGTAGGAGTTGGCATGACAGCACTCTTTACATTCCTCGTCTTCTACGCATTTGGCGTTGATGCTGCAACCTATGTCTACGCGGGCGAGATATTTCCTGGCCATATAAGATCAAAAGGCATGGCTCTTTCGGTTATAATAGCTGCATTAACGTCACTTGTTTACTTGCAAGTTACTCCGCTAGCTGTTGCTAATATTGGATGGAAGTATTTCCTGGTAAATGCGTCCCCTGATACCTACACTATATTATATATTAACCTCTTATTAGGTCTTTATTTCCGTTAGTGCTGTTGGCTTCGTGTGGGCGTATTTCAACATCTTCGAGACCAAGCATATCCCGCTCGAGGAAATAGGAGAGAAATTCGGCGAGGTGGACGAGGTGGCCGTCCATCTTTCGGAGGCTATGGCGGAGTCCGCTGGAAAGGGGCAAAATTTTGCTACTGAGCATATTGAGCGTTCTGACGAGGCTTCTCCTACAAGGGGGACTTAGTGAATAACGCGCAAGGATGTCGACTATTACTGGAACAAGAGTAGTGGAGAACAACTTGACTAACTTCGCTTGGATTATGAACCTACTCACCTGCCTGATGCCCTGTAGCTACAAGCTAGATTGATTATCATGCTTCTCAATCTTCCAGCTATCACATTAACCTAGACGTTTATTAGTTGTAGGGGATCGATAGTATGACACCCCCACCGATCTTAATCCGACGCCCTGCCTGAAAACGCCTGAAACCCAAGGCCCACACTCCTAATCGGGTAATACACCTGCCTCGACACCCATACCTGCCTACCGCCTTCCTCACCGCCTCCGAGACTCTGCACCGCCTTCGTGCCAAACACACTCCCATACCACTATAGGACGACAGTAGAATACTACCTACAATTTGTACATATACAAAACGCATAGTAAAATCAAGTCACTTTTGTTAGCACCATACCCAGCACCATGACCAGCACCATGACTGGCACCTAGTTCTAAGACGTAGACGTGGACGTGGACGAAAAGATCGATCGCCCAATGAGGACAGAACAGGGCAAAAAGGTGGCAGAAGGTTGTGCAGAAGGTTGTGCAGAAGGTTGTTATCTCACAGGTGACAGACCAGCCGGTTCACATAACTGGCGCGCCTTTGGTCGTCCCTTTCGAGATTTGTTTCTCCGGCCGGTCAATGCCAATGCAGGCGGAAGTGACATCTCTCTTGAGGAGGATTTCAAGAAGGTCGAAGGATCGGTGTGGGATGTTCATACCAAGGTCTGAGGATTAGTTCGGGGAAAAGGAGCTCGGCGGTCCCAAAAGGGCCCAAGATGTCATGTCATTATCAACTCCGAGCACTCTAAAATCACAAAAACGAGGGTATATTGACCAGGAACGCCGATCCGATGTAGCAGTCAAAAAGCCAGGCCTCCACATGCAATGTCTAATATTCCTTCTCGAATATCTTTTGAATTGGCTTAGCGGCCTAGATGTTATGAAACTTATTAGCAGACGCATCCATGGCAGACTTGGGCAAGGGAAATGACATACGTCAATGAACTTTTCGAGATCTTGGTCGAGGTTGGCAAGGTCATTCTTCCTTTTCTTGTTCTCTGCGATCAGGCCCTGCTTGCGCTTCAGAAGCTCCTGCCGCGCTTGTTCCAGTTTCTCTCGCTCGGCATGCTCGTGTTCGATGCGGGCGATCATGAGGTCATGTTCGCTGGACTCGCGATGTTCAGGATGGAGCTCCAAGAATTCTTCGACCGGGATCAGAGGGAGGGATAGGTATTTGTGACTATAGTGAATATGTCAGCTCTTCGCCCGGGAAACGAGATTGTGACAAGTACGAAATCGGATTCACGTACTCGTAGGCCTCGCAAGCTGCAATTTCGCCTGTTAGATGCTTCTGTTCATAGTACAAGTTCTGAAGCTGAAGATGTAGCCGGTCGATTTCTTGTCGAGCCTCTGCAGTTGACTGCTTGGTGTCGCGCACGCGAAAGATGGCATCCCGGTTCTGCCCGCGGAGTTGGGCCAGCAGTGCGAATAGGAGTTTCTGTTGCTTGGAGGCGGCTAGGGATAATTCTCGGAGCTTGGCGCCATCGTTGGGTAGGGTATCGGGGTTTAGTAGGGTGAGAAGCGCCTGACATTGGGCCAGAGTCTTGGCGCTAGTCTGAAGCACTGGTAAGAGCGACTCATCAGCGACGATATCACTGATAGCCATATTGTAAGTAAAGATTTAAAGATCCGACGAATAAGGTGGTATTAAGGAGGTACAAAGGAAAAGGGAAATCAGTTGAGGCGGGACGGATCAATCAGGACGTTCGGGGGCGGCAATGTGCCTCGGGGATTTTGTGTGGTTGGGGACTTGACCCTCTTCTTTTCTCCCCAGCGCCACTCCATTTTACCGTTCCTCCATTCCCCTCCTCTCATTTTTTTTTTGGTACTTTATTACTTTAATGTGCCCCTCATTTCTTGTTTAAAGCTTTCAACTCAAGGCTTTGTCTGAGTTCTTCTTCGCCTCCCGGCACTTGGTACCCTTGCCTCTCAACGCTTATCAGTACCCTGTATGGCATTCGATTAAGGAACGGGTTAACTCTCACACCCCATGGCTTGCAGCGCTTCTTCAATGGCAGTGGAGTCTTATCCCGAAGAGGCATATGCCTCTGCTACTGCGACACCCGACGAGAATACTAGTATGCTCCGTGATCGGCGCCGACATTCTTTCCACGCTGCTAGGAAACTTTCGTGCGACTATCAAGATGCAGATGCAGTCTTTATCAGGGTATGTACATGCATTATTGGTGGGAAATATCTCCGAGTAACTGTGTGTCTAATCAAAGTTTTAGGTCGAACTCTTCTTGTCCGAACTGGAGCGTCGAATGCAATGGATCGAACAATACCGGAAATCCCACATGGTGCAGGTCGACGCCAGTCTGAAACGAGGCTATGCTACGCTTGAAGCCGTGAGGGATCAATGCTCTCTCGCCTCGGGAGAACTGATGGGAAGTGGCAAAAAGCGGGCCAAGATTCTAGTCGAAACCCTCGAGGATCGATACAATGAAGCCCTAGTGACCAAGGAGACTTTGGAGCAAAAGGCGCAGGCCGGTGTGCGCTTGATGGAATCATTCTTGGTCGAACTTGAGAACAAAATGCATGCGGTTCGCGATCGCGGCATCTACGGCACTTTAGATGATGGGTGGAAAGCAATGGATTCGGGGTTGGTTCATGCCCGGGAAATCGTCGACGAGGGCATGGAGCGTGCCCGCCGGACTCGTGATACTCTCCGAGATACTGTCGAAGAAGCTATCCGGCTAGCCAAGGAGAAGCGATTGATTAACTACCACGAACTGCCTCATCCATGGCGCGTCAACCCGCACATCATCAATGGCTACCGATTCACCACTTCCAAGGTGGAATGCATCTCGTCAGTCTTCGCTTATTCGAATGAGATGTTCAACATATGGTCCCATGTCATCGGCCTTGTCATCGTCCTAGCCATCGCCTTTTACTTCTACCCGCTTCACACCAATTTCCACCTGAGCACCAAATCTGACGTCACGATCGCTGCCGTGTTCTTCTTTGCTGCATGCAAATGCCTAGTTTGCAGCACTATTTGGCATACTATGAACAGCATTGCTTCGCAGTCATTGATGGAACGATTTGCGTGTGTGGACTACACTGGAATCTCGATGCTGGTCGCTGCCTCGATTGTGACGACCGAATACACTGCTTTCTATTGCGAGCCTTTATCCCGATGGGTATACATCCTGCTCACCATGTCACTGGGCGTCGGTGGCATCATTCTACCGTGGCATCCAACCTTCAACCGCCACGATATGGCTTGGGCTCGCGTGGGCTTCTATGTGACCCTTGCACTAACTGGTTTCTCGCCCATAGCTCAGCTCTCTTATACACGTGGCTTCGAATGGACCATGTATTTCTATGCGCCAGTAGTGAAGAGCATCATGGTGTATTTCGTCGGTGCCCTTGTCTACGCCTCCAAGATTCCTGAGCGCTGGAAGCCAGGTCTCTTCGATTACTTCGGTGGAAGTCACAATATCTGGCACATCGCTGTCCTGGGCGGTATTCTTTTCCACTACCACGCCATGCAGGACTTGTTTGCAGGGGCCTTCCAACGGGCCCAGGGCGAGTGTCCGAATATGACCTCATGAGACACCTCCCAACATACTCTTGCAAATTTCTCTGCATTGTTGATGGCTCTTTGCCATTTGCTCATGAACACATCTCATGTGGCGCATGGGTTCGCTTTTCAACATACACCGATTAGACATTTAGACTCGCACTTCGGGTCACGATTGCTATGGTTCCTTGCTATGAAGATTTCCATCTCTTTCCACGGGAGCTTTGTCCCCGTTGATGCCCATTTTGCGTGCATGGATGGAGTTCGTCTTGATTTTCTATTTCTTCGATTCTTAGAGCATCGGCTTGTACATAACTCCGATATCTCTCTTTTCCCCCTATTAACACCATTCGATCTGTCTCAATACAGGGTGCGCACAGAATTTTGATTGTTCTGCATGTACTTTTGAGACTCGCTGTACTTAGACACCTACATCTTTTAGACTGCCATTGTTGATATTTGGCTAGAACAAAGAAAGGCCGGTTTCCACATATTCGATGTTTTCCTTTCTTAACTTACCTATGCCTTGTCAACTGCTGTGGAATCAATATGCTTACCTAGTCCCAAGTTGTCCTTCCAAATTCTATATAAAGGCATTATATCGCATCCTCATGATATGGTTTCATATGAACAGTGGATTTAATCTTCTACATCAGCATCCTGCTATGATCTTCTATGAGGTGTTGCTCCTTGGCTCTATGGCTCTAATTTCAAATTAAATGACATGGTCTAATGTGTGCGTCGTACATTCATAACACCATTATGAAGGCATTAGGTATTGCCCTATATCAACAGCAACCTAAGCCGTTCCTCGTGGCTTTGAGAGTACTGCCACGGCTTTTGCCACTGAAATGCCCCAACAGCATGTATGTTGATCCTGGCGTGGTGGTATCTGAGATACACCTGAAAACACGGTGTCGAGTCCTCATGGCGAAAATGACGAGATCAAGCTTGGACGGTGGGAAAAGCTGTCACAATTATCTGACTGTGACCCATACTGGTTGGTAGATGATAGATCTCCTGTCTCTGGCAGAGGATTGACCCTCGCTAAACTGGTGATTCAGGAGTTTACTGGGTGTTCTCGGTGGCAGCCTTAGCCTCAGGCCCACCACGCTTCTGGAAGTTGCCCTGCATCCAGCAACGGTACATCTTCTGTTTGGTCCCACGGTTGACAATCAGCCGCCGATCGACACCCATATTAAGGACCTCAAATGCTCCATTATCCCTTGCCAGTTGCTTGGCCTCTGCAGATGGCTCCTCTGTCTCTTTCTCAGACGCTTCTTCGGTGGGGTTCTCGTCGCCAATGGGGATCTGCAATCCGTTTTCTGCGCTCCAGGTACCCCACATGTCGACGAGCTGGTCCTTGTCGAAGAAGTAAACCCGTGTGCCGTCACCTCGAATGTAGAAATTCTCGGCCATGTATCGACCCTTCTTGAATCGCACTTGGGCGAGGTCACCACGGCCGTAGTCGCGGAACAACACACGGCCACCGGGCTTCAAGAGCCGGTAGATATTGCGGATTGCAGGGTCCCACTGGTTAGGCGCCAGGGCAGAGAAGATGAAGATTAGGATCACAACATCGACTGAGCCCTCAGTCAGACCGGGCGGAAGAGAGTCGCCGTTCTCACCAGGCACACCGGCTGCGTCCCAGACATCAGCGGTCATAAATTTCTCGTTGTAGAGCTCGCTCTCGCGCATGACCTTGACAGCATACTTGGAAAAATCACAGGCATGGACCTTGAGATGTTCATTCTCGTTGTTGGCCAGCAATGGGAAGGCGGTGTTTCCGGCTCCCGCGCCAACCTCCAGGACGACCTGGGGACCGGCGTCCTTCTGTGTCACTTCAGCGAGAATGGGGAATTCTTGGCGCAACCACTTTCGATCCTTGAAGAAGTTGGCTGTGTTATTCTTATAGAAAAGATCCCACCACTTGGCGGGGTCGTTGTTGAATCGGTTGCGATCAAAGTCCGACACGCGTGTTTCGCGCTGTCTCGCATATTGGGTCTCGGCGAAGGCCTTAAACTCATCGTCCGGCTCGACGTGGTCCCAAGCATTGAACTCGAAGACATCATCGCCCTTTTCAAGGTATCGCGAGCCGAATTGGAAGGGGTCGGTCCGTTTCAGGTTGTTTGCGGGATCGTGAGAACGATGGGGGGCGACTTGAGGAGGCTCGACATTCTGTGTCACTTCCTGAATATTGGGATCGACGGTCATGATGTTGGGTGAATTATATAGTTCTGATTGATGCAAGATCCGAAATTAGATGTGGAAAGAAAATCTTATCACCCAAGCAAGTGATCGTCGAGGAGAAGGCGGGGAGAACAAAAAAAATTCCAGGCCGCGACGCGATTGGCGGGGTGTTTTGGTCACATGATTGGATTTTGCCCACATCTTTACATGCCCCTCGACCCACTTAGTATTTCAACCAATCACCTACTTCATATGTATACACCGCCTGATTTATCTTCTGGTACGCCGGATCTTATCGCCTATCGCTTATCAGTCTTGTTACCCATGCAGGTGCCCAGGTGGACACTTTCAACAACCTACTGAGGGATCAATGAGAAAGTCTCATATATCCTAAGAGCTCCTTCGGATTCTAATCATGGAGTCCAAGCTCTCAATAAATCTTAAAGGCTGCCACTTGGGACAGAAAACCGTGGATGAATGACTCATCAAGCAGGTATCCTTCTTGATTTAACGTTATCTTTGTCGTTCATAATGGACTATAACGAGTCTCGTTTGGTTTTGGCTAGCTTCTCCTGAGGCAGGTTGGTTCAAAGTCAATGGACGCGTATTTATATTCCCTCATTCGTCACAACCCTAGTGCCTCAGGCATACATACTATCCTATCAGAGCCAATCAGAGTTCCTGGGAATCTGGATGCCTGCGGGTGCCTTGTCCGGGTCAGCTCTCATCTGGCCTTTCTTTCACCCCTCATTTTCTTCTTTCCTATCTCTGTATGAGCGTGCCTTTCTAGATTCATATTCATTCTTATTCTCTCTGTTTGTCCGGTTCAAGTCTGGGGCTTATCGACGCAAGTGGGGTTCAGCCCACTATCAGCGTTTGAGGCTCAAGTGTCGAACTGCTCATACGATAGTTCTTGTCGAGAGCTGTTTCTTATTAGATCTCACAGACCAGCTTTCTCTCGCTATAGTCAAATTACTATTGGCTTTGAAACTGTCAATTAGAAAACAGACACCTCATTGAGTCATGTCTTTCCTCTCAGCACTTTGTGGGTGCTTCACCCGCGATGAGAAATCCTCGCAGTCCCATTCATCCCCGGAGATGACCCAAAGGCCAAACCCCACCGGCTTCCAGACAGGACAATTTACACTCTCCGGAGAAGGCGAATTTATTCGCTCAGCACCCCCAACCGGGGGCCACGGGCACGGACCCCCACCCTCTGACTCGGAGGATGCGGGCTATTCCAGCGTGGTCCCCCTCCCGCAGTACACAGCCCGTCCGATGAGCCTCCACGAGAAAACTCTAGAAGCCCATATGCGTGACCCATCTATTTCCTCCGAGTCCCAGAACTCTTACCCCCATGACGAAAAGAACGCCAATCGTTATGACGAAGATGTCACTTCCGATAGTTCATCGGCCATTTCCTTCCCAGCAGCTACGGCAATACCTCCACTGCAACGAGGGAGACTCCGCCACCGCCATACTCTCCCCGTCACTCTTCAGTACTGTGTCGCTCGCGGTCCATCTCCATTTCGTCTGCTATGGCGGTCATCATCAATCCGCCGCCTGCTGCCCGCATGAACGGCTCGCGGACTGGTCCTACATACTCTGAGGAGGATGACCGATCCATTCGTCGTCATCGGCGGGTCTCTTGGGAGAGCCGATGATATAGCCTCGCTCTGATTGCGGAAAGAACATTTGCTTGCTGGCCTTTGCTTATCAGCCCGTTTAATATTTTTCCACATCGATCTTTTGGTCTGGACTGGTCTGGAATCGTCCTTTGTGGATTTATTTTCCTTTTTGACTGCTGCATCGCTCTCCTTTCTGCGTGTCTTTTTTGGTTCTCTTTCATTGCACATGACGCGACGACATCATTTATGGATACTGATCGAATGTTTACGACATGGCTGGGACTTGGTGCAAAAAGGGATTTCTTTTGGGATAGCTTTGGATACTTAATATTGACCTGCACATACCATACTCGCCTGTCATGCAGGAGGGCACTGTATCGAGATCATCGGTTACCTTGGTCCTCACTCGCATCCTGGCAGGCATAAATAGTGTAATAATTCCGATAAACCGAATGCATTAATACATCTTGTCAATCATATGCTCCACCTCCAGCTCTACTGCTACTAACTCCCAATAAAACACCTAGATAGACAACCAACCAGCAAGAAGAGGGTATCAATGCAACAAATCCCATATTCAAACCACCATCACTCCAACTCAAGGACCCGTTCCTGCTCATGCCTAAGCAAATACCCACAACACGAAGCCGGAAACTCCAACAACCTCAAAACGAGCGGATCACAACTATCCTCCAAAAACATACAGATAGCCGTACACTCCGATCGAACCCTCATCTCAACCCACCACTCCTCAACATAACACATAAGCCCCAACCACCAAGCCAACAAAACCAACGCCGCCGGCTCCTTCCTAAGCAAACACTCATAGAACGGACCCTCCAACCTCCCCATCCAAGTATTATAAACCCTAAAACTGCCCGGCCCCCTCTCAAACGGCAACAACCCCATAAGCATGCGCAAAGGCCACAAACACGGGTTCCCCTCGACGGTCGAATCCTCCGTAATCCCACACAGATCCGCCAAGTCCGGATCAAGACCCACGCGACCAGGACGCTTATCCTCGAAGTCCATGGACGGGTCCCGCGACTCCATGAAGACGGTCCACCACATGCTCTGCGGGAGCCAGCGGTGCGTGCGTGCGAGGAGGTAGCGGAGTCCGCCTTGCAGGCGGAGCCAGGTTAGGGCTGTTGGGTCGGTGGTGAAGACGAAGGAGGCGTGTGGGTTGAAGGTTTCTTGGATGAACGAGTGCATGCTTATCATTAGACAGACGGAGTAGAGCTTGTCCATGTTTTCGCGGGTTATGTTTGTCGAGACTTCGGTTGAGTATTGGTTTATTGTTTGTTGCCAGTGGTATGCCTCTGCTAGGCGGTAGTCTTTGTTGTCTGGGAGGAGGGTGCAGAGGTGGGTTGTTGCCGATGCTATGATGGCGTGCATGAGGAAGGGGGTCTGGTTGGTTTGGGGGTTAGTGTTTGAGGTTGTATTAGCTTGTAGGGCTGTGTTTTGTTGGGGTTATGGTGGATATAGGGGAGAGGGGAGGGTTTAAACTATGGATGAACTTACTTCGAAGGCAAGTTCGACCACTTTGCCCATTACTACGCGAACAGGAGTATGGCCGTCGGTAAAGGCTGGGGCTTGGTGGAAATGGTGCAATGCTTCCATAGTGCGGGCTGATGCTGTGGCATCTGTTAATCTCGGCAACTGAGTTCCGGTAGCAGAGGGTGGTTGCAGTAATTCATTCAGCTTGTCCGCGACTGTCATTAGAGACATTGAAGAAGCTAGCGAATCAATCGAGATCAAGTCAGGGTTGGCTTTGATGAATTGGGAAACGATACTATTAGTCTTTTCAGGTCGAGCTGGCTGGCTTGTATAGTCACACTCGATGCCATGTTTTCGGCAACGGAGACAATGGGGTTTCGCTTCATCACACTTGATCGGTCATTATCAGCCGGTGGTTGATAATGGGGTTGTCGGAAGTACCTTGACTCTTCGTTGCTTACAGTTCACACAACCGGCACGGGATTTCCGATGAGACCGGCGGGCATGATAGACCTGTCCAGACGGTTCGGACCCGCACGCTAGGGAGCTCTTTGATTTGTAGTTCGGGATTCGAAAGACCATATTCTGTCCCTGCACGTGCCTAGATGATTGTGGCCGGGTTTGGGTTTTAGGCTGCATATCATCCATTTTGCTCGGAGTATAAATTTGACACCCGGGGATGTTCGGCAATCTATTAAATCAGATGTACGCTGAGGCTATACGAATAAGCTGACGTCGGGCGCCTCGAAGCATCGAGATATTGGGTTGCGATATAGCTCTGCGGCTTAGATCTCACGGCGGGTGCAACCGTAAAAGGAAACGGGTGGAGGCTCAACTGCGCAACTGCGCCTTGTTCTAGTCAGGCTGATCACTTTGTCCAAATCGAGTGAGAAACTGCCGTGTGGTGAGGGAATATGGGGGAGGCGAAGGGAAGATCGATTAGAACGGGCGCTATCCCCGATAGGGTAATTCTCGTATTTGGCAGTACATGCAGAGAATGGGAAATTGACAAAAGAAACTATATGTATATGTAGAGAGGACATCTACTTCCAGGAACATATAAATCGGAGACCCATCGGTCTTGGAAATTGGATTCGAGAAACGCCATGCAATTCATCATTCATCGAGATCATCCATCCATGCGCATAACTTTTACTTGATACATCGATACTTTCTGCATAGAGAAGGGCTAGGTATCGTTGAATACTAATAGTTTAACCCATCTTGGCATTAGAGAAATCCATCTCTGCAAGACGCACGTTAGCAATATATCAAAACAAAAGCATGCACTCGTCTCACGGACTGACTCGTCTCACGGACTGACGAAATGACCGTCAAGAGATGCAAGAGGGCAATAACAACTTACCAGGATGCTCAGCCTGGAACTTCTTCAGCAATTCCATCTTCCGTTGCTCATCACTACTGGGAGCACCCATCTCCTTCTGCCGCTGATCATACATCATCTTCTCGACCATGGCGCGAGTCTCGCCGTCCAGATCGCCTAGGCTGGAGTTCTCGGGTGTAATCTTGGTGACATCGATCTTGGGAGCAGTGGTCACAACGTGAGCCCACCACTCGACCTTGTTCACCTTATCGAGATGGATGCTGATTTCCTTGCCGGGCGGGGTGGGGGTAGTCTCGAGGGTCCAAGAGGATTCGTCGACGCGAATGGCGTGGGGGAAGTCACCCTGAATAGGAAAATCGATAGTTAGCCGGCTGTTTTTGAGTCGTGTTGATCTAGAGGGTACGGTGTAATTCTCCGGGTGTGGGGACGGTGGACATACCTCGATGAGGGGTTCCTGACCCTTGATCGCGACGCGGATTTTGTTCTTGGTCAACAGCACATCCAAGTCGCGGCCCTTGAGATTACCAGGAATCGGCGCCGTCACATCCACATCGCGAATGGTCTGTGTCCACTTGTAGGGGAGCTGAGCTTGTTCCGCATCCTCGCGGGCTTTGCGCTCTTTGTTCTCGCGTTCGCGTTCGGCTAGGTCGGCGGGGGAGGGGTTTTGGTCGAGATCGGCAGACATGATGGCAGGTCGAAAGGAGAAATGATAGGAGTAAGGGGTTATTTGAGTAGACGGTGTAACGGTGTAGGGAGTAGTAATGATTAGTCGCCTAGGTGAGGATGGACAAGCAAAAAGCCCAATGAGGAAAAATGTGGAGACCTTGACTTTTCCTCCTTTGGCGCTTTTGCCGCCAGCCCTAATCGCCGACTCTACACCGCGATATCTCTACAATGGACTTGTACTAGGTATGTCTCTTTCAGGTCTGTTTGACTGCATAATCTGAAACAGGAGTACAGTAGATGTCAAGTGCCAAGGTTCAACTTCCTGTGTTCATCTCAAGATGTCTTGGTAATTTGAGCCGGGATTTCGACGCTGTCAACGATATTGCCCTCCGGAGCCGGGAATGCATAGGATGCCAATGACTTGCAAAGCGCAGTGGCGTATTCCACTATGAGCACTAAAAAAGTTAGAGCAGTTACCTCCACGCCACTGTTAGATGCATACCGGAAATGCGCGTAGCAGGACGTATTGTCACAATGAACCACAACGGTAATGTAAAGAAAAAGACCTGCGGCCCTAGTGGGAAGAGTGTGTTGACCAAGCGGTCATTCAGGCGGACATGGTGGCGCAGCCAGCCCAAGTGAGAAGTAACAAACGCAAGCAGTGCGCCTAGAATCACACCGCTTAGGATGACGGTGGCATTGTGAGCAACAACCTCGAGTGGCCTAGGATCAGTTAGAATATGTCTATTGCCATTTTCGGGACGAACCTACAAGGGTTGAACCCCATTAGCCATGACGTGCAGCTGAAAATCGGATTCCGAGGATTGACGGTGCAGGTAAATGCAGTTGGCTAATGCAGTTCAATGCAGAGGATATCAAATCACCAAAAGGGTAAGTCCCCACTTGAGGCTCTTTCCTTTTTTTGCTACTCCGTACATCCCAGCGTCCGTTGGGTATAGACGGGTATAAGGAAATTGTATTCTCATGCCTTCCAAGGTTGTAAACAAAATGACTCAAGCTTCCAGGTATAATGTACTCCCCCAAAAAAAACACCTTCTGATCCTATCCCCAATGCTCTCATCATCCGTAGAGAGATTTAAAAAAAAAAAGAAAAGAAAAGAAAAGAAAAACGGGAGAAAAAAAGAAGAAAAGAAAGAAAGAAAAAAGAAAGAAAAAAAAAAAGCAAAACACCAGAAAAGCTCGGTTTCCAATAAACCGCACAGCTTGCATAGACGGGTTCAACAGTCAAAGTGGCGTTGATCAACGCTGTTCTGTTTGACTATTATTTGACCTTCTTGCTTGCTCATTTTCTATAGCTGTCAGTTCTCTCTTCTGCATATGTCAGAAAACGGAACTCACCTCGAATCTTGTCGATCTGCTTTGCGGTATCCTGGAGCATCTGATCCCATTTCTTCTGGTATTCTTCAACCGTCATAGGTTGGGAGTCTGTCTTCTCTTGTGGTTCCTCCTTGGGTGTCTTGATTTTATCCATGGTGAATATGAAGAAAGAGGATTTGTATAGTTCTCGACTCGAAAAGGGTAGGAAGTCAGGAGTTGATTAAAGTCAAATAGACGGACAGCAAAGGCTTTATATAAAGAAAGGGTTTAATTAAAAAAATTCCTAGAAACTAGAAATGAGCCCTGTTCTTATTCGAATTTCTTATTTCTTATTTCTTATTTCCCTAAATAAAAAAGATAATAAAAGATAATCCCTGTCAAATAATGTTTGCTTCGGAAATAGACCGGTCACGCGTCTATCAAGGAACGCGTTCACCGACATCTTCTCTCCTAAATTGAAAAACGGCTCATCGGTCCGCTTAGCCCTTGAAAAGGAAGAAATATCTGGGGATGTATGTAATCCTATTGGTGAGATCTGTTTGTGACGGGTTCACCTGGGCATGATATTCAACGCTCCTTTTTTCTCTCGTTTTTTTTACCCCTTGGAAAAAGTACATATCAAATTTGACTTATGATGTCAGATCATAATGGGAGCGTATGGTACTTCCTACATTCTGTACTCCATCGAATTCCAAATATGTCTTGTCTTCACTAATAGGATGCCTTCCAGCCTGCCGAGGTTGTCCCGCATCCAATCGGGGACTGGGGAACGACATCCGCGCCGATCGGATATCTTACGCTTTTAAGGGGTGAAAATGGTTCCATACGTATCATATGGGACAATTCGAATTAAAGAGAAATAATATAATACAATATAATATATGAAATAATTATTAAAAGAAAAAGGGGTACCGGGGAAGCGGGTAGAACCTGGATAGTGATCGTCCGATCCCGAGTTGATAACTTTCGGCGATCTATATATGTTCCAAGGTTGTATGTTGTGTAGTAATAGATCTACTTAGTATTTCCAGTCTACGAGGTTCAGCTTCCACGAAGTAGATAACACCAACACATCCTAGTAAACCATATATCCAACACCTCAGCCCTGCAGGGCTGGCTGAATCACACGGACCGCTCGAAACCCTCTACTATACGGAGTACGGTAGTTGTATGTACAAAGTAGAGCCCAACACTCACCACTACCGGAATTCAACACCCTATTGGTCCAAACGGAGTGTACACCGCCGATAAGAGTCCCGGGACGTGCAGAGCCGTAGACGTTGCTCGAGCATCCACGTGGTTTGCATACACTAGCGCGGTGTCATGGCCGTTGTCCTTGACCGCATTCCTCTACCCATCTACGGGCCGACACGTTCTGAGGCGCTTGGGTACTTTTGGTGCTTTTGTCAAAGTCATGTCAGATGATGAAACCGCACCTGGGATGTTCTTCGGGCGCTAGGTTCGGGTATCTGATCGGGTTTCACATTTGACTGGGGCTGTGCTTGTTCTTCCCAGCTGACGGATGACGATGATTTAATATGTTCAGGTTAGACTAGTCCGCTATCTGCATGGATTAAGTGTTGTTCTAATCCCTGTGGTGCATTATTTCTGGCTGTTATGGTTTGTCCGGGGTGTGGCGCTGTTGTTCAGACATCCTTGGGACTAGCCAAGGATCCAATATTGAACCAACACAAAGGAGATATGATGATTGGTGGGAAGGCTACAAGGATGAAGAATGAAGTATGTTGTAGAAAAGCAAGCGGTAAATTAATACCCGATTCTTTAAGAGATGTCCCTACATGGCCAACCAGTTGCACACTCATTCCCAGTCACCCGTCAGGCCAGTCCGATAAAGATAAAGTAAAAGAACAAATCATAAATTCTGGCGGTGCCTGCATCCATTGGCCAGATATGTCGTCAGCGCAGCCCTTCCCGAGAAACTGCCGGGTAAATGGTGTAACCCATGCCCTCATATGCAGCCTCAGCCCGGTTTCAAGAGGGGTCGGGTGGCAGAAGCAGACGTGCAATGCGCCGATCCGTTCGCTTGGTACAACGCCGAGTTAGGACACCATGATATTGATCCCGATGGGGTAGATTGCTTCAAAAATATGTCATAAGAGTAGATAGAGAGCAGATAGATTCCCCTATGACGCCAGGATATGAGATCGCTGAAGAAACTGAGAAAAATAAAAAAAAAAAGAGAGCGAAAAAGCAAACTCGAGAAACCTTCATAATCACGAGTCGGAAAGTCCGAAACGGAGACGGTGAGCAGCGTCCCGGACTAATGAGAGTCTTGGAGGAACCACTCAAGGTCATCAGGCTCAAAGTTCGAGGCGGATGTTTCCGCTGCTGCAATGTCACCTTCGAAAATATCGGCGATCCCGTCATCAAAGGGGACCGTAGTCCCCGAAGGCAAACTATTGCGCCGCTCGACGAGGTCAAAGAACTCGCCTGCAAACTCAGCCGTCTCATTAGCCACTTTGAGCTCCAGGATGGCTTCGAGCAGCTGCATTTCCTTTTTCCACTTGCGGTCACGCTGCGCCTTTTCCTCCTGGCGACGGCGGCACAAACTGTCACGAGGGCGGTCCATCATGCAATTGGGGCACAAGTAGTTTTCCTCGCAATACGAGCATTTGCAGGGTGGGTGGGTGTATATGCAGTCCGCACATACATACACCTTGCAGCCTTTGCATTCTCGCAGATAGCTGGGGCACCGGGGACGTGGATCCCGGATCCCGCCTCTGACATCTCTGATTCCGGTGATAGGATCAGCCGGGGGGGCAGAAGAAGGATTGGCAACCTTGCCATCTTGGGGATTCGAATGTCGGCGAATCAAAGAAAGTGGAGGATGAGGACGACGGAGGGGAAGAATGGTCAGATGCAGGGGCCGAAAATGAGCGAGATTGTCGATTGGAGAAGAATGAAACAGGGGCGGTCTGGTCACCAACGTGTGATTCGGCCGTATTTTCCTCGTCCATGCTCTCTTGACGTGAATCGTCAATGAAGCTCTTGTTTGTCGAGTCAAGAAGCTGGCTTCTGAATACCATGTCGTATTCGGGAAGTTGACTAGACATGAGGGACCCCGAAAGATTTGCAGCGAATCGATTTTGAATGATTTGCTTTTCTGTCTCGAGATCTCGGTAACCACATATCCTTAACCGAAGTCCGCGGAGGTCATGCTCAATGCAGAGAGGCTTGGAGCAGCTCTTGCAGTGCACCTTCCACTGTGGTGAATCGTAACACCCTTGGCACAAGTTACGCGGACACGGTGAAACTTCCCGGTTAGGTGGTCCTAACAGCCACTTCATCATTGCCAGATGACCCGTTTCAAGCGAGTAGTCCGGCTTGCTCGGATCCCCATATGCATACTTGGGGAACGTCTTGCTCCATTCACTAACGGTGTACTCCAGGTCCTCCCAGCCTTGGCCCCGGGGCAAAGGCACGGCTCGTACCTGGTCCACCTCACCATTGCGAGGCCCGATGCTAATCCCGCCTCCCCCGGAGAGGTCAGGCTTGGTGCAGCACCAATGAAAATTGAGGATAGGCGGTGGATCCATCCCTGTACCCTGAGGTTGATGGGGATCTGCCAGAATATCCACGGGATCGTGCATTGACCCCGGAGAATGTGTGGCCCCAGGTGCCCACCAGAAGGAATCCGGTGCATTCTGGGTCTTTTCAGATGAAGATGGTGTACTTCTGTGAAGATACGGCCGTTCGTGGGCACAACTCGCACATAGTGTTTTACGGCATCCAACACAGTGCATTAGAACACTGCAATGTTCACATCGCTCTGAGATATCCTCAAGGCAGTTGTCACAGCGGATCTTGTCAACAAATTGGGTATGACTCCGGCGCAGATGGGCAGGTACCATTTTGCCTTCACCCCAATCGATACCCTCACCAGTTCCTAATGCCTCGCCATAGAATCCCGTGTCACGATTCTCCCACAGCTTTCCATCGTATACGTTTGACTGAGGGGTCTCAGACTCGGTTGGGCCGATCCAGTTTTTAGACCTCCAGAGTCGATCAAAGACTACCCAAACCTCCGGCGACCCTACTCCGTGCGGGAACCTCGATTTGACATAACCGGCTCTGCGAGCGCATCTACCCGCAGGTGTGGTGCACCAAGCGGTATCAGTCCAGATGCCTAGCTTGTGGCAGATATTGACAAGTTCATGGGTCGACTCCGCGTCAGCGTCTTTCCGCATCAGTGAAGATGATAAATAAGGGCGTCTTCGATGATGGCGGCATCGGTAGGCATAAATACTCTTGAGAGCAAGTCGTTGCATCCCGGGAAAGCTGCCGGTATTATTCTCCATGTCAATGTCACATTGCAGCGCGAACATCGTTAAGAAAGGAACGATGTGATATTTCAAAGAGACATTCTTGCAGCCTCGAACAGAGAGATGTACCAGCGTTTCCCGACGTGAATGCAGCACGGTCGAGGTCAGGTTCTCTCCCGAAATAGCCGTGTTGTCCAGTTCTAGGCTTTTCAGACACCTACTGAATGGCATCACAACATTCATCAGGAACATATCTAGAGCATAAGGTCGGGATTGACGCGCGGGGGCTGCCTCGAGGCCGCTGGGGTCGTTCATTTGAGGATTTGGCAGGGTGCTTGAAGGAAATTGTAGGCGAAACGAGAGTGACTTCCATGCGGTCGGATATGATCGAAGGAACGTACGGAGGTAATTTGAAGTGTGATACAGCTTTATGATGGTATCGGTCGGGATCTGAAGTAACAGAGACTCGAATATAGGTGCATTTGTTGTTATCACTCGCTCAAAGGTTGACAGGGTTCGTTCTTCTGAGATAACAGTGTGTTGCAAGGCATTTTCCAGCACCGTCAGGTGCGACGCTGCATCCTCACCAGCATCATCCCCCCAAGCCATGGTGTCAAGGCTGTGATTTTTCATCGGTCCTGGATGAACAACAGATTCCAGTTCTTAGGTCGAAGATCGAGATAGCGCGAGGTCGCGAGCTCGGCGGTTAGAGACGCGGCACATGATAAGAACAACTGGACGATGCAATCGAGGGGGCAAGCACACCCTGAGGTAAGCCACCATGCAAGGCCATTAAAGGTAAACAGTCGATAATTGAAAAGATTGGGTCGCAAGGGCTAACGAATTGGGGTATCTGAAGGGGGAGAGAGAAAGGGAGGGGTATAAGAGGGAGGGGAACAGACGAGATCCCCAAAGAGGGGAAAGCAAAGAAAGAGGGAATTGTTATTTATGCCGCTATGACCCTGAAGAAATGAAAGGGAGCGAAAGAGTGGGAAAAGAAGTGCAAAAAGGTGAGCGAGACAAGGTGATATCCGGATGCGCCCGTTAGGAGAGACCAGCGTCATGTGATAGCCATCAAACCCCCGGATTTTGATGATCTGCCGTAGTTTATGGTTCTTCTTCTGCAAAGAAAATGAAATACATTGATCGCTGAGTCTATTGCAAATGGTTTCTGTGCTAGGCAATTGGGACTAATGTTTTTCGGATGCATCGCCTACAGTGTACCCCCTCGCAATACCCTTGCGCCCTTCCTTGACCAGGGTACTATCCTCCGAGTCTTCCTCATCGTATCGAATATCAAAGTCACTACCCAGACCTTTCCATGTCCGTTGCGATCGCAAGTATTCTGCCCCTGGTGAAACGGCACCGCCGATCATAGCTAAGTCACCCTTAGCTCGCCGCGCCAGTGCCCTAGCAGCGGACGGCCCGGTAGTGGATGATCCATCGACCAGAGAAGCGCGGGGCGCGGGATCTCGCATTGGGCGGGAATGTGAGACGTATCGACCGGTGCGAAAGTCAAACTCGGGCGGCGCCGATTCGGGTTCTGACATGTCATCCTCATCCGACATGTTCGCGCCATTGGATGTACCCTGGTCATCTTCATTTCCGGTGACCTCCTGGGCTGGTGCATCGAGGACAGCCTGAAAGTCACTCTGCCACGCTCCTGTCCACACCCGGTCTGAGTCGTCTTTCAGGGCCAGCTCCAATTCGAATGGAGTGATGACTGGCTTCCAGAAATCCTTGCTATCCACCAAAGAACTCTCCCAGCAGCCAATGACCACCCAACCCCCGATTTCACTGAAATTGGCTACCTTGGCAGCATTCAATTTACCAACCACGAACATGTAGCTCTTCTTGCCTGCTTGGGCAATTCGTTCCTTGACATGATCCACAATATGCAGGTAGTTCTTGACACTCAAAGTGTTGATAAGAATGCCCCAAATAGGCACGGTCGTCAGAGAGGCAAGAGTGCCATAGCGGCGTCGCAAGACCGCAGCAGTTGAAGCAGGCAATGGCTTGATATTCTCATTTGAAAGGTCATTGGTAGGATAAATATGAATCGCGGCAACGCGAGACGCAAGTGTCATCATGAGAGCTGTTGGCGGATCGGAGATGTGGAACAGTTGCCAGTCGGCCAGCGTCTCAGGCGCCTCCTGAACCGACTCGGGAACTGTGCGATTGGGAATCGATGAGGAAGGCTCATGAACAATCTCCGTCGCATATATATTGCTATATCCCTCTTCCACCAGGCGAGTGTATACCGTAGGAACGTGGTCTGCGTAGGTAACGTCGGCTGCAATGATAACCTTCGTCATTGGGTCAGGATAAGTCGCCTTGAACGCTCGTACCACTGGCTCAAGGGGCAGATCCTTATGTGTGAAGACATAGATCACGGGTAGCCGAGCTGTTGGCGACAGACACGACCTCCCGTAATGCACAACCACGTCTGCGTCCACATGTTCCGCGGCCACTTCGTCCACGCAGCAGGTCCCGTAAGATGTATCGGCCAAAATTGTCAACCGAGGCGAGTATTTTTCTGTCTTATCCTCCACCTGGAGCTCAGTTATCGAGTGAGCAATGTCAGCATCGGCCTTGCTAGCATCGGTCGGGTTCGAGGGCTGCGTGCCATTGGCGCCGACTTCCTCACGTTCCAGGCCCCGGCTGAGCAATTGAAATACTCGCGGGGCATCAGGAAGCATATCATCTGGGAACTGGAGGGCAATGCGCTTGTACCGCGCTTGCCGAATATCCTTCAATGTGCGCTCGATATCGTAGGTAATGGAGAGTTCATCGTCTGACGCTGGAGCCGCTGGGTCTCGCGTGGCCACTGGATTGGTTTCTTCGAGAATACGATCATCGGCCGTCGACAGCACAGGGGCCGACTTCATTTCAGACCCCATTTTGTTAGATAGAGGGGAAATGTGGTGTTGAAGTCAAGAACGAGAAACTGCTAAAAGTCTTGGAGAAAAAAAAAAGATCCCCCCACTTCACCCCGCCATGGTTAACGAGAAAATACAACAGAGCCCATTGGCAGAGCACATTGACAGAGCAACCCAACTTTCTAGTAATCACATTTTGGTGAAAATATACTCAAATTATTCTGAGTCACGAGGCTATTTACATATCTCATCACGTCGACGTAAAAGTCGAAAGGATATCTACAAGTTCGCCAGTGCTGGCTCTCCCGCCCAAACCCTGCGAAGCAACTCGCGGATCGGCGCGCGTTCAATCGGGCGAGGATTCCAGTAAGCATTGGCTAGTGCAATATCAGCTGCTTTATCAATGTCTTCTTCCTTCATGCCAAAATCCTTCGCGCCACGCTTAACCTTGAGTTTGTCCAAGAGTACGTTCAAACCGTGGATCGCGTCACCATTGCTATCCGGCAGGGCGTCGGCCAACTGCTTCATAGCCTCAGGGATGCTAGGTGCATTATAGGAAATGGCGTGTGGGAGGACAGCGGTATGGGTTTCGGCATGCGGGAGATTGAAGCTGCCGCCAAGTGTGTGGCACAGCTTGTGGTGGATGGACATTCCCACACTGCCCAGACATGTTCCACAGAGCCAGGCACCATACAAGGCCTTAGACCGAGCAGATTGAGAAGATGAGTCTTCGACAATCTCGGGAAGGGAGTATGCAAGTGCCCGTATGCCCTCGAGCGCCATCATGTTAATGATCGGGTTAGTATTGCGTGCGTAGAGAGCCTCGACTACCAGCAACGCATTAGATTCGTGCGTATGAAGGTTGAAGCAGATTAATCAGATATATTTACCAGCATGCGCAATAGCATTGACACCGCTAGTGGCGCTCATAGCGGTCGGCAGGGTCATTGTGAGGTCCACATCGTAAATGACCGTGCCGGGTAATATTTTGGGGTCAGAGCGAGTCTTCTTCAATCCATCGGCAGTTTCACCCAGGATCGGTGTCATTTCACTACCAGCATATGTAGTCGGAATACAGATATGTGGCAGTCCAGTGCGAATGCTAATAGCCTTGCCGAGACCGATGGTGCTTCCGCCTCCAATCGAAATGACCGAGTCGGTCCCCGGGCCTTTGCATACTCAACAGCCTTGTCTGTGACATTCGCGGGAGTATGCATAGTCGCCTCGCTAAAAATACCGGCGATCTGGCCCTTGAGCACCTCCTTCACTCTCTCGGCTTGGCCGACCTGATGGGGTGTCGAGAGCACTAGCGGGGCCTTCACCTGTAGGCGGGAGATCTCATCGGGGAGTTTCTGCAGCGTACCGCTCCCAAAGACGACACGACCGGGGTTGGGATTGTATTCGAAGGTGTCCATTTTGTGTTCGAACCATCTGAGAGCGAGAGCTTGCCACCTTATAGTCCGTTCCCCACACCCCGCCGCATCCGATGAACGTCATGCCCTTCCGTGGGGCCGCGGGGTTTTCATCGGCAGTTGTGATATGGTGAATCTCCGAGCCATTGCAAGTTGGCAGCTCTTGCATTAAATCGCCAATTTGGCACATGTTTTGGGTACGCTCGGTACTTCTTGTGCGGCGTTATATGTTCCGATTAGTCGAAATCCCCAACCATGGGTTGACTGCCTAGATGGGTACCTATAAAACAACTGCCGGGTGGGGCGTTGCTATTTTATTGTTCCGATGTCACTTTTTTGAGGCTGAAAGCCAGGCTCGAATTTGAGTCCGGACTCAAAACTCAGTGTAATCCATTGCATTTTTACGAAGGGTTTGCGTGGGACTTGAGATGAGTCCTGATTTAGAGATACCCAATGCCTCGGGCATACACAGCCCTGGATGTGTCAGGACTATACTTCGATCGTAGTAGATTGGATCAAATCAAATTATATAGATTATTCTAGTAATCCTAGCTCCACATGCTTATTGAACACACATGTTTGCAACAAGATGTTATATGTACAAATCCTCCAAGCCCGCTTAACTCATCTATGCGATCGGTGCGTAAAAGCTAAACTTGCCAGTTGGGTCGTACTTCTGCTTCAAGGCCAGCAGGCGCTCTTGGCTGCTGCCATACAACTGCTGCAGGGTCTCATCTCCGTGGGCATAGTTGACATATGCGCGAATGTCCTCGAAGCCAGTGGCTTCAAAGAGGATGTTGCGGAGCTGGTTACCCAAATCAGCCGCCTGGACCTCAACTGATTTATCGCCGGGCAGGTAGTTGATGAGCGGGGCGGCAAGGATATTCTCGCTGCGGAAAGCGAACGCACTCGAGCTGCTAGGGATCTCGTGGACACCGCCGAAGGAGTAACCTTCGAACATGAGGATTGAGTTGTTGAAGGCAGAGGATCCACGAATGGCAGGTGCGTAGACGTCCCATGCCTTCTTCTGAGCGGGAACGTCGTATGATTGGAGATAGATGGGGAAGCGGGGGTTAGCGAAGCCGGCCTTTTGGCATGGAGGGGAGTCAAGGGCAACGCCGGTCCATGCAGCAAGGTCCTGGTAGGTGCCTGACTGTGGCACAGCAGAGAGCGGTCCGATGTCGTGGAAAGGCTTGGTGTAAATCGAGTCGACAGCCTTCACACCCTCCTGGATGATATAGAACACGATGACGGGGTTGCTAGGATCAATGTCGGGGTTGTTCATCCAGTACGACCAGTTGATGACATCGGCGGGCTGGGCGCCATTCTGCAGAAGATATTCGTTGGCAGCCTGGTAGACAGCCTCGACCTTATCGCCACTGAAAGCAAGCGTCTCGATAGCCCAGTCACTGTGCTCGATATCATAGATCTTGCTGGTGAGAGAAGTGACAATGCCGAAGTTGTGGCCAGCACCCTTCATTGCCCACCAGAGGTCGGAGTCTTGGTTAATCGTTGTCAGGGTACCGTCGGCAAGAACAACGTTCATCGAAACAAATTGGTCAGAGACAAGTCCGTGGTGGCCCTGGAGCCATCCATGTCCACCGCCAAGCGCCGGTCCTACGAGACTGACACATTCACAGGTTCCAGTAACTGTCTGCTTTCCTGCGGCCCAAAGCTCGTCGGTGACCGTCTTGGACATGGTTCCTCCGCCCATGGTGGCTGTATTTCCATCTTCGGCAATTTGGACGCTGCTCAACTGGCTCATAGAGATTCCGACGCCATGGTCCATCTTACCCAGCGAAGTGAGGGCTCCGTGGACACCATTGTACGTCAGGAAGGGCAGATCCTTCTGGTTGGCGTATTTAACCTAAATTGTCGTCACAATTAGTTTCTGTCTTTGTCTGGTTGACATACACCCAAAGGGGAAAAGTAAAATAAAATAAAATAACCCACCGTCTCAACAACATCGTTCTCGTTGCCAGGCACGACGACGAGGTTCACTGTAGGTTCTTCTAGAGCAGACCACCGCGTAGTGGCATCCTCGAACCCGCTCGAACCCGGATAATACACCTTGGCAGAGCTCGAAAGCTTCTTCCCGAATTCCTCGAATTCAGCATCGCCACGTGGGCAAATGCCCCCCTCGATACCACTAGGGACACTCAGAGAGGCCGCAGAAAGAGCCCAAGCCGCAACGGCGATGATCGCCTCTATCTTGAGTTGATACATTGCTCAAAAAGAGGATGTCCTGAATTGGGCAAAGATAAGAAGAAAGCAAGAACCAAATTCCCTGAACGTTAAATCGTCAAAAGACGTCAGGAAAAAGTGGGTATGCTATCTGCACCTCGGTAAGAATCCCTGTCAGTTGTGCGGCACTCCAACTATTTATTATATTATAAAACTACCCTAGATTCAGTTTGGTTAGAGTGTTTCTCCTTTTCAATAGCGCAGAGAAGAGTATTGTTCTCGAAAAGCCACAATGGCATAGTTATAGGACAGAGAAATCCACACCGCCCTAGCCCTCCCTTGTAGCACGGCCCTGCAATATCTCCAACTGTGAATGTCTCTATCTGCAATTAGACACCCTCATTGTCCCTAGATTGGTAACTATCCCTGCTTAATGTTTCTTCAGTTGACAACTGCCGGCGCTCTCCCTGTAGGCATGCTAATGCAGAGGGACGAGGCTATGTTACATCCGCCATCAGCCTGTATTGCAGCCCTAATAAGCGCAGCCATCTGATCGGGAGAATTAAGTCCCACTCTGAACGTTAGCTGCATCGTGGTTGGACATGAACATCTGTGTGGCCCCAAACCTGTGGGGCGGTGCATCCATCGCGTCTGGCGAAGGTTCCACTATTAACTCTCTGTGTCTTAGAGTTCTGGTTGAATTTAATTTGGCATGCCACCTGGGCACTTAATTTATCAGCAAATTCAAATTTGCTCTAAATTAAATTTCTCATCAGGGGCAACCCTGGAATGACTGCATGTTTCCCGAAGTATCCGATATGTCCGGCAACCTTGGAAGTGTCCTGCGCCCCTGCCGGGAGTCAGGTACGGAGTACGATGGAGTAAACTGTATTTTCGACCATACCGATTATGAATGCCGAATCTAAGGTAGCCAGCTGAAGGGTCCACGGTTAGCACGTGGACATCCATGGATACACGACACTTATTAATTTAGGTGAAACTCTATCTAGGACAATTTGGTGCCCGTGTGCACAGAAATCATTGCGTCCGTGGGATTTTTGTGCACGGAACGAACCTTCCAGTTCCTTTCCAAGGTTCCAAAGGTTGGATGGAGCATACCCGCTCTAGTACCAACCTTGGAATCTTGAAAAATCTTCCTCGGTCTCACCGATAAACCTTGGAAATCACGTTCCATTTGGGGCGAAATTGTAATCCAAAAATTGAAGTGAGATCTGCGCTAGTGCAGGGGAGATATTAGTCTACTCTTCTTATACTGGACCTTCTCCATTCTCATGTGCAAATCTTCGCTGCGCTAATCCCGATCCCCGCTATTCTTCACAAATGTCAACCAACATGGCATTTGGCTTAGAGCCGCGAGATGCCGCGTCGGACGCCAACAAGGGCATAATTGAATTATGGACGTTATATGCAATTGGCGTTGCTGTAACAATTCTTAGAACATATGCTCGGGGGAAAGCAGCAGGATGGAGGAATTTACGACTCGACGATTATCTTATATGGGTTGCAATTGTGATTGTCTCCAGCTGATGATATGTTGTCTTGCTGTTTGCTGATTTTTAATTCATATAGTTACTCTATACTGCACAAACATCGCTTGCTTATAGTGTGGGCAATGTGTCTAATGGCCTCGCCAACAATGGCATGTCACCCGCCCAGCGAGAGGCACTATCGCCCGACGATCCAAGTTACAAGCATAGGTACGTCTCTTACGAATTATCAGCCGAAGAGCAAATATGAATTCGATCACTAACATTCGATTAGAGTGATTGGCTCCAAAATTCAAATCGCGGGCTGGACTACTTATGCGGCATTGATTAATGCACTCAAATTGTCCATGCTGGCATTCTACATTAGACTGATGGTATTAATCTCAATATTTCCTGGCAACCGATGTTCGCAACGACTAATACCAAACAGGAGGGCCTTGGCCGGCGTTATCAAATTCCCATTTATGTTGGGTTTGTCCTTGTCATCGGAAGCTTGCTCGCAAGTGTCATCACGATCTTTAGCGCATGCCAACCATTCCACAAAAACTGGCAGATCAATCCAGACCCCGGCAGTGAGATTTCCATCCGGTCTTGGGCACTCAATATATGCTAACTATGCATCTAGACACATGCCAACCAGCCATTTCGAAACCTGTCATTGCAGTAACCTTCGCTGGAAACCTCCTTACCGATCCATATCTCATATTTATCCCAATTCCCATGCTTTGGAAATCGAGTCTGAGGCCTGTGAAGAAGATCGCGGCCACTATCGTCCTCAGTGCGGGTGTCTTTATTCTTGTCTGCGCCACTATTAAAAGTGTTATGCTCCTAGTGGTGAGTTTCAACGCAGTCGCATTCCTCCCTGTCTCAAGGTATTTGTCTAATCTCATCTTTTGTTTCTATAGAAGCCTCAAGATGGCGCAAAACTGGCTGATGAGTGGGGCACCCGCGAAACATTCGTCGCAGTCGTCACGACCAATCTCCCCATGATCTTTCACCTGCTCAGAGTTTGGCTCAGCAAAGTTTTCGGCAGCCAGTTCCAGTCATCCCACAAGACGCATAAATCGCCCTCGGCTGGTTTCCGGAGCATTGGTGGTGGCGGCGACTTTTCCAGTCGGAAGAGTCAGGGTGCTGCTAGTTCGGATCCTATGACTATTGGTATGTCATTTACCGAGAGTGAGGAGCGGATGATGGAAGAAGTCAAATTGCAGAATCTGAAGGCATATCCGGCACCTACGCCTGGCAACCAGGCCTCGGGTGCTATCGTGGTCTCCAATGAGATTGATATCACCCATGAGACTCGGGCTAATCAAAATAGTGAACAGCCTGTGAAGAATGCACCTGGGGTATGGTAAAAATTGGAGTTTTATACGTTCCTAGCTAAATTTAATAATGTACATATGTATATTTCAATTTCAGGCCTCCTAAGACTGGATCATTTCTCTATTGCGCATGTTATAGATTCCCAAACCAAAAACAGGCATTGAGCAAATACAGAGATCAAGCATCATGGTCGCGGGACTAGAACAGTAGCTGTTCAATCCTTTATCTCGTTCATAGTCTCATTACTTCCACTGCCTCTACTTCATCAATGGAACATTGTCTAGATACATGGAGCATCAGACTCACGTGACGTGACCGTCCATGTACATCACTAGGGCCGGTACTCCGCACTCCGTAGATCACTCTCCACTCCACTCCTCTCCGATCCGTGCGCTCCCCAGAATTCTTAGGTGGATTCATGGTTATATATTTCTCCTCTGATATTCCATGTCCCTTCCCTAGAAACCCAAGCTTACAACCACCTCCCAAAGCCAAACAGTGTCTATATAAGTGAAAACAAGGGCCCCGCGAGCACTCCAGTGAGCATTGGCCACCGGGTCGTACACTGAATTGACCTCTGACCTTGGAATCTACTTGACTTAGCATTTCCATTCTTGAGGGAGGAAAATTCAGTTAGCCCGAGGTTCACCTATCCGATTGTGCATATTACCTACAACTGCAGTGTTGCCACGCAAATGGACAAAGTAGAGTCGCAAGCTGACAACGCGAAGCGCACGGCTTGTGAAGAGCTGAATATTGCGCCCGATGCGAAAAGAGCCAAACACATTCATTATGGGTTGACAGAGGCGGATGTCAAAGCTCCAGCTATAACCCGGAGGATTCCTTTCCTAGAGAAGGTATGCCAGGACCTTTAAATGCCGAGAAACCTTCTAGTTAACAAACTATTCTAAAGCCTGCAGTTGTGGAAGAACGAAATGGCGAGATCGAGTTTCGGGTTGTCAACAACGATGGCTCTAGAGAGAGTACGATTATCCTTACAGGTCTCAAATGTCTATATCAAAGGCAACTTCCGGAAATGCCTAAGGAATACATCGCACGTCTCGTCTACGACCGCGCTCATTTATCGATCGCTATCGTTAAGATGCCTTTGGAGGTCATTGGCGGTATATCATTCCGAGAATTCCGAGACCGCAAGTTTGCCGAAATCGTCTTTTGTGCCGTTTCGTCTGATCAGCAGGTGAAAGGATACGGAGCACATCTTATGGCCCATTTAAAGGATTATATTAGAGCTACTTCCCCTGTGATGCATTTTCTGACTTACGCCGATAATCATGCCATCGGGTATTTCCAAAAGCAGGGTTTTACTAAAAAGATCACTCTCGACAACTCTATCTGGATGGGCTGTATTAAGGATTACGAAGGAGGGACACTTATGCAATGCTCCATGCTTGCCCGAATCCGATATCTCGAAGTTGGTCGAATGCTTCTCAAGCAAAAGGCATCTGTTCTAGCTAAAATACGCACCTTGAGCAAAAGCCATATCATTCATCTACCCCCTCAGCAATGGGCTAACGCTAACGACGGCGTCGTCGTTCCAATCGATCCACTCTCTATCCCTGCCATCCGGGAAACTGGCTGGTCTCCGGATATGGACGAATTAGCGCGAGAAGCATGCCATGGATCTCGTTTCAGAGGACCTCGTTTCAACGAATTTCGACGTTTTCTGAATGAAATCCAAAACCACAAACTAGCATGGCCCTTTCTCAATCCGGTCAACAAAGATGAAGTACCCGGTTATTACGATGTCATTGTATCACCAATGGATTTGTCGACCATAGAAGAAAGATTGGAGAATTACACTACTCCGGAAGATCTTGTCCGCGATCTCAAGTTGATCTTCAGTAACTGTCGCCAGTATAATGATGCCACAACGGTATACGCTAAGTGTGCAGTCAAGCTGGAGAAGTACATGTGGAAACTCATCAAGGATATTCCGGAATGGTCTTACTTGCTTGAAGGATGATTCGTGCTACTGCATGCTTTGGAGTAAGGTGTGTTGTTGAAGCGAGGTTTCTTATGGTCAGTGTCGGTATCAGGCGATTGGGCTCGAGGTGCTATACAGAGAAGGCGTCAATGATATCGATGTATACTGCGATCATTGGCCCCTAACGCTTAGCTTGCATTGGAAACAATCTGTTGTTTTTTGGAAAAAGCTAGAGCAAAGTAATTGGGGAAACATACGTGGCACATTATCCCTAGATGGAGATTTGATATTCTTCCTTCAATTGGCTCTTAGAACCCCTAACACCAACGCTATGTACACTTTTTCTGGTTTTCAGGCTGAACAATTGATCTGCAGATGTGGGTATCAGATAATGGGGTATTGAGACATTAGTCCAGGTCATGGAAAGCCATAACATGCTGTCCACCACTGCGGTCCTTGCTCTTGGACTTCTTGCGCTTCTTTCGGTCCTTGGGATCCTGGCGACGTTCCGCATCGCTGTCATCCGAGTCTTTATCGTCATCGCTATCATCCATCATGTCTTCATCGCCAGATCCATCATCGCCATTGTCCTCAGCCTCGTGCCACACCTTGACGGTTTGACCACCACCAGAGACCATACGGCCCTCCACGTCGAAGCCCAAGCCCACAACACCATCGATCTCATCATGCACAACCTCGGAAACGACTTGGTTGGGTCCAATGCGCACGAATTTCACCTTTCCGTTTTGAGAGTCCTGCAGCCACCACCTTGCCCAAGTAGTCAGGCGCAACTGACATTGTCTCGATAGAATCTCCGCCATCGGAATTGCGATCGACGTAGATCCGCTCATCCTGGTCATCCCACGCGCCCTTCTCCCAGAGAGTAATGATACCGCTGGCTCCACCGACAATCAGCTTCTCGCCCCGACTGGTTCCGCTGGAAGGCAGACCACCCATAAAGGCCGAGCTGACCAATTCTTCTTCCTGGTTCTCGCTGCGCACCAGAACACCCCTCCGGAGATCTGTCACGGCCAGGGTTGTTCCACCAGTTGTAACCCATTGCTTGCTAAAGCCCGACGTACTGGTTTCGGAAGGCGGCAGAGGAGTAAGTGATGAGATGTAATCGTCGTGAGGGTGGTGCGATTGCTCGGGCCGGGCAGACACCTTGGAGTAGGGGATACGGAGATCGTAGAGGTGCAGAGCGCTTGAGTCGGTACCGAGGAGAAGAGTTTGAGGAGAGAGGGCGTGGATCATGGTTGGCGCATCAACAGAGCTATGTGATATCGAAAAAAGGCAGGTCAGCCAAATGCAAACGTTTGGAATGCAATGCTTGTATTCAGGGGTGTTCCTTTACCCGTTCTTCTCAAGAGGAATCACAATCTTGTTATGCACCTGACCAGTCTCGCTGCTTGCAGCTTTCACCATGCCGTCTGTACCAGCCGAGTAAAGCGCTTTGCCATCCACACTGAACCCTAGGGTGCGGCAGCTACCCTTGTGTCGCCGGGTTCTCCACATTGTGTCAATGTGGCCCTTTCCAGTCCGAGCCGAAGAATTTGATGTGGCATCTTCATCGTCTTCTCCTTCCAAGGAAGGCAGCCGGAAGGTTTGGACGTGGCCCGAGGCCAGACCGACAGAGACTACGGGCTCCTCGGGGTGGATAGCCTGAGTGAACAGGTCCGCAGAAAGCGGAAGCGTGCAGACTGTGTCAAACATGGTTGCGAATTGTGACAGAAATGAGCACAAATTGGGGAGGCTTCAATGAGCCTAGTAAAAATCTGAATTCGCGTGAATTGGATCAAAAGAATCAATTGCAAAAGCCGGAGCTTAGAGCTGGCCGTTTTTTTTTCTGTCGGGCGGGAATACCCCGACCGCCTTCTTTACTTGTTGGGGTTCAAATCGGGCAAATGACATCAATTCGATTCTGATAAGCAACTCTCTGATTCTAAGAAAGGAAAAAAAAGAAATCAAGAATACAGACAAATATAAACGAAGGAAACTTTATATAACACTCGCCGTTTCCTTCCAAAATTTGGCATTTGCTGTCACTGGCTCAAGGATTTATGCAGAACAGAGACCCCCGCATTCCAGGTGTAGCCGAGTTCAGCAAGTACCTGTCATTTTGACTCTTTAGGAAGAAGCGAAAGTGGAGCCAATGGGGCCGACCTTGATGTTGGAGTAGGTCACCGTGGCCGAGCCGTGCTCCTGCTCGACGGTGGCTGGGTCGCCGGAGGTGGTGGCGCATGTGCCGCGAGCAACACCAGGGTCAGAGGGAGAAGCATCAGTGGGGTAGGCCTCGCCGTCCAACCAGAGCATGTTAGCGTAGTGGTCATCCCACAAGCTCATGACGAGAACCATTCCCTGGTCCAGACCGTCACCCATGCCGGACAGACCACCGTGCTGAGCGAAGATATCCTCATCACCGAAGGCCTTCTTCTGGGCTGTGCAGAATTCCGGTGTGATCGAGTTTCCGGTGGCGCCGCTGACATCCGAGGCGGAGTTGGCGATGACCTTTCCGTCCTGCACGTAGATACGCTTGATCTCGCTGAGGGCGCCGGAGTCGGTGCCGTCGCTGGTGATGAACTGGGTGACAACGGTCATCTTGGACTTGGAGTCGACGGTCATGCCGGGGCCGTAGAAGCTCTCGTTGCCCATGCGGTAGGAGTTGAAGTCGCATCCATCGGGATCGCAGGTTCCGGCGTAGCGGGTGGCGGAGTAAGTTCCACCACATTCGTCGCCCTCGCACATGGTCTGTTCGGGGCTGTCGCAAGGGTGAGGAGTGAAAGCAGTGGAGATGCTGTTGGCTTCCCAGATATCCATCTCAGGGCAGCAAGCTCCGTGGCCACCAACACCAGCGTTCTTGTCATTCTCGGAAGGCTTCCATCCCTCCACGTTGGCCTGTAACTCGCATCAGTCATTTTGCCCACAACCTTTTTCGAAAGAGCAGTATAAAACTCACCTGGCCGTTGATGAACTTCAGATCACGAGGGCACTGAGAATCACAGTAGCCAGTTCCGTACTTGGCACCTGCCTTGTTGCCCTCGAATCTAGCCAAGCCACCGTCGGCATCCATGGAGACAAAGTACAGAGCTCCATTGAGTCCGCAGGGCAGCTCAGAAGTATCCACATCGAAGGTGAACTCCTGGTTCTTCAGCTTGAACATCTGGTAGGTACTTTCGTCCTCCATCAGGAACAGACGAGAGCCAACGTTGGCACCAGTGACGAAGGTCAAAGTGAGGGCATTGCCACTGGTGGTCGCACCGTAGGTGCCGGCGTAGTCAGCACCGTCGAGGGCACAGTTTTCGGCGCAAGTCTTGTCATCGGGGCAGAGAGTCGCATCCCACTATTGTCAAAGAAGTCAATCAATATAAACGCTCATCTTCTCGGTTCGAGATCCCTTACCTCGTTTCCAGTGTAGCAGTTGGTAGAACCGTCGACGGAGTGAAGCCAACGCCAGTTGGAGTCGATGACAACAGAGCCCTTCTGGTCAGCGCAACTGCCCTCAGCAGTGCACTTTTGCCAGGTCAAAGAGGGATGGGTCTCGGGTGTCAGTGTGCCAGCTTGCTGGGCACGGGCTGCCGCCGCCAGGGCGGAGAAAAGGAGTGCGCGTTGATACATTGATGAAGCAGAAGGATCGTTTGCAATGTTGTTATGTTATCTTGTTGTCTGGCCTGCAGTTTATGAACAGAAATAATCCCAGGGTGGGAATTGATCTTTATATGTTTTTCCTCCTCATAAGATTGCTCTAAGTTATTGTCATGGAAGCCTTGACTAGGCTCATTGCTGCAGAGCATAACCGGTGGGACGGACCCTAAGGCCGTCACCAATTTGGCATGGATAGAGAGTCCTTAATCATCAATCCAGTATCGACTTCCATACTGGGCGACCTCCGGTTTCGTGAGTGCGTTGATTTGAGGGTGGAATATGGGCCTGAATCAGGAAGGGAATGATCATCGCTGGATGAATGTGGTGAGACGTCTCATCAAGATCTTGACTGATATTGGGGTGGATAAACGTGGGTTAATCGTTTCAACGTCCGTGAAAACGGAGAATGCCCCGATCCGGTTCTGTCGATTTTCGTATAAGATTTGGGGAGCTTAAAAGTGCAAGGAGCAATGACTGCAGATGGAGACTCTTTGAGGTATGTTGCCTGTCGATCCTTAATTTACACATCAGGGTCAGTACTGCCTAATTAAACTATACTCGACAGAAACAAGATCATAAGACACTTTGCGGGGAAGGTGGTGGAAGCCAGCCAAGAGCGCCCCTAGATGGAATGGGCGCCACGGCGCTCCCCACAGTCCCCCACTGACATCAAACCGCCAAAAAGGCTTTTCTTTGCATCAGATAGTGTGGGATAATCCACGAGGCGTTAAGCCCAAACACGGAGGTTTGTTCTGCAGACCCTTCGGGCCAAAGGCCGTTTCAGGCCGAAACTAGCCATGATATTGTGAACAGGCAAAGAACTTCCAACACCAGCTGTCTGAAGCAATGATTTGATATGGATTATTGTTATCCGCCATGTTTCATACTTTGTATATATTTACTACTCTATTTTGACATAGCATTTGGGGCAATTCACCGTCTCGTTCGGAACACATGAATCTGAGACCGAGGCTCTATCTATACATACTGGCGGCTCTCACAAAGGTCATCACTGAGCATAAACTAGGCCCCTGCATAAATCATAACCGCTTTCATTATTGAACATTTCCACGAATAAGACACTAGACATGAGCGCCGTGGTCTGATTTGTGGGGACGTGCATCATATTGGATTGGCCAAACCCGAAGCATTAAAAGTAAAGAAGCTAAGATGAAGGACTCACGCTAAGTTTTGGCGATTACTGTGGATTTCTTCATTGTGGGGGTTCACCAGTAGTATCAACGATACTCCAACACTAGGCCCTGACAGTATGGTGAAGCCGGTGTTTCAAGATTCTATTACCGGATGCCCCGGGCCTGTTTAATTGAAGGTCCAAATGGCAGCGCGTAAACACCTTGGCGACTGGGAGGGATATAATTTAACCGAACGGAGAAAAAGGCGCATGGTGATCACCCGCATCCTGCGAGTTGCATGTGGTACCTGACGATAGCCCTAAAGATCCCATGGCTTTGAAGACATGTGTCTTTGGCGGTCATGCTTTCTCATTTTGGCTGCCCCCATTAATCCAGGATTGTATGCGGAAAATTACGAGGTTACATCTGTTCAAGTTCACTACTTGTCTATCCCGCAGATTCGATGTGCAAATGGCCAAATTCGTCACGGTAATTTGCCGTCAATATACGGGCCAAGGGTTTACCTGTGCACCAATGCAGGGAGTCCAACCAAAATGTGACTGGACAAACTTGAGGTCCCCGTATATGGTTACGCGACTAATTTGCCGGTTATTGGGCATACGGGCGAACGGCCTCGAGCAGACTAGTGTGCAGGAGAATGCATCGACCTTTAATGATGACTAGTGTCGATCGTTTCCTGCTGCAGTAAGTGTCTTCAGGGCTGAGTTGAATGGATTGGATGTAGAGGTTGCTTTAGGCTAATTATCTTCAGTATTACCTACGTAGGTAGCATTTGTGCTTATATTGATGCGGAGGAATGGCCGGTGCCCCCGATGGGAGAAAGCGCTGTGATATCGATACTGCCTAAGCGATTTTGATGGGTTCTGGTCATACCCAGCTTCTCACGGAGAGACATGCCACCTATGTGGATTGGAAGGAAATGAAGGACGCATGCAATCAATCAACAGGGTAAGAAACAATGAACAGAAGGAATAACAAAAAAAAAAAAAGAAACTCCGATGGGGGGATTCGAACCCCCGTTAGTGCTGCTCGATATCCCAAATAAGGGCTTGAAAGAGCACAGTGATAACCCCTACACTACATCGGAAGACTATGTAATTTTGAGCGATCGGGGAATACTTATCCCAATTTTCTATTGTCATAATTGTCGTAGTTGAGCCTCCAATGAAGGAAAAAAACTCACGTAACTATCTACTACAATCTCAAAATGAAATAAGAGCGATAAAGTCTTCGTAATTGGTGGTGTGACCTCGATTGTTCCGTGTCAGTTATTGATTCTAGTCCAGAATAACTGAACAATTAATGCTTGGCCATTAGGTACGAAGTACAGCAGGATATATATGACAGGGACCACGGAAAAGCAATGAGAGCCAGGACTCTCGAGATATCGAGCAGGCCAGCTATGGTGTTCATACAGAGGAAGCCAGTATATTATTGAGGGCTCCCATCCACGTATAGCCGAAAGCTGCCGTCCTTTCGATTTACATATACACAGGCATATATATACTCTAGATGAGACGCCATTCGACAAAAACAAAGACAGAGAGAGCATAATCTTTGGTTACGCGCTCTTTAGGCATGATTTGACCCGTCTGCTTCAAAGAGGAAGAGGACATATCGACTACAAAAGGTCGTCGATACATTCTGGGAACATGTCGGCCCATGCCTGGTAGGTAGTGTCCCTGGATGAAGTCGTGGTTGCGTATAATTTCCTACGTTTGTTGTATATTTCCTGGTTGTATACATATGTAGAGATATCTCTGTGTAGTGATATACCATGATGTCTCTAAAATTGTTTAGAGGCAGATGTCATATCTATTTCCTTGCCTATAGTATGATCTACATATCAGTATTAACATGCGCAAATAAAAAAAGGGCATAAATAAAAACGAAGAAGAAAAAAAAAGAAATTCTCCGATGGGGGGGATTCGAACCCCCGTTAGCGCTGTGAAAGAGCGCAGTGATAACCCCTACACTACATCGGAGTGTTGTGGAGATTTGGCCCCTACTTGATTAATTGTGCTTACACTGCCCGGTATACTTATAGATTGCCCTATGCCTTAAACCGATGGAAAGGTATTGAACTTCGATGACCCAGCGGGCAAAATTACGCCAAAACACAGTCATTTAGCGATGGATTCTTCACTATAGAGAGTGCAAGCCCATTTCTTTCCGTAGCCTCCAGGCGAGGATTAACTGCCGAGAATTCATTCTTTAGCACTCCCCAGTAGCGCTCCCACCCACGCAAGGCACTCCAGTACAGTTGAACCCAGTCGGATTCGCGACGTTCCCACACAGGAACTCATTCGCGGCGGTGCCATTATCGAGATGCAGGGTGCTGTCAACGATGGTGATGTTGGTACATGGCGCCACGGCACTGCACTGGAGGCTCGCAAACCTTGTCGACTCGCTGGTGCCAGACAGCCTGTCAATCTCCACATTTCTAATCTGAAATTCCGAGTTTGTGCAGTTACCCTGGCCCGGTGCACCGGAGAACCGCGTGCACTGCGAGATGGCGAACGCGGCCCCGCGAAGCCCTGTTGTGGTCAGGTTCGTGAGTTTCATCTCAGATGCAACTGGATATGTTAGCGACCTCTCGATTACTCCCTGATTGACGGTAGGTGGTATGGGAGTCATCCGTCAAACTTACATCCGAGTCCACCGCCACCTCCGTTCGGTGGGTAGCCATTTTGGTCATCGGTCCATGTCTTTATGTAGAACTAAAGGATATCCGAGTTAATATCCTATTCTCATGCCTGCCCGGCCAAATATCATATGGTGTTTGTATCTTGGTCACTCACAGCATGTAATGTGTTGTCATACTCGATGTTCTTGACCGTGATCCGCTCGATCGTCTCGAACTGATCATTATACTGCCCGATACTCCCCATCGCAATGCCTAGACCATCGTAGAACTTGCAGTTTGTGATGGTTATATCGGTGCTGTTGGCCTTCATCGAAAGGCTGTCGTCACCGTTGTAGACGGTCCAGTTATTGAATGTGATATGGGAAGACCGGATAGTATCCGCCCCGTCGGTGTTGGCTATATCAAGTCAGTATTTCCCAGTCAAGGCTGTATTTACTCTGAAATCCTTACAGCTTTGTGCCCAGTTTCCTGTGTTGTTGACAAGAATGCTGTCGAGCAAGACATTGTGAGAGTTAATGATTGACATAGTCCTTTGAAGGTTCGGGCCACCGTTAGCAAGCAAAGACCACAGCATCCATAGGGTTTTTGAGACAAGCATCCGATTCTTCACATACCACATCTGGCTCCTTAGGAAGGTAAGGCCACGAATAACAGAGTTCGTGAGGTTGTCGAATGTCACACCGTGCGGCCGGCCTGGGTAGTTGGATGTGTTTGGCTGTTCTCTGATCCATTGATACCAGTAGTCGCCGTTACCGTCAAATGTGCCTTTTTCATAGCCATTGATGCGGACATTGTTACCACCAATTATCAGAGCTGTTGACTGGTTCTGGTATCCAACATCCATCGAGTTGTTCAGCCAGTAAGGGATGTCAGTGCTCCACTAACAAACGAGGCAGATTGTCAGCAGTCGGATTTGCAGGTGGGCTTGAACACAATGCCCGAAGAATGGAAATGCATACCAACAGCGTTCCGCGGATGTCGATGTCAACATTGTCGAGCCAGGAGATGTTCATGACCGAATTGACGTAGTACGTTGTGGGTTCAAAGACGATCCTTCCATTTTGGCCGCACTCCCTGAACGCTTTCAAAATGGCTGGGGCATCGTCGGTCACGTTAGTTCCGCTGCTCTTGACCACACAGCTGTTCTGATGGCCTTTGGCTACCACAGGACTCAACTGTGCTAACAGCAGCGACAGGATGACTGGAATTGACCGCATGGCGAGAGAAGATTGGACAAAGAGGGGACATAGAAGGCTGCTAAGGGTCTTCCTATCCTTCTTATGAGACATCAATTCAGTCACCTCACCAATCTCTTTTCATCGGTCTATCAGAACCCGAAGTATAAACAAAGATTCGTATTCGCTTTTTGTGCCAATCAACCCGATAAGCGATCAACATCACCCCGCTTTGCACGGAAATGTTGGTGTTATCCGAGGAACCGACGTTGCACGGATAGAAAGCCATTGCTGCAAAACCACGCCGTTTAAAGAAAGATATGCATCGGTGTTCTTAATATCACCAACTCTGTCGGCACCATTTAAGCCGAATCCATTTGGTTGCAACAGGATGGAATTGCGGGGTAGGTTGTCATTCTGAGACATTGCACACTTACGGTCAGCGTGCTGGTGTCAGTGTTGATCTGACAGAGGCCAGAGAGAAGGGGAGAGAAGAGATTTTAAATTCTCTATCTGTGAGAGACTGGCTAATGTACTCGCTAACAAACATGTGCAGACTGACAAACCAGGTATCAATGAGGTCTACCTGCCTGCCATAACAAGTGTGCCAGAGCACGCAAAACCCCTCACGATCCATGAGATATACTGAGACTATAATAGCAGGAAATTCCTCAACTGTTTCCGCCAAATACCCGAAAACGGTATCCCAAGTTTGACAGAGTAAATAATGTGAAGCCAGGGCTTTCCCCTTTGGTGGACTGATTGGTGTTCTGCTCGTCAAAGTTGTGGATGCCCGGAGCGGTTTTCGGATATTTTAATTCATTGTCAGCTTCATTCGATCCGGCGCTCCTCTTCCATGGTCCACAATGGGAAGATTGGTGGATTTGAAGACGACACTGCCCCATACAGCAGAGCAATGAGAGAGGAACCGATGCTTATCTCACTGTGGACGCTGGTTAAGTCAGGGGCTTCAGACAGACTCTTCTCAAACGGGCCTTTTCTATCATTGATGTCACCCAATGCCCGCGGGAGTTGTCGAATCCTGAAAGTTGGGCTTTTCACAAAATGTTTCAATCTCGACGTCTCACCCGGATCCGGTCATAGCTTCCTACTCCACCTGATCGCAGCTGGATCACGATAACTCTCGATGAAGCTAATCATTTCCTCTGATCCTGCAGTAACACCCGTCACCCATGCCTTTTGTGACTCCTGGTAAGCGTCTAGGCTACCAGCACCAGAGGACTCGACATAGTGTCCCAAGAACTGGGGTTGCCTGCAGTTGCTGACTTGTGAGAAATAACTGGCCCGACAATCCAAGTGCGTCACTGCAAGGCTTGGAAAAAGGCAAAAAGGGCTATAGGGGGATGAGGCTCAGATGCTCAATGTGGAAGAGGGCGAGGCTGATCCATGCTTGGAAAGATTCGCCGTGATAGTGACGATGACAGTGCCTGGGGAGGTCGGGCAGCGGGCTTGGCAGGGTAGGGGGGCTACATGCTAGACTCAAAAAAGCAAACAAAAAGGAAACATTGCATGACAGCGGCGAAGCGCGAACCAATATGGACGCCCGAGAGACACCACGAGCCAAATATGGACGCCGTTAACGGTCTCATTACTTATGCAGGCACACTTCCCCACCTGCAGTCCACGAATACCTCAGCCCTGCGATCTAAGAATTCTTACAACTGCCCGGTGGTAGTAATTCTTCAGAACTCCCAATTCGCTCCCATCGACACAAGACACTCCGGCGCAATTGAACCCATCGGATTTGCGACTCTCCACAAGTACGATCAATTGAGATGGTACCGTTTTTGAGGTGCAAGACGCTATTAATGATAGCGCCTAAAGTAAGGATCGGTCCGGGGCCGTATCCTATCACACCTGGAGATCGACATAAGATCGACATACCATTGACATAAGATCGACACAATGCAGCCTGGCATTCTCAGCCGTACGGGACGCCTAACTTGCCTTCGCCTATCACATCTACATATTAGAAGAAGGCCAACAAACTATATCCTAACGGCCCCAAGTTTGCGTGGATTAAATAAGGCGCAACATGATCCTTCTTTAGGAAGAACCCACTTAGCTATAGGGGAAGCCTATCACATCTGCAGATCACAAGCAGGTCAGCAAACTACATCCCCGTATCCCCAGGATTGCATGGATTACATGGACTATGCATCCAAAGCCAAGGATGGCTGTGATGTGATTGTTGGGGCCAGAAAATGGTATAACTTCACTCTCACAAGATTCCAGTCTTGGCGAGGTACAGTCTTCGAATATAAAAAGGGACTCACGACCCATCTATTACATCCAGACATCAGCCTGATTCGCATCCAATCAATACTCCTATTCCACAATACATTCTCACTCCACTATCAATTCCACTTTCTCAAGCAACCATGCATTTCGGAAAGACCCTCGCACTCTTCTGCCTCAGCCCCGGGGCTCTGTCGTACGTGATCACCGCGTACCGAGGCGACGACTGTACCGACGAGTCCAAGAGCGTCAATGTGTGGGACAACACATGCAGAGATACCAACATTTTCCCGACCAAGTCCATCAGAGTCGACACATACGGAGGTCGTCACCAGAAAGCCACCTTCTTTACAGCCAACGGATGCGGTGCTGCTGTCAGCGCACGGTACGCTTGGTGGGCGGACGGTGGTGACAGTGAATTCAAGCAGGGGGCGTGCCTGAAATTCGACCAGGAGATTCATGCCTACGGCTCCGTTTCGGCTTAGGCTGAGACGTGCGTGTAAGTCTTTACATCCAAATGTTGCCACGGGAGTAGAAAGAGGCTCATACTGCTATAATAGAACCAGCTCGCCATCTGTGTGATGACTCCATGGAGGAATGGAGGTTATAAGGGACGTCTGGAAGGATATTCGGTTTATACGGAAGATACACAATATCACTTTCTTTAATGTGTGGAACGTCTTTGAATCAAGGCTTTATAATCTGGTCTGTAGTCAAAGTAGTCTTTTGAGATGTGTTAATGTTGGTTATCCTTAAACTTCGTGCCAAAAGAACCAGTCCAGAAGTTGGCTTACAGAGATACTGGTGCGATGATGTTGCGAATGAACACTAAAGCTATTAATATTTGGCATTTTCTCAAAATGATATGATACAAACATGTATTCATCGATTTATGGTTCAACGGCAGTAAGCATTGCGAGTGTGTGCTATCGATTGGAAGATCAGATCTTGCCATGAACATAGTTCCGGGACTCCGTGAAAGGCGGATATCGTATTGAAAGGATGGAAATGGACGTAGATTGTTCGGAAAAACATCAGGGTAGATGACTAGTATCACCATGAACTCGGGATTTATTCCTTCTTATTCATTCATGCTGCATGCGGTATGGGCTTCTGTCACGACGGCCCATGAAACTGAAGTACCACGTTGGCTCGCCGTGGCTGATGCGGCAAGTTGAGTCATACACTCGTCTGGTACCGAGAGCCCAGTACTCCGAATTCTCGTTTGGGTGGTTCTTCATGCAATCCAGACACAGGCCATCGAAATAGCCTTCAACCTGTCTTCGTGCATACTGCACTATGGGTTTCCAGGAGCGGGAGCACACGCTGCATATCTGCACCGGTGGCTGCCTGTTTTTCATCTTCATCTTGTTCTCATCAAAGGCAGCCAGTCGATTGAGAATCTCGCGGACACAGTTCTTGTGTATGTCACTATCCAACGGCCTCACCCCGATTCTATGCAGTTCCCTCATGTAAGAAAATATGTGTTCCGCTGCGCAGGCACAGCGAACACGATCAATAGTCACATTTACATCTTCGAAAAGAGGTCTTTGGAGAACTGTTCGGAGCCGCCCTCTAGCTGCGTTGAGTTGCTCTTTTACGAGTTAGCACCATTTGATCTTAATGAGTGAGCGATGTCAACTTACGCATGACGATAGCGGGCATATGCATTGGTTCGAATGATGGTGAGTCTGTTGGGGCCAATTCCGTGATATGGCCCGCGGTGGTGTAGACAAGTCTCTTTGAAACATGCTGGAATGCTTTTATATGATCAAAGAAATGGCAAGGAAACAGCAACTGGCGGTTGAAATCCTCATCTTCCCAACTTTCAGGTCGTTCCTCTCGAATGTATTTGATCCAGCGCGCAAACCAGTTCCTTAACTTCTCGGGGTCCAGCAAGTACTTGTTGCAGGCCTTGATTGTGTACCAGACATCTGCAATGGAGACTGACTCTGGCTTGATGTCGACCCCATGAATCGACCCCAACATCACTTCCATGCCTTTGATTGTGTCGCCTCTCAGAGTGGGCTTGTGGTTTTCGGTTCTTGCCCACCGAGACGAGAAGCTTCCTTTAAAGTAAGCGCTGCTTTCAATTAACTTTGAGCGATCAACATGAAAAATGGCTGTTTTGGTTCTGTGGTCATCGTTGTCGCTCGGCTCTTCAATGACGATGATTGTCACATCACTCGGGCTTGCGAACAAGAAGCTCATATTGGCCGTGAGAATTGAGGAGCAAAGAAAGAGTAGAGTCGAGATAGTCGAAGAGTCTCAAAAGAATAGAGAAGAGTTAAAAGAAAAAGAGGGAGGAGATGGCTGAAGGAGGAGAAAAGAGATGGGAAGAGGGAAAGATCTGAGGAAGGAGCTGCCTGCGCAGAGTCAACAACTTCTCTCCTCACAAATGCTTCCTCTTCCTCTTCCTCTTCCTCTTACTCTCCATCATCCCTTCCATCAGAAAAAAGACCCTGAAATTGAGACAGACTTCAAAATGCCTTTCCCTGACCCCTTACTAGACAGTTACAACTGTCCGGCCCTTTTACGAAACAATATGCACACAGAGCACGTCCTCAAGAGCGAGTCCCAGGAGCTCAAGTTCCCACCTTACACGAGCGTAAGTCTATATGGGGAGAACCAACTTCGGAAATTTTTACTGATTGCATTAATAGAACTCTGCTGGTCAAATCATTGTGGGCCGTGGCGAGGTCTTTTGCCGTGTGCCGAGCTATCAACAATACAATGTCAGTGCATACACCAACTCCGAGTTGGTTATTAATTGAATGCAGAACCCTATCTCTGCCACCGTTATTCGTCAACACTTCATAAGCCATGGAGTTCAAGTCGCCACGGATGCCTCACAATTGAAACAGGCCCAGGAAGATGCTGCTGTTCAGTGGTACAAGTCTGCGCAAGAGGTTGAAGAGAACGACTATGATGAGGATGAAGAGGAGGATGAGGAGGACGATGAGCACAATGATGAGGATAAGCATGATGAAGACTACGAAGATGATGGGGACGAGGAGGATGATGACGATGAGGACTAAGATTAGGTCTATTATGACGATGAGAGAATACCGCGGCACAGCAAAGTCCTCCTGTCGGCAGACATTGCCTCTATTCCTACGTCTCCGTTGAGAATTGCCGCATATGCTCTGAACTTACAAGTCATTTTACCATCGAATGAAGTGGATCAACGTCAATCTCACTCTTTTAGAATAGGAAGTGAGCCTCTGACCTCGAGAGGATAAGTGCTATTGGGGTTCATGGGCCAGTAGGAGGCGGCAAAATACGAGTATTCTGACATCTGGTAAAACCGTTGTGGTGCTTTAAACAAGCTGAGACTCTGTTCCAATCGCAAGTTCCCTACTAGTCTTGCCAATAATAGTCTCGATCCTGATTAATGGTCATTGTGTCGATAGTATGAGCTCGAGATACGCCACCACCCCCTCCAGGGCTGTTATGGGAACTGCGCTTTGTATTTTATCTAGGACCTACAGGATTAACATGTTTCATTCATGTTAGACACCTTCTAGTGATAGCACAGACAAGCGTTGAAAGAACCTATGACACAAGCGTGAAAACAGCCTTTGCTTCTGCCAGGTTTCTGTCGCTTTCCTAAACATGCAATATGGCTAACTGCATGAGAAAATAATTAAAAGTTTCACCTACGCCTTTGGCGTTAGCTTGACCTGATGTGTTACAAGTTTATTCATATCAATACTCTTTCTCCATATTTAGGTATGGTATGAATAATGGTTTATACTGGCTACGCAGAGTAGAGCATCAAGCTACCTTAGAAGATTCCTACCCTAAAACGTATTCAGTAGTGTGATAATAATGCTTTTGTTCTGAACATTTTCCCTGGTCATAAATAGGCGTGTTAGTTCTCTTCAGGATAATCAAAGGAATTGATTGTATTTCCGGAAAAGGCCCTATTATTGGGGAGACCGCCTAGATTATTTTGAAAGATGTTTTTAGAGTCTCTTTGTACTGGTATTTGATTTCTTTGAGATTAATTTCAGCTTACTGTCTTACTACAAATATATGATTTTAGAAGATATGATTGATTAAACATTGTTCACTTCTAACAAAGAAACAATCATGCCAGGCATACATAATGCAACTCTCATACAATCAATGAGGCAAAACAATGAATGTTTATTCAAGTTTGAATACACCAGTCATAATGAGTTGAATAAAGAATTGCCTATTCATTGTTGGATTTTCGCCATCTTGGTTATATTTAAGCTCTCAAGACACCGAGAGAGACGGAGATTCCCTTGAGTCTCTTCAAACCCATCTGATATCAAATCCACCAAGATGTTCGACCAGCTGGTGCTTGGGGCTGTTTTTGCCAGCCTCAGCAGCATTGGTCTCTGGCATTCTATTCCGTTGACCGGAATCAGTCCTTCCAACTCTTTCTTCTGGCGGGGCCTCAACTCCCTCGAAATTGCCTACTCCATTCACGCATTGCGCCAAGTTCATCCTTTCGTCTTCCCCAATGACGATGCAATCTCAGAGCACGACCTTCTCCTACAACTTTCAGTCGATGCCCGACAGTACGAAAATGCCAGGCTGGCCCTGCAACAATCGGCTGAAGCCGTATCACTGCAAATCAACATCCCAGGAGTCACAGTGACAACGCTAGGCCCGAGTGATACGGCAATACCAACCTCGGTCTATTTGAACGACGGCTCGGCATCTCAGCGCACCTACGAGGAACTGCAGCAGTTCATCGCAGCCCAGGATAGCTCGGTGTACTACATCGTCATGGCTGTTCTCGTTCTGGCTATTCTCACAATACAGGTAATGGGCTTTGGGATGTTGTATAACGTCAAGAGTCAAGTCGAGGACATGCAATACGACTACTTTGACCGAATGGGCGGCGTCCAAGAGCAGTTCCACACCTTGATGATAGAGATCCGCGAATTCCGGAGAGAAAATGGACAAGTACGACATGTTTTCGTCCAGCTAGCGGAGTCCATCAGAGACTCCTCGGCCGATGTCCAGCATTGTTTGTTGCATCTTGTTGGCGTCATGGAAGACAAGTACACGTCTGGGTTGATCACTATGGAGTCCAAGCTGGACGAGGTCAGTCAGCAACACCAAACACTGATGAGAAATACTGAAAGTTTCCCTCAGATCCCAAGACAGTTGGCTTGGCTCAACATACTAATGGCGAAGAACTTGTCCGAAGACCTGCCCGACCCGGGAGTGCATCTCGAGCAGCCCAATTTGGATTTACGCAAGAGCAAGAGCTCTAGCACCAACGGAGCTTCCACTTCCAAGGGAGCTATGGGTCTGAAGAATGGAAAAGGAGGTGTAGGTCAGTACAATGGTCAGGGATTGACCTAGGGCATGTGAATATCCATTTTGTATCTGTAACATAGCGCGTTTTATGACCTGCTCATCTTTTCTTTGAACATGCGAAATTTAATCAGTTGAACATTCATTGTAATTATAGATGATATGATGCCTTTTGTAACTGACAATCATGACGTAGTTTCTTCAACAAGATATTTCCGACAGGCAGTCTTCAGCATATTGATGCGTCTCTGTGTGTGAATGAAGACTTCTCGGTACATATCCAGACTCTGCTGGACGACCTCCTGTCGAGTTTTGGTGCCTGAGCAGATCTCAACCATTCTCAATTCCATTTCCTTGCGAAGGAACGGCTTGCTGAGAGACACACTATTAGGTAAACCCTCGACAACATTGTCATACCCCTCCACAAGGGCCACACCTAGACGGGTCGGAATGAATTCCTGCACTGAACTGCGACCACCGCCGCGTTGGTTTATGGCGACGTATTCACGTTCTTTGATCTTGGCAATATGCTCCGCCATCGTGGCATCTGTACCAATCCCGTTGGCATCCATCAGGCCAATGAGTTCGGGCTCAGTCAGGTAGTTCGGAGCAGTTGTTTTGCCATCGAAAATATTGGCTTCTGTGGGCTCGAAGAGCTCCCCTCGTTCAAAGTTGGGAAGTTGCTGGCTGCTTTCCCACTTATCGTAGACATATACATCCAAGTAGTTTCTCTCCAACACAATCAGACCATTGGTGTGGAAAAATTCCTCGCCATATTGAATCTCAATCTCTGTGCTCTGGCCCTTCGCATCATCAGAACAGCAGGCGAGGAATCGGCGGACAACAAATTCATAGACCTTCTTCTCATTGGCATTCAATTGATTTGGTGAAACCCAGCTAACTGGATGGATAGGTGGATGGGCCTTGTCATTGTGGCGACCAGAGCGAGGAGTCCTGAACTTGCCATCAATAAGCCTAACTAGGAATTAGCCTTGTATATGAAAGGTAAGTCCAACCAGCATACTCTCGAGCGTATTGGCCCCATGAATTGTCGGGTATTGCTTTTCGACTAATTTCTTCAGGTCGATTCCTTTGTCAAACTGATCTGTTTCGGTTCTGGGATAGCTGATGAATCCCTTGGTGTAAAGTGCTTCTGCTACCTTTGAGCTTGTTAGATGAGTACTATCCAATATGAGAGTCAGTTCCCTACCTTCATTATAGTCTGACTGTCCAAACGAAGAAATCGACTGCCCATCATCTGTAGGTCTACCGTGGTCAAGGGCAATGGCCGCCATTTGCTTGTCGGCTTCTGATTCACTTTCGTGACTTTGGCTTGTTTTGCAAGCAAACATCGCTCTAACATCATCGTCACAACTGCTCGGTCAAATAAATGTACCCGCTTCCAGAGGAAGTTGACCTTCTTGCCTTCACGGCTGAGTATGACCTTGATGCCCCAAAATGTTTCTGGTTTGAAATTTTGGACTCTCAAGTATCGGTCGACAACGAAACCCAAAGTAGGAAATTGGCAGGATCCTAACTTGTTAATTTGTTTACTTATATCTGTGACGATCGACGGCTTACCATAGCTAATGACTTTTTCTTTCAAGGCTGCCACCACTGTTTGTAGTTGTAGAGTCTGTAGGCGGGTGAACGCAGCCCCGATTCGAAGATCAAGCTCGATTCGGGCAGCTACAGCACTGGCCTGATATTCGTCGAGATTGACTGGTTCTAAAGCAGCCCGACGAACATGTCTATTCTCGGATTAGTTGGAGTAGCCAAAAAGAAACCAACATCACTTACGCGCTTTCTGTGTTGCTGAACTTGGCTCGTTTAACCTCGATCCGAGCGTTTCCTGCTTTTGCCTGATTACGGACCTCAGAACCGATATGCTCACCTTCGCGATCACAATCGGTCCAAATGAACAGGGCTTTAGAGTACTTGGCTTGGTTCCGGATGTTATCCGCAATTGGTAGCTTGTCCTAGTGAAGACATCAGCATGAAGTCAAGACAGCTGCTGGAATTTGCCCACCTTATCAACGGTCTCTTGCACCGGGGCCTCAAATAGTGCCCCTGGAGGACAGGACATCCAGCCTTTGTACTCGCGGTCAAAGTCCAGGCCAGTCAGATGGCCCACTACGCTGGTCATGGTGACCGAGCAGGCGCCCCAAGCACCACCAAAATTGAAATCGAATTCATAGTTCTTCACATATTGATTCCCACGAATCGCATGCTATGTTCAATGTTAGCTGGATTCATGAGGATTCTATAATAAAAGGGAACCCACTGTTTGAAAAGAACCCCCCGACAAGTGAGTGGCCACTGCGCGAGCAATGGCAGGCTTCTCAGCCACACATAGGATCTTGCGAGCCATGAAGAGCCCCAATCTAGATCACATGGGGTTCATAGTGGTGGTGGCCTTGAATGTCTTGATGTCGATCACATCTTGTTCTGGATAACTCGGACGCGAAGAGATGAGATGCCTGAGACGCGCTGTTTCACGCCTAAGGCATATATTTCTTTTTTAGGCACGCTATTCCCAAACAGGCAATTACTGGCCAACTTACCCGTCCAACTCCACCGGAGCAAACAAACGGCTTTTGTTTTCCTTTCCCTCTGCGGCATTTTGATCCTAAAGAGCACAGCTATGGCATCTTTACCACTCCCCCGCGTGGAGTCCCTTTTGGATTATACTTCATTTGAGCTCACTGTTCTCCCCTACTTGACCCAGTTACAATGGCTGCCCGACAGCTTGCGCGAAGCTGGTAGCGATGTGCATAGCTTGCGAGCTGTCTATCTAGCTACCAACCCCCTGGTCTCTGCAATTGCTTTCGGTGGAGTCCTCGCTGGTATTCTTTTTATTGCAGCCGAGATCAACCGAAACTATTCACAAATAGACCGGTTTTGGAGCATTCTCCCCGCGCTGTATAACGTGCATTTCGCCCTCTGGGCTCGTTTGTCCGGCATCCAGACCCAAACTTTGGATACAATCGCCGTCGTCACTGTTCTCTGGAGTGTAAGTTCACTCTTCTTTCGAGACTCTGCATGTACTGATCCGAATTATGGGATAGATTCGCTTGACTTACAACTACTGGCGCAAAGGAGGATACTCGATTGGCTCGGAAGACTACCGCTGGGAGGTCGTGCGCTCCAAAGTGAACAATAGCTTTGTTTTCATGATCTTCAACCTCGGGTTTATTTCAATTGCTCAGTCGCTGCTGCTCCTTCTCATCACCACTCCGACCTACATTTTTGTTGTCGCCGCATACAACCAGGGACCTGAGACCTTTGGCCTTCCTGACTTGGCCTTCTCCCGTGCTGCGTTCTTCTTCATTATTATTGAATTCTTCGCCGACGGCCAGCAGTGGAAGTTCCAGTCCGCTAAGAAGGAGTACCAAACCAACGCGCGTATTCCCGAGCCTTACAAGGACCAGTTCTCCGCTGAGGATCTTGAGCGGGGCTTTGTTGTCAGCGGCCTCTGGTCTTGGTCACGACACCCCAACTTCGTTGCTGAGCAGGCATTTTGGTTGACCATGTATTTGTGGTCCTGCTACCGCACGGAGACTTACTTCAACTGGACCGGTCTGGGTGCTTTGGGAACCCTTGCTATCTTCCAGGGAAGCGTACGTCTGACTGAGGCCATCACCGCTGGCAAGTACCCCGAGTACAGTGACTACCAGGCACGCGTTGGCAGGTTCATCCCTCGCCTGTCTGTCAAGGCCAAGAAGACCAAGGCTAGCAAGAAGAGCACTTAATGTGTTTGGTGATATATAAGCAAAGGATGAAGAAAGTCTATACCAGATCGGTGGAATTGTTTTTGCTGTGATTTTCTGCACTTTCTTAGGATCTTAACTCAAACTATCGATTTCGACACGAAATGCAAACTATTCTTAAAATGCCCAGGCACTAATCACTCATTGCAACAAACTAGAAACACGAGATATCTATTGACAGGACTTCTAAAGACATAGTTACGCACCACAATTCTTCGTGTAACGAGCAGCTTGCAGGCGACGTGCCTGTTCTGCTTCGAGGATGGGGAAGAGTCCCCTGAAAGTGCATGTTGCAGCATCCATTCTCTCTTTATCTTCGAATTTGGCCACCCAGAGACCCAGGGCTCCCACTCCGGACCAAGATTCACCAGGATGAACTGGCACCATAGCCATTCGTTATCTCCATCCCCTCCCAAATAATTGCGGTCCTGTCCGCGGCCATTGTGTTTCCCCCATCGCAACCAGCTTTCTCTCCGCGGTTACATTGAATTGCTCGGCTGCACAACACCATCTTCTCTATGTATTCTTTCAGTGACGCACACTTGTTACCAGATACCCAATATCGCGTAGGCCCTGAACTGAACGCATCTCAATAGGAATGTCTCTCCAATATGTTCTTTCCAGAAACTACGTACACTGATCAAAGTGGAGACCGACCCCAAATAGAGCGATACAATGAATATGCGGATCGTCGAACAAAAGTTAACCACTCTCGGCAGTTCTGTCTAGTGAGGCCTGAGATTCTGTAGCGAAGTCATCCAACCTGACTCCCAAAGAGCCAATAGTTGGAAACACTTCGGAAGTGACAGAGCCCGGTGTTTCCGAGAGACCAAAGCCTCTAATTGAAGTGCGCTGTCTTTTGGTCGAAGGTTCTGCTGTCTCAGACATCGATTTTCTTTTTGGGGCGATAGAGCCCTCTGCGACTGACGGAATCACTGATGAGGGTGTAGAAGGACCCTGCGTCGAACGCAATGGGCGAAGAGGGGAATTCGCCACAGCCTGGGCTTGGATTATCATATGAGCCAAAATGTTTGCAATTTCTTGCCAGCCCCAGACGGCCGAAGATAGCATTCGCGAAGACCATTTCCCTTCCAAGTCCAGGAAATAAAACTGAAAGTCCCAGCCGTCACTCAGACATCCCCAAATGACTGGCCATGGGCCTTTCGGTTCGCTTGGACCATGGCCATATAAGCCAATAACTGTCCAGCTCCGGTTATACCGTCTCGCCTTTTGGCCTCTAACACTATCAAATGGCAGGCCATATGATCTTTCCCTCCGAAGAGGACGGCGTAGTCGGCGGTTCCAGTACATGTGTGAGGAACCCCATTAACGGATACTGGACTCCACCTGAAAGGAGCTTCGAAGAAGAGAGTGGCTCTGCTATCTCCGGTGTTTGGAAGTAGGTCTTGCTCTGATAAACTTCGATAGACCACATATATCAAAGCGTCAATACGACAGAACTTAGCCTCATTGTCCACGGCGAATTTGGTTAACGTGTCGTACTGCTCCAGAAAACGACCTATTTATGATTATAATGAGAATACGTCCCTAAAGAAAAAGGCTAATACTTACCAAAATCCGCGGGGAGAGCAAAGAACATATGCGGGATCATCCAAGCTTGTGGTCCAGTTGCCAGATTTATCCCAAATGCAATCTCTGTCTGCTGGAGCGACATATCGGATGCCGCTATTGTGGGGAGCTGTGAGGATTCGAGATTCGAGATATGTTGCAGAAGGGATGAAGGGATGGAGGGTGATCTTTGGGCTATGGTCAACAGGTTGTCATACCAGGCCTTGAAGCTTTTGGGGATTTTTATTTTGTCCATGTTTGAATAGGACATGAAAATGAAAATGAAAAACGGGTCAGTAGTTTAAGAAAAGAAAATAGCCAGGGGCTCAAGAGAGTAATGGATTCTCTCCACCTGGGCAGGGTTGTATATTGATTAGGTCAACGCCGCTACCCAAAAAGGAAAGAGCGAATAGCGGTCCAGGGCTGCTTCCAAGGTTACCTAAGTGACCATCTTTGTAGTTCTGTATGCATTGCCTATGTGCACTAGGCTTTGAATTCACAATGAAAAGGGAACTAAGTAGACTGCCAAAAAAAGACCACTGAAAAGACACATGAAAAGACTACCGGAGAAGACTACCTGAGAAGATCACTGAGAAGAGCCGTATATACCGCTGCCCGGTATATACGGCTGTATATCCAGGTACAAAGGTTTAGCCTCAGAGGTCCCACCGTATAAAGCGCAAGACATGCGAATGTCTTGCATGTCATTGCCATCAAAGAAGATTTAGATAACTTAGTTGCCTGTAAGTTTCATGGTAGTGGTTCGATATTTACGCGAAAGAGACATGAACTTGACATGTTTCAAAATAACTCCCTATTATACACTCAGTACAAGTTGTACAGATCCAATTGGACACGGAGATGGACAGAGGGGAACAAATGAGAGAAAATATAGGAAAGGAAACGATCTTCTTATTGAGCACGAGGAGGAAAGGGAGAAAGGTGTTGTGGATGAGAGTAGACAAAAAGAGAAGATCAGAGGGGAGAAGAAACGGGAGATGCAATCGATAAATACAAAAAGAAGAGAGGCTACAGTGATATCATGCCTCCCAAAATTGAACCAAAACCAAACCAAAGCACAATGCAAAGAAACACCATCTCCTTAATCTATGAAGGAGGGATAGGTGTCTCGTCCCGGCCGTCCTTACCCGAGAGTTGTTCGGGGTCAGTGGGCTCCGGTGGGGCAATGGTTCGGCCGCCCTTGCCATCGAAGTATTTGGCGAACTCGCCAGAGTCCGGGTAGGGGCGCGGGCCAAGGAGACGGACGAGGTCGTCACGTCCAAGAACCTCCTTAGACAGAAGCTCCTCGGCAACGATACCAAGCTCCTTCCGCTTCTCAGTCAGGAGATCGCGGCACTGCTTGTGGGCCTCTTCGATGATACGGCGAACCTCCAGATCAATAGAGCGGGCAGTATCTTCGGAGAAAGGCTTGTGAAGTTGCTGCTGTGCGTCATCCTCGTAGTAGATGTAACCAAGCTTGTCTGACATGCCAAACTTAGTCACCATGGCAGTAGCCATGCGAGTGACCTTGTTGAAGTCATCACTAGCACCGCTGGTCACGGTTTCAAAGTGCAACTCTTCGCTAACACGACCACCCAGAGTCATGGCCATGCGGTCCATCATCTGGTTGACGTTCATCAGATATGTGTCGCCACCTGCTGGGAGATATTGCGCATATCCCAGTGCGCCTTGTCCGCGAGGAATGATCGACACCTTCAGCAGCGGGTCAGCCCACTTGAAGTACCAACCGCAGATAGCGTGGCCAGCCTCGTGGTAGGCTACCGTCCGCTTCTCCTCAGGAGAGAGAACAAGGGACTTCTTCTCCAATCCACCAATGACACGTTCGATGGCTTGCTCGAAATGTCTCATGATGACCTTGTCCGCGTTTTCACGGGCAGCTGCAGGGAAGAATTGTTAGCTTTAAATACAGTGAAGAGAATATGGATAAGAACTTACCAACAAGAGCTGCCTCGTTCACGCAGTTGGCGATATCAGCACCAGCGAAACCGGGAGTCAGAGCAGCAAGTCTGCCCTCCATGTACTCCAGGTTCTCGTCGGTGACAATCTTCTTCAAGTAAACACGGAAGATCTGCTTACGACCGTCCATGGTAGGTCGGTCAATAGAGATGTGTCGGTCGAATCGTCCGGGACGCATGAGGGCCTTGTCGAGAACATCCGGTCGGTTGGTACCAGCCAGGACAACCACTTGCTCGGAGGTATTGAAACCATCCATCTCAGTGAGAATCTGGTTGAGAGTACTTTCACGCTCATCGTTTCCACCACCAACGTTCGACTTTGCTCGGGACTTTCCAATAGCATCAATTTCATCAATGAAGATGATGCAGGGGGTGTTCTTCCGGGCATTGGCAAAGAGATCGCGGACACGAGAGGGACCGACACCAACAAACATTTCAACGAATTCGGAACCACTGACACTGTAGAAAGGCACGCCAGATTCACCAGCAGTGGCCTTAGCAAGCAATGTCTTACCAGTACCGGGGGGACCTGAGAGGATGGCACCACGGGGAATCTTTGCACCCAGCTTCTCGAACCGCTCGGGTTGCTGGAGGAAGCTAACGAATTCCATGATCTCAACCTTGGCCTCGTCCATGCCCGCAACGTCGGAGAACTTGATCTTGATATCGGTCTCGTGATTGAAGCGCTTGGCACGGCTCTTTCCGATGCCAAAGATGCCACTCTGGCCGCCGGCGCCGCCACCGGCACGCCGGGACATCCAGAAGACACCAGCAAGGAAGAGAATAGTAGGAGCCAAGGACATCAAGACGCCGCCCCATGGGGTTTCATCGTGATAGGCGACAGGAATACGTTCATGCGAGGGAATACCGAGTTCATACTGAGCTGCCTCGATCTTCATCTCGAAGCTGTCGACAGAACCAATACTGAAGTAGACATAGGAGGCAGGTTGACCATTTGAATCGGCTTGAACCGCAGCTTCGCGGTTAAGCTCGACCCGAACCCTGTTGTGGTTCAGGACGGTCAATTTCTCCACGAGGCCCTTCTCGAGGTAGTTTGCCCGGAATTCTTGCCAAGTGATTTCTCTTCCCCCGCTTTCGCCGGGGAAGAAGCTGCGGTAGGCGTAGTATGTGACGAGAGCGGTAACGAAGAACGAAATGGGATCAAAGCGGAACTCGAGGACCTTGCCCATGTTCGGGGGTACCTTGCCCTTCTTATCACCTTGCTGCTTCTTCTTCTGTTGTTGCTGGTCCTTCTTGGGGCCTTGCTTTTCCTTGTTATCCTTTTCCTCCTTCGGATCCTTGTCTTGCTTGGGATCCTTTGGCGGTTCTCCGCTGGATTGCTGTTCGCCCTCCTTTGCCGGTTGCTGTCCTTGTTGCTCCTTGTCCGAGTCATTATTGAAGCGGAGGTTGGATTCTTCATCCCTGCGTTTTTCAGAGAAAGTGCGCATGTTTGCGAGACCACGTTTTGCCTCTTCTTCCTGTCTAGCTAGACGCTCATCAGCATGGTAAGCTGAGACTTGCCACAGGAATCGCGTCATCTTGATACGGTCCATTAATGTCGGTTCTTGATTCGGATCGATGTGCGCCCTGACTTCCGGTGGAAGTCCATTGCTCATGAGATACTTCCGGACATTGGCACGTCGCTCCACATCCATCGTATCTGCCAGCCATTCGTCCACAATTTTTAATTCAGCATCGGTCAGAGCTGAATTCGGCTTCTTTGTTTGGTTGTCATTGTTGCGGCCATCTGGTGTGTTGTTCCGGCCGTTGTCGGGGGGTGTCGGACCTTGCGTGGCATAGGTTCTAGCGCGGCTTGATAAGACCAGAGATGACAGTCTTGATTGTCGCAGATGCACGGAAGCCAGCCCTATGCGACCGGTAGATTCCGCGGCTTTCCTCGAGTAGCGAGCGAGATTGCCTGGCCGTCGGAGTAAGGTAGCCATGGTCGAGGAATGGGAGCCCCGAGGGCTACGAGGGCGGGGGTAAAAGGTGGTCAATCGAGTTTAGAGGTAATGGATAATACCACAATCCATCAAGATTAGGCGGGAGGGGGGAAACTGAGCTGGGTGTTGAGAAGCTCTTGAGCCATCCAGGTCCGAGGTGACGCCGTGTGGTTCCAGTCGGTTCTAAATTTTCGCCGATCCGGCTGAGTCATCAGAAGTGCAGGTGCCCAGGTGCCCACATAGGCAGGTGCCAAGGATGGAATTAGCTTAAAGCCGTAATTTCCTTTTAAGGCCGTTGTCTATAAACTCCGTTGGATTACTTTGTTTAATATTGATTTGCATCCGATTGGAGACCTGTCTGTACATATTCCTATAGATATGGCCCACCTTTGCGCCATTCGCTGCGTAATGAAAACCCATAATTATCCTGGTCACTCCATAGAGACCTCGGGATGTTCCGAAATAAGAAGAGGAGCGCTTCAATATACAAGAGGTGTGGAGATGGTTTGGTGTGGAGAGATAGAACCGGGAACAATAAGCACACTGCCATGAGCTAGTGACTCTGGTCCTTCATACAGTCATGATTACTGCCCAGGCAGCGGCCCACCGGGGCCAGCTCCTTCGAAGGGAGGAAAGTTGGTAGACATATCCGCCCAGTCCCACTCGATTGTCATTGGCATCTGCCAGAGGTCTTGTGGGACAAATGGCTGCTGGAACGGTGTCATACCGGGGCTGGCACTGAATGCGTGTTGGTCAGAGAATCCAACATTAGCCATTTGTTCAGGACTCAGCATGTCTGAGAACTCTTGCCCAATGCCAGACATGGCATGGACATTGCTTGGGAGGTCTGTGGAAAAGCCACTTGTTGGGGGCATTGTAGTCCCTGGGAATGGACCTGCTGTACCGGGCTCAGGGGCGGCAGCCGTAGGTTGCGTAAACACGGAGGGAGAGAAGGTTGCGGACGTGGGCGGTGGTTGTGTACGTTTGGCGGAGGGTGAAGTTGCTGACTGTCCTTCGGCTGCGTCTGCAGAGTCTTCTGCATTCTTGCGTTTCTTTCGCGAATGAGACTCTTTTTCGGTTTTATCCAAGACCACCTTGGCAATTCTCTCGAATTCGCCGCAAAGGCCTAGCATACGCTTGATGCTGCCGTTGGATTCGTCGGAGACTAGGGTGGACAGGAAGCTGACTACCACGCTCATTAATTTGACATCGGATCGAGCACGAGCATCATTGGGGTTCTGGAGGATGTTGGCGAAAAGAGTTACAAGGGCAGACACCGGGTAGTATAGAATCAGCCTGATATCAAGTTAGAAGCTATTTGTTCCCACAATTCTCTGAAACGTACCAGACACAAGCAAAGTCTCCCTGCGGGATATACTTGATCAGATTAATCGACGCTCTGGCAGCAGTGACGCACAAAACTGCCGACAAAAACACCCTAGGGTTCAAAGGCCGTGCATTCAAACCCTGTATGGCATAGTTGGACAGACGACTTGTCCAATACCCATGATGGACCGACATCCGATGGATGGTGGTCAAGCAATTGTAGTAGGCAAAATGCAGAACGACCATGTGGATGATGAGGGGGGTGTGGGTAGCTTGAATTTCGTATTCGGGGCGGAAGTCGATAGGAATGCTGTCTTTCCAGTCTTCGAGCTCCTTGTCAAGCTCACCGATTGTATTGAGCAATTCGCCGTCTGATTGTTTCGACGCTTTGGCAGAATAAAGTCGCTTGTATACTCTACTTTCAATAATGGCGAATTCACACAATGCCCGGAATAGGTTGAACTTGCTTCTGCCATCAGATAATGGCACATTTCCAACATTGTCTGGCGGATCTTCGCTTGGCAGCTCGACATTCATATCATCGTCATCTTGTACTGGTGGTCGACCAGAGCGTAGACAAATACTAAGGAATTGGTCAGTATTTCGAAGTGAAGGTATTCGGGCCTCTGAAAGTGGGACATACTCTTTGTCAAGAAGATAGGCGATCCAGAAGACTCTCTTCCGCTGCTCAACTTCGACGACATTGAGGCCGAAGCCAGAACCGCGTTTGTGTAGACCAATACTGTGAGAAAGCCGAATGGCCGCAGCGACTAGGAAGAAAGCAGGTTGTGGGTTAGGGGTTCCTTGAAGAAAGAGTGACTAGCAGAGTACGTTAGATAAAGCCACCAAAATCAGGGTAAGACATCTTACCATGCCCAATAGCGCTTGCACGCTCAATAGATCGGTGTTACGCATCGTAAGCTCGGTCAGAACTCCCATGGCGTTCTTCAAATAAAGCCAAGCTTTTTTGTCTTCTTCGTGTGGCACCAAATTACTCATAACCCGAAGCCTATGAGAAATCGCCAGGACAACATTTATACTTGCCCACCAGCCCGAACCCTCGTAAGGATCACGCGAGTATTGCCGCTCCACTAAGTGCATGAATGTCGCTTCATGGAACAGTGGGAACATGCAATTGAAGTTTTCAAAGAAGTCTTTGAATAGAGAAAGAGCTTCATCCTTTGGCGGGAGAGGCTTGAACACTCGTCTTGCGAAAATGTCGCTGAAGATCTCAGGTTTCCAGTACATCCATTTATTGTCATCGACATATGCTGACGAGATCATGTCCTGGAAAGATGTGTCGCCGGTTTTCTCATTGACCCATTGAATACCCTTTGGAGAGAATATGGAAAATCCAGATGAGGATCCTGTACAAATGTTAACAAAATAAGCCTAAACAGTTGCACAAGAAAGCATACCAATATACCGAGTCTCCCCGCAGTTGTTTGTCACCAAAGAACACATCATATCCGACAGTGCCTCGACTTCGGTCTCCGACTTTTGTGACTCTGGTGATGTAGCGGCCGTCTGAGGGCTGGAGGTGGATTCCATACGAGGTGTGGTCTGGTGGGAGCTTGGGGCCTGTTGAGCTGCGGCTGCTTGAGCCATGAACATGTTGGAGCTTTTCGCCGCGTTCAACGCATTCGTTCGATCCGCTAATCGTTTCTCCAATGTTCCGAGATCTGTCTTGCCGCCATCGTCTTCTGTCAGAAGACCCGACAAACGCAACAGCGACTCCATCCGGCCCAGTCGATTCTCAAGTCCTTCGATGTATTTCGCTCTATACAAGAAATACCCGAGTTAGATATGGAGCCATATATGCAGTGAAGGATACAAGTATACGTACCCTTTAGGAGGATTCCGCTTCTTCTCCACCTGTGTGAAGATGCATTCCGTTTTGTAGTTGATGCAGTGCGAGCATTTTGGCATCTTTCCATCGCATTTGATCTTCTTCTTCCGACACATATCGCACGCCTGTCACTCATTAGATATGCTCTCAATATCTGCAATGGGCAATGATCCTCACCCTCGCGATCCTCCGTCTCTTCGCATCGTTGGTCTCATCCCCGCGCCCAATGACGGATCATCGTACATAGATCCCGCCTGCATCTGAGAATGATCATAGTTGAAGAGGTGTGGTGTCTGGTTCATCATATTAGGCGGGTCGAAGCCCAGGCTGTCGCCGTCCCCCAGGCCATCCATTGTACTGTTTGAGGGGCAACGGAAACTCCGCGGAGTAGAGGTAATGGCGGTGATAAGTAATGAGCGGTGATAAGTAATGAGCGATACTGCGGGGTGTGCTCTCGGCGCAAAGCTTTTTAGCGCCCCTGAGAAAGGAGACAGTGCGCTATAGATTATAGAAATGAATGACGCATGGAAGGATAGAATTCTTAGTTCTGGAGGGAGCTGACAATGAAATCACTGGACACAACCTTGGGAGTACCCAACGTTTGGAAAGTTTGGGGTTTTAGGTAAGAAATGACTCAACCACACGTGAGAGCTGGAAGGATGGTTTTCTCTGATTCAAAATGTTTCAACTTTGGAAGTCAAATCATCGACGGAGATACGCTATACGGAGTTACGCTATACGAGTTGCTGCCTTGGAATATTTCGTGGCATGACGGAACCCATGAAACCCGACCGCCGAGTAGAGAACTTAAAAACTCGGTCGAATTCGTCCGATCCGGAGAACAGGACATTGACTTCCGTTCAATCTCTTCTCTTCTAATCCACTCTCTTTGCGCCGATCAAACCCATTTTTCTATTGTAGCATAATTATTCTTGCGAAAGGGGTGTGTAGCATTCGACGTGGGGTAGGACGGACTCCGTGTCCGGGTCTTGTAACCTTGAAAGCCTTAGGTCTACTTAACTATCCAGGGGTTAACCTTGTTATATTCGGCCATGACGCAGAGGCGCAGAGATCGACAATTTGGCAGAGGTATGACCTGATATAATGCCGGGTATTACCGGTTCTGGGGTGCTGGATATGTCCGATGGGTAGTATAAAAGTACATTCAACGAAGAGCGGCGATCTCGTAGGGATATGTGAAAACAGTACATATGATACAACAAGGTTCGTAAAGAGCAGTCCTGTTCCTCCGATCTTGTAAAATGCCAAACCAACGCCACGCTATGTGCCCAAAATATAATGACCAGTTTGTCAATGTCGAGACCAAAATCGCTTTTCCATCATTGCCAAAAGGTCGATGCCGGAGAAGAGAGAAGTCGAAGCCGCATCGGCAAAGTCTTAAACATGTTTATCGAGGAATTCCTTCGCCTCATTGACTTTGGTAGCCAAGTATGGGCTGCCGCCGCGATCGGGGTGGTTAAGCAACATGAGCTGGCGGTGGTTCTTGCGGATCTTGTCCTTGGTCAAGGTTCGTTCACTGAGAGATACTGTCAGTTCTGGTATATCAAAGGTTTGCCGCTAGCACATACGAGAGTTGTAGAATCAGGGAGGCTTCCCGACGGTTCATGCGCGGTTCGAATCCTCTGTATTACGACGTCAGTAAATATCCCATATGAGAGCAAAATAATGAGATGTTCCACAGACCCTTTATAGAATGCCTTTCCAGCAGCGTTTAAGCCTCCCTTGGAGCGGCGGTAGGCGACCAGACCGGCGCGGCCCTGTAGACAATGAGTTAGTCCCGTGCTGCTGAACAACGACCATTTTCACTCACCAAAAAGGCGGTTGTGGCAATGCCAAGTCCGATAGCAAGGGCAGAAGCCATTTCGTAGATGGAGATATAGAAGTCGCGAAATGAGATCAAGTCAGTTGAACCGGGGAGTGGGCGAGAAGGCGCCGGGATAGAAAAGTCAGCGCGGGTGTTCTCAAAAGGGCTTAGCGTATTCTGCTCCACCATTCAGGCCCGAAGCTACAGAAAAAGTTTCTTGCGACTCAACGAAGACATAACCAACACCAACTCCACAACCATGCGGTAAGTTTTGCCGTTAATTTTTGTCTGTACCCGTTCTACGGAATGCTAATCTTCATTTAATCTGCAGTGTTGAAACTTGTCACTTCTGTTCCCGCCCGGCCTACCCGAGTAAGGGCATCACATTCGTCCGCAACGATGCCCGACAATTCCGCTTCTGTCGGTCCAAGTGCCACAAGAACTTCAAGATGAAGCGTCAGCCCCGCAAGCTTAAGTGGACCAAGACTCACCGTGCCTCCGCCGGAAAGGAGATGATCGTGGATTCGTCGCTTGTCCTGTCCCAGTTCGCCAAGAAGAGAAACGTCCCCGTCAAGTACGACCGCAACCTTATGGCTGCTACCCTCAATGCCATGGAGAGAGTGGAGGAGATCAGATCCCGCCGCGAGCGTGTCTTCACGAAACGCCGCCTGGCCGGCAAACTCGCCCGCGAGCGCCAGCGCGAGGCGGACCGCAAGGTCGTCAACGAGGGCGAGCACCTCATTCGGAAGGAACTCCGGGAGCGCGAGGAGGGTCTTCCCATGGTGGCCGAGCAGAGCAAGGTTGCCAACAGAGTTCACGGCGAGGAGAGAGTCCGCCAGAAGCAGAAGAGCAAGCTTTTGGTGGATGGTGGAGTGGAGGAGCAGATGGATATCGACTAGATTCGATCCTGGGCATTTATTTTTTCTTTTGTTTTATGCTTTCTCAGATACGACACGGTTCCTGCAACATGCAGATTTTCGGAGTTGGGCATGCTTTGGTGTTTTAAAAGCAATCAATGTTTTTCATCATATCTCATATCCAGTGGGCTGTTAGCCTCTTGCTGCTTAGGAGGCTAATAAAAATATGTTTACAATGACCCAAAAATGTTACATAGGTTGCTATTTTGCTAGTCAGTACAGTGACCAGGCGCATACATTAATGATCTATATTTATAGTTGACGCTCTACTATAGAACACCATATTCTGCTCCTACTTTCCTTAACACATTTAATAAGAATCAGACCGCGGCCACCCTACTATATCACAGTTTGAAGTCTTGAGTGGTCTATAAATTAGACCAACTTGCTTTATCAAGCTCTCCTTCTCTTTCTTCTCTCCTTATCAGCTTCACTTCCTTTTCTTTCCCCGCTGATAAAATCAGGCCCCTCAGTCTTTTTGAACTGATTCTTAATCTATATCACTACTACGTTTGTGTCTACATAGACACCACCTCCTTATTTGTCCACCAAAGATTCGGCCAAATCTCACATATATGCACGGTTGCACCATCCTACCACTTTACCATACTCAGCCCTAGCTAGTTTGGCCTAGTCCACGAGGTACGCTCACTTCACTCTTTCTCCTACTTTCAACTCTAACACCTATTAGTACTCTACGCGCACCTCACTTTTCTCTTACTTTCAACTCTGATGCCTGTTAGTATCCATTTTGTGTTCCTTTGTTACATAACATGGCTAACCTGCTTTAGGCTCACACTGCTATAGTCTCCCGATATGGCACCACCAAAGTTCCGCCACTACCAGGTCCAGTGGATATCGAAACATCAATTTCACTCCTCAAACCAATTTGAAAGGCATAGGCAGCCGCCTTGCTGGATGTCTCCATTGTGCAACAACAACAACATAGTTGCACTCCCTATAATCGAGAAAGCACAAGGACCCAGAACGCCATCATTGCTTCCCGCAAAGAGCGCAAGGCATCCTTTGCTGTGCCAGAGTCACTTACTGGCCGAAAGACCGTAATCGACTCCTATGTCTCTTTAGGCCATCGAAAACTTGCCATACAAAGCCACCAACAACTCCAATGCTAACTTCGACATTCGCCAGGCATGGTGGAATCGACATTTCCTCCTCCGAGAATACCGGACTGGAGCTCACTGGAAGCCTGAAAGACCACAACGCCGGCAATTCGCGGCGATGAGACCCATCGAGTGGGTTATGTCGTATCGTTGAAGCCACTCTTGGTCAAGATGACCACCAAAGCCCACGAAGTGGCACATAGGCAGCTCGACAAGCTTATTATGAAGAAGCTTTCTCAAAAGAACGATCTTGCCCTTGAAATTCGCCCATGGGGAGCAGCCCAGATAGAGTCTGGGCCCGACCAAGAAGAGACAAGTGAAGAACAGAAGTTGGCTCTTTTTCATCTTGCCAGAGGGTAAGATTTGGGAAGCTTCTGACCTTGATAATGTGAACCACCCTGGGTGGTTCCACTGAACTACGCGCACTATTCGATGAGCAGTCGGAGAGGTTCATAATGACGCGCAATACTCCATGCCCCAGTCATACCCCCATACAAACAAAGAACGCCCTCTAATCTAGAGACACTATGACCGAAGCTGGGATTCAGATTCGTCGAGGGCTTCCACCATGCCGCCGGCAACAGTTTTCGGCCGAGTTCCTGAGACATGGGAAGAATGGCAAGACGCAGTCCATCTTTCCGGCAACACACGACATCCTAATCAGCAAGATCATTGGGGTTCCGTAAGAAAGGAGGAGTACCTCCTTTTGCGAGTCTTATGGTCCGTTTATCTTGAAATGGACGTCGGCTTGAAAAACCACTTCACAAGCCGGAGGTAGAGATCATATGGCCCGCCATTTGATAGTGTTGAGGCCAAAAAGCGAGACAATTTAGCCGGAGCTGGACAGTTATTGGCTCATATAGCCATGGTTCAAGCGAACCAGGGAGTACGAGTTGGCCAGCCCTTCGTTATTCTTGCTAGGAACACAGTCGCCCTCACCGGTGAAAACACGCGCACCTCGCCGCAGCTTGGCTGGATAAAACCGACGCCAACGTCAAGGCGGCCGACAGCGCTTTCACCATCGGGCTGGCCCGTGGCCAGTCAAATTGGTCCGTTTGGAGATGTCTAAATCGCAGCTGGGACTTTCAGTTTTTATTTCCATGATATTGGAGCTGGTCTCCACTTTCATCAATGAACGTTCCTCTAACTCAACGACTAATAACATTATAGTATGTTGTATCTTCTAAATTTTTTATAGTTATAATAGCTACCAGAGGACAGTGTAGTCGGCGCTTCCGGATTAACACACGCCAACAAATATCCCGTCTAGGCAAGCCCTGTTATAACCTTCTCGTCATGTGGACATCACCAGTGGGCAGGGACATAACCTCAGTACCCCAATAACCCCCGCAGCCGTCTGCTATCGACCGCAAAATAGCGTCCAGGGCCCAGTCTTCTAGTGATGATAATGGCTCACTTGGCTATTGGAGTGGATCTCCATAAAACGCCAGTACCGATCGAATAGCCAAACTGTTAGGCTACGGAAGCAGAATTGGGGTCGTCAGGTATACACGGATGAGTAGAGCGCGCAATGCACCGTTTGGGGGGTGAAAGATGGGTGACCCAGAGATAGATTGAGAGATAGCTGGGAGTCAGACGACCCGCCAGCTAAATAGGAGATACGCATGAATGATAAAAAAGAAAAGACCTTGAAGAAATTGAGCGGTGTTCTTGTGCCGCGCTTGATATGCTCAGTAGCAAACTAAATACAGTACAGGAATGGATGGCGATGCTGAGGGGGTCGAACGGAAAAAGCGAGAGGCTAGAGGAGAAAGAGGAAAATGGTAGAGGAAGAGGTAAAAAGAACAAAGCGCCCCTCTCGCAAGCGAAAACTCCCCTATTCGGTCATCCTTCCATAAAGATCAAACCAGATCCTATCGTAGACTGCGCCAAACACCACCTCCAACAGGAGGAGAAATGAAATTCAGAAGAAAACAAAGCGAATGCAATGGTGGAGGTTGATGACGGAGAATCATAGAAGACGGAGGTGAAGACGCAGGTGGGTATGAAGTGACAAAAGTAGATGAGACTCATATAGACAGGGTATAGTCGCACCGAAATCATCTGCATGGAAATAAAATGCTAAACTCATGTACTGTTGGATCGTAGCAATGCCTGGAAATAATTAGCCAAGCTGTTTTGAGAGTTCGGTTCTGAACATACAGCTAACGTACCCGCTCGTCGATCACCTCTTCTTTCTCTTCCGACGGACTGACCACACTCCCCGGCTGATGGGACCTGAGCTTGTGATAGACCGGGAATCTACAAGCGGGCGAGGGGACGGCAAGGGCTGCTGCTTTGACCGTTGTTGTTGTTGCTGCTGTTGTGGTGGCTGCGGCTGTTGGTTCTCATTCATGGAGTAATTGGGGTGCATTTCCCCGCTGCTCGAAATCCTAGACTCCTTGCTCTTCTCCAATAGTGATCCGCCAAGGGTAGCACATTTGAGGATAGTTTGCATCATCTGGTTTTGTTTGAGCGGCTTGGACAAGTACTCGTCCATCTGGGCCTGGATACACTTCTCCCGATCACCCAACATAGCGTGCGCAGTGAGCGCGATAATTGGGGTTCGTTGGAGCCCACTCTCGCGTTCATATTCACGAATCTTGCCGGTGGCTTCAAAGCCACCCATGACTGGCATTTGAACATCCATCAAAATAACATCGTAACGACGTTTCTTGACAGCCTCGACAGCTTCCAATCCATTACCAACAACAAACACATTGTGGTTATGCTTCTGAAGAATCTTCATTGCAAGCTGCTGGTTCACGTCATTATCCTCTGCGAGAAGAATATCGAATGAACGTGAGTTGTCGGTGGTGATCGGCGTCGACCGGCCTTCCAAGGCTGGTAGCATACCGTTGCCAAGGTCGATCGGCTGACATGGTGTAGTCATATATGAGCTGATACCAAGGTCCAAAGCCGACTTCAAGCTCACGCACACCAAAGGGCAGACCAAAACAATCGGAATGTACTTGAACTCGTCAAACGTCCGCAAGACCCGGGCCGTGTCTACCGAGTCAACAATAATGACATCGTAGGCATGACCTGATTCCTTGCCAGAAGGATCTTGGATCTCGGGCGGGGGAACATGTTCTTCATTCCGTACAACCAAAGGCTCCAGGTCAATCTTCTTCAGCATCTTCATGACGTTGGTAGCTTGAACGCCGTTCTGACCCTTGTCGATGAACAACACCCGGTGGTTCTTGTACGGCAAGAGCTGATTGGCGATGACGCTCAAAGACTGGTCCGCGAGTTTCACCACACAGGTGAAGTGGAAAGTACTTCCATGTCCATACTCGGAAGTGACCCAAACGTCACCGCCCATCAAATTTACAAGGCGCTTGGAAATCGACAATCCCAAGCCAGTGCCACCAAATCTGCGGGTGGTTGAGCCATCAGCTTGCTGGAAGGTGTCGAAAATAAGATCAAGCTTATCCTCTTCGATTCCAATGCCAGTGTCAGACACCGAGAATTCAAAGGCGTATTCGTTGGTCGTGCATTGTTCTCTGTCCGACTTTCGGATAGTGAGCTTAACCTCACCATGCTCGGTGAACTTGATAGCGTTTCCAACAAGGTTAAGAATGATCTGGCGTAGACGGAATGGATCACCAATGACATAATCAGGAACGGTGTTGTCGACTTGGTAGGTCAAACTCAAGAACTTCTCGTTGGCCTTGACAGCCAATGTCTTGAGAGCATTGAAGACAGTACCTCTGACAGTGAATGGAATGCTCTCAATAACCATCCGGTTGGCTTCGATTTTGGAAATATCCAGAATGTCATCAATAATAGTCAACAAACTGTTTGCCAAGTTGTGAACGACGTTCAACATTTCTCGGGTGTACGGCTTGAGATCATCCGTATCCAACGTCAATTGGGTCATTCCGATGATACCGTTCATCGGTGTTCTGATCTCGTGCGACATGTTGGCCAAGAACTCTGATTTGGTGCGATTGGCAAGTTCGGCAGCCTCCCTAGCGGCAGTGTTTCGCTGAATACTATCCCGCAAGTTGGAAACCATCTTGTTGATCTTTCGCTTCAGCTCGTCCATTTCACCAGACGCGTTGACTGTGATCAACTTGGTAAAGTCACCGTCGGTGGCGGCATCGGTGATTTCACCAAACGCGCGGACTTGCGATGTTAAGTTCTCGGCCATGGTGTTCACGTCCTCGGTAATTTCCTTCCAGGTACCAGCAATACCCTCCACGTTGGCTTGTCCACCCATCTTGCCGTCAACACCGACATCTCGGGCGACCTTCTTCAGCTCAGTGGCGAATTTGGCCAGTCGACCCACCATGTGGTTGATGGTGACCTTGAGCGTGAGAATCTCTCCCTGAGCATGCACTTCGATCTTTTTGCTCAAGTCTCCCTTCGCAATAGCTTGCGTGACATCGGATATACTTCGGACCTGAGACGTCAAATTCTGCGCCATGGTGTTCACATTGTCCGTCAGGTCCTTCCATTTTCCTTCCACATTGTCCACCTTGGCCTGACCGCCAAGGGTACCGTCTGTGCCGACCTCACGAGCCACTTTGCTGACTTCGAAAGCAAAGGTGTTGAGACGATCCACCATGCCGTTAATCGTACTCTTGAGGTCGAGGATTTCTCCTTGTACATTGGCAGTAACCTTTTTGGTTAGGTCACCCTTGGCGACTGCGGTAGTGACGTCCGCAATCTCACGCACCTGCGTGGTCAGGTTGTTGGCCATACGGTTGACGTTTTCTGTCAAATCCTTCCACGTTCCTTCGACATCATTCACAGTAGCTTGGCCTCCTAGGACACCATCAGTACCGACTTCCTTGGCAATCTTCGTGACTTCTTGTGCGAATTGTCGTAGTTGGTCCACCATGGAATTGATGATGTTCTTCAGTTCTGCGATTTCTCCTTTACAGTTGGCCTGGACCTTCTGTGTGAGATCACCCTTGGCAACAGCCTTGGTGACAGTAGCAATATCTCGTACTTGCGTGGTAAGGTTGTTGGCCATAGCGTTGACATTAACCGTGAGTTCGTTCCACATGCCCTGTACACCCTCGATCTGAGCTTGTCCTCCTAATACACCTTCCGTACCGACATCACGCGCGACTCGAGTAACTTCTGTTGCAAACGTTCGGAGTTGGTCCACCATGGTGTTGATGGTTTGTTGCAACTCCAGAATTTCACCTTGGGCCCGACTCTCAATCTTCTGACTAAGATCACCGTGAGCGACAGCGGTAGTCACCGCGGCAATTTCTCGCACTTGATCTGTCAAATTCTTGGCCATAATGTTGACGTTCTCCGTAAGCTCTTTCCAGATACCGTGGACGCCAGTGATCTGGGCTTGTCCACCGAGTATTCCTTCAGTACCGACTTCGCGGGCGACACGAGACACTTCGCTACCGAAGACTTGCAGTTGATCCATCATAGTGTTAATAGTTCGTTTGAAGGTGGCGATTTCGGGGTCCATTTCCAACGGGTGAATTTGGACCTTCATGGATAGATCACCGTTGGCGACTTGGGTGATGATGCCACCGATTTCACGCAACGCTTTCTGGAAGGCCTCGTTGGCCTGCTGGTGCTTGCGCAGCTCCCGCTCGAGTAGAACGACATCCTCATTTTCGACCTTAGTAAGAGCACGGCGGGTGTGCTCTTCCTGTTTTTGCAGTTCGTCGCGGACCTGGGCAATAATATCCTTTTGGCTGCTTATCTCCTCGGCCTGCTTTTGTACGTGGTTGCGGAGGAAGCTGATATCCTCCTCTCGCACGACACGGGTGCCGTTATCATCTTCTTCTTCGGATTCGTCGTCAATTTCTCCCAGGGGTGGTTCGTCCGCGGGGACCGGGATCGCTTTTTGCTGCTGTGACAGAGAGTCAGAATCTTGACCGGACGACAAGCGAGAGAGCCCAAATGTCCACAAGAAATTCCTCTCGCTGGTCTCTCCAGCAGACGGTGAGGTCTGATGGGGGGCCGCCTGCTGTTGGAAATTGTGGTGACTGACAGCTTGGAATTCCAGATGGTGCACGCGGCGCACCAGGGCCTCAAGCTCGGCTTCGAAGGCTGCCTTGGCGGTACTGTTTTCTCCGGGAAGTTTGGCCGATTTGGTACCGTTGGATAACTGGAAATCAAACGGGGGCGAAGAGGAACCGGGGATAGATTCGTCTCTTGCAAGATTCTGCAGCACGGCAGTCGCGGCCACGAGTGTCTCGTCCGCGGTAGCCATTGTGGCCTAAATAAATTAGCTCATAGCACACTAATATGAAAGGCATATTATAGTACCAACACCCCCAGAGAATTATGGGATGGGGTAGTCGGAGAGATAGAGCTTCAGGAACACACTCACTGGAAAGGTCTGGATCCTGACAGGATGACAGAAATATAGTCTAATTAAGGCGACATGAGGGGGAGACAGTCCACAGAGAAGACAAGGAATAGAAAGAAACCCGAGTCAACCGGGTGATAAATATGAAAGGGAATATGGAAAGTCGGGAAGGGGGAAAATAGGTGGATAAGCCCTGTTCTGGAGAACGCGCCCGGTTATGTAAGCCACCACTTTGGATGGCTCCGGGGAAAAAGAGAAAAAGGAAACTTCGAAACAACCAAGAAATAAAAAAAAGGTTATAAAATGAAAATATATAATATAAAAAGGAGGTTCGAGGATGAAAAAGGACGGGAATTTGGATGGATTTGGATGGGGGGGAGAAGGGGGGAAGAGATTTTGAAAGGGGCGGTGATATGTCGCCTCTTGGGGGGGGTTTTTTTGGGGTATTTTATTTTTTCTCTTTTCTACTCCATATATGTCTCTGATCTTTAGATAGAATCTATATAAATCTCCAAGTAGGAAAAATAAGAGAAAAGAAACGGTGTAAAACTGGGTAAAATTGGGTAAAATTTGGTATCTTTTCTGCACATTTCCAGCCCTGGGGAACTGGATAAGGTGCACGGGCTTTGTTTATAGTTTGGGAATATATGAGGTCCGTATCCTATGTCCGTATACTACCTATATATCCCTACTATATACATATGTAATATGTACCTACATGTATGTACACGTAGGTATACTCTACCAAGTATCAAGGTACTCCATATATCATATGGAGTACGGAATACGGAGTACACAACTCCTGTTTCATGTGGAAGTGATCGACTCTCGGGACTAGTGTCGATCACAAAGTGGCTCCAGTTCGCGGTTTTGCTTCTCAATAGTCCAAATTCATATTTGAATATGGTATAGTCTACTCCGTACCTTCTTTTTTATTATCCCCAGAGGAAAAGATAGGCGAGACAGAGTTTGCAGGAACAATTGGTTAGGATCCAGTCGGATCCAGTCCAAGTTGGGCTGAGCCTATAAGAAAGCAACGAGAATGTCTCTCCGTTAGGGTACTGCCACAGATCGCAATTTGCGCCTTTTTGGTGGCTGAGCCATCGGGCTTAGCGTCTCCCATTGTTGAGCCCTGGAGGTATTCGTGACCTTTATTGGTCACACGGGGGGGACCTCGTGCGGGAGTGAAGATGTTCGACATTCCGGTAGTTACCTGGGTCATTTATGTTTCAAAATATATGAAACGATGAAAATGTGTCTGCGATGGGTACAATTTTATATATATACATCAGTACGCATAAAATGAAATCCATGGGCGAAAAGAAATCTACAATATACAAATATTGTACCTGGGCAGGAAGTAAACTTTGAATGCTCCAGGGCTCACATGTACGTGTGTACATAAGGCTACCTCGGGACCCTCAGAATCTTTGGGCGGTAAATATTTGATGTGTACCTAGGTACGGAGTACCTTAGTAGGTAAACTTAGGGCAACAAGTCAACTGGTCAACGGCCAACAGTCCGATGGCGGGGTGAAACGGCAGAAGTGGTCGGTGTGCCCTGCCGTATTATCTTTGGAATCCCGCAGAGTCATAATTCTGTGAAATATTGTCTGATCAAAAGAACGCCCTTCAAAACACCCGTCAAAAATTGACTCTGCAGGAGAAGGCTGCAGCCATGGCGTCCGACTTGACAAACCAGATTTTGGACGCCCTGTCCGCGTCCGATGCGCCCATCCTCTCCAGCGAAGCCTTCCCCTCCCCCCCTCATTGAACGTTAAGAGTGCGATCGACCGCCTTGAGTCGCGCCAGATGGTCCAGTATGAGACCTTGGAGAAGGAAATCGTTACTCTCACTGCCGAGGGCCAGGAGATTGCCGCCAATGGCAGTCACGAGGCCAAGGTCTTCGCCGTGGTGCTTGCCGCTATGGACGGATTGAAGATCTCCGACTTGCCAGGAATTGTGGGCAAGGAGAACGCTAAAGTTGGCCAAGGAAACGCCTTCAAGCGTGGCTGGATTAAGAAGGACAAGGATTTGCTGCGGGCATCCGCAGACTCAATCGTCGATGAGACGCAACAACAACTGCTTGCAGTTCAAAAAACAAAGACTCTGGACGATAAGAAGGTTGTGGCTGACCTCAAGCGGAGAAAGTTGATCGGTCTTGCAAAGGAGCTTGCTTTCAAGATCACCAAGGGTCCCAAGTACGCCCGAGAATTCGTCAAGGAGCAGACCGACCTCACCCCGGAGATGATCGCCAATGGCTCGTGGAAGACGGCGCATCTCAAGCCTTACAACTTCAATGCTAAGGGTGCCCCGACTCCATCTGGCACTCTACACCCGCTGAACAAGGTGCGCCAAGAGTTCCGCAACATCTTCTTCGACATGGGCTTCGAGGAGATGCCGACCAACCGCTTCGTCGAGACCGGCTTCTGGAACTTCGACGCCCTGTTCGTGCCCCAGCAACACCCTGCCCGTGATCTCCAGGATACCTTCTACATCTCCGATCCCGCCGTGGCGGATCCTCCTCGCGAAGATCCCCCCCAACGAACCCAACCCCCCCAGCCCAATTAAAGGCCGACAATCCGCTCGACTACAAGAAGTACTGGGACAACGTCCGCGAGGTCCACGAGCACGGGAAGTTCGGCTCCATTGGCTACCGCTACCCCTGGAGCGCGGATGAGTCGCTCCGCCTGGTGCTCCGCACCCACACCACCTCCATCTCGACCTACATGCTGCACAAGCTGGCCGCCAACCCCCGGCCGGCCCGCTTCTTCAGTATTGACCGTGTCTTCCGAAATGAGTCCGTCGACGCTACCCACCTGGCAGAGTTCCACCAGGTCGAGGGTGTCATTGCTGACTTCGGTCTCACTCTTGGTGGTCTGATTGGATTCATGGAAGTCTTCTTCGCCAAGATGGGCATCCACAAGCTGCGCTTCAAGCCCGCCTACAACCCCTACACCGAGCCCAGTATGGAGATCTTCGGCTACCACGATGGTCTAGGCAAGTGGGTTGAGATCGGTAACAGTGGCATGTTCCGCCCAGAGATGCTGGAGTCTATGGGTCTGCCTAAGGACTTGAGAGTCTACGGATGGGGATTGAGTCTGGAGAGACCTACTATGATCAAGTATGTTTCATCACCTACGCCTACCATTCATTTCCACTTACTAATATCTATTAGGTACGGCGTCAGCAACATCCGTGAGCTGCTCGGTCACAAGGTCGACCTGCACTTCATTGAGACCAACCCGGCCGTTCGTCTCGAGAAGGATTAAACAGGGGAATACTCATAGAAAAAGAAAAGAACGTGCTTTTAGTTGTGTCTTGCTTGTAATCACGAGTTTATGTGGAAGGAAACGTATTACATATCAACGATGGATAGGATGTGAATAGAATACTTGATAAAAAGGGCTTCAGCATAGCCAGTCAATGTAGATACAATTGAAAAAGGACTAGTTATCTATCAAACGTATATCTACAATAGATGTCCTGCCCGTATCTGTGCCCCAGTGCATGGGTCTCTGCAACAGTGGCTCTTCAGCAGGCAGAGCTCGGAAGCATGATCTTCGGCAATGAAAAGAATTTCTACCTCCTCGCCCATGGAGATGGAGACACCGAAGACCAAGACCAGCGAACCAGTCTGGTTTTCGAGTCTACAAGAATGAGAAGGTCTTGATATGCCAAGAAGAAATAAAACAAAAGAAAGTAGACAGAGAGCCAGACAGAAACTAAGGATATATGAAAGGGATATCGATTCGATTTTTGGCATTGCTTTTTTTTGGCTTATGCTTCATGAGGTTGGGTGGGAGTCTATCACAGAAAGAGAACAGGCGGGGGATTCGTAGAGAAAAAAAAAACCTGACCCATTAAGTCGTCGATATTCCATTCATTTCGAGAGATAGGTAGGAAAACAGGAGTTTCTCAGAGGAGAAAAAGAAAAAATGAACTAAGGAACACAACTATATCCCTTACGTTCTTTTTTTGGTCTTGAGACCAACTCCCCGAACACGGACCATCAAGCCACGGTTCCTCTGCAGCGAATTAGCCTTATTGAACATGGAACATGCAGAATGTCTATAGATGGCAATAACGTACCATCAAATCAACCCGTCAACACCACCCGGTAAAAAGAAACCACATTGCTGTGGATGATTTAGCGCTGGCTGGAGGCGGTCCAGACGTTCTTGAGGTAGCCATCGCGCTGGGCCAGGCGGTTGAAGGAGTCATCGCTCTCGCCGCGGGCACGGATGAAGCCGCAAAGAGCGTAGGTCTGGTTCTCGCCGGTGTAGCGGCCGTTCTCGTCAACCTTGCCGACGGAGAGCTGGACGGAGGCGTGGTCGTTGGCCTTGATGATGCGGTTGGTGGCGCTGCACTTGCGGGGCACGTAGCTGAGAGGCAGGTCATGTTAGTTGTCTTGGTTCTTTTTGAGGGTTTGCGAGCAAATATGTTCCCCTCTAATACCCTGCTGTGTCCAGGTTTTTCTGGTGGCTCGCCAACAATCGCAATCACGCAGCGGCGTTGAACCTTTTCAATCCTCGCAATCTCCGATCACACCGGGTCCATCTCTTTGGCTTGGGATCAAGGCGGGATTGCTGATTGTATGCGGCCACACAGACACTGGGCACAGGGTATATTGGGACTGGAGGAACGGGTGTAAAAATCCATGGCACGTACAGATCGACGATCTCTCCCTTGTCGTTCTCCATTTTGGCGGGTTTGGTGTTGAGGTTTTGACGGGCGACGGTGAGGTTGGAGGTGGAGGGTTTTTCTGCCGCACATTAAATTGAAGACCTCAAAATGATTTGTGTGGGTCATGTGACCCTTTGTCGAGGGCTGGCGTGGCCGAAGTGGGGTGGCGTGGTTTTAGCGGAAATCGTACTAAAGGCCGTGGCAATTTCAACTCTAATTTCTCTCATGGATTGCTGTAGTCGACTGTAGGGTTGATTGTACTATGGGTAAATGCATGTATTTTACAGATTACTCTTCTCCCTCTCTTCCTGCAATACATCCTTTTTCCATCTCACTGCCACCTCTCGTGCACTTCCTTTCTTAAACCGCACCAGAACCACTCTCTCAGACTCTCCTCGCTTGGAAGACCCTTTCAGCTCAGGTCCGGGGTCACTCAGACCCAACACAGATCGCCCATCGCCGGTCATAAGAATCATTTTCGGAGATATGCATTTCTCTGTCCATGGGGGAGAGCCCGAATGGACGAACTCGACAAGCGCTTGACGACGCTTCTCCATTTCTTCCACAGAAGCATTTGCACGAGGCTCCCTGTCCAGGAACCCCGACACCAAGTGCAAGAGGAGGAACTGCGGTGGGAATAGAATGATTTCAGCGTTTTGAGCACGACTAACCCACGCTGAGGCTGGAAGAAACTGTGCCTCCGTAACCTCGATTCCACCATCGCTCGTTGGGAGCTGATGCTCCTCATGTTCACCCTCTGCTGGGAGTTGGTCGAGGAGTTTCTTATCCACGTTGACAGGCAAAGGCAAGAAATACAGATACATCTGAGTAGTGTAGCGCTTGGGGACATTGGTTGGCGTAACCCAGCGAGTGAAGGGAATTAATTGGCCTATAGAGTCAGCGTGTTGTTTTCAGATCTGAATTACACGAACTAGGTACTTACCTATGTCGGGCTCGGCATCAGCACTTTGTTGCTTCAGCCACTCATCAAAAGTGGTCTTGTTCTGATGAATGAGTCGTCTGCCTGCATCTCGGGTAGGTTCATCGACGGCAAGCATCTTTCCAGAGTTCCGGTCTTTAGCTAGAAGAATTCCACTCTCTTCAAATAGTTCCCTGATCGCTGCACGTCGGTAGCTAGGGGAGTCTTCATGCCGTGCTAGGTCTCCGGGTGGTGGACATTCCCCATCTTGGCTGGATAGGTTGCCACCTGGGAAGACATGTGCAGATGCAAAAGAGGTAGAGGTCTTCACGCGATGAAGAAGAAGGATCTCGTTCTTTGGAGATATAAGAAGCACACTATTCAACAGTTAGTTATTTAATTCTCGTTTTCTTGTGGAATGTCTCCATTTGGATGCCATCCCTCTCTCGATATCTCCAGTCATGCGGTCCCTTCTGCTAGCTTACCTGGAACTGGGTCGGGGAACCGCAGGCTCATTACCCCGTTTTGAACTAGACATATTCTGGGAATTTGGAGGAACTGTAGTCGTGTATTGTCTCAAAGCACATTTACCGCTTGGGCCTTGAAAGGACTGAACCGAGGTAATATGAGATGCGCGAGATGTCCAAAAAATAAGGCCAATAGCAAATCGCTGTGGTAAGTGACGAGAAATAGACCCTTGATAGATAAAGGACATCGTAATACCTCGAAGCCGAGGGGCGGCTTCTCAATATAGTAAAAGGCAAAGACCCGAGAGCCTAGGCAGTTCCTCGGTACCCCGCGTGCAGCTTAACCTCATCGAGCTTAGCCGAATGCAGCGCCATGTGGTCAGGCAACCTTCAGGGCTTCTACAACACCTCTACATGACGTTTACTGTTGGAATACATAGGTTGAGAGATAAATAAAACGTTTGCTCATTACCAGAAATGGCATAAATCTTCAAATCGTAAACTCCTATCCTGTACCCTTATTTTTAAGTTTCAAGGCCCCATCATCCATCGGGGCGACCCAATGATGTATTCACAAAAAGTGCAGTCAACTCTTACGAAGCTTGGATCTTACGAGTAAAGCTTCTTGTCGTAGCTGTGGAGACCGTGGACGTTACCCTCGGTCATAGCGCTGGCACTTCTCATCTCGAAACGCACGGTGCCCTTGTTGACACCGTCGTGCAGATCAGTCAGGCTCTTGACACCAATGTCCTGCAGGGAGTGCTGGACACCGGCAACGAGGTAAGGAACAAACTTGGTGACGGATCCGCGGTCAAGGACGGAGCCAGCAACACCCTGGGCAACAAGGACGCGGTCCTTCTCGGAGAAGTAGCGAGCAGTACCAGCGTTGCTGGCCTTGCTGTCCTTTCCGTCACCACCGGCCTTCTTATCCTCCATGGCGGCGATACTGCCCATGCCACGGTAGGCCTTGACGAGCTGGCCCTCGTTGCTGACGAAGTACTCACCGGGAGACTCGGTGGTACCGGCAAGGAGACCGCCCATCATGATAGTGCAAGCACCCATGGCCAGACCCTTGACGATGTGGCCAACGTTCTGGATACCACCATCGGCGATACAGGGAACACCGAAGCGAGCGGCAAAGGATGCAACGCTGCGCACGGAAGCAGCCTGGGGACGACCGACAGCCATAACCTCCTGGGTGATACAGGCACTACCGCTGCCCATGCCAATTCTCAGGCCATCGACACCGGCGGCAATCAAAGCAGCAGCCTGCTCACGAGTGACGACGTTACCACCGATAACGTCAATCTCGGGCATGTTCTTCTTGATGTATTTGATCATCTCGATCTGGTACATAGAGTTACCCTGGCTGGAGTCCAGAATAACAATGTCCAAACCAGCCTCAACAAGAAGCTGGAGGCGCTTCTTGTCCTCCTCGCGAGTACCAATAGCAGCGGCACAGATCAGCTGCTTGGAGTCGGGGAGCTTGGAGGCAAGGGGGTAGTGGAGGTTCTTCATCAGATCAGAGCGGGAAAGCAGAGAGACGATGTTGCCGTTGGCATCGACAATGGGGAGCTTTCCCTTCTTGGACTGACGGAGAACCTGGTTGGCCTCGGTCAGGGTGGTGCCGGCAGGGGCAGTAACAAGATCCGTGGCCATAACGGCAGTCACGGGCTCGTTGAGATCAGTGTGGAACTGGATGTCACGGGAGGTAACCATTCCAACGAGCTTGGACTTAAGGGTCCCGTTCTCTGTTCAAACATTAGCCTTTGCTGTCGAAAGCTCATGTAAGGACAATATCCAAAATAGACAAAATGCTCAGATAAAATCTGGTTCTCTACAGTGCAACTTTCGTCGCTGCAGTGGAACGAAAGTTATAATTAAAAAGAGGATGATCATCATGCAAAGTGGGCAGGGTAGGTGCTGGGAGAAGTAGATGTGGGTATCTTACCAGTGACAGGGAAGCCACCGAAGCCCCACTTGGCCTTCAGCTCCTTGACCTCACCAACGGTGGCCTTGGGAGAGATGACAACGGGGTCGAGAATGAAACCGTTCTCGTATCTCTTAACCTTACGGACCATCTCCGCCTGGTCCTCGGGAGAGCAGTTGTGGTGGATAACACCGAGACCACCGAGCAGAGCCATGTGGATAGCCATGTTGTGCTCGGTGACAGTGTCCATGGGCGAGGACAGAAGAGGGGTCTTCAGGGAGATACGCTTGGTAACAGGGGTATCCAATGAGACATCGGAAGCGGGGAAGCCTATATCGGGTTAGGAAAAAAGCAAGAAATTTTTTCTTGACTGCGGGGTTCGGCTTACCGATGTAACCGGGCAGGATCAGGAAATCATTGTAGGTCAATGCACCGTGCTTGTCAGAGTCAAGCAGGGTATCAGCATCAAGACCATCGGCGGTGGTGTAGGTCTTCACAACCTCTAAGGCCTTGGCGTAGTCGGTGATCTCAGCCTTCATGGCGGCACCAGGTGCGGCGTCGCCGGCGGTGATAGGCATGATTAAAAGAAAGTGAGTTTAAAATAAACAGTGAGACACGACTCGAAAGAAATCTTAATCAACAGAAAGAAACGTTCTGCTGATGGAGAAAGTCGAGCTTTCCCAAGGAAGAGAAAGAAGAAGAAAAAGTTCGAGCGAAAAATTGGTTCCTTTTCTCTTCCGTGCACGGCCAAGCCAAGAGGGGGCTTGTCTACTTCGGGTATAGCGTACTGGCTTTTTTCACTATCCACGCCGTTGATTGGCTTGTAAACGAGATGGCTAAAGGCGGTAAGCTTGTTTATGCTTATCATACATCGATGCAGGTACATCGATACTACCATGTAGATGGTGCTAAGATCTACTTCAATGCAATAATGTAACGTTGTCAGGTGCGATTCTGATATGCACTCCGTTAGTGAAAGATATCTTGCGAATGAACTGGACATGAATATCGATTGCCATACAGCATAACTTTCGAAGTTGGTAGCGAAGGTCCAATGTGAGTTGGCAATAATTGTCAGAGTGCCATTCTCGATTCCTATATAAAGCCATCTCAACCAGAATAGATGTTTTATTTACATGGTTGGCCGTGCAACGGATCAGTAATCTCCCCAGTCACCGGGGCACCGGTTTCAAGTCCCGTGCCTCTCAGTACTGACCAGCGGCTTCGAGTCCCGTACGCCTCTGTGGCAATATGACGACAGGATGATAGTAATAATGCAGCAGAGTCAACCTTTAAAGTCGGCACAGCTTTCTCCAATTCAACTAAGCATCACTTTTCACTTCTACTATCAGTATGGAATCTGCTATGGGCGAACGCGGCACCTTCAAGCCTGCACCGACGGCACAGTCCCAGAACAAGCCGGGGTGAGTAATGCTTGACCCGAGCAAAATACATCTTCTAATATGGTATGCTAGATTGGAGACCATAATGGCAGAGCCTAGTGAGTCGACCAAACTAGAGGGCCTCCACGGCTTTTCTGAATATGTGGGTTCCGGAAAGCTGAAAGGCAAAACTGCTCTAATCACCGGCGGAGAGTATGTGTGCGAGTTCATATGAGTAAACTGTCTGGGCTAATCATTCCACAGCTCTGGGATTGGTAGAGCAGTTGCTATTCTGATGGCCAGAGAGGGTGCGGATGTTACTATCGTTTATCTGCCCGCAGAACAGGTAGACGCTGAGACGACCAAAAAGTCTGTTGAGCAAGAGAAGAGGTCCTGCCTTCTTGTCCCAGGTGATTTGAAAGATCGCAACGTCTGTTGCCGCGCAGTGGATGAACATGTGAAGAAGTCAGTGTGGGGTAGTCCTCCTGGTATGAGCAATGACTTACTGAGAGTACAGGTACGGCACGGTCAATATACTTGTCAACAATGCGTCGAAACAGTACATATGTACGGAATTTGAGAAGACCAATCTGGATGAGACTGAAGACGTATTCAGAACCAATATCATCCAGATGATGGCAATGGCGAAGTTTGCTCTTCCTCATATGTCACGAGGTGATTCGTATGTTCTTCCTTGTCTAATCTATACCATCACATACTCACGCACTGCCTACAGGATCATCAATACTTCTTCTGTTGTGACTTTCCGTGGCTCGGGGACCATGATTGATTATGCTGCAACCAAGGGAGCTATTATTGGTTTTACTAGGTCTTTGGCGAAACACTTGATTCCAAAGGGTATTCGAGTCAATGCAGTAGCGTAAGTATTGTCTACTCATTTCTCTTTGGAAGTACATACTGACGTGTTTCCAATTTCAGTCCAGGTGCGATCTATACACCAATCCAAGTCGACACCCGAGATCCCCAGCAGATGGAAGGATGGGGTCAGAAGGCTAGTCTTGGCCGACCAGGTGAGCCTAGTGAGGTTGCGACAAGCTTCGTCTTCTTGGCTAGTGCGTGCGCCTCTCTATACTGTGAGTCATCAATATCCCACACCCTGAAATCCAGACCAATTTCCATTGTGGCTAATCAATCACTATACACGTGTAGATGGGCAAATCCTACATTGTTACCCGCTTGGTGACTAAATAGTGTTACAGAAGTGATATCTACTAGTGGAGATATCGCCGGAAAATTATGTTGAGCGTGTGCATACCGTTGGTAACAAATTGATGTGCTTGCTATTAGTGTCAAATTGAAATACAGCTGGATATAAGATCAATAGAGGAGCCACGGCTTCCCTGCAGTGAGAGCTTTGTCCCATCCCTCGTCATTCTGCCAGATGGCGACACTTTCAATCTCTTCTCTGCCCAGTTTGAGTCCATTGTAGAGATGCTAGGCCTTAATTCAGCAAATGTTAATTTCAAACTGACATATTCAACTTACTGGGAAAAGTCCTTCGCTGGGTCGAGGATTAGACACCTTGCCGTCTGGGGACTCCCAGCGGATATCTTGGATCACGCGATGATACTCGATCCGCAACACATATACAAGTGGCTCCTCCGCGAAAAATGTTTTCAAAGTGTTCCCCACCTGATGCGCCATCGAAAGGTGGATGAAGCCAGAGGCCTCGTCCAGTTCGCTTACCGTGAGCCGCTCAGGGATTGGCTCGCGGACTGGTGTGGTGGAAGGCACAATCTTGTAGATGTAGCGAGGCTGAGGAAGCAGCGAAGTCATGATGAAAGCGATGGAGGGAGGCAAGTTAATTCACCGAGTCAATGGTGATAATGAGAGGAGAAACAAGGTTAGTCAGGTGGTTTCATTTGTTGGCGGGGTCGGTTCAACCGGGAACTTGCCTTTCGAACACCGCTGGGATTAATTGCGCCATTATTTGTATTATTTGTGTCTACTTCACTACTTCATCAACGTCCAGGGTAAGGGCAATTTGTAATATATTAAGTTTGATCGGTGACTAGTTTATCTGTAATGCTGGGTTGATATTATATCAAAGAAACAATTCGAATAAGAATTGCGGGAATATATCCATGGATCTCTAGAGAGCTTGTAGTATATAGGGTAGTAGAATTCGTCAAAGATCTCCCATCATGTCTTAAAACGCTGTCTCCATCTTTCAGTAAGACTTATCAATTTATACCGAGCTTATTTTGCATCATATTTCATTGTTATAGCCCTGGAAATCCACGGTTGCTTTGCCTCAACAGACCTTGACACAAGATGACAGTATGGAGCATCATAGTATTTATGGGGAACATGGCCCAAAACAGGCAGATCCTTCGTAGGAGGCAGCGAAGGTCCTAGGATATCGACTAGAACCTGTGGACGGGTTATATACTTATGCGGATCAATTGACGGTCTACAACGTACTTTATGACTTGAAAAGATAGGTGTTTTGGTCGCACGGGACTACGAGCCCACTTAAACCTGCCTAATATTGCACAAGCCACTTTTGCCAAGACTGCAGGTATCCTGATAGGTCAGGTAATGGGATTGGAATGAACGTTTAGCATATTGAGGAATTTACCGTGAGGAGACTTTACGATATCGAATAAGTGCAAATGAACAGTGAGCACGGAGTTAGCAGATGTTCAGTGTGTGACTTGTCGAGTAACACAATCTCTTAGTTCTTCGTCCACGTGATTCGAGATCGACAAGCCACAATCACCTGATTGCGCCTTACCCGATCTGGAGATTTGTTGTGCCCCCTGCGCCCACTTTGGGGAATCTTGGTCGCACTTGCCCCCCACCGTCAACAATTCCATCATCGGGATTCACGAGCCTAGAACTTATCCACGCAAGTCACGCATTTATTTCCTAGGTTTTCTTTTCTAAGCCATGGGAGGTTGCCCTTGAATGCTATTCAATTCAGAACGTCTCCCCGGAAAAGGTCTTGGAGACCTTGTTTAACCCGCGCATTCCGCATTTACCACCAGAGCAGGGATGCGGTCAAAGGAGCGCGACATTTTTCAATCAATTGTCACATACCGTCCTGAGATTAAATGATGTCCACGTCGAACCAATTTCCATCCCTCAAGCGGGCCCAGACGGACCTTCCCTCACAGTCCACCAGTCCATTACGACACGGGTCGACAGCGTCTACGAACTCATCTGCGTATTCGGTCGCGTCAAGCTCGTTTGCTCCTAGTCGGACTAGCACTGTCTCTTCTCATGGGTCGATATCAAACAATTTGGGTCACTCCCGAGGGAAGAGTGAGGCAAGCAGCATGAGCTCAGCAACGACTGTTACGGACGCGATGGAACGAGGAAGTTGGTCAAATGCTGGCACAGCGTACGACAATATTCGCCGATCTCTACGGCCACTACAGCAAGTCCCTAATATTCCATCCTCAACCGCGAATACTGGCGGGTACCGACATTCACGAAGCCAAACAATCGATGAATCACGCCCATGGAAGGACTATCGACCCGCCACCCCCGAATCGCGTCATCTCCATCTTAAAGAGAACCTGTCTCCGCGCCACCAAACACAAACCTACGAATCCCAGAGCCCCCCACCGCCTATCTCTCCTCGCCACTGGTCTAATGTGTCCGGAACATCGCGTCCTTCGTCTCCCCAAAAGACAGTGTCCCACAATTCTCATCCTCCGCAGCTTACTGCTGCACTCTCTGCACCCGAGCTTGAAACGTTGCAAAAATCATCCACGGGTCATCTCAGAACTCTATCAAAGTTTGCACAGTCCGGCGAAAACGAATTTGGCGCAGCTGCAGCCTCTGTGGTGGGGTTGCAAGGCCGACGACGCCTTAAGCGAGCGGACTCGGTAGCAGGAAGGAATGGCGCAGTATCTCCCGAAAAGCCGAAGGCTTCCTCATGGGCAGCCGGGAATTGGATGGACCAACAGCGACAATTCATCCAAGCATACGAGTATTTGTGCCATATCGGAGAAGCCAAACAGTGGATTGAAGACGTGATTCAAAAGCAAATCCCGCCAATCGTTCAGTTGGAGGAAGCACTGCGAGACGGTGTCACTTTGGCGGAGGTGGTGCAAGCAATGTATACGGGCAAAACCCTTCGTATTTTCCGACACCCCAAGTTACAATATCGCCATTCAGATAACATCGCCTTGTTTTTCCGATTCCTTGATGAGGTTGAGTTGCCAGAGTTGTTTCGATTTGAACTCATCGACTTGTATGAAAAGAAAAACATCCCCAAGGTCATACATTGCATTCACGCGTTGTCATGGTTGCTCTTCAAAAATGGCATGCTGGACTTCCGCATGGGCAACTTAGTTGGTCAGCTTGAGTTTGAACACCACGAACTTGAGAAAACCCAAAAGGGACTGGACAAGGCCGGTGTGAGCATGCCTAGCTTTGCAGGTATGGCTGCAAACTTTGGCGCGGAGCCTGAACCTGAGCCCGTTGAATCGGAGGAGGATCGTATTGATCGAGAAATGCACGAAAATGAAGCCTCAATCACCGATTTCCAGGCTCAGGTCAGAGGAGCCATGACGCGCCTACGACTTGGCAATATCATGAATGATCTGTGGGATTTTGAACCCCTCCTCATTGATCTACAGTCACGTCTGCGTGGAGAGATGGGCGCGACAAATTAGCGAATATCGGCTAAGCATGCTCCAGTTTGCAGTTGGGCTGCAGGCCATTAGCCGAGGCTTCATTGTACGCCGCAGTCAGCACAGCGACAAGCAATGGCGAAAATCCCAGGAAGCAGATGTTTTGCAATTCCAGAGTCTGATCCGTGGGTCCAGGGCTCGCGCCCAGGCTAATCACCTCCAAACTTGTGCACGACGAGAGGAGTCCGGCATCAAGCAGATCCAGGCCGCGATAAGAGGTGCATTGCAACGCACGAATGTTGGGGACCAATATGAGCAGTCTCGATATGCTGAAGATGATGTAAAATTACTTCAAGCATTCATCCGCGGTACCTTGCAACGGAAGAAGATGGATGCTCATTCTCAAGACCTGAGACAAGCTGGCAGTTCCGTAAAGTCCCTCCAAGCAGCCATCCGTGGTACCTTGCAACGAAGAGAGATGAATGCTCAGTCTCAAGAGGTGAAGCAGGTTGGCAGTTCTGTCAGGTCGCTTCAAGCAGCCATCCGTGGTACGTTACAACGACGACGGATGAATGCTCACTCTCACGAGGTGAAACTGATAGAAACACCTGTCAAGTCGCTGCAGGCGGTCATTCGAGGATCGATTGCCCGCCAAAACTTGTCTCAGATGAAGGTTCTGCTCGACAACGAAGCATCCAAAATTGTCTGTATTCAATCAACTGTTAGGGCTCTGATTGCCAGAGAACGCCAAACTTTGCTTCTCCAGGCACTAGAAGAAACCGAAAATGAGTGTGCTGCACTGCAAGCTATCGCGCGGGCCGCTGCCGTAAGGAAAAACACATCAGGCATTCGCGCCGAGCTTGCGGAACATTTGTTGCCAGTAATCGACCTGCAGGCAATACTCAGGGGACAGGCTTTGAGAGAATCATTGGATGTCCAGAGGACTGCATTGCTCCAGCAAGAACCTTCCATTTTGGAACTACAATCCCGATCCCGTGGCGTCATTCACAGACAATATCTACTTGCAGAGCGACATGAACTGGACCAACAGGAACATGCCATTGTTGATCTGCAGGCCCTTGCCCGTGCTGCTATCTCACGAATAGAGGTGGGCGACATATTGTCTCGCCTTGAGGAGAATGAGGAAGAAATTGTTCAACTCCAATCTTTAGTTCGGGCAATGCTCGCGCGAGTTGAAGTTGGCGAGATCCTGACTGATCTTGAGGCAGAGGAGGACTTCATCACGGACTTCCAAGCACGCATCAGAGGACTCATTATCTGCAACCGCTTTGAGGAAAGACGTCAACATTATAATGAAAACATGGAGAAGGTCATCAAGGCCCAGAGTGTTATCCGCGGCCGCATTCAAGGCCAGGCTTATAAGAGCCTGACAAGTGGAAAGAATCCCCCCCGTGGGAACAGTCAAGGGCTTCGTGCATCTTCTCAACGACAGCGATTTCGACTTTGACGAAGAGATTGAGTTCGAGCGCCTGCGAAAGGTGGTTGTTCAACAAGTGCGGCAGAACGAGCTTGCTGAACAATACATCAGTCAACTTGATATTAAGATTGCCCTCCTTGTCAAGAATAAGATCACTTTGGATGAAGTCGTCAAGCATCAAAAGCACTTCGGTGGTCACATCGGCAACTTGCTATCCAACACCGAGATTTCTTCCAAGGATCCCTACGATCTCAAGGCCCTTAACAAGACCTCAAGGAGAAAGTTGGACCAGTACCAGGTGTTTTTCTTCCTCCTTCAAACCCAATCACAGTACCTGGCTCGCTTGTTCCGGCGATTGCGCGAGATTAACACCTCGGACAAGGAATATGAGCGGATCCGGCACTTGATGATGGGTCTCTTCGGATACTCCCAGAAACGACGCGAGGAATATTATCTCATTAAGCTCCTGGCACGATCCGCCAAGGAGGACATTGAAAGCTTCACATCTCTTCCTGAATATTTGCGCTGCACCTCTTTCTGGAACAAGCTTTTCGCCTCATATGCCAAGTCGTCACGCGACCGGAAGTTTATGCGCGACGTCCTGGGACCTGTCGTAAAAGAGTCTGTTATCGAAAACCCAGACCTTGATTTGGAGAGTGATCCGATTCAAATATACCGTTCCGCGATCAACAACGAAGAGCTCCAAACTGGCCAACGGAGCCGCCGACAACCGGATCTTCCCCGCGAAGAAGCGATCAGAGACCCCGAAACCAGAGAGACATTCATTCAACATTTGCAAGATCTTCGTGACATTGTTGACCAATTATTCTTGGGCCTTGAAGACTTCCTGTACCGTATGCCATTCGGTATCAGATATCTCGCACAGCAGATGTATCAAAATCTACTCGAGAGGTTCCCTGGCGAGGACCCAGGATCCGTTCTTCAGACGGTTGGCCACTGGGTATGGAAAAGTTACTTCCAGCCTGCTGTGCTGGAGCCAGAGAAGTACGGCGTGATCGATCGGGGCCTCACCCAAGAACAAAAGCGGAACCTTGGAGAAATATCCAAGGTTGTCGCGCAGATTGCATCTGGGAGACTCTTTGGGGCAGAGAATGTCTATCTCCAACCGCTCAACAACTACATTGGAGAGTCAATCCAGCGCCTAGGACGTCTCTGGGGTCAGATGATCTCAGTCCAGGATGCAGAGTCTTATTTCGACATTGATGAATTCAACGATCTCTATGCCAAGGCCAAACCTACTCTGTACATTAAGATGTCTGACATCTTCTCGATTCACCAGCTTGTGGCGTCTGAAATTAACTATATGTGCCCCCATCCTGATGACTTCCTCAAGGAACTTGTGCGAGAACTCGGCAATGTCAAGAGTAACGAGAACGAATTGATGGGCGTCAGCTCTACCGAGATCAATCTCACATTGAACCCCAAGTTGGCCCAGGTTGAAGGTAAGAAATGCAAGCAAGCCCCTACCTGTGTTCATTTTGCTAACTCTACCTCCCAGATCCCGAAGCAGACGTGAAGGCGCTCTTCATGGAGACTAAACGCTGCATCCTCTACATTATCCGAGTCCAAACAGGTTCCAACCTAATGGATATCATGCTCAAGACACCGACAGAGGAGGACGAGGAGCGGTGGCACAATTTGGTTCAGGAAGAACTGAGCACCAGCAGCCCTCGCCGAGGCGCCTATTCTGAAGCCAATAGCCTAATTGACATTAGCTCTATGAGCTATTCCGAGCTCAAGGGCATTGCACTTGAAAACATCCTTCGGCTTGAACAGAACGGCAAGATCAATCGTCACAACCATTATCAGGATTTGTTGAACGCCATCGCCATCGATATCCGCACCAAGCACCGTCGGAGAATTCAGCGAGAGCGCGAACTGGAGGGTGCTCGGCTGACCTCTCAGAGGCTCAGCGGCCAAGCCGTCTACCTAGACCAGCAACTCAAGACATACAACGACTACATTGAACAGGCCATGATCACGTTACAGAACAAGAAGGGAAAGAAGCGATTCCTGATGCCGTTCACCAAACAATGGGATCATCAACGAGAGTTGCAAAAATCCGGCAAGATATTCAAATTCGGATCCTACAAATACTCCGCGCGCACTCTGGCGGACCGAGGTGTTCTGGTTGCCTGGAAGGGCTACTCTGAGCGGCAGTGGGATCGGGTCGACTTGACCATCTCCAGTAACGAAGTTGGTGTATTCACCATCGACGGGAGCAGCGGTGTCATGATGATTCCCGGCGCCAACGCACAGGTACCGCTGGATGACTTGCTGCAGGCTCAGTTCAACAACACGCAATTCATGGACTTCTTTGATGGTCAGATGCGAGTCAATGTCAACCTTTTCTTGCATTTGATCATGAAGAAGTTCTATAACGAGTGAAGGTCATGGCTTATGGACTTGATGAGGGATGACTTGGGTGCACATTCTTATTGACATTATTATTTTCCTGTCTCTTTTTTTTTCTATGTTTCTTTTCTTTTCTTATTGTCTCTGTTTAAGATACCATGGGTATTTTGTTGATTTCGATAGCGATAGCGTTCGGTCTATACGGGCGAATAACATGTACACAGTATGATACCACTCAGTATCAATCATAAAACATTTCAATTTTCCAGGAACCTCTCCAAGTAGAAAGTAGAATTAAGCAGAATAATCGTCTATTGTAGCCATTGGAAGTATACAAGACTTGGTCAGGGGCTGCCACGTGACGTGGCGCATTCAATCGGGTTGCCAGCTGGAAACCGGGCATCTTCCCCCCTCCAACTGTCCACGTTAGTCCTGAGGGATTTCTGATTCTTCCTGTGCTCGGCTTCCAATTGCCTGTGCTGCTATTGTCTTTTCTTTCAGATCCTCGTTTCTCCGTACTTCTCCTGACGACGAGCAGTCGCCCCTCACCATGGATTTCTCCAACCTCAAAGATCAGGTCAGCAACATGTCCTTGTATGACCTCAAGGCCGGTGTTCGCAAGGTACAGAACGGTAAGTTTGAATCCCGCTTGGTCCGACTGCGTGATGCACAAGACCGAATCGACATGCGTGTGTCTTACAATTTGCGGAAACTGATTTGGCCGTTCCGTCATAGCTGTCATGAACTATACCGAGATGGAATCCAAGGTTCGTATGCAATCGCCCATCTCTGCGCAAACGAACATGGCATTTCGCAGGATGAAGAGGAGATGATTGTACGATCCGATGCTTACGCAAGTCAGGTCCGGGAAGCTACAAACAATGAACCCTGGGGTGCCTCGACCACGTTGATGCAGGATATCGCCAATGGAACGCATAGCTAGTCAGTCCATGTCGCCTGATCTTATCCGTACCAACGCGCATCCGCTGACTTTCCTTATTACAGCCAATTACTCAACGAGATCATGCCCCTTATCTACAAGCGATTCACCGACAAGGCCGCGGAGGAATGGCGACAGATCTACAAGGTAAGAGAAGCATGGTTATTCACGCGGGTGTGCTATGACTAAACCTACCCAAATTATAGAGTCTCCAGCTCCTCGAATTCCTTGTCAAGAACGGTTCGGAACGAGTCGTCGATGATGCGCGATCCCACATGTCGTTGATTCGGATGCTGCGGCAGTTCCACTATATCGATATGAATGGCAAGGACCAGGGTATCAATGTGCGCAACCGGTCATCCGAGCTGGTGAAATTGCTGGGTGATGTGGATCAGATTCGGGCCGAAAGAAAGAAGGCCAAGAACAACCGCAACAAGTTCAGTGGTTTCGAAGGTGGCATGGGTGTCGGATCGGGCCTGTCCAGCTCGGGCTCGGGCCGTTATGGAGGCTTTGGCAGCGACAGTATGGGATACGGTGGATACAGCGGAGGTGTCTACGGTGACGGTGGCGGTTTCGGCGGGGAATCTGGTGGACAAGCTGGCATTGACTTCCAGGACACCGGACGCCGGCCCAACCGCTTCGAAGAATATGACGAGTATGACGAGGCAGATGCCCCCGCACGCCCGCGTGAGCCTGCCGCCCGGGCGAAGACCCAAGCAAAGAAGCCCGAGCCAGCTCCTGCACCTGTGGAAGACCTCTTCGACTTTGGCGACGACGAGCCTGTTACTACCACAGCATCTACCTCGACCGGCAAGCAACCCGCCGGCAGTGCTCTCAACATACTAGACCCGTCCCCAGCCGATGACGACGACTTTGATGACTTCCAGTCCGCAACCCCGGCTACCCAGCCTCAGTCGTCAAATCAGTTCGCCATTCCCCCTCCAGCTTCCACTGCCAGCACAAGTTCGAACACCCAATTCGTTGCGCCCCAGCCAATCTCCGGCTCGCAAGGTGCCAACCTCAACGGCCTAGTTGGATTCAAATCGGCCACCCCTACTCCCTCTTCCAGCGGGATCCCCACTCCCCTTTCGCAGGCGGCCCCGATTCAACAGCAGAAGCCCTCCGGCTACCAAGCTGCCACACCCAACTACTTCACCTCCGTCAGCGTGCCCCAAAATGCTGGGTCTTCTCACGCTGCCACCCCCTCCATGTCCTCCATGGCTTCCCCCTCAAGCACAGCGAGTAAGCCAGCTTCAGCAGCAGCCAAGAAATCCTCGGGTGACGCTTTCGGCTCATTGTGGTCGACCGCCAGCGCCAGTGCCGGCATCCAGAAGACCAACACCGGCACCAACAAGGGTCCTAACCTTGCCAGCATGGCCAAGGAAAAAGCCAGCGCCGGCATCTGGGGAGCCCCAGCTCCCTCCAGCACCTCATCCACGCCCAGCCAACCCCAGCACAAGCAACAGTCTAGCTCGGCCTTTGATGATCTCCTCGGTTGATCAGCTAGCAAAGCAACTCATCTTCACTCCTCTTCTTCCCCCACTGAGTCCATGCCTCGCTTCTTACATTTGCGATATGTGGCCATGATTTTAGCATTCAGAATTCCACATTTGCCTTGGTCTTTTTTCCTTTTTCTTCTTCCTTCTGCTGTTTTTGTATACTTTATTCCATTCCCATTTCTTTTCTTCTCCGGTTGGTTTCCTATCTAGGTATATCTGCACTATAGCAGAGCAGGTTGCGCGGGTTGCGAAAACTTGGTCTTCCGTCTCACATCGCGTAAAATTTTGTCGTTCACTGCGATCTTTTTCTATACACGTCCCAAGCGCCGAAATCGCCAATCTCGGCATATTTGGTTCTTGTTAGTGGCGCTGAAAAGCAAACTGTCCATATCTCACTGAAGAATGATACATCGAGATGTGCTTTATTCATCGGCAATATGGGGTATTCATAGCTTTGATATCCGATCCATTTTGCCTGAGATTATATTGAGGACATTGTGTTTTAGAATGTATTTTATAATTTTGTTATCTTTTTGATTCAGACCTGGAGCTCACCTCCGTGTCCCCATTCATCCGTGGCTAATGGATGGCCTACTAGCTTTCTGCGAGCCCAAAGCAGGGTTCTTGTGATGGACCCTAGCTACATGTATGTACATTTTACGGCAGGTGAATGACAGGTACCAGGTTTACATGTCTCTAAGCCTTTTGAAGGTTCTTCTCATAGTAAATCCGCTGTAATGCATTGTCATTATTTGACGAGTCCGCGTAGATACATGTATCCATGGATGCTAATCTCGGCTAAATAGAATACATCTTATAATAGGTGGCAATTGAATAGAATTGAATCGGCATTATGCTGATGCTCATTGATGCTGGTATAACGCATGCGCTGAAGGGAACTAAATACAGGTGAGGGAAGATAATGGGGGTAGTAAGAGGCATTGTGGGACGGAAGACAGAACAGATAAGGCGATGGCGAAAGACTTGGGGTATGTAGTTAAAGAAGGATTCTCAATCCTCTTCAATCCCAGGTTATGTTTCCCCGACGTGTTATGATTAGAAGACATGAATTGGAATCGTGGAGGGATGATATACGTTAATAATGAGGAAATTGCGGTGGGTGGTAATCATCGCGAGATGGGTCGAACATATAAGGCTGGAAAGAAAGAGGTGGGTTTATATCAGACGAGACCGTCTGAAGAGAGGGTTGAAAGAAAAAGAAGACCTTTCGAGATGAAGGTCTCGGAGATTAGGTTTGGGTTTGGCGGGTGATCCGATCCACCAAGGAGGTGCTGATTGAGTGTTCATCGATGAAACAACTCACATAGCGAGCCAACTGCGTGTTTCACACCTGAGATCTCCACAGTCACTAGGAGGAAAGTGGAGGGTGCCAAGCTTTGTTTATCGGCTGCCGGAGTTTCATGGCGGGTTGCAACTTGAAACAGACAAGCCATCTTGCCAGGTGGTTCGTGCACGGAGCACCGCCAAGGGGTTTGCATGGACGAACAAAGCCATTCAGGCTGATATTCGATTGGATCAGGTGCTAGGGCGCTTATCGTCCTCCGCCGCTTTACCGTTCGGGATCACGGTATCCGACGCAGATTGAGATGCATCTGCACCTTCCGTCGAGGCTGCAGCCGGGGTATTACCGTTGGTGGCTTTGATTCCAGACTGAGCATTCATGTCTACCGGGGGCTGCTGCTCTACCTGGGTAGGCGTAGATATTTGGTCAGACTCGGTGGAGCCTAGGCTGACGTCTGCGGTCCCGATGACCTCAGGGTTCGGCTCCCCATTCAGCGACGTCAAACCTCCTTCGATGTCTCTCAGAAGACGCACAAACTCCTCCCGGGACAAGGCCATTCTCCCCTGTCTTGGGATCTTCTGCAACCAACCAGCCCTGGCCATGCCGGTATGAAACATAAATCACTTGGCCCTCAGTAAGAGGCAGCTCATTCTCATGCTCTCGTGTGAAGTCAAAGAGTGCAACGGCCTTTCCATGCATCTCTTCATCCGGGCAGCCAACGGCAAACTGATAGTCTCTAGAGTACCGGTTTCCACCGGGCATTTCATCTTCGGACTCGAATCCAGGGTCATGTTCATAACCGTGCTGGCCACCCGGGGCGCTGTATCCCATGATTGAATACCGCCCTTCATTTGCCGGATATGTCACGTACTCACCACCTGGACCATCATCTGACGTGTCTCCATCATTTACATAATAAGTCTCACTGCCATCGGGGTTGATGCCAACGAGCATTCCACGATCACTGCTTACCGCCTGACCAGTTCCGGACATGACTCTCTCATCTACAAGACCATTCATGTCAGAAGACTTCTTGCGATGACGCGAGGTCACAACTGGGCTATGCAGGTCTTCATCCTCGCTGTATGGCGGCCCATCCCCAAAGGACATAGCTGGCAACTGTTGGTGAACATGGCTAGTCTGAGGCTCCGTGCCCGATTGGCCTGTTGACCATCCACGAGATATATCCCACGAAGGTGGTGGATCGGAGAGCCGTCGATGTTCACTTGCTGGTGTGGAGACTCCGGAGGCGCGAGGAGGGGGAGGCCCGTAATGGAGGGGGTGGGTGGACGCGTAGGCGAAGTCCTCGCACAAGAGCATATGGCAGGCTGGTATGGAAGATAGGGAACACATGGGAGCCTGGTCGCGAACGATTTTGTGATGCAAATGAGACATTGGAATACGTAGAGAGCCGATCCTTCGGATGCGTCGATGACCGTTTTACCGTCCCATCGGTGAGGATGGGTGGCAGGACTGAGAGATTGTTTGTAGACAAGATGTTCTGCGATGATGTGGGAGAGGACATCATGGTTGACATGGAGAAAGATCCAAGATTGAGTTCGGAATGAGGAATAACGGGGCGGATCTCAGAAAAGGAAATGTGGGGTTGCTCATCGGTCGCGTGGTTGGCGCTCTAGTTTCGCATTGCGATTGACGCAGTCTATATTATTGAGATTTTTATCGCAGACAGCGGGTGTCCCTTCGGTTCGAACAAGGGAGGTATATCTTGTGATCGGAGATCGAGGGGATATTGGGTCCAGGTACGATGCAGCAAGCGCCCAAGTCGTAAGGGGCCAAAAATGATTTTAGGTTCGTGTGATTCAAACCAGGGGCAGCCCTTGAATGTCAAGCTTTTCGAGCCAAAAAAGAATGTTTATCCCAAGGGGCTCCGGTGTAGTGGACGGTGAATGGGTGGGTAGTCGGCAAACACGAGGGAGGGGGGGGGGCAAATGTGGTCCGAGTGGAACGCCGAACCGCGATGGGGAAGATCTCACGATGAGAAGACGATATCAACGAAGGAAAAAAATCCAACAAGTTTGCAAGGTTTGCGTAGTAGAATATCCGTTCAAGGTGGGATTGGTGAAATCGAGACCGTTGTTCCAGCCGTTTGTCCCGCGATCTCGAGGGTTGGGAATTGCTAAATATAGCAGAAAACTGCAGAAAGGGCCAATGTTAGATATAAATGTAACGGAGGCACAGCGCTTATGCGGGCAAGAATGTGCAGACCGCACGATAACAAGGATTAGGTCAAGGCCACATGGGAAATGGGAATTTGAGGAGAAATCCACTGAGTGGACGCTCGGAGATTGCCATACCTGTCTAGGTTGTAGGTCAGAAGTAATGATCAGCGCGTAGTTGGTTGGATCGGGCTGTTGGTTGTTGGGACAATCTGATTTATCGAGATGAACTGTAGCAAAGGAAGCAGCAGGAATCAGCCGATATGCAAGGCAGCCGCTTGAAAGTCACAGAGTTGGGCGTGTGTGAATGGGTGAAGCTTGAACCCGTCGAGAGTCACGTGTGACCCAGCCTTAGCGTGTTTCAAGTTTGGTTTCGTCTATTCCCGTTTGGGACTAAAAGGCTTTACTAGGTACCTATATGGGATTGTTCTACTCCGTACTTCAATTGCTTTCATGTTCATTTATGTATGTAGGGTATCCGATACATGGAGTCGGGTTACAACAGGATAACTAGCTTACAATGGAAATCAAAGGGTTGTCATTTCATTCGGATTTTCGGTCGCTTTGTCCTATCTTGGATGTTTCAGTCTTTCACCTCCAATTCATGTGGGTTGACTCCCAGCCATAAATACGGTGCTCGTGCTGATGACCCAGTCTGTCACTGTGACTGTTTTGGGTTCAACCCCTGTCGCGGCTAACGATGTGACAAATGTGGTCGGCTGAGATGATGACTGAGAGAGTGGCTCAGAGGATGGCTCAGAGGATGGCTCAGAGGATGGCTCAGAGGATGGCTCAGAGGATGGCTCAGAGGACGGCAGAGACGATGGCTGAGAGGACGGCTGCGAAGATATCGGATCGCCGAGTGCATCGAACTGCGAAGGGATTGCAGCATTGTTGAGATCCTGACCACTCTCATATTCGCTCTTGATCGCCTGCTTGCTGACCTTGTTCACCAAGTCCACATCCATACAGGTGGTATAGATCTCGGCCTTTCCTTTGGGATATGTGGGATCACCACCTGCGGCGGTGGGCCAGTCCCACACCCAATAGAGTGTGTAGGGCTTCCCACTGGGAGCATCGGAAGGCAGTTGGATATCCTGCTGACACCAGAGGTCTGTTCCCATCTGCGGGTCTGCTGTGTGGGTGTATTTCGCTTGTCGAGTTCCCGATATCTCCCCGGAATTGACCTGGTAACAACGGCCATCGTCATAGTTCTGCACTGACAGGAGAACTCCCCGCCCATCGCCTCCAGTGCCATCTTGAGTCCAGGCTCCATGGACATCAAGGAATTTCTCGCCTGTCTTGGGTTGTGTGGTGCCATATACATAAACAGTTCCTCGGTTCGGGGGCTTTCCGGGCTGGTTCTGAGGAAGTGTGACATGGCCGTTTTCCTGGTAGCGAAGGGCAATAGCCGCGCCAGCGCTGGCTTCGAGCCGAGGGCTTCCCTCTGACTGAGTCTGATCCTGCTGGGTGTCCTTGCACATTTTGTCGGTTGGCAGAATCTGGGTCACATCTGCCCTTGTGCTAGGTGGAATCAAGTAGGTCATGGTAGTGTCGCTAAAGCCGGGTGTCGTGCGCATGTAGTTCCCTCGCGCATATCCTGGAGTGCCGACAAAGGTTCCATTTGGAGCAATGAGGGTGAGCTCTTCCACCCAAGAATGAGCGTATGTTGGGGTGCATAGAGCAAGGAGCACTATCAATGCGATGATCAACATCTTGATAGTGGATTTGGATGTTTTGGATGTGTAGGATTCGAGGTCAAAAGTTGTAAGAATGAGGTTTTGTGGACTTGAAAAGGACGGCGGCCAGCGGCGTCAACTCGAGTAGCTATTGCAGTATGTTTTTTTCTTTGATCATAGAGATGGAACAGAGGTGAGGTTGTTCAAGCGGGAAGTGCCGTATTTATTGAGTGTAGAAGATCGATGAAGCGGGCAGGTCGAAGGCTGCAACAATGGGCTTTGTTGATATGAATAGGATCATTGGTATGATAGACCTGTGACAATGAGCGTGAATAGAGAATGGATCGATTGTTAGTCTTTCACGAACACCCCCAGGCCACAACGAAAAATAAGAGTAAGAATAGTATGAAAAGGTCTCAAGGGAATCTGTTACACATAAAGAAACCATTGTCTGACTCCGAGTCTCCGCACATAATTGGAGAGGCCCTGAACCTGTTAGCAAGCCGTCATCGATACAATCGAAACCGTTAATAGACCGAGATACAGGCCCAATGACCTTGGGGCCTTCTGAATAAGGGAATGATTGGATGAGAGGGCTAGTTTTCGGGAGATATTTAGAGTCACGGAATATTTTGAGACATGCTCGGTTCCGCTCATGGCGCGTAGCCGTGACATCTGCATGACTCTAGGTGCTCGATCTTCCAAGCTTGCAAGTATGTTGCAGGCCTGCAGGTCATTGGCTCAGCAAGCACGGTCATTGGCTGATTCAGGGCCCCTGGGCGCTTCGCCGTCGGAGTCGAAATTAATTAAAGAAACCCGGAAAGAAAACAAAGATCCTCTTTAGCGCTTTAATTTCTTGATTGCACTGTTTGCATTTTTCCGTTTCACTTGATCACCTGCCATAGGAGCCCTATCCACAGAACACCCCATGGACACAAATGATACTTCTGGTTTTATCGTGACCATCTTATAACCACAAATGCCGTTATATAACTCACAGACATAATGCACAAACCAGTTTCTCCGTTTCATCTGAGATGCTAGTATTTTCCGGACAAGGATTAAAAACACATGATTTGCTGTAGAAGAGAGACCTTTCTCGCTAAGCGCATATTCGGTATTCAGTCTTAGGTATTATTGCACTATTGTACTAATAGGAAGATTAATTTAGGGATCGAGCTATTAGAGGTATTATCAGTGTATAACACAAGCAATCGATCATCAGCATTTCGAGCATGAGAGGGTGTCTCCGAAGTGGAGAGCTAAAATGATATTCAGGATGATGATGATCCCATTGGAACATGCTAGTCCACACGGAGACGGTGATGACTAGACGAGCCTTGATGGTCTAGACCGAAGATATGAATACCTGGTTATCCAACCGTACTGATCTACTTCCGGTTCAGTTAAGGCAATGATACAGTCCAATTTACGATCAAATTGTTTCTTCTTATATTAATGTTGATCATAGACATTCACTTAAATGGTAACATGATGTCTTGTCTTGGGTACTACAAGCTGTGGTACTTAGTTGGAAGTACTAGGTGTATATTAGCGCTCGTCTAAGCCAGTCTGGTTAGTACCTAAGTCATTCCGATCTCTTGTAGGGCATAGAGTTTAGGAATTAATATACTTAGATAGTTATGTAAAAGACTACACAATCTCGGACATTATTTATGGAGGACACTTTTTGACGGTGTGCGTGAAACTGACAGATATCATCGTGCACGCTTTGCGCTATATGTATGTGAAATTCTCAGCTGACGCTTTTTCTTGAGACATACCTACTCTTATATTGTACCCATTCCTGTAGTTGTGCTTGTGTGGCTGGGCTTAATTTAGTTTGCATAGTCCTCGTGTCAGTTATTTCTTCTCAAATCCGCGAGCATGTAGTGCACTATCGCAGGCGGAGCCTAGCATTGTGGTCGACTTGCACGATCGTGAGCACGGTGGTCAAGATACCGCAAATGATAGGACCATAGAACAGGACCCAGACAAGCTTCACACCGGGAACATTAATAGTACCATTTCCACTGTCGACGTATCAAGAGATGGTCGCCTTTGATTGGGAGGAACAAGATGGAAATTGAGAGATGAGATAGGAAAGCTACATGCTAGATATCGCGAATTGAATCTCATTAAGGCAATGGGGCAATCACACACTCCGTATCTATTGCAATTACGAGCGCTATAATTGATGCATGCGCAGTAAGCAGCCACCTGGGCGCTGGAAGGATGCCTAAGTGCAGCCCCGGTACGGGCCTGTGGGCTTATATAATGCTTAGTGAGTGCTCGGGGTAACCCCTGGGGGCTCCGGACCCTTAGCACAGATGCCGTGCCCGGTTTTACTGACCGAAAAGCAACAAGAACCCTGGAGGTGAGCACTAGCTAGTTGACTAAGACCGAACCGGAAAGCCACCTAAGCCACCTAAGGAGACGAGAAGTTCTGCAAATTCCCAAGCCGATTTGCCGGAGTTGGTCGGGATTCACCGAGTAAACGATCTTATCTTTTCCCTCACTTTCACTTGGCAAACTCGGTTACCGAGTTTATTATGGATATATGGAGTCAATCGGAGAAGATGATTTGACTCAGAGTTATCAGATTTTTATCAGATTTCTCCGGAGCTCCACCGGGTGGATTCTCACTGGCATGAGAGAAATTGGGTGGA